TCTTGCATCCGAACCTCACTACACTCTCTAAACCAGACGAAGTCTTCAAATAAATACTACTAAATCCGATGTTATTTCCGCCACTTCCTACCACCGAATTTACGCCTTTTGTTAATTCCGATTTGAGTACCGCTCCTAAGACCGAAGCTAAAACAGAAATCATATTGTCCCAAAATCAGAGTAAAAATTAAACGACATTAGAATTGACACTGAATTCGACACTGAAATTGGCTCTGAATCAGTTACTAACTCCTTCAACTACCTCTCCAAATCCACACAACCATTTAAACTCCTGTTCTTGTTACTACTGTTGTCCTCTGCCTATACTATTACACCTTCCAAGTCTGTTTCTCTGCTGTTCTGTTTATCTTTCTATCTCTCTCTTTATTCATATTTTGCATTCATATTTTTGCAAATAATTTAGAAATCGTAATAACTATTGAATACATTATCTCAGCATTAACCAATATCACCGTCTAATGCTGCCACTACTTTCTGCGACATCTTCCCCTACCTCCCCCACTGACCAAAACTTACTCATCTCTGTGAAATATTGTCTTATTTTGTCTCTTAAAGAAAAGCGGAAAGATATATTTCCTAATTTGTCTTGAGAGCGGAGAAAAGCTATTTCTTACTTCGTCGTCATATATGTTTTCTCTACGAACAAACGCGTAAACAGACGCGATAACTTGAATACTTGCAAATAATTTCAGAAGATTTTCGCCCAAGTACACAGATAGACTTGAACGAACTTCCACCAAGCTTGAAGTACTTTCAAGCAACCGAATCAGAATTTAAAGGAGAAGGGTTTGAGAATACACCTCATTCTCTACACCGAAGAAGAAGAGGTTACAAAATCGTTTGCTGAATCACTTAAAGATGGATTAAAGGCTTTAGGTTTAGGAAGGAACGCTAAGCAGTTATTATCCGACATTGAATCATTGCATATGGTGACTAGTTTGGACCTAGATTCTGCTGATGATTCATTAGAGCTTCTGAAATTTCCTAATTTGAAGAAACTCACTATCAATTTAATCGACAATGCGCTGGTTTTAAAATCGTGGGATGTTCCACAATCGTTGGAGGAAAACCACCTTGGAGACATCTCCAACGAGAATTACGAGAATATTTCATCATTTATCTCAAACCTACCACTGGACTTGAAGAAGTTAACAATACGGGGACGGAAATTGAAGTGGTTTCAAGGCATGTTGGACTTTTCAAAGTTTCAAAAGTTATTATACCTTTCAATTCGTGGTGAGGGTTACCTGATTCAATCGAACTGCTGCGCTTCTACAACCCGTCGCTTGACTTCATTGGCGAGATACAATTTCCAAAGAACTTACAGTCATTGATTATCGAGCCGTGTAAATTGATATCCATAGGTAAACCAAAGTTCCCATCTACCTTGAAGTATCTTCACTTACCTCGCAATTCATTAAGAGAGGTGGATTTGTCCACAAATGATCAAAATGAACCTCTTCGAATAGAAGTGTTGGATTTAACAAATAACAATAAGTTGATGGAAGAAAACACTAAGCTTCCTCCAAACTTGAAGATTTTTGAAGGTCCTTGAGAATGAATATCAAGCAGAGATAGTTATGTAGGTGTAAAACTGTGTAACGCTTTTTCCCATATTTCAATCTTCTCGCTCTAAAATAAAATTTTCCATCTCAAACACACAAGATCCAATGTTAACCCTACGAAGACACTTGTTCAAAGGCAGGTTGAAAAATGCCCTTGAACCACCTCCACCAAGCCATTATGAATACTCGATCTCACCAAAGACATACAACTTCAAAGTTCCTTCCACGAAACAAACGCTCAACCCGATCCAGCTAATATATCAAAAGGCAGTCAATTTCCCATTTGACAAATCAAATGAAGAAATTTACAACTCATATCCCAAGGTGACGTCAAAACAGCTACTCGATAGGAACACGAGACCAAAAGGAGTGCTGATGAGTACTGCCGACTTTATTGAGGACCTGTTGTACAACAAACATTACGGTTACTTTGCCAAAGAGGCCGAAATTTACCATCCAGACAAGCCCTTCAATTACCCAGACGTAAAAGACATCGATGGGTTTATGGATGCATGGGGTGAGTCGTACTCCAAATACGACAAAGATGAAAGTAAGCCACTTCAACTATGGCACACGCCAACCGAGTTGTTTAACCCTTACTATGGGGAGAGTTTGGCGCGTTACATTTTATTCAACTACAAGCTCAATGGCAACTATCCATACGAAGACTTGATAATATACGAGATGGGAGGTGGTAACGGAACGTTAATGTGCAATATCCTCAACTATATCAAGAGACATGAACCTCAAATATACGCCAAGACCCAGTACAAAATAATTGAGATATCACGCCAGCTTGCAAAAAAGCAAAAAGCAGCGTACAGCAAGAAATTAAAGGAGGAGGGTTTGAATGCAGATATATTGGACATACATAACGTGTCCATTTTCGATTGGACTAAAGCTGTCGAAGAGCCTTGCTTTTTCATTGCGTTGGAAGTGTTTGATAATTTTGCTCACGATATGATTGCGTACGACATGACTACGGGAGAGCCAATGGAAGGTAAGGTCTTGATTGACAAGAAAGGCGACTTTTACCAATTTTTCACACGTGAGTTAAGCCCTTACACCAATGCGTATTTGCAACTCAGAGAGCATGGCAACTTTTCCGTATTAAAGTACCAATCGACATTGAAGGGAAAACTAGAAAGCATTAAAAGTTTCTATAAGTCAGTCCATCCATTGCTAGAGTCACCAACAAAGCTCAAAGGGAAGCAAATGATTTTCCCATTTAATGATGATTTATCCACCCCCGAATACATCCCCACGAGGCTTCTCCAGTTCTTTCAAATATTAAAGCACAAATTTCCTAACCACTCATTGATTAGCTCTGACTTTCACTACTTGCCCAACACCATCAGAGGCTTCAATGCTCCTGTGGTGCAGACGATGTTAAAGAAGGAAATGGTGGATGTGCGAACTTACATGGTGCAACAGGGCTATTTTGATATAATGTTTGCGACTGACTTTGAAATAGCCAATGACATGTATCAAAGGGTAACTGGTAAAAGTTCCAAAATAAACACCCATAGGGGGTTCTTGGAAGAATGGGCGGATGTCGAGGCTACAACGACAAAAGACGGAGAGAATCCAATGTTGGATTTTTATAGAAATGTCAGTTTCTTAACAAGCTAATTTAAATGCGCAATTTCTCCAAATCACTGGCCTTGATAAACTCGGTAGATCCTCTGTCAATTATTTCATCCCTAATAGCCTCTGGTACAGGAACATCTTTGAGAGAGGATCCGGCATCATCATCCTCGACATCCTCGACATCTTCGACATCCTCATCATCCTCATCATCCTCATCATCCTCATCATCCTCATCATCCTCTTCCTCATAATCTTCATCATAATCGTCATCGTCATAATCGTCATCCGTATAATCATCATCCTCCTCGTCGTCGTCAGTAAAATCATTTTCATCAACCTTTTCACCATCCTTATAGCTCTCCTCATCATCCTTCTTTTTCCTAAAGCTCATAAAGTTCTTAAGAGGTGATGTAAAAGACGACGCAGAAAGTGGCCGCTCCAAAGTTGGCGATCTTGGCCTCTCTCCTTTTTGCAAAAGTTCGGGATTATCAGTGTGCTCCTCTTTTTCGTGGTCACGATGCAGCAACTTTTCATTCTTACTCAATTTGGGACTTCCGCTCTTTCTCAAATCCAAAGCATCTTTCTCAATGTCGCTATCGCTCAATTCGTCAAGATTCAAACTGCTTTTCCAGTAATTGACATCATTAAACTTTTCATCCGTCTTGTAATCTTCAAGGTAATTACGAGGTGATCCTGGCGACTTTGGCGACTTTGGCGACTTTGGCGATCCTGGCGTAGGCAGACGCATTGACGTGATGGATCTTGCATCTGAAGCATCGTTAGCTTCGTGGTTATTTACATATTCTGACCATTGCGCATTATTCCAGTTTGTCGAGATGGAACCAACAACCCTGATGGGAGGAAAGAATTGATCAACCAATTCTCCAATATGCAAGTATGAAGATTTGTAACCAGCCAACTCCAACAACTCCATATGAACCTCTCCATCTGGGTTGATGGTAAAGATACGATGGCTTGGAATGTGTACCGATCGGTAACTAATAGCATCAGTGATTCTATTTCCAAATCCCGCATAGAACGGTGTTTGGTCGTCGTCTTCGTCCAATACAGTCCCCTCTCCTTCGAAAAATAGATGCATGATATCCGATAGACATGCCATTTTAAACACCTCCGGCTTTTTCAACACAACCTCTCGTCGCAAGGCAGCAAATGTTCTATCAGGGCTCAAAATTACCGGCCCACTAGGTAACTTTACACCGTCTTGATTGACCCCAGTTAAATACTGTCTCGTTGAATCTGCCTGTCCGACTGATCTAGCTGTTAAATAAAGGATATTATAACCATTCTGATTTATTTCCTGGAATAAACTAGCAACCCCCGGGTGCGTCCAGTCTCTCCCAATCAAGTTCAAAACATGTCCCAACGCATCCGATTTGGTAATGGTACCATCAATGTCGGAAATAACAATGGGTGTGGTTGATTTCCACAAGAACAAGTTTGCCGTCACTTGTGACGAGCTCTCTCTCGACTTAAACTTTAGGGTATTTACCCCATAGTTCAAATTCATCATCTGCAACTGTTCTGATGTTAACCTCAAAGTCTTAAAGTATACCTTGTCACTTTGTCCAGAAGTAGAAGATCCAAAAGTAGTAATTGATGACGTAGTGGCACTCGATGGAGGAAGCTTGATATCCTCTTCGGTCTCGGCACCATCTTCCGAAACGTTGGAAATTCTTATATTACCGTTTTCATCCTTGGAAATTATCTGATTCCACGCCTTCACCGAATTTTCCCCCAAGTCTCCTTCAATCTCCTCCAAAAGAATCTTTTTAAATAATTCGTCCGAATTATCGATATTCTTTTGCGAGTTTGGCTTATAGCCATCCATGTCAATTAGAATATCACCGTTCATATCTATCTTGGTGGGGATGTTCAATTTCTCGGTAATCTTTTTCACATTTTCAATAGCTAACCTAGTCAGCTGGGATGGGCTCTTTGGACTAGGGATGTCGCTCAATTTCGTCTTTTCTTCCAAATCAAGCTCGTCAGGCTCGTTGTCACTGTTTACTGGCGTGCTTAATGGTGACGAAACGGGCGAAATCACCGGTGATGTCAACACGCTATTTGACAATTCATGGTCGGCGTCGTTCACTTCAAAGACAAAATGAGCCTCGCCACCTTCACCCAACTTCATAGGCAAATTTGTTTTTACGTCATTCACGTACAAATCAATCTTCTTTTGTGATGGCTTGATAATCTGAAGTAATCCAAAACGAACGTGCCAAGGTGACGTGTAACGGGTACCATCGGGGTGTTCGATTACAATGACATCAATAGCCCCAGACAATGTGGCTGGGTTTAAAGAGTTCCATTGATTGTACACGTAGCCACCCACTTTTCCCACGTACTGCATGCTTTGGTTGGTGTATGAATAGAGATACTTCAGAGGAAGGGAATTTAGTCAAAAAAAAAAATGCGGAGCGGAAAATTTCCTGGCGCAAACTTAAAATGAGGAGTTTTCACAAGATAATTTAAAACAATTAGACACTATACACTTAGGCACTTACATTTACTGGATCTAATCCACTGGCAATATTACACTGGTGCATCAATCTTCTTTCATCTTTGCCATCACTTCCCAAGCCCTTAAATTCACCGGTGACTGAATGCCACACACCACGGTTGAAAAACAACACCAAATCACCTTGCTTCCAAGAGTGAGCCAACACCTTTTCTGGAGCTATAGCTGGCCTCATCATTTGGTGAACCTTTTCTCTCGAATCCTCCAAATTCAAAGTCTTCACTTTTCCATTGACATTTGTGTGTAACTTGTACAAGCAGCATCCGTGCACCTGCAAATGGTGCTCCTTGGTAGTGGGGTTTGTCCACACCATAGGTAATCTCTTCACCTTCAGGCTTTCCCATTCCGGCAAGTCGTTAAATTCCATTTCTTTACCTTCGGAAACCATTGTCAACCCGTCGGATGTAGCCCTTGCAGGCGAAATGAAAATGTACGGATGTGGCGCATACTCCACAGTAGTATTCAAGGCAAACTGCTTGTCCTCTTCGCTCAAGCCTTGGAATGCTTGTGCGCCACTGATGAAGCAAGTTGCTCCCTGGGTCAATTTCAACTCACTGCCATCGTCTTCATATTTTATAGTTTGGTATTGGGTCGAAGGCGGAACCTTTATACCGAGCAAGGTTGTAACCATTGGAGGTGACAACCCATACAAAGCACTATCAATGTGCCACCTGTAAAACCTTGTCCTCTTTTCCTCTCTTATTTGCTGCTCAGTCAATGGGGTGTGGTGGAAACTAGTGTGAGAGGGGTGGGTCAAATTGATAGCCTCCCCATTTTCATTTCCCTGTTCATCCGCCTCAAATTTTCCTTGTCCAAGGATCTGCACTTGAGGTTGTGACTTTACTGAACACCCATCCTTCTTCAATACCGACTTATCATGTCTAAATTCCTTACCGTGACCGTAACCAGCACCATTCTCTTCCTTTGGCTCAGGAATGGACGGATCAAATCTTTTAGTTAGCAAGTATTGTGATTTTGGTGCAAGCTCTGCCTGGTTGGGAACCACCACCACCAAATGCGTTTGAACTGCTTCGTTCAACGTCCGAAAGTCCTCGTCATTCAAACTGGAAGGATCGTTTTGGCAGTATTTGGGGAGTTTGACGGTGCAGCCAAAGGGAGTATTAACTAAGGGTTCAACAACAAGTGAGTCTTTATGCATTTTGATGTGGTGATAAGTAAATCTAGGGGAAATGGATTCGTTATAGCGGTTGGGTTGGGTATTTATATTTTGGTATGAAGGAGGGGGGAGGGGGATCATACTGATAAGAAAAGCTAAAATTCCTGCATATAGAAGAAGGGTACTCCCGATCTAAAAAACGTTCCGTCGGAAGGTGGGTTATTGCGTGTAACACCGAGAATAGTTGGCTCTTAATGGAGATAAAGGTGTTTACATGTAGAGGAGCCGAAGGGGCCGATGGATCCATCCGTATCCATTCTAAAATATCCCATAGCCACTCTGCAGTGAGAGTCATAGCTCTATATCGCATTGCACATACAACCTCGCTCTCTTACATCCATTTCAACGTTTAACGAGAAAAAAAAAATAACCCATATAATCCTTCCATTCAACACCAACAATGGGACATTACGTCACGCTTGCCACATGCAACCTAAACCAATGGGCTTTGGACTTTGAAGGAAACAGAGACAGGATAGTTGCCAGTATAGTTGAGGCTAAAAAGCAAGGAGCAAAACTCAGAGTTGGGCCGGAATTGGAAATTTGCGGTTATGGTTGTTTAGATCACTTTGACGAGAACGACTTATATGAGCATAGCTGGGAGGTATACGCTGAGATTATTTCAAATCCAGAGACATATGGGATCTTACTAGACATTGGGATCCCCGTTATCCACAAGTCTATAAAGTACAATTGCCGTATCATCTCCTACAATGGCAAAATACTATTGATCAGACCAAAGGTATTCCTCGCAAACAATGGTAACTACAGGGAGATGAGATACTTTACCCCTTGGAATAGACCAAAATACTACGAGGATCACTACCTTCCCCGCAACATCATGAAGGTGACTGGCCAATCAAAGGTGACGTTTGGTGATTGTGTGATTGAAACCATGGACACTAAGCTCGGGTGCGAGACCTGTGAAGAACTTTTCACGCCGGACTCGCCGCACATTGCCATGAGCTTGGATGGTGTCGAGATATTTACAAATTCTAGTGGATCGCATCATGAGTTGAGAAAATTGGATACAAGATTGCATTTAATCACCAACGCAACGAAAAAGTGTGGTGGTGTCTACTTGTATGCAAATCAAAGGGGGTGTGATGGAGATAGGTTGTATTACGACGGATGTGCCTGTATTGTGGTAAATGGCCAGTTGCTAGCCCAAGCCTCCCAATTTTCGTTAAACGATGTCGAGGTCGTCAGTGCGACTATAGATCTTGATGATGTCCGGTCATACAGAAACCAAAAGTCAGCAGGTATGCAAGCAGTGGGCCAGGAGAAACCCTACAAGGCCATTTATGCGGACCTCGAGCTTTCCCCCAGCGAAAATGTATACGACCCAAATGTGTCACCCACTGGTCCACAAAAAATAAAATACCACTCTCCCGAGGAGGAAATTGCTTATGGACCCGCTTGCTGGCTTTGGGACTATTTGAGGAGGTCAAAGTGTGGTGGCTATTTCCTTCCCTTGAGTGGGGGTATTGATTCTTGCGCGACTGCAGTGATTGTCCACCTGATGTGCAGATTGGTTGTGGCATCTAAAGATGAGCAAGTCTTAGCTGATGTTAGAAGTCTCACTCGCGATTCCAGCTTTACTCCCAAAACCCCACAAGAGGTGGCAAAGAAAATATTTTGCACGTCGTTTATGGGAACCGAAAACTCATCCACAGAGACCAGAACTAGAGCAAAAGTCTTGGCCGAAAAAATAGGATCCTACCATGTAGACTTGAATATGGACAATCTTGTCGCCGCTGTTGTTTCCTTGTTTGAGGTTGCCACAGGCAAGAAACCAATGTTTAAGATATTTGGAGGGTCGCAAACAGAAAACTTGGCTTTGCAAAACATACAAGCGAGGTTGCGTATGGTTTTGAGTTACTTATTTGCACAGTTGATACCCTGGACTAGGGGACTTTCAGTTCCCGGATTATTGGTCTTAGGCAGTGCTAATGTCGATGAGTGTCTTCGTGGGTACTTGACCAAGTACGACTGCTCGTCTGCCGATGTCAACCCCATCGGAGGAATTTCCAAAACGGATTTGAAAAGGTTTATTGCTTGGGCAGAAAAGGAATTTGAGTTGCCTATATTACACGACTTTATAACTGCTACGCCAACTGCTGAACTCGAGCCCATCACAAAAGACTATGTCCAGAGCGATGAAGTAGACATGGGAATGACTTATGACGAGTTGTCACGTTTTGGTACGTTGAGAAAAGTGGACAAGTGCGGCCCATTAGCAATGTTTGTCAAGTTGTACCATGAATGGTCTCAACCACCATATAATTTAACGGCTGAGCAGGTGGCAGAGAAGGTAAAGAGATTTTGGTTCTTTTATGCAGTCAACAGGCACAAAATGACGACCATGACACCTGCATATCATGCCGAGCAGTACTCTCCTGATGACAATAGGTTTGATTTGAGGCCTTTCCTAATTAACCCAAGATTTCCCTACGCAAGTAAAAAGATTGATGAAGTTGTGGAACAAATCAATGAGAGACGCGAAGAAATCAGACGCAACAACGTTAGCGTAGATTGATAAACCCTTTTTATGTACCGTAGATTAATGTACAATTTTACGTAACCTTACCTCCCCATTTGGGTGTAACTCCGAGATGTTCTCTCATGTACCTTTCAGGAGCAGCCACCTTGCATATAAACTCCTGGACACGAAGAGCAACATGTTTTGGTAAATCCTCGTGAACAAAATGTCCGCTTTTCTGGCTATTGTTAAACACAACTAACTCGTATTTGCCTTGCATCTGTCCTATAATGAGCTCCTTATCCAAGGTCTCATGGGCAGCTAGTATGAGAAGTTTGGCCTTGGGAAAGTTGAGAAAATTCTTGGATAGACCAACGAACCACGTGTTCCAGTAGGGTTGAGTCTGCTTCAAATCCGTTTTCCATGTCATTGTGTCTAAATTGAATATGTCCGGCAAGCTCAACCTAGCTGACTTTTCGTTGAAAAGTAGGAAATTCAAATGCCAATCAATCGCCTTTGATATACTGGGGAATGACGACGGCAACTTTTCAAGGAAAAAGGGCATGACATTTAGTGAGCTTACAGCCGTTTCCTCCACAATATCCAAAAGTATCAAGCCTTTGACAATACCTTGTGGGTGGGTATTCACGTATTTCGCAAAGATTGCCCCTCCCAACGAATGCCCTAGCAAAAACACCGCAGAAGGATGGTGTCTAGAAATAAACTCGCACAATATAAAGTCAAAATCTGCAACTAGTGTATCTAATGCAAAGTCGAGTTCTCCGTGTGAGCCGCCATGGCCTCTCATGTCATACAAAAAGACGCTAATAGTCTCATCCGTAATATTGCGGCACAACTCAGCAAATGACATGGATGAAGATCCAGCTCCATGGCCACATATCAATACTGGACCGGGCTTTTTAGAAGCCATAAAGTACGTCTTGAATGATAACAGTCCATTAGCATACTCTTCAGTGATAAAGTACTCGGACTTGAACAGTTCATATTCTCTCACAATAGTTTGATCAGTTTGACTAGTATCTTCTTCCTCGGCACTTTTGGAATCTTCACTTACCGGGTCCTCTTCCAACACCAGTAGACCCAACTCTGCTTCCTTTTTCTTGACTCTTTGTAAAAATGCCTTGTGCAAGTCTGACATCCTTTTTGGTAGGAAGATAAAACGGAAACAAAAGAACAAAAAGAACAAAAAAAAAAAAAAAAAGATCGATAAACGCCAGCACAGGTTACCATCACCAATGAGCGACCTAACGCGGCATTTCCATTTTATGGCCACGGCCTTGTTTGTAGGGTACAAGGCATTGCTTAATAATGAGACTCCCGTATCTTGCATAGTAACAAGAGGTAGCAACATCCTAAGTATAGGGTACAACTACACAAACATCTCCCTCAATGGAACTAAACACGCCGAGTTTATCGCCCTAGAAAGGTTCAATGGGGAGAACATAGACTATAGTGAGCTCACATTGTACGTCACGGTAGAACCATGCATAATGTGTGCGTCATATCTCCGTCAGTTGGGCATAGGAAGAGTCTTCTACGGATGTGGTAACGACCGTTTTGGAGGCAACGGTACTATATTATCGATTCATAATGACACCGGATTACCTGAAAAAGCTTACCCCAGTATAGGTGGAATCTGCAGAACAGAAGCGATCCAGTTGCTTCGAAATTTTTACATTCAGGAGAATGAATCAGCGCCTGTGCCGAAAGTGAAAAAGAACAAGAACATAGAGGACAAAGAGTATCCCCTCAACTCATTCAATCTATCTGAAGTGGAATTTATTGACTTTTATGGAAATGACAGATTACCAATCTTTGGTGGTGATTTGGAAATAACACCACTCGTAGGACAAGGCTACTTCATTCAAGAGTATGTCAATCTTGATGAGTTAAAACGTGTGCCCTACTTGGAAGATGAGCTAGGACCAATTGACTCTAACCAAGTCGACTCATTCGCCTCGCTATTCTATGAAGTCAATGCTGAAGGCTGTGTGAATTATGAGCAACCCGTAGATAAGTATCTTCATAAGAAGCGTAAGATGATTTAATGCGAAAAAAAAAAAAATAAAGTAGAAAGATCCACATTACATCTCAAAGCAAACAAAATCATGGATGATTCAGATGAGGAGTTTCTATCGACCCCAACCGGTTCGCGGTCACCCTCATCAAAGTTATCCTCTGCTGTGTCTGGATCAGTCCCACGTGGAGGGGTATCGACAAGAACACGGTCGCGACATACAGGTGAAGTGAGCGACTTAAAAAGAGCTAACGGGTACGCCTGGGAGGACGAGTACCAGAGGTCATGGGATATAGTTAAGGATGACGAATTGGGCAGCGGATCATTCGAAGCGATGGTTCAAACGATTATCGAGAATAGGAAGAAAAAGATCATGAAGAACCCCAGCACTCCATTTCAGAGGGGAATAATCAGGACCTTAGTTATCATTGTTGACGGAACTCTAGCGATGGCGGAAAAGGATCTACGCCCAACTCGACTATCATTGACACTAAACTATTTGCTGGAGTTTGTGGTGGAGTTTTTTGACCAAAATCCTATATCTCAGTTGGGAATAATTTTAATGAGAAACGGTGTGGCAAATTTAATAAGCGAAGTAAGTGGGCTGCCACAATACCATATAGACAGGCTTAGGCAGTTGAAAGCGAGACAACATAACAAGTACGAACCCAAAGGAGACCCATCATTGCAAAACTGTTTGGAAATGGCTCGGTCATTGTTAAGATTCAACTTTGGTTCTGCTTCCAATAACTCAAAAAATTCAAAAGAGATTTTGTTAGTGTTTGGGTCTTTATTTACTAGTGACCCGGGTGATATTCACAAGACAATTGACAGTTTGGTCAAAGATAATATCAAGGTCAGTGTGATTGGGCTCTCGGCTCAGGTTGCCATCTGTCAAGAATTGGTCAACAAGACTAACCACGAACCAAGAAACTCATCCTCAAAGCATTATGGTGTAATCATGAATGAGACGCATTTCAAGGAGTTGCTTATGGATTCTGTCACCCCCTTGCCGTTGCCAGAAAATGAGGAAACAAAGACTGATACTACAGGTGTGCCTTTGATCAAGATGGGGTTTCCTTCCAAAGTGCAAGCTGGTGCAACTTCCACTATAGGAAACCCGGACTATACAGTGGAGTTTCCCCAACTCAATGCATCTTATCCAACTCGGGGCTCAGACGATTCAAGAGATGTTGTTGAAGTGAATTCGGGTTCAGCCACATCGTCTACCATTGGTTATCAGTGTCCACAATGCAAAAGCAAAGTGTGCAATTTGCCTACTATATGTCCCGTGTGTGGACTCATGCTCATTTTGTCTACTCATTTGGCGAGATCCTATCATCACTTGGTGCCACTTGCCCCTTATAAAGAAGTGCCGGTATCCTCCACCTATGACAGCGAATACTGCTATGGATGCCAATTAAAATTCCCTTCGGGAGCCAAGCCTAACGAAGAAACTGGAACCATTGAATCCATCACAAGCTCAAGATATCGATGTACAAACTGTCACAACGACTTTTGCATAAACTGTGATGCCTTTGTTCACGAAGTCTTGCACAATTGTCCCGGTTGTGAAAACGCACACTAAACATTTATTTATATTTAAAAAGTACATAGAAGTGAATATACCTTTTTTTTATTTTTATTTTTATTCTCTCACCTAACGACTTCCCCAGCTGCTGCTGCCGCCACCGTTGCCTTTCTTTCCCCAAGCAGACCCACCACCCCACGTAGATCCTGAACCATTAGATCCATTATTCTTAGAGCCTCCCCAGGTTGAACTGCCTCCTTTACTTCCAGCACCACCCCATGTGGACCCTCCTCCTCTTGCACCACCCCAAGCAGATGCGCCACCACCACTACCACCGTTCCAGGCAGATGCACCACCACCACCCCATGACGACGCACTGCCTGTCTTTCCAGCACTATTCCAAACAGAGGCACCTCCACCACCACTTCTAGCCCATGTAGAAGCACCACCTGCAGCGCCAACGGCAGGAGTAGCACCACCATTCCAAACTGATTTATCTCCCCCACTGCTGAAAGCAGGGTTGGCCATGGGTTGCGAGTATGAGGCAACATCCTCTGGAGCTGCACCAATAAACCGCAAATAAGGAACTGCCTCTCCCTTTGTCAAAACATTTAAACTCTTTTTAAGCACTTTAACCTTTTTACTCTTTGTGTGCAACTCAACCCGGGCGTATATGTCATCTGCCTCAACTACTTTCCCTTTCAATCCTTTGTAACTTCCATTAGTAATGGCGACATCTTTATACAATAATTTGTCTCTTCCTTGAACTCGCGTTTTCAAACCCTGTAATACAGACTGGTCGGGAAGTTTCAAGTTCGGGTTCATGCTGGTTAAGTCTGGGCCAAAGCTCTTTGACACCATCGAATCTTTTGTGGCAACAGTGCTGACATTCATTCGATTTGTAACAAATATACCTAAATTTTCAATGATTTCGTTGGACTTTATGAATAATGCATTCTTGTAAATGTGCAATATAGCACCTTCCCTACCCTTGTCACCGGCTGATTCCTTCACCGTATCTCCTATCCTAATTGTGAAACCATTCTTATCAGTGGCAATTTGCTCTCGGCGAGTTTGAGTAACTTTCGAAGCAATTGCCGTGGGCTTGACATTTACAAGTCTTCCATCAGTTGTTAGAATTTCAAAAATGTTCTTTTCGGCTTTAACAATGACTCCTACAGTGAAAGCACTCAATTCAACCAAGTCCTTGATATCATATTTGAAGTTCTTATTATCAACGTTAGACGATGCATCGGTTGCCTTGACCAAGAAATTTGCAAAAACCCGAACATCTTCCTTTGTTTGGTCACTGACCAATATGACCGAATCACCATCAATCTTGATAACCAATCCCGTTTCATCAAAATGCTTACCCTCGACAATCCTAACGTGATCACCCTCATTGAAAATTTTTCTCAAATCATTTGCCGGCACCGTCAACTTCTGGTTAACAAACTTTGGATCACCGCTATCGGTTACAGTTATTTTAATTTCATTCAAAGAAGTTTCAACAACAAGACCCACGGTCTTTGCTTGCTCGCCACGACGAACCTCCACTTTGTCCCCGGGTTGAAATGCAGTGGATTGTTTACCATCGTTTAGCTTTTTGTTCTTTAAGGATGCGGCTATCTTGGCAAGATCCAAACCGTCACTATCTTTTCCCGTTTGGAACATATCGAGCTCTGCAAGTGTGGGGTGGACATCTTTGGTTTGAATGTATTGCAACTTGAAATCCTTGTATAAGAAGCCATCTTCGTAGTCATCTCCTTTATAAGCATACCTCTTTGGGCCTCTCTGTTGAAAGCTCGCCGTATCATACATTTTTGCATCTTGCGCGTTAAATAGTCTTGGTGGTGGTCTAATTGTCAGTTTTATCCTTCTGCCGTCTTCAGTAAACTCGTCGTTTTTGCCGTAATCAAGTCTTGGTACGACCTTACACAAAACATCTAAACCGTTTTCTGACAAGTTCTCGACAATAGCAAGGTCACCCTTGTACTTGCCTCGTGATATTCTCACATAGATACCAGGAACAATTTCAACATCTGATGACTTGACTTGCTTTAACAAATCAGGATACTCCTTCACCGAAACCAAAAGTTTGTCCCTGACAAAAACATTCACCATACCTTGCAATGCCCTGTCTACCGCGTCTGATCGTTTGGCTTCAATATATATGTATCCCCTAAAAGAGTCTCTTTGAAAAACTGTCAAAATGTCCAATGGCATTTTGCGTCTCTCCAACGTTCTCTTTTTATCATAGAGCTTTCTAACCAACTCTTTCTCCCTTCCGGGAGTACATCTAATTGCATAAATCGATGGGTCATTAATAGAAGGCATCAACAACTTCTGTGATACAGTTCCTCCTGCTGCAGTGTCTCCTCTGTAGGCAACATGTGACTTTCTATATCTTTGCTTCAACGTTTCGGCTAACTGCTCGGCATCTTGGTCTTCTGCTTCTTGACGACGACGATCAAATTGTCTGTGCAGTCTGTCATCCGTGTGAGCTTCATCTCGATCATCGCCTGCATGGTCATCTGTGATGAATTCTTGTCTCAACATTTCTGCTTCCTCGTCGTCCTCATCCGCCTCGTCTTCTTCCTCTTCATCAACCTCGGCCTCGATATCGAAAAACTGGTTTGCACCTCTCTTTTTCTTTCTCCTTCTATTTGATACACTAGCTTCTTCGTCATCGTCTTCCTCCTCTTCGTCGCCGTCGACATCGCCCTCCTCATTGCTGCGATTCTCTAAATCCCCGTCCCCTTTCTCTTCCTCCTGCTCATCATCTTCTTCTTCTTCTTCTCTTGGCCTCTTTTGTGAATTTTTAACATTCTCATCGGCTCTCCTAAACTCCTCGTCAAATGTCAATTCACTCTCATCCTGTTTTACCTTTGGTTCATCAGACATGGTTGGAATATTGCGTTGATAACATGTACCACAACTATTTCTTTTCTCTTCTTTTTTTTTTCGGAAAAAAGTGATTGTTTTTTCTATTTTTCAGCAAAAGTGCACGTCGTATCAACTGTGCTACCAAATTATATTCACTCTTCTACATATATATGAACTAAGTAGTTTACTAGCTTTCCAACGGCATTGATGTGCCAAGGAACTAAGCATGCAGTTTCCGAAGATGTGGGGCTTGCAAATGCACCATCATGCTCATTGCTCTCACTCATCAGTCTCATTCCAAGGATATCGTTCAACACTGTCAAGTTCTTGTACTGCCTCAAAATCAATTTCATCAAAGTATCCAAATTCCAGTAATTTGAACAGCTTAATAAATTAACCTCAAACACTAACATCCGTTTCTCGTTATCGCTAATTGTAATTGCTTGCTCTTTAATCAAATATCCCGTCTTCATGTTCATCCTGCTTGGCGAATTAAAAGAAGGAAGTTGCACTAGTGGAACCATTCCAAATATTTCTCCATCGGCACTTTTCAATACAGCATCGGGATCGCCTTGGGTGTCTATCGCGCCTGCTCCTGCGGTTCCAGGAGTCGATAGATCTTGTGGAGACATAAAGTTAGAAGGTACATTCAAAAACTGCTGTGGTGAATGAAACGTTAATCCATTCGGCGACGTCACATGAACTGAACCACCACTTGAAGTATTGGGCGATGTGTTATTCACGTTATTTGGGTTTCTGAAACTAAAAGAACCGTCCTTATCTCTCTCGGGTGAGCTGAAAAAGGTGGAAGTCGAGCTGTCCCCTGTTAGCGATAGTGTCATCTTGGGGGTCCTGTTGACAGAAAGCACTATTAACGAAACATCCTTATATCTCATACTGAGACGTTTCCAATGAACTAATTCATCATCGGGGATAACACTGTTGATTCTCGTTAGTACCAAAAACTTCTTGCCTGCTGTTGAATTTTCCCGCTCGTTAACTCGACTCAACGCACTGAATAGGCCCAATGAGATGTCCCAAATGTCATCAGCAATCGAAGCAACATCCATTTTATCAGCCTGGAAATTGTGAGATGACTTTACTCCGTTAGCTTCACCGCTATTAAGGGAGCAATACCATGACTTGGTGTGCTTTACGAGACCCAAAGGATCTGTCCAAGCCGCTGCAAACCAACTTTTATCAATAGATCTCTCATACGCTACGTGAATAAAAGTGTCATCAGAGCCTGATATATCGCGGTAGCCACTATTGATAAACTTGAATGGAATTTTTAAAGGTGGCTCTTTTACCAAAGGGGCATATAGCTGGCACGAGGAGAGCTTTGTTCCTTCATCCACAGGACATTCATTATACAAGCTCATTGAAATTCTTGATAGCTTGTAGTTGTTAAACAAATTGAGTGCGATTTCAGATCCAACTTTCTTTGAAATCATAGATGCCGGGATTATCTTTGCAAATATCTGAACCAAAGGCACTTGGAAGTTTAAAAGGGCAACTTTAAAGTTTCGTAATACTTTTGAGATCTGAAGGGTTGAGTTGAAACTTTCATCGAAATTTATGAACAAGACTAGTAAAGGTCTGTCAAACTCAAAATTATTCGTTTTGTTGATCAAGTCCAACTTTATCAATTCTGCTAGAGAGTTGAGCTTTTTATTCACCTGGCTGTAGCCACTATGGTTATGTGACAGATTCTCCGCTACAAGCATGACGCCATCGGTTACTGGATCCAAGTCCGGTCTAGTGTCCACTGTCGATAAGTTCAACCTGGACACCGATCCAAAGTTACAGCTTGTATAGTTATTAATTAGTCTATCTGTGAAAGTATGGAGATAAGAACTTGACTCATATTCCGAACTCTCCCCAATAGCTAACATTTGGAAATTCTTGTGCCCTCCCACTGGACCAAAATCTAAGTAGTTCCAAAACTCAAGACCCACGCTGTTGAGGTTGATAAGGCTACCGTTTTTGTTTACATGGACCTTTACATCCCTTGTTTTGAACAAGTTGTCTTCGGTGGGCCTGGAAAATGCATTTAATTTTTGCACCAAATGATTATACTTTTCAAAGCTGTTCTGGTTTGTGGTACTACCCAGGGAATTCCAAGTTATAGTATCAAGCTCTTTCATTATTCCCTTTGGGTTATCCGAATTTTCAATGTCGGTGAAATGCTCCAAGAAATTCAATTCACCATCAAGGATGTCGTTCTCTTCATTACACTTATTATCGAGTACAAATTCCAGTAAACAAATTTGGTAGCAAAGGGGAAAGACCGATTTTATTCGATCTAAAAGATTCTCAGTGGGTGTTTGGTACTCGATTGCGTTTGATTCTAGCAAATGCAAATCCCTTCCATATTCGGGGATGAACCTAGAATACAAATTCAAAGTTGCCCCTAAATCAAACACGACATTGCTAGAAACAAAATTCAAAAGTTCTTTTAAATGCCTCAACTTCACAATCATTTCGTCATTATTTGTTGTCTCCAAGTCATTGTCGCCTTCATCCTCTGTCATTGAAAACGCTGGTATCAATCTTTCGCTAACCAAATTATTCATCAAAAATGCTCCCGGAATTGTAGAAACATTCACGCTTCTCAATATCAATGGCAAAAAGTTGGACGCCTCGGAAGATTTGTTAGCGGTCTCTGTTTCTCTCTTGGTCTCAAAATTGTTCACCTGCGGCGATTGATGTCCACTCGATGGGTCATAAAATGCTGGAGTCATTGAAGAATGTATTTCATTTAGTGGTAGTGGGGAGTCCGGCTTGGCGCCTAGTTTTCCAAAATTGCTGTTATACGGTGAGCCAAAACCACCTGTAGGTAACATTGGAGTGAAAATCAGGGACTTTTCAGGACCAGCGCTTGCAGCATTAAAGTCCAATACTGTGTTGGCACCTGTCGCATTGGCTAAACCAGATTGATGAAACACGTCTCGCTGTTCTTCCGAATGGCGCGACTCGTTATCCAGCTCTTCATCCTCATCGCTTTCTTCGCTATCGGAATTATGATCCAGCAGCACTCGTTGTTTTTTGATCTCCCTCAAGGACAGCGGTGATGCTCCACTCACGCTGGTTGCTCTAACGCCAATTTTTTCCACACCTTCTACATCCTTATTGAAATAAAACTTACCACCCTTGCCATATTTCATATCAATATCTTTCTTAATCACTGGATGAAATGCCAAGGGGGAAAAAAGGGTTTGTCTGCTCTTGTCTGTCACTTCGCCATCGCCATTATCGGTAGCATTGTCTCCATTATTGTGACTTCGAGATAACGTACTTTCTGCTGATTTCTTGCTTGGATACATCATAGGGGTTGGGTTGATCGGAGCAGGAGCACCAGGATCGGAATAGTCTGGAGTTTGAGAATTTCCCACTGTCATTCCTGTGCTTAAAATGTCAATATAGGGTAAAACCTTCTTTGGCTGGCTATTGGAATGAGGTATATTCGATGAAAATTCTTTCTCAGTTGCAACATCTGCATCTGGTGATTCCAGGTCCGCGCTACTTCCAAACAAAGCATCGCTTTCATCTTCATCGCTCTTTTCTGGTCTGCTTTCAACAGAACTCGATTTCTTTTCAACAACCGGTCCATCTTCACTTTCTCCCTGGTCCCCACCAAACAATTCGTCAATCTCCATGTCATCGTCATTATCATCACGCAGTTTCTCCTCGACAACACTGTTTTCTGGTTTGGAGAAAAAATTGTCAGCCACTTGTAAGTTGAAGATGTCGCCTCCTAAAGGAGTATTAATGCCTATATCAAGTGGACCCAAGTTTCGAGAAGTTTCGTTCACGGTGTTTGAGGATCCAGTGGAAGGAATGCCTCGGCCTTGTTTCAGAGAGGGAGAAGGTACTGGATTATCCCCTGATAGGCTCGTTCGTTGTACCTCAAGCTGATGCTGTGGTGGTAGTGGTGGTGGTAGTGAAAGGTGTTGTTGTTCCGCCCTTTCCAATTCTGCTTTGTGCTCAATATTGAAGTCGAGAAAATCCGACAACAAGTTCATTGGATTAGAATGCCTTGCCGACGATTGTTCATCATTCCTGGCTTTCTCCCGCAAACCAAACTGTAAAAGACAAAGACTCCAGGGCCACAATATGTATTTCTTGTTTTCCACCGTGTGTACGAATTTTGAAATTGGGGACGTTTGATTGTTCAAGTGCTTTAAATTCGGGATTAATCTCACCCACGTGGCTGTCTGTAAGTTCTCAATCCCAGTACTTAATTCAAGCAAGCGTAGAAGCTGTTCATTTTCAAATTGTGGTTTTGTAACAAAGTTATTATTGAGGTTCGTTGGATCGAATAGGTGGCACCTGATCCCACTGGGTAAAATATATACAACAAATGTCTGGTTTATCACTGACTCTTTGGCTAGCAAGACTGATGAATTGTAAAGTTGTGGATCCCTTCTTTCAACGCAGGAGATTAGTAAGTCTCCATTAGCGAGAAGTAGAGGGTCAATATATATGATCCGGTATGACACCTCATTTGCCGAGGCAACACAGTGGCTTCCAAACACCTTTACCACCTGCAGTATCGACAAGTTGTACAAGACCATCTTTTTCAAAGACCTGAGGAAACTAATGTTTGCAAATGCAAGGTATTCCTCGTTGTCTGACGTTTTGGGAGGATTTGCCAACTTTTCTGTGGCAACCGTGGCTTGGAGTTTGACACTCACGGTGGGGTCGGACTCTATCAACGACGACTGGGGGCTTTGAGAGGTCTCGTCTAGCAAAAAGTGAAATAAACACTTGTTGTAGTATGTGAGTAAGATGCTCGGATTTTGGTGACGTAGACTCAATTCTAGCTCCAAAAGCTTTTGTTCGTTATTGTCTGTGGTTGTATATATAGTATACTGAACATTTTTCACGTGGCCAATTTTGAAATAATTTGTTTTTATATCTGAGACCCGTTCGTCTAGCATTTCAGGCTTGGTACGTGGAGAAAGGTGTATGTGTCTAGGTTTGTCTCTCTTTCTTGGTGATTGTTCTGATACGAGAAGCTTCCGAAAATTCAGTGAGACAAAAATATGACACACCTTTATGACACTGATTGGTAGCGTATATAATTTGTGGAGCTTGGATCTTTTAGAGCTTGGATCTTTTAGAGCTCAAGTGTATATACACACTTACGGCATTTAGTCTACCCAATCGGGCTTCCTAGACTTGCTTGCTTCGTTTACGAGAGCGTTGCCATTCCGCCATTTTCGGTGAGAGCCCTCTTTTGTCCACTTTGTGCTACAATTGCAGCAATGAGGAGTTGTCTCCAGTGATTGGAAGCTCATATAGACACTTCACAGAGCCTTTACAGAAAGATTAACGTGTCCTAATTCTAGGTCAACGTGGGGTATAAATCTGTTTTACAGAGCTTCGCATCTAGGCCCTTTACCCCATCACACAAAGCGCATTAAAAGTGAGCGCAAAGCCTGTGCTTACTAAGTTTTAATTGCTGTGCTACCATGGAGATGTAATTCTTTAGCTTATAAATACTCACCGGTGGCCCCCTTTGAACAAATTACACCATTCTCATAAGACTGACTTTCAAACTTCACTTACAGAAATTTACCATGTCAGAATACGGATTTGTCAAAATTGAAAGGGATGTTGCTAAAGCCGTTCCAAACCCAAAATCGCCTACACCACAATTGAACACCGACTTGCCAAACTCTCCAGTGTCGCAATATGTGCTCAAGTACGCCAAGGAGAAGTTGCCAGCCAAAGTACTCAACCACTCATTGAGGGTATATTTGTACTCGCGTGCTATTATCAAGGACCAATTCTCCAATTGGAACCTCGATGACGAGGTAGTGTTTGTGACCAGTTTATTGCATGACATTGGAACCACCGACGAAAATATGAAGGCAACAAAGATGTCTTTTGAGTTTTACGGCGGTTTGATATCGCGTGACATGGTATTAGAGCAGACCAAGAACCAAGACTACGCAGAGGCTGTCAGTGAAGCCATCATCAGACACCAGGACTTGGGAGAAAGCGGATACATCACCACTTTGGGTCTTATCTTGCAAATCGCCACTACTTTGGACAACATCGGAGCAAACACCAAGTTGATCCATCCTGACACTTTGGATGCGGTTAACAAAAGCTATGGCCGTGAAGGATGGGCCTCGTGTTTCGGTGGTGCCATTGACAACGAAAACAAGTTGAAGCCATGGGGACACACCAGTGCTTTGGGCGTCAACGAGTTTAGAGACAGCGTTTTGAACAACAAAGTAAAGTATGAGAAATTGTAAGTAGTCGGTATAGGTTGAGTAGTTCTTCTTTTTTGTTTTTTTTTTCTCTAATTTTAAATAAATGGAGTTTGGTGAGAGGAAAATTGAAATCGTAAACAAATTACATCAACACCAATGACAGAACAAGACAACACTCGTATGTTACTGGACTAAACCAGTTATCAGGCTGTATACTAACTCATCAATGTGCTTTCCTGTGGGTCCGCTAGGTGCTGAAGGGTGATGCGCGATCAAGAAGGAGAGTCACAAGAAAATCCAGCAATATTAAAGGCATCCGATTTGGCAGAGGATATTCAATTGAAAATATTCGAGCTAGCCAATCAAGCAATTCAGTCTTACAAGATCGAAAAGGATATTGCTGCATTTTTAAAGAAAGAGCTAGATCAAGTGTATGGTCCTACCTGGCATGTTATAGTGGGGAAAAGTTTTGGTAGCTACGTCACACACGAACAGGGTTACTTCATATACTTTTACATTGGAGAGTTGGCATTCTTAATATTTAAGAGTGGTTAGATTTGTTTTAATTTAATGTCTATGAATCTTTATACTTCTCCTCTTGTCCTCCAAACAATGTAAATACAGGAGCATGCAATCTATCTCTTCCTTTCAAGAAATCCAACTCCATGACAAATAAAAACTCTACAATGTCGGCACCAGCTTTGAGAGCCAACTCACCTGCACCGTATGCTGATCCTCCTGTTGCCAAGATGTCGTCAACAATTAAAACCTTGGCACCTTTTGGAATTACGTCTTCCTGAAGCTCAAATACATCTGAACCATACTCCTTCTGAAACTCTACTTGGTAAGTTGGTCCTGGCAACTTACCTGGTTTCCTCACGGGAATAAACCCAGCATTCAAGGCCAAGGCTAAAGTAGGACCAAACAAAAACCCTCTGCTTTCCAAACCAATAACATAATCAACTTTTTTGTGCCCCACGTGCAATTTGAATGCGGTGATCAATTTGTTGAACAAAGTTGGGTCAGCAAATAGTGGCAAAAAATCCTCAAAAAGAATGCCTTCTTTGGGGAAGTTGGGGAATTGTTTCAAGTGAGACTTTAATTCTCTAGCTAAAGCACTTATCTCTTTGACTGTGTCTGACATTATAAAGTAGTAGAATGGACAACTGTGGAGGATAATCAAGAAAGAACGAAAGAAAAAAAAAATAAAAGGAAGTAATGCACATCATCGGGGATAAGAAATGTTGCGACACTACAGTTCTGCAATCTGCGACACTCATCAAAAAAAAGCAGACGCGTAAAATTTGATTCAACACAAATACGAAAACATTGAGAAACAGAAGTTAACCAATTGGCGCCAATACAAAATGGACTCTCTGGATGCAGTTAGAATTATGAAGAATGCTAGCCCGTCGATGAACCCAATAAGTCCCACCACTTTGGACAACCTTTCAATGGATTTGCGAGAAAGGAAGTATCGCACTGGACCTATCATTGACGACGAACTAGCAAGTCCAACTCCATCTATCGGGCCAAAAACACCAAGATTAAATAGAGGTTTTCCAGAGTTTTCTAGTCCTGGTGTGGGAAGCTCTGCATATACATATTCACAATCATTGCAACGTCAACATTCACCAAGGAAATCAATCATATCACCGAGCAAAAACTATTCCGAGCTGGTCACAAGATTACGAGCAGCACGGGGTAGTCCTATGAAATCGCCACAGAAGGCAGTAGATGAGGAACGGTATAAATGGTCACAGAGAGCACAGATTGATAGCTTGAAGGACGAAAATACAAAGTTGCATAGAGAACTTGAGAAGGCGGATTATTACCGAAAGGAAACCTTAAGGTTGCAGAAGGAGTTGGACAAGGCTCAGATTATGAAAGCTGAGTATGGTCAGTTGCAAAAGAATGCCGATCGCTGGCAGATGGAGAATGAGCGTTTCAAAGTAGAAAATTCAAGATTGAAAAGCACCCTTGAGATCAAGGAAGCAAAAATAACTCAGCTACACCTGGAGGTTGGAAAGTTATCCAAGGTCCAAAAAGAGCAGAAACACACTATTGATAAAAAAAATTCGAGAATTATGTGTTTGGAAAAGTCGTTGGACTTAGCGTTGGCCTACTGCACCAAATGGGAAGGGTATATCGACAAGTACGTTGCAAAAATTGCAGAGCTTAAACGGGACATAAGTTATTTAAAATCAGCACAGGAAAAACAAGATTTTCATAACTCCAATAGAGGACTGCATGGTGAATTTTCAGATAAACTGATCCAAACGGACGCAACGCGAGACAAGAAGAAGCGAAATGAGGACAAAAGTGTTTACGGTACGCTGAATAATATTAATCGAGGAGCATATGAAGAGGTTAATTCGCGGGTGCAAAATTCTCCCCCTATATCAGCTTTTCAGGATTCATCTGGTGACTTTGTTGCTTCTATTGCTGAGAAGGTGTCAGAAATCGTTCTCTCACGTATGAACCATAAGGAGGTGCTGGATACACCTCATGGAATGGACAAAAGTTTGCAATCGCAAAATAAGAGTCATAATTTGAATGCTCAAGACCTTGCTGATGATAACCTGGCATCGTCATTTGTGCAACCGAGAAGTGCTTCTACAGCGACAAACAAGGAAAGTTTACGAGATATCAACAGGTCCCAAGAAACGACTCAGGATGAAATTGGCCATGAAAAAATAAAGCAACCGCCTAATAGCGATAATATTCCGTCGCTAGTACAAGACCTTCGCAAGGATTTCAACCATCTATTGAGTGCTTTATCAACCCAGATTGGGGAGGTTAGTCGAGAAAATAGTAGTAAACTGCCTCGTTTGGATAATCCTGACAGTGATCCAATCTTGAAGCCACAAACGCATTTTCGAAAAAGCAGTCCAGCACGCCAATGTCCTGAGCCTGTTTATAGACCAGCAGCGTCTCAAGACCAAGCTGAGCCTCACTTTGAACTGCTTAATATTCGGTCGCAGTCTCGACCCTATCAAAATCAATCACTGCATCATCACTCCCAATCAAATGCACAAACTCAGACCTGTCCAAATGACTTTGTTAAAGAACGTGATAACAGATATAATACATTATTGGCTACAGGTGATGACTCTTCTGGTGTGCAAGTCAACACTAGCCATGGTGGGCTAGGCGGATCTTCTCAAGCTTCTCTTCCATTGCCTTTCACGACTGGTGTACAAGTTGGATGCACAGAGGGCCACTACCCTGAAACAAATAACAAACAAGAAGCAAGTCATATAGTTACAAGCAAAGACGTGCCGGGAGAATCTAGTAGGAAGCATCCATATTTCTGTTTGGGACCCGATAACCTTGAAACTAGGGACAAATGTCCTGTATGTCATGCTGAAAGAGAGTACACGGATTCGAACTTGGCGGCCGAGATTCTACAATGAGACCTTAATTAACGTTGTGAAATACCGATGACCAGGACTTCTCGTAATTTATAGGATGAACGAATATATTTTAGAGAGTTGCATGAGTAAAACAAAAATCCCTGTAATTTTCTGTGAGTTTAATATGTAGAAATGAAAACAGCCGATACAGATGATACCTTGCAAAGGTAGGGCTGCCTGCGCAGTAGATCTCGACATAAGCAGCTGTGCCAGTGGTATCTCTACGATCCCTTGAAGGTCCTATGCTAGCTTCTTAGGAAACTCTTCAAGTTCACTTTTAACCACTGGTAAATATTTTAACTGGTTTCCCATACCCCCTGCACCCCAAAAGTTGTAGTATGGTCCCATCCGAGGAAAAGCAGCTGCCCAATTTACAATCGATTAAGGTTCTACCTAATGATGAGGAGAGAAGTCAATTACAATCAGTTTGATCAAGTTTGATCAGCCAGATCAGCTAGAAAGGTAAACGTCACACAAAGTTCTACACAAAGCATTCAACTATAACCCAATTTATGTAGATCGAACTTTTAAACGCGTATAAGTTGACCTTTTAGATTAGCCAAGCGTACAGGTTGAAATTTAGGAAGCGTGACATGATTTCAATTAAACTGAACGAGGCGTGAAAGTGCGTATGATGAGACTAACTAAAATATGTGCAAAACGTAACTGGGGCTCGTCTAATAAGGCAACTTTTTAGTTAAGTCTGCAGAGGACACCGAATCTCAGTCCCCTACTATACAGCTATCCTTACATCTCTGGGCTATAAATTTTTCCTTTAAAAAACAGGTAAGTTTAGAAAAAGAAAAAACTGTTGAAAGCCGTCCGGAGTTGGTCGTGAGAAAGTATTTTAGAGAAGCCACATATACGGGTTTTAAGGCATCAGGTATATTTGATCCGAAATTCCGCAGTTAATGTTGGAAGCAATAGTGTGGTTATATTGATGCAAAGCCCGAGCCAATTAGAAGAACAACAACAAGAACAACGAATTTCATCAACCAAAAAAATCGCGCTTTTGTAATATATGCAACTCCTGTTATTATTCTTCTGTTTATATAGAAGAAGAAAGAAACGGGTGTTATTTTTTTATTGTTGTCTTGATTTTGGCTATTATCGCAATTTTGTGAAATGACACGAGGAGTTTTATTTGTTTTGTTTTTGCAGTTTCATCTTTTTGCAAAACTTGAAACGTGACTATTTGTGTAAAATAAAGCTGCAGCGTATTCTTGTAACCGATTTCGTTTCTCGTCGGAAATATGCCCTGATGCGGAGGAAAAACCAATGTGGCGTCTTTTTACGGAGGAAAGAGGCAATTTGTTTTACTCGATGTTTGTAGGCTCTGGTTTTTTTTTTGGAAGACATGGAGCGTTAAATATACTATTCACGTAGCAACTAAATAGAGACCAATCTAAAATTACAAATAGAATGCATGGTTAGATCCTGTTTATGCTTAGCTCCATATCATTGGGCTAAGCGTTGGAAGCAAATGGTTAGAAGAAGACTAAAAAAAAAAAAACAAATGTGTCGCTTTTGGTTTGAAATTGAGAAAAAAAAAATTAGAAACGGACTACGATATTACACAAAACTAATGTTTTTTATTTTTATTTCTTTTTTTTGAAAAAAATGGAAAGCCACCACTCCACCAAATTAGGAATATTGGTAAACATAAACATAAACATTTATTTATATCTATATAATTATTACCCATTTGGAAAATCTCTCCTCTAATTTCATACTTCATACTTCATACTTCTGTACACTCTAAGACTTTGGAGTTTTCTAGACTCTACAGCAAAACAGATGACCTAAATCTTTGAAGATCACCTGTATACTTTTTTTTTCCCAGGAATGGGATTAAGAAAACAAGGTGACAAGCTAACCCTGTTTGAATCAAAGGTGCATGTTCACGTAATTCCACCAGCTATACTTCCATCAAACAAAATAAGCATACCTATTTCATAACAACACTTTGTGACGTAAATAAATGACATAATTGAAGATACGTGTGGACCTTGTTACATTGTGTGACCTTTTTCTTCAAGTGATTACTACCAAGCCTGCTAATGCTACTGCCAATACTACTACTACTACGACGACGACGACACCACAGACAGCAAAAACAGAAAGACAATAAAGTATAGTACACAAACTCAACTTTTCTGTGAGTATTGTTTATCATTTTCACTTAGTTGGGAGTTTTTATGTTTTTTTTTATAACAAAATAAAAGTATCACAAACTCCAATCCCTTATGTACCATCGAAGGTTTGAAAAAACAATAGCCATAAAGAAAACACTACTCACATACACATAGACACACACACACCACCAAGAATTGGTTATGATTACATTTACAACACTAGCCCTATCAGTTTTAAGATTGCTCTATTAAACAATGGCTCCCTTTTTTCTATCTTTAGTTACATGCATATTATTTTAGGGATAGCATATATTCATACTAACTACTTAATGTTGTCATAATCCTCCTCTAAATCCTTCTTTTTTATAAACTGCTCACGTAGATCCCACCAAATTCCCTTTTACAACCACCACTGGTTCAACAAAAAGCCTCTTGTTACAAGAACAACAAGGTTACATTCTGCAAAAAAACTCCCGCCTTCGTTTCTCCTCCACTCAACCCTTTTTCGCGCCAAGTGCCGTTCTATAATCACTAGATATTACTTGATTTTACAAGGTATCACAACAATCGTTTTAGATTAAGAATTATCAATAAATAATATCACCACCGCCTTAGATATCAATACTTCTCCTTTGGAAACTAGCCATAGTTCTATAAAGCTACTAGTACTCAACTACATACACGATAAGTTTCCAATCCCAACTAGTTTTATATACAGAATCAGACACTTATCACAAACGCAGTTGGTAACTTCTACACGCAGCTTTCCAAGACACTAATATACATTGTTCACAAAGTCCACTTTTTGTCGTGATTTCAGAGAAAAGAGGAAAAAAAAAACAGAACAGAAGAAAAACAGAAGAACAGAAAAATTAACATTTTCAAGCTTTGAAATAATACAATCTGCACTGTAATAAGAAGTGGGTATTTTTTTATTTTTGACAAAAACGTCTTTCTGATCTACGTTCAATCTATTTGAATATACTCACGGTCAATCAGGCTTATACATTCACTGACCGTATTCCAAGTATTTGCATAACTTCAGTCACTCACCATCGCGACTTTGGTGTTACAGGACAGAATTTCATCCCTTCAGTGGTATAATAGCAACCACCACTCCCACTCGTTAGGAATAGATACAATCATCGAAGAAGGTGTCATTACATAGCTTTGATCTTCTCCCATACAGCTAAAGTGACAAACAGAATACACCGTTTCGCATTGTCATGCCACAAGCCACGATTACTCACTCTGCGAGTAATGAAAACGATTACAAGATAACAAAGGCAAAAATCCTATCAGAACAGCAGCAGCAGCAGCAGCAGAATCTACAATACCACTATGACCAACCATCACAAGAACCGCTTGGATCTTCTACTCAAGAAATTTACGAAGAAAACAAGCCACCAATTCAGACAGCAGCATCTACCACGAAACAAAATAAATCTACGGCATCAAGATCGGCTATAAATGCTGCAACCACAACAACAACGCGTCAATACTTGGGAGATGTATCCAATCAATACCACAGTAGTAGTGGGCTTAAACCAACAACACAGACACAACTGCAACCACAACTACTGAAGAAAAGAAAACCTTTTGGTAGAGACGTTCAACCCTTACAGAATAAAACCAACAGAGTGATACCAATTGTATCTGATGAAGATAATGCCAAACATAAACCACAACTGGCGAATCTACTTGTACCATCGCGGTTGCCGCAGAAGAGACAAGCAACTGAATCGTCAACAAACTTGGTTGAAAAGTTGAAAATACCAGAACCACAACAGCATCAAGCATCAGCATCCGCATCGGTATTGGGATCTTCACACACTATTGCATCTACTTATAAAAAGTCACGTTTGATTGACTATGAATGGCAGGATCTTGATGAAGAGGATTATGATGATCCGTTGATGGCCAGTGAATATGTAAATGATATCTTTACATACTTTTACGAATTGGAACAGCGAATGTTGCCGGATCCACAGTACCTTTACAAACAAAAGAATTTGAAACCCAAGATGAGATCAATTTTAGTTGACTGGTTGGTCGAAATGCATTTAAAATTTAAACTATTACCAGAATCGTTGTTCCTTGCGATAAACATAATGGACCGTTTCATGTCAATCGAAGCAGTCGAAATTGACAAGTTGCAATTGTTGGCCACTGGCTCTTTATTCATTGCAGCTAAATATGAAGAAGTGTTTTCACCACTGGTTAAGAATTACGCATTCTTCACTGACGGGTCATACCTGGTGGAAGAGATCCTACAAGCCGAAAAGTACATTTTGACAGTTTTAAACTTTGATTTAAACTACCCCAATCCCATGAATTTCCTTCGTAGGATATCCAAGGCAGATGACTATGACGTCCAATCGAGGACATTGGGAAAATACCTTTTAGAAATCACGATTATAGATTACAAATTTATCGGAATGAAGCCATCTTTATGCTGTGCCCTGGCCATGTACTTGTCGCGTTTAATATTGGGCAAAATCCCCGTTTGGAATGGGAACTTGATTCACTACAGTGGTGGATACCGCATTAATGATATGAGAGAGTGTGTTGAGTTAATGTTTCAATACATCGTCTCACCCATTGAACATGACGAATTTTTCAAAAAGTACGCTATGCGGAAATTTATGAGGGCAAGCACATTGTGCCGCAAGTGGGCCGAAAAGTTTCAAATGGAGGGCAGAGATTTATTTGATGAAAGTTTATCCACTCATCGGTTATCGATTGAAGTGGATAGCTAGGTTTTATCGCATACAATTACATCTAATTTTAATGACGCCATGACCTTTTAATTTTGTTTGTTTTTGAAAATTAAGAAAAGAAAAGAATTGCATTGTATTGTGTAGTAATACAGTCCATATGGCTAGAGGATGTTTGTCTTGTAGGAAATGAAGTAAATGTACTAAAGCAGATGAAGTTGTCACGTGATTCCTAGAATATTATACGCGTCATTTATTTTAAAACATAAACAAAAATAAAAATATTTACAACGTAGGAATCACCTAGTTGCCACCATAACAGGCTGCAAAACCTCTATTTGCTTCGTTTGGATACTATAATACCTGTACATATATTTGGCTAATCTTTTTACTTCAGCTAGGCACATATACTGATTTCACAGCAGAGACTATCTACACCAAACGCGTCCGCTTTTGTCATGTTGCAAGGGTACACCTTTTTAATTATCAAGTCCATCGACTTGGATGAACAAGAAGCTGCTCGGCTTGAGACATTATTATACAAACACGATGCCACTAAAGTTTACTTCAAGGACGAATTTGACAACTCCAAGAACTACTTTGATCCACCATCAATTACCCATATAGTCACCAAATCCATCGATTTTATCGAGTACCCACAGGCCCAAAAATCAATGATACCGATAGTTACACCCGAATGGGTCCATGATTCTGTAGAGCGGAGTGCAGTGCTTCCAATAAAGTCATATAATCCTAACCCCGACTATTTCTTCAGAAATTGCTTTGTTTGTTGTACTGATAATTTGCCGCAAGGGGATAAGGAGCTAATTTACGCTGCAGTGCAAGCTTTTGGGGGCAACTACTTGGATGTATTGTCCAAATACACAACCCACTTGATAGCTATGGACATGACGAATGAAAAGTCGATAATTGCATCGAGTCTTATACACGATCCCAATTGCAGAGACCCAGTAATGGATATTAAAATTGTTTTACCTCATTGGATAGATCATTGCTTAATCATGGGGAAAAAACTTGATGAGCAAAAGTATCTTCTTCCAAATTCCGATTCATTTGACATGAATGCTAGTGATCAAGCCGGTGAATTGTTAATGGAAATCAAAAATGATTTCAGCGCGCCAATTTTGGATGACTCGGTGCCAAAATCCTCCGAGGATGACTCGTTTAAAGGCATTGATTACTTTAGAGGTAAGCGGTTTTATGTTTGTTCTGATTTTAACCTTTCTCAACGGTTATCCAACTCAATTAAGGGATTGATTGAGAAGCTTGGTGGAGTCATTGTTTCTTCATACAGTGACGATTTCGATATTTATCTTGGGAAGTACCGGCACGGTGAAGCCTATCAAAAGAGTCGTGCAAACAAAAGAATCATTGTTGCAAATTTGCAATGGTTGTACTCAATTATTGTGACGAAGAAGTGGGTGTTACCATTAAACTCGAATATTCTCTACTACCCAATTCCACCGACGCATATTGACGAGTTTAAAAGTTTGAGAATCTCTATATCAAACTACAGTGGTGATTCAAGGGCGTACTTGTCAAAATTAGTGACCCTAATGGGCGCAACATTTACCAAGACCTTGACTAGAGACAACGACTACCTTGTTTGTGCCAAACCTGAAGGGAAAAAGTACGATGCTGCAATGTCGAAATGGATTGGTATGGATGGCAAACCCGAGGTTAAAGTGGTTAATCATATGTGGCTAGAAGACTGTTTTATCCAGTGGCTCAAACTAGATCACACCGATGCCAAATATACAAACTTTGGTAACCTGGATTTAGGAATGGAACCGCTTGTTGGTGGAGCCCATTTAGATGATGATCACTTGGATGAGTTAGGAGATCGCAATGCGAATGTCACTGGAAACGTTGATGATAGTATGAGTGAAGATGAAAGTACCCAATCGAGAAAGATTGCTCCCCCAGCACCTTTGACTAATACAAAGAGAGAAGTCACTTCTAGTGGTGATTTGGCAAAGTTTGCAGAGAAGCCAGTACAAGAAAAGGAAGTTGAAGAGGATGTAATGAGTATCAACTCTCCACCGAATGGCACCCCAAATAAATCAGATATCAGTGCTGAGATCAATTCGCCCAAGACACCCAATGATTTTGGCGAGTCGAGTGTTTACAATGCTCGATATGGAGGAAGGTCAGCGGCTAAGAAAGCAGCGGCCAAGTTGCACGACAATATGAGTGACTTGAATGCTTATTTGCAAATGTCGAAAAGTAGCAAAAAAATGAAAAGCTATATGAACGAATTAGAGCAGAGTGCCAATGCCAAACGAAAACATTTACAGGAAAACAATGATCCCAAAACTGACGAGGACACGGGTAGCTTGGACTTTAAGCGCCAACGCACCGATGAATGTAGCATCATTGCTATTATGACTGGTTGTGAGCAAACCATTGAATTAGCCAAGAACGATTACACCAAATTACAATCCGTGGGTATTAAGGTTATCGCCAACTTGTCAAAGCACACTCCAAACACATTGATTGCACCCAAAATTCTACGAACCGAAAAATTCTTACGAAGTTTGAGTAAAGTGGATAGAATTATTCACCCTTCATATATTGTGGATGTGTTGGCAAATGCCGAAAATAATGAAAACGTTTTAAACCTATACCGAATTGATGACTATGCATTGGACAAGGTGAATCCATCGGCAAATGCTGACTTGGGAGTCAAAAGTTTGCATGCTTTATTGCTGAAAAAAGGCACTCGTGGAAGCCTTTTACAAGGCGTAAGCTTAAACTTGAGCAAGAATTTGAATGGAGGAATCGAGGTCATCTCGAGGATATTGCAAGATCATGGACTCCACAAGTATGAAGAAGTACGAACAACACTAACGAAAAAGACGCCAATTTGCAGCTGCTCCTTTAATGGCAAGGAAGTATCTATTCTAATCGCCAACAAAAACAAAGATGCAAAGCTTATTGCTAGTTTTAAGAAGTCCTACATTAATGGAGTAGTTTTAAGCTGGGACTGGTGTGTAAGCTCGATTTTTGCCATGGAATTACAAAAGTTTGACGACTTTAAGTTATGAATAAAAGTTTTATAAAAGAAAAGGTGAAAAAAAAAAAAATAGTATACAATATGTCTAATAATTCCAAACGCTCTCACTTCTCTTCATCTTCAACTGACTCAAATATCTATCAAGCTCGGGCCCTCTCCATTTGACTGTTTTTGGTACTGCTGTGGCTGAGCATTACCAAAACCGTAACCAGTATACGCAGTGTTAATTTGCTGCTGCTGCTGCTGTTGTTGTTGCTGTTGAGGTGCAGCCTGTTGTTGTTGGTAGCCGATACCAGTGTTCAAAAATGGATTTCCTGTAGCATTCGAACTGACTCTATGTTGGTCATTACCAACCTGTTTATAACCAGTTCCACTTGAATTGATGAAGTTTTGAGTTCTCGTGTGTTGATGGGGAATACGTGTAGCACCGGTGTTTCCAAAAGTGTCCAAGCCTGTTCCTTGTGTTAAAAGATCATTCAACTCGTGGCTCTCGTTGAACCTAGATCCCGACGTGTTTTGCTGTTTCAATGGAGCGGTTGGTTGAGTGTATAATTGAGCGTGCTGTTGCTGCTGCTGCTGCTGTTGTTGTTGTTGTTGTTGTTGTTGGTATTGTTGTTGATACTGCTCCTGTGTCTGTTGCTCCTGTGTCTTTTGTTCAGCTAACGCATTTAACGTTTGTGATTGGGACTTGGACTGGTTATTTCCAGAGTCCGATCCAAGTGCAAATGGATTATTCGAACCTGTTTTCAACGGTTGCAACTGTTCCTGCTGCTGAGGTTGTCCATAGTTGAAACCGGTGAATTGATTAGGTTGGTACTGAGGTTGCTGCTGTTGCTCGAATTGGTTTGGGTAAAGCCCCGTCTCCATAGGGTGCTGAATTGGATTTCCAAACATATCGTACTGTTGGAATTGCTGGGTTGGTTGTTGGAAAACTTGTTGTTGTGGTTGTTGTTGTTGATAATATCCGGTCAAGAAGTATTGTTGTGGTTGCTGCTGGTCTTCGTTCAAGTCTAACAAGTTGGCATTTTGATTTTGCTTTCTCAATTCCTCTTCCTCTAATGAAAGTTTAATTGCCGCTTCTAATTCAGGGTCGTTCTCGGCTTCTCTAGCACGAAGCTGATCTTCCTCTGCTGTTAATCTTGACAATTCCAATGCTTTTTGCAAGTCGACATCGTAAGGTTCATCACCACCTCTATCTCTTCTTCTTTCCCTTCTCCTTTCTCTACGATCACCACCGAAACCATCCTCATCATCATCATCATCATCATCATCAAATGTTCCAGTACGTCTTCCACGTTTGGCTAATGCACGCTCGTGCTTTAATCTCTCATCATCTCTCAATAACGATACCAACTCCTTTGCTTTGACTCTGATGATTGCACCCTGATCTTTGTCCACCTCGTCAAGATGGATAAACTCCCTCAATGTTTTCACAATGTAGATGTTATCCTTGGCCCATAACACACACTTTTCGGAACCGAATCTAACCAAATAATCCAAAACCGTCAATGATTTGGCAATATGTCTCCAATTCTTTCCCTTATCGTTAAGACGACGATCTAGCATGTCCATAACCTCCATAAACTCGGTTTGAGATTGATAGGTGCACGAAGCTATTTCCTCCATATCGTAAGTTGTTGGTCCCGTAGCATCGTTTGAAGTCGCATTTCTCACCAACACTTGTGCTGATGAGTAACCCCCTACAACATTCTTCATAGACCTTACTATCTTGGACATTGTATACTTTTTTCTTTTCTTGTGTAGATGGATTAGTGTAGTGAAACTCCGGATGAGTTGGATGTTGAAATTTTCGGTGTTGAGAAAAGTTTTGATTGCTTAGTGGGAAAATAAAACAACAAAATTGAGTTAACAGTACAATTGGTTGTATTTAATGAGGTACCTGCTCTATGTGTCTTTGACAAGAGTGGTCTTCTATAAATTGATTGAACTTGTATTAGTCAGGTAAAATGTCTGATGTCGAGATAACACCATTCCACAAGCCGAGAGTTAAATTTGACACAGTCATTCAATCATTTTTGATAAAGTTCCACAAAATTAGGCTATGGTACACGACTCTTTATGAGCCTACTATACTTTTCACTTTTTTTTTTTCTTTTTTTTTGCAACTATTTAAAATAACAACAGGCAACAGGGGCAACAACATAAATACGATCATCTTGGAGGTATTTATGTTACTATTATGATTGTTGGTCGGTCTTGGATATAGACCAAAAAAAAACAGTTCATAAACTAGGACTTCAAAAGTAACATAAAAGCATTCTAGGTTAGGTTTGATACAGTTCTCAAATTACTAGAGCTACTTCAATCAAGTAGCAAACATCCTTCCCCAGAAAATTGAATAGAGTTGCTTAGAGGAACCCAAAGTGAACCAACTCCCTAAAAAAGGGGGGAGATGATTAGGAGAGTGGGATTCTAAGTGAATTAAAAAGGAAAAAAAAATAGTGAAGAGTACGAGATTCGAACTCGCGCGGTAAACATACCAACAGATTACTTCTTTAGAAAGGGAATTTAACCCTCCAAACTTAAGTCTGTCACCTTAACCAACTCGGTCAACTCTCCAATTTCTGATAAAAATTTTATTCCACATTTTTATACTGTGATTTATGTTGACCCATTTTTGGGCGAGAGTCGCCTTATTTTTTTCGTCCAAAATGTCGATTTTCGCGCCTCAACTTGTGTCAACCTGGGTCGACATATACCTGACCCAAAGGGAAATTTTGAAAACATCAACAAAATAACAATACCTTAACTCTTAAAGCTGTTCTATAAAACCGTATGGGTTGATTATATAATATATATAAGCTCTGCTTTCTATGAACTATAACTGTATCTCACTTAACGGGTGGTTTTTTTATTTTTTTGTATAAATTTGAATCAAAAACATTCTTATAAGGAATTGTTGAATGTTCATTGTACTTGTAAAAAGATTATCACTCAAAGGTTAATTATTGTAAGCAGATAGATTTATTGTAGAAAAAAATATAAATGAAATAAACAAAAGCGAAGAAGGGCTTAACTGTAAATACAACTGTCTAGGAATGGCATAAAATGTGGCTCACGTAATTAGTTAGCGATGTCGCCTTTATATCAATTAAAGACGCCTCTGAAGACATTGTAAATCAGTGTTTAGATATCCTCACAATAGAACCATTAATTATCTTCATATCTCCTCCCCTTCTCTTCACCTCTTATCCCTCCCCTGTGAAAATCCTTGATTATGTTTCTCGTCTGATAGGGCTCCGATTGCGAGGACAAAAGATTGGATTCATTTATTACACAAAACACAAATCAAAAAGCTAAATTAGTCTTTGCGTAAATGTACATTATCTTAAAATATCTATGCCAAACTAACGCCTCGCAAATTTACGAAATTAAATCAAAACAACTCCTTTGGTTCTTTGCAACAACAACTCCTTTGGTTCTTTGCAACAACAACTCCTTTGGTTCTTTGCAACAACAACTCCATTCCAAAAGAAAATACCTACTAAACTACAGCAGCATATGCACAGATTGGTCTAACTCTTAAAACGAATTATATTCCTATTGTCTAAAACAGTATCTAAATAAAAAAAAAATGCAACTGCCTCTCCCTACCAACTCTCATTAGGATATTTTCAAAAACAGCCTCTGTTCTTCAACCTTATTACAAACTTCTCTCCGCTCATTGCTGTCAGCACTGGGAACATGTTCCAAATCAAATTTCGGATCGGTACAAAACAACATCTGCAATTGTTCAATCACCTTCAATTCGAAATCGTAGCTATTCGTAGAAGATGACGCAGTTGCTACTTCCGAGCCCAACTCCCGTCTTAGTTCATTACCGTATAGACGCCTTCTATTGCCCTTGTTATCAACAGGTCCTCTTTCGTCAGAATTGAATAGTTGTTGGAAATAGTATTTGGGCCAATTGGCATGAAGGAAAAATAATGACGACGATTTGTATAAATGATAATCGTAATTATATTTGTTATTGTCCTTTCCATGGCTGGCAAATTCGGTGGGCGGGGTAGATAAATATGGATTATCACCCTCTTGATCACCCTCTTGTTTTTGCTCCTTCAGCTTGGAATTATCTTTGCTGCTAATATATTCGGTATCGTTATTGGCTTGAATGTAATCAATGATTGGATCATACTGACCCATGGCAAAATATAAATGTTTATTAGTAGTTGCATCCTTGGGTCCAAATTCTCGATTGAATTCTTGTACTTGATAGTAGGGTAAATCCAATTTATGAGCAGCAGCAATAAAAGTTTCTTTATCACCTTCACCAGCGGCACCCTGACTCAACAATGGGTAATAATAATCAGGGCCATAAGTGTTGTAATACATTGAAAGTAACAATGTTTTGAAATGGACCTTTTTATTAATGAGTAATTGACCCGTTTCTGAACTTGGTTCCGGAATAGCTCCTTGACAATCATGGAATGAATTATGAGCAATTGATGTTTCATAATCAGCACTTTGAAACACACCCCTAGGATCACCTTTGGTGTATGAGTTTCTCACTTTCTTGGCAGGGTCAACTTTAATACCGGCAATATCATAAAATTTAGGTGACGTTGATCTTCTCCATAAATCAGGCCATATAACTAGATGTTTATTGGTAAATGGCTTATTAGCAAATAAAATGTCGGGGTTCTTGATGGGGATATTATCAGCATCAAGATACAAGACACGCTCAAATGATGAAATGAAAATGGCCACATTTTTCATCTGATAACCAGCAGCTGAACCTCCATTTTTGATGACCCCTTCATAATAAGATTTGGGAATATAGTCACTCATTAATTTACATTTCCCATTCAACGTAGGCAAGATCCGATTACAAAATTGTTCATCATAATCTTCGTGTTTGGGGATGATTACTTCGACGGGTAAGCGTGAACCATTTTCCCGCAAGACTTTAATTGAAAGCAATGCCAATTGATTATATTTGCCTCCGGCTAAATAAACTATTCCATCACCCTTGAGGAAATCGTTGTATTTGTTAAATTTAGTCAAGTCTTCTGGCCAATCTTTAATCATGGACTTGATAAACTGTTGATGAGAACTCTTGAGGGACTCCATTTCCATGTCATTTAGGGTAATGTACATGGATAACAATTCTTTACTTCTAATTAACTCTTGTTGGTAGTTTTCTCGTAAATGGCCACCATAAACTGGCATTCTTCCATTTTTATGGATCAATTCCTGTTTGTATTTGAATTCATTCATTTCCTCGTCAGTCAATTTATTAAAAGTTTGATAATGCTTTTCCAATTTGGCAGCGTTGGGGTAATGTTCGTCATTATTGATACCATTGATGTTTGGTTTACATTCTTCAATTGTTTTCAATATCGAATTGAAAAAGTCAATAAAAGCAGTAGTAAACTTCATTTCCATATCGTAGTGGTCAGAAAATGAACTATTCAACATTAATAAGTGGTCCTGGTTCAATTTGGAGACGTAGTCTTTATAGTTGTATCCATTGATTAATTTAATATCATAATTTTGCTTCGTATTTAAATCAGAATTGACAAAATTCCAAAAATGATGAGTAGTATCAGAAGCAAGATGTTGACTAGCCAGGTAATCCTTTTGAAATACAGTAAAGTCAGTATCTTCATTGTGATGGTAGCCTACTATTTTGTAGTCATCGCCATTCCCTGAGGCCAGTTGCTTTTGCTGTTGAAGGGGTATTGTTAGTGAAGATAGTTTACCAAATATGGCAGATACCCCTTCTTTGCTGTAGCTGTAGTAACTGCCACTGCTTTTGCCATTGCCATTGCCATTGTTGCTATTACTGTTGGTTGTCGATCTATCAGTGGAATAAAGAGCTAATAGTATATTGACACTTGTGAATATGAATAGTACTGCCAATACTACCTGAGTAGCTTTAAACTTGGTAGGAAGAACGAGTGCCATAGTCTGCTGTTTTATTGTTGTTGGTAAGTAAAGTGGTGGTAAGCAAAGATAAGGATACCAGTGTAGTACCTTTAATTTTGTTTTGATGTAATATGTTGGGTTGTAAATGATGCAGTAATATATATATATATATATATTTATATATATTTATTACTCTCACTCCTTGTGTATGTTTCTGTCTACCCTTTAGAGTTGTGGTGGTAGATCTGAGTGGTTGTTGGTGTTTGGTGAATTTGGTGAATGAATGATAATATATAAAGAAAAACGTTTTTACGTGTGGTAAAACTGCTCTCTCTTCATTTTTTTTTTTTTTTTTTAAACTTTTAATCTTGTTTTTAATTTTTTTTTTAATTTTCTTAGCATTTTTTATTTTCATCTAGTTCCTGCATATTATTATACAAATAGGTTTTAAACGTTCAAAGAGATCTTTTTGGTTCTGATTTCATTTCTAAGAGAGGCAGGTACTACACATTTATTGTTACATGTGTGTCTAAACAGTTAGTTTACTTGGCTTCTTCTTGCTCTCTCTTGGGCCGAGTGTTTGTATTAGCTTGTTGTTATTGTTGTTGCTGCGTGGTGTGTTTTAAAAGGAGGGGATATCAGTGTCTGTCTGTTTTTGGGTTTTTAAGATTTTGTGTAAAACATGCACAATATCTATCTTTAGACAATATTTTTTATATGCAGTACACACATAAACAATACCCTCTATTAATAGTGATACACAATAACAACAACAACAACAACAACAACAACAACAACAACAACAGCCAAATTTCATTTTTCCGTGAACCACACATCCCCCCTTGAATTTGTGAATAATACGCTATCGATCTTCAACAGAAGTTTGCTAGTTGTTTTAGAAAAATATTAATTGAGAAACTGGTGAGATTCAGAAACTATAAAGTACTGAATGTATGTATAATTGATATTGATAGCGATTGTTTAAAACCCCCTTTCAATAAAAAAGATAAAAAATTAAAAAAAAAACATCTGGTAGTATTTAGCTATATCACGTGTAGTTAGTGTCGTGGGTTTTAAGACATACAATTTTTTTGTTTTGCGACACAACACATAAACTTTTTTATCATCTACTTGTGCTGTCAAAGCTAATGACTTTGTTTTCAACTTTAAACTCTAGAGAATCTGTACCCTTACTATACAACCTCTGACGTTCTTTTATTGAAATCAGGGAAATAGAATGTAAGGACTTTTACTTTGCTCATAATGTTTTACCACAAATTACTTTCTTCTAGAGGTTATACATCCATCTACAAATAGCACAATTTGGATATTCATCACACTTCAAATCATACCAAATCTTCTTGTAATTCTTGATACTTTCTATTACTTTTCTTGATCCCAATTTAATAACTGGGTGTGGGTAGTTACTAGCTTTGGCTCAAGATTCAAAGTCGCAACTTCATATCACAAGACACCTAATCATACGTCAATCAATTTTATTTATTTTTTTTTATTTTGTTTATTTATTTTATCAGAAAAGGCAAAAAAAAAAAATGACAACAATAAAGACAGTCTCAATCAAATCAATCAGTCAGCCACTTAAAAGTTTAATATACTAGCCACAGCCATCACCAACAAAACACTAACAAAACACCAACAAAACACCAACCAACCAACCAACCCACCCCTTCACACACCCTTTAATCTATCTATCTACTACACATTTACCTATAGCATACTACCATGTCCAATGATTACTCTTTATTCGATGACTTAGAGCAAGATAATAACCCTTCTTTGTATGGTAATGCATCCATACTAACCAATCCTTACAATACCACTAGCACTAGCACCAGTAACAACAATGATATAACCACACAAGAGCAACAACCAGATGCAAATGGTAAGATTGTAGAGTCACAGGGTAGGACTAATAAGAGCACGAGAGGAAATACATCAAAGAAACAGCAACCTCATCATAATGTGGCAACCACATCGTCAACTTCACCACCGCTTCTACAATCGCCACAGCTGCCACAACCACAAAAGAACAAACAAAGACAACTGCGCCAACAATTCTCCCCCACATCCAACGCACTAAGTGACAATGACGAATACCCTAATGAGCTAGTCAACAGCACCTTAGGATTATCAAATCAAATCACTCAACTTCTTGAAGCATCTGACTTGACAATTGATGTAATAAACTCAGAACGATTAATCAACTCATCGATAATAGTCTACACCATCCAGTTGCAATCATCAATCTTGCAAAATAAAATTGTTGTCAAACGAAGGTATAGTGAATTTAAGTCATTACGCGATAATTTATTGAAATTATTCCCCACATTGATCATACCACCGATACCTGAAAAACATTCCCTCTTGAGCTACTTGCTAAATTCAATCAATTTGAATAACGAGTCAAGCATAATTGACATGAGAAAACGATATTTTAAGTTGTTTCTTGATGATTTAATCTTTGATTCTGACATTAAGTTGAAAAACTGTCCCCTTTTACATAAATTCCTTGACCCCAACTATGAATTAAGTTGGTATAATGCATTGAATGAACCGCCTGTGAGTTACTTGCCCCACAATCTATTATTAGCCAACCCGGTTAACCCGGCTGATCAAAATGGATTATATTCCATTTTGCCCATTGTCAATGGATTTGATATTAGTTCCAACACTGACAATTTATCTCATTTGAAAAAGATTAATGATGAATTGGATAAACTAAATGATCTGGTTAAATTATTTGAATTGAAAGGCGAAGGTAGTGGAACCAGCTTTGACAATGATTTGAAATTCACCATCCCTGAAGAATTAATCGCATTTGAAGGAAAATTTCATAAAATTATATCCAGCTTGTCGTTATTAAACAAATTGGATATCAAAACAACCAAAGATTACAAAAGTTTGATCAATGTCTTGATTGATTTAGGGGGTAATTTGAATAATTTCTCATTACAAATTTATCATCAAAAACCCCACCATTTACAACTGATACAAACTGACACATCAAATACAAAGCCAGAGCTGCAATTAGAGTTGAATAACTCGTTATCAGAAGCGATTGAGAAATTCGGCTCAACAATGGATCAGTGCTTTTTAAATTTTGAAAATTTTGTTTTAAATCAATTAATCCCGCAATGGCAAGAACCTATTCATCAGTTGATACAATATAATCAAACTGCCCTTAATTTAATTAAATTTTACAAATACAAAATCATTCAATTCAAGATATTATACAAGTTAAAGTTTAATAAATTTCAACAATTGATTAGTATAAACCATATGAGTGGGTATGGTGAAGCCGGTAGTGCTAAAAAGCCTAGTTTTACCAAAGCAGAAACGCAAGCAGAAGAAGATGCAGTTGTCATTAATTCCCTTGATCACTTGAAAGAGTTAAATAGTCCTACGTTAAACAATGCATTGAAGAATATATCAATGAAGAAAGTGGGCAAGAAATCTTCATGGTATGGATTATTTGGAGGCAACAATCAAACGAAAAAGTTTAATTTTCAATTGCCAGTAGAAGAGACAACTGGAACAACAGCACCAGCAACAGCACCAGCTGCAACAACAGCACCAGCTGCAACAACAGCACCAATGGCAACTCCATCAAGCTCATCAACAATACAAACAATGGTTCCACATACATCATCAATCAAGTTCAAGATCCAGCATCTTGAAAAAGAATTGGATAAAATCAACCAATTGATTGAATTATGTAACAAGGATATGCAGAATCTAACTCAAGCTCTAATGACGACATTTGGTGATTTCATCAAGAAATTGGAACATAAATGGTTAATCATTATGATTAACTATATACGAAATGGTAAACAGTTGTTTGCCGACAATTTGACTACATGGGAAAATTTCAAGCAGTCACTTGAAAGTGAAGGTGAGGATAATAATGATGCTACGTTTGGGGGACCTCTTGCTTCTTCTGCTGTCGATGATGATGGTGATGATGATGATGAGTATATTATATAGTGTGTTAAATCTGCTCGTAAATACAATCGAAGATTACATAAACGTACGCCGGAGTGGTATCCCTCTCCAACGCTTATAGTGTGCTTTGTTGCAACTTTGGAGTTATAATAGCACTGATTTCTCATCTTGTGGGAGCAGCCGCATAAGCATTTCCCAATTAAATAAAAGGTAGTGCACATCGACACAATTGTATTTTCTTTTTTTGGTTTTGCCACTGCACCGCCAAAAATTTCAAATCTTACAACCAACCCTCTATCATAGAGCTCAGTATCCAATAGACTACAAAACGACGTACCCCCCCTCCCAAACACACAGCTAAAGCTACAAAATGTCAGCAATGGATATAGATTCAAACGACGTCTCCACAGTCTTAGCCACCATAAGACTGGAGCTAGATAATGCCGACTTGATTTCCTTGTTTTATCAATTGGAAGATTATTACGAACGTAAATTATGGCATCAATTAACCCAACAATTGGATGAGCTTTACTACAACTTCAGCCAACAAGATCAAATCTCCACTGGGTTGAAACACAAGATATACACGCAATTCATTCAACAATTTACCATGAAGTTGAATTTAATTAAAGTGGTTGATTTCTTGATTGCTTCGGGATTCAATAACGAAACGACATTGGAGAAGTTGATCAACTTGAAACAAGAATACATCAAATATATCAAACGCGAGAATAACTTTAAGGATAACGAAGATGGCACTGAAGATCCTGATTTTATTACACTTGTTGCCAATGATGAATCAGTAATTTATATTGATTTGCAAATCAGTCGTTATTACTTGTACCTCAACCAATTTGAACAATGTGATGCAACAATGAGTAAAATTGAACTGAAGTTTGACAACTTGAATAATGATTTAAGTGCTAAAATCAATGCTGCTTATTATTTAACCAAATCAATCGAATTTAAATTACATGAAAACTACAATGCCTACTATACCAACGGATTATTACACCTTTCTTCAGTACCTTCATTAACTTCAGAAGAGAAGGTCAAGTTATGTTATGATTTATGTATTGCGGCATTGTTGGGTGATAAAGTTTACAACTTCGGTGAGTTAATTTTGCATGATATCTTGCAAGAAATTGCCTCCGATGCATCGCCCTACAACTGGTTATACCATTTGATTCATGCATTGAATGCCGGTGATTTATCAAACTTCAACCATTGGTTATCAATTGCATTTACTAAATCACCTCAATTGCTGCTGCATCAAGTGTTTATTAAGCAAAAGATTATAATTATGGCATTATTGGAATTGATTTCAACAAAATCAACTACAAACAAACGCATTAGTTTTAAGGAAATTAGTGATTTTACGGGAACGCCATTGAATGACGTTGAACATTTGGTTATCAAATGCTTTTCATTGAAGTTGATTCAAGGGTACATTAACCAAATCGATCAGGTCTTGGTGATTACTTGGTTACAACCAAGAATATTGAATTTAAAACAAGTTCACACCTTGTACACTCATTTGGTTGATTGGGATCATAAAGTTGAACAATTGGGTAATCTCGTGTACCAAAGTGGAGGAACAGTCTGGGCTGGTATATAAAGTTGAAGCCAGTAATGATATAGATTACGTCTAATACGCGTTTCCCTCTCTTCATCCTCTCTGTTGTTTATAGCTATTACAATATGTATGGGGGCTTTGGCCCTGGCTTTGTACTGAATGCCGCTAGTCGTTGGTCGACCGCCATCACGCTACCACGTTGCTTCCCAATAAAAGAAAACTCTCGGCGTTTAGCTTCCACCCAAAAGTCAAATGAAAAAAAAAAGAGAGAGGGAAAAACTTCCTTTCCTTAATTACCGATCCCAACAACAAAGAGACCCATAAAACCTATACCCACACTCATCACAATACTCCTAGGTCTAATTCTACACCTATTCCTGCATCAACCCCGCAACATGATGATCTTCTTGTCATTACTTCTATACTGTACTCTCACACTAGCCAATCTCGCTCACTTTGACAACAACCAACATTCGCAAGTTTGTGCTGGTGTCTATTCAAAAAAGGACTGGGGAGGATCGATAAAGCCCCACATTGGATTATCATTAAAACAATACCAGGATCATAAGTACGATTCTAAGCATAAAGATGCCGAATACGATGATATATCAGTAAGTTACATCATTTTCGAATACAAGGATCTTACCAATATTGGAGTATATCTCGGTGAAGGGCGATATAAATTCATTTGTGATGATTATGCCGTTGACGATTTGAAAATCTGCACTAAGGAGCAATTGGGTCAATTTATTGTCAATGCCAATTCCACCAACTCGACCATCTTGGCTTCGCAATTGCATCAATTGGGCAATGCCAATATCAATTATCCCATCAATCGTACTGGTTATTATTGTATTTCGACATTTTCTCCTCTGGGCAATAACATCAAGTATCAAGGGACTATAAACTTCCAAAATGCGTTTGGTCAATTAAATGCTAGTGAAATACCGAAATTACCCGCATATGGAATCTTGACCTTGTGTTATGCTATTGCTTTGGCATTATTTGGATTCCAGTTTTTCAAAAAGAGAAAAGAAAATCAAATCTTGCCATTGCAACGATACTTGTTGGCAATGTTGGGATTTTTAACTTTCGACACATTGGTTATATGGTCGTACTATGATTATATCAATCGAGTTTCTAACCCCAACAATGGTTTTGGAATTTTCTACATGATCTTCATGGCCATTTTAAATGCCGTCAAGATTACATTTGCGTTTTTCCTTTTGCTTTGTATTGCCTTGGGTTATGGTGTGGTGAAGTTGAAACTAAACAAGAGAACTATGCTTTATTGCAAGATTCTTGCTGGGTTCAATTTTGTATCGTCATTGACTTATTTAATTTTCAATTATGTAAGTGGATCATCAACGGCATTGGTAAATAGTGACAGTATCGATAGTGGAGATGCTGGTGATTTCTTGGGCTTGTTACCATTGATCCCCATATCTATCGTGTTGTCGATTTACTACGTGACGATATTAACATCCATTCGTAAAACAACCCAATCATTGCACCAACAACGTCAAATTATCAAGCTTCAATTGTATCAAAATTTGTTCAGAATCATCTTTTCAGCCATTATAGCAACATTCCTTGGATTAACATTAAGTTCGTTTATTTATTTGTCAATGTCAACGACTGAAATGTTTGAACAACACTGGAAGAGTTCATTTTTCATTTTTGATTTTTGGCCAAGTGTCGTGTTTTTCATTGTGTTTTTGATAATCGCTTGGTTATGGCGTCCAACAGAAACAAGTTACATGTTGGCAGTATCACAACAATTGTCCACTGGTGGTGGCGATGAAGATGATCCAAACTTTGACCCTGAAAACCCCAACTACCAAGGTCCAGGAGGAACCGAATTTGAATTGGACGATTTATCGTTAATGAGTCACGATGAGGAAGACGATAACGATGGTGACTTAAACAATAATGGGGGAAACTCGAGGAGAAATGTTGATAGAGATAGTTTTGAAATTGAGGATGACCATCAGCTGCTGCCAAAAATTTCAATTAGTAAGAAGTCAACTGATCAGGCATCCTCATCGACAGCACCACCTGGATACGAAGAAGCTAATCACAGGCGTAGTCAAGATGGTGGGGCAACATTGTTTGACTTGGGTGAGGAAGATGACGATGATGATGCCGATGACGAAAATGCAGGCGAAGATAATAGATTAAAGAAGAACGATTAGTATAGAGTTGTAAAATAAAGAATATCTTCCCTGTAAATAGATGAAATGAAACTGTTGTTATCAGCCAAAGCCGAGTGCCAACTCTCTCTCCCAGTCCTACACCCAACACCCAGAGATGTGTGATAAAAAAGAAACGCCGCATAATTAACACTATAAATCAATCAACTGCCCCTTCTGTTTCCCCTCTCAACTCAACTCAACTCCTCCAATCGCTTCGAAAGTTTTAATTCAACATCACTCCAATTATCAACTAGTCCTTTATAAAAATCAATTTGTTTATCACATAATCCAAGCATAGAGTTTCTCAACTCTAATTTATTAAATTGCTCCCAATTAGGATACTCTTCATTGATAATCTTATCAGTAAAATCATTGATCAACTTGACTTGCAATTCAATCTCATTTTCCAATTCTTGTACCCTGACTTGTAACTTATGGATTTTGGAATCAGTAGCACTTGATCCTATATGAGGAGTAGCTGACGTTGAAATTGTATCTTTAATCAATTGAGTTGTACTACTCACGATGCCAGTGGGGCTATTACTAGTTTGATGGCTTGGTTGATGGTGCAGGCCAGTTGCATTCCCCAACTCATGTCTACTCTTGTTTAAGTAATCCTGCAACACTTGTAAATCAATCTTTTTGTTATGTAGCAACTCAATCAAATTTGTAAGGCCAATGATGTACTTTGAGCAATCTTTCAACAGAACTAAAAACGATTCATCCATATAGGTATACAACAGTCCCCATGAATCCAGGAAAAAATCAAGTGCCTCAGCAAATATTTTAAAGTTGGACATAATAGTGGAATCTTCTCGTTGATCACTTTGCAAATTTGAAATCTTCAAAATCTGCTTCAGAAGCTGTTCATAATCGCTCTTTAAATCACGGTTCTTGCGGTTCAATTTGGTAAAAATGCGGTCTAACTTAAGTAAATTTTCATACAATTTCTTCAACTTGTCGTTAATCTCCAATATGTCCCGATTAGTTTCTTTCTTGTGCTTCGAAGACGTGAGGAAATTCATTAATTTTTCCGTTATCAACTCTTCATTAACAACTTTATTCACCAACCCCCCTTGCTCACCATTAACATTCAACTCTTTGAGCTTTAAAGAAGTTGTAAAGGTGTTCCAATCATTTGAATCACTGATAAAAAGGTGAAAAATTGACAGCTGAGACAAAACACGGTGTTGGATAATAAACCTTAAAAATCTATCCAATGAATGCAATCTCTTGTGTACAAATTCATGACTGAAAGTGTCTCCAGTCAAGTACTTGATATTCAGCTTGGATGGCAAAACAGGAATCATAACCGTGGGGAAATCATTACTCAAACTCTCATACAAGTACCGAAAGTCTCCATACCTACGACGTACACTAAAAGTACGGTACTGGCCATCGCCTTCAGATGATTTGTCTTTAACAAGTTTGAGTATGTTTGGATTATCAGTTGTTGCTGTGACCAAGTAAGAAATGAATGGTTTTGATGACGCATCTAAATCCCTACTAGGGTGGGTAGCAGAAACTTCAATCTTGTACTTGTCAAATAATGTCGTATCCACAGGTTGAGCCCTGGCTTTTAATGAAACCATATCTGCTGTTGGTTCGTTATATCCCGTTTCAGTCTCAGTAGCTACTTCACCCTGTGATTCATCAATATCGATACGCTTACTATGATCAGGCTGATCTCCTCCCACCTCAGACGAAACGAGTAATGAGGCACTAGGTTCATCGCCATTAGACTCACTGCTAGGTGCCTCTTCAGTAGCCAGCAATTGGCCCTCATCATTTGTCAAACTATCCTGTGTTGTTTTTCTTTGCTCAGTTAAATCGCTTGCCTTGCCTTCGGAGCTGAAGTTGGGTAACTGGTGCTGGGAGTTGGATTCCTCTGAGATTGGCCCAATTTTTGCAGTTGTATCGGCCGTGTCTTTTCCCACTTCTTCCCTATCCCACTGGATGGAAGTAAATTGATCTTCCGAACTCATTGGGTTGCTTTTTGTGTGGCTAGTAAAGATGTGTGTACTTCAACCGTGTGTTATCTCAAGAATGATCTTTAATTTTTTTGTTGGTGTTTTACGCAGTGGGGAATGCTTTATAACAAAGGAAAAATGCGGCACATGGTAAATACCTACAACAATCCTTACACCATAGATATCATGATATCTACCCAATTTTTACTGGTCTCTACATTGCAATTAAAAAAAATACCCTATTCCTTTCTTTTCTTTTCTTTTCTTTTTTTACAGTTATTCTAACATCTATAATATCAACCAGACACAGCATCCAATCAAAGAGGCCCCGATAATGGCAGTGATAATACCTGCACCGGCCTTATCACCAGAGTCCAAACTCAATGGTTTGGCATTAGTAGCAGTGGTTCCGTACCCACTTGCTGGCATCGACTCAGATGTACCACCATCATCTGCTGTGTAGGGTGCAGGGGCATCATGATAAATCATTACACTTTGCATAACCTCCAAGGCTGACATTTGCTCTCCTAATCCGTAATAGCCGTCGTAACCGACGGTCCAGTTTGTCCACGAAAGACCACAAGTGTGTCCATCGTAACCTCCAGAACACGATCCAGCAGCAGCATTGGCAGAATCTACCAACCATTTATAAATCGTTCCCTTAGTTTCTGGTACCAATTGTGCTGTAAGGGCCAAGAATCGGGAAAAGAAAGCTTTAAATGACCGTTGATCATTGTTGCATGTATTGGATGGTTGACAAGCAGCTTCATACATGACACTACTTCCAGATATGTTCTTGAAGAAAACTTGGGCACTGGTCAATAACTGAATAGTGTAGTTGTACCATTTCTGGTCTTCAGTATAATTGTAAAGATAGGCACAACCTGCCAACATAAGACCCTGGTTATATGTCCATTGGTATTTGGTGACATCCGAACAGTTGTTGGCAATCTTGACACCATCATACACATACCAATAGTTACCTTCAGTCAACAACCCAACACCATACATCCAATCCCAAACTTTTTGGGCCCACTCGACATACGAATCGTTTTGGGTATACCTTGCTAATCTCGCTGCCAAATGGAATAAACATCCATTTGAAACTGAGTTTTTGTAATCGTAACCAGAATTCCACTGGAAAATTTGCCATCTCAACCCACCATTACAATCGTCCAGATCCCACCTGGCAGTCATTGTGTTGAATACAGCTTGGGCCAATCCCAACCAACTTAAATCCTTGTCATCAGGATTACTGAAATTTCTCTCAGCTGCTCCCATTACCGCAATCCCCCAGAACCCTTGATCATCATTACCTTCGGTGGTACTCTGATTCAATGGGATATAGTTCTTGTCATCCCCCACCTGGTATTCCAAAGCCTTTTTAATCAAAGGAACTAAAGTATCATTATTGAAGTAAAACGTGTAGTCAATCAAACCACCCCATGCACCACCGGCTTCCCACCAGTAGTAAGGTGACGAGAACTCACCAATAGTTCCTCCATATTTAGTGCCCTCATAATAATCGAGCAACCCTTGGACAATCAAATTACAGTCTTCTCGTATCGATGTAACATTATTCGTATCAAGGGATATTGCTTGGGAGAAGGCGAGTAAGTTTGCCAATAGAATAGCGAATGACAAGCCAAGCTTCATATTGTTTGACTTTGTTTTTTTAAATAGCAAAAAGAGTTGACTATGAAGCACTGATGATGATAATAATAATAATAACAATAATAATAAAGGGATAACCTTTCTCTGGTTGATATAAAATAATAATATTAATTTTAATTTTTTTTTTTCTTTCTGTTTCATTCAATTCCCACGCGAAAGGGGATGTCGTGTCCTTGTCGTAACTAAGACGCGATACGACACAAATGGAGCTATATCTAGCTTCTCCATTTGCTTTACATATGGATACATTTCCCATAAGTTCTTATCTGAATATTTCTTAGCTTAATAACACTAGCTTACAGTCTTTACTGTCGCTACACTGCATGGAAATTTCAAACAAAATAAAACACACACAAGAAGAAAAAAATTTGAAATTTGGTTTTCTTTTTTCTATTTTTGGCATCCATGCGCGCTTCAATCGGAATATATTACAATACGCTATAAACTGACTGCAAAATGTATCAAATAAGAGAATGTATCCACTCACAACTTCAATGTTGGATCCAATGACTCAGCAGCAACTTCAGAGACAGGCTTGTCAAAAGCATTCTTCTCCTTTATAGCATCCACGGCCTCGTCCTTACCATTTTCTTGCAAATGTTCTGAAGCATAGCTTTCAAGATCAGCATTGTCATTATTATTGTCATCATCCTCATCATCCTCAACATCATCATCAACATCATTACTGCCTTCTACGGTTTCCCCAGCTCCTGCTTCCACGTCGTCCTCACTTTCTACAAATTCGTCTTCTAATTCGTCTTCAATTTCCGCATCCTCGTCCTCGGCAATGAGTTCTCCGTTGATGGTAGCAAACACCTCGCCAAATTTTTCCAAAGTCAAGCTCTTTATATAGTATTTCAACTCATCGTCAAACGTATCATGGCTACTATTCAACTCTTCAAAGACTAATTCGTGTACATCTCGAGAATCATCTTCATCGCTAGTCTTTGAATCTACCTTTTTCAAGGCATCGGCAATTGCATCCTTTAACGTTAAAGGATATTGACTACGTTTGTCAATCACAGTCAAATTGAACTTGATTGTCAATATGTTATACTTTTTATGATAGGTGAGACCGATCGAGGAGTTAATGAGATCCATCTTGCTATCGTCCGTGTCCGGTCTATCTTTGTACTGGTAGTAACACCTCACTTCATTCGAAAAATTAGAATCATGCAAGTTGTTTCCCTTTTGCTCAAATGGTAATGAAGTAGAAGCAATAATTGGATCAACATACAACGCTTTCAAGTTGCTCAACAAATTCATCCGCGATTGGCGTTCATTGAGGCTAAGGTTTTCAGTGTTCCTGTCACCTATTGATGCATCAGCATGGAATCGTGACATTTCCTCAGGGAAAGAATCCTTGTACTCTTTTAACAAAACCAAATTGTTTATATTTTTCTTTTGAGTCTTTAAATCAAGTATTCGTTGCAAATACTGTTCAAAATTGGAGTAGACATTGGAAAACTGGTACGGGTTAGCATGATCAATTATATCAGATGCATTATTTGATACAGCACCATTACCTAATGCCAATATTTCTCCAATGAGCTCTTCCTTTTCATCAACTACTTCCGGTTGGTTCACAGAAGCCTGCTCAACAACAGGCTGCTGTAAGTGCAGTATATTGACTTGTGGAAGTAAATGGTTGTACTTTGTGGAAGTTTCTCTCTTGTACGATTGCCTTGGCTTCTTGATCTTTTCGGCGCGAGGTACTCTAACTCTGGTGGGTGAACCAATGTCGTCACGTCTGATTGTCACTTGATACCTAGTTCCATTCGGCGAAGTGACATCAGATGCCTCTATTATTTCATCCGTAATGTTGGTGATAACTGGAGGTTCATAATTGGGGTCATTCAATACTTTGGCAATTTCAGCGTCGTAATTGAATGGTTTATTATGATATCGTTTGAAAAACTCATCTTTCAACAACCCTTCCTCCTCAATGTAATTTTCTGTTGATTGCTGCTCTCTAAACTGTTTTAACCCATAAAGCATGGTTTCTTTAGCTAGTGGCTTGCGCAGATTCTTCTTGTTCCGTTCTATAATCCTGCATTTGGCACAAGTTTTATACTGCTTAACCTCCATGGGCTCATCGTCCAATCTCTTTCTCTTGCACCGACGACATCTGCGAATATCGGCCCTCATTATTCTATTAGTCAGGTTTCAACGAACAATTGTAAATTTGCAACTTTATCAGTAGGTCTCGTATTGTTTATGATAGATTGATACTGCGACGATGAGAGTGCTTCTTTAATTCTTTTTTTTTTCTTCTCTTTTTCTCCCACTGCGAATCTATTTCAATTTTTCACCTTTGGCTCGGGAACGTAAAGTGCTCAAAATGGCTAATGATAAGTTGTATTACTTTGAAAATAATAATCAAATTACTACTAAGTTGTTATTGTATTGCAGTGTTCAATATAGATTCCAATCCTGCTGAACTACCGTTCGTTAAAAATTTTTTTGCCTCCCTTTTTTTTTTCCGATACAAAACCACGAAATCACGTGCATCTGTTGAACAAATCAAAATTAGATTATGTATCGAAACTAATCCGATATCGACTCCAGCTAAAATCCATCGGAGATGAGGAAACCCGTGACACTCTTTTTTATACTAAAAGCTTATGTTAATACCTTATTTTGCAACCATTTTTCTAGCTTATTGTTTTTTTTTCTCGACTTGAGTGAGAAATGAGAAATGTCTTTCGCAGCCAAAATTGTTTTGCGCGAACAAAGCTTAGAGGTGACTTGCAGCGTGAAAAGTTTCATCGATGGCGAGAAAGTGTGCCAAATAGCGTGGCGTAGTATAAAGGTTAAGCAGTGTACCTAAAAATAGCTCAGCTGAGTGTTCCACATGGGGGCAAAAGCAGTAGTAAATGATATAATAAGTAGCTAAATGTAACAAGCTGCTTAAAGCTCAACTTTCCTGATTGATTGGTGCCTAAACCAGAAAGGTATTCTTAAAGGCTTGTTGGGTAGATATAGACTCTCGATCCCTTAAAAACCTACCCAGCAAACAAACTTTGGGGAAGACCTAACTCCCCAAAAATTTAGCACCAACAGTCGGTTACTCCTGCTGCAATATTATAGCTGAGATTAGCTTTCTTAATAAGAAGCAATATTGAACCTGGTACCGCGCGAATTCAAAAAAAAGGGGGGGGGGATGATTAGGAAAGTGGGATTCTAAGCGAATTGAAAAAGAAAAAAAATAGTGAAGAGTACGAGATTCGAACTCGCGCGGTAAACATACCAACAGATTACTTCTTTAGAAAGGGAATTTAACCCTCCAAACTTAAGTCTGTCACCTTAACCAACTCGGTCAACTCTCCATATTTCACAAAATTGTAATTTCTGAGCATTAGTTATAGAGCTTGTCTTTGACCCATTGTTTAGGGCAAATCGTGCGAAATTTGCACTTTTGGGGCGAAAAAACTACGTCGCATTTTCAACTCTATCGACCCAAAGATAGATCGATAGTTCGACCCATCTGGAAACCAGAGAAGTAACAATTCTACAGGTGTGTAAAACAAGACACAGATATAAATAAACCTTTAGCTACCTATATTATAAACTCAATGGAAAGTCCCACCAGAACCGCTGCTTAAAGCTTGGTTTCTGCCTTTGTGATTGCCGTTTCGAAATGTTTCAAATCATCATCGGTAGTGCACGAACCACCACAAACAACAATCACCAAGATATCATCCTCTTGTAAATGTGAAAGACTTTTGTATAACAAGTCTATTCTATTATAACAAACCGATAAAGCAGCACCACAAGCCGGCTCCACAGTTTTACCACAGCATTTTTTATAAGCCACGCATGCTCTAAGTGCATCGTAGTCATCAATAACTTCCAAAAATGTGTCGATTCCAGCCAGCTTGTCATGATAGTAGTCCAAAGACTGTTGGGTAGTGTATGAGCATGCCAACGAGGTGGCTAAGGAAGTGACATTCTGTAAGGTAATGATGTTTTTTGCCTTGATTGTTTCACTAAAGGTGGGCGCCTGCGCTGTCTCAATCAACAAAACATCTCCTTGTATGTTGTTATTAATCATCCCCTGATAAATTCCATTGTATAAGCCGCCTCCACCAAACGAACACACCATGCTTTTTAAATGTTGCTTATTTGGACCAAGTTGTTGAGCCACTTCATCGACCAACGATGAATGACCAGTCCAAATCTCTGGGTTGTTGAATGGATGGCAGTAAATAGGGTGTACTCCTTTGGCCGCCGACTCAATCAAACTCTTTAAATAATTATCTGCCTCATAGATTGAATTACCAAACAAAATGACTTTAGCTCCATATTCGTGTAGTTTTTGTTGAATAATAGGTTTTGCAATTGTGGGAATAACGACAGTACACTTGACATTGTAGTATTGAGCCAGGTAAGCAGCAGCTAGTCCAGCATTACCACCACTTGATGCAAAAACGTGAATATCATTGTGCGCAACTCCTTCAGCTTTTGCTTTTCCAATGGATTGCTTGACCAAGTGCCCAATGCCTCTCAATTTGAAGCTGCCTGAAGGCTGTTCGCTTTCATTTTTGAAAAATACTCGACAAGGGGGTTTTCCAGGTAAGCGATTGGTCACTTCTATTAAGCTTGTTTTGACATAGGGAACTCTGTTACTGTTGAATTGTGTATTTGGCTGCAAATTTAATGTAGACATGTTGAAGTCTTGGGGAAGCAGTGATAGGAAAGAAAAAGGGCGAGTAGGGGGGATGGAGTAGATAGAACTCTTTTTATATGTGAAAATGTGAATATCCCTATGTTTTGCCGTACGCTTTGGGAGGGCCAGCTCATAAGATAGTAGAGCATTCCTTGCGGCACTTGGCTTTCTCTATCTATCGGAGTCAGAAGAGGGGATCGTTTTGTGACTCGGTGTGCGAGAAAAATAGAGAAAAAGAAAAAACTTTGCTCTTGTCTTTTGTCTCTTCTTTTGACTCGGTGATTCCTGACATCTAACGGCAATCGACAGCCACGATTATACAAAAATCCCTCAAGTTGTAACTATGTTGTACTAGAGCAAAATTAAATATACAACCGACTTTAAGAACATTAAAGTTGGTAGTGGTATGTGCTCGGAAGTAATCTTGCAAGATGATGAGGCGGGGGGACACCCTTGTTTTGAGTCTAGGACATGTCGCCTCTGGAGTCGCTTCTAGCTTCCTGTAACACTTCACCTTCTGCCTTAATAAGACAATAGGGAATGCATCACAAAGCGGCCCGATGAGATCTAGCAAATCTGTGTTGTCTGAATTTATTCTGTTGAGATTTATAGCTAACCCAATTCATCAGTTAAGTTAATGCAATACAAGTTTATCTTTGCAATTATCAATATTGTCAAAGTATCTCTATGGAGCAGCCATGGATTTCCAACCTACGCCTCGTGCTTTTCGATTATTTTTGCAACATTGTGTAAATGGAATGATAGAGAAAAAAGATTCTATTGTTGCGCTCATAAGATTTGAAAAATCTCAGACATGATTTGCTACAAACCATGTCACAATTGACAAGAAATACCTTTGCTAAGTACGTTTGCATCTAGCCAAAAAATTTACCTTGTCTTGAAAAGGGATTCACTACGCTTTTACAGTTGAAATCAGCTCCGCGAACGAAATTATAGTCATCCCCGCACATCCGTCCCCTCCCCACGTTTTTCATGGCATCACCGATTATATTTTCCAAGAGATCAGAACATTTCTCGATATGGATAGTACTACGAAGCATTCAGCTCACACTTGCAACGGCTTATTCATCACTATTCAATCGTGAGTTTTACACCTACAACAACGTCTCCTTGTTTGTAAAGTATTTGAAAATATCCGTCCTCATATTTACCCTTTTGCATGGACCTATACTTTTCACCAAATCGGTCATCAGAGCAGTGAGTTCTACTCGAATTGATCAATTGGACTATTTTTTCAAGTATTACATCAACCTCAGCTACTTTTTGAATACATTGTATTCATTCTTTGATAAAGACGGAGAACGATTATTCCTTTGCCAGTTGCGTCATCAAGACGAGTTAAATAATAGCCACTACAGTGATAACTATTCAAAATTACCGCTGCACAAAGTTGAGCCTGAACGGGATTGGTTCTCAACTTACAAAAACTTATACAACTTTTCACGAGAGTTTAGATTATTTATTAAACGCTACACCAACATTTATTTATTAAACATCACCATATTCACGTCAATTTACTTCTTTCCCGAAAAGCTTTCGTCGGCAATTTTGGGTTGCATTGCATTTCAAACTTTCCTGGACAAATTGGGTACAGTATTGTCTATCTTGCTAGTTGCTATTTTACAAATGATGGATGTTGATTATACAATAAGGCTATTGACAACTTTTTACGGATCGTGGAATTTGGCCGAAGATTTTCTCATTCCTTACTTTGATCGAGTTCAATTCACCCCTTTGGAACGGAAGCAATGGTTGAATACCCGAATAGGGGTGGTCTTTGGTACAGGATTTTGTTATTACTTGGCCATGCTAGAAGTTCCGCTAGTTTCAGCCGTTCTTTACTCTAATGCAATCTTCAATATGGGGTTCTTAATCACCAAATTTACCACTGAGATGCCGGACAACTTGAAAGATATGGCTACGTGGTCCATTACCGAGAGTGTATGGGACGGACATGCAAAATTCTTGGAGTAACTTGAGCATTTGTCTATTTTTTTTTTCATTAAAAGGACATAAATAAATACATAAAACTCATAAATTGAATATTATCTACCATTCAGTCAAGCAAACATGTGGAAATTCCACCTCTTCTTTGTTATGTTGACCGCCTCTAAAGTTGTTTTTACAAGCATATTTCTTGATGGGGAACCACCAATAAATAAGCATACATGCGACATAAACCACCAACACCACACAGAAATAGTTCATACCTTCAGCCGTGACTGGGTAGTATGCGGGGAATGAGAAAAACACCAAGACAAAAACAACCCATGCTAAAAGGACACAGTTGCAGAATGCTCCAACTTTGCCCAACCAGAATGGACCGTGACGAATTTGGCGTCTTCTCACTAATAAACAAATTGTAGGGATTGCGTAGGCAATGACCAAGAACGAAACACATGCCAAAGCAGTAGCCTGCAATGCGGCATCGGAAAAGACCAAAACTGAAACAACACTGACAATGACAGTGGAGAACAAATGTGCGTACAATGGTCCACCAGTCTTTGGATCAATGATGGACAAGTACTTGGACCCTGGCATTCCATTGTCTCTGGCAAAACTCCAGCACAATCTTGCTTGCCATGTTTGACAGGCAATGGTACATCCGGAAGCAGTGAGAAAGACCAAGGATCCCAAACAAGTTGCTCCAATTTTGTTGCCCAACGCTTGATAATATATATCAAGAATGGGCATACCGGTAGTGGAATTGATAATTGTATCAAGATTACGGATACAGAAAAACATGGCAATGGAATAAGTGAAAGCAGTAATGAAGCCAATGGCCACTGTAGATAAAACTGCCTTGGGAATATCTCTTTCTGGTTGCGACGTCTCCTCACTCAAATGGGTCACACTATCAAGACAAGCAAACGACCATGCTGGGTTGATCAATCCAACAATAAACGCAATACCTTTCGATGGCCAGCCAGTACCATTGGTGAATTCAACAAAGACGAAATGGGGAGGATTGTAATGGCCCCTTGAGCAAACCAACACTGTAATCAAAATAATCGAGTATGAAGACAAACTAATGGTGAAGATACTGTTTCCAATAAATGGCAAAAACCTGTGCCAGACATTAAACAAAAACAAAAACCAGTTGACAATGTTGTATATAATGAATATTTCCCATTTCTTGGTCGTATGCTCAGGGTGATTCAAGTTCCAAAAGCCCAACAATTCCAAAGCCAATGCCAAACACATTGATGCTGACGTAAAGATGGAGCCTCCCCACGATATACTTCCAGTAATATAAGCCCAAAAACTAGCGTATTTCTTTGGTGCCAATACTCTTGCCCAAACATATTGGCCACCTGCTGAAGGCATAGCACTTGCCATTTCACCCAATGTGATAGCAATACACACCGATACGCAACCAACAATAAGAATACCCCAAACAATCAAAATGGGGCCACCGGATTGAATACCAGTGACCAAACTGGATGATATACCCAACCAACTGTTCGTTAAAGAGAACCCAATCATAGCAAGACTTAGGTTGGAGAAATTTCTCTTCATCTCACCACCAGCTGCGGCCAATCCATCTTTGAATGAAAGAGTACTTTTGGAATCTTCAATGTCGAGCTTTTTCTCACTCTCCGGGAAAGTAGAGATAAACTCTTGATCTTTGATGCTACTCATAGTGTCGCCTTATAGTTACTTTTTTCTTAAAAAAAAAAAAAAAAAAGATGAAGGAGTGATAGACGGGTAGGCGATGTATGTAGCAGAATAGTGAAAAGAGCCTGTCTTTAAGATGTGTGGCAAAAAATAGTAGCAGTAGCAGTAGCAGTGGTATGAAATAGTTAAAAATGAGAAATTTTCAATTCTTCTTATATAGTCTTTGACATTCAGGCGAAAGAAGAAAAAAAAAAGGTTCGGCGGTTAAAGCAAAAAAGAAATTAATAATTACACAAAACATTCCCATTTGGGTTGGGTTTACTACAAATGGGAAAAGTGGTTATTAGCAATGACAAGCAAAACTTTGAGGAGATCTTCATCATTACATATCAAAAACCAACAGTTGTCAAGGACATTGGAAACTATATCTACAACTTACTTACCCCTCATTGTCGGATCTTCGCCCCAGAATAAGTCAATGTATCTTGATTAAAACTTTAATTTGCTCTACAAAGTTAAAACCACCGTCGTCTAGGGAAAGACTGGACTATTTTTCCCAATTATGGGAAAGTTGTGCCTTCCAATGAGGTTCTTTTAAAAGAAAGTACTAGAGAGACGTTTCTAATACAGCAAGTTACTCCAGGGAAGATGGGTAGATCTCACTCTGGGAATTTTAATGAGCAATGTGGTTCTATAGATTGCACAAGATTCTAGCCACATAATGCGAGAGGTATTCAAACAGTATATTTAACGGCATGGTCTTATTGTTTAGTTCCCAATAGTATACTAATTACGATCTTAGACCAGTTGCTATTGAAAGGTCTCGTAAATGAAAGGAAAAAAATCACATGCGCATAAAATTACAAACCACAAAACGGCTTATGTTTTGGCGCACACGACATTTACAAAATTGAAATGTAATTCCATATAGTCATCAAAGGTGAGTTCTGGCAAGAGTTTGCATTCTATAAAAAGCAGTCTGACAAGACTAGACGCTTGTGTATTGAAACTGTATCAGGTATATAAAGAGTGAAATCGAAGAAACCACATGTCAGTAACTGAAAGTGTTACATCACTAGTAACCAAAGTAGTGTAATATGTGAGGGATCCTAATTTTGTGTAGCCAATTGTCCCAACAATACGATCCTTTTGATGCAAAACACAAAATTGACAACTCGTGAAGTATCACATAGATCTTATTCTACAAAGGTTCAACTTTGATGTTCAGTATTCTTAATAACTTCAATATTTCTATTCTACAACAAGACAGTCACTACCACTAAGCCTCAGATTGTGAGACAACAGCTTCAATGTGGGAAATTTGCGTAGTCAACTTCTTTGCATATTCCTCTCTCATTTGTTCTCTCTCTTGCATACCAATGTATTCCTTTCTACCTCTAACAAGCCAATCAACCACACAAAAGATAAACACAATTGCAAACACCACAGAGGAATAATTCATATTACCACCGGTAACGGGCATGACAAATGGGAAATTGAAAAACACAAAAGCAAAGATTGCATAACAAATCAAAACAATGTTGCAAAATAACCCCAACTTGTTCAACCAGAAGGGGCCTGGCTTAATGGTATTTCTTCTGTAAATGAGACAGAATGTGGCTGGTAAGTATGACAACAACAAAAAGGTGACGCAGCAAACAATAACAGCATTGAACGCCGTTGTCGAAGCTAAAAAGATAAACCCAACGACAGCAACAACACCACAGGACATGAGATGAGCATTAACTGGGGCACCTGTATTCGAATTAACCCTTGACCAATACTTTGATAATGGGAATCCATTATCTCTCGAAAAACTCCAGCTGACACGAGCAGCCCAGGTATGACATGCGATATTACATCCAATCAAAGTCATCACGATACACATCTCCAAACCAACGGCAACTGCTTTAGATTCAGTGGATTGGTAGAAAATATCCATAATAGGGACACCAGTGTTTGAAGCCAACACATCATCGAGGTTCCTAATACTGAAAAAGATGGCGATTGAATAAGCCATGGCACTGAAAAACCCAACAACGATAGTCGTGAAAATGGCTTGAGGAACTTGAACTGCCGGGTTCAATGACTCTTCGGCAATATGAGCAGCGGCATCCAAGCATGAAAAACTCCAATTCGGGTTAATCAAACCAACAATAAATGCAATTCCCCCAGAACTCCACCCGGTATTGTTATTAAAGTCAACAAATACAAACTCAGCGGTTTGCCATTCACCCTTATGCATGGACAACACTACAATCATGATTATAATACACGATGACACCGAAGTAAACAAACTAGCTTTGGAAATGCTTGGTAGTGGTTTTTCGTAAATGTTAAATGTCAATATAAGAAGATTCAACAATTCGTAAAGCAAAAAGATGTGCCATCTTTGCACTGAAACGTCAGGATGGTATAAAACATAAATCCCCACAAACGATGTCGCTATGGCCATAGTCACACTAGCACCAGTCAATAAAGCACCCAACCATCCAAATATACCGGTCACATAGGCAAACAATCTTGAATACTTTTCTGGCGCCAACTTCATTGCCCAATAAATTTGTCCAGCAGCATTGGGCATGGCTGATGCCATCTCACTCAATGTGGCACCAATACATAATGAGATAGACGCAAGAATAATGACCCCATAGATAACCATCATTGGCCCCCCTGAACTGATACTCACCAACAATGAGGCACTAATACCCAACCATGAGTTTGTCAAACCAAAACCAATACCCAAAATAGATAGAAAACTGAAGCCTCTTCTCAATTCAGAAGCATAACCGGTACCTGCTGAAAATTCCAAGTTAGCTTGTGCCTCGGAAAGTATTTTTGAAGCCTCCTTTTCATTACTAAGGGCAAGCTTTTCCAAGTCGGTTACCTCGTGGAATGCCGAGCTATGTAAGATGTTGCGCAACTCTCCCAGCCTTACATCATAAATCGCTCTGGACTCTTCTTTCTCTATTGAATCTGACATTTGGTGGTTTTGGAGTTTTCTTGGAAACAAATTTTAGACTTATTGTAGGACCTGATTTGTTATCCTATATATATATATATATATATATCTTATCTCAAAAGTGGTGTCACTACGTGGAAGTAAGAAAGTAGCCCCACCATGTGTCTAAAGTTGAATAGTCAAAGCAGTTAATTTTATCAAATTATAATAATTTAGTGGAGTATCTGTGATAAGGGGTTTCTTTTTTTTTGGTTTTACTTTTATCTTTTAGTTGGTTGATACGTTTCACCCACTGTTATCGGTAAATCGAGTGTCTTCGCAAAAGGGCGGCATACCTTCCCCACCACCATGAACATACTTGGGTGAAAATTGCAAGACCCAATTACTGATAAGGAAATGGTATCGGGTACATGCCTTCTTGTTAGCGGGTACAGCCATTTTGGAAAACGAACTTTATTATTTTTCAGTAATTTGCTTTGTCAATACTGGTGCTTCGATATATTATATATATGTTCTTGGTGTCAATCTGTTTTGGGCTACTGATTCTTGTATAGCGGTAAAAAAAGAAATTTAAACCTGGCTAGAATGGTTTACGTACCCTTTTCTGAAATAGTAGAAACACCTCTTGTTGGCGAAACAAAATATGAAGGTCTAGGCAGGGTTGTGGGGAGAACTGCTGGAATCATTGGGGCAAGCATACATTGTTGCGAGAAAATTACCTCCAATTGATCAAAAAAAAAAAAGGACAACCCGTTTATAGCGTTACCGAGCAAATTTGCAAAAGAAGAAATCTTAAAGTGGATCAATTTGTGGGATTTATTTGTTGCAGATATTTGCATATTTGCATAAACTCAAAAGTGAAGGTGAAAAATGACCTTACAAACTAACCCAGAACCTTTTTCAAGTATCGAAAGTAATACCATATCAAGACAGCTGCTGAATAAAAAAGTGAATGGAGCTTGTACACTTTGTCTAGGTTGTGTAGAGAAACCAACAACTAGGCAACTAGCTTTCAATTTTCCTTCTAGACATCAGGATACAGAAATGGCTTTCGACGTATTACTCTGTTTCCATCTGGCGGCAATGGAAATTATCTTTATTCAAAACAGGGGTAGTGGGGGTGTTTACGATACACGCTAGTTGAGTCTCAAAACTATCACAACCTACAAAATATGTTTATAAAATATCTGCACCTCCTGACACCTCTCTTTCATTACATTAAAATTCCAGACAGGTTCTTAAAAGATACAATTTTATTCTATCCATCAACGCATCGCATGTAATATTGATTGAAACATTGGTCATATAAATATTCACGTAGTATCAAAGAGATGACGAATTACACAAGAGGACATCAAAAACTGAAGCCTGTAGATGTGAACTGTCAAATTTCGTCAACTAATGATGTTTTATAGACACCAATTATAATGCACTGTCTATAGTGATGGAAAACTTTTGGACAAAGTTAATAAAGAAGAAAAAGAAGAAGAAGAAGAGGTGGGAAAGTGTAGAAAATTTTTTTTTCTAAATTTCAAACCTTCTCTCTTTGGGTTGGTGATGAGATTTGGAGTTGCATCCATACTTCAATAGTTTACCCAATCTTTTGATTTTTCTGCCTCTGTTTACTACAAGAGAGAAAGAGTGAGAGAAACGAAAAAGCATCAAACAATTCAACAACAAAAACAACAATACCAACTGCAAAGCAAGACAACCTCCTGTGCTACAAAATTGAGAATGTTTGCAAATAAACTGAGCACATCTGCATTTGGCGGGGGCCTCAATTTTGGTCAATCACAACTGCAACCACTGCAACAGCTGCAAGGACAACAACAACAACCATCATCACAACAACAAACGCAACCCCAAATATCTGTTGGATCAACTACCCAAAGTACAATTAATCCACCACAATCACTCAATACAACCAATATCGATATTACCGCTTCTTTAGACAATTCCGGCACTGACAAGATTCTAAAAGACCTTTTAGAATCAGCAAGCAACTTGCCAAAGTCACACATCAAATACAACAATCTTGGGTCAATCCGCTTGACTTTGGATGAGCTTGAACGTAAATCACAGCAGTTGAGAAAAGAAGCCGAAAACGAGGGTAATCACACTAAAGCCCATTATCTTTTAGCCGGTGCGGGTGTTGCAACTGGTGATATCGAGGATGAATTGAATAAGATTCAGTTGCCCAAATCTACATCTTTTTATCAACCAGTAAATGCAGAAACTGTTGAAAGCCATCTCAAAAAGAGAAAAGAAGAAAGTATCTTAAATACCATTGAGCAATCCTTTGCTGTAGCATCGAATGATTTTGACAACTACATCAATGCTAACATATCCATTGACTGGAAAGCAAGGAGGGAAGAATTGAGAAAGGTTATGGGTATTAAGGATAGTGCCAAGTTCAAAGAAGAAGCCTCAAAGCTCTCTGTGGTTTGGAAGTCCAGCTCAGCAGCTGCCAATATATTCACCCCGTTAAAGAATACAAATTCCTCATTGAAGCAAATATCGCGTGAAAAATTTGAAAATTATGCCAATGTGGTTTATGCATTGAATGAGTCGCGGTTAGTTGATGAACCATTCTCGTTGTGCTTGAATTTTTACGAATTAAATAAAGTGCAAGACGACTCAAAGTCAAAACAAGTGGCTGAAACTTGGAAAATTTTGCAAAATCTCACCCTGGAGAAATTTGCAAAGACTAGTCAGGAAAAGAAATTTGCCCATTATTCTGAGTCAGACTTGCATAATGAGATACTGTTGACAAGTAAACGATTCTTGGAGGGCCAATTCTTGAATTATATTGAACACATCTATGTGAAACATGACAAACCGCAAAATTTTCTTCCTGGTACCAACATTAATAAAGTTTCCTTCTTTATACACCAAGTCATACTCAAGAATGAACCCGAGTTGGCCAACAAAACATTGCTCGTGAATGGAACGCCAATTTGGGCATTGATATACTACTTGATGCGTTCTGGTCTCTACTCTGATGCAAGTGACATTGTCAACCAAAATGGTGAATTATTTAACAAGTTTGATAGAAACTTTCCTGTGTACATAAAAGCGTTTGTGGATCAAAATAAGTTGCCATCGAATTTAAGTGAAAGAATACATCAAGAGTTTGGTCAACAATTTCAATACGTTTTGAATGATATTGATACTAGTGTCAACTTTGACCCCTACAAGTATTCGGTTTACAAAATCATTGGTAAATGTGACTTGAGTAATCCATCACTTCCTCAAGCCGTTAACCTAAGTGTTGAGGATTGGTTGTGGTTTCATTTGTCCATAATCAATGAAAGCGAATCGTCGATTTATGAAAATTACTCCTTGGCCAATCTTCAGGGTAAAGTACTTCTGTTGGGCGCAAAGTACTTTACGTCATCAAACAACCCTTTGTATTTAAAGACATTAATTTTAACTGGTTTGTATGAACTAGCTGTACAATATTGTTATGATTTTGTTAATGAAGCTGATTCAGTCCACTTGGCTATCGGCTTAGCTTATTATGGAGTACTCCACTGTTACAACTCCAACAAAAACGAAGTCATTGCTGTGACAAACAATAAATATGAGGTAAACTTTGGCAGAATCACTGGTGCATATACAACTACATTCAAAATTAGTGACCCTAAAGTTGCCTGCGAGTATTTAATCATGATTGCCTTAGTTGATGAGCAACTTTCACATGACGCATTAAGGGAGCTCTTGCTTGTGACTAGAGAGTTTGGAGCACTCATCGGCGAACTCTACCCTGAAACTGGATTCATTGAACCAGGAGTTTTAGAAACTCAGCGCAAATTAATTGGCTTGGACGATATAAATGCATTCCATCATGAAATAGTCAGAGCTACTGCTATCAAATGTGAAGATGAGGGAAGAGTGTTTGATGCACTTTTACTCTATCAACTCGCGCGTGACTATGAAGCAACTGTGGTGTTGATGAATAATAAATTGGCTGATATTATCGCAACCAGTGAATTGGACAAGCCAATCTCGAGTGTGGGCACAATTGATGACAACTTGGTCTTACTATCAGAACATATCTGGCGTAATGTGACTAAAAACAGCTACATAAGTAAGGTTTCACCCCAAACCAAGCAAACTTGCGATTTGCTTATTTCAGTGATCAAAATACGTGACTTGTTTGTGAAAAGACAATGGCGTGAAGTCATAGCTAGTGTCAACAAACTTGATTTGATTCCTGCTGATGCGCATGACGACTTACTTAAAGTTCGAAGCTACAGCGACTTGATAACCAATAACAAGTTGGATGAAAACTTGATCAAAGTGTTGCCATCATTACTTGTGTTGGTGATGACTTGCATTTCCAATTTGAATTATGGTATACTTGCGAGAAAGTATCAGCCATTAAGCAATGAGCGGGAGGAATTGAATCATTGGAAAAAGATTGCCAGAAACTGTGTTGTTTATGCCGGTATGGTTCAATACAAGATGCCAAGAGAGGTGTATAGCTTATTGATTTCCTTAGAATCGCTGTTGTAGATGTAGTTTAGACTATAATATAAAAATTTGGGTAAAAAATTAATCTTGGGTTATTTTTGCTTTTGTTGCAAATTTTCTGTGCTTGGAAAAATCTTTGCGAGTTCTGTTACAAACCCTTCTACAGCAAGCTCTCCCCACCAACAAATGTCGAAAAAGAAGCTAGACCCGTTCGAATTCCCTAAGAAATTCAAAGATCTACCAAACACGCTCAGTTCGTTCTATATTCCTGAACCAGAAGTAATCCTTCAAGATCAAATAATCACCATCAACAATTTTTTCAAACCAGAGTTGTGTCAAGACTTGATCAAATCATTTGAAACCAAATTGAAATTGGAAACTACCCCACTTATCAAAAGCAAAGACTATGCAGCAAGATATAACGATAGAGCACTAGTTAATGATCTAAAATCAGCCGATACTTTATGGCAATATATGAAACAAATCCTCGCTTCAAATCCATACGATGATCCTCAACTCAAACAAGTTGTCAAGATTTTCAGTACAGCAATAGGATTAAACCCGCAATTGCGAATATATCGATACACCCAAGGTCATCATTTTGGTGCGCATTATGACGATTCAGTGGTATGTACTGTTCCTCCTGAAGGTAAGATCAAGGGCAAGACCGATTGGACTTTGCTTATTTATTTGACTGGAGACGATGAATTCAAAGGAGGCGGAACAATTTTTTATCCTGATTATGGGAGTGAAGCTCTAAATATACATCCAAGTAAAGGTATGGCTTTGTTGCACAAGCATGGCGATGCATGCTTGCGACATGAAGCGGAATTGGTGAAAAAGGGTGTAAAATGGGTTTTGCGGAGTGATGTCATATTTCCAAAGTGAATGGGGATAAAGCCCCTTGTGGTGGTTTCAATGAGTGGGAAATTTTGTTGAACATTTAAGAGATAGCTTCGAATTGGAATCTCCTTGTTGCATAAGGTTGAAGGAATACAATGTTGAAGAATGGGATAAGCAAATACTAGTAGCATCAGCTGGCCCTTTCTTGCACTTAGTACTAAGTGTGATCTAAGCTATAAGAGGCAATGCATATAATTGAGTGAATGGGCAAACGACTGAGTGTTGTCAATCTTGTCAGATGCCGCTTTGCAAAAGGAAACATTGGTGATTAGATTACCCAACACTAAGCTACCGTAAATCAGTGAAGCTGTATCACCTTAATCATATATAGGCAATGGTCAATATTTCAGTTAGTTTTGGGATAATACAATTAGGTGCTTGAGTATAAAACCTTGAGGAATAATTCAATACACGCATCATTAGAGCTGCAAAAAGTTTACTAGAATAAAATGACAACTGCTCAGTATGCCAATGCAAACAAGTACATTCCTGGAGCTCTAATTCGAGAATTGGCTGCATCATTTTACAGATGTACCGCTTTCTCGGTAAATAATAGCATGGTAGGATTCAGAAAAGCAGAGTTGGACATGTCAAGGGTTATAACAAGCTGCGTCTTGTCTAGCCTCACTAGCCATAGAGGCTTAGCGTACAAACCCTACTAAAGATACAGCTCAACGGGTGATTTTCTGGGACCAGGGTGTTGTGATTCTCTATTGCGCCTGATTAGTTGGCTCTAGCTACTGTAAAGGAGTATTCAGATGAGTGGTAATATTAGCTGTAATAATTATGGTAGAGCAAGAAACTTTCAGAAATTGGAAAGGTGGCCGAGTTGGTCTAAGGCGCTAGACTCAAGAATTAAGTTTCTTACAGCTTAACAAGTTGTGATTTCTAGTATCGTAAGATGCGCGAGTTCGAATCTCGTCCTTTTCATTATTTTTTTATTTTTGATTCCTAATTTTTTTTTTTTGCAACTTCGATCATCCACCTGCTTATGGAACGTAAATTCTGCTCTTGCAATTGATGGTTGAGAATTTCCACTTTATATTTACTTTCCTTTTGCAGTTGATACTGGAGCTAGAAGAGAACCTACTGTGTTTCATGTTTCGGAGGGGGAGCTTGAGATAGCATTATCAAAGTTATCTTTTTTTTTGCTACAATTTAATGCAAATTATCATAACAGATAACAGAGTTAAGTATAATTCTTACAAATTTCATTCCAAAACAACATATTTACACCTATCGCTATCCTAATCCACTCAGAAGACGTAAAAATCTTTATATAACCACATCCAACCCAAACTCAAACTACTCACGACTAAAGGTCCTGTTAAGCCTTTGCCCAACAGAGTAGTCTTGTAGATCAACCATTCACTTAAAAAATGGAAAGCAGCCACGCCAAAAGTGAACTGAGTCAATTGGTAAACTTGTGGATTTGTGATATTATAAGCTCCATATAACCTCACTATAGACGTGATCAATGTCCAAGTTCCGAAAGTTCTTGCTGACAAGTTTGTTACTTGTTGTGGCTTGGCATTGTAGACTCGTTTGGTCAAAGTCAAGTCCTTCTGATAGGTTTGTAATGAGTTGAAAATGGACACTATGGAGATGAATAGCAACCAGTAGGGTAATTTACCGCCACGGGTGAATGGTAATATTCCTATGTTCATTGCGTTCTTTGGTGGTTAGTTGTGGTGGAGAATTTGTCAGATGATAAAAAAAAAAAAAAAAAAACCAATAGTGCGTAAAGCGCATAGAGCGCAACCAAGTGGATCTACAAAAGTATCACAATTTAGAATTCGTTTACTCAATGGACTTACCTAATTTACAATGGTTGGATCCTGAACTTTGGTTGGATCTTTATCCTTCAACACGTCAACCACAGGACCCAATAATCTTTGAAACCCTGATTTACCCAATGTTGCAACTATGACATTATCTAAGGCTTCAACGGTGGCCTGTCTAGGTAACTCTTTAATCAAGGCCAACTCTCCAAAATAGTCACCTTTTCCCAACTTCTTAATTTCTCCCAACTTGTCGTTATAAACTTGACATGTACCGCTTTCAATGAGGTAAAAATTTTCACCCTGTTCTCCTTCAGTAACTATCTTGTCACCCTTTTGATATCTTTCTGTACTCAATGCATCAGCCAATTTGGAACGTTCTTGGTCGGAAAGTGACTTCAATATTTCAATATCCTTGAGAAAATCTTCATACATCAACCTTCTATTAAAACTACCTTCCAACAAGATACGACGGAAAGTTAAACGGTCCAACGCCCATACAGTAACATCAGTGACAGCAATTACAGTAGCTGCTCTTGGCGCATTGTACATTAATGCCAATTCACCAAATGATGATCCATCACTGCTTGTGCTAACCTTGGCATCATTGACAAAAAAATCAACTGTACCGGATTCTATTATGTAAAAGAAATCACCCTCATCTCCTTGTTTTATGATTACTGAATCCTTTTTGAAATTTTTCGATTCCAAAGCTGATATAACAGTTTTCTTGGAGTTTTCATCCAATTGTTTAAAGAGAAAGTTGTTCTTTAAACTGTTTGCCACTGATTCCTCCTCTGTAGTCGATAAGTTATTTTGTGGCGGTCTCCAACTCTCCGACTTTAATTTAGCAGGATTTAATGCCTCAGCCGAGACTGATGTTCTTCTATTAGTATTGAATGATCTAGGAATTTCTTGATTTGAGGAGTCCATTGTTGCTAATTTATGTTGTTTTTTTTTTCCAACAGTCAAAGGATACTCCGAGATGAATTAGTTTTAAGGGGATAGGGGAACAACGATGAAGATGGTTTTTTCGAGAGTCATACATAATTGAAACTTTTTGGACATTAGATAGTTGTATATCAGTACACGACCTTTTGAAGCAAGAGAGAAAAAATAGCACAAAAGGTAAAAGAGGAGAAAAAGTATGGAGAGGGGGGGAAATTGGATCTGCTGATCTTAGAAGGACTAATCTAAGTAAACATGTTTTATTAAAGCATTCCAGCTGTGGATCAAGAAGTGGTAGAGGTTATTTTTTGGAACAAGGGTCTAGTTTGAAACCATTTGGTAGCGTATCAAACAAAATTGGAGTGGTAGCTCTTGCCACAGTAAAATTGCCACGTCATAAAGAAAAAATAATCGTAAAGTTTCTATTGTGTTCTCTAGGATTCTATATTGGACACGTTCATGTAATTAACATCGGCCATATGTATGCAGACCACATATTGTTTAAGACATGTCTGACTCTAGGTAATAGCAGTAGCTATCATAAAATTGACACGTAAACAATTAGTCCTACATTTCTTGAACAATGTGTAGTGATGAATTGTGTTGACAAAATCTAACACGTCAAAAAAAAAAAATAAATACTAAGCTCCACTAAAAGTCTTTCAGTGAAAAAAAAAAAAATATAAATGAAACTCAATTTTATTTTTCCACTTTCTGTTCCTTTCCAATTCTTTTCTTTCTTCAACCGTATTACAGAATAAAGATGAGATCAAACTCCTGGTTTCCACGTCTTGGGTTACTTTACGTGGCTTTAGTGGTATTAATACCATTTTTAGTCTCGCCTAAACACTCATTTGCAGTTGCCGCTTCGTCTGATGATGACGCACATGAAAACTATGGAACTGTTATTGGAATTGATTTGGGTACCACATACTCGTGTGTTGGTGTCATGAAGAACGGAAAGGTTGAAATACTAGCCAATGACCAAGGTAACAGAATAACTCCATCATATGTTGCATTCAATGGTGACGAAAGATTGGTTGGTGACGCAGCAAAGAATCAAGCTGCATCCAACGTCGACAACACCGTTTTCGATATCAAGAGATTGATTGGTTTGAAATACAATGATGACACCGTTCAAAAGGAGTTGAAACATTTGCCATACAAGATTGAGAACAAGGGCAATAGACCTGTCGTTTCCGTTGAATACAATGGTGAACACAAGGTTTTTACCCCAGAAGAAATTTCAGGAATGATTTTGGGTAAAATGAAGTCCATTGCCGAAGAGTACCTTGGTAAGAAAGTCACGCATGCTGTTGTCACTGTTCCAGCATATTTCAATGATGCTCAAAGACAAGCTACTAAGGATGCAGGTACAATTGCTGGTTTGAACGTTTTGAGAATTGTTAACGAACCAACAGCTGCTGCTATTGCATATGGGTTAGACAAGACTAACGAAGAGAAACAGATTATTGTTTATGATTTGGGTGGTGGTACCTTTGATGTTTCTTTGTTGTCAATTGAAGGTGGTGTTTTCGAAGTTTTGGCCACTGCTGGTGATACCCATTTGGGTGGTGAAGATTTTGACCACAAGATTGTCAGGTACTTGGCCAAGCAATTTAAGAAGAAGCACAACATTGATGTGTCCTCAAACGCCAAAGCTATTTCTAAATTAAAGAGGGAAGCTGAAAAGGCCAAGAGAACATTGTCATCACAAATGTCAACCAGGGTTGAAATTGACTCATTTGTTGACGGTATTGACTTTTCAGAGACACTTTCCAGAGCTAAGTTTGAAGAATTGAACTTGGCTTCATTCAAAAAGACTTTGAAACCAGTTGAACAAGTTTTGAAGGATGGTAATGTCAAGAAGACTGAGATTGACGACATTGTCTTAGTTGGAGGTTCCACCAGAATTCCAAAAGTCCAAGAATTGTTGGAACAATTCTTTGACGGTAAAAAGGCTTCCAAGGGTATCAACCCAGATGAAGCTGTTGCCTATGGTGCTGCTGTTCAAGCTGGTGTTTTGAGTGGTGAAGAAGGTGTCGATGACATTGTGTTGTTGGATGTCAACCCATTGACTTTGGGTATTGAAACTTCAGGGGGGGTCATGACCACATTGATTAGAAGAAACACTGCCATCCCAACCAAAAAGTCACAAATCTTTTCAACTGCTGCCGATAACCAACCAACAGTCTTGATTCAAGTTTACGAAGGTGAAAGAACGATGGCCAAAGATAACAACAGATTGGGTAAATTCGAATTGACCGGTATTCCACCAGCACCAAGAGGTGTTCCACAAATCGAGGTCACCTTCTCTTTGGACGCCAATGGTATCTTGAAAGTTGAAGCTGCCGATAAGGGAACCGGTAAGTCTGAAAGTATTACTATTACCAACGAAAAGGGCAGATTATCAAAGGAAGATATTGATAGAATGGTTGAGGAGGCTGAGAAATACGCTCAACAAGATCAAGAATTGAAGGAAAAGATTGAGGCTAGAAACTCATTGGAAAACTATGCTCATCTTTTGAAAGGACAATTGAACGACAAATCTGAAACTGGATTGGGATCCAAGTTGGAAGATGACGACAGAGAAACTTTAGATGACGCCATTAAGGAAACCTTGGAGTTTATTGAAGATAACTTTGATACTGCAACCGCTGAAGAATTTGAAGAACAAAAACAAAAATTGATTGACGTTGCCAACCCAATCACCGCTAAATTGTACGGAGGTGCAGGTGGAGCACCAGATGGAGATGCCAAGTTTGGAGATGATGACTCTGATGATGACATAGATCATGACGAATTGTAGATTAAGTAAAGCTTTTTTTTGTTTTGTATAGAATTTTTTTAAAAGAAAAAGGTACATAATATACATATTAACTGTTTCGCAAAATAGAGTGATGAAAGTGACTTTGTCTTTTTCTTTCATTTTTTTTTTTTTCTTTTCCACCAAACAAAAATTTTCTGTTTAAGAGAAGAATTTCAAAACACGACTAAAAAGAGTGGTTACGACAGTAAACTATGGCGAATAGAAAGCTACAGAAGTATGTTTCGGTTTTTAAGACAGTTGATAGCTCTACGTTCAATATACTAACGATGTGACAGGGACATAGATATTATATTCAAGCGAATCCAGGAGGGTTTACAAGATTTCAACTATCATTATGAAAGATACGAAAGTCTAACAAACACTGAGGATGATTCTGACAACCAACGAGAAAAGGAGAAATTAGCAAACGATTTGAAAAAGGAGATAAAGAAACTACAGAAGTTTCGAGAGCAGATCAAGCACTGGCTACTGAATGATGCCGTAAACACCTTGGGGCCCGTGGGAACCTCATACAGTGCTAAACTTTCCGAGAACAAGAGCACTATCGAGGATGCGATGGAAACGTACAAACTAGTTGAAAAACAGACCAAGTTGAAGTCGTTTTCGAATCAGTCGATTATGATGGCATTTGCCGATAATGAAAATGGAGAGGATGGAGAAGATGAGAGCGATGACGATGAAAGCAGCGAAGAGGAGGATGAAAGTCTATACGATGAGTTATCAGAGGAGGCAGTGGATTTGATCAAATATTTCAAGGACTCCATCAACCAACTTAGAGAACAGACGGATAAGTGCACCCATGAGTACGAGAAATTAGCGTCAAAGAAATTGCGGAAGAATAATCTTGCCACTATTGAAGCCAAAAAGGAAAAAATACAGGCCACAATATCCAACAACAAATTTCACCAGAAAAAGTTGCGCAAATTGATAAAACAATTAAAGAATGGCATGGTGACTGATTTCAATCTCATTTTCGCATTAAAAGGTGATTTGGAAGCGTACTTGGACAAGCATGGAGACACCGATTTCACTAAAGATACTGAGTTGTACGATGATATATTTAACCAAATATCCGCAACAGACGAAGACTATTCGGAAGTTCACGAAGATAGCTCAACAGTAGCAACATCAGTGGAAAGCGCAAGTGCGGTTAAGAATGGGCACATTGAGAAAAAGTCAACATCGCCAACACCACCTAAACCATCGAGCCGAAGTTCGAGCGAGCAACCTATCCAACAGCCACAGCAACATCAACCACAGCAGCATCAGCATCAGACACAGCAGCAGCAGCTACCCAAGGCCCACCAAGTGCATTCAGCTTACTCTGGTGATGGAGGAGAGCATCGACACGTATCCCAATCAAATTCTACTGCTCAAGCTGCACATCATGGGCCAACCCAACAGAGCCCCGAGATGGCTTCACCTGCTATTGTCAGAACATTGAGGCCAGCAACAACTCCTTCCAAGCCAGTTGGTGGACTCAAGTGGTCAGCAGCAGCAGCAGTGGGTCTTCCAGAAACACCAGAAAAACCTATTTCTCATGAAGAATTGATTTCAGCGGAGATGACTGCATTAAAGCCCGAAGCAAGCGTACCAGTAAAGCCATTGGAACTTGAAGAGATTGATTTGGACAAGTTTAAGAAGGTGATTTCCAATTCTCCATTATCCAAAACGGAACTCAACTTATTTTCGGATATGGATTTGGTTCGTGTTCCCCCAGGGATCCAAGATTTGGTGATATCGTTTGCTTCGAAGCGAAATAATGAAGAGTTTAAGATTCTCATAGACTCTACAGAATTTGATCAGTTTACCTCACCAATCTACAAACCATACTTGCCCAAGAACGTTCAACCAAATTACTATTCACAATTTACGAATTTCAGCTTTAAACATCCAACGCAATTGACGAAATTTCAATCTCATTGGAACAAAATCAGAGCATATTACGGGTTTAAGAGCTTGATTGAAGAAATCAAAACTTTGTCGGCTCAGGAAACTCCAGAATCCTTGGCGTTGGTCACCGAATTGACGTTTGTTTTGTTCTATGGATACTACTATGGGTTGACCCCGGCAGAGAATTTGATTGCGGAAAGCTGTTTATTCGAACTAGGTTGGAAACCATACAAAAGCCAACTTGAAACTAACAGTAGAAGTCCATCGCCGTTTGGTAATGCTTCTTCAGCTGACAAAAAACAAGGACAAAGACAAATTCTATATTGGTTCAAGAGGTTGAAATTTATATCAAGTGAAGCCGCCGATGGAGAGCACTCAACGTTTGAATTTGGCGATTATCAGGTGTTTGATTTGAACTTTTGGGAAATATTTGTAAAGTATGGATTCAAGTTTGAGTATAGCTCGTGTCAAATGGAACCTTCAAGGACATTGATTATTTAAAAAGGAAAATAAAACAAGAAAAACAACTCATTTATTAAATATTATTATCAGATAACATCACCTCCTGTGATGTTTGTAATGTAGAGTCGGCAATCTCTGAAAACTGGGAAGCTTTCGAACCAGGACGGGATGTTAACAAGTCCGAATGGCATAGTTGGTTAACTATAGCAGACTCTCTATCACCCAACCTGTAGACAGTACCATCTTTTGCAACCAATTTTGGCATGGTGGTGTAAGTCGCCGCGTTGGGCATGTGAGCAACATCAATGAACCTCTCGATATCTGATTGAATTACACCAAACTCTCTCTTCTTCTTTTGTGTGATACCATTGCTGGCAATAACTTGTTTTAAACTTGGTATACTTGTCATGGGGTTAGGTTATGCCTCGGATTGAATGGAGTTCTCCACAAAAAGTGAAACTGAAGCGAGAAAAAAAAAATAATAAAAAAACAAAATGAAAAAACCTCAGCAAAGGTTGCCATTAGAATCTGCCCCACCATTACCATGGAGTACTATTCATCGCTAGATGCGTCACAGTTAGACTCAGAGAGACCAACATTATTTGAACTTATCTCGGCTAACCAGTTGGAGTCCTTGCTATCGCCATCGTTGAGGTATATTTTAGTCCATTATGCCAGTAGATATCCACGATATCTATTAAAAGTAAACAACTATTTTGACGAGATTAACTTGGCATTAAGAAGCTTTATAGAATGGTACTTTCTTAAATACTGGCAAGGTTCATTCACGGAAAACTTTTATGGTCTAAAAAGGGTGAATCAAACACCCTTAACGCAAGGCGAGTTTAATAGCTCCAAATTGACACAGCTAGTGCCATCGATGATCGAGGATAGAAGACAGCTAACATCATTGCAAAAGTTTGTTTCCATATTTGAGGTCACTGGAACTGCCTTTTTGTCAGAAAAGTTGAATTATTGTTACGAAGTATGGTACACCAAATATATCACCAACCAATTAAATACTCATGAATCACTCACCAGAAAAGAGAATATAAAGATTCAAATAAAGAGAAGGTTTGTTGAAATCTACCCATATGCTCAAAGCGTTTATCGTTTGGCTAATTTCATCACCACGTTAATGTATTTGAGCGGATCGTCCAAATCCCCCACTATTTTGACTTATTTATTCAAAATGAACTATTCTCGATTAAATCAATACGACTACGACAAAAATGAACCACAACAAAAGTTATCCGATACAAGGAAACAACATAACAAAATTGCTCCACCTACAACTGTCGAATTGCTTTTGAATTTTGTGCTGAACAACATCACCAACCCTTCATGGAGAATGGTTAAACTTGTTCTTGGAACGTTCTTCCCGGTAGCAATATTCACGTTGAAATTTCTTGAATGGTGGAATAACTCCAATTTTTCAGCCAAGCTTCTTAAAAACCTGGGGAACTCTCTCAATTTTACATTACCACCACCATCGAGATTATCTGCGGTATTGCGTCCGTTCACTAAGCGTGACAAGACAGTGAAGCAGAAAAAGCCATACAAGTCAGGTAAAGTATGCCCATTGTGTAAAAAAGAGATGACCAACCCAGCCGTAATTGAAACTGGATATGTGTTTGACTATTCCTGTATTTACAATTACTTGGAGAAATCGCATATTACAGTTTCCAAGAAAATTGAGGCCGAATCTAAAGAAGAAGAAGAGATTCATTCGGATGACGATGAAGAAGATGTGGCCGATGTTGAGAAGGAGGAAAAGATGTACGATATAAATAAGGGTGGAAGATGTCCCATAACTGGACAAAAATTGCTCGGTTGCAAATGGAATCCATTGAAAGAGGAGTGGCAGATTGAAGGTATTAGACGTCTTATCCTTTAGGTAAATCGTGGTACGTTTATTCTTATTGATTAAATAGCTTCTGTGCATAATTTAAAGACCATCTGTATGAGTGAACACCTGTAACTGTGTAGCACCAACAAATTGTCAGCCACAATTTCAAATTTGCAACAAAAAGGAAAAAAGAAAAAAAAATTCCAACTTCATTTGACCCACGAGGTCTTCCACCCACAAACAAGAAAAAATGAGCAATCAAGCAAGGACACTAAAGGCAATCAAGTTCGATCGAGAAAATATCAAGTTGGAGATTTTGAATCAATTAGTATTACCCTACGCAACAACTTACATTCCAATCACCACAATTGAAGATGCTTTCAATTCGATTAAATCTATGCAGGTGAGAGGCGCACCGGCAATTGCCATTGTTGGAGCTTTTGCAGTGGTGGTTGATACCTTCAACTATTTGAATTCACAAAACTCTGGGGATCGTGGCGTAAACGAGCTCCTTCAATCCTTGGATTTCTTGATTAGTTCACGTCCCACTGCAGTTAACCTTGCCAATGCCATTAGCGATATTAGAACACTTTTGGCTAAATACGACAGCACCCAACCACTAAATGAAGAAATATACAACCAATTGTTGGAATACGCTACTAACCTATACGATGAAGATTTGGCCAACAATTACAAGATAGGTGAAAATGGGTTAAACTATATTAGAGATTCGTTAAAAGAAGAAGGATTCGAAGGTCCATTTTCCATAGTCACTATATGCAATACAGGATCATTGGCCACTTCGGGACACGGTACAGCACTCGGAATTATACGCTCAACGTACCAGGCTTTGAACAAGGACCAATCGAAGGAAAAATTTCACTTGGAAAAAATATATCCGTTAGAGACTAGGCCATACAACCAAGGTGCCAAGTTGACTTCGTATGAGTTGGATTATGAAAAAATCCCCTTCACTTTGATATGTGATAACATGGTATCCTCATTGATAAACACTTTGAATAGTGAATCCGAATCTAAATCCAACAATAGTGAACCTGTCAAATTTATAATTGTTGGAGCAGATAGGATTGTTGAAAATGGCGACACTGCAAACAAGATTGGTACTTTCCAATTAGCCACAATTGCCAATTACTTTAATTCGGCACAAAACACAAATATCAAATTTATCGTTGCTGCTCCAAGAACCACAATTGATTTGAAAACGAAACAAGGATCACAAATCAAGATTGAAGAGAGACCGAAACATGAATTGACAACTCTTGTGGGTCCGCAATTAAACGGTCAAGAAGTAGGAGATAAAGTCACTGTTGGGATTGCTACACCTGGAATTGATGTTTGGAATCCAGCATTTGACGTCACCCCTCACTCATTGATTGATGCGATAGTCACAGAAAATACCAAGGTTTACACAAAGGACTTGAATGGAGAATTTGATCTTTCTAGTTAAACAAAATAGACTTAAATGGAAAGAAGTATCTATAAAGCTCCTAGTTTTTCTTTCTCTTGTTCTTCTTGTTCTTTGACTTGTTCTTAGACTTGTTTGACGAATTATTATCAGAAGGCTTCTTCTTCTCAGATTCAGGATTAATGGTTTGGTTATTTATCGACTCCTTCTTATTGTTCTCCTCATTTACCAGTACATCTTTTGCAGTTTCTTTTTCATCCTTCTCTGTAGACTGGCTATCTGTTGCAGGTTTAACCTCACTTTCAGATACAGACTCTTGTTCCGGTGCATTCTTTTCCACATTATGATTTTCCCTTGAAGGCTCAGTTTTCTGTATGGACCCTTCCTCCTTTGTAGACTTCTCCTCCTTTGGTTCTTCTAATTCAGTCAGCGCAGTCTTACTAACTTGCTCCAGGCCAGATTTAAGTGCATTAGAATTATCTGCGCCTATTATCTCCCCAACAGAATCGTGAATCTCAGTCATTGCATTCACACTTGCATCCTCATTCTCGATGGATCCATTGGCTACAACTGAATTGGCTGAAACTGAATATTCAACGTTATTCAAATCTACTGTCTCTTTGTCATCTTCTTCCTTACCCTTCGAATCTGAATTTGGATTGCCAGACTGCATGACCGAGTCTACTTGTTGTAAACTTTCTTTAGAAGTGGCATCATTAACCATATCAATTTCCTTGTTTTCTGAATTGGTCTTTTCAGTTGCAGGCTCCTCAACAGTACTGGTGAATTCACCATGAGCAGGTTCTTTCACATCTTTATCGTTTATTTGTACAGTCTCATTAATGGCAGCATTGGAATCTGGTTTATCAGGAAGCTTTTCAAACTCATCTGCTTTTTTGTCACTCACCCTCTCACTAACACTTGAGTTTGGCTCGAGATTATTGTTCTCTTCATCCACTTGAACAGTGCCCTTTATAAGATTGGCGTCATCAACCTCATTACTCTCTCCAACTTTAGCCCCAGTAGTTGAGTTTGAATTTACTTCCTCCTTTGAGTCTTCTACGCCGTTATCCACCACCTCTGGAGTCCCATCCTTCTCCTCTTGGTCATCCACAAACTCGGCATCAAAGAGAACATTTGAGCCATCTGGAGACTTGCCTTTACTATCAACCTCTTTTGAAACAGTCTCATCTACCCCTTTATCTTCTCCTTTGATACTACTACTACTGCTAGAATGTGTAGGCTCAATAGTAGTTTCCAGTTTCGGAGCTGGGCTCCTCTCAAACGAGCTTCTAGCAGAAGTAACAAGTCGTTCAAATGTGGTTTTCAGCTTAGCAGCTGGCTCTTCTCGTTTAGACTCAACACTTGCATTGTTTCGCATCACCTCGTCCATCTTCGTGTCTTCTTCCGTAGGCATCAGATTGACATTTTCCCAAATCACTTGCCCTGAGTTCTTATAGCCCGATATATCGCTTAATTTCACCCTGAAATAATCAACATCTCGAAGCACATTGTGCTTCTCATTAAAGTCCCTAAATGGTGGAATCCTTGTACAATAAGTTTCGACAAAAAGACGTTTATAATTGTCAAAAATTCGCAGAAGGATTATTGAATATTTCGCCTCTGGTAAATATCTCATCAAAACCTTAGCCACAGTCAACGTATCCCTCACAAGACTTTCCATATAGCTATGACACTGTTGTGGATGCTTGACTGGGTCAGTCCAGTTTATCTCTGGCAATTTGTTACAGCTCAGAACTGTCCTCTCTTCCATAATAGTAATGACCTTGGCAAACAATTCAGTTTCATGGCTTTTATAATCAGCAATCATTTTCTTGAACGTCAATTGCTCATTTTGCTCAGGAGCTTCCTTAAATCCACCTTGTAAAACACTTAGTAAGGCTATGTTGAATTCAATGAATCGGGTACAAAGTGCTAAATGCTTTGTTGTAATGTGCTTTAGTCCTGCAGTCCTTGTAGCACCAGCTCCCAACACAGCTTGCGACACTCTCGAGTTCAAGTCTCTGAAATAAATCAATAGGTTACTTTCAATTGAGACAGCGTGACTGGGGAATGCTTTAGATGCAGCCATATACTCCTTGACATGGCCCAGCACCACGACGGCTAAATTAGGAACCATGAATTCGTCTCCATAAATATCCAATTTGGTGGCTGAGGATTCAGTTCTATTGTTACCTTCGACCAAGATTCCACTATCGTAAAAATCCATATTGGCTAACCACTCGGATCCAGAAAAGCCTTTGCCTCCATTTGACTGAATAAATTCGGTATATCCTGCAATTTCATTCAACGCCATTTGTGCTGGTTGCAAAATCTTAGGGTCGTCCAAAACTTTCCAGGTTTCACTCATACAACTCTTGGCAGCCAGTCTGCTGAGGTTATTGTGTAGCCTATGTATATAATAGACCAATTTGTTAGGAAACCATTCCTTCAACACATTTCCAGCTCCTGTAAACTCAAATGCCGGATTTATCATTTCACATTCATTCAAGTAAGCTGACGTTATCGAATATAGACGAAGATAAAGTGAAAGTGGTAAATCAGTTATTTGCTCTTGACGTACATTCATTACTTTCATCAACCGAATTTGTGTCAATTCAATCGCTTTGTGAATTGCTTTCGTGATGTCCAACGACATGATATTGACATCGGATGTAGGAGGGATTGCCGTGAGCGCAACGTCAAGTAAAAGCTTTTGATGAACTGATAACCGTCGCAAACATTCTGACAATTGTGCAAATGTTTCTGCAAGCATACTTTCAAACTCCTTAGGCGTAAGGATCTTGATGTTGGCACTGAGCGGGTTGGTTTTGTTTTCGGTTTGATTAGGGCCAGGCGAGCTCTCGGTTGATGTTTGAGAAAAGTCTTCTGCCTTTTGGGTAGGGAGATTCTGTTTGATAATGTTTTTAATCTCACCTATGAATTGGTTTTGATAAGCCGTGTATGCATTGACTAATTGACCTGCTTTTGCCAAATACCCCACATACTCTCTCAAATTTTGTTTAAGACTCTCGTCTAGGTCAAGATACGACGTGTTGATTGGATTGGATGCATATTTTCTCGAGCTGTCCATCTTCGAATACATTCGGTTTAGCGTGTCTCTCGATGGCACTCTTTGGTAATGCGACTTTAGGTCATTCAAAAGAAGCTCAACAAAGTCATCGGTAAACTTCTTTGAGCAGTCAGTTTTAAGCGTTTGTAGATCATTTCGTAAATGGATTAACGCTGGTACATTGCTCAAATTTGATACATTTATATGTGGGTATATTCGCCTTACTTCTGGATCTTCCACATTTTCAGATGTCACTCCTGCAATTAAAGCTTCTGTTGCAACAATCTCATTCAAGCACTTGAAATAATTATTTTCCCGGAATGATATATTGGCTAGCTGGAATATTGTGGTGATGTACTGAAGTTGAATGGTTGCCCTCTCTAGCGACTCCACATTTTGCTTTCGGAGCATCAGCTCTAGGATCTTCAACCCTTTCTTTGCTTGGTTTTTCTCAAGAGAATCAAACTTCAGCATCAACTTTTTAAAATCTTGCACGCAATCTTCCGATTTCGTCTGAATCTTTTCAATATCACCAATTGCATCAAAAAATGAGTCCGATGACTTCTCAATTTCTGATATCAAGTTTAATTCAACAATGTCTAAGTAGTTTGAAAATTTCTCCTGCAATCCAGTGTCATTAATAATATGGTCTTCTTCCAACTTGAGATTTGTATTTTCCAAAACTTTTTTAAATGTCCTTGGATCATCAAGTTTAAAATCGGGATCAAGAAACACCTCGGGAACATTCGATAGCAGACTTGTCAGATCGATGTGTTCAACAGAAGAAAAGGCGGAAACGGTACTATTGTTTGAGTTGGAAAGCTTGCGTAAGGATTCCTCTGTCAATGCCTTGTAGCTTTCTTCAAACTTTTTGTATTCATCAACAATGTCATCAACAAAACGATGCTCGAGTTGGCGGTTTGAAACTTTCTTCTTCAATCTCTCTAGCTGTATTTGAGGAATATCCTGTGACGTTGGTGTATGTATATTGGACACAACAGTCGTGCCACCGTTTAATTTCACCGACGTCCTTGGTGCCCGATTTTTTCTAGTTCTTGCATGGTCAGATCCCACTGTCAATTCATATATTGAATTTGGACCCAATGGTGAATATACCGCTGCTTTATCATCGGCTGTAAAGAAAGTCCCCGACAGCACAACACTTTCATTATCTATGCTCCTTCTATATGACGTTAAAGAGCCAGTTCTTCTATGTGAGTGGGATGCGCGTTGGTTTGTGCTGTTTGAAACAGGTGGATCAACTGAACTAAAGGAGTGCTCTGAAGACTCCCTCGGAAGGTCATCATTCAAGTTAATGACACTTTCATCTAATGAAGATACATTAATATTATTCGATGATTCATCTGCCATGTGTCAATGATTTTATGCAAAACTCGTTTATGTATTATGTCAATGGAAAGATTTGGCGTAGCTTATGTTCGTGCTGTTGTTCGTTGTTTGTTTTATTTTTATTTTTTTTTTCGCATTGATTCTGGTTGTCAATTGAAATTTTTCGACGCAGATTAGAGGAGTTCACTCCGAGAGGGGAATAGTTAGAAACAATCAGCATTTGGTGCAGTACATGGTGTCATCGAAGGTGTGGCCCCAGAAGCACTAGATAGAAGGGAGCGGCGCTTTATGAAGTTGATTTGAGCCACAATGGTTAGCCAGAATAGCAAAGAAACACAATATTTCAAACGTAGAACTTCTCAGTTAATAGACTAATCAGAATACTCGTAGCCCTGCATCTTAGCTTACAAGAGTTGTTAGCCAAACCACCAACTACCTCCATTGGCCAAAATATACTGGCGTTCTTGAACTTTCCATAATTTTGCAATGTCGTAGTTTTCAATGTCTCAAAATTCATCCAACTTGCGTCAAACAGCGTTTTTCATTACTAATAAGTGACATCACGTAATACACAGTTTTACAAAAATTCCCACCACTTCTCTTTCAAATCACACTGGCAAACAACAACAACAACAACAACAATAACCATGTCTTCATCGGAACAGAAACCCAAACCATGCTGTGTATGCCTCGACGAGAGAAAAGAAAGAGACAAATGTGTATTATTCCATGGAGTTGATAGTGAAGACTGCAAATCAATTCTTGACAAGTACACTTCCTGTATGAAGGGTTATGGATTTACACCAAACCCAGTCAAAAATTGAATGAAGCCAGGAACAGAGCTTACTAGAATCAAATTTTGGACAAAGCTTAGCTTAAGAATTAGAGCTTTCCCTTGTATATAAATAAATTTTTACAAAGAACATTGTATATAAACCAATACACACTATATTTACTTACTCACAGAGTCGATCCGTAATGCTTATAATTCCCGTTCCTTCTATGGTGATCATTACCCAGATTATGCTCTTCCCGCTGCTCTCGCTCCTCCCGTTCAACATTCAACACCTCGTCTATTTCCCGTTGTCTAGTACTAGCAGTCTCCTCATCAAAATTGGGATATTTAAATCGAAGCAATTTATTACTCTCAAACCAAACTTGGTTCCGAATAAAGTTATCAATAAGTATCAATTGTAAACAATTCATTATAATGGGAATGACAAACATGACAAGGAAAATCTCAACCTCATCAGGGTACTCATCCAACCAACGAAGTAAAATATGCGATGTGATCCAAAGCAACTCACGTTCAAATATCTCCACCAATCCGTATAAGATTAACTTGGTAATCATTAAACTTGCAAAGTAAATCGCCAACTGTTTACTAAACGCTTTCCAACTTGGATGATTAACATCTCCATATTCACCACTGTCAATTTGAGTTATATGGAAGATCCGCTTGCAAATATAATTAACTCCCCTAAACACCAAGTAGAGGATATATACTCCAATAGTACAGTCAAACACGATATTCAAAAAATACCAATCACACGGGTCATCCACTTCTGAATCACCACCATCGCCGTCTCCTGCCTTGTCACTTCTCTTTTTATACATCATCATCAATCCAGGTGCCGTCTTGAGTACAGATAAAATGACATTAAACACATGCACACCCAAAGCCCCAATCAATTGTTTACTCACGTCAAAACTCCATACTGGCCACGTTCGTCGTATGGGATACTCGTAAAATCTCTTGATTATTAGACTCGAAAGACATATAAAGCCAAGGAATGCCTGGGTTAGGAGTGAAAATGTGCCTATAAGTTCGCATTTGCCATCATCACCATCTTGTGGTGGTGGCGGCGGCGTTAGTCTGTGGCTGGAAAGTGGCGAAATTAGAAACGACATATATGCTCGAGGAATACTGTAAGAAATGATACAAATGGGGAGCTTGGTGGTCTATTACCTCGTGGTTTGGAGAAAATGTACCTTTCGAGGCAGGAGTAGCAAAAATAAAAGGCAACTTTCTTCTTAAATCATTGTCGTAAAAAAAATGAAAGAAGTGACATTTTCTCGGTGTTAATGTCATGCGCACCGTTTAGTGGTATAATGCTGCCCCACGTTCTTTCTTCGCAATCACATTCAATATAGCTACAACGAAAGGCGTAGGCAAGGGAAGTGGAATTTTACAAAAAAATATTTTCGTTTATTTCAATCTATGTTTACACCATTTAAGTCTATGGATCATTTTCCATTAACTCAGGAGTTCATAATCTAAAACCAACTCGAGTGTTGTAACGCATTATTATTTAACGCCCCCGAGGTTTGACCAGTAGGTGCAAATTGGCTCTGGTACTTAATCTGAATCAATTAAAGACATTGTTGTAGCTTTGTTTTTTTTTTCTGTTTGTAGTTTTTTTTGTTTTGATGTCTTTAATTTTTACTCTCCGTTAATGGATTGTGTCCGTGGAAAATCAGTTCGGCCAAAGCTTGACTGGATCTTCGAGTTCCTATGCTTAATCCTTCTTCTTCTTCTTCTTCAGAATCACTCTCAGAATCACTCAATTGGAACGGCATATGTTTTGCCTGAGAATGGGGTTGGTTATGGAATGGGGAAGTTGTCGTAGGTAGTGCTGAAGGAGATGCAGGTGTCGCATGTGCTGCAGGTGCTGCAGGTCCAGATAATGGTGACGTAGGTGAACTATGTGACGTTGGCGACACTCCACCACTTTGCCTACTATTGTCGCTATGTTCATTCTGTCCGCCATATTCATTGTGCTCTGTTGTACCTACTGTCATGTCATTATTATTCTCATCAATCAAATCGTAATTCACATTTGATCCCATATCTAAATTTTCGGGTACGTCAATCACATCAGGGGTTTGATATCCTTGAAATTGGTATGGATCACTAGGGTACACCGTGTTGTAATCATAATAATAATCATACCCTCTGCTTATGTCGTTACCCACATTATGAGACAAACTTGAAGTGTACGGATATTCCTCATCACTTGAATCTTCGTCTGACCCGTAGTTTAATGTTGTTGGAGGTAAAAGCTTTATGGATCTGCAGCGTTTAAGACTTGGCAAAGATTGCATACCAGTTTGGTCGCGCCCCTTTATTGATGGCGAGGAGCCTTGGCTGGGGACCATTTTTAATGATGGATTTGAATTAGATCTAACTTTCAAAAAGAATCCTCCTTCATCGTCGTCGTCGTTGTCGTCGTCATCAGAGTCATCGTCGTTTTCGCCATTTTCCAAGTCCCCCTCATACAAATGACTTCGAATCAAATTATTGTTTACTTGATCATCATAGTCATCATAGACATCATCTGTATCGTCATAGTCACTGATATCCTCCTCGTCATTGTCGTCTGAAAATGAATCCCAAGCCACACATTGTTGTACTTCATCGTTAAAGTGTATATGCCTTTCCTTGTTGTGGTCATCCTCTCCTCCTGCTGCTGTTGCTCCAGCTCCATCATTATTCAACGCAGATGTCTCGGGTTTGATATCTTGCTGAACTGTGGCCAGGGAAGATGAATTTGAATTGAGCAAATTTTGGAATTTTGCTACGTTTGTATTCTCCGTGGCTTGGTTGTTGGCGTACTGACTGTTTAATTTATTCAGAAGAGCATTGTAGTCAAAGTACTCGTCAGTTCCTTGGTTTTGCTTCTGTAGTTCTTGCTGTTGTTTCAATTGCTGTTCTCTTTTTTTTTGGTGAATACTGGATGCTAATTCCAACTTTAGCAAATTCGTATGACTAATGATTGATTCTTCAATAGTACGTTTCTTTAGTATAGGTTTAGGTGCATTCTTATTTTTTGATTTTTTTGGTATAGATATATCTCCTGCAACGGCGCTCGTGGCTGTGGGCTCATGATTTACATCATCTTCATTCTCGTCGTTTGCATGATTGTCACCGTTGGAAGAAGCTCCTTTGTTCTTTAATATTGGGCCATATAACCAGGTAACATCTGTCTCCTTTGCCCAGTTGACCTCTTCAGGACTGATTGTCTTTAAATTTGATCTTCTCTGTGCCCACGTTCTCCATGATGCATTTTCCAATCTAGCGGCATTTGCTACATCATGCTTATTTGAAACAACATACCTCCATGATTTAGAAATATCTGATACATCCCACTGATGAGACAAGTAATCAACATGACGCGAAGGTTCTGCTGCCACATCGGTGTCGTCATAAGGGAGCAATTCAGGAGATTGTAGGTTCAAAGCCAGGGTTGCTGTAGGAGAAGCGATTGGTGATGGCGAAGATGATACCGACGTTGATTGATTGCTGTTGTGGTTGTGGTTGTTTACATCCAGATTATCGTTCGACGATGTTCTTGTTCTGCCGCCAGTGTTTGTCGGCGATTTTCCTTCTTCCAATGCTTGATCTTTAACTTTTTCTGGTATGAACTCGTCAAGTAAGCCTAAAGATCTGGTTCTCTTCAACTTGAAGGTGGTGTTTTCAAAATGATCGTCATCTTCAGCATCCACATGTTGTGAAGTAGTGGCTCCGCCAGAAAATACTTCATCTGACATTGTTTTCTTTTTTTCTTAGTGGAGTAGAGTCAGTGAATAGATGCAGTGTAATTTGAGTTGCTGAGTATGTTGTAGCAGTAGTAGTAGTGATAGTGGTAGTATTAGTAGTGGATGCTGGATACTATGTATGGGTTTATTGAGTTATTATGATGATGATTATGATGATGTATAAAAGTATGATTGATTGTTATATAAGAAAGTAATTTGTTTTTGAATGGAAGAGAGAAATTGGTGGTTTGCTGTAAATTTTTATTCTTCGTTCTTTCTTTTCTCTCGCACTTTTTTTATTTTTTATTTTTTTTTTTATTTTTTAGTTTTAGTTTTAGTTTTTATTTTTATATTTCTTAAATGGATCACTCCATGAGCTCTACAAAGAAAGATATATACAAACTCTTTTGAAGATATTGGGATGAAGCTTTACCAAAAACAACAGGATTGGTAACAACAGCAGCATATACACAGGAGTGTTAACAATAATCGACTTGCTGAACTTCTAATTCAATGATAGTTTTTTTTCTTTTTTTTTGTATGCCCCCAAAAGTCAAACAATATCACCAAAACGGAATTCCTTTAGTAAACAGCATATTCAGAGAGCAGATAACATATATAAGAATCGCCATGAACTACAATTATGCATTTAGATCTCTAATAAAGTACTATTAAGCAAATACTGGCCTTGTCACTCTAATACTATGGTTGGTTTACGGAGAGAGGAGGGGTAAAATCTCTTTCAAAAAAGAGTGTTTTTTTTTTACTGCGACATTCAAAACGGCTGTCACACTTTGCGTACAATGGTGTTGGTCCACAAGGGCGAGCTGAAAGCCAAATGCTTTGGAGCCAAAGAAACACAAGGGACTCATAAGCTTCAGTCCGAGACTCCCCCACTACGACCCCCCGCTTCCAATTAGATAGCTACCGAGTCACGTACAGCGCTTGGAGGAAAAAACGTCCACAAAAGTAGAAGTAAAAAAAAAGACAACAGACAACCAACAGACAAAAATGAGGTGACATTTTAAAGGCAGTTGAACATTGTACGAAACAAAGCTCACCCTTTTGCTACGAAGATCCTATCATTATGAGTTCAATCTCACATTAGCTTCCTTCGTCCCCCCCCCCCCCCCACTCCGCGTTTATTCAGGCAGTTGGATGTAGAACTTTTAGAATAGTAGCCTTCAGGAAAATCTACGTGCACCCCAAGTGCTCACACCAAGAGCAAAGGGGAGCCGAGTAAAGTGCACATCACAGATTTAGAGCAACTGAGACTACTGTAGGTTCAAAGGTCGCCCAAATCTGTTGATGGTAAACCCATAAACAACAAAGTGCTCTGTTAATTCAGTGCAAATATATCAAATGGGTGTTGTTGAAAACAGTGAGAGAGAAAAAGAAAAAAAAAAAAGAAATCTCGTTTTAATTAATCCGATTTGTGGGGGATGGATGGACAAACTCGGAATTGAGTTTTTACGTTTTTATATTTTGTGTAATATTCTATTGATGTCGTAAAATTCTGAATATAGAAACAATGTATGTATTTATAAAGACCAGCGTGGGTGCAAAGAGAAGGGGAGGGGAGGCATACATTGGCAACAACTTATTGACCTTCACCTGTGATAACAAAAAGCTTTTTCTTTTGTATAGCCGGTTTCCTTTTTCAAAACTGACCTATATAAATTCTATTTCCACTGATAAAACAATAGTCAATTACATGTCTCATTGCATCAACCAAAGGAGCATTTTGATCACCATACAAGTACTTGAAACCTCCCAATTCATCTATTTTCGATTTTCTATCGATGATTGGAAGTCGCGTTAAATCACAAAGAGTCCAAGAATGTCCAGAAGTTGAAGTAATCATATTGTTTGTCATAATAATCAGCAAATCACTAGATCCAATTTCAAATTCTTCAACAAGATTACCGCCCGCCTTAAGTACAGCCTTGTCCAATGCATCGAGCCTGAGACTGAACTGCAGACCTTGTGTAATTAGCGAGAATTTATCCACCTCATTCTCCACGACTTTGTCCTTGTTTATTTGAAATAACAACGTGGCGATATACCTACGTAAGCTTTCCTCTAGGGTAGTTTGCAACTGTTTCACCTGATTGTATAGACTACTAGCCATATCATTGTCCGATGATTTAAAGCTCTCAAGCCCTGTCAAGAGTAACGTTGCTAAGCAATACTTGAATTGAATGTTGGCAACGGTTTCACTTTGTACAAAATTATCAACCAAATCCTGTTCCAAAACACTTTTGATCATTGGTGCAGGTATTTCTTGAGGCTGCAATAGTTCATTGACAAATACTTGAAGTTGCGGTATAAACACATCAATCTTTTCCAGCTGGGACATAGTTAGGTCATCAATCATGGCTGGTATTGTTGAGAAATCCTCAAGATAAAAACACGCAAGTTTAGCTATTGATGTATTGACTACCGGCTCTTTAATCGTTCCCATAAACGACTCTAAATGTATAAATGTCAAGTTAACGCTTAATTCGGAAGGAATTCGAAAATGGAGAGCATTTTTGGGTAGGACTTTGTACACCACCGCTAGTATTTTATCAGTAATGGGTTGAACTCCATGTAGAATAATACTTCCTTCTGCGGTTGCATCTTCTGAAGCCATTTGAAATCCGTTCAATGTCTTATCTGTAAACAATAACCACGACAAGTCGTTGGATATCTTTGATATTCTGTTACTATCAAATGAGAGTGTAATGATGGTTGAGTCTTCATAAGCGAGAATAATAGTTAGCAGTTCACCTCTTCCCGTGACAACTGATGTACAAGTGTACCATGTATCTGTGTTGTACTCATGTATGTTGCCATTTTCAAAGATGACAACTTTTGACATAAACACAGCAATGATACAACTTCTTGACCTGTATTGCACGATTTCAACTTTTTGGAAATGCCCTCGCCGGGGTGGATAAATCTCCCGAACCTTATCTTCAACCAACAATAGCGAGTTGTCTTTCCCAATAACCAAAAACGTATCCTTTTCCCAGCGAAGTTTGGCAATGTCTCTCTCAACATCAATTTGTTTTACCACATTCATATGACAATCGAATATCGTGATGCGATTAGCCATATCAACAACTACCAATTGATTGTCGTGAAATGTAAAGTACCTAATCTTTAAATGCTTAAACTCGGGAGCGCTGACATACCATTTCCCTTGGTAGTATGGAATCAGATAAAGTTTTACCAACGTCTCAAACACATTAATTTTGACTTTATAATTATAAGTCTGATTATGATTCTCTCGGACCAAAACTAAAAGCTCTCCTGTATTAAACAATATTCCCAAACTTGAGTCTCTTGTATTTTGGTTAATCAGAGTCCATTGGTGTTCAACAATGATCGGATCTTGCGCAGTTATATTAAAAAACTCGTCACCATCCTTAAACACAACATCTTTAAATTGACCCACAGGTAAGTTGCTAACTGCCTCCGGATACAATATAGTCCCAGTCGAGAAGATCTCTTTACTGTTTAATACTGTGCGATGTCGATTCTTGATAATAGCATTGTGATAAGATGGGAACCTTGGTTCAACTATAGTTAACTCATTGTACAGGTTCAATGTTAGCTGAAGATTATCCGATAGCTGAATTGGGTCATGACGAGCCAATGCTAGATCGACTCGGTTCAATTTTATGTCTGCAATGGAGGACATTTAAAATGTTGTTGTGGGTTGGAAATTGTGCAACACTATTTTTTTGCCCTTTTTTTGCTTTCTTTTTATCTGACGCGTATGCACCGATTCATACTTGCCCCAACACCAGTGCTCATTGCGATCTTATGCTTCTGCGTAGCAACTGATTATTTGATACCCGTTTGCACAATTTATCAACGACGCATGTTCAAGAAACTTTCTAAACCATTGTTGAGAAATGTGTCCTACCACGCTACCCCGAAATTACAATCATCCATTCACCCCATATGACATTCAACTTCAACTTATGGATGCTATATACGACACTATTGAAAATGGTTATAAAGTTGGTTTGTTTGAAAGTCCAACCGGAACGGGGAAAACTTTGTCAATAATATGTTCCACCATGACCTGGTTAAGAGATTACAAGAGAAACCATGTGTTTGATATTGAAGACGTATCGGAAGAAAGTAGCGATGATGAGCCAGAGTGGGTGAAGAATGCCTATAGAAGTTCCATAGTTGACAAATCAAAAGACAAGCTCAAACTGTTTGAACTACATTTGGACCAAGTGGAAAAGAGTTATACAGACAAGGTGAGAGCAGAATCGGCAATACAGCAAAAAGTCAAAAGGCGGCAGGTGACTCAAGAGGACACATTCCTACCAGAAGACTACCACAGTGATACAGAATCGTCTGCTTCTATTGAAGCTCAAAACTTGAAGCTCAACAAAGAAATCGATAGGTTGATGCGTCGCGACGAACATGATGAGACCAGGGACTACTCCAATTGCAAAACAAAGATATTCTTTTCCTCGAGAACACATTCCCAACTAAATCAGTTTTCAAGTCAACTACGTCTCACAACATTTGACGCATCGTTTGATGACATGACTGAACGAACTAAATATTTGCCAATCGGATCTCGAAAGCAGTTGTGTGTCAACGAAAAAATAGCCAAAAAAGGTGACCAAAGTATCAACGATGCTTGCCTTGATTTACAAAAGACTAAAGAAGGTTGTTCATATCTCACAAAAGATCAATCGTTGAGTAAAGAGTTTTCCGACTTGAGTCTATCCAGAATTCGTGATATCGAAGATCTAGCAACATTAGGAACAGACCTACACACTTGTCCTTATTACTCAATAAGAAAAGGATTGGAATCTGCCGAAGTAGTTTCGTTGCCCTACCAGCTACTTTTCCAAAGATCTGCTCGTGAAGCTTGGGGCCTCGACATCGATGACTCAATTGTTATAATCGACGAAGCACACAACATCATTGACTCGATAACGTCGTTGTATTCGGTAAACATCAGTGTTTGTCGACTCCACAAAGTAGTGCAGTCTTTGAAGGTGTACTTGGCGAAATTTGCCAAAAGATTAAATAGTGGAAATCGGATTCATATCATCAAATTGACAAAGGTTTGCAAATTATTGATAACATTCATGGAATCACAACTGGCCTCCCCAGGTCAAGAAGTCAAAGTGGAGGATATTTTTCAAGATTCAACCGGCGATTTGGTAAACATACATAAATTAGATGAATACTTGACAAAGTCGAAAATTGCCTACAAAATTGAGTCTTATATGGAGAAAACCGAAGGTAACCATACCGCTGCCTCACCTGTACTCTTTGAAATTGCTAAATTTCTTCGTGCTTTAACCAATCCTAGAAAGGAAGGTAAGTTTTATTGGGATAAACCGGCAAACGAACTCGAATTGCGATATATGCTATTGGATCCGAGTGTCGTTTTCAACGAAATTGTGACTGAAGCTAAATGCGTATTGCTCTGCGGTGGTACAATGGAACCAATGACTGACTTCACCGAATTCTTGATGCCCCATGTGCCCAACCAAAAGGTTAAAAAGTTTTCGTGTCAACATGTTATACCGGAGAATAACTTGAAAGTATTCACTGTTGAAAAATGGAGCTCTGTGTTTGATTTTCTGTTTAACGCACGAAATGATTGTTTGCAATTGGATAAATTGGGCGACTTTATTCTACAAGTATGCCAAGTGGTTCCTCATGGTATTGTGGTGTTTTTCAGTAGTTACAATTTCCTATACAAAGTGACACAACATTGGCAGCAAACCAACGCCTTTCAGAAAATCGCCGCTTTAAAAACAGTGTTTCAAGAACCGACAAACTCTTCAAATGTCGATTCTGTCCTATCCGATTATTCGCAAGCTATCAATTCACACAAAAGGGGGGCTATTTTGTTCTCAGTCGTTGGTGGGAAATTAGCCGAAGGAATCAACTTTTCTGACAATTTGGCGCGAGCAGTCATAATGATTGGGTTACCATATCCTAATGCATTTCTGGGTGAAATAATTGCTAAAAGAGCATTCATCGAGTCTCTGGTTATTGAAAAGGGAGGCTCGCCACAAAGGGCCAAGGAATGTTCGAATGAGTATTATGAAAATTTGTGCATGAAGGCGGTAAATCAAAGCATTGGACGTTGTATACGACATGCAAATGACTACGCCTTGATTTACTTGGTTGACAGGAGATATAAACAGCCACGAGTGCGTAATAAATTGAGTAAATGGGTCAAGAATCGACTTGTGTTTGATGGCGATATTATTGATGATTCAACACGATTTTTCCTTGCTAAAGAAAAGTAAGATGTGACAGGTAGGAGTTTATCAATGTCAATTAAATCATTATGGGCACCCATTTGCATATATGGCTGTCTACTGTATATATTGAAAACATTGGGGTTTTACTCTCGTACTACTTTTCTCTTTGATCACTTTTGAAGCCTGGTATCGTCTGATTCGGAATCTCTCTATGAACGGAATTGTGTACAACCACAGTGTAAGATTTGATCTTTCTGATAAATGGCTGTGGGTATTTCTTATTCATTAAAGCTTGGTGTCTGGCTTGCAATATCGTATTTGCCGCCTAAAGCCAGCTTAGACCAAAGAAAAGTAAATATAAAGTGGAAATTCTCAAGCATCAATTGCAAGAGCAGAATTTACGTTCCATAAGCAGGTGGATGATCGAAGTTGCAAAAAAAAAAAATTAGGAATCAAAAATAAAAAAATAATGAAAAGGACGAGATTCGAACTCGCGCATCTTACGATACTAGAAATCACAACTTGTTAAGCTGTAAGAAACTTAATTCTTGAGTCTAGCGCCTTAGACCAACTCGGCCACCTTTCCAATTTCTGAAAGTTCCTTGCTCTACCATAACTATTACAGCCAAAATTACCACTCATCTGAATACTCTATCTTGCAAAACTCTTTAATACTTCCCAACGTGAGAGTTTATCATTGAAACAAGTAGATGATCTAGATGGTATCCTCCTCTGCAATGAACTAGAACATGAATATCCTAAATTAATTAACCTCAATGTAATTTTTCCAGGCATGAGATGAGAACGGAGTATCGCAAATTTGCAACGATAACGCCATCCAAATTTGCGGTCCTCGATAATCAGCTCAGAACTTGCTCGTAAGGAAGATTTCATGCCTATAGGAGGGTTGGTTTTCAATTTTCTTAAAGCTTCTATTAACTGGTGGTGTGGAGGAAGGCTGCATATTTATACTGGAAAAATACAGGGTCTATTGCATACGATGTGTCCACGTCTTCCACGCAGCATAATAGGCTATCATCGCCGAAGGGTGGGCTATGATTTCAAACAGATACTTGTAATTGATGATTCAAATGGGGAGGTTGTTAGAGTTCGTCTTGAGATGGTATATTCCGGTAATTAGAAGCAGTCACTTTCCTAGTTATATGGACCAGCTTGGTTTATTCAATTGAAAACCTTTATTCCATTTCCTTGAGAACGGCGATCAAGGCATAAATGGATATGAATTTTTTCTGGGTTCGGAGATGGTGACAGATAGTGAAAAAGATAGCGATAGAGATATCAAGATATACCAGTAGTAATCATATTTCCCTGTAAACTAGTCTTGTTATCAAAACAGGATTAATAATGATACTCAAATGTACGTTTTGTTTTGCAACCAAAAAAAAATCTCCTTTTTCTAAGTTGCATTAGGTTGCAATATTGTTTTCAATTTCACACTGCCCCACCTTCGAATGAATATATAGTTTCTTCCATTGGATTGGCCAAACTTCAACTGAGGTGTAAATATTGTAGTAAATTGCAGAGTGCCTTGTTCCTGAACCCCAAAACAGGTTAAACTCAATCAATTATAAAAGCTACCAAAATATAATTCCTATTGCAGATTTACACCAAAACTCGTCATTTGTAATATAAATATCATGGACTGATTTCTTTTGTCTCTTTTGTTACATTCTCATCAATATTTATACCAACCTGCTAGCAACCCAATCCCATTTGAAGATGATGTAGAGCTTCAAACTTTTTTTAATCCTGGCACAGTCCTAGGTTCATCGTAACCAAGACTTTAACAGATGCTAAGTCATTTTAGTTAAAGGCAACAGGTTAAAGCAGAAGATACAAAGCTGGGGTAATTGTGACTCTCGTGTATACCAGTTTTGTGTTTTTATACAAGAGATACATAGACAAGGACAAACTTTGTGAAGAGAAGTAGAGTTAGAAGACTTCAAAGAGAAGGGTGTACATTCAAACGTGCCTAACGCTTAAGACAATCTCCAAAGCTTCACAAGATGACTTTGTGCACTATCCAAGACGGCTTTCTGTTCAGTCAATAACGCCAACTGGGTTGTTTGCAACTTTAGCAAGGTGGAATGATCCCCGTCGGTCTTTTCTTCCACGTCGTCCTCGTTCTTCTTCTCCTTTCCCTTATTCTTATCAAGCTTTTGTAAAACTTTTACCACATGGGCAACATCACCTATGTGTTTCTTTATATTTGTAGGTTCTCTTTGACGTTTGCCATTGGATTCGAAATAAATCTTGTGTTTGTCAATTGTTGACGCAGTTATGTTTTCAGTTTCACTAATGGCGATTGTAGTTTGAAGCATATGAGAGTCATTGGCAGAATAAGACTTGAATGGATGCTCTTTGTCGTCTTTGTTGTAAGTTACATAAATCTGGTGGGGGTTGATTGCAATGTCGTATGATTTACTACAACTCTGTACTTCTTGAGACATGGCTATTGTCGACGAATTGCTTTCACTCATGTGGTATATTCCTAGTATAGTAAATTCAGGATATACTAGCTTCAATTGATTGTATCTCTTGTACAAAAACTCGTAATCAATTGTGTTGTTACTATTGATAATCTCGAATGATGTAGCTATGATAAACTTGTCTCTATCTTGGAGGCCAAGTAGCACCCCAAAGTTTAAATCGATCTTCCTAGCCTCGATATCGGATAGGTTTAATAAGAACTTCGAGTGCAATTCAACCGTGGTCATATCTTTTTGTTGTTATTGGTTGTGCTTTGGTGGTGAAGTGTTTTCAACACGAGACAAATATTGAAACCCCAAGAATGTAATCCTTTCCCTAAAAATTGGAAAACTGCGCTACCTTTTGTTGTACACAGCTTCCCTTTCCAACTTTTGATGTAACTGAAAAGTCGTTCACCAAAGCCTCCCAATGTCTAATCTAAAAAGCGAGAATAGCTACGGTGCCATAATCTTTTATGCATTCCCTCAACTAAGCTCATGATTCCTACTTCTACTTCATGTCAAACACAATAGACACCTTGTGATCTTTGTCTCAGAGGAAGCATTGTCACATCTGTTTGGAACTATGAAATGAGGTCATCTACATTAACCTATAGCTCTTTTCAATGTCTGCGTAACACTACTAACTTGTCTCCTTGTCAGTTTGGGATTGAGATTGAAAGAGTTAGAAGAACTGTGGATGAAAAAGAGTTACACAAAACACTCCCCTCTCCCTTTCTCTCTTTGTCTCTTTCTCTCTCCTCCTTTTTTTAAATTTTAATTTTTTTTTTTTTTTTTTCACCCTTCTCTGCTCTGCTCTTCATAATCCAAAATAGTTTCATCAACTGAAGCTTAAAACCACAACTCTGCATCAGAATAACCCAAATGTCATTAGAAGATCCAATAAAGAGAAGTCGAGAAATAGATACTCAAGTTGTACCTGCAAGGAAAAGGAGTAAGAAAATGACGCTAGACGACGCATCAACTGCGATGACCACCACCACCACCAATGCAACCACTACCACCACTGCCTCAAATGACGATGAGTTTACGGAAAAGATGTACTCAGCTTACGTTCAATCTGCATTTGCTTCCTTGGAAAAGGTATGTTGTTTGAGATAGATAGAGAGGGAGAGGGAAGAGGAAACGAAGAGAAATAGGATGTTTCTTACAGCTGTTCCCCCTTTTCGATAGCATTTGATAATATTACTAACTTTTATCTGTCTCTCTAGGATGACACCTTGCAAATCGACACATTGACTGATAAGATCAGCGCTTCGAAACCTAGCCCAGAGGCTATCACATTACCCCATTTCAGCATAATATTAAAAGGATTAATCAACAATACATCGAAACTAGATGGCCGTGCATGCAATAATTTGATTTTTGCCATTCTTCGGTATAAATGGTTGGCCATAACTGATAATAATGATGTCGATCAAGAGGTATACACCACCTTTATAGATTTATATGCGCATTTCCTAACCGTATTGGTTAGTACACTGCCTAAATTTTTGACTGAAGTATTGAATAAACTTGTTCGTGAATTTGAACTGTTTGATGTGGATAGAGACTTCACGCGTCATCATGAAATTTTACAAAAGATATTGCGGTATATTCCCACTAGTATAAATATGATACCACAAGTGTTGCAAAGCAATTTCCCGCATCACATTTCGTCATCTACCGGAGAGGTTATAAACTATGTTGGTAACTTGATGCAGATATTGACTTACTGTCCTGAGTTGCAGTTTAGTATATGGCAGCTAATCATTGAATGCTGCATTAAGCTTGATGTTGAATTGCAAAACGAATTGGATGATTTGGATGACGATGAGATTGAGGAGTTAATTAATGGAAAAGATGATGATGAAGAGCTACTAGAGGTGGATGAAGAAGAAAATGTGGGAGTTGAGAGTGAGGCTGGAGGTCGTGTTGGAGCTGGAGGTGACTCTGAAGATGAGGATGAAGAGTTGGGCGAAGTAGAGTGGGTGGAATCAGCAAACTCAACCAGAAACATCAAAGCTCTTGCATCAAAATTGGACAACATCATGCATTTACTATTCACAAAAACTGCAAACTCATTCACAACTGAGGAACTAAATAACGGTAATGGAGTCACCTTATTCAATACAATAAACTCATTATTCAAAAGTCACATCTTGCCTACTCATTTCACAAAACTGATTCAATTCATTTTGTTCCGCATAACTCAATATCAACAAGAACTTGCCGACTCCTTCTTGGTTTTACTCATTGATGTCGCATTCAATCCTAATGAAATTGTTGAAAAGAGACTTAAAGCCATGCAATATTTATCGTCCTATATTGCTCGTGCTAAAAACTTGTCGCGTCATCAGGTTGTTTTCATTGTGAGCTACCTCATGGGTTGGCTCAACAAGTACATCATCGAAAGGGAACAAGAGACATTTGATGTTGAATCTAAGCACAAATCGCAACAAACTGGGGGTATGGAACGGTTTAAGCTTTTTTATTCCGCATTTCAGGCGTTATTATATATATTTTGTTTCAGACATGAACAATTACGCAAAGACACCTCATCGACAACGTCAACTACATCCTCCTCCTCCTCCTCGTCAGAATGGGAGTGCGATATCGACAAGTTTTTCCAACGTGTAATCATCGTCAAATTCAACCCATTAAAATTCTGCGACGAAACGGTAGTCTACATCTTTGCCAAATTAGCCACTAAATTGAATGTATGCTATTGTTACTCAATCATTGAACACAACAAGAGGGAAAGAATGTTGCAAACTAATGGGTCTATAGTCTTGCCTTCAGCCGTGGGCAATTTCAAACAAAAACAAGAGTTTTTGGACTTGGAAGCTTATTTCCCCTTTGATCCTTTGGTTTTACCCATGTGTAAAAAATTAGTGGATCAGAATTATGTCGAATGGTCCGAAGTCAATCCCGAGGAAGATGACGATGAAGATAGTGCTTCTGGAAGTCATATGGATGATGATGATGAAGAGGAAGATGAGGAAGACGATGATGATAGTAGTGACGACGATGATATTAGTGACGATGATGACAACGACAGTGATGACATGGATAGTGACGACGACTAAATCAAGATGCATCGTCATCATATATATGTATATGGTTTTTTTAGGTTATATAGGTATATTTCAACAGCTTGATATTGAAGAACTCGAGTAGATTAATTCAGAGACGTTTACGTACCAGGAAAGTAGGGGAGAGTCGTAAAAATTAAGCTGCAAAAAAGAAGGAGAGAAAAAAAAAATTGGTGTTAATTTTATATGATCTAGGCGAGACTTGAACTCGCGACCTCCCCGGTTCCAATATTTAGTACTGTGAGCGGGGCGCGCTACCTAGCTACGCCACCAGATCATTGGCTCGACAACTGCGTCAGAGCACTAAAATTACCGTTTTTTGAGCTTGAGTTTATTCCAGTCGTACAAATTTTAATCACTTTTTACAATGACGCCCAGTATATATAATTCTTTTTTAACTTGCGTAATTTAAATCAAATCCCCACTTAACACACCTATTTGGTATAAATTCCCATTTAAACTTCTTAATTGTGATTTTTTCCATAGATTAAGACCTAAAAAGTACGAAATGGGTACAGTTGAAAATTTATCCCAATTTTGCAACCAAAAAAAAAAAATATCAAGCAGTGGTTTGACAAAAACAAAAATAAAGTGAACGATAAACCATTAAATTATGTTACTTATGCTAAAACGCGTTCAAACTGGATAAAAAATCAAGCATTATCCAAATCATTCAGCACTATTAAGAAGCACTTAAAGTATGTTACCATAGAAGTATGTCTCATGCTATAGAGACGACAGACCCAAAGAAACTCAACCTATCGCAAATGCGAAAGAAAATCAATTTCTACATAGACGAAAATGCTAGTAAAATATATCAAGCAATTATATTAATTATGCACGCCAGCGCCAGCGCCACTTACTTCTATACAAAATCGCGCTTATTGAGAAACTGCGATACTAAATTGATGCCATATTTATCCTTGAAATCACCTTTCAAAGCACGCTTAGCTCCCTTTTTACTCATGTAGTCCAAACTCTCAATATAAACCATTCCGGCATGGATTCCACCTGGTTCAACATAATACTCGATATTGCCATTCTTGTTAACAATATTATAGAAATCCTCCATTCCATCACGCAACACTTCGCGTTCACCAGCAATAATGATGGTGTTTCCATTATTTATTGCGTCAACATTTTGCCAGTGGTCTAGCCAGTTGGTGTTTGTAAACTTGAGGAAATTGTTTATAAACTTTTGGTCCAAATCTTCAACAAGATAAGTGCCCAAATTGATGTCATAGCCAATAATGTCACCCGTCGTGTCAACATGGTGTCTCGATGGAAGCGGCGCCGTACATGGCTGTACCCAGGGGGCATCCAATATTAATGCTTTAGGTTGCGGTAAATCAGCCACGTTAAAGTTTAATTTAAACTGACTAAAGTAGTCAAATTGTTGTTTTATCTCTTCCGGATATGCAATGGCTCGAGCGAGTGATAATGACATATGAGCTCCAGCAGAATCTCCCATGAGAATGATGTTATTATACCCAGCTTTAACCAAGTTGTTATAAGCACGTAAACATTCGTACAATTGGGTAGGATATATGTGATCAAACATGGTTAGTGAATAATCAACCACCAATATTGAAGTTCTGGCTGCTGTTTTGTCATCCAAGGCAAAATGTAATGCAGCACTGAATGTAAGTTGTGAATCAATCATATTCAACAAATATCCTCCTCCGTGGAAATAAACCACAACATTAGTCTTTTCTATAGGAAACTCTGCCTTGTGGATCCAATAGCTGCATTCATCAAATTTTTCTCCAAATGCATTCAATTGTTTGGCCATAGGATTCTTCTTGAACCTCTTTAACAACTTATCAATAGGTTCATAACATACTGCCTTCATATCCTTCTTTTGAAGGTTCATTGCCATATGGCATTCCATTGCCACCAACACATTCTTGTATAGCGACAGTTTGAACTCCTTGTTGGTTTTTGAGTATACTGTGCCAACAGTGTAATACTCTAGTATAGTCTTAACAACAGGCCATGGTAAAGTGCATAGTTTTGCCATAAATTGGGCAGAAAGCATCTTTTGTCGTACGTATGAGGGGGGACCCAAAGTTAGCTCCATTCACAAGCGATTGTATTTGTATTGAACAAGTGGAGTGGGGTGGGGAAGGAGGGGTGAATGTGGTCAAAAGAGGGAAGATAAAATGAACTGAAAGGATATAACTGTTTCCTCTCTGGACTGGTAATGGGGTGGTGGAGTAAGTTAGTTAATCTTTGTGGGTGGAAGTGGGTGATAGTAGAAGTGGTTATATCTAGTGAACTTCCTTTTGATAACTTGTGTTGTCTGTTGTGTGTCTAGTATAGTGTAGTATAGTTTTGTTTTTCTGGAATGTTGCTAGAATTATGATTGTATTTTATATTACACTTTTCTTATACTTTTCTGCCTGTCGTAAGAAAAAGATAAATTAAAAATGAAATTAAAAAATTAATTTTTATTTCTCAAATAAAAAGAAATTAAATGTTGATGTTGCACAAAAACGTGTGTGTGTGTCTGTCCATGTCCGTGTCAATGGGAGGAGATACATAAAGGATATTGGTAGATAGAGAGAGACATATATACAAATTACGCGTCAGAAAGTAAATAGATATTATATATCCTTTCGGAGGTTAAAAGCTGTTCCGAAACTAATAGAAAACACTTCTTACTACACGATAATTACATCCGACTTTACAACAGGCAGTATGCAAAAACTCACAACCGTATCAACAACCGTATCAACAACCGTTTATCAACTAGCCAACAGTGTTTTGAAACAAGGCTTATTTCACTTCATTTGCTGTCACCTATTATTTATTTTGCTTCTTTCGGTAAGGAAGTCACACTATGTTGACGAGACAGCACTCTTGATTTGTTCCGCGGTTGCCGCCATCGGATAAAATCTGTTGCTAAACGAAAAAGAGAGAATAATCCCATTATCGCCGTTCATTAGCAATCTTAAAAACACGGTCTATTTGTAGAGTTTGTTGAAGGATATACATCTGCTGGAGATAAGAGCGTTTTAATTCCACTGAATATAAAGACATAAAGACATCCATAAAAAGTGTGTGTGTGTGTGTGCCTTGTCCTTGTCTTTTCTCCCTCATCCACCCCTGCCAAGAAAATGTTTTACTCGACCTTTTTGTCGCGTAGTAAATATTTTTTTTTTCTTTTTTTTTTTGTCTTTCTATTACACCGGAGTTAAATTATTCCTTAGGCTGGCGTTTTGTAAACGGGCCGATTTTTTAATGACAGCAGGCGAAGAAAAATAAATTAACGTTATTAAAAATTGCCCTTTTGTGACCTAATTTCAGTGACTTTTTATTCCCGGGATTTTAACCCCGATACATTTTCATTTTACATGATAGAAAAAGGTCTAATTTTCATTTCTAGTTCTCTTTCTTAACAAGTGATTGATTCGCGTCTTCAAACCATATAAATTATACACAGTTTCTACTATATCTTATAGTTTCAAGCTATTTCCTGTTTGTGGTCCGTTATTTTTCTTCAAATTACCCTTTACGTCTCTCAACTCACCCTTTGTTCCAATAACACTCACATTCTTGGCCTTAGACAACGTATCAACAACTTCACCAGTCTTAGATTGCCTTTGTTTATGTTGTTCAGGAGTTTGTTTCAACTTTTGTCTCTTGTGTTCTTGTCTTTCGTTAAATTGTTTTGACTTCTTTCTCTTATTGGCTCTTCTCAATCGTTGTTTTTCTTCACGATTGAGTTCATCTTTGGAATAAGAAAGACCCGACTTTAACTGAACTTCAGACTTTCCCTTTACACCATTACCTTTGACAGCATCATCACCGACTTTGTATATCTCTTGTGGTGCCAATCTAGATTCGCTCGACACATTCAATGGTTGAGCATCCTCCATACTGATGGACGGAGCACTAGCATCAGTCACCTTAATTTCAATATTCTTCACCTCATGTGGCTTAGGAATGAAATGGGCCGAACACAAGGCATCCAATCTATGCGTCACCTTCGTAAACAATTCATTAATTTCTTCATGCTGCTTCTTGACTGCCTCATCAAGCTCCTCTTGTTGTGCATCAACATCATTGTATTCATCTTCATACAACTCAGCTAAAGATTTCGATGACTTTTGCTGTGACACTTCCGCTTTAGGTCCTTGGTGAAACTTGGACAAATCTTGAACAATCCTTCTTGGCAAATCATCAAATTCATCACTCTTGATTCTTTTCCTAATCAAGTCTTCAATAGTTTCAGTCACTTCTTGAGTGATTGTTGGCACTGGTTTTGCTGTACGATCAAATGAAAGGTCATTTTCTTCCAACAACGATTCCTTTGGCCTCTCATTCGAAGTAATTTCACCCTTTAACGTCCATTTCTTATCGGCAACTAATTCAGCTTCCAATTTTTCAATTTCACGCTGCAATGCCAACTGTTGCTTTTCATACGACGACATATTCTTCTCATTCAGTTTTTGTCCTTTTGGCTCACCTTCAGCAAACAAGTCAAGTCTGGCTGAGTTGATGGCATTATCGTAATCTTCATCAGCAAACTCACCTTCACTTATATCATCATCTTCGTGAGCATCAACTTTCTTCTTCGGGGGCCACAGTTCAACATTCACTTTACCTGGCTTATCATAAAAATCGCCATAGTAATCCATTTGTTCTTCTTCACTATCATCACTTAAACTTCCAAAGTAATCAATCTCTTCGTCATCATCGTTATTATCATCACCCCCCGCTTGGTCATTTTCAAGCGCAAGAACTTGTTTATTATACTCATCAATATCAAAGAATCCATCATTTAAACCAAATACATCCTTTGTATGTTTAACTTCCGTATCGGAACCTTCTTCGTCATCACCAACCAAAGTTTCACCATCGTCTGATAATTCCCTTTCCTCCTTATCCTCATCCTCATCCTCATCCTCGTCTTCTTCTTCATCATCTTCTTCTGCACTTTCACCACTTTCCTCATAATCATCCACACCTCTTTCAAATTCCACATTTTCGTCTTCTTCGCTTCCATCGCCTACTTCTTCCTCACTCTCTTCACTCTCTTCACTCTCTTCACCTTCCTCGCCCTCTCCATCTTCGTCTTCGCTCTGTTCAACTTCACCAAGTTTCTCCCTCACACTTGGAATATCCTCGCTTAGTAACTTACTACCTATTCCATCCAATATCATCTTTGTCTGCCCAAATACTTGCGATGAATCCAATCCATCAGTATATAATTCATCAAGCACCGAATAATCCTTCACGATGGGATTGATGATGGTTTTCGCCAAGTCATTGAAAATGTTGGACTTTGATCCGTCTTCTTCATTCTGTAGCTTGAATATATCTTGGGGATTACGTAGTAAATTCTGTATTATATCTTGACTCATTTCTGTACAATGGGGGGATGAGGTATGGATGATGTTCTGGTTTTAGAGTTGGTCTAGCCTGGTGCTGTTGTTCTACATTTTTTTTTGTTTGGCTTGAGATGGGATGTGCGTTTATATGCACACCAAAGGAAACGTATTACACAAAAGAAAAGATTCACCCATCAATACCAATACTAGACGTATAACTCCTCTATTAAACATGAATACAAACTTAATACATCTTCTCAAGGGCTTTACCCCTGGAAACCAACAATTTCAAAATGTTCCAGATACTATGTCTAGCCTCAACTAGCGGCAACACCACTACGTAAAAGAAGGAACAAAACAACCAGATGATGATAATGATGACCGTACCCAAAAGGAAATTAGGACTAAGGATATAAGCAGAAGCACTCAAGGGAACAGGAATAACAATTGCCATAACTAGCGCAAGTATAGCAACCAATATCCCATACTTTTTGAATTGATGGTCTAAATGCTTATGATCGATGACTGTTTCCAAATTCATGTCCAACTCTTCAGTGGGTGCTTCACTATTGGAGAGTTCTGTAGAAGACTGAGTTATTTCCACCAGCGATTGTTTCAAACCCCTTGCCTTTTCATTTTCATATTCATTTTCATTTGTAGACCCTTGAGCTGCATCGTGGCTCTGCCTATTTATTAAACTGGTTCTATTTCTAGTCTGTTCGAAATCAAATTTTGCTGGCCAGATTAAGGAAGATACAATGGAAATGAATCCACCCATAAACAAAGCCGTAACATTACCAGTAAAAGAAACCCACTGATCTGATAAATTGGTGACATTAACTTCTCCTGTGTACGTCTTGCATGTGACCAACCAGGCAATAATGCCCAAAAACATACCTCCAACTGCTCCTCCCACAGCACCTATCTTGTTGAGATCCCTCCACGTAAAACTAAGGGCAATGGGAAAAACTCCTGCACCAGTAGCACACCCAAGGAAGTTAAACAACCATCCCATACTTATCTTTGCAGCACCGTAGAAGATCGAAGCTAAACATGACGAGAAAATAGCCCATCCAAAAACACTGATTTTGGCAGCTCTCACAACCTGTTTTGGTGTCGCATCCGGTTTTATGTACCGCTTGAAAATGTCATAGCTAATCAAAGTCGATGTGCCGATTAATTCCCCAGCAAATGATGAAGTCACCGAGAAGAAGATCATCACCAAAATCATTGCCGAGCCTGATTTTCCCATCAAGTACGTAGCGGCAGCCACTGGGGCTAATCCTTCGCCAACTTCAAATTCGGAAAGCGTGGGGGAATCATCGTACACAGACAATGCCCTGCCCGCTAATCCTAAACCGGCACCCATGGCAAAGGGTATCACGAACCAACACACCGAAGCAAAAAAGTAAGCTCTTGATGTGATTTTGGGATCAGCTGCCACCGCCCTCGATAAATAAGCTTGGTCATTAACAACAAGACCAAACCCAGTAACAATACTCACGATTGAAAAAATTGCTCCTTGCTTCGACCTGAATGTCAAGTATGAACCGTGGTAATTGTCGTCAACTGGAGGCAACGACTCAAGCAATTCCCACATCTTCTTTGGCGAGCCAATCTTATCACTGCCAAAGTAGACTTCAAACATAAACACAATAATAAACACCAAAATAATGCATGTGTGGGTAGCATCAGAGATAAATGTTGCCCTTAACCCACCGAAACTAACATAGATGGCACATCCAAAAGGTATTAAAAACAACGCAGCATACTGACTTATTCCAGTTACAGCATTAAACACGGCCGAACCCCCCAACAAGATACATGAACTGACAATGGCATTACACACAAAGCCACACCAAAGAAAACTTAAATGGCCAGCTTTTCCGAATCGGAAGTAACCCATTTCAGGAAACGTGGTTACTAAATTGGCATTCTTTTTAATCTTTGATGACACAACCGAAAAGACACTGACTTGCATTAACCCACCAATGGCGTACCAATAACTGCCACTGATTCCAATATCATAGCTCTTTACCGCCGACTCCAACAATGTCAAGCTCCAAGTCCAGTTGGAAAGAATCCCGCTGAGAAGCAACCCGAATCCAACCGACCTACTCCCGGAAACAAACTCGTCCACTTTTTTCGAGTTGTAGATGCTAAATTTGTTTTGCAAGAATGTGACGTAGTTCATAACTATTGCAAAGAAGGCTCCGCCTCCAACAATTAGGCCGTAGCCTACACCCTGCGAAAGAGAAGGTTCCATTTTGTGGGGCAAAGGATATATATCACATAAGGAGAAAGCTTTTTATGGAATCCAATCCTCTTTAAGTATCTTTGAAGTCTAAATTTTGTGCGATGATAAGGGACTGGTTCGGTATGCAGAAACTTCACAAGCGTTCACAATTCTTCTATTCATTGAAAATTCCAATGAGCGAATTCTATTGCGCACGTCGGGTCTGCCTTCAATCCTCCTTTGTTTTGACAGATTAAACTTCTAGACTCTATTGTTATTTTTTACGTTTTGTGTCAACTGTGGCGGCCATGATTTGCAAATTGCTAATTTATCCTGCCATATTTGGTTTTATCAAATATCTCAAAAGAACCGAGCCACAATTTAGAAACAATATCTTCCACAAAAATTGGGCATGAAAAGCAGTTGTGATCTCTTTCGTACCATTATAAGCCTTTACAATGCTCCTGTATCATACCGGTAGCGCCAAAATTTCCCTATTTGCAACCGCCAAGAGCTTATCTAATAAAAGTCCATCTATTTTTGCTATTAAACTATGGAAAGAAAGGGGGGGGGGGGGGGGGGGGGACCGGGGNGTTTGCCAATTGGTACAAAATCTGACCGGCACTGGCATTTATCAACAAATCTTTTGGTGCTGGACCCGACGAGCTACCGCTGCAATAAAGACCCTCATTGGGTTTGTATGTAGATCCTGAGGTAGAGAAAACCTTGGCGTATTTAGCATAAGTGTCTGGTGTTCCACTGGTGGCCAGGTCGAAATAAAGGTTTGAATCATCGGGATCCTGCAAGAATTCGTAAATGTAATTTCCTTGCTTTGTTACTTCGTCTTTGAACTTGTCAAATTTACCAGTACCAAAAGCGTCACCAAACCCAACAAACAATAAATGAACATACTTGAGACTGTTGTTCCAGACCTTTTGTGAGGTATAAAATGCACCGTCTTGGTTAGTTGCAGCGGTGGCAAGATCCAAAGCCTTTTCCAAAGCATCTTGTGTACCAATCTTGACCAAAGCGCTGATTGCACATCCAACGGTGTAGGTCAATTTCCCCTTGTTGATCGACCAGGAACTGGAGTCCAACCCATCGTAGAATAAAGAGTCGCTATCCTGCAAGTATTTCGACATAAAGTTCATGCAACTCTGGGCAAACTCAACCAAGGAGTCGTCACCATTAACCTCGTAGAGTCTCATTGCACTTAAAGCAGCTTCAGTGGTAGAAATCGATGCAATATAAGACTTGTCCTTTTGCCAAATGATCCCGCCAGTATTCTGATAATTTTGCGTCTTTAAAAAGTCCACAATACCCTCGGCATACTTCAAGTACTGCTGGTTATTGGTCATTTTGTATGCAGCAATGAACACCCATGATAGTTGAGCATTGTCATCACTGTAGATATCCAGAGGAGAATTAGGAGTCGATGAAAACGCACCAGTAGTTGAATCGTAGTATTCCAAGATCCGCGATATGGTAGTCTCGAGCCCATTACTGTCGCCCGAATCAGCTATGGCTTTGCCCAAGACTGCCATATCCCACACTGATGGCGTTTCAAAGGAATTATCCTGACAAATGCTATCCTCTTGGTTCCATTTCCCGTTTCCCCAGAACCTTTGCCAAAGCTTGTTGACCGTTATCAAATATGCGTTGCCTGATTGTGGTGTGGAAGGTACAGCTTCATCAAGATCAAAATCAGAAGATTGGGATGATTCTAATGCAGAAGATGCCGAATATGACTGCGTAGGTGAAGTTTCTGATGATATTGGTACTCCAGAAGTCAGCTGAGCAGATACAGATGATGGCAGTGGTGAAAGTGATCCAATAGCCAGTGCTGTTGTCGTTGGTGCAGCTAGCGATGTGGTGGTGGTGGGAGCAACTGGTGATGCTGTGTTAGCAGCAGGTGCTGTAGTCGCCACGGCTGACGAAGTGGAAGAAGCCGATCCAAAACCGAAAAGTTGAGCAATCTCTTGCAAAAAATTGGAACCACTGGTACTAGCAGTTTGAATGGAGTCAACTTGAGCATTTTGCACTAATGATGCGGTTATTTGTACACTTAGTGCCTGAGCAGTTGGCAAGTTCTGATCTACTCCATTAGTTTGAGTAACTATGACGGTGTTGGTAACGATTGGAGCAGTTGCACCCAAGGTCAAAATGAAGGGTAAAAAGACAAACATAAAAAGCAAACTTTGTCCAAATGTTTTATCAGCGAATGTAGCAAAACTTTGGGACCCTTTTTTTGTTTAAACGTGTGGGACTGTGGTAAATGCATTATTCTATTCAGGAATATTGATTTAACTTTATACTTTTTACAAATGAGTGAGAAGCTATATAGACACAGAAGATAAAGGGGGGGGGGAAAAGTGGATATTGAATGTTAATAAGGTGTAATTTGTTTCAGGTTTCCATGGCAACCATATCCCATAGTAGGTTTTTAGTACTTATTTGTTTTAAGTCCTAAAGTTTTAATTTTTAACACATTCCAGAATCGCTAATCAACTCCTGTCGAACAATAAAAATATCTCTCTCATAATAATATAACCACATTAAGTAAATTTGCAGCAGTTGAAACAATATAAACACAAAATCAAAAGTAAACAATAAGGAGAATGGAATAGACGAAAAAGAAACTGTTTGGTTGAAGTAAAATTTATCTACCACTAATTATTTATTGGCCTTGCGTTATCATTATTTTGCGACTTTGAGCAAACATAACCATGTGGGCGCTTTATTTTATATACTAAAAATAGAAACTGAGTAAATCCTAGAAAGTCAAAAATTAAAAGAATAGAAAAAACAAAAAAGCCTGAATGATAATTTCAGGCAAAAGAATGGGCTTTATTGAAAAGGAGTTGGAAATAGAGCTATCATCCGAATGCACAAGACATAACTTGTAAGAAACAAATGACGCCTTCTTCTCCTCAAATGTTATTGTATCTTTATTGCAACAGGACCTACCACATATGGTGTATTTCCCAAATAGGCAGTCCGGATCATTACTCAAAAAAAGAAAAAAGAAAAGAAAGAAAGAAAGAAAAAGAAACACGGACAATAAAAAAATTGATAACGGTGCAGACCCCCACCATTAGGACCCCGACTTTAACTCCTTCATGATTACTTTACCCCACATAAAAACCACGTCAAATTCCTGAAAAAAAAAAAAAGAATATGTCACAATTATCAGGAAATCAACGAATACTACGTAATCCATTATTGACTAATCCGACTAAATGGCTCAATGATGTACCAAAGAAACATCATAGCAACCTCATGCAAAATGGTTTCTACAATCGCAGTGAGTTAAGTAGTAATCCCTATGTCCAGTCATTAACCAAAGTTGACGCAAATTCAAGCACTGCAGTGCTACCTGTGGGAAATGCCATTCGTCTAACTGCTGTTGTAAATGCCGCCAGTGCCACTACGAATAAAAGGTCCGATATAACGCTACATCCTATTTTGCACCTCATCGATGATACAAGCAATGAGCCTGGTCGATTAATCAGCAACAACAAAGCATACATTCATTCTATTCAGGACAGTACGAAACTAGCACAAACCTATCGGCCAATGAGAATGGACAAACTGGAATTACCGCTGAAATACAAGGTTGACTTTGTTGACAATATAAGTGATGAAATAGAGACGTTGTACAGGGATAAAATCGAGACGTTGCTAAGAAATATTAGGCAAACACAACAGGGACTGAGAGATGGTGGTGGTATTGAACTAACAGACATGGAGGGAGCCAGCCGATGGGAAAATGGTAGACTTGAAGTCAACAAGTCCTTAATTGGAGTGACTGACGACACATTTGTCTCATTCAGGGACCATCCAGAGCTTTCTCGTCTCATTATAGCATACTGTGATTATAAAAGCTAAAGTCTATATTCGTAATTTTATTAAACGTTTAAATGAAATATACTAAAATTGCAGCAAGCAAGTTGAACAACATGGACGGTTTGTAAGCTTGGGCCTCGCCTTTCTTACTACTTGAGCTACCTGAGGCTGTGGTCAGTGCCAATGACACGGAGCTTAAAGTAGTAGTAGCAGCAGAAGCTTCCTTGTTTGCCCATTGGTTTACATCTGATGCCGAAACAGTTTCATCAAAGGAGGTTGAGTTACTGACCCACACAGTGACATCTCCATTAGCATCAAAAACAACACCACCAACCATTGTTCCCGTCAAGTCACGTTCGATGTATGAGCTGATTGCCATCCCGGTTTCAATATCGCCAGTACCTTGGTAGTCATGGACGGTGGAGTACAAATGAGTATAATCAGTAGAATTCATCACTTCGAAAATGTCAAATTCACCACATCCACTTCTCCAGCATGAACAATTGACGTTGGATGAGTATTGAGCAGTTCTTGGAATTTGCGCATTCAACAACCAAATTGCCGGCATGTTATAGTTGGAAATCGAGGTTGACGTCTTTGTTTCATTAGGCATCTTGAATTCGAATAAAAACATCTTGGTGGTTCCATAAAAGCCATGGTAAGCAGGTATATCTGATCTATAAACACCACAATCATTGTTCAACCCCGAGGAGCCACAACTAATGTTGGAGAATATGACATACTCGTCATTGGAGTTGATTAACGAGTTTTCGGCCAAAACGGTGGTCGAGTCTGCAGCACCAGTACCGTTGTCACTAGCATAAGTCAATCCGTAACCCAAGCACGACGAATTCTTACCAGCACGAGTTAAAAATGTGACATTTTCCGAAGTTCCGCTAGAAGCTTCATAATAACTAAGTCTATTCCAATCTCCTGACGAGTCATCCCCAAGTGTAAACCCATTTGAAACGTATGATCCGAACTTGTTCAAAATCAATGGGCCTCTGAAATGAACACTGACCTCTTCATTCAAGGGACTATTGACACCGGAAAAAGTCACTTGCGTGGAATCTACTTCACACGAACACGAATCTTTGTAGATGTCACTGAGCTTACTGACTCGCGAATAAGCTCCGGAGTATCCGAAATTGTCGAATTGAAGTACTTCAACTGCGCTTTTGGCGATAGCAGCCACAGTAAAGTAAAGTAGGAATAATATCTGAAGCATTTGTCTATGAGCTGAAAAGATGGAAAGCGATGCAAAATAAAAGATAAAAGTCACTACAATCCTTTTCTTGCCCTTTTTTTTCTAAAAAAAACAGCAGATCTACTCCATTTTAAAGTACTTTTTTTGGGAGTTGAAATTTTCTTTGATAACCTATGGAAAAACCTTCATCGGCTTATTTGTTTTTGTAATTTACACAAAATAATCCCGGACCGAAGAGTTTTCATCGTTGAAATCAAAAGCCTTTTCGAAGCAAAACGAAGCCTTGTAAAATATCTCAAGATACAACGTAATGTTAATAAATCTGTAGGGCTATACTGGATCACTTTTTACAGTGTGGTTAACTGAACACTCTCACTCTCCTGTGCTTGGTGATCTATTTTTAGATCCGGTTCTAACCATTTTGCATAATTAATTACACTGCCTGAATAAGAACAAGCACAAGAAAAAAGAAAACCAACAACACATGCACGTGACTCATACAAAAACAAAGTATCTTAAAGCCGACTCTGCCTAAGCCTTGTCTGTCAGAGAGTTCAAACACGCGGTGAGTCAGGGGATGAGAGATGACGCGTACTGACAGGGCTGCGAAGAAGTTCCACCACTTGTGTGACCCCTGTAAGAGAGTTTGTATTGGAGCTGCTGATTGAGTTGTACGTTAGTTGGGAGTCTATGCTACTTGACCGCAAATCTCATGCAAAGTTTGTCCACGTGGGAGTGTTCACCATTTTGGAACAAAATGAAACAGAGCAGAACTTAAAAGGAGATATCGTATGTGACCACCCCATTTTGTGAAATAAACATCTTCTAGGGAGTTGACGTTAAACACGATCTTATCTTCCTGAAAAGCTTATCTCAGATTTTGCATCCTCATACTCTTTATGTCGATAACATCTCTTGCTACAAAAATCCGTGCACCACACAATGTCGTATCAGGATAGAGAGACGCCATTTGAAGTAGGATAATAGTTATCACTCAACTTAATACGGGAATTCTGCAATCAATAAGCCATCGAGGAACAAAGTTGGCCACTATTCAGCTCTTCCCATTTCCTTGGACATGTAGCAAGTTCCAATCAATCTCAAACACATACACCCAACAACATATCTTTATAGAGTTCAATTGCTACTTCATGGTATTACACATCACCTATTCTTTATTACAGAGACGACCAGAAAGCAAAGGGGAAGAAAAGAGAAAGAAGAAAAAATTGCAGCAAAACAAAAAAGAATCACAGCGAGGAGACTAAATCCACCAGTAGAGATATACATATCACACTTTGCTTTATACCCACGTTGGTTCTACACTTCTACCCATGCATCGAATATGTCAATTAGTCCCAAAAATATCAACATTAACCACCAACCACCTTGTCAATGCATCATTTAAACAACAAGTACGACACTGTGCTAGTTACTCAACTCAGCGTCATCATCTGTCCATTTCTGATAAATTCCGACTAACCATGTCACGATTGGCATCACCAGCAATGGTATTAACATCAGCAATACCCATGATCAAATCTACTAGCACCAGCCCTAGCACCAGCACTGCACCTCCAGTAACTGATGACAAGTCACACATTGACCCCAAGCAAGACCTCCATGGCATGACATTAAGTTCCGTTTGTTCATTATCAGTTCACCCCAACCCCTATCTCGAATTCAATTTACATTTACCGTCATATACATCCACAGCAATACATAACCACCAGTATCTTGCTATACATCTTATGCCACCGACTCGACATAGTGCCAAGATATGTCGTGTTTTCGCCAAGGGTGTTAAATTGAATAAACGGGGAACCAAATGGACCAGCAAACCAATTACAAAAGCACAACAATCTGTCGATAACGACGTAAAAAATAACAAAAACAACGATGAAGATGATGACGGTGAGATTTTCCACGAAATGACGACTCCATTCACCAACCTAGTCGAGGATCAAGACTATACATTCATCAAAAAACACGACGAAAACATAGCAATCCCCATCTTATCCCACGCTGAACTGATTTTCATCTGTAAAACGACGCACAATTTCACCATTGACGATCATGAAATCTGGGTTGCTAAAGTGATTGATGTGATAACTGACCCGCACTTGCACAAGAGTGGCGGGTTGTTGTATTTCAATAAAGGGTTCCATAAAATTGGTGAAACGTTATCTGAAGAGTAGAAGAGTACTTTGCATACAACTGTTCAATTTGTAAATAGAGAGAACTGGGTTTTACCATCTTTTATCAAATCATCATAAAAACAACTTCACAGATCTAATCCAACTAAAATTTCCCTGGTGGGGGTTCTTTTTTTTTTTTTTTCTACTCATCCATTAATTCAGCACACTCTTGTCTCAATAATTCCGTCTCATGTAAAATCCTTGGAATTATAGTATCAAACTTTTCATTAGTCTTTTTGATCCGCTTAGCGAATTTCGATAAGATTTCCCCCTTTTTCAAATTCTTCAATTCCAATTGTAAAAATCTCAATTCTTCTTGCTTAGAATCATGACGAGCCAATAGTTTTTGATACTTGGTTGATAAATTTGACTGCTCTTGTTGCAATTTAGTCAAATCTGATTTATAACCCTTTAATCTAGATTCATACTGAGTATATTCCAATTCCAATTGGTTAATTTCATCAAGTTGTGATTGTTGCTTGATTTTCGATTGGTGTTGCAATTGCTTCTCTTCTTGAGTTAATGTATCAATTTCCGATTGAATAGAATCAATTTCGTTTTCCAATTGCAACACTGAGTGTTTAAGTCCTTGTATTTTACCATAAACCCGATTTTCATTGGCCGGTTTGGCATTATTGTATTTGGAAATTTTGTTTTTCACAACATCAATAGAATTTTTCAAATCGGACATCTTTTTATTTTCATCCTTTTTGAATTTCTTCAATTTGAGTTTAAGATTATTCAAATTTGTCATTGTCGAAGTTAATGATGTTTGTAATGTAACGAGAGACGACGTTTCTCCACTAGACTTATTGATGACTTGGTCATTGTCATTGGTGGTGTTGATTAAGATATAATTGAGCAATGCATCACCATCCAAAATCTCCACTTCGTATTGAAACAAGGGAGTCAATCCATAGATTGTTATATAACGCGTGCCTGATTGATTACCAAATTTTAAATACGACCAATCGACATTATTCAACTTGATTCTTAAATTTTCAACACCTTCACTGAATAACAACTTTAAAACCACTTTGCTTGAATCGATAGCTACAATAGCAACTGGCAAGTCCTTGCAACGACCACTGCTAAAATCAGAAACTCCATTGTCAGCATTCTTTCTCGTTGGTTCTCCGTTGAACAAGTTTGGATTCTTTAAAATTGCCTTACACGCAGCAACAATGGACCAAAATGGTTGGATGATAATCGTATTCTCAACTACTGTAACATTTGGGGATATTGTCGTTGTAGTTAAAGATTTTGAAACAGAAGTCATTTTAGATGAAGTTGTAATTGATGTTGGTCCAGTAGATGCATTTGCCAAAGGCGTTGTTGTGACTGCAGATGTAGGTGCAGGTGCAGTAGGCGCGGTAACAGCAGCAGAAGCAGCAGAAGCAGCAGAAGCATTTGCAGGTACCGCCAAAGTGTATGAACTCAAACTCTGTGTGCCAGCCGAACCTAACTTCGGTCTGGACAAAGATGCTGCTCTCATTCTATTCTTTAAATTGGTCAACTTGCTATTAAATGGAGAAACCACGAAATTTTCAAAATTCTTATAAGCAATCGAATTCCAATTATTCTTGCTTGTTTTTTGACTCAAATCCACCTTGATATTGGTCAATTTATTTTCATCAACATTAACAGAAATCTCGTCATTGACACTAGGTATTGAGTTTTGTACAATGGTTGACTTTTTGACAAATAACGCCCGGTTGATAATATGAATCGAGAGGAATAAATACAATTGAATCTTGTAATCGCTGAAATTCAAATTGTTTATATATGATATGTTCACGGGGATGATTCTCGTTGCGAGGTTATTGAGTGACTTGAATGATGCCAATGGCGTTGACATAGATGTAGTGGTGGCATTTGCTGTAGTTGTTGGTGGGCTGATAGATACTGATGCAAAATGAAACCAATTTAATAAATAATTGATATAATTGATGATGATAAAGCAGAATATAGCGTTCATTAGACTGCTATTGAAAAAAATGCGTCTTTTATCATCGTACTGTATCTTGCTCGTGATTTTCTTGTTTGATATGGAGTTGATATAATATATCGATGAAGCACCAATTAATTCACTCGATACTATTGATTTCGACAACATAATCAAATAATTGAAATAGCTCTTTTTTTTGATTAATTTAACCAACGTCAAGTAAACAATCGAATCAATTAAGGTGACTTTTATTGCCGAATATGATATACTTTTAATGCCCTTAAATACAGGTTTTTGCGATTTGGGAAGCATGAAATTGATCAAAAATTTTCCACCCATAAAATTTGACCCTAAAATTAAATACAAGATGCAAATGAGTAATGAAACTGATTGTGGTAATGATAATGTAACAAAAACAAGGGATAAAATGTCGCGTAAGCTTGAAGAGTTGGGGAAGACAGTTGATGGTTGCGGATGGTGGTGATGATGATGATGGTAATGGTGGTGGTGCTCAACAGCAGGTGATTCCGACACCGTATTATTCACATTTGGAGAACCCCTTCTTTCACTACTATTATTCGACTCAAAGTGCCCGCCGCTGTTGCTGTTAACCCCGTTTTTGCCATTCAAGTGATAATGATGATGAAACGATGTTGGTTGCGACAGCCCCAAATTTTGCATGCGTGAGGAAGCAGTCTTGGAAGATACTGACGAGTTAGCAGTTGAAGCTGAGCCTGAAGTTGAAACTGACTGTGACTGTGAAGTAACTGATGACAGAGATCTTGATTTTCGATTCACAGTGGTCAGTGTTTGATGCATTTAATCATAAATATACGTGGAGGATATAAAATGCTTGGTCAAAGGAGCGGAAAAGTTTAACTGTGTGTATGACTATCTTGTCTCGACCTATTTGAACACGTAACTCTGTATAGTTTTGTCCTTGTCAACAATTGTTAATAATATAATGTGGTGGGTAATTTATCAAAGTTGCAATAATTCTGGCAGCTTCTTTTTTGGTTGTAAATTTTTTTTTTTTCAAAATTTCCCTTTCCTTTACCCAGTCATTTTCTTTACAACAATGGGGAGATAAATTCACCACAGCAACTATACATCAAACTTAAGAGTAGTGTTGTATGGCTAGATTTGAAATGTACCAGCAGTATACATTCATCCCGAGCGGCGTTAGCTTTATCAGCTTGCTCATGAGGCTTGAAAAGTGTCTGTAAATGGTGGCGACAGTTCAGTAGTAACATCCATACATCAGTACTTCTACCCTCGATTACTTTAAAATTCCGCGGTTTGCGCTTCCCATACATAGATCGGTACTCCTTTTTCCTCTCTCACTCTCTCCATCTGGTGAGAGGAACAGGAGAAAAAAATAGAAAACAAAATAAGTGTCACTTGACATTATAATGACGCGACAACCAGATTTTGCCTTGAACTGAGGGGGAGTTATTGTGAAGAAGCAAAAATAGTGAAAACATTGTCCAATCGAATGCATTGTGGTCGAGGTTGTCAAGAAGTCGAGGCTTAGCCATATAAGCTACGTTGTAGAGGAGTCACAATAGAACAAAACTTCTACTCCACAATTAGTAATTCTATTTCTAGATTGTAAGGAGTCTCTCTACCTTTGTAGGGCCTCTTCATATTAGAAAGTAAAGACAGGGAGCATGTAATTAGCCAATAACTGATTTTGATTGAACCTTTGTGGAGTTTAAGAAATTAAACTTGTGCTACAGTGACGTACACAATCACTCCCTTTTTGGTATAGAAGAGACATATTTCCAATCAAATTGCTCTCTAAGTAAGACAAACACACTGGGATGATATTAAACTTTATTGTCGTTCTACTGATATCCATAGAAGGTGTAAACATGATATTGTTAATAGTCAGCAGAGGCATCTATATCTATTTTGTGATCAAAGTCAATGCTCGTTACGCTTAGCAACTAAACTTAAACTGTTACTTTTACAAAATTAAAATTTTGAGTAAGCAAAAAAAAAAACCGTTGAGCTTTCATTTTTGGTTTGTTCTTCCCTTGTTTGTTTCTTAAAAGTTCTATTTTACGACAATAATTGTCATTTTTGTGGTCACTTGAGATATTTTACCGACACTGCGTTTTGTAATAACCAATTTCAATGGCTCTTTTTTTTTTTCATTTATTTTTTTGTAATTTCGGTAAAAGCCGAAACCACCACCAACAACGGGTGATGCAACAGCACATGGCAATATTGAGTTTGAAAGAGGTGAGATAACTTAGTGTGATAGAGCTTCCCACTTCTGGAGTATTTTAGGGTTTTCGTAAGGGACAAAAACGGGGAAAAAAAACAAATTAAAGACACAATGCAAATACATGTGATAAAATTGTCTGTAGGTTTGAGGGCTTTTTTTCTATTTTAGTTTTGTTTTATTTTATTGTGATTCCCCTCGTTTGCACGAGAATGGGAGGGGAGGAGAAGGAAATGATGGGCGGGGGAAACTACGGGGAGAAAGGAATGACTGTTGTATGATTGATTGAATTGAATGTGAGTGTTTTGGCGGTGCTTTGTGTTTCGTGTCACCTAAAAATTGTTTTGTTTGCAATAAATTTTGCCCTGACCAATAGAAAAGCAGTTTAACAGCCGGGGAGAGAGGTATTAATGACAGTTAATTAGCCTAGCTAGAGTGTGGTACCGGCTCCTTATCTATTTCTTCGTAAAAGATGGATTTTATAATCTTGGATAACACATCCTCACCAACGTCAATCTCGAGATTGTTGGATGGAAGGCGACATTAGAAAAAGAAAAAGCGACACACAAGATCAAAAAAAATATGACACTAAACATTTTTCCATGTATAATTGTTGAACCTTGCATATATCCACACAACAGCTTAGTACTTAGTTCTAAACCGGTTGTCTTGAATATTGTCCGCTGGAAAGTAACATATCTGAGGCTTTGTTTTGCTTGAGATACACCCCCACTGCTAACATCGTTTGTGTTTTGATTGGTTGGCTGGATAACGACGACGACAACAAAAACAATTACAAATACAAACAAAGAAAACAGAACAAAAGGAATTTCATTTAATACGCGAACCAACAAAAAGACAAAAACAACAAAAGGGCGTTTTTGTATTTTTAATCACAAAAAGTAGCAATCATAAAAAACCAGAGACACTAAACAATAGAAAAGAAAAAGAAAAAGAAATTACAGTTTAGCAATTGTACACTACCTCTTCTCTTTGATTCTATTTTTTGACCCCCTTTTTTCCTTTCATTCATGACCAAACCTCAGCAATTAAGAGAACCAGAACCTTAAATCTAAACTGCTGGAAAAGGACATTTACTTGGTTGGGTTGTCTAGTCATTACAAAAATGTCTATGAAGTGAAAGGGAGATACAAAAAAAAGAAACTAAGAGCAAATAAGAGTGTGCACAAAGGACAAAAGCAAAAAGAATTTATGCGAAGAGGTTTAAAAATAAATCACTCACTGTGCATTACTGACTGACTGGCGCTCACAGTAATTCCGGTTTTGTAGAACAAAAAAATTTCTTTTCTTTAGTGTTTTTCTTTTATTTTACATTTGTTACATTTTGTTTTGCATTTACGCAAAACAAGGTAAAAGTCTTTCTACTGACAAGAGAGCAGAGATGTCCAACTTTAGTTGCAGTAATTCCATACAGTAGTGTGTGTTTATGAAAGAAACTTACACTCTAACTCTATGATTGGTGTTTGTAAAGCAAAAACAGAGACAACAGACAGAAAATGTTTTATTTTCAATTTTCACAGACAGACAGGAAACCAAAAAAAAGCTGTTACGACACAAAATTATTCCCTTTTTACAAAATCAAAATCAATTTTGTCATTCATTTTTATTTTTTTATTTTAGTTTTAGTCCACCTGGAGGACACACACACACAGACACATTTACGTAACGTAGAGAAGAACCAGACACAGACAACCAACTTATCAGAAACGTAGGACCAATACACAAACTGATAATTACACATATTCATGATAATTCATATTCTTCAACAATCTGTCATCAGCTACAACAGTTTGCCAAAAGAAAACGGACAACTGCTTTGTATTTATCAAACACTTGTAAAACAGCAAAAGGCTGATAAGAGAGAGAGTCAAGTATTACTTACTCAGTACATTTATAGTTACTAAAAAGTATTAGTTAACTACAATCTCATTTACTTTACAGTTTTAGTTAACTAAATTTCTATTTGTTCATTCTTGTTGTTTGTTTGTCGTAATGAAAAAATTTTTTTTTCTTCTCATTTTGTCCTTTTGTTTCTAATTGTTGTTTTATCTTTTGCCATCATCAACATCAACCCCCGCCTGTGAGTAGATAGAGCGTAAGTAGTCCTAATGTACTCTCTGTACCGAAAGGAAGGGCGACTGTCGAGGGTTAATTGTTGCCTAAGCTGGTGCGTCGGCAGAGAAGAAGACTAAGACTAAGACTAAGACTAAGACTAAGACAAGAGAAGTCATACACAGACACAGAAACGTATTTTTGTACTGCATATAATCTACTCGACGTAATACTAGCAGCAGTAGCATTACAAAATTAATTTTGTGAACAACAAACAACAAACAACAACAACGAAAAAAAAAAAAACTTTTTCCTCTTCCTCTTCTTCTTCTTCTTCTTTTGCGAATCAAAACAACCAACAACTGAAGTAGAAAAGAAGAACAAAACGAAACCACAACAAATCAACCACTACACACACACTACACACACAAACAGCAAACAACAGCAAACAACAGTACACTTATTTTCCACTGTTCTTTTTTTTTTATATTGACAAATCCTGTTGTGCTTCTTTTTTTTTTTTAGTGGGTTTTATTAATTTTGAAGGTTTGTTTTTTTTTTCGTTGAAGAAAGTATCACAATCTAAACAAACAACAACAACAACAACACTTACAGATTCTTGTTCTGGCTGATCTCACACTACACTAGTACTTCTAACAGCTTCCAAACTCACGCTCAAATAGACGCTAGTAACAACGCTACTACATTCACTACACAAGAGAGAGAGACCAATAGAGGGGAAACACCAAAAGAGAAACAACACTTTCCCTTTTTCTGCTTTCTTTTTTCCAAAAATTTTTTTAACCTCTTCTTCGAGTTTGTTCGATGAAGATGATGAATTTGTCTCATGAAGATCCAAGTATTTCTCAAGTCGACACAAACAACAACACTCCAGGTTCTTTATCAAGTATGAATCAGCATTTGAAATCTTCAACTACTCCAGCAAGTAGCCATGCTACTACTGCAGTTGGTGGTGCAGGTGGTGCAGGTGGTTCCACTGACGATGGCAGTGGATTGCACTCTCATTATCAACAGCACAATCCAATTGGCGCTTCTTCTGTTCATCAGCAACATCCAGGAACTGCTGCTCCAACTGCTTATGGATATGACGCTTCTGGTCATTTGAATGGAGCTACTCACTTGCAACCACTTCAACAACAACCAATTCAACACTTGCCTATGCACTCACTTCCCCAACAAACTCACCATTACCCAATCCATTCATTGGGTCAACAGGGTCACTCTCAGCTGCACACTCCCCAAATCTCCTACCAACAACAACAGGCCGCAGCTGCAGCAGCTGCCGCTCAAGGACAAGCACCTTATGGAGGACAAAATCCACTCCATCAACAGATGCACCATCAATTGATGACACCAAACCCATATCAACAACATTACCAGCAACAGCAATTGCCTCATTTGCATGCTACAGCTGGAAGTGGTGCTGGCGGTGCTGGTTCTGGTGCTCATGATTCTCATGACCATCTTAATCTTCAATTTAACCCAATGGCCTACCAACAGCAATCTCAACAACAACAATTGCACCACTTGGGCCATCAGATCCCAAATGTTACCCAACAGCAACAGGCACAAACACAACAACCAACTCCTTTGCCACCTCAATTACACCATCTTGCACATAATCCACTTTCTCAATCATTGCCAATTTCCCACCATCAAACTCCTCAGCCAACACCACAACCACAGGGAACCAATGCAAGACAACCACGTCAAACTAAGAAGCAGAAGCAGCAACAACAACAAGCTGCTGCCGCAGCAGCTGCACACTTGCATCTGCATTCCGGCAGTATTGACCCCAATGCTCATGACCACGGAGCTCTTGATGCACACACCTTGGCACAACAGCACCACATGGAGATGTTGGCCCGTGCTAGTCAAAACGAAATGATGGAATCATCAACTAGAAAAGTAGCTCCTAGATCAAGTGATTTGTTTAGAGTTGGACCTCCGTTTGGTATGATGAAACAACATGCACCAGTTTACTGTAAAGCCAACGATATGCAAGTGTTTCCTATGTTGCACGCCAGAGTTGATCGTGGATTTGAAATGGGTGAAACTGGTACCTGGATTGGATATAAACGTAACTACTTCACTTTGGTTGCTTCATTCAATTTACAAGATTTTGACTTTACTCGATTTGTTCAAAATCAATTCTATACCTATGATAAATCAAAAGGGTTGAATGGCAACGGATTGCATCATCACCCACATCATCCACACGCAGCTCAACCTCACCATCATCCACATCACCCTCACCACGCTCATCATGCTGGTGAAACAAGATTGGACATTAGTTATTTTGCCATTCGTTTAGTTGCCAAATGTTCTGATGATGATGTTGCCATTTCATTAATCCAACACACTGCTAAAAGAGACAAAGGTCCTCAATTCCCACCACCAATCTACCCAGCTTTACCTGGTGATTTACCTGACCATGAGACTGTCAAGGCCAGTTGTAATAAGCGTAACGGTAACAAGATTGAAAACATGAACAAGGTGTTTTTCTTTGATCGAGCCTCATATTATGGTGATTACGGATTGGATAGTAATAAGGACCGTTCAATCTTGCGTAACTATCCTAGCGATTCCATATCAAAAGTTGCTCGTTTTGAACGTATTCAATTTACAAGTTCAATTAGAGTTAAGTCCACTAGCACTGCTGCCCGTTATTTCACCTTATCGTGTGAGTTGTTGGGAATTGTGGAAGATGAGGATTCACAAATCCAACCAATCTTGTTGGGATCGATTGAGTCACCACCTTTGGTGATTAGAGGTAGATCCCCTTCGAGTTATCATAAGGATAGAACTTCGGGGTACAGACCGCCAAACACTGCCTCACCTGCAGGCCCATAAGAGAAGTGAATCAAAGAGAAACAGAAAAAAAGAGGTTGAGAGATCCAGTTAGAGTGATGGACCTATTCTCAAAGAGACAAACCTTTTTCTCTCCATTTCGACCATGTCCTGCAATATAATGAACCTTGTTATTAATTATTTAACCCTGTTTACTATTGTTGTTATTACCCATGTTATTTTTTTTATATCGTTTTTTGTTTGCTTTTGTTAAATTTTTTTTTTTGTATCGTTTTTGTTGTTTGTTTTGTACTGCTAATATAACCTTTTTGAAATGCACAAATTTTAGTTGATGATGGTGCTGCAATTGTTGTTATCAATTATATGTTATCGAAGCTGGTGGTGGGTAGTTTAGTGAAGGTATGCCAGTGTTTTGAGAAAAACTATTGTGCTGAACTAAACTACTTTACTAGGTATGCTTGATTTTTCCACTTTTCTTTTTACATGTACATGTATAGTTGTATAAACTTTGAAAAAAAACCCCCAGTCTGTATTATATTATTATACACAGTGTACGTGCTTATATATATATTGTTGCAAAGTGATAAGATGAGGCTTGATCTGGGCCATCTGTAATCTTCGGCGATGTAAAAAAACCAACCCCACCTCACGATAGAGCTACCATTTCATTTCGGAAGCTGAAAAACTAAAAAATTCTTCTTTTTAGGTTTGCGTCGCTTTAGGCACAACACAACACAACTCACGCACAACTGAAACCTCCCGAGAGATCACACGCATCGGAAAAACAACAACACACACGCATTCCAAACAGACAAATATCAACAGCCAACAATCACCCACTGATTGGTAATCAAAACTAAAGACTGAAAACAGTAAGAAAACACATAATGTAGATAACGACTATAGCATAAATATGTAAATAAAGACACAGTTAAAACTACTGAGTAAAGGATCTATATATAACCTCTATACATTTTCGGTCGAAAGTTGTAAAGGTTGCCGTTGTTGTCGTTTTGGTCACTCGTGTTATTATTATAATATATTTGTATTGTAGCATTATGAAATTTTTACCCCGGACAAAGGAAGAAGAGGAACATGAAGAAGAAAAAAAAAGTAATAAAAAAAAAAAGACGAACATTAGTCGAGAGGTATTATTGTACACCATCAAGTACACATCAACTACTTCCTACAACTTATATAAACCCTACCCCTTCCTTCCTTCATTCCTTCATTTACGTTGATATTGACTCGATGTCGGAGAATGAAATACTACGAAATCAAGCATCATCGCTGCCGATGCTGATACCACCGCTGCTCCTGTCGTCACAAGACCTGTTGCAACAACAACAACAGTTACCACAACCACAAGCTGATGCTGCTACTACAATACACGACTCAAGTTCATCAAGACTATCACAAGGAATAAGGAGTTTGTTCTATACTCGAGCAAGCACTCAAAATCGGTACAATAATGACAAAGATGATGTGAATGATACCATTCCTCTTCCTGGCCACTACTCAAACGACCAATCAACACCCATCAAAAGCATCAAAGTCATTGATAAACAGAGTCTTCATTACGTGATTCTTTCAGGGATGGCAGGTGGTGTTGCTGGATCAGCTGCCAAGACATTAGTAGCCCCATTAGACCGTATCAAGATTTTGTTCCAAACATCAAACCCGGAATTTCTCAAGTATAGAGGCACGTTCCATGGTCTTGTCTTGGCCGGTAAACGAATTTGGTCGAGTGATGGGATCTGGGGGTTATATCAGGGCCATTCAATTACATTGTTGCGAATTTTTCCCTATGCCTCGATTAAATTTGTTGCTTATGAGCAAATTAGAACCATTTTGATCCCTAGCGATGCATATGAAACGGCCGGCAGACGATTTTTGGCGGGGTCGTTATCTGGATTGGCTTCGGTCTTTTTCACTTATCCTTTGGATTTAGTTCGTGTACGATTAGCATTTGAAACCAAGAACCTTGCCCATATGAAGTCGCATCCGCAACACCAGCAGTTTATGCAGAACCATCGCGGAAGAATATTCCAAACGGTTCGAATTATTTATAATGAAAATCCACCAATGAGATCTAATGACCCCAAGTGGCTAACCATGATGAGACGAGTATTGCCCTACAATATTCAACGCATCAGTAATTTTTATCGAGGATTTGCCCCTACTATAATGGGAATGATTCCATATGCTGGTGTATCCTTTTATGCACATGATTTGTTACACGATATTTTACGATCAAAACCATTGCATGAATTCACCGTACAACCAGCAACTAAATCATCTACATCGACATCAGTCAAGACTAAATCCTCAAGAGAATCACGCCCACCGTTGAAAGCATATGCCCAACTTGTCGCTGGAGGTATTTCGGGATTGTGCTCACAAACAGCAGCGTATCCATTTGAAGTCATACGAAGAAGAATGCAAGTTGGCGGTGCTGTTGGTGGCGGCCAGTTTTTGTCATTTAAAAACACGGCGCGGTTGATTTATCACGAAAATGGATTCAAGGGATACTTCGTAGGATTGAGTATTGGATATATGAAAGTTGTACCTATGTTTGCTTGTTCATTCTTTGTTTATGAACGAATGAAGAAATTTTTGGGTATATAGAACAAGATGGGGCATTTTAGAGATTTTAGAACACTAAAATATAGAGAGATTTTGCACATCACTGAAACATTTGAGAAGAAGCCATCCCTCTTAAGATACAAAAACGACTAGATTTAATCTATTTACAGGCAATTCTCAAGTCTATTTATTCCTTTTCTCCTTTAGAAAAACCACCACCACTTTCTCTTACCGGGTTTAGTGCCAAATTTGGCACTACTAGCCGTGATGTCCTTATACCCACTCTTGGCTAAATCCTTAGCCAAATTAGCAGTAGTACTCAATTTATCCGTACCGATTCTAAATCCCCAACCTCTCAACAATTTGACTACTCCAGGAGTAATCGCTGCCGTTATCGGCAATCTAATGAAGATCAAACTCTTGTGTAATCCATAAGCAATAGCAAACTCAGTCCATGAAAATTGGCTCATTATATAATGAAGTGTACTTTGATCTTGAGTTGCTTTTTGCTCTTGTTCAATTGCATTATCATCTTGATCAATTCTAGCTTCGATTTTTTGTACATCTTGCTGATGCTTCAACTCATCATCACTGACCCCATATCCGAAAGTTTGCTTCACCTTGTTTTCATAATACTGGATCTTATCTTGTCCCATTGAATGAACAAGCACATAACATATCGGCAAATCAATCATGGAAAGGGCCAAGTAGACTGCTAATGCAGGGTACCCGTATTCTTTCATCAAGGCTCTAATACCCTGTGGTTTCTTTCCTTTTGGAGGAGGAGGTGTATGAGTGGCATTGCGGGCTGTTGAAGACGTAGAGTTGAACCTGAATGAGGTACGTTTGAATGGAGTTTTGATTGAATTGCGCAATAAGTTGATGTAGGTTCGCGTGGGCGATGATGATAGTGGTATTGGTGTGGTTCTAATGCGGAACAATGACCGCATTGAGGCTATAGGTCTAAATGGGTACATTTATGATTTGTTGCAAAAGGCCAAAACCGGTGAGTGTACTAGACTGAGTCTGGTGGGTTCTGACAAAGGGATTTCGGATTTTTCTTTTTTTTCTTCTTTCGCATTCAACGATTTTCTACCAGTGGGTTCTATAGGATGATTTTCTTCGAATTTTCTCAGTCTCATTTACGTTAATTGGTCTCAACATGAATAGCTTCTCTTTGATAAACTTTCGGATAAGGATCTGAGTGGGAACACTATTTTAAACATTACTTATTACTACAAGTTCCAGGGGGGGGCTGCACTGAGCCCAAATATTCGGAGATAAGCTCCACATCTCTCCACCTTGCTAGCTCTTTCAAAAATGTAGCTTTTCAAATATTTATCCTCTATGTACACAGGTTCTATCTAAACTTTGAATAATACGCCTCATCTTCGTGTCTTGATTTCACCAAATCAATGACTTCTTTCAGATACACATCCTCCAATTTCTCACCCCCAATCAATACTCTCTTTTCATGCTTCCTCTGTTCATCTTTTGTCATAACCACCACATTCTGCAAGCTAATTTCCTTTGATGGATCCCACTTACTTAAAGCTAACCTAGTTGAATAATTTGATATTGGCGATTTACCTCTAAATACCTCTTCCAAAATGTAATTGACGTCAGTCATGGATATTTTCACTCGTTGATCTTCTTCACCAATACGCAATTGTTGACCCGCTAAGCTTTGCAACATATCATCATAGATCTTGTACCTGTTTTTGCCTTCAATTGGCTCCATTGGATAGCCGGAAACTGTAGTCAAGATATACGTAGCAATGGCCAAACCAAACATGCCGGGCATAGTACCCAACACTGGCAATATACGCACACGGAAATCTTTCAATGCCGACAATTGATCAACTTCCCCTTTCACAATCTCAGCCTCGTCTAATGGTAAAAGCTTTGCCTTTCTTGGATCAGGCTTTTCCGCCGAGAAGATAAACGGAATACCAGTGGTGATGCCCCTCTTTTTCAACACAATACGAATCTTTTTACACAATGGATCCTCTTCAGTCTTGGAAATATCGGCAACATTGATTCTAGTGGGGTCAGATTTAGTGGCAGCACCACCTGATGAAACAACTGGGATATTATGTTGATGGCAATAAGTGAGCAAATCGCATTTAGTATCGAAGTTATCAATACAATCAACAACATATGTTGGATTAAAATCCAACAATTCTTGAGCCAGTTGTAAATTCCACAACCTATTTTGTCCATCAATTTCAATCCAAGGGACAATTTGCAATAGGTGATTTTTCAAACAATCAACTTTAGAAATACCAACATCGGAAATAGTCGCCACTGCATGTCGATTCAACGAACTCAATGACACTTGATCAAAATCAATAATTCGTAAATGTTCAACCCCAGATCTAGCAAGCATCGTTGCGACCCATGATCCTACACCACCGGCTCCAACAACTATAATCCTTTGGCTTCGTACTTTGGTCATACCCTCGTCAGTTAGGAATGCATAATTTCTTGCTAGTTGTTCACGAATGAGTTCTTCGGAGTATTCACCTGGAGCAAAATTTTTACGTGGTTTGGTCGATGATGACGTGTCATTAGCGGTGTTTCTATTTGTGGTTTCGGTGTATCTATGGTATAGTTCTACTGCAGCAGTAGTTATAGCCGCAGTAGCAAGTACTGCTAGTACCACGTTTCTTGACATCGGCTTTGCTTTTCAATTTTGTGTTTATCAGTTCATCTCGATATAACTTTTTTATTTTCTTCTCTATTCTCTCACATTTGGAAGCGCCGATGAGAGATGGCTACCACTCATTTACACCTTTCAGTCACTTTTTTCAAAATTTATTCAATACTATACATCTATGAATTGAAAACCACATCTGGCCAATTGAGCAAGCTCAAAAACAAAGGAGACTTACTTACAACTTTGCTTTTCCCCCCTTTCTACCAACAGTACACTTGATCAATCCATTTGGATCTGGCGATGGGTAAAATAATTCCTTGTTGTCCTTGATTCCCTTCCATTCCAAGTTAAACAAAATGTAGTGTTTGTTAGGTAAGACATAAGTGACAGTGGCAATTTGTTTAACATTGGCCAAAATTTTTTCAGCCATATTGTACATAGTAGCTTGAACTGATGGTGAATTTTCTTTACAAAACAATTCCAATGTTACATCTCTTGTCTCATTGTATGCACGGTCAAACAACTTGCCATTCTTGATAACATCGTCCAATGTTGCAATTTGGTTTGGGTCGAATGTCCAAGTTGACGCAACATCAGTAGACAAGATTCTGTCCTTGGTTGGTTGCAAGGTAGTGTAGTCACAAACATTGTACCCGTAAAACATAGATCCAGTAGATTTCAAAACAGTCAAATCCTTAATTGATGAAGACAAAGTCAATTTCTTTGTCAATGAATCATAATTCAAATAAGTTTGACGAGTCTCTGGTCCTTCATGCTTGAAAGAGTGGGCATGTTCTTTACCCTCCAACTTGATCTTGGTCCATTTGGCTTGAACAATGTTGACTTCAATACCTTCAACTTGATCGTACTTGGTGGTGAAATGTTTAGCTAAATGAGCAGCAAACGATTCAATGGGCCACACATCAGTGGTCTTGGCTTCAACCAAAATAGTGTTTTTAACAGTGTCAGTGGGGACAATGGACGAGTTATCAGCTTTGGTATATGATGTATCGAATTTACCTCTCAACAATACTTGGACATTGGCTTCAAGAACATCTTGAATGTTTGGGTCAGAAGCGTTTTTCTTGACCTTTAAAAACTTGACGTTGGCTTTACCGTAGGAGCTTTCGAATAATTCAGACATTGTAATGAGTAAGTTTGGTTCTTGTTATAAATTGATTTGATTAATAGAAAGAAGGATTTTTAGAAAAAAGTAAACACAACCTCAGGAAGTAATTTGTGCCTAGTATTTATACAAAAATGAATCATAATTTCGTTATCAAAATCAATTTATTTGGATAAGGGGAGATTTGAGAAACTGATTTTTCGCAAAAGTGCGCGATGCATCTCGGGCTAATACGTTATTATGTTTAAGTGTGGTGCGGTGCAGCGCGGAGAACGCCGAGTGCAAATAAATAAAAACAACGGCAAGTCCCTTTCATCTTTAAGCTGGAGCCGGCGTAAAGAATCAGACCATTTCACTGACTACAATGTGGTTAGTGTGTTGAGCTAAAACATGCAATAGTATACAAAAGAATACCTATATATTCTTCTTATCAGTGCTTTCTACACCTTCATTAACATTCGATTCTTTCGTTTCTGGCACATCTGCAAATCTCAAGTTCTTTGTTTTTGAAGGGCTGGTAGTCAGTGTACTTGCTCCAGTGGATTTAACGGAATCATCGATATTATCCAAGCTTTCTTCTATCGATGTTTTGTTACTGTTATTGTACACCAACTCGGCCGTCCTAATCCATCTCCTTCTTCTTGTGTATTTTGAAAAAGTGTCTTCAGTGGATGGTTTTTTCCACACATTATCGTAGTAAATATACCCTTCATCTGATGACGGATTGGCTGTCGTCTTTGATCTCTTTGAACTAGGCAAGGTGATTGCTCCATCATTAGTCAAGTCTAATCTCCAAGTCTTGTCTACCCATCTCCAGGTTGCTCCTTGTAAATTAGGATCAGTCGACAAGTTAGTGTCATCTGTTGCGGCATTTGGTAGTTTAAATGTGTCGACCGAGCTGCTCTCATTTAAAAACTCATCAGTCCATGGAGTTCTTTCATATGATAATAGATTTGAGGTCCATCCAATGCCTAGCCACCTCCTCTGATTCTCATAAATAACATAAGTAAATCTAACTGGTTTAGAAGACTTGTTGTCGATATTTTCATTCTTTTGCTGTACTTTGGCAAACGCAGCAGCAAATAAAGAACTGTTTCTTGATTGTGACAAGTCCAATCCAGTCAAGTAAAAGCAGATAGTTCTGGCAGCTTTAATCTTCCAAATGATTCTCCTAAGTACAACTGAATAGGATGAGTGGTATGTGAGTAAAAACAATCCAGTGAATAATAATATAATACGAGGCTTGATCAATAAAAAGGTGACAATCAAGTAAACAGGAGTAAGGAACAATGTCGTAAATAAAAGCCTTTTGATGTCGTGTGCAGTCAATGACAAGGAAGTGATGGGAAGGATCAACAAGTCTGCTTTGATGCATGTTGCAGTTAAAGCGTGCACCACATCATCTAAAGTGGGGCTCACCTGGGTTTCCTCAATTATCTTTTCGTTCAATAAAGCAAATAAAGTTATTACCCCGACAACTATCAAATGACCGACCCACGTCACCAAGTTTTCAAAATATAATACTGCAAATGCATATAAACATACAATCACCACATTAACCCAATAATCGTCATTGGTCCAAGTGGCAATTGCTAGTATTTTATTAATTATCAATAAATATGGGTATGATCTGACAAGTGCCTTTGAGACAACAGGTGGTGTGGACGACAACAATGGTGACGATTGTAGTTTCTTGCCCTCATTATGTGATTTGCTTTCCTGATTTGATGATCCTGCGGGATCCGAAGAGGCAAAGTTAGCCCGCAACTCACCACTTGTGTTTACTGCATCTCCAGATAAATTGCTACTAATGCTGTCAATGCGTGAATGTGTATCTGAATTTGACCTGGTTGTGGATTTTTTGGAATTACCCTCAGAGCTTGACATATTGGATCCTGCGGGTACGGGTGGCAATTGCGGATCAAAATGTTTTTGTTGTGACGAATTGACAAGCCTCTTTATCTTTGAATACACAATATCCTTCCTGACAAACTACGAACAGTGCAACGAAATAGTGTTTTCTGAAATCACCTGTAAAGAAAGCGAAATTACGTTGAATTGCTTTTGGGTATAAATGTTGGAGGTGTGTGGGTGTTGGAAAAGTGTGATTTTTTTCCCTTTCTGTCGCGCAAATGAAAATTGCTTGTGATATATTGTCCCAACTGCATCAAACATAGAAATGGGGTTCCATCCGTATGGCCAATATAATAAATAATGGACTTCTCCAACCTTTTGTCAAAGGAGATTAACAAACGAAAGAAGCAGTCACATAGGAATTCAACCAAAGTAAAGAAAGTAAAGCATAATAAACTTACTCAATTGAGACAGCATGATGACTTAATAGAGGGAGACAACAGAGACATTGATGATAGCGAAAAAGAAGGAATTGATTCTATAAAAGATACCACTAATGCAATTCCCCCAAATGATGAGTTTGTATTAGCTGTCCCCAAAAAAGAAGAATTGAATGAGACTGAAATTGATGAAAAGTTGAAACAGTACAACGAGTATGAAAGTGGTTTGTCGAAGGAGGAGAAATCAAGAAAGCTACAGTACTTGCTACAAATGGATCTTCGGAATGAGAAATATAAATACTGGCTCGACCAGGAGGACCCATTTTATCAAGATCCAGCCAAACAAACCATCGCTCTTGACTCCATAATCGAAGCAGAACAAAACCGACTTCAGTTACGAATTCAAAATCGAGTATATTTGAAAGAAATTATTCGTGAATGGGAATCACAGTCGAACAAATCCATTGAAGATGACTTGCTACTAAAGGAAACAAAAAAGGGTATCGTTAATCTTTTGTACAAGTTGCGAAGTGACGGATTACCAACAGAGGCACTAGTATCGCTATCAACAATAATCTATTACTTGCAGTCAAACCAGTTCAACAAAGCCAATGAGAGTTATATGAAATTGAGCATAGGTAACGTCTGTTGGCCAATTGGTGTAGTAAACGTTGGGATTCATGCAAGAAGTTCAAGTCTGAGAATAACGGGAGCCAAGAATGTTAGTAATATAATGATTAATGAGTTAACACGGAAATGGATTATAAGTGTTAAGCGGCTTATCAACTTTAAAGAAAGAATATACAATGATCTAGAGGATAAGAAGTGAACAGGTTTTATCTGGCTGTTGCGTTATAGCGCTACCAAGGCAGTTTGCAACCGTACCCGATGGTAAATATCTTTGAAGGACCGCTAGTAGAGCAATAGATTGACACCTTGTAATAACATACATTTTAAATTTGCAGCTTTAGCGATGTAGTTTGTGGAGATTGAATGTTAGTATATAGGTAACAGTTTTAGGGCTTAGCCCTATTTTAGCACAGACACGATATTCACCAGAAAAAAAAAATCCAAACCTCCAGCGCAGGTTTGAAAAATTAAATTTTGATAGCCAAAGTGCAAACCGCCAACCTACCCTGTACACCTAGTAAACCACACAATACACAATGGCCAGAGAAATCAAAGACATAAAAGAATTCGTTGAATTAGCTAGAAGATCAGACGTCAAGTCCGCCATCGTCAAAGTCAACAGCAAGATTAACGCCAACGGTAAAAAGTTTAGACAAACTAAATTCAAAGTTAGAGGTGCTAAATACCAATACACTTTGGTTGTCAACGATGCTACTAAAGCTAAGAAATTGCAACAATCATTGCCACCAACTTTGAAAATCACCAACTTGTAAATTTTTACAACAACAAATTTGAGGGAGATGATGGACTGTGTGTAACCTATTTTTAATGGAATGATACATATATATTTTTTTTTGCATTATTACTGGATGAATATATCAATGTAGGAGAGATGGCAAGTTAGTCTATACGTGGAGAGACTAGGGTTCGAAAGGGAATTATGTGGTGAATCAAGGGAGTGATACAAAGCATATGAATTTTCTGTGCTCTTGAGTCTAGCATAGATTCTTGTGACTATGTCGAACTCAAAGAACTTCATTGAGCCAGTTGTCATTATAAACTATTGCTTGAGTCGTCTCCAGTTTTTCAAACTTGTCAAATCTTGTTTCTCTTTAGTTTAATTTGCAAAGGTGCTTATTGAGGCATTATCGTTGATCGCTAATGTGGTTGATGGGGCTTCAATGCTTAGCTACTTCTTCGCTTACCCTTCGTTTGCAAAGACAAGCTAATGCAATCAGCTAATGGCTCCATTTTTAGACGTGTGCTGTACACTAGAGCAGAAATTGAGCCAGATTGTACAAGCTGATGATATCATTACACCATTCGCTTTCTCTTCCAAGGAAAAAAAGCCAATCTATAGCTACAATAGCTTCTACTCAGCCAATCTTTTGTATATCTCTACCCGACAAGCTCAACTTTCAAGAGCTGCAACTTATCTCGTAAATTCTCTTTTGTGTAACATTATTCCTGTAAATTCTGCGCTCTTTAAGAGAGGGTTTTCTGCATTGGCTAAAAAGCTATATAAAAAAGGGGAGCAAACACCCATTACATATTCAAATAACATCCTCCATATCTTCATCTTCATTATCTCCATCTGCTTGCTCTTCATTCTCTTTACCTTGTTGGTCATCATCACCAAGCCCTAACCTAGCGGCCCTTTCAGCATCTCTCAATCTTCTATACTCTGGCTTCAACACCCACTTCGATGTATATGGACCCTTTTTAATCAAAATGGCAATTGAATCCAACGATTCCTTTAAATAAGATTCCGGTTGTTTTGTTCGTTCTTTTAAACCCTTTATAGACCAATACTCATATTCCTCAAATAACCTAAACAACAAATCCAAAAGGTCCTGTTTAGGCATTCTAATAGCTCTACCGTCAGCTTTATTTTTAGGCTGAGTAGATTTAAGGAAAACGGAAGTGTTGTTACCTTTGATCGAAGGACCAGCATTGGACTGAATAACTCCGGGGATTTCATTAAGTAATGTGACTTTTGGTCTTGGTGGACCTTGTATATTGGCATCACGACTTTTAATCAATGCTGAATAATTTTGGTCGCTTCTTGATGGAACAATCAGACAATCATGAACTATTTTACCCAAAAGACTGGTTTTCTTGGGGATAGTTTTAACAAATGGAATATATTTCCTGATGGGTTGGCCATCAGAGCCATCTCCATTTTTTTGCACTCGAAAATACTTGAATTTCCTTCTTGGCTGGAACTTCTTCTTCTTCTCGTCGGTGTCCTTCAATGCAGGCTGTTGGGGCATTTCACCTACTTCAGTTAACTCTTGTTTAAATTTCTTTAGATTCTCCTCGGTGAAGGCGTATGAATTACGAACTTGAGTATTTAACATTTTAATATCGTATTCTTGTGGTATATCCGCTTCCTTCTTTTCCAATACGAGTTTAACTTCTAGTTTACCCTTGGGGTCTTTTCTAATTTTTACATTCCCTAGTTGATTGCCTTTCTTCATCGATTCGGGGTCGTTCCACTTATCTATCAAGTATTTGGGCAACTTCACTAACCAAACTTTTTGGTCACCTCGACTCAAGTTCATATCTAGCGATTCATTTTCTTCTAAGTAATCTTCTGGATCAGAAAGGATTGATGGGTCTTCATCAAATTCACCCGTCGTAGAAGGAGGGGCATCAGTGCCATTTTTTGTTGTGTCGGATTCGTTGTTAGCTTCAGGTGTTTGAGTGGGCTTTTTGACAGGGCTTGTCTTGGTCGAGTTCATACTAATGCTATAAGAAGTGGACTAAGATGCACTGGTTATGATGTATAAATTGAAAAGGGGAATGCTGATATGTAGCTTAGTCGCCCCCGTTTGCTAAAGTGGTGAATAGAAGAGTGTAAGGAGAGTAATCGCATCAAACATTTTGGTGTGTCGAGCGACGAAAAATAAAAAAGTATAGTGTCGCGTGAAGATTCACGACAAAGAAGCTCAATAGATTTATACAGGCTACAGAATAGTACCCACTAGGTTAATGAAGCAACTTCCATTTCACCTCTCTCTCATCATACCAAGAGATAAACACCAGTTGACAAAATTGTGCATTTGGTATTACGTATTGCAATCACGAGTGAAGTAATCAATATATTAAAAAAAGTGCTTTTAAAAGGGCATGGCCGTGGATATAATCCAATTCGTTCAGTCGCTAAATTCATATAAAAAAGCTATCCTAAACTAAATAAAAAGATGTTGACCAGCAAATGTTAACTTCATTAAACGTTTTTGTTCATGTGCCCTTCTGATGGTTTACGGCTCTGCAATAAAGTGTTCTTTAGAAAGGATTTTCCGATCCATTAGGTGCTGCCTTTAACAACAACCGTTCCAGCTTTGCCTTCTCTTGATTCAAGACTTTCCTTGAGGCAAATTTCTCCAATAAGAGATACATATAAGCAAAGCCACTTATTTCGTCGTTATTTTTATGGTGATACTTCTGCATTTATATCACTAGCTCTTATCGGCTTGATCATCAATTTTAACATAACTGAACCTCAATCGTGTTTACGGGATTAAACTGAAGGAGCTGCAATTACCTATTTTAGCCATACTTGTCACAACCTGGCTCATATGTCGAAATAAGCATCTTGGGGCTTAAAGAAATCACAGAGAGGCATCATTTTAGTATTGACGCTAGAGGTACCTCCTTCTTTCAGGATTAAAAAAAAATACCTGGCTTCATGTACGCGTGCCCAACCCAATTCGCTCATACTTCACATCAAGGAAATTTAAAAGTATTTTCATTGGTATGTCAATGAATATTCTTGCGAGGCCAACTTCGTGTTGGGTCGCAGCAGACTCTTCACTTAATTGCAAAATGCGAGCTGATTTCTTTTTGAATCTTTTTAGCTTTATCTTGGTAAGCTCCACTGGCTCAAAATTAACAAACTCTTCAGTAACGATTAAATTTTCAACTGTAAATGACAAAAATACCCTATCATTAGGTGATACAATTGCTCCTGTATTTCCATCAGCTATTTTTAAATATGGAAGTGGAAAATAAAACACTAGCCCCATATTTAAAATGTTCTTCATGTAAAGATCATATAGTTATTTTGCTTGCCAATGTTGCATACAGAACATATTAAGGGCGTCACATAACACATTCGTCATTTACTGTAAACCTGAGCTCATGATTTTAACAAAAGGTGGCTTTGCATAGTCTGAGATATGGGTAATGGAATATAGAATATCGATGACATCATCCGTTTCATTCTCAATTCATATGCTGATATCTTAAAAGCATCGTCTAGCATATTTCTAACTGTAGTAGAATCATATACTGTATGTAGCCCAAATTTATCTTGATAAGTCGTCTATAGATCACTAATGTTTCGGGAGTGGGAATTTAACTCGTGGCTTTGATCCAGAATAATTAAAATATCTTCGACAAGTAGATAGCAAAACAATTTTGCAGCTGTGCTCATTGCCCTTGAAATACATGATAATAGCTTTGGGATGATAGGTACAGGGGGTAACTCAGTCGCAGATCAAACCGTAGTATTTGGAATGATAAATCAAAACTTGGCATTTCAAAATGTTGCAAAAAAAAAAAAAAAAAACTAGCCCCAAAAATAGCAAAACCAATTGGGTCGACAACCAATTGTTCATACAATTGAACCAATTAATTCTGTCGCCATGTCTATTCAAAAGTTATAGATCATTTCACAATTTGTGACTTTGTTAGTTGTTAATGATACGCAGGCATTGCATTTTCAACCCAGCTTACCATCGCTAATATCAGCAACACGTTAAGGTGTTGTATTTGTAGCCAACCTTGGATAATTTGGATCTAAAACGGTTTCCAATTCACAGTCTGTGTAGCATTTCTTGAACCTCACAAAAAAACTGTTTGCTTCCACTAGTAACGAATCGGGAGTAGGTTTTACAAGGCTTTCTACGTTAGAATCTACGAAATGACAACCAACAATGCCATAGAGAAGGTTGGCACTCAAGAGGGTCAATTCTTCGACGAGGTCCCAATCATGAAAAATGAGCCGCGCGAGCCACTAGTTGGTACTTGAGTTTGGGAACAGCACGCAAAACCCACAAACAATAACGTTAACCCTAACCGACGCTGCCCCTACACATTCCTAAATACCCGCGTGCTTAATTTTGAATTGAATGGGCGCAAAAAGCTTTTGTTGGAGGAGCTCTTCCCTCTAATTTTTACATCTTCATTTAGGGATTAAAAGCAGTTGTAGATTGAGTCAGCTATTTTCTTGCATCTTAAGAGTTGTTTAGTGAGAATGTTCTTCTTACTCGTTGTTTTATTTTTCGTTCCAGCCAAAAAGTAATTCAGATCATTGAGTACACCTTTCATCATCAAAGGGCATCATCATGATTTTTTCAGCTCCATTATATATAAAGGATAGACATTGTGGATATTGCAATGATACTAAACTGGACTACTTTGCATTAGAGAGCCAGGCAAAGGACTCAAATGGGAAACTGCGCGGAGGAAGTGGAGATGGAGGAGTAGGGGGAGAGTTACTGACCAAGCAATCGATAATGGTTGGCTCATCAATTACATCAATGACATGTGAAAACTACGATGAATTAATAAACCAAGGGTTTAGAAGATCAGGCACATTCTTGTACAAGAGTGATCTACTAAGAACATGTTGTCGTTTGTATACAATTCGCACAAATATGTCATATTTCAAACCATCAAAAAAACAACGCAAGGCCATCAACAGGTTTATCAAGGAGATTTGTCCCGATGAATCACAATTAAGTCCAGTTGTGAAGAATTCATTCAATTTGGACCGAATACTTGAAGCGCAACTTAAGTCTACTACATTTAAAATCAAATTTGAACCGTCGAAATTTAGCAAAGAAAAATTTCAACTATACAAGAAATATCAAGTTGCTGTACACAATGATGACCCTAGCGAAATCACTGAAAGATCTTTTACACGATTCTTGTGCGATTCGCCATTCACTGGTGATGAAAAGCGAGGTACTTATGACCAATGGCAAAGCTTAGACATTAATAACTGGACAAAGGAAACCAATGAGAAACGAATTGGCCCAACACATGCCTGCTACTATCTTCATGACAAGTTGATTGCAATATCAGTATTGGATTTCTTACCCAGTGGGATTTCTTCAATTTATTTCATATGGGATCCAGATTATGCCCATTTATCATTGGGAACTATCCTGGGTATCAACGAACTTCAAATGAGCCAAAGTCTAGGCTATGATTGGTACTATTTGGGGTATTATGTTGAGGATTGTGTTAAAATGAATTACAAGGCCAATTTTGGGGGCGAGATTCTTGATGTGTGCAGTGAAGTATATTATCCAATGGAGGATGTGAAACCATATTTGCAAAACGGTCGATTGTTTGTGATTGGAACCATTGGTGAAACTAAACAAGGGCTGGAGCTAGACTATGAAGCTAGTGGCCGCACTAAAGGTGACACAGTTACTGAATTAAATTACAATGCTGCCGAAGATATATTTGGTGGCGTTGATGTCTATAGAAAAGCAAAGGATGAAGCTAGACAATTACTCAGTGACCATGATATAGGTAGGAGCGATGAGTACAAATTACCACAAGTGATGCCGGGGTTGATTCCGTTGCTGAAAATACAACAATGGTTAGATGTAGGTATTATTGGCGATGAAACCTCCATCAAGATTGATATGTTTGGCGGGGTGCACAAATTCCTTTTGGGTAATTTGAATCGCGAAGGACGCGGGTTTTACATTGATTGCATCCGATTATTTGGATTAGAAAAGATGAAGAACTCCACCATGATCTTGCAATAGAGCATAGGTACATGTGACCTTTTGCTATGACGCTTTATTAATCAATGCTATACAGATATAAACAACACATTAAAAAAAGAGTTGCTGAATGAAATTCCAAAGGAAGATAACGTCCAAAGGATGAGAGGATAAACGCCCATTGTTCAAGAAACGAATGGGGGGAGAGATGATTATATCACCACCATGACAATCACTCCAATCATGACTGAATTCATCAATGCATATAGGAACAGGGTTGATAATGATGCAAATAGTGACGAACTTGAATTTGGCGAACAATCTTGTGAAACCCCATGTAATGTCACATTGGTTTGGTTTTGGTATAATTCCATTTCCGATGAATTGGGTGAATAAATTGAGGAATGGTGAATTAACTTGTCAACTTTTTTCCGACCAAATTTTCCTTCATCTTCTTTTGACCAATGGTTTTTGGTTTTGTTGACTAATCGCTGGGGCAACACTTTAACATCTTGTAAGATGTGTTTGAAATTCTTTGATCGAGAAAGATCTTCTTGCTCGTTGTCAATACCCTCCTGTTGTTGTTGTTGTTCCTCCTCCTCCTTTTGCTCGTTGGCGTTTGGTTGATTAAGCTCTTGTTGTAAAGATGGTGGCAAAACTTCCTGCACGTCATCATCACTTTCATAAACCTCATTTTTCAAAGCTTCCAACGCATCAAAAGCATACCCTTGATCCAAAGACTGTTTCAATTGTGTCAATTGTACTGAATCATCAGTTTGAACATACTCATCCATAAGACTTTGAATACGTAAATCATTAGCCAATTCAATATCAGCACAAGCCAATTTAGTCATATTAGCGTAATGGAAAACCAAACTTCTTCCCACAATATAACTCTTTGATCTCTTGTTTAACGATAAATAAGGGTCAGTGAATTTGAATTCAAAACAAGTACTATTGATGGCACCATGTTTACCTGATAAATCACCCACCTGACAATATCCATCATGTTTTTGAGCAAGACAATCAGGACTAGAATTGTATGGATTAAAATGTAATCCACAAGCTTCACAATTTCCATTTTCCGGTACTGAACGTTCATGAATATGGTAGTAGAATGGACCTTCATTATGGGGGAACCCCGTCATGTCGACATGAACGTTGACATATTTGCCAGTTGTGGTGAATACAACATTTCCTTTGATATCTTTATCACCGCCAAATGGGAAGTCAGCAATAGCGACAATATTTTTGGGATTCTTTTTGATTTTGGGGGCTTTGTCTGATAGGCAAGTGGTTGCAAAAGTGAGACTGAGAATGAATATGGATGAAAACAACTTCATAATGGATAAAATGCAGATCAAGCTTGGGGGAAGTGACTTTGCTGAGGATAAAAGTAGTGGTATGAATTGGTTTTGTAAAGAAAAGATAAAATAAGTATGCTTGTAGAATAAATGTAGAAAATAGAGTGTTTGTGGTTTTTGTTATGGAAAGTTGCAAAAACCAAGTGTGAATTTAGTAGCGGACACGCCACTTTCGCTATAGAGATCAATTATGGACATTCTTTGTAAGAGGATTTAATCAACAAAGGTCTTTTGTTCAGAAAGGGCTGATGAACCAAAGTGGTAGAGAAGAGGATAACTGGTTGTATAGCAGGGTCAAATTAGAAATTCCGCTTCTTACTGTTCGAAAAGTTGGTTTGCGTGCATCCAACTACAGCTGAGTTAGACTGGTAAAGTGAGAGCCAAGAGTTAAAGGCGTTTTATTGCTAACTTCTAATGCCATGAAGAGCTAGAGAGAGGTACACTTTATTTCCTGTTTGAAATTCCATTGCATGATGTATTTACAGTGGGGGCGTCTTTTCATGTTGTAGGATACAACAAATTTCTTCTCTCTGTGTGTCTTTGTTCTCAATTGACAGCACCGATTGTATTCTTGTAGTAACAAAAGTGGAGCTATACTTCATCCACGCCATACCATGCTGCTTAACCCATTTTAGAAAGTTCTAGAAATTGTGGCTTGGTTAAGAGATTGAGCTAGTCCTCGATAAACTGTTGGGGTATTTTTAGCTATGGGACGTTGTTTTGGTAACACGGTGGCCGGAACAGGAGACCGACGCTACCAAATACACATACATTATTTATTTTATTTATTTATTTACTACTTTTGGATTTTTAATCACAAAAAACATCACTACTCTCGCGTGACCTTCTAAAAAAAGGGGGTATTCGATTCCGACCGACGGACTGAGTTAAGAGAGAGAGTCCAAGTGTTGAACAGTGAGGTTTTACAATAAACTAAGCTTCACCATCAGCTTCAACATCAAAAATGACGACAACCACCACCACCGTCACCTCCACAGTTGTTTAAACTATTTTTATTAATTAAGATGTTAATATTAGTAAACGTTTTCTTCCCCTCTTCAAAATCATATGGTAGCACAAAAGATAAAGACACAAAGCATTTTACTGGACTTTTTTTATCTCTCCTTATCATTCCACCACCTGATTTTCTATTCTATTAAAAGTTGATAATAATAATCAACCAAAGAGGGTGTTATAGGTAGTAAGTCACTAGGAGAGAGTTACGAAACAATTGCTGGTGAGTGACAAGAATGAAGAAAAGATCTGAATGAAGCAATTGTGATATAAAGATATTAATCAGTGTACAGTAGGGTAGTGTGTAGCGTGTATTTATCAATTTTTACTCCACACATTTTTATACCAACACATTTTTATCGACACATTTCCAACAAACTATAAATACTACAACTAATTTCCAATTCTTATATCCTTTCTTTCTTACTCTTCCTTTTCTTTTCTTTTCTTTTCTTTTCTTTTCTCTTTTTCATTTCCTTACTTTTATATCTTATCAAATAACTAACTACAACTTAACCCACTACTACTACTACTACCACTACAACCACCTATTACTAAAAATGTCAAAAACCAAGAAATGGACAGTCCATGAAAAACGCCCTCAAGAACCAAAATGGTTCACCCATAACGGCTACATCAACACTGACCCAACAAAGATCAAGAAAAACGGAGCTGGTAAGAACAATTGGGGTCAAGATGGCGATGAATCCGACTTCACCTTGTTTAATAAAGGTACAAGAAGAAATTCAAATCATGATGTTAATGAATTGAGATTGATGCAATTGAATAATTCAATTGATGCTAAATTTGCATAGCTTGGGGGGAGAATATTGGAAAAGAGAGGCTATTTAAATTTAATGATGTGATGATGTGATGAAGTGAATTGAATTGATGAGTTTATGTATTGATGAGACGTTTGATAGTCACTGTGTCTTATATTTTGTATAAAATGTTTGTATAAACAACTTTAAAATCAAGTGATATATATAACGATAACAGAAACTGAGTAGACCTCTCTATTCAAATTCACTCTTGCTGTTTCTTATTTCGTTCATTTGCTTCCAATACCTTCTCCATCTCGGCTTTCCACCCCTTTTTCTTTTGTCGTTCAACATAAACTGCCTTATTTTGCAATACTCGATCAACAATAAATTCAGTACTCATATGATCGTATTTATGCTTAGGTAATGTCTCAAACATCCCCTTCGCCTCTTCTCCTTTTCCTTCTCCTCTAACACCATCATACACCGTCTCATCTACTTCAGTAGGTCCATGGTATACTTTAATCACATTGCCAATACGACCAAGAAACTCCTTTGTCGGTTCATAAGGAGCATTTAAAACTATGCCATCAACAAAACGACATTGCAACACACACAATGATCGCTCAAAGATATTCATTATGGGGTAATTCAATCCCTTGTATTTGTTTACCGTCAAATCATCATGAATACCGACAATGACTTTAGCTCCTAGTTGTTGAGCTCGTTGATGAACTAGCCTCAATACTTCAATATGTCCCGGATGGAATAAATCAAACCCACCATCTATGTAAACATACTTTGTAGAATCTGAGTCAGTAGTTGCCTTTGGTGCAACAATTAATTTCAATTCTTGTGGTGTATTTACATAAACCACCGATCCTGGTTTCAATCCAGTTTCATCTGTGGCATACCTGGTAAACCGGTCCAAATTATCTCCTTCATTAACCAATTTCTGCCAATTCTTATCCAAATTCAAATCAGGATAATGATGGTTTTTCGACATCAACAACATTCTGCCGACTAAATCTGTAGTGCTAATATTGGGAGTCCGTTTAACAACAACAAACTTGCCTAAATCTTTAACTGTCTGATATGTATCTTCTCCATTGGCATCAGTTGTAATGTCATCTCCATGAACAACATATTTACAGCCATATTCATCCATGACCTTGGGGTCAGTGACATATGGCGCATCTGGAATGGCTTTAGTAGACCATTTGCAGGCATCAACAGCAGTCATTCGTTCATCGAGCCTCATGACACATGGGCCTTTGTTGGCCAAGATTTCCTCGTCAGAATGGACTCCTACATAGAGTTCTTTGCCCAATTGACGTGCTTGTAACATTGCTCCGGCGTGGCCTTTAAATGGAAAAAACAAAAGTTAGTATTATATTGACAAATCCTACTGTAGTTAGTGGAGGAACAAAACATACCATGATGGGCAAAATCAAAACAGCCATCGATCCAAATTCGACAATTTTCAATACCTTCTGGTCGTTCAAACATTGGTGAATTCAGTGTGCGTGTGTGTGGAAAAAGAAAAGGCCAGAAGATTAGTTTCAGCCGTCGATTCAACCATTTTCATTTTTCACACGCGCAAAAAGTAATTAGGATAGAGCTACCATTCGCCCCGCCAAATTTTCAAACGTAAGACTCCCAAGTCTGCCCCACAAACTTCAAGTGAATGAAATGATTCACTATTCCTATTGACTAGATATTACCTTGCTGTAGTGAGTATAGTCTTACACGTTAATCACACTGACTCAAATGAATATGCAAGTTAACTATACATAAATATACAAATGTTTTATAGAACAAAGCCAGCTCAGTGATGTTTATTATACAAACCCTGATTGCTGTTGTTGTCCAACTTCAATTGAATTTGGCCCTGTTCTCTTACCTCTCAGTTGACTCAGGACATAAGCTGGCTTAGGTTGTTGTGGCTGTCCGTACTGACCAGCCCGTATATTCCTCTGTTGCTGTTGCTGTTGCACCCCACGTGTCTGTTGCTGTTGATACTGCATCAGCAGCTGGCCAAAATGACCCTCATTCCCACCATATTGACCAGCAGTAACGCCGCTCCCACTGTACTTTACCCCTCCTCCTTGCGCTTGTCTTTCCTTGGCCATTTTCACGACACAACAATAGATCATCCCGGCATTTCGCGTTGAACACTGATGCATCCATCCAAAGAAACTGCCAATTACTGGTGGGAACGTAATCAACAAGTCAAGTCCAATGTTGGCTTGCATTTGTGCCATTAATTTACCCGGTAAATGGAATTGCTCATTAGCTAGTGACAACAATCGCATATGAATCATATACATCACCAAGGGACCAAGCACAGGGAAGAAAAACACGGCAAATGGTACTAATCCTAACCCACAGTCCATCCCGACTCCACATGACCCACAAAGACACTTGTCGTCGGTCCATGCCATCGATTGGATCTTGGCCCAGGCTTTTTGCTCTTGTTTTGTAGTGATGTCGGGTGGGAGTTTTAGCTTTTTGCCAGTCTCTTTGTCTGTGTATGGGTCAGTGTTGTTCCAGTGTTCTTCAGCGTAGTCATTGAATTTGTCCATGACTATGTCATACCCGGGGATATTCTCTAGTTGCTCTTGGATTTGCGACATGCTTTGATTAGGGGAACGCAATGACTGTAGATGGGTAATAAATAGTGTTTGTTGTAAGACTAGTAGCAGATGCTTAGTTACAAACTATGGGGAGGAGGTGAATGGGCAAGTGTTCCAATGGACAATGAGGGAGTTAAGTAACATGATGCGGTTTGCTATTTTGCTTTTTTTGATTTGACAGATTAGATTTTGTGTAGTCCGCATTACCAAAAACCCGTTTACTTACTTAGTGTCTAAAAATAGAAGACAATATTTATTGTTTGCGCGATTAAATTAAACACACAGAGGACACACATAGGGTACACCTATCTATACGTGATTGATCATCATCAACAGTAGAATGTGAGATGCTAATGAGGTTTCCAGTTTAATTTTTTTTTTTGAAGAGATGATTAATATTTGCCAAATTTCGTTATCGCTTTTTTCGACTAAAAGTCACTTGAGGTAAGTATGCCAGTCAAAGGATATATGTATGTTATGAAGCGTATGAAATCTTCAGGAGTCTTGGTGGAATTGACATCCTGATTCACTATGTGTGGAAATATCTTTACCTAAAACTACGAAAGGTTTGCCGGTTAATCTAGCTCACAGCCAAGAGGAGGAGTATCCAATTGACTTTCCAATCGATTGGATAACAAGAATTTTTGACCTGTATTATTTGAAATCATTTAGCTTACATTACTTTGCACCAAATATCGAGATATCTCAACTTGCCTCATTACTATTGAAAATGCCACATCTAAACCAGCTTGAACTATGTTTTGGCAAATTGAATATTCTAAATATATCAGACATGTTGTGGCTTAGGTAAATTCCTATTCGGATTCAACCCAAAGCCCATCTTGACCATTACTTTCGCCGTCTGCCTCGACAAAAGATTTTGGAAATGTGGCGAACTTCAATCATGGATGATCATGTGGTGCTAAATCATGTTGACAAAAAGCCATCACGGAGTAAGCTTTTCAAAATCATGATATTCTCTAGACGTTTTTATTTGGGACACGGATTCAAGTCTCGAAGTCGAAAAATGCTAAATAAAATGGTGAAGCCGAGAACGCTAATCAAGGCTGCCGAAATTGCTCTTCATTCTAATAGGATGGATTAATTGAAATCCCCGTTTTTCTAATTTCTCATCCAATCAACTCATTCAACTCCTTTTTCGAAACAGGTATCATCACCCCTTCCACATCTTTATTACATATAGCACATCCTGACTTCCTTTGCACCTTGAACCGATTCAAAAAACAAGCTTGACAAAATAAATGACCACATTGGGTCTTTATGGGGCTCTTGTAATCCTTTTTGCAAAGTATGCATTTGAATGGTATTGTAGTTGAATCACCTGATTTGTTATTATTGTTGTTGTTCTTGGACATGGTGCTTTTTCCATTGTGGTTGTTGGCAACTACCTCCTCCCATTCCTTTTTTATTGGCACCTTTTGTTTAGATTCGTCTCTTATGTGAAGAAATTTGCATGTATCGCCGTATCCACAGTACCCCGTCTGTTGGAAATCCTTACATACATCAGGCTGGAAATCCATCATTGTAGTAATGTTGATATTTTCCGGTACCGGTTTTATCGCCGATGAAGGCGGCTTCTTTGGTATTTCCTTTGTAAGCTCTTCTTTGTCTTTTTGGCTTATTGGGTGGAGCAGTAGTGGAGTAGATGCAAGTGTGAGCTTTCGCGATGATGTGGATGTGGATGGGGTAGTTGTATTGGCATTAGTCAACTTCGATCGTTTATTGAATTTTGATGTCTCATTTGCGGATGTAGCTACCTGGCCGTCATTATCAATCTCAGCGACCTTTCTTTTGGAGCTACTGGCAGGATCCTTGGCTACTCTTTTCTTAAACATACGAATGGCAACAGCTGAGTAATACACTGAGCTAAGTCTCAACGGATCGGACTTTCTTTTTTCTTTTGCCGTTTGAACTTTCGCAACTTTTGGAACAAAAAAATTCAATTCCACATGATTTTAAAATTACTAATTTAAAGTCATCATCATTACCATCATTTTACACTCTTCTCTCATCAAACTTCACTACCCAGTTAAGACAAAGTATGTTAGCTAGAGGATTTAGACAATTAATAAAGCCCAATTCACCCCCAGGCTACGTCACTAAAAGATATTTTTCCACAGAAGCAACAGCATCATACTTTAAGCTATTTCCGCATAATTTCCCCCATGGCGGGCCACCAAAAGACCCATTCTTTATCAATGAAAAGCAATTACGCAAAGAATATCGAACACTACAAAGTTCAAATCACCCTGATATATCGTCTGACACAATAGCATCACTGAATATTAATCAAGCATTTACTCACTTACGTAATCCTTATTTACGATTAGCCCATCTTGTTAAATTGTTGCATGAGGTTGATATAACCGACGACGCTGTATCAAAGTCAATGATTGCCAAATTCCAAAATGCCAATGATTCAAATGCTATGGCATATAAGCAAATGTTGTTGCAGGTTATGGAGGCCCATGAACAATTGGAATTTGCTGAACAGGAACAAGAATTGGATGAATTGGAAGAGGAGAATAATGACAGGATAAAGCAAGCGGAGGAGAAAATTGAACTGGAGTTGAAGAAAGATCCTATAAATTGGGATGAATTGATTACTGATGCTATAAAATTGAAATATTGGGTTAATATACAAAACGGTATTAAAGATTGGGCACCAGGTAAACCAGTGCATTTGACTCATTAAACGATGATGGCTTTGCTTTGTATGTATCTACTTTGTATATATTGTATCAAATATCAGTATTTTAGCATCATATTATTCACAAATGTAAAGCATATTAACCAAATAATTTCTTTTCCTTATATCTTTGAGCTATATCTCCGTTGCTACTCGCTAGCCATAGTTTTATCATCATCGTCATCATCTCCTGCCTCTTCTTCTCCTTCCCCTTCATCGTCTTCTTCAGCCATACTAGCATCTTCGCCACCTTCGTCATCCTCGTCGACATATTTCAACTTGGGTACACTATACTCACAATATTCATATTCTTGTTTATCTTCCACAGTCTTCGGATGTTGTCTCAACCACTTCATTCTTGGTCCCGTGGCACTCAATTCGTTAATCTTGAATCCAAACAACTTCAATCCAAAATCATTAGCACTAAATTTATTTATTCTTATCCGACATTGATTTTCAATCTCAGGAAACATTTTAACCAATAAGCCAGGAAAAGTAGTACCAAAGTAAGCGCCATCGATATTCAAATATCTTGAACTTGAAGGTATATAAATATCATTACAGCAAGGACAATATAATCGCACAGTTTCTTGACCCGGTACATCAGTGGATCCTACAGGTATTAAATGCATTCCATCACAAAAGTATCTTGGACACGAACCAAAGTCATTCTTTTCAAATTTAGATGCCATTGCCGTTAGACCTGGCTTGGAGACAATGTATCTAGCGTGGATTAAACCATATAATAGTTCGGCCAGATGCGCTAAAAGAGCCTTGTTGGGTAATTCAGGTGTATTGTTGGATGACTTTTTACTGTTGTTGTTGCTGTTGCTGTTGTTGTTATTACCATTGCCCGTACTATTTGCCCCTCGACTACTAATGGTATTGTTGTTGTTGTTGTTATTATTAGTATTAGTTGTGTTTATGCTATTATTGTTGGTGTTGGTATGATCTTCTGCGGTCTCCACTTGATAGTCTAATATCGTGTATAATGCTTCTCTATAAAAGGGTACTTGCAGGGACAAACCAGTTAGATTAAAGTCATCTTCAATAAAATCTTGTGATACTTGTACAAAGTAATCGTGGCCGAAAACCTCACAAAACTGTTGGATCCAGGGTATATAATCTTCTTCTAGGTCACTGGGCATTTTGGAGAAAACGGGGCTTGCTTATATGTATTATGCAAATGAAAGATTATTGGTGTGTGGTGGTGGTGGAGAGGGCGTTCGATTCAAAATACGGTGAAGGCGTGGGTTTCTTTTTGATAACGTAAGACTTTGTATTACCTGTTTATGAATACAATCTATCTTTGATGAATTGAAACAGTATCTTGTGCGAATGACTCGAGATGTTGGTCTGTGTTGTAATCTTTGTCGTCGTCTGTGTCTGGTGGGTGATTGCTCTGTCTCTGCCTCTGTCTATGTCTCTTACTTTCGTCTCTATCTTTATGCAAACAGTGATATATTTCGTCGTCTCTTCTTAAAAAAAAAATGAAGAAGGAAAAAAAAAAGAAAAATCATCCACACCACACACTCTCATTCTCACTCTCACTCTCACTCTCACTCTCACACACTAACACATACACACACTAACACATACACACACTAACACACACTCTCACTCAGTTTGTCCTTTTTGTTGAAAATTAAAGTTGAAAATTATTTACCTGTCTGTTTGTGTTTGTCTATCTGTTTGTTTATCTGTTTGTCTTTTTATGTCTTCTTATGTCTTCTTCTGTTTTTTTGTATGTTGCTCTACACATACACACACAGAAAATGCTAATGTATAATTGAAGAGTATCTAATAGATCTATCTATGTATATATTATGAAGACAACCGGGATGTAGGCTTCTATATTGAACTTAAAGTTTGATGTGCTTGTTTGTTTGTTTATTTGTGTGTGTATCTGTTATTTCCTTTTAATCAAAAGCCAATGTCGTAGATACTCAAAGTCGCAAATATGCCTTCCTCGACACTGAATTTTAGAATACTTTTGTTCATCAAAAAGTACAATGAAAATTCACACACACACCTCCAACTCCTACTCCATTTTTAAAACCCACTCACAGATGGTTTCATTCAGCTTGGATCCATATACGATCCTAATAACATCATTCACACTACTCATATTACAGAAATTAATCACTCTTGTCGGAAAAGCCACCATACAATCGATCGTATGGAACATTTACACATCATCACCATTACTAGCTCAATCGCAATCCATCAAAGAATACGCTGCCAAACAACATGAAATAAGAACATTGACGCATGAACAAAGATCAATTAGTGCTCAGGACGAATATGCCAAATGGACGAAATTGAATCGTAAATTGGATAAATTGAAATTGGAATTACAAGGATTAAATGAATCCATCAGTGCTGAAAAAGCAAAGGTCAATTCATTGACTAATTCATTGATTTGGATAAGTACAGTATTACCTATTTGGATAATGAGGTTTTTGTTCAGAAAGACTAATTTGTTCTATATCCGTGTGGGAATATTGCCATATTATATTGAATGGTGGTTGGCTTTACCTTTTTTCAAAACCGGTACGATTGGATTAACTTGTTGGATGTTTGCTGTTAATTATGTATTGAGTGATTTGGTGTTTCTGTTTAGTTTCCCATTTCAAACTAAAGTTGCCAAACCAGAAAAGCCAGTAGCAGCAGAACAAGAGAAGCCAAAGGTTGAAACTATTGACAAGTAAGTAAATAAATTTTGCTAATAAAGTTCTATAACATTTATAAATAACAACTGATGTCATTTTTATTCAACGCTTCCATCTCCATACTCCTACTCATCATTGAGTTCTTTAATACATTGGATGCCTCGTCATCAAATTTGTACGTGTAGATATTCCCCATTAACGCATCCTGTTTAAACTCAAATCTCAGCTTTTTGTACATCTGCTCCATTGCCACATCCCCCCTCATCTCTTCCATACTCACATTGAAATACCACGATTCAATCACCTTGATCCAACAATCCAAATCCAACGAATATCCATACACATCATTACTAAAATCCGTCAAAATATAAGGTGTTCCATCATTTGGATTCATTTCAAACGCCGTGACATTAGGCATAACGACACTTTTAGCATTCTCAATATCAAATGCATTGATAATTGTCGCAATTGACACTTGGTTCATGTACACTTTCAATGTTTTCAAATCCCATCCGTAAAATAATCCCGAGCTGGTTAAAACAAGCAACTTGTCATTCTTGTACTTCATACAAATGACATTTTCAAGTAATTCAATAGTGGGGACAACGTATCTACCCGTTTTTGCCGATACGATTTGTAAACTACCATTAAACGAGCATAAAACAAAATATCTCAATTGGTCATTGTCGATAATAGGAAGAATCAGTTGGATTCTAAATGGGAAAAACAAAGTAAATCTTCGATCTTCAGTATCTTGGTCATCATAAACAATAACCTTGGTAGGATCATCGAAATCTCGATCATTTTGCGTCGCATTCTCATGCCATGGCTTCCCATTACGCACTTCAACAGTTGTTGTCACTTTCTCCGCACTGTTAAGTTCATCCAATACATCAACAGCCACTTTCTTATGCACTGTTTTATTGACAACAACAGAAAACATCAAATCCTCATCGAAATCAATGGCCGAGCCTCGCGACAACTCTGCCAGAATATCCTTATTATTGGCATACGCTTTATAAATCTTGTTGACTTCAATGTTTTGCAATGCATTATTGGCAAACAATGTATCGGGTAAATGAGAGATCAGTTTAAACGAGTTGGGATATTTCGCTTCTAACCATTGACGTTTTTGCCGATTCTTGTGTCTTCGTAATGCTGCTTCTGAAAGTTGTGATGTGTTGATTTCCTCTTCTAATGCATTTACACCACCAATGTCTAAATTGTCGTTATCTCCTTCCTGTTCCACATCCAATGTAGTGGATGAATCACTTTCTTTAATCCCCGAGACATAAGTTTGCAATCCTCGTCGCGGTAGCAAATATGTCGACTGCGATAATTTTGAATTATATTGTAGCTTCCTCTTCTTGACCTCGGACTGGACAAGTGATTTTGCTGGTGTTATGTTGGGCGAGGACGAAGAAGATACAAGCAAAGGGGCCACTCGCTTTTTACCTGATTTCGTTACTGAAATAGTTTGTTTTCTTAGCCTAGATGCATCAATCGTCAAAGCTGGTGATAAAGATGTTGTCCCAGTTTTGAGTTCTTCCTGTGGCTTTGCTTTTGGCGAAACAATGCTGCTAGTCGTCTTGTCCTTTTTCTCAAACTGGGCTTTAGCTGGCTCTATAGGCATCATTTTCCTTATTGCAATAGCCCTAGCTTCTGTCGAATTCTCCTCCAACCGCAACTGCTCAACCCCCTCGGGCAAAATAGTCGATTCTCTATCAGCACCATATCTATTCAATTGTTGATCAATCAATTCCTCACTAACAACTTGACCTAATTCTCCATTGCCAAAATTGACACATGTAATGGAACCGTCCAAGCAGCTAAAATATAAAGTCTCGCCACTAGGCTCCCAGCATATATCAGTAATAGAGTTGTCAACGATATCCTGACACACAACTATAGGTTTCGAATTGTACGTCGACCATATAGCCAATGTACGGTCCTGTCCACCAGTGGCCAAAACCGTTTGGAATTTGGGATCGTCTTTACTGGCATTTGCATCTATTTGAAATAATCTTGGAGAAAATGAACACACTTCAACTGGTGCTTCATGACCTATTAGCGATACATCGGACCCCCAGTTTCCTCTATTTACAATAGCCACTGATGGGACCGGTCCGTTGGTGGCATTTGGTACAGCAAGGTGCTGACCATCAGGAGACCAACTCATTCGTCTAAAATATGAAGTCAAGGGCGATTTTTTCAATGGATCAACAACAATATGTTCCATTTGAAATTCATAATTGTTGTACTCATTCATTTTCTTATAATACCTGAATATGCGAACAGTCCTATCATCTGAAGCAGTGGCAAAGAATTTGTTGGCGGGATCAAACACAATTCCTTTAACCATCGACTGATGTATATCATATCGTTTAATCTTTTCAAAAGTCAATGCATTCCATATAATAATTGATCGATCTAAACCCACAGTAACTAATAAACTGCCATCGGGTGACCAACAAATATCCTGGATATCGTTATCATGTGCCACAAGTCTTTTCCGCACCGTCCAATGTTCCAAATCTACTTGGTCCACCCCAAATGTGTTTGGTCGTTGCGAATCATCCTTTTCCCAAATCAAAACAATTTTATCATCAGATCCACTGGCTAGCCAACGTCCATCAGGAGAAAACTTTAAAGACGTGACAACACCATTATGTCTCGACATGGAACAAAGGGGGCGACGTAGTGATTTGTCAGGCAAGTCAGGAGTGTACTCGACATCGACACTGGGCAAAGTTGAAGTTTGGTTTGATGATGTTGATGCTGTTGATGTTGTTGTCGGTTGTGGTTTCTTACTCTTATTGTATGGTTTATCCAGAATTTTGAAAAACAGATTGATTGTGGCTGTATCCCATATCTTAATGCAACCGTCAAGACCACCTGACGCAAGTCTTGTTCCTTGTGAATTGATAGTGACTGTATAACATTCCACTTTTTTATTCTCCGCTGTGGGTTAGTTAGTAGGGGACAAGTTGGGACGAGAATCAATTATGAAAAGAGACATACCCTTATGCCCTAGCCAGGGTATTTTTAGTATCTGCATTCTGCTACAGACACAAGCCTGGTATTTGCTGTTGATTGAATTGAAATATTGTTTACAAAATTTAAATGATGGTCGCATTTGTTTCGCAGCACGGGTAATTTTTACAAAAGTGATTTATATTTTTCAGTTACAGCTTCTCTATACAACTATTACTCTAAACCAAATTCAATCTTCAAAGCCTTACTAAACTTTTGCAATCCAAAAACTAATTGGTCCAATGGAACAGCAGCATAGGTACCTCTAAAGAAAATATGAGTCTTTGCAGCAGGATTTTGTGGCAAGTTCTTTTGTGGAGGAGTTGATTGACCTTGAGACTTGAACCATGAGCCAGGAATCATCAATGTACCTTGCTTTATACTTTGTTCATAAATCAAATTTTCAATCTTTAATGGGTCTTCTCCCAATTCTTTAAATTTTGGATGTTTAGAGACATCAATGTTGACGGTGAAAAACATTCCTGCAACTGGAGGGACATAAGAGGTAACTTCTTTAGGACAATATTCCTCCAATGCATCAATGGCAACATCTCTCTTGTGCGTGTATTCGGCTCTCAAACCAATCAACCAATCCAAATATCCCTTTTGTCCCCAACTTTGCAACAATGCATTTGTCATTGATTGAGTCAAACCTGATGGACATTGGATTGAAACTTCGTGTAACCTGACATATCTTTCCAACAACCTTGCTTGACCAACAATCCACCCAAGTCTCAAACCTGGTGCCAAAACCTTCGAAAATGAGTCCAATCTGATAACTCTTCCTTCAGTATCCAAGGAAATAAACGATGGTACCAAAGCCTTGACAAATTCATCATGCTCATGCACTGTTTTACCCTCCCTTGCCTTTTTGTCCTTGGTATAAGTCTCCATTTGTAAAAAGTAGTATGGCTCATCTTCAATAATAATGAAATCATACTTACAAGCAATATCGTAAATTTGCTTTCTTCTTTCAGCACTTAATGATGATCCAGTTGGATTTTGACCGGTGGAGATGGTGTACAACAATCTTGGCTTGTTACCAATCCAATGAGATAATAAATTGTCTAACCCACTTGGAATGATACCATAATCATCCATAGGCACAGGCACAGTATTAATACCTTGACCATTGGCAGTTTCCAATGCTGATGAAAACGAATATTCTTCAACCAAAATTGAATCTCCTCTTGAGCAGAATGTTCTCAATGTAGAATCCCATGATTCGGTGTTTCCAACAGATGCAATCAAGTCCCAGTCCTTGTAAGGAACCCTGTGAATCATTTCCGTGTGCTCCTTCAAGAAAGCAGTCAATTCTGGTTGTCCCTCAGTATAACCATATTGCAAAGATCTAGCCAATTCAATTTCGTGTGGTTTATTTTGATCAGCTCTCTTAAACACTTCAATAGTGGTTTTACTTTCATTATTCAATGGTGCGCCAATTCCATTAGGAAAAGGTGGGGTTGGAATATCAGCGCTAACTCTGTCGAATGGGAAATAGTCAGACAATGGTAAACCCCCACCCAAAAATGTCATATTAGGCAACTTGAAATACTTGAAAGCATCTTTCAAAGGTGAGTTTTGTCTTGATTTAGCTTCTGGGGATAACAAATGAGTCAAATCCTTGGCTTCTTGGGTACTGTCTTTTGTCATGTTGTCTCGTTTGGATGAATAAGTAAGTAGTGTGTAAGTTAAATAAAGTGGAACCCGTGTGATATCAGCTTTGCGGGGTGAGGTGGTTGGTATAAAAGATTGATTTTTATTTAATGAGTAAATTTTTCGTTCTCGATACCAGACACGGCATATTTAAATTAAATTAGAAGAATAAGAAGAAAAAAATAAAAATTGAATTTTTTTTTAAGATTAGTAAAATGCGCGCTTATTACCTGAATCGGAGTTATTTTGGTTTTTTTTTTTTTTTTTTTTTTTTTCATGAGTCAAAGGTTATAAGGAAAGCGGTGAGCAATTAGTGACTCATGTGGGGAGGAGTCGGGGGAGGAGTCGAGGGAAGAGGAGTAGCATGGTATCACTTATGTTTAATCATGTGGACTAGTTATTAGTCCAATATGTCTCTCAAAGAAGTAATGCACTTCGCTATCTCTTTCTCAAAGCTAGGGTCTTGACCGGCTTTCGTCGGTTATAAACGCTTATCTGTTGAACTAAATGTAAGCCATGAATCCAATTTTAGATGAAGATCTAGTAGCAAAACAAATCCATATACTTGTATGTGCGTTGTTCACTGCCTAAATACCTCCCACTTTCTTAGTGAAGTCTTTTGGGTTCAAAATTTTTGGAATTACTGCTCACTTTTTTGCAGCCATTTGATTTGAAACAGATTGTGACTTTACATAGTAATGTCTTTGGGGGTAATATTATTTATAATGTAGTCTTGAAAGGTGCTTCCAAGTTGATGATCTATTACTCGGGTAAATTCTATTTATCTGAAAAAACTTCTAGTACTTATAAGTACCATTTGTGATCCGCAATACTTGGAGGTGGTTGAGGTGTATTGTGTTAACAAACCTTTAAACTACAATAGACTGAAATGATGTTTGAACTGTAGGTGCACACACTACTTTCCTTGCAAAAGTTGACTTTTATAAGAAGTTAATGTTTTACTACAGTTGCATTGAATTCCAGTAATACTAGCAGATACAGATGTCAAATTTTCCTCTTTTCCTTTGCTTTGTCAGTCATCTTTACAATTGACTCTAAGTAATTGGTGAGACTATTGCTCTCTGCAAGTAGTCTTTTGTGATGATTTAGAAGCAATTTTATTCAAACCCTTTTGCTAATTGTAAATATATACTACTAAAGCAATTGATTTAGACTTATAACACTTTTAACAGGCTATTTTTTATGTTTATCTAACTAATAGAATTCTCATTTTGCAACGCGTTCTGTTATATTTTTTTTTTTTTTTGGTGTTAAGAAGCAACTTCCATCAAATGGCTTCTTCTTTACAGACGGATAAAATTCCCTATTGAATGCAAATTACCAAGCAAAGATTCTTTCTACCGAAAGAGGAAAAGAAAAAAGAGGTTAAACCAGAACCAGCCGTAAATGAAGATAATTTATTCGTACAGGATGAAGAAGAAGAAGAAGAAAACGACGAGAAGGAGACTGCAAATCAATCACCATCCAGTAAAAACTCAACCATATCATTAGACAAGTTTGCAAGGGATCTACAAGCAATAGTAGGTGAAATATCTCCCATTATACTAAATTATCTTTATGACAAATACTCAACCAGTCCATTAAGCATCAAACACGCTACCCATGAATTATTCACAAATCCTCCTGATATCGATGAGTTGCAATGCGGAAACACAACGCGCCAGGAACTGTCACTATGTTCATCGCCGACCACCACCACCACCAATACCACTAATGTGGCTTCTATTCTATCACAGGGGACACTACGACCAAGTAGCTCTTCCCTAAACTCGTCATCGCCCTTGAAGCGTACAAACGATGGCCCTGGACTTGAGCAGCTGCTGTACAAACGATCCCATTTGCAAACTGAGGACTTTGGGGCCTCAGAGGAAGCCGGATCATGGCACAAGTATGTTGGCACATTGGATGTTCAAGCTTGGGCAACTAGGCCGACGATGAAACCTCTCAAGTATCAGGATAAACTCCTAGTCAAGAGATTAGTCCCAAGAAATTCAACAGCACAAAAGAGTTCCATCATACGATTGTGTCTCAATGAGAGAGAAATAGGGAGGTTACCCGAAGACTTGACGAGAGTTTTTAGTCCCTTGATTGATCAGAATATTGCCGAGTTTGTTGTCACTGTGTTGGAAACAACGAAGCGCCGATTATCCACTGGTGACTCCTTTTTCATTCAAATACAAGTCTACCTTAAAAACACCGGGTTTATCAAAAACATTGAGGCTGTTGAACAACCGACAATGAAAAAGGGGGCCAATTTCAATTTTGCAACCGAAAGCGAAGGTGAAGCATCTATGCGATTACGACAAGCAGGTGTATCAAACTTGTTTGAGAGATTAAAACTAAAGCCCCTCAAATTGAGCAACGACAATAAAGAAGACGACATGGTCTCTTCTCAACCAGTGGATATCACTGGCTCGGAAGTTGAAGAAGTTGCCGATGAGGTCAACTTTGATCAATTGAGACAATTTTATCAAGCAAATAACCAGTCTAAATTATTGGAAAGCTTGCCGGAAACAACTGAGCCACCTAAGGAAAACTTTAAATTAGCATTAAGAGAGTATCAAAAACACGGACTATCGTGGATGTTAGCGAGGGAGAAGGAAGTGGACGTTTTAGAACAATGCATGGGCGAGGATAAGTTGCCTTTAGAAACAAGAAAGAATATCGAGGAGGCGGGGACGATGAATCCTCTTTGGAGGAAATACAGATGGCCCAGTAGTGGCCATGCCCTGCAAAATCACGGTGATGCCACGCAATCACATTCTCAGGGCCACTCAGACGATAATTACTTTTATGCCAATTTGTACAATGGTGAATTATCATTGGAGAAGCCCATAATCAAGACCAGTTTACAAGGAGGCATCCTTGCTGATGAAATGGGCTTGGGGAAAACCATCGCCACGTTGGCTTTGGTAAACTCCGTGCCCTATGATAGCTTGCAAGTTAAGGATGAAAACCGCTATGCGTCAAAAACTACCCTAATTGTTGTTCCTATGTCCTTGTTAACTCAATGGAAGGAAGAATTCGAAAAGGCAAACAACAACGATAGACATGTTTGTCGACTATATTATGGCGACGAAACTGAAGTTGATTTATCATTGTCATTATGTAACTTGAAGCAAAACTCCAAAATCCCCATTGTTGTCATCACTACTTATGGAACAATATTGAACGAGTATGCAAAGATATCCAAACATCGTAATCTGAAAGGTGAGCTTCCGAAATCGGGATTATATTCAGTCAAGTTTTTCCGCATCATACTTGATGAAGCCCATAATATTCGTAATCGAAACACCAAGACAGCGAAATCGATTTACGAATTGCAACTGAGTCGCAAATGGACACTAACTGGTACCCCCATCGTTAATCGATTAGATGATTTGTATTCATTGGCAAAATTCCTTGAATTGGACCCCTGGAACAATTTCTCCTACTGGAAGACATTTGTCACCTTGCCATTTGAACAAAAGAAGATTTCGCAAACTTTAGATGTGATTAAATCGATTTTGGAACCGATCTTCTTGCGACGGACCAAGAACCAGAGAAAAAATGGTAAACCATTAGTTGAACTACCGGAAAAGGAAGTTGTTATTGAGGAAATCAAATTCAATGATCAGGAAGCCAAGCTTTACAATTGGTTTAAATCAAGAGCATTTGAATCGTTTGCAGAAGGGGTCAAGACGGGACAATTGATGCGTCAATATACTCAGATTTTAACTCATATTTTGCGATTGCGACAAGTTTGCTGTCATGTGGATCTAATTGGCGGCGCTCATGAAATGGATGATGATGTGATTGATTTGGAAGCGGATGAAGAAATGAAGACCTTTTTGAAATCAATCAAGGATCAAAGTGCCAAGTTTTCTAACGATACCGAGGTGAAGCAAATCATTTATAAATTATACAATTGTGTCAAACCGGAGAATGAGTGTTCTATATGTACGACATCACCAATTACGACTAATGAGCTTACAATAACGCCATGTGGACATACTTTTTGCTTTTCTTGCATTTTAGAACATTTGGATTTCCAACTGGACTTGAAACGCGATAAGTTATGTCCCAATTGTCGTGAACCCATATCGAAATATAAATTATTCCGCATCCGGAATCAAAAGACCCTGAGTAATGAGATCCGGTTCCATACTCAAAACAGAGACCACCAAGAAGATTATGATTTCCAAATTTATTTGCATGATCCTAATCGAACCAGTTCTAAGATCCAAGCCCTTGTCAAACACTTGAAACTGATCCAGGCCAATGAACCCAACCTGAAAGTAATTGTGTTTTCACAATTTGCCTCATATTTAGATTTAATGGAGATTGAACTCAAATTAACCAGTGATGATTTCATCGTTTACAAATTCGACGGCCGATTAAACATGAATGATCGGGCCAAATTGCTCAATCTGTTCAATGCACCATTGACCAAGGGTAACAAAGTCGCCATTTTGTTACTAAGTTTGAAAGCCGGTGGCGTGGGGTTGAATTTAACAACGGCGTCAAAAGCATTCATGATGGATCCGTGGTGGAGTCCTAGTATTGAAGACCAAGCCATTGATCGAATCCATCGTATTGGTCAGAATGAAACGGTTAAAGTGGTGAGATTCATCATGGAGAATAGTATTGAGACCAAGATGCTCAAGATTCAAGAACGGAAAAAGCAAATTGGTGAGGCTGTTGGTGTTGAGGAAGAGGAGAGGAGGAAAAGAAGAATTGAGGAAATACAGATTCTCTTTGAAGAGTAGTCAAAAAAAAAAAAGAGGGACATTAAGACTTTGTATAAAGTGTTGTACATACTTCATATATGATATTACTTCTTTTCTATGGAGCTATTGGTTCAGTTTCTCTCTTTAACCATTTATAAGTGATACTATTCTTGTCGAAATTACCACTCAATTCCCTCCATATTAATGAATGGTACTTGTTAATCCATCTTATTTCCTTCTCCGTTAATATACAACTATCAATCAACTTCTTGCAAAAGGGCACTTTGGTGACAGTTTCAAACTCCAAAAACTTCTTTCCAGCAAACGTATACTCACTAGGCTTGATATACATGACATTTTCAATTCGAATTCCGTAATCACCTTCCTTGTAAAAACCGGGCTCATTGGAAATCAAGTTACCCAGTTGTAATGCATGGGCAGCTGCATTGGGTCTGGGGCCTATACCTATGGGACCCTCGTGGACATTGAGGTAGGCTCCAATTCCATGGGATGTTCCGTGTCCATAATCCAACCCATAGTCCCAAAGGTATTGTCTTGCTACCGAATCAATTAAATTACCCGTGGTTCCTTCAGGAAACTTCAAGGTAGATAAGGCAATGTTTCCTTTTAATACCAAAGTGTAGTTTCTAATCTCTTCTCTAGTTGGTGTAGAGAAATGAACGGTTCTCGTGGTGTCGGTCGTACCTTCTAAAAACTGAGACCCCGAGTCATTGAGATAGATCTTTTCCGGGTTGATTATCGACGATGATCCCTTGGTGGGTTTATAATGTATCACAGCTCCATTAGCACCAGTGGCACTGATTGTATCAAATGATAAGCCAACAAAATTATCCTCTTGCTGTCTAAATTCAGTCAACTTCTCATCGGCAGTAACTTCATCAATCATTTCCCCATTTGCAACAACTTCGTTTTCTAACCAGGCAAAGAATTTAATTAAGGCTCTTCCATCTTTCAAATGGGCAATCTGTGCTCCCTTCAATTCAGTGTCATTTTTAATGGACTTTTGTAATTCAACCGCCGATAACCCTTCAGTGAATGAACATTGCAAGTTTCGCACAACTTCCCAATTGGCGTTATTCGGTATGAATAGTTTCTTGTTGTCAACCGCAATTTCTTTCGAAAGTGTACCCAACGATGAATAAAAATCTTCATATGGTTCAATAGTAACACCAATTTTTTCCAAATTTTCAATTATATTTGAACTTAATCTATTTTGTTCAACAAATAGCTTTACTTGAGACTTTGTAAGGACAACAAAACTGTAAAATACTGGGTTGTAGGGGATATCCAGACCACGTAAGTTCAATAGCCAAGCAACTTCATCCAATGCAGTAATTACCATCCCATTCACATCATCTTTGATGACTTGATCCCTAATCTCTTTTATCTTATCGCTTGCCTCTTTACCGGTAAAGCTTAAATCCAAATGTTTTATTTCACCGAGAGTTGAAGCTGGTAATGTCTCAAAATCTTCCCAAATTTTATTTATCAAGTTGTTAACCACGGGGGTAATCTCAATTTGTGCCTTTGGTGTCTTCACCAACTGTTTTTCAACAACGCCTTTAAACCTTTGATATTGCTTGTAGCTCCATAATTTAGGATCAACTCCAATTTTTACCTTTGACCCACTATCCAAGCTCAATTGAGATGCTTGTTCTGCGGTCCATTCCTCCCATGTAGGTTCACCTTTAGCACCTTGTTTCAATAAAATCCAATTAAAGTCCAACTCATCAAGTGCTTGAGTAAAATAACGACCGTCAGTTGACAAGGCAGCACTGCCTTGAGTAAAGTCGTCTCCACCAACACTGTTTAAATCTCTAGTAATAATGGCAATACCGGCACTTCCACTGAATCCACTAATGAAACTTCTCTTTTGATCATAAGCAGAAGTGTATTCCGATTGGTGTTGATCTTCACTGGGAACAATGTAAATACCCAAATCCTGTTTCTTCATCTCCTGTCTCAATCTTTCCAATCTTTGAGAAGTATTGACTTCCTTAGTTTCAGGTAAGCACAAGGATGGATCTAAGGTGAAGACAGAGCCTTTTCTTGACTGTGAATGTCCATCTTTGATACTGCCACTGCTGTTGAGTCTATTGAGATTAATTCTTTTGGCAAAGGATACGGACTTTTTGTTTGTTCTTGATAATAAACCTGGTGAACAGGTACAGTTGGCACATTGTGCTCTAGCTACTCTTGACATCTTCTGTTTCTCTTTAGCCTTTATACTATCTGCAAAAGAAAGAAGTGGAAAAGCGTTGACGAATTTAAATAGATATAGATATTTTTTTGCTGGTAAGTATTTTAAACAAACAGGATTAATTGAAATTTATTTTATTTATTTTATTTATTACATTTATTTCTTTTTAGTCTGTCTCTGTCTGTGTCTCTGTCTGTGTCTCTGTTTGTTTGTCTGTTTACCCTATAACTGCGTATTCTTATATGCAGTACAAATCATACAATTCCTGAATCTGTCATACAAAAAAATTAAATATATTTAACTGATGGTCAAAGATTAAGAAAACGAGAACAAAAAGTAAGCGGCAAGACAAAGAAAAAGAAAAAAAATAATATAATTTCGTTAAAAGCATTTGTTAGCGATTTGTAGCCATACAGATTTATGGCTTTAATAATTATTACGTAATAATGAACAAATCAAAAAGTAGTAAACACTGCATAACTTCACTTGAACATTCAATTTAAATTTATCAACTACCTTCCTAAAAAGGAAGTCTACAAGCAAAAGAAAAGTTCTCATCAATTTTGACATGATCCCAATCTGCTTTCCCTTTTGGCAACCGCAAACAGCACCCCTTATATTTGGATAAATTGCAAAGAATATAGATACACATGACCACCCAGTTGGACTTGAATGATGTTATTAAGGTAAGTTTCCAAATTGGACACTATGATTATACACACAATTGACTAACAAATATTTCTTCAGGATATAGAGCTTCTTTATACTTCCAAGGATGCCGATCAAATCCATTTCATTCAAGACAAATTACAAGCGTATCAGAAAAGTGAACATGGTGATGAGCTAGGGCTCCAACTACTACAACACCCTCATAGCACTGTCAAGTACTTTGGTGCACTAACAATTACCGTTCACCTTAACTCATTTGGTTGTAAAAACTTTGAACAAACTTTTCAACAAATTCTGCTTATCATCAAGGGATTGGCGGATGAAAACTTTTATTCAAACTTGTTTATTATAAAGAAGTTGTTGAGTTGCTTGTCATTGATATATATACTACACTACCAACATTTTGATCCTATAGCTGTGTTTACCAAATTATTGAATCCAACAACCACGTCAGTTGCACAATTTATCACCGATTTGCAAGACTCAAAACAGCTAGAGTTACTTCTTTACTTTCTATCAGTATTGGTGGAAGACGTGCAAAAAATTCCATCTTCAGTTCCAGAGTTGCATTCAGCTATACATGCTACTATTTTTGGTCATCTACAGACTGTTCTCGAGTACCTTTTGCAGCAATATTCCCAATTACCGGAACAATTTATACTTCTTCTACTTGAGTGTTTGAACTCATGGGTTGTCTACGCATCTACCGCCGAGGCTCGCTCGGAAGTGAGGTACGGCGATGACTTGGGTATATTTATAACCCTTGTTTTGAAGCAATTGGACGATAATTTCGACATTGACAAGATGGAGCTATACAACAAAACATTTACTGTTTTGGCAGAGTTTGTTGATCATATTGCTCGAGCTTTGAATCCCTTCAAACCCACATTGATGGATATCTTCTTTGGTGGTGATAAATTAGGTATGCAAATGCTAAATACCATATTTGCTGATCTGGAATTGATGGAAACATATCGATTAGAAGTTGACAATTACATCAATTTGATTATTAGTTACCTTGAATTGAACATTATCCAAATTACAAGAAACATCTTACATGAAGATACAGCAAGAATTATCCAAACGGTGATTTCCTTAACCAATGCACCAGGACAGCCAATTATAGAAGAAAACATTAGCTTCCAGTTGGTATCATTTTGGGACGAATTCGCCAACACTTTAATTGACGACGCAGACGTATTGAAGGAATCATTTCCAACACTAATTGCCGATAACAAACAAAGAAGTGACGAAATTTTGATGGAAGTAGCTATATCTTACTTTAAAAAGATACAAAGACCTTCTGAAGTTGTGTCACAAGAGTTTACACGATACCGTGTTTTAGTTGCCGATTTGTTTATCGTATTTTACTCCATTTTGGGTGTGCCAATTTATGCGACTTTGTGCAATACAGTGGGCCCAGACTTGATCCAAAGTGAGGCTGCATTATATTTACTACATAAAATCACCGTTGACATCCAATTTTACGATGAAGATGATAATGATGAACAAAACTCAAAAACCTACCCATTGGTACAAGAAATTGCCAAAATATTCAATAAGGATGTAATTGCAATGGTGGAGAATCATATTGATAAAGAATACATGACTACAAGCTTACTCAACTTTATTTCTGTGTTGCCATTTTTTTACAAGTCAAGCTTAGGAAACCAATTTCTTGCCCCAAGCTTTGATTTCTTGTTTAGAATAATTACAACTCACAAAGTGGGAAGCTTGCCGCTTATAGCATCCCGCACTGTCTATCGCATTTGCCAGGATGCGGAAGAGAATCTAATACCCTTTTTACCACAATTGGAATTGGTGTTGGTGGAAATGTTGCAAAATCCAGCCATTGATAATGTTATTCGTGAAAGGATAACTAATTCATATATTTCAATAGTTCGATCAAGGAAAGTAGCGCCAGAAATGGGCGATAAAATATTTGCAATTTTACAAGTTATCGACCAGCAAAAGAGTAAGATTTATGATGAGACTTTGGAAGATTATATAATCAGTTTGGTGGCGTGCATTGACGAAATCGGGAAAGCTTGTGCTTATCCTGAGGAAATTGAAGATTACTTGACAGAAGAACAACTTCAACAGGTCAAGGCATACTGGAATGAAGATCCTTTACAGATTAGAAGCATGATTTTACAAAACTTGAGAACATTTTCACTAGTTTCCCCCACGTTAGCGCAAAAGACAATTGTGACGGAAAAATGTTGTAGTATCCTTAAATGTGGGTTCAATGAACCAATTATCGGACCATTTACGTTTGATTTGGGATTGATTTTCCAGTATATCATTGCCAAGTTGCCAGCTTCGACTCCACATTCGATTGACTATTTGCACCAATTGATAATCAGTGTCATACTCACTCATGCCAAAGATATTGATCAAACTCAGTTCGAGGAGTTGTTGGTTAGGGCATTTGTTGATATTCAGTCCATCATTGAATCTGATGAAGATTTGATCAAGACATCGCTTGATGTCTTTGCAGCAACTGTTGACACCAAACCAAAATTGATCCTCTACACCCCCCTGTTGGATAAATTTATTCTTCCCTTTGCCTTGAGTGCGTTTGCCAAACACGAAGTTCCAATAGTACGATCCACTATCAAGTTTTGGAATGCATTAATTACAATGAAGAAAGGTGTTCAGCAAGACCAAGAAGTGGTGAGACATTGGATGACTACAGAACAACAGAATGGAACCTGTTTGGGCTTCCAGCTAGCTAATCAGTTAATGAGTGCATTTGTTGCTTCACCGAGATCAAGTTTGGATTATTATTACCCCTTGTTTAGATACCTCATCAACAAGTATCCCTTGGAGTTTAAGAAATGGCTTTTATTTATCGTGGATAATGTGCAACTAGGTAAAGACAAGTTAGACCATGATGCCAAGCGTCAATTTGTCAATAAATTGATGCTCACTAGAGGACAAAGGATGGCCCATAATGTGCTTAAAGATTTTTGGTTAGCCAGTTGGGGATTAAGTGTCTAAAAAAGTCTTACATATAGAGATGAATAGATTATCATATAGATTGTGACAAGAAACTTACAGGCCATGATAAATGAGCAGAGGTTTAGTAGAGATTAGCACTTAGAAAATATGAATCTTAACATTATAAAACACAAGCTTATACAAAACGACACAAATTACACCTTCACCACCTTTATCCCAACATTGAATCCAACTCGGAACACAAAAACTCACATTCAGCATTATAATCAATATCACTCAATCCAACGCATTGGTACCTGAGTTTCAACTGATCATTAAACGTATCTTGTTTAACTCTTAGTCTGAAATTGTACTCTTTAAAGTACGCTCTTGACACATACTCAGCAACAACCATTTTATCATTCTCATTAGACATCTTCATCAACTCATTAGCATCTATTCCCAACAATTTCTTGGCTTGTTCGTCAAATAAAGTTGTCCACAATTGTCCGGTAGCATCAGTAATTGATATGTAGAGAATGTAACGATATGTTGGTTCATCGTATGACATATCGCATCGTTCACACTTCCATTTATCATTCACTTGAACTAATTTCTTATTACAGGTTAATCCTGGTTTGGTGCTGTCAGTAGTGTTGGCGACAACATTGGTGCATGCTGGGTAGGCAAAATTTTCTGGTTTGGTGAATGAGAAACACGCCTTGATGGTGAAATAACCCAGTTGTTCACCATCCAAGTGGTTGTTTTCCTCTTCAGCTTGAGCAATGGTTTTACGATTGGCCAATCTATCAATCGACGAAGACGTATTGGTTTCTGTCTTCATTGATTTGAAATTCTCCTTGACTCCAATATTGTCGAACCAGCCCTTTAATTGGTAACTTTCTGGTGTTCCCGGGTTGGGAACTATTGAACCTGCTTGGGTTAAACTCAAGGACCTACCGTTAAAGTCAGATACTTTGCATCCTTTGAAAGCAATGACGGTACCTTCTTCAATGCTGAAATCCACAGCCGTGTTGTTCCAAAGACCAACATCAACGGCAAATCCAGTCTCATCAACAATGGTGATATCTCTTCTATCGAAAGCTTTACCAGTAGATTTTGCTGTGATTTGGAATGGTGGATTAACCACTTTCAATGCTCCCAAAACGTCAATAATAGCATTTGGTTCCAAATTTTGCACTTTGTCCAACTTGACAAAATTGAAATTCAATTTAGGTACATCGGATTCATCAAAGCATTCGGTAATCTCTGTATCCTTCTCCAAGGTTAGTTCATATGGGTGTGTTAAATTATTAAATTTCTTTCTAGCTGCACCCACCTTTGCTTTAGAAATGTAATAAACTTTACCTTCTTCAAGTAAACTGTAAGCTCTTTCAGCAGAGTCATTGAACGCGGACGCCTTTATTTCATCCGATTCATCCAAAAAGTTGATACTAAACACTTTACCTTCACCTTTTGCATTCGACCATGATCTAAGCTCGCCCTTGTATGAAACTCTGGCTTTAATAGTCCAGGTGTTTTGATAAGGGGATATAGTCTCAATAGGAGAGATTCTTGGTGCTGGTTGGCCTGCTTTCAGTGGCGGGTACTGTTGCTTAGCGGTTGATGGAACACTTGCTGCAGTTGATTGTGCCACAGGAGGCGTTGGAACTGGTGTTTGTTCCTTATCGTCGACCGAATTTTGCTTCTTGGTGACACTCAATGCCGCCTCATCTGGATGTTCGGCAAAATACGTGTCAACGTTAATCAATGGCGTGGTTGGTTTTTCTCCAGTAGGAGTCAAAATCTCAACATCTTCAATAATCAAAAAATGCTTAGCTGTGGCCAACGTACGGAAAGCATTCACTTGGATGGTACAGTATCTATTCCAGTTATTGTTTTCCAAATATGGAGTACATTTCTCTTCAATGATTCCCTGAGTTGAATAAACACCATCAGATAGTAAAATACGATACTTTTTCAGATTATTCATAGTATTAACTGATTTTAAATTGGTTACTTGAAAAACCAAAGGGCATTTAACCTTGTCATGGCCATCCTTTGAGAACGCCTGTTTCAAAGCACCAGTAGATAACGGGAACGATGTCATTTTAGTTAGTTAGTTACGTGGATGAAAGTAAAAGTTTCGTGATCCACACGCGTTCCCTTTTTATCCTTTTTTTTTGTTTTTTTGTTTTTTGTTTTTTATTTTTTATTTTTCCTCGCGCTCTTCCTCTTTACGTGACCGTGTATCGCAGAACTGCATAAAGGAAGAGTTATCAAGAGAGAGGTTGGCTATTGCCATCATCTTCTATCTTTGTTCCATTAACAGTTTATATGCTACCAACGAGTATTGTTATATAGATTCTATACAAGGCTTCTATAACTTTGGTTGTATAGGAACAGCATTAAATAACTCATCCTTATCGTTAACTCTGACGGCACCACTCTTTAATAAGGCCTTGGTCAAGTCGTCAATCAAATCATCAACGTTTTCAATTCCAATGCACAACCTGATTAAATCTTCAGGGAATTCTCTCTCTTCTCTAGTTTTAGCGTCTATCGAAGCATGTGACATCTTACATGGCATAGATATTAATGAATTAACACATCCAAACGATACAGCAATTCCAAAAATGTCAGTGCTTTCGACAATTTTCTCACTGAGTTTGATGGACCCAGTCTCAAAAGACAATACAGCACCGTACCCAGAACACATGGAATTGTGCAATTCATATTGAGGGTGCGATTTCAACCCAGGATACCTGACTTTGAAACCAACATTTTCCAAAAACTTGGCAACTTTAATACAGTTGTCCTGCTGTCTTTCAACTCTGACTGCTAATGTCTTTAATCCTCGACTCAAAAGCCAACAGTCAAATGGAGACAATCCACATCCAGTTGAGTTTATAACATAGTATAATCTCTCGGCTAATTCTGTAGATCTTGTGGCTAAAACACCCGCCATGATGTCATGGTGTCCATTGAGATACTTTGTAGCTGATTCGTAGTGTATGTCTACACCTAGATCCAATGGAGTCATCAATACTGGCGACATCATAGTGTTGTCGAACACAACAATCACATCGGGATTCACTTGGTGTGCATATTCGGCAATGGACTTCACATCCACCACTTTGATCAAAGGATTCGTTGGTGATTCCAAAAATATCATCTTGGTGCTTTTACTTATCTTTGACTTTATCAATTCTGTATTAGTTGTATCATAATGATGGACAATTAAGTCCCCCTTTTTATTCAAATAAGTCAATAATCTTTGTGTGCCTCCATACAAATCATCTCCAGCTATAACTTCATCACCAGGATTCAAAAGTCTTGTAATCACATCAAGACATCCCATACCTGATGAGACGGCAAATGCTTGTTTAGCCTTCATGATTTTAGCAATGTGATTCTGTAAGTGGGTTCTTGTGGGGTTTCCCGATCTAGTGTAGTCATATTCACCCATATTGGAAAGTGAAGGTTGTTTAAAAGTAGCTGATTGGTACAATGGTGGTACCGATGCATTATGCTGATCATTAGATTTGGCAAGGACCAACTCAGTCTCAAGACTATAACTCTTTTTTGGTGCCATTGTTGAATAATTGTTGCTGTTTTTCTTTCTTTGGTTTTGGTATGGTTTAATTAAGCGACTTCAGTGGTTTATCGTAGGCTTCTTGTTACGCTATGCTTTGCTATCTGCTCTCTGCTCTCTGCTCTCTGATCTTATTCTCTTTAATGAATAATGTTTATCTGATGAATAAAGAAAATCTTTTTGAAAATAAAAATTATCCAGTGACAATTGTGACTTAATATCTTTTTTCTTTCTTTTCTTTCTTTATTCTTCTCTTTCAAAAAATGAGTAACAGAGTCAAAATATTTTGATTGCATCATTCAGATAAGAAATCACGTGCACGCTACCCAGTCTAGACTCAACTTAGGTGGAGTGTTTTGAGTAAGTTTATCGACCATCGCAGCTCTACTTCAACACCTAATAAATCAACTAGTTTTCGATCCAAAGACATTACACTACGCTATTAGGCCCCCTCCTTCGAGCTTCCATTAATCTATAATTATACTTATTAAATGTTTTTTTTTATATAATTTACAAATCAGATCTGGTGAATTTCCTCATATCGTTTGGCTCTTTATCCAACAATACTTTTTGACCACTAAATGGCTCACAAGACTCTCTTTTACCAGTTTCAGGTCCAATTTGACTCAATTCTTCACCATTTTCTAATTTTTGCAAAAGACTAACTACACCTCCTGGTGTCAAATCTTCGTGGTAATCATCATTGATGGCAATCATTGGAGCATTGACACAAGCTCCCAAGCATTCAACTTCTTGTAAGGTGAATAATCCATTGGCAGTGGTTTGACCTGGTTTGATTTGAAGATGTTCCTTTATGGCATCCATTATTCCATCGCTGCCACACAACTGGCAGGGTGTGGTTGTGCATACTTGAACGTTATATTTACCCATAGGATGTCTATTGTACATGGTGTAGAAGGTGGCTACTTCATACACTCTCATTGGTGGCATATCAAGTAGTTTGGCAACATAATTCATAACTGATATAGAAGTGAAACCTAGTTGACGTTGCCCAAGGTCCAAAAGAGGCATAGTAGCTCCCTTCTTATATTGTGGTGGGTATTTTGCGATAATTTCATCGGCTCTTTTCTTGTTTTCAGAAGTAAACTCAAATGGTAGTTTGGTATGGTCTTCTTTGGTTTCTCTGTGGACGGAAATGATGGTTGAATATCTCTTGGAGGTGTGGAATACACTCGATAATGAGGATTTACTTATAATACGTGATAACATTGGTACGGTTTGGTGGAGATTATGTACTTGAATGGTGATATGATGTAATTGAAAAAATGACTAACGAAGTGCAAGCTGTTCTTTTACAGGAAAGAATAATACTTTTTGATTAGTTTGAATGTATTTGCTAATGGTTGTCAACAGTGGTACTAATAGCTTATGAACTTGTGGTAAACTAGTATTGATACAACAATGTTGAATGTTAAAATGGTGTTTTCTAATTTCCAACCACTTACTGAAGAGAGAAAAAAAAAAAAATTTTGTAGTGTGTGTGTGTGTGTGTATGCGTAATGAAATTTTAATTCTGTTTGATTGGCTTAGAGAGATTTCATACATATCTTTTATACAAATTGTCACGCTACCATATTTGTAAAATTGTAGTATATCCTTACTAGATGTTTGTAGCTGCACAGGGGGGAACACTCACCCTTAGTCATCCGTTGCCTCCACCCATTAGCAAAAGTACGTATATGCATCATTTATCCCCCTTTCTGAACTATATACAGTAAACAAACTATAATTTGTAATGCCACTTATAATTTTGCCAATTTTCTCTATCCTTCTATTTTGCGGGGAACGAATAGTCACGTATAAAGTATACAAGTACAAAATTCTATAAAAGGGCTATCAAATCCCTTTTCTCAAGCCTTGTGTTCTTGTTTTCACTATTCTACATAGCTTAATTAACAATGTCAAAGATTCCTAAACACAGAGAGTTTTCTACTGATTCTGACCCTTTTAGATTGGAAGACAATTTCATGACCGACGAGTCGATGCCTCATTATGATCCAAATGCGCCAGAGGATAAGTCAATGCAATCTATGCCCATGATGAATATGGACAAGAAGATTGATGAAATGAAGGACTTTACAACTGGTGTTAGTAGTTCATTACACGACTACAAGATGCCCAAGATGGAAAACAATTCCAAAAGTATGCCCAAAGAGAAGCATGAGGAGCCTGTTGATGACCTCCTCAACTTTTTGGGATAGGGAGACAACATTGAATTTTGTTTCTGCGGCTGATGATGAACAAATGGGTGCACATGAGAGAGTTGAATCGTTTTGGGGGATGTTTTTATGGTGAAGCTGGTCTTTACTTGTGGAGAGGATAGTGGTTAGAACGATGGTAGGGGGATAAAATCACTGATTCTATCGTATATAGTTACAATGAATAAAATTTACAATTTGCTTTGCGCATGTAGTCTTTGATTGTGATAATTATAACAGCTCCACACCATATATAGTTTGTCTTGAGGTTGTAGTCTTAATTGGCCCAAGGTCCGCCTCGTAATTGGTGCTACCATTTGACTTCAACGTTGTAGGCAATATACAGGATTGTCGCATTTCAAGAAAAATCAAGGAAACATTAAACAGAAAAACCTCACATAGGATAAGCAAGGATCAACTATAGCACAACAATTATAACTTGTGTTCCTACTCATACATTGGTAGCTACAACAAGGTATTGGTCCAGGATTTTTATGAAGTAGTGACACGTCTCAGTTTTATCAGTGACATATATTTGACTCACAGGATCCACTTTAATCAATAAAGTATACCAAGTAATTAAACAATGAACCACAGTAACAACCTTTCAAAGCATTCACGAGGCAGTCTACAGTCATTCGAGACGCCCAAATCGCCTTCAAGATCAACGCGAAGTGTCGATCCATTGAGACCAAACGACCCCTTACTATCGTCATCTCCATCGAGGCGAAGAAACCAAAATACAATTTTCAGTGATCGATATATACCGAATCGTACGGGCGTTGACTTGCAAGCTGCTTTTAGTTTGACAAATGAAGACGTTCTACCGGATGTACGAAGTAATAGAAACGCTGACAATGAAATTGAAATCAGAAAGGAGGAGGAAGCGAATAGAACTTTCACAACTGTATTGAAGGCAGAACTATTTGGAGATAATGTGCCCATGGCAACTGCTGATTTAACAAGCAATGTAACATCAAGTAATGGAAATAATAATAGAGCCAAATCATCTAGCCAGAGACCTAATAGTATGGGTGCAGGCTCGAACATGTCAACTACTGGAACGCCTCCAAGGTCATCTGGCTCATTACCCCATCTCCCGATATCGGCCACGTCGTCAACCAGTCAGCTAGGCAATACCAGTTCAATATCCACATATGATTCAGACGACGTATTGTCAACGCCCCGCAGGAAAGCAAACTTGTTTACTTATCAATCACCAAAGAAATCAAGACCCGTGTCGAGAGATTTACAACAGGAACTTTACTCGCTATCACCGGTTCGCCAAGAATCACAAAAGTTTTTATTGTCACCGCAAAAGAAGGCCCGCTCTATTGCTAAAGTGCCATATCGAGTGCTAGATGCACCTGAGCTCTCCGATGACTTTTACTTAAACTTGGTTGATTGGGGGCAACAAGATGTCTTGGCTGTCGGATTAGGTGACAGTGTTTATTTATGGGATGGATCAACGCAGTCAGTCGACCGATTGTGTAATCTATCAAATAAGGACAAGGTGACAAGTCTAAACTGGATTGGTACTGGTACCCATCTAGCAATTGGAACTTCAAAAGGTTTAGTTGAAATCTGGGATGCAACTAAAATCAAATGCATTAGGACAATGACTGGTCATTCGTTACGAGTTAGCTCCTTAGCATGGAATGAACATATTTTGTCGAGTGGGTCTCGAGATCGAACAATTTTAAATCGTGATGTCAGAATCGAAGACCATTATGTCAACAAGTTTGAGAGCCACAAACAAGAAATATGTGGTCTTAAATGGAATGTCGATGAGAACAAGTTAGCAAGTGGTGGGAATGATAACAATTTGTTTATTTGGGATGGCTTAAATACCAAGCCCTTGTATCAATTTACCGATCATACTGCTGCAGTAAAAGCTATTGCTTGGTCACCGCATCAACGAGGCATTTTGGCGTCTGGTGGTGGAACTGCAGATAAAACCATCAAGACATGGAATACATTGACTGGAAACATGATTCATGATGTTGATACAGGGTCGCAAGTTTGTAACTTGATCTGGTCAAAGAATTCTAACGAGATTGTGTCAACCCATGGATACTCAAGAAACCAAATCATTGTTTGGAAGTATCCCTCAATGCAACAAATTGCCCAGTTAACGGGACATACCTATCGTGTCTTGTATTTATCGCTTTCGCCAGATGGTGAAACAATTGTTACTGGTGCTGGAGACGAAACATTGCGCTTCTGGAATGTCTTTGAAAAGAATAAAAACAATGACTCTCCTTCATCTGTATTATTGGGAGCTTTTCTGCAAATTCGTTAAGGGAATACATTATAGATATTTACTTTCTGAACCTTGCTTCGTAACTTTTTATTCAATATATATACGTATCTTTTATAAATAGAAAGAGGTTGTATCGAGCAATGGTTGCTGCTTGTCGGCATCAAAGTTGGTCGAGGTGGCCCATTCCTGAAGTTTTTCATTGGAAAATGTTACATAACCGTTGAGTTTTTGAACTAAAACCTCCATATGTTCCAACGTGTATAAAATGTCTTCCTTTCGGTATCCTGTAGCTTTTGATAACTCTTCTAGAGTGAACGTTTTAGATCTTCTTTGAGTCAACACTTTTGCCAACTGCTTTGACCAGAAATTCAAGTAGCTCACTTTGCCAAATGGTGATAGGGGAATTTCAGGCCCACTACTTTCCTGAGTTAATTGTGCTAGGGCATACAGAAACTCAATTAACATGTGGCCAATGTGTCTTCGTTGGAAAGGAGGAAACACGCAAATACACGCTAAATTCGTTGTAGGATCATATGCAATCATTTCTTTTGAAAAAAACCCCATAGGTATATAATCTCTTTCTCCGTCCTTGGCGTAAAATACGTAAAAGTTAAAGTGGTCAATGTTGAAATAAACCGACTTGTCATCAAGAAACAATTTCCCAAAAAGACATAAGTTTTGACAGAACAAAAGTGCTTCATACCCTCGCACTTCTCGAATTATGTGCTTTTTCTTGCAGTCATAGTACACCATTGTTCCTATATTTGGATTTTCACGATGGTATTGACAAACTTCCCAATGCTGCAGCATCTCGTTTTCATCAATTGAATACTTGAAACAGTATTCGCAGACGAAAAGATGGTCGATAAAGCATTCCCTTGATGAATAGGACTTTAGTCGTTTCCGTAGCAATGGATCTGCAGCAGTCATGTTCGAGTATTCATAGCCCAACATATCGGGTACACCTTCGTATGGATTAAAGTATGCGGGGTTACCAAACCATGGTTCAAATTCGTATTTTCCGAAAGTAACTTTACCAATATTTGGTCTCTCTAGTCGGCCATAAAAAGATGTGGCCTTTGATGAAGAGGTTTCCAGGTTTTGGTCCTGCGTTATAGATGGAATGGACAACAGCATTCAAATGCGTGTGTCAATTCGGCATATATATATACACCTCTTGGCTGGTCCTTGCAAAAAAAATTTCGGGAAATTGGAAATTTCTGATGCGCTAATTATAACGACGCGTATGTTACCACCATCACCACCCACAACAACAACATTTCCTTTCTTCAACCACACATCAACAAATTCAAAACACAAGATGCCTCCAAAAGGTTGGAAAAAGAATGCGGATCCAAGTGAGCAGCCGTTCAGGGACACTGAGCCTGTATCGATAGATGATATCTTATTTCCTCGAACAACAATTCTGAAATTGGCCAAATCAATAACCTCGGACGAAGATAACCAAAATAACATGACCTTGGCAAAGGACTCGCTATTGGCGTTGCAAAGATCGGCTACAGTGTTTGTGAGCTACATGTTGTTTCATGCAAAGCAAGTGTCAAAAGCCACTGGTAGAAAGACGGTGACTGCTCAAGATATAATGGCAGCTTTGGAGCGAGCTGAATTTGCAGGATTCCTCCCTGAAGTTAAACAGAGACTAGGAGAATTTGAGTCGTTGGCAAAAGCAAAGAAGCAAAAGAAGTTGGAGGAAAAGAGTTCAAGTAAAGAGGAGGAAACAATGACAAAGAAATCGAGGGTTGAAACTCCAGATGGCAAGATTGAATCGCGTAAAGTTGTTACAAGTGGCACTGATGATGATGATGATGAAGATGAAGAAGATGCTGAAATTGAAGAGACAGAAGATCGAGATGATCTGAGTGACGAAATCGAGGATGGGCTGGACGATGAGGAAAAGGCTGAAACTAATCCCATATCTGAGCTTTCCAAAGATGAGCAAGAATTGCGTGGAGAAGAGGTTGATGATGAAAAACGTGCTGAAGAAGAGGATGATGATGAGGAGGAGGAGGAGGAGGATTAGCGAGGTTTTTTATTTCCTTTATGTGTTTATCTGAAAGATATCCACTAGTTTCGTATGCAGTGGTCAAATAGAGGAAAGCCACACTGACTGGCAATAAATAGATAAAGTACCACCAAAATACCACCAGCGACAGATAAAATGAATTTGGTTTTATGGAACCACATACGTCTCTTTATCTGCTGTGCCTTTTTCAGAAACATCAGTGAGGAGGTGTTGAGTCTATCTGTTTGATCCACTAAAGAATTAATCTTGTCACCTCTGCTCAATAATTTGTTAATATTGTCCAACATGAGTTGTCGAACCTCTCCTACTTCCTCGTTCGCTAGTAGTAACTGGTTTGGACCAATTTGATTTAGGGAACCACTTCCCTCATTCGACTCATTTGTTGACCCGTAATTATAGCTCTGGTGATTTACATCGTAGTTCAGTTCCTCATGCTTGATTATTTGTTTCATGTAGAGCTTGAACTCTCCCGGTTTAGCTTTGGATGCCGGGTCGTTCTGATCGCCTTGTCGATTCTTGAAATCGATATATTTGTCCATGATATTTTTCAACACCACCAAAATAAACGTCTTGTTGACATCATTATGAGCAATGGAAACAATTGTGACCAAGTCTCTGCTGCCATCCACATTCATATATTTTTTCATAAAATAAAGAGACAATTTCATGGGAGTATTTGTTGAAACGGGGATTGATCCAACTAAAGTTTTCGAAGAATTTATCAATCCTAATTCCTGTGAAATAATCTCTGAACAGTTTGTACGCGGGAAATTCGATGTAAGTTGATGGTTCTCATATGTGTATAGGGTGGTGGAGTTTATAGTCAATGTACAATAAATCACTGTTGATGAGAAAAGTTAGTATCAGCTCTAATGCCAAATCAACCTGGACTTTAACGTACAATGCTTATGTATATCTGAGTGCGCCATTCTTGATGTATAACAACTGTGTAAGACAAACTGATGGCTTATCAGAGAAATGAGTAATTATGGAGGAGCCTTTTTAGTTTGGCTACACATGCGATAGTTTCTTGGTGTCGAGTACACGACCAAATTGAAGAAAATGCAACTTCTATCAACTGATGAATATCAAAGCACACTCCTTCAGGGGAAACGTCAAATAGTTGTTAGAGCTGGTCCAGCTTTGTTTTAATACTCACAACTATTATCATATTGACTGTTTTCATTTATATGAATAACTCGACACTGACAACAGAAGTAAGCAATTCTTTTCTTAACCAGAAGAAATTAATCGCCTTGGTCCCACACTAGAATCTCACTTATGCCAAAAAGAAGTTGTAGATATATTTGAGACCTGAGTATCTTGCAACGGTGTTTGTATCAGTTGTTCTGACAAGAACAATTTGCAACTATGACTTTCTAAGCCGCACACTCGAACGTCACAAAACCAATACGCATCTCATCAGCAGTTTGAAAAATAATTCACCACTTCTCAAACACTCCATCACAAGCATACCTGTAGCAGAATACTATGGGAAAGTATAGAAAAAGATTCAATGAGAAGGCGAGAACTGGTATGCTTGCTAAGCAAGCTGCTCTAAAGAAAGCAAGAAATAAACAGTTTTACACGCAAGACGATGGCACAAGTACAGATGTGGAAGAGACGAAAGCATCCGATGTTTCTACAAACTTCACGAATCCTGATCCAAATGCCGAAATCCTTGCTCCAGTAAGTGAGGAAGAGCGTCTAGCCAGGAAGAGGGCTTTGGAAGAGAATTTATACACCCAAAATGCAAAAGATGAAAAATTGTCGAAAGCCAAGAAGAAGAGACTAGACAAATATATCGAGCATCAACTTAAAAGAGAAGAGAAGAAAGAGCTTTTGAAGAAATTGGAAGAGACAAAGATGGACACATCAAAACTTACTGGATTGAAAAATCTAGGAAAGGGAAAATTGACCAAAAAAGAGCAAATGATTGAAGCATTAGAATTGGAGAAGCAAGGTAGAGCAGATGAACACACACGTGAGGTCTTGTATGAAGAGAGAGTTGTAAAGGATGCAAGTGATTTGGAAGAAGATGATGAACATTACGACGCCAAAGGTTTTCCTGATGAGAGTAGCACGCCGCTGAGTTCGTTTGTTGATAATAGACCGTCAAAATTTGGAGGATCTGGGATGGGATTTGGATTCAAAAATATACCAGTGATCAAACGAGAACCAGAAGCTTCAAAGAAAAAGTATAGTTGGCGGAAAAGGGTTCAAGAGGAGGATAAAAAAAGGCTAAAGCAAGAAGATCTAGATGATTTCGCATCAAGCTCGGAAGAAGAAATGCTGTCGGGTGAGGAAAGTGGAGAAGAGGAATTGTCAGAAAGTGAATCACTTGAAGAGGTTGACAATGATGGTGTAGAAAATGGCATCAACGTATTAAAAACACAAAAGAGTAAAGCCGATGATGGCCAGGTAAGTTCTGCAGAGGAGTCAGGCGAAAATGAAAGTGCGAGTGGACTGGATCTGGATAGTAATGTTGAGGTTGCTGAAGATGAGGGAGTCAGTGATGAAGAAGGCGATGATGACAGTGAAGAAAGCGATGACGATGATGACGATGATGACGATGATGATGACGACAGTGAAGAAGAGGAGCACCCGACCAGACTAATGCAAAATAAACCTAGGCACTCCAAAACTGCTACATCATTCAAAGATTGGGCTGAGCAGCAACTTCGACATATTGAAGGCCGTGACAACATTCCCCTTGTTGCAGAGGTGTCAGATGAAGTCAAAGAAAAGTACTCAAAGCGTAATATTCGACTGGAGGATGTAGACCACTCATCAGATGAAGAAGGTTACATACCCATTGATAAATATATGAGCCGGGAGGCGTTTGTGGTGGAGGTTCAAAGACCCGATGGAGTACAACAGCAAAGAATCTTGTTGCCTGTATTTGCAGAAGAACATAAAATTATGGAAGCAATATACCATCACGATTGTGTCATACTTTGTGGTGAGACTGGTTCGGGTAAAACAACTCAAGTTCCTCAATTTTTGTATGAAGCTGGGTTTGGTAACCATGGTAACAAGCTATACCCGGGGATGGTTGGAGTAACACAACCGAGAAGAGTTGCAGCAGTATCAATGGCGGAGAGAGTAGGTGATGAGTTGGGTAACCACAAACATAGGGTTGGTTATCAAGTTAGATTTGACACATCGATCAAAAATGAAGGCACGGAATCTGGAACCGCACTTAAATTTATGACTGATGGTGTTTTGTTGAGAGAAATGATGTCAGACTTTCTTTTGACAAAGTATTCTGCAATAATCATTGACGAGGCCCATGAGAGAAATATAAATACTGATATTCTAATCGGGATGCTAACCAGAGTTATCAAATTGAGAAGGAAGTATTTTAGGGAAAACAGGAAAGGTGTGAAGCCATTAAAGTTGATCATCATGTCGGCTACTTTGCGAGTAACCGATTTCTCAGAAAATCTGGCATTATTCAAACATGCACCGCCAATTATCAACGTGGAAGCAAGACAATATCCTGTGTCAGTACATTTTGATAAAAAGACAGAATTTAATTATATTGATGCAGCATTTAACAAGGCGTGTAAAATCCATCGAAAGCTTCCGCCTGGTGGTATATTGATATTCTTGACAGGTCAAAATGAAATCAAGACATTGGTCAAGAGGCTCAAGGAAGAGTTTCCAAAGAAGAAGGCAAGCTACATTGAAGATGAAGAGGTTAACGATGTGAGGGTATCGGAAAATGTTCAACAAGAGGTTGAAGATGTGGACTTTAGTGTGAAGGTAGATGAAGAGAGAAACTACGACGACTACGATGACTCAGATGGAGAAGAGGAGGGATTTGAGGAAGCTCAAAACACTCTTGACTCTGAGGTTGGACCGCTTCATGTTTTGCCATTATATTCTCTTTTGCCCACTAACCAACAAATGCGTGTTTTCGATGAACCGCCGAAAGGAAGTAGATTATGCATTGTTTCCACTAACGTAGCTGAAACTTCCTTGACCATCCCAGGAATTCGTTATGTGATTGATTGTGGAAGATCAAAAGAACGAAATTACAATAAAGAAAACGGAGTGCAGTCGTTTGATGTCGACTGGATCTCTAAAGCATCAGCAGACCAAAGAGCAGGAAGAGCTGGTAGAACCGGACCCGGGCATTGTTATAGACTATTTTCATCTGCCGTGTATGAAGAGTTTTTCCCTCAGTTTAGCATTCCTGAAATACTTCGAACTCCATTTGAGAGTATAGTGTTGAGCATGAAAAGTATGGGAATTGATCAAATTGTTAATTTCCCATTTCCGACTCCTCCTGACAGGACCGCTTTAAAACAGGCTGAGCAGCTATTGGTCATTTTGGGTGCACTCGATAAGGAACAAAAACAAATAACCGATTTGGGAAAGAAAATGTCTCTATTCCCATTGAGTCCTAGGTTTGCAAAAATACTTATTATTGGAAACCAACAAGACTGCTTGGAATATATCGTGGCAATAGTGTCTGCATTATCCGTTGGCGATCCGTTCATCCCAGAGAATGAGCTTGTAGGAAACATGACTGAAGAGGAAAAGAAGAATTTCAGAAGCAAATTCTATCAATCGAGAGCTTTATTTTCGAAATTAGACCCTTCAAGCGAGTGCATGACGTTGTTGTCTGCAGTGTGTGCTCTCGATCATATTCCTAGTGAACAGGCGGGTGAATTTTTGGCTACGAATTATTTAAGACAAAAGATGATGCAAGAGATCCAAAAGCTTAGACAACAAGTTGGACTGATTGTTGAGAGATGCTTGATGACTAAAAATGGAGGACAGTTGAGTCAAAAGAAGAAGTTAGATGTCCCTTCCAAGAAACAGGTATCGGCAATGAAACAAATGATTGCATCAGGATTCGTTGACCACGTTGCAATCAGAGGTGATTTAATCTCTCCTGATGTCAAAATCGCCAACAAAACCAGTATTAGCAACATCCCCTATTGTCCTGTTTTTCCTATTGGCCTGGATCCTTTTGTTTATATTCATGCAAACTCATTGTTGAGCAGAAGCGGTGCCTTACCAAGTCCTTACTTGGTATACCAAAGTCTTAGTTCTAAATCAAAATCCGTGGATGACGAGAAATCGAAGATTAGAATGAATCCATTGGTTGATATCAGTGGAAAGCAGTTAACAAACGTTGCCAAAAGCTCGGGATTGGTAACCTACTCGAAGCCTTTGGGTCATCCGTACGCTCCAAAGAATATCACTGCCACTAAACGAGAATGTTACGTAGTTCCCCGATTTGGAGCTTCAGTGGGAAGTGGAGGTGTTGGTTGGGATTTACCGGCAATTAAGGTGACTCAAGAAAAACAACGTGGGTCCTGGGTGAATGTATAGAGCATGGATATAATTAGAGGTAACACTCTTGTGTAGAAACGAAAAACATAAACAAAACGAAAAAAAAAAAAAGAAAAGAAAAAAAAATAAATAAATTCTGTAAACCATTCGAAGATCTAGCGTCAAAAGAGCATCAGAGTTTGTACTACTCCATAGACGAGGTCAGTCCCTGATGCGTCCACCAAATGTCAATTACAGTGAAAGGCGACAGAACCGGGGGAGAGTTAGACCACTTATACCTAGCAGTGTACTAGACCCAGCCTCCCAACGACTATTTGTGGTCTCATTGTTTATACTAATACAGAGTTGGAAGATATACGATCTTGTACTACTCAAGTCAGAAATTGCTTCTTCTAATGAGCAATTGACAACCTTGACAAGCTTTACGTTTGTTCTCAAATACGTGTTCATTGATGGCGGGTTCTTGTGGCTACTTCCGATATTAAGGATACCGCAGCTTGCATTTTCACCATCCAAGACCTTACTTTACATATTTATTCTCAATGGGTTCACGCTATTTTTGGTAAGCAATATGGCATTGCCATTGCTATCCAATTTCTTTTTGCCAATTTGGAGAGTACTTCTACAAAGGAATGAGCTCAATATTGCTGGAGAATCAATCAATATGGCCAATGTTATCGATATGGACTCACATTTTAAAGGTAAATTGACAATTCATTACCTTCCCGATTCATCTGCGAAAATGAACCCATTTCATATTGATCAAACTTGTTTAGGGTCCGCAGGTGAAGACACCATTCAAATGCCCATTGAGTTCAACACAACGTCGGGGATTGGTTTTCTACAGATTCAACAAAGTACTGTTAATAACGAACTAAAACTTTACAACTACACTGGATCGACGCTAAAAAGATTATTCAAGAAAGATTACTCCCATTTGCAGAGTAAGATTCAATCCAGTCCCAGTGACACCTTGTTTTATTTGGAATATCCAATTAATGAACCAGGTATGTACAAGATCAAGAGCGTTTTGGACAAGAAAGGTAACAGTATCAGAACATACAAGTCTGAATTCATTATATCAAATTGCCCGCTGGGTAAGTTTTTCTATCCACCTCACTTTGACTTCCAAAACAATCACAAGTGTTTGTCGTCTCTTGAGCAAGAGGCGTTTCCTGTACCTTGGCTAGAAGTGTATGGTCCTTCACCTGAGCATGTTGACCTTGTTATTAAAGCTAATGGCAAGGAGTTCAAGTCATTAAACCTCACAATTCCCAGTGATACCGATCATCAGAAACGGTCGAAAGGCGATTTTTCCTACTTGAAGCCTTCGAAGCTTGTTAGAAACTCGTTGGAAGAAGCCATTTTACAGCATATTGACGAATTTAAGTGGGATAAAGAGACCGCCGTTGAGTTCCAGTTGATTTCGGTCCAGGACTCGTTTGGCAACTTACACAGGTATCAGCCACTCTCTAAGGATAAAGATGTGTGGTACAGATTGGTTCTTCGTAGGTCGCCATCTATTGGACTCATTGATCAAGAAAAAGACCATCCGCTTCTTTTGGGGGGTGAAAAGAGATTGATGATATCGAATTGGGATAGTTTTAACCACAAGGACTTTCCCCTTGACGTTGTTATTTCACACGATGGGTCCAATTTTACGCGATCTTTCTCTACCAAAGCACAGTTACGAGGTGGTTTAAAGGTAAATGAGCCTGGTTTGTATCAGTTGGTTTCGGCTAAAGATGCGTACTGTCCATGTGAGATAACTGATGCACCACCAGTACAACTTAAGTCGGCACAAATACCAGAGTTGAGTATCCATGCACAGCCGGAAAGTGATAGATGCTTGGGGGTAGTGGGATACAAGTTCGACTTCAACTTCACTGGTAGAGCTCCCTTTAAGGTGCAATATCAAATTTACTCAAACAATTCAGGTATTTTAAAACCAGTGTTGTCTCCGTCAGGCCAAAGGGTTCGTGAATTGACATCTGCACAGAACCAGCACTCGTTCAAATTCAAACCACCAGGTGAGGGAAGTTATAGCATCGTGTTTTCCAACTTGAAGGATGGTAACTATCGAGACAAGGGATTTCCTATCGACGAGCTGAAGTACACCTATCTGACATATTTCAGACAGGCCTCAGAATTATCATTGAAGCTAGCCGGGCGTGAATTACACACCTGTTATGGTATATCTGCAACTATACCAGTGGTGCTAAAAGGAAACGGACCGTTCTCATTTGACTACGATTTTGTCGACCCCGTTGGACAGAAAAAGTTGAGTGCTACCGTGCATGTGAGTGATGTTTCTAGTTATAACATTGAAACGCCTCAGTCATTAATTGGTAAAACGTACAATCTTATCTTGAGAAATGCCAAGGATAAATTTGGTTGCGATGCAAAAATAGACGAAAACTCAAAACAAGTAAAGATTGTAAGTAGACCGGATATTCCTGAGCTTGAATTGAGTAATACCGAATCGAGAATTCAAATTGTTGAGGGCCAGTTTGTTGATGTTCCAGTGAAGTACAGATCATCCGTTGGACAACAAAGAAATGACGTGGCCATCTTAAAATACATGAATTTAAAAGGCGAACCATTGAAAGATAAAAAGGCTGATTTGAGGAAATCAGCAATTCGAATCTATGAGGAGGGAATTTACAGTTTGGAATCTTTCTTCAACGACAATTGTGAAGGAAGGGTTGTTGACAAGGACAAGACGGTGACTGTCACTTATTACGAGAAGCCATCAATGAATATTACTTTTGCTGATGAATACTTGCAGCATAAAGATGATTCCATAGTCCATTTGAAACCAGTTTGCAATGGTGCTCTAAGTGAAGTCGGTTTGCAACTAAAGGGAAAAGCACCTTTCTTGGTTGATTATGAAATCAAGTTACCGAGTGGTAAAGTTGAAAGTCACACTATGAACGTTGAAGGCCATCATATTAGAATTAAATTACCAACTAAGGTCAATGGTCAATATGAACATAACTTTAAAAAGATCTACGATGCTCGTTACACTAGACAAAGTAAGGTTCCGTTGGCAAATGTTCCCAAAGTTGTGTATCAGGTTAATGGTTTACCTACTGCCCTGTTCATCCCAGATAAACACTTTTCGCAGGTGTGTGAAAATAGAGTCTATGGCGAGGAAGTAATAGCAAAGATTCCTCTCGAACTTTCTGGAAAGTACCCATTTGACATTGAAGCTATAATACGGAATGAAGCATCAGGCGAAAGTCAAAAGATGAGGTTTAGAAACATTGTGGAGCCGAATTTGTCATTGCAAAGTATGAAATTTCTCACCCTTGGAGACTACTCGATTGATTTAGTCAGCGTTAAGGATAGTAATGGGTGTGTCAATGGCAAGCTACAAAATGCTATCAAGTACATTTTGTCGATAACTGAGCCTCCAAACATATTCAAATCGTCAGACAAATTCCACTACTGTGTGGGAGACCACGTTGGCTATAATTTAACTGGTGTATCTCCCATCACCATTTTTTACCAGTACGACAATGTGCCCAGGAAAGCTGATGTACATCACCTGTTTGTTAGGTTGGCGTCGAAGCCAGGAATTCTAAATATACAAGCCTTGAAGGATGCGGGTGAGAACTCATGTATGGTGAACTTCACCTTGGATAGCGAAAAGTTCAAGGACTTGCAACTTCAAGTGCACGAATTACCCAGTGTCGAAGTTAACAAAGGTGATTACATAGTTGAAGACATTCATCAAGGCGATCACACGGAGTTGATATTTTCATTTACAGGTGAACCTCCATTTAAACTAACATACATTAGAACTATTGAAGTTAAGCGGGACCAAAAGAAGGTGAGAAAATTGTTAGAAAAGGAGACTATTAATGACATTTGGGATCGTGATCTTGTTGTATCGGCCAGTCTTGAAGGTACTTATGAGGCCATCGAGGTGCAAGACAAATTCTGTCGAGCAGTGAAATCAATCAGTTATATAGAATAGGCCAAAAAAATAAAAAGCACAACACACAGACTTATTTAAATTTATTTACTTTCACTCTTAGTATTGCCTTTTAATTTGTGGTACTCTTGATGTATAGCTTCAGCAAGTCCTATGTCTGCTTCAGTTATGTTATTTCCCACATCGTGGGTCGTCAATTCAATGTCAATCTTGTTATATACAGTTGTGATCTTTGGGTGATGTTTCTTCAAATCTGCTTGTTTAGCAATCAAGTTTAAAAACTCCCAAGTCTTTCTGAAATTTTTTAGTTTGTAATGAACTTCCAATACATGCGATGGAGGAACAGTGTCCAATACCGACAACGACCAATGAGGAAGTCCAAATGCATTGATTTTCGAAAGACCTTTGCGAATTGACTCCTCGTGTAGAACTGATAACGACATTTTGTGGGTCCCCTGTGTTCGAGATTTAGAAGCAGTTGATTATTATTATTTTATTTTGTTTTATTTTGTTTTTTTTTCTGGGGCAAACTTTTAAGGTTTTTTGACCTGCAGTTTGCAGTGGATAATTGACACCTGTTTTACAAACGAATAAAGTATAACAAAAGGGGTATGGTATAAGCTCAGCTGGTTCAAAGTACCGTTTCATGTTGAGTACTGGATAAGGCTAAAAAAGTACTTCAAGAGAGAGACAGTAATAAAGCTGGATATAAGCATTAAATTCTCTCATTTTAGCCCAAGTTAGTCTTTGGGGCCGAGTACTTGTACACACAACCTCAACCTCGTTTGAACCTCGTGTTTAGAAGCTATTGCCTTTTACTTCTATCTGTTCGTAATGATCGCTGTATCCCTTTAATGGTATCGAGTTTGGTTTTGTGTAGTTTACGCAAAATATTCGCGCTTTCTTCATCAAAAAAAAAAAATGTATGGAAATGTAAATTCATTTCATGTGTTAAAAACGAATAGGTACTATTCCAATGAGCTAAGTTATGATTTCAGCCTTCTACGTTCTACATATTCCCTTTGTCTACGAAAGCCCGTCAGAGATATCCTCGTATCAATGTTTGATCAATAGGAGGTTTACTGAAGTTATTCCCGACGATGCTAGCATACTTTCCAAAATCTATCAGCACTTTAGACGAACTCCTATACACGAGCAAGTACCGATATTGTGCGTTGAAAATCTTTCATATGTGTATACTAGATGCGAAAACAATATTGTGATTTTGGCTGTCACCCACCAAAATGTCAATGTGATGCTGGTTATTACATTCCTACGAAGTTTTCAATTGATTATGATTCACTTTTTATGCAAGGGTGAGATAAGAAAAATGAATCATGAAATGATTTTGGACAACTCAGTCCTTATAACCGAGCTAGTCGACGAGTGCTTAGATTTTGGGATATTACAAATAACAGATTACAAGCTACTTGAAGAGTACATCAAAGTTGAGCCCAACTTTCCCGGGCTACTCGACGATGACTCCAACGACAGTGATAATGACGAGCTTGGCAATGAAAGCAAAAGAAAGAACGAAAAGGGCAAAAAGAGTAAACCAAACACCGACATCAAGTCGACCCACAATCAGTCAATCAAGACCGACGTTTTGGAAAACCATGCAAATCTCATCAACAGTTCGATTTTGCGTACCTATGCACTGTCAATAAATTGGAGACCGAAAGGTATTTTCTATGCAAAGAATGAAATATTCGTTGATATTATTGAAAACGTGGAGTTTATATACGATCTAAAGACGGAGTCGGTGAAACGAAATGAGATTTATGGAAGCTGCATCGTTAAATCTTATCTTTCTGGTATACCAGTCTGTCGCATGGGCTTCAATGAAAACTACATGTCTTCGATTGAAAATGACGAAATTGGGATCAAAAGTGTGGATGACGATCCTCTACCGGAAAACCAAATACAAACCGATGGTGCGAACGAAGAGGGCGAAGGTCTATTAGAGGAGAATACGGCAGAGCAGGAACTTGAAGAACAAGAGGAAGGAGAAGCAAAGGAGGTTGTGGTGTCACCCACAGAAGAGCTTCAAGGCGAAGAAGTGCAAAGGCAGTCTGAAAATGAAAATCCAACAAAGGAGGCTACTAAAACATTCAAACATCTGATTCCCATCAGGAATATTCAATTCCATCAATGTATTGAATTGTCAAAGATATACAGGGACAATATAGTCACTTTTATTCCACCTGATGACAAGTTTCAACTAATGTCGTACCAAGTGGAGCAACAAAAGAACAAAAAGAAATTTCCTTTGATTTCAATTAAACCTGTGTTCAAAATTGTTCACGAGACAAAAAGGTTGTTGGTCATGTGTACATTGAATACCACCTTCCCACGAAGGCGACATTGCAAAAGTTTATTTGTGAGAATTCCCCTAAACCCATATTATTTTGAATTGGATATAACCGATCCTAACTTGAAATATAAGACTGAAAATGGTGAAGTTTCATTCAAGTACGATACCATGGAGATTATCTGGAAAATCGATAGTATAGATGGTAAACAGACTGTGAGAATGATGTGCGAGTTGTCCTTGTTGAATTGTGAACAAGTTACCTTGTCAAAGATTTCTCACTACTTGTTACGCAAAATGGTCAATCAGGATTCAAATGGGAGCAGCGTGCAAAAACATATTGATGAAGAATCGGAAGATGCTCGACACGACTTGGAGGCGTTTTATGGAGTCAATGGCAAGGCTCTAACGTCTACGCAAAAAGAGTTGTTGCAACAAGTAAAACGAAACTTTAAAAATGATGATATTGTCTTGACATTTAAAATTCCCATGTTCACCTACTCGGGTTTAAAATTGTCATACATTTCAGTGGAAGAGGAGCAACTCAAATACCCCTGTTTTCCTTGGATACGATACCTCACTCAGAGTCTGGACCTCGACAACCAGGACACCTCACCCTTGACTCAAGTGATGGGCCAAGATTGCACTTATAGATTTAAATTGGCTATAGATTGTTTTGTAGTGCTGTAGTGTTGATAGCTTTTTTAATTATCACTGATTGGTAACTTCATTTAAATCAATCCTGATGTTCTTTTCCCCTCTTATTATACTGTGTTAGTAATTTGGAAACTACAATTGGTATCAAGTCGGTGCCCGATGTATTTTCGGATTGTTTATCCCAATTAGGTAATTATATGCACAAAAACAAAAAACAAAAAACAAAATGGGGGGAGGAATTTTAATTTATCAATTTTTGTTTTTGTTCCAGTTCCCTTATCATCATCACCGATAGTAATACATATAAAATATTCCCGCTTTAAGAGGTTTATCTCTTAATTGAATTCCCGACAATTGAAAAGAGTAAAAATAATCATTATTTATTAAATAATATGTATTATATTTTCTAATTTTAATGGCCTTTCTCCGCTTTGGATGTTTCTTTACGGTAAACAAATCTCCAGAGAGTCCCATGCGTTTAAACCCTCAGTGTACTTCTACAACGTCAGCAGTATAATAAGAATTCGGTAACTAAAATGTCATCAGATCAGGTCACTAAACTGCCATGTACTACTACTTCTCCCAGTTCAAAGGCTGCAGCATTAGGTACAACGACGACTAAACCCAATGGGAACACAAGCAAACTACGCACCAAGTCAAGGAATGGATGTATAACTTGTAAAAAGAAGAGACTTAAATGCGATGAAACGAAACCAACGTGTTTAAACTGTAATAAGAAAAGTATTGTTTGTGGTGGCTATGCCACAAATTTCAAATGGAAACTGTTCAATGAGTCGAAGCCTACAATTAATAGCAAGTCATTGAAGAAACACTTGCAACTAGCAAGCTTTTCTGTTACTGGGAAAAGCATAGAAGATATAGCTAGGGAGAGTGATTTAATCTCAAAAGGAATGAACCCAACTGAAAGTAAGGAGGGCACACGAAGATTTAGTGAAGCTAGCACTGCCACCACCACCACCACAACAGCAACAGGTCCAAACCAGGGGCCTCTTTTCACAAGGTCTTACAGCGACACGTACCCCTTACAAGACATTCAAAACTTTAGACTCCAAAACAATCCTACTACACCATCTGAAGCTGTTGTTGACGAAATTGCAAAACTGCCCATTAAAGAAATCGACAATGAACCCCATTCCTTCCTATCCCCAAGCTTTGAGAATATTATGAACCCTCCTGCATTGATTAAAAAGAATAAAGAGCCAGAGTTTAACGTAAGTTTAACCCCTTCCCTATCAGCTATATTGAACTTTGCATTGAACCTGGAAGAGATTGACGTTCCATCAGTTGAAACAATGAGTCCACTAACATTGAACCGATCCTATGATTTGTCGTCGGTTCCATCCCCTGTGTGTGAGTTTAACAAATCCTTAACAAAGGCTTCAGAACAGGAACAGCTTATCTACTTGTATTCCCAGTACACATCGGGTGTCATGTCGATCAAGAATGGATTTCATGAGAATCCTTGGAGAAATTTGATTGTCCCGTTGGCTACAAGGTACAATTGTCTATTCAACTCGATTGCAGCAATGACGCTTTTCCATTTAGCTGGTTCACATGGAATAGTTTCGTCGACGGAAGAGTTGCGTTCAAGAGCCCAAAACTATATGAAGAGGTGCATATTGGAACTTGCCAGTGGGTTGTCCAAAATGGAAAATGGAAGGGAAGTTGACTTCCCTGCTGATATTGCATTAGCAACTTGTTTGAATTTGGCTGTGTCTGAGACTTGGGATGTCCTGACATCAAGTGGCATTGCCCATCTAAAAGGGGCAAAGAGTATGATTAACAAGATTTTGACATTGTTGAAAGAGCACCAAGAGTCGGTAAGAAGCAAATTGTTGTCGGGAAATGGACCTGACTTTTCTCAGGGGGATTTTTTGCAACTAAAGAATAAGTTGGTGTTGATTGATCAGTTTGAGTATGAAAAGATGGTTCATGATTGTGTAACCAAGCGCAATTCATTAGTTATTCCAAAACCCATTCAGATTCTTTTCAATACCTGGATATACTTTCTGGTAATTGCACAAATGACTACCGATACAAACTATGAAGAAAAAGGAGTGGACTTGGTGGCGACTATAACTTCAATGATCCTGAACGACAAAGTCAAAGATGAACATGACTCGCCGTCTCCATCGGAACACAGTGATGCTTCCGATAAGGTGTATACATTTTTTGAAGAGTTTGATGCTTTCAATTATGGTTCAGAGATTATTGACCCTTTGTTGGGGTGTGGCCAATCACTATTTTGTATCATCGGCAAAGTAGCAGCATTGGTGTCCAAAATACGAAAGACAAAAGCCAGTGAAAGGTGGAAAAAGAGAAACTCTTTAAATACAATCACCCAAGCCTCCGAGTTGCGACATCTTCTTTTAGATTGGAAGTCGACTGTTAATGCAAATATGATTAAGAATGAAGACGAGGATGCGTCTAGGACTTGGGATTTGCCTAGCTGTATTGCCACAGCTGAAGCTTATCGGTATGCGGCGCTACTTTTCTTGCATCAAGCAGTACCAGAAATCCCATCATTATCATCGCATGAACTTGCAGAAAAGATTTTTATTCTTTTAGCATCAATTCCAAAGTCGTCAAATACTAGTGTTGTTCACATTTTTCCCCTCTTAGTTGCATCATGCGAAGCCGAAGTTGGTGAAGAGAGAGAATGGTGTAAAGCGAGGTGGAAGGTGTTGGTGGATAGAATGTGGATTGGTAATGTTGATCGAGCATTGGAAGTGGTGAAGGAAGTTTGGAAAAGAAAAGACGAACTAGCAATGAATCATCACAATGATGCGAGTAGCGCTAACTATGTTGAAGACACGCTGCTGAGCAGTTATCACCATCCACTAAAAGGGTTGATGTCTGTGATTAATAATGAGTATGCTAATTTCATGAACAACTCTGATTCGAATGGAATTGAGTCAAAAGTTCATTGGAGTAATGTAATGAAGGAATGGGGCTGGGAGGTGCTTTTAGGATAAGTGTGATAGCAAAATACATGATTTAGAGATTTTAAGAAGCTCAAAGAGCAGGTTGTATTATATATTTGTGGTAAGTAATACTCTTGAACCTCTTTTTGAGAGTAAGGAACCAACTCCAGACCAAATACAATTCGGTAGCGCCATGATTTTGTTGGGGACGATTCTTTGACAGTGGTTAGGGAATAGCTGCAAATTTTCTAAGATAGAATAAGCCAGGGGAATGGTTTATGCGGACACTCGAGAGGCATTTGTGGTGATATTTTAGCTCTAACAATTTTTTTCACATAGTTATATAGTTAATACGTATTATTTTGCATCAAAATCTGGAAAAATTATCCGGAACTATAAACTCAATGCATAATTTACATCATTAGATTACGATTAAAAAATTTCTTATCAAAGAAAAGCAGTATCTTAACTTCATGTGGGCAATGTAGCTCAAAAGGAAATGATGCTGTAGCTCTCCTTCAATACATGACACAACAATGGCTTGCCATGTAGAAAACTCTTTATATTGACTTTCTCAGAATGAATGCATTTACATCAGCCACCAGCGATTCCCATTAACTTCCTCCAAATGAATTCTCTTTCCAGGTGAGGGCATATAAGACACACCTTCAAACTCCCGTTTTTTATTGCACTACAAACACGTCTGTTGCCTATACTATTTATATACAGGAATTGCAAAATTGCTGAGTCAAATTTCTGATACGGTAAAACGGAATCAAAGAAAATGACCAAATTCGACTACTCTCGATACCAATGCTTTTGCCAACAAGAATACAGCGCCACCCACTTAAACTACTCAGTAGGTCAATATCAATACAATCGCACTTGATTTCACAGCCATTCAATGCCGAGAACACGAGGATGATTCGAGAGTCAGAGAAGAAGTTTTCCAAACCAAACTTTATTTCCTTTGACTTGTTTGGCACAATCTACAAACCCAAAATCCCGGTCCCTGAACAGTACCACCAAATAACAAGTCAAGAATATGGCATTTCTAAAAGTGCCGAATCAATTGAACAAGATTTCCCTAAAGTTTATGCCGAATTGCAGGAAGAATACCCCAACTATGGTAAAGGGACCGCCGAATTTGACCATTCGGATGCTTGGTGGAAAGAGCTTGTCATACGTGTCTATGGTTTACCAAGAAATGACTCCCAAACAAAGGAAATTTGCGATCGCTTAGTCAATCATTTTACTAGCGATGAAGCATACGACGTTTATGATGACGTTAGACCGGCTTTAGATGGGTTGAAGAAGCATGGGGTGACTATGGTTGTTTCTAGCAATTCAGATAGACGGGCAATTAAAATTTTGGAAAGTTTGAAGTTGAAAGATTATTTTACTGGGGTCAATCTATCCTATGACTATGAAATCGGCAAGCCTAAAAAGTCCTTCTTTGATGCAGTCGCTGTAAATGAATACAGAGCCGAAGTTAATGCTAGATACAGAGGGTCAACCCCACCGGGCGATTACTTGTCAGGTTGTTGGCATGTTGGTGACAGTCATGAAACAGATTTTATTGGCTCTATTAGAGCTGGATGGAATGGGATATTATTGGATAGAGAAGGAACAAGCGAGTTGAGTACAGGAAAGAAAAGGCAAAATAAGTCGACATATGATGCATGTTACATGACACAAGGCAATGCAGCAGCAGCTGAAGAAGACGCTGATGCTCCATTAATCTTGGCAAATAATAGAGTTGTCTTGTCACGCCTCACTCAACTATTACAGTTGTACAAGTGGTGAAAAAAATATAGTCACCAATGTAGACAATATATGGATCAGATGTACAGTTGTAGGTATGGGTTTTCCTTAATCTTCCTCATTAGTCTTTTTACACTGATTTATAGCTCAGTAGAAACAATCAATCAACCACTTTATTTATTTATTTCTTATGTAAATCATATTACCTAATCACAACGTAAGACAAACAAACAGTAAAACAAAATAAAAATAAAAATAAAAAGTTAAAAATAAAAATCTCAAAATCAAAAAAAAAGTAAATCAAACAAACAAACAAATAAACAATTAAGAGTGCGACAAAGAGAGAGAGAGAGAGAGATTTCAAGGGGAAAAAAAACTCAGCCTATACAAACACCATCAAACGGATAACCAAGTCTATTTTGCCCAGGCTGCTCTTATTACACAAATAACACTCCACACCTTCACTACCAAGTGAATTTCTACTATTTTTTTGCTATAGCCACCCTCGAAAAAGGTGTTTCGAATCTATATAAAAGAAGAGTGAAAAAGCTTTAGTCGATACAAGGCTTTCCTCTACTCAACTCAATCATAGGATCACAGCTCTTCCAAAAGAGATCAACAGGATAAATTCAAACACGAACAAACACCTAGATTGGAAACCTAAGCTCATCATAAGTCATGTTTGGGATAAATAAACTCATAACAACAACGATCGTTTTATTTACGGCCCTCGTGTACTCCGTTGAGTTGGATGTCAATGACAAAGATTCCATATGCTCGGCTGCAAAGATTGTTTCCGATGGTATGTGGAATTACTACGAAGGTTTCAAAACTGGAGGTACTGTTGGTATGTTTGCGTCACCGAATTATTGGTGGAACGCAGGTGAAGCCTTTGGTGGTTTAGTGGATTACTTCTCATATTGCGATTCAGATAATAAAACATTGGAAAAATGGATATACGACGGAATGTACCATCAAGCTGGTGACAATTATAATTATATCCCCTCGAATCAGTCAACAACTGAAGGTAATGATGATCAAGGTGTTTGGGGCATGACTATTATGGAGGCCGTCGAAAGAAACTTTACAAATCCGGAGCTGCATTCGTGGTTGGAAATGGCACAGGCTATATACAACACAATGGACGCGAGGTGGGACACTGAGCATTGTGGCGGTGGTTTGAGATGGCAGATTTTTACCTGGAATTCCGGTTACAATTACAAAAATACAATTTCAAATGGTTGTCTCTTCCACATTGCTGCAAGATTAGCTAGGTACACTGGTAACGAGTCTGCATATCTCCCTACAGCAGAGAGGGTTTGGAACTGGATGGAAGAAGTGAATTTTTTGACCGAAGAAGATAATGGAAACTTGCGTATTTATGACGGTGCAAACACAGATGATAATTGTAGTGATGTGACTGATTTAAGATGGTCTTATACTTACGGTGTGTTTATGACAGGGTGTGCTTATTTGTATAATTTGACAGGTGACGATACTTGGAAACAACGTGCAGAAGAAGTTGTCGAAGCATCTAAGTGGTTCTTCAACTCAACCAACAAGGTTATGCAAGAAACAACATGCCAACCCAGCAACAAGTGTAATAATGATCAAAGGTCTTTCCGTTGTTTATTTGCACGTTGTCTTGGATTAACAATGAAAATCATACCCGATTTTGAAGACACAATTAAGCCATATTTGGAAGCAAGTGCTGCAGCTGCTGCCCAATCGTGTTCAGGAGGATCTGATGGGGTCACATGTGGAGAAAATTGGTCACAAAGTGGTTGGGATGGTGTCTATGGACTTGGTGAGCAAATGTCGTCTTTGGAGGTGATATTATCTCTCATTGCGCAAGAACCGATTAGTGTTGAAACTGGAGGAACGAATAGAACTAACTATGCAGCAGGTACCGATACTGAAGATACTACAAATAAGAACAAGATAACTATAACTGGTAAGGACAAGGCGGGAGCTGGTGTTCTAACAGCAGTTGTATTGGCTATCTTATTAGGTGGTGGTATCTGGATGGTCTTTTAAATAAAAATTATGCAATATGTATAAAGCAATGTTTGTGGTGTTAGATGCAAAAGTAGCTTTTGTCTCTCTCTCTCTCTCTCTCTCTCTCTCTCTCTTCATCTGTAACAAAATTTGCGCAATCTGAAAAATAAAAGTAATGAGACACTTTCACTCCGAATCTAAGAGAGTGAAAGACAAAACACTATGGTGTTGTTTGAATCCATCAACAGGCTAGCCGATCCAAATACGGGGGCCGGCCTCACAGGTAGCAGACGTAGACGAATATTTATCCCTCCCTCGACTAAACGTCCATTGTTCAGCTATGGAGAAGGAGAAGACCAACGATCGTTTTTGTCATTGATTGAAAATGGGTCGGAGTTTGGATCAGAGCAAGATGTGAGTGACACTGCTAGTGTCAGCACTTCACGGTCGTTACCTGATTCTTTAAGCAGTGCACAAGCCAGTGAAGATCAAGAACTGTTTCATTCTTGGTTAATTGAAGAGCATCATCGACGCATGTCGGCAGCCACTTCCGACGAAGACGATTTAGATCACGATCATATATTTGGAGAGAACATCTATGGATCTGGAAGGAGGCGAACGAGTTTAAAATCATCGACGAGCTACGATTTGGATAATTTTATGAATTTGAAAACCAATTATGTCATTGAAATGAAAGTCTTGCTTCGTCATGCTGCACCTTTGATTGTCACTTTTATCCTTGAGCATCTTTTTTCCATTGTTTGTTTAATAGTTGTGGGGAAATTGGGGACTAAGGAGTTGGCAGCCGTCAGTTTGGCCACTATGACGTCAACCATAACATTTGGGATCTTTGAGGGGACAGCAACTGCGTTAGACACATTGTGTTCTCAAGCGTATGGAGCAGGAAATTACGAATTAATGAGTATTTACGTCCAGCGATGTGTTTTGTTTTCATGGGTGCTATTTGTTCCCTGTGGCCTTTTGTGGTGGTTCAGTGCATCCATTTTACAATTTATTATTGATGATGACATTGTTGTACAATTAACATCTCAGTTTTTGAGAATTTTAATTGTGGGTGCTCCGGGGTATATTGTGTTTGAAAACGGGAAAAGGTTTTTGCAAGCACAAGGTATATTTGAAGCAGGGACGGGGGTTTTGTTCATCAGTGCACCAATAAATATATGTTTATCTTGGTTCTTGGTTTGGAACAAAACTTATGGGTTGGGATACATTGGTGCACCTATTGCGACTGCTCTCAATTTTTGGTTCATGTCGTTTTTGCTTGTATTGTACGTAAGGTACATTGACGGAAAGAAATGTTGGTATGGACTCGCCAAAGTGTCAGAGTTATTGACTGACTGGAGCCAATTTGCTCATTTAGCTCTTCCCGGAGTCATTATGATTGAGTCGGAATATTTGGCGTACGAAATAATGACCCTCTTTGCATCATATTTCGGCACTAAACCACTTGCTGCGCAAAGTGCGGTGTCAAGTATAGCATCGTTATCGTATATGATTCCATTTGCTGTTAGTATTGCAGCATCAACACGTATAGCCCATTTCATTGGTGGTCAGAATATGGATGGGGCAATTATTGCCACTAGAGTCGCCATGCTTGGTGGCTTCGTCGTGGCCAGCGTCAATTGTTTGATATTTCTCACATTTAAAAAGCAATTAGCACTCATATTCACTAACGATGCAGATGTCATTGGATTGATAGAGAATTTACTTGATCCTTTGGTTGCCGTTTTGCAGGTGTTTGATGGAGTGGCCTGTGTCGACAGTGGAATCTTAAGAGCACAAGGGCTACAAAAAATTGGAGGTGTGATAAACTTGATTGCATATTATGCGTTTGCATTACCATTGGCTTTAATTTTGAGTAAAAATTTAGGCTATGGCCTTGTTGGATTGTGGATTGGAATCGGTAGTGGTATGGTTGTTATTTCACTAAGCGAAACATTTTTCATTTTGTTTAGTGATTGGGATCAGATATTGATGCAGGCTGGGCTACTCAACGATTCAGACGAGGAAGGGGATGACGAGTCTGTGTGAATAATATACATAGCATACATATTAAAATAAAGGTTTGAGGCGTCTAGATTTTTGAGTTGGGTAGACTTTTGCAAAATTTGAGACCATTTTGAGCTGGGGTGAGAGTTCTACGGGTGCAAATTGTCTCCATTTGCTGTTACGAAAGGGTTTTGATTCTATAATTAGACCCACCCATATAAGCCATAAAGTTTCACAAAGATTAGCTTGAGCGGTTGGCGACAAAATAGGCTCTGTGCTTCTTTTTGGGTCTCTTTTCCGACAAAGTACTAACAGGAGGAGCACTTTGGGAATACAATGTAATGTACTTCTATTCTTCTTATCTTTTATATATCGTGTGGGTGAAAAAACGCACAGACTCTTAAATATAACAATATTCGCATGACTGCTGCGTAACCGGTTTCCCAATTCATCAATGGTTGAAGATAAAAATCCCAACGGATAAATTTTGTATTTCCGTTATATTGTCAAAGTGAATCCCAAGTCTTATTGTTTGGTAATACTTCTCTCTGCTAGGCTGCAAAGTGTCGAAATGCAGTATTTTAAACAAGACAAGCTATTAATAAGATTGAGGGATTAATTAAATTGCAAAAAAGCAGAGATAAGACAATATTCATAATGGGTATGCTGATAAGAAGTATAGGAGGTGTTTCTCTTGACATTTGATAACGATGTAAAATACCGTTGACAATCTAGGGTATAAAAGATGCACGAATCCAAGAATGGATACCTAACTGATCATTTGGACTGTTTTTTGGTTCACTCCAAACCATAGAGAATAATGACAATGTCGAATTCATCGGAAAAGAAGAGTTCCTTAGGTGAGAGGCAAAGTTTCGACCATGGTGAAGTCATTAACCATGTCACTTCAAATAGAATCTTCCAACAGCCTACACATGTGCCACATTTAGACAACATTGCCATGGCCAACGAGAGAGAGGCTTCTCGGTTGTTGAAAGAAGCACAAGCTAACTTAGAGTTCCTGGCTGACACAGGATATGCACCAGAATTGAGAAGAAATTTTAGTATGCTTGCATTGATTGGTGTTGGATTCGGAATCACCAATTCATGGGCAGGTATCAGTGGTTCTTTAATCACAGGTATTGCTTCTGGAGGACCTATGATGATTGTGTACGGAATTGTAATCGTCTGTGCTTTTTCCCTGTGCATTGTTGTTACTTTGAGTGAATTGGCATCAGCTTATCCTAATGCTTCTGGTCAGATATATTGGACAATGAAGTTGGCACCAAGGAGGTACTCAAGATTATTGGCTTACATAACCGGAGTATTATCTTGGGTGGGGTCAGTGTTTACCTCAGCAAGTATTACAATCACAGTTTCCGTTGCAATTCTTGGAATGTACGCCTTGTTCCGTCCTGAATTTGTCGTCCACAAGTGGCAAGTGTTTATTGTCTATGAAATCTTTAATGTGTTCATGCTGTTTTTTAGTGTTTATGATCGCCCTTTACCGGCAATATTCCTGGGCACACTTGTTATTTCGCTTGCCTCATTCATCATTGTGATTATTACCGTCTTGGCCATGCACAAAGGAGATTTTCAAAGCGCAAAGTTTGTGTTTGTTGAATTTAACAACCAGACAGGATGGAGCTCAGCAGGTATTGCATTCATAGTCGGATTGATCAATCCAAATTGGAGTTTCAACGGGCTTGATGCAGCTACACATATTGCAGAAGAATCACTCAACCCAGCTATCGATATACCCAAAGCACTTATCAGCACAATTATCATTGGATTTGTCACCACGTTTGCATACTGTATTGCCATATTCTTCTGTATACGTAACTTGGATGCAGTGTTGGCATCGAACACTGGTATTCCAATCTTGGATATATTACACCAAGCAACAGGCTCAAAAGGGGCAGCAATAGGGTTGGGAATTTTGCTCGTGATTACCTCCTTTGGATGTACCATCGGATGCCATACATGGTCAGCAAGAATCTGCTGGGGTTTTGCAAGAGACAATGGGTTACCATTTTCCAAGTATTGGTCACAAGTCAACACCAATACTGGTACTACAGTAAATGCACATTATTTGTCTTGTTTCTGGGTTGGTGTAATTGGATGCATTTACTTAGGATCCGATACTGCCTTTAACTCGATACTTGTCTGCTCGGTGATGTTTTTGTTGTTGTCGTACATGGTGCCTACCCTCTGCCTCATCTTTAAAAGAAATCAAATACAACATGGTCCATTTTGGTTAAACAAGTATGGAATCGGTTTATTTTGCAACATTGTGCTTGTTGTTTGGACCATATTCACCACCATTTTCTACAATTTTCCATCAGTGATGCCTGTTAATGCAGGAAACATGAACTACTCATCAGCTGTGTTTGGCGTTGTATTTGTAATATTTTTCGTTGACTGGATTGTAAGAGGCAGGAAGGAATTTGTTGACATAGAAGAGAGGGAGAGACTTAAAGACGACTTGACGCATGAACTTTCAAACCAAGTGTCAAGGATTGAGGTGTTGATGTCACATCCTGAGAAATGATTTTGTTTATACTATTTATAGCTTTATGAAATTTTACGAATAATTTGGGTTAATCATGTGGTTGTAAATTTTTGTTGCCAAAACCACAACCTTGCTTGAGTTCTCTCCTACCTCAATTTGATCTCTAACATACTAATGGGCGCTACACCCAACAGTTGGAGCTTTTCTTTTTACGAAGAGAGCTACGATGAAACCTACCAGTCCGAAGACAATGAAGAAGACACTGAAGACAATAGCAGAACTTCAATTTTGCCCGAGGAAAATGCTCCAAATGTGCTAGAGAATGGACACGAGTTTCCTAAAAGTGTATATAATCCTTTTCTTTTGACAAAGATGAACTACTTTAGAAGGAAGTCGTCAAAGGTCAAGCTAAGAGTGTTTGACAAAAAAGTGGTTGTTGCAAAAAGCAAGGTGGTGAAGAATGTCCATTCTGCTGATGGAAAAGACCGAGATGTGTTGTTCTGGCAGAGCACAGCACGCTGGAATGGAAGAAAAGGGTGCCCCACTGAGCACTTGTTATCGGTCTTTGCTACAAAGGTTGGTTGCAAGACTGACAAGATAATTTTGGTTAAAGAACATGGCAATAGTTGGTACACGATGGGCGTGTGACGCACAAAAGAAAAAATTGAAGCAGGAGAAAAAAAATTGAATCGTTGATGTAGAGAAAAAAAAAAGGAAATAAAAAAGAAAGCAGTATCGAGTTAGTTCCACAAGTTTTTTGTATTTACAGATTCTACCGCTTAATCGATTTTTCTGAAAAGCATTTTTGTCTGCAAAAAATTAGACATCAACGACACTGACTATGACAAAAGAGCAGGTACTGAACGGTGACAATAGAGGTATGTTGGTTACTAATGAAGAATGCGTAAACAACCAAGTACTAACACTTTATAAAGTTCACAAAGACTTCAGCGAAATATTACCCGATTTGTTTACAGTCTTTCAACATACCAACAATGACATAGTAAGTGAAGAGACATTGCCCAAGGATTTTTACGAGCCCGATCCGGCAGCTATAATTGCCTCGTTAAAGGCAATAGATTCAAAGGATTTTACAAGCATATTACACCAGTATCAAGCGGGAACATACAATTCATCGCCATATAGGTTGTATCACGATATCAAAGCTGTTGCATCAGCTTTATTAGAGAAGGAAGATTATGGGTCAGAATATTACAAGGAGGTCGATTTCTTTTACAAGTTTTCTACAGAATTGCTCTTGAGAGAGGTGGGCACAATAATCCAAAGTAAGTCAAACCCATCAAATGAAATTGCAAACGAGCTCGAGACTCAACTTGATGACGACTTCAACAAGATTTTGACTACATACACGCTTGCTAATGGAGAGGTGGTGACTTATGTATCAAAAACAGAGGAGCAAGATTACCAAAACCATACTAATATATATAATCCACATCACCCACCTCCGATAAAGCAAAAGATACAACCAGTGTTTTCCTCAATAATATCCAAATCAAGCTTAGATACAAGCCCTACTTTGGTTGCCGAACCATTTACTGTAACAAAAGTTGTACCTACTATAAAGGATTCGAACTCGCATAGCTTGTTGGAAAATATTTCACCCTCAAGTGCTACAATTCCCCCGCCATTGGAAGGACCAACCAACATTCTACATGACTTTTTCCACCCAACATGGTACACTGTTGCCATGCCAAATTGGTTGACCTACAAAGCGTTGAGTTTGAGGCCTAGTCTTGAACTACCACAGTACGCAGACCTACCAATCGCCTCCGATGAACCTCCCACTTTGAATTTATTGCGAAACCACGGCATTGACAAAGGAAATGCAAGATCGTCTTGGGGCCTGGGCCATAGCTACCAATCGTTTGCCCCAAATAGGGATAGCAAAGGAGCCGTCGTTTCGGATAAACTCAAAGCCAATATATGGTTGAATCACATCGGGCTTGCTGAGATTGAGGAGCTAAAGAAAAATTTCATCAATGATGGTGATGCTATTGACGAGGATACAGAGGTAGAAGATGTAGAAACCACAGAACCTGAAGCCATAAAACCATTACCAAATGGACAGGAAGAAGAGTTTAAGCTCGAAGATATTGACGAAGAAAATGGCGATGCGAAGGATGAAAATCAAGATAATAAAGAGCAACCAGAAATAAGTTTGACGAATTTGATAAAATGGGACCCATCGGAGATAAGAGGTTTAAAGTTTTTGAAAGCACACCGTGAGGATTTGTTGAACCCCTCAAAGCTACAACGTTTAATCTCGAGCGCTTTATTGAAACTCAACCAATTACGCCAAGAGAGATATTTCAAAAGTGACGTCCATAACCTTCTCGCCCCTAATGACGAAGAAAAACAGTTGTACAAGTGCATACAACTGTTGATATCAATAGCTATCAAGTTGTACAATATTGGACCAAATAGTTTTGGATTCAAGGTCAGCAATAAGATCCCAACCTTAGTCAGCGAGTACAATGGAACGTTACCGGGCATGCCTTCATCGCGTTCCTTAATTGGTTCCGGACTGCAAATCACTGCGGATCATCTCACAAGGCCCGGTAGATTGCCCAACTTGAGATCATCAGCTACTCGAGGAAGAAAAAGACTCCACCACTAAAACTTTGCATAGTCTATCAATTGTTTTGTATTATAAAGTACTTATATATCTGCACCATTAGCAAAAGCAATGATCAAGTATATATTTAGAGCCGTTATTATAACCCAAGTGAGGATACTTGTAATTCGTAAAAACCTCCCATTCTCGTAGGTAACTGGCTTGGAAGTCACAGCACTGTCTTCATTAGACGTGAGCAATGGGCTCGTTTCTTCAGCAGTGTTGCTAGTCCTGTATACCACCATATACTTCTTCTTACAAGTGAAGTAAATCAATGGCGCACTGACGATTGGTAGGATGAAACTGAGAACAACCTGTGAGGAATTCATGACCTTATTGACACCCTCGCGACCGAGAATTCCAATAACAATAATCACTGGCATAATCGCAATGACTCTGGTCATAATTCTTCTCTTCCAGGGCGCTATGGTCCAATTAATGAACCCTTCTGATACAATCTGTCCCGCCATGGTACAGACGATTCCAGCACTTTGACCAGAAAACAACATACTCAATGCAAACAACAACCCAGCAGCAGGGGATATATAGCGAGACAACATCTCGTATATGGATAGCAAGTCCGCATCAGCAGCATCAGGCTTGCCGTAAAGAGTGGCCCCAGCTACAATCAATATGGCTGAGTTGACAAACACTGCAACAACGAATAGCGACAAGACCAATTCAACATAGGAGTAGTTTAAGCAATACTTTATTGCTTCGTACGAGGGCTTATATTTCTTCACAAGCATTGACCCATTCGATAAGCGTCTCAATCTTGACATTGGTGTGGCCGAAGGGTCTGGTGATGCATCGATACTGGTTGCTTCATCAGGGATTATTTCTGGTTGCGGGCTGCTTGAATCAATAAAAATTTCGCCTTTTTTGCCATGCTTTTCATCAAAATCTTTCAATCTCGGTTGAACCAATGCTGAACCCAAGAACAAGGAATGAGGCATAACAGTGCTTCCAACAATACCGCAACTTAAGAATAATGCATTCTTTTCTTTAAAGATTTCCTTATTTACAGGAAGAAACCCTTTAAAAATCTCCCAGCCTGCTCCCGGCTCAAATGGGCACTTGAACAACTCTAGGATGAAGCAAACGCAAGTGGCCATAACCAAAATAGATACTAGGATTTCGAATATTTTAGTCTGCTTCAAAGAACCGTCTTTGTGGTACGCCATCAACACAATCAACACATCAAGAACAGTAATGAGAACACCATATAGCAAGGGTATACCAAATAAGATTTCCAAAGATATAGCTGTCCCAACTACTTCGGCTAAATCCGTAGCAATGATAGCAATTTCAGCACACAAATACATAAACAAGTTCCATTTCGGGGTCAAGTTCAATCTACACATTTCAGCTAGGTCGAGCCCAGTTATAGTTCCCAATTTTACGCATAGTGTTTGCAATATAACAGCAAACAAATTTGACATGAAAATGATAAAGCATAGCTTGTATTGGTACATTGAACCACCAGAAGTTGACGTGGAGTAGTTACCAGGATCCAAGTACGAAACTGAGACTACCAAGCCTGGCCCAACGAATGTTAGATATTTCTTGAAAGTTTGCAACATTGATCTGATTGCTTGATGCATTTTGCCAGGAGTGACTAACAGCGACGCGTTATAGGTATAGCAAGTGCCTCTGATGTAGGTAGTTAACAGTGATATTCAGAAAAGTTACGTGATATCGATTTCGCGATCTTTTCTCGCTTTGTCAATGCGAAATGCGGGACACATTGCTCTGTCATACCACAACAAATAAGTCGAAAATTATAAGCATAAACGAATATGCTTCACAAAAGGAGAGAATAGAAAACAACAATTTATAGCTGTACAGTTAAAGCTCCATTTGGTTTTGTAATGAAATGCAGTGATGGAAAGCTGCAACATGGAGAAACTTGCTCACAGATGCTACCAATTACATCTTTATTGTTCGGCTTTTTTTTTTTTTCATTAGCCAATGGTTTCACCTGATTGCTGTGAAATTCATTTTGAGACTGGTCAAAGTAGGGGGATAATTATATGCTTTTACCATTAAAACTACTGCAACGTGTGGTTATCCATATTTCAAGGGTTTCTTTTCCCTATGTGTCATTGCACAATTGCACAAGATTATATTCTCAAAAATCACCCACTTATAATGGGGCGACTTCGGAGTCAAACACACTTGTTTTCAATTTGAGTAACTACCAGAGCAGCTTTCCTCAAGAAAGAGTATTGAATACAGATATAACATCACTAAAACAACTAATAGCCAATAGACATGAACCACAAGCATTCAATGTCGCAGTGTTGTACGAATCACCAGATGTGCGCCGAAATTCCAAAATAATGGAAGTGTTACTAGCTGATCCATTAGCTTCCAATAATCAAGTGTGGTTTGAAAGAATAAGGAAAAGGCATGACTTGGCAAAGTTTTTCTTTGGAGAGTACACGAAGGATCTTGTCGACGATGATGACAATCTCCAATACCAAATACCGTCACCAGTACTAAGTGGCCTCTACAGAAACTCATTCAAAAAAGAAGCTCCAGTCATTGCGAATGATTTGATTATAGAGGAGTTTGAAAATGCCACGCAATTGGAAAAGAGCGTTACCAATTGCACATACGTCATTTATGTCACTAATCAATTCAATTATGCCAATGCAAATCTACCCAACTCGGTAAAGGATAGGCTACTTTTACAGGTCATTGATAACACCGAATATTCACCACCAAGTACCGAGCTGGCACCAATTTCAATTGAAGAAGGCATACAAATGCATTTGCTTAAAATCAACAGTAACCTTGCATACAGTGGCATTGTCCAATTTATAGAAAGAGATGTCCATGCAGCTGATGAGTATATTGAAAGCATGACAAAAAGTAACATCTACGAGCTATTCAAGTTTGTTGATTATTTCCTGAGGACCAATCACTTGACTAGTTGGTACTTGGCGAGAGTCATCAAATCCATTCTGGAAAAACTAAAGAGGACAAACACAGTAATCAACGAGGGCTCAGAGGTGGTTCACTCTGAGATTGAAAATTTCGGCCAGATGGTGAACTCAGAGCTACAATACGAGTTCATCCCGGAAACCACAAACTTTGTTCATAAAAATTTGTCTTGGTGGAAGTTGTATTATAAGAATGACAATGTTGAATATGACTTGAAAGACTTTTTTAGCAGGCACTTTATGAATAAAGGAATCGAAAACTATAACTTTCTTCGAGGCAAGATTCTTTCAACTGATGAGATAGTGGATAATCCGCTTTTTGACTTGAAGAGGGAGGTCATAGATACTCGCATTGCTCTGGAAATACAACCTAAAGTGTATTCAATACTATCAAAGGCATTTGTGTATTATCAATTGCCTATTTCGGTCATTGCCGCTTTGTCTTACCAGTTTTTCGATTTTAGTGGAAATGCATGCATTGCATTATTTAGTTTGGGCTGGATATTGGGATTCAATCAAGTATCGAGAGACTGGATCAGCTTCACGAACAGATGGATGCACCAATTATTTGAAGAAGTGAGGGTCACTCTAGGCAGCAAATGTATTGATAATGGGTTAATGAAGGAGTCCAACGATCAAATTATTAGAATTGATACCGAGAACAATATCCGACAAAAGATACTTCATGATATAGAGATTAGTTCCCCCGTTTCAATCAATGAATAAATAAATCTAATGAATAAATACAAACTTTAATTCGTTATAAAGATGGAGGGCCTTCATCAACGGCAGCATGTCCTTTACCCCCTTTCAACTGCGCCTCTAACCTTTCAAACTCCTTCATAGCTATCTCCTCCTCAGGGTCCAAAATCTGTTGAACTTCTTGAACTTCCTCTATGTAATGTTTCAACATGCCTTCAATCCCACTCTTTAGCGTATCTTCACTGGCGCTGCATGATTTACAAGCACCCTGTAATTTCAAAAACACTGTACCCGTTTCTTCATCAAATCCTTTATATTCGATATCTCCACCATCATCTTGAATGGCAGGACGTATCCTTGTCTCAATAAGCTCTTTTATCATCAGTACAATTTCAGATTCGTCTTCATCCTCCAAAGCTTGCTTATCTTGTTCAATTTTTTCAACAAGTTCATTAGTGATCACCGGTTTTGCATCTTTATGCTCCAAAAATTCCTTCATAGTGTCAGTAACTTCCTTGGATAAATTATGCCAGTCATAATTGTCCAACTTGTTTACCGTTAAAAAGTCAGGTCCCAACAATATAGATTTAATTCCAGGAAGCTTGAAAAGCTGTAATGCCAATGGTGAATGTATTGCCTGCAAGGTTGACGTAAATTCAAAAGTGGTATTTTCGATGGGTAAAATAGGCTTATCCGGTGAGATGAACTTCAAGGCATTTTCGTTTGGAGTTGATGCTGTCTTGATATGGAGTAGACGTCTGGTTATGTTTCCAGGTATGTTTCTAAATAATAACGTTCTTGATAACATTATCTTTGTTTTAAGTTCCAGTTTATAGAATTTGTACAATATGTGTTTGGTTTTCTTCTACCTAGAAAAGAATGTGTTCTAAATGTGATGCAACAGCCACCAGAAGTTTACGTGATTATTAATTGACAATTAAGAATGGAAAGTGAGAAGATGACCTTTGGAGAGGAAATGGTAGCGCTAAATATTCAAGGACTTGTCTTACGTAATCCTTATACTTTATTGGCTACAGCTTTGCAAAATTCCCTTAACAGGCCCAATATCAACATACAGTCAGCGCTATGAAACTGGAATCGTAACTCTCGCTGCGTAGAGGTAAAGTATCGTAACTTTTAAGTGTATATTTCCTGTATTTACCCTGTATAGAAGATTATTTCCGAGTATCGATTTATCTGAAACATCGTGCTACTCGCGTTCAGTAGCATACATCTTGTTAGCCTGACTCCAGCAAGACTTAATGAGCTTCTTCTTTCTTGTTCAAGTCGATGAACTTTCCACCGTTTTTGAATCTTGGGTTTCTTGGATCGTTAATAAACTCATCCGAGTTAGCTGAAGCAATTGAAGCTTTGTAGATCAAGTAGTATGTGACAGCGGCTATGATTATATAGTTAGTATAGTTCAACGTCAAAATCGGCACTAGTTTCGGTTATGGAAGATATGACAGACTTTGAATTTGACAAAAAGTGGTGGCATTATTGATCAAGATTGGCATGGTACCCCTCTGCATCCTTGCCGATGGAAACACAGATAATAAAAAAGTGTGAACGTTTCAGCTTCTCACAACACTGCTCAATTGATCCGTATTATCCACAATCTTTCACAAATTCTGCACTTTGTCCATTCAGCGATATAATACACCAAAAACTCACCGCACTAATAATCACATACCTCCAGTAGCGTATGGCCAGTAAGTTTTCAAAACTGGGAATGGGAATTTTGGAAGTGATGGCATTGTGGTTGTTTTTCGAATATGTATACGATCTAAAAGCACTAATGTCCTCTTGTTTTTGTTGAAATTTTATCGTGCTCGTCGTCGTTATAATTGCAATTTTTTTTTTTTTCGTTCTTTCTTTCTTTCTGCTTCGGTTTACACCTCCGTACCTATAATATAATTGGACAAGAGTTATATACAGGACAAACATACATTTCTAGTCTGCTTTTCTCTTCACACCATTAATAATGGAGAAACTTCGAGCATGCATAGAACAGCGTGTCCCGGTTAAACACATTCATATACCAGATGAGCTCACTGATTACACCTCACAATTAGAGCTTGTTGAGTTTCTTAAACCGCAAGTGGTGAATAATCCGTTGTACTTTAAGAGCTTCCTATCACAATATATACAACGTATTGAGGTGTTGTCGCAAGAGACATCAGACGAAATATATGATCTATTTGTTGATGAGCAAATACTCAATGCAAAAGAGTTACCACCAGATGTATCAGATGTAATTAAATACCATGTAAATGGGTTTAACAACATTGGTTCTAGCGCTGATGATATGATAGTCATGAAGGAGATGCCTAGGTTGATATCTGGAAACAACACGACAGGGTTGCGTACCTGGGAGGCAGCATTGTTCTTGGCAAATATGCTCAACGACGAGAAGGCTCGCTCTACATTCCTATCCTGTGACTTGGCCAACAAAACAGTGGTTGAGTTAGGATGTGGAACTGGGTTACTTGGGCTATCTTTAGCAAAACATTGCCATAAGAGGTCGCCGTTGCATAAGATTATAATGACCGATGGATCTACAGCAGTATTTGATAATCTACAGGAGTCATTGGAACGAAACAATTTGCTGGAGTCAAACGTGCTTCAATTTCAACAACTAATCTGGGGTGAGCCATTGACTATCAATGGTAATGTGGACCTTATAATTGCAGCTGATATAACTTACGATGTGGGAGTGTTTGAGACGCTATGCAATACTATAAATGACTTTTTCACACTCAAAAATTTGCAATTTGCAATAATTGCAGCCACAGTAAGAAATGCAGAGACAATTAATTCGTGGGAAAATGAGTTAGATAAGTGGTTTCCCAACAGATGGGAAACCGCAGTCGTTGAATCGCGCCCAGGTTCAATTTCAGCAAATTGTTATTTCGATGTAAATACTCCAGGGATACGTGTATACATTATAAAACTGATCTAACTACAAAAGCTCAAGCTTTCACACCAAATGCTCTAATTCTTTTTACACCACCGTCTGGGATAATTGTCACCTTAATGTGTGAAAATATTTCATCATTCTTGACAGCAAATTCGTGCTCTTTATCTGCACTAGTTTTAGAATCTGGTATAATGGTAACCCATTCAGCACTATCAATGTCGTTTTCATCCTCGACAAATGTACCCTTTACGTTAACCTTTTGAGGGAAGTTGCCTCTGAAATGAGCAGTGTCAATGATAACATTTTGCAAATGAGCAGGAGCTCCTAATCTAATCACGACCCAATCAGTGTGACCTGGTTCTCTCGACCTCTTTGTTTCCCATCCGTCACTCATGTCATGACCTCTTCCTGGTAATAACAAATTATCAGCAGTACCAAAGTGCTGGTCGCTGACCTTAATTGCCACACCTCCGTTCTTCACTGATGCGAAATCAATAACGTCTGAGGTATTCTTTGTTACTGGCACAACATGCCCGTACAATCTGAATCTTGCAATACCCCCATCAGGGTACATTCTCAACCTAGCATGGGTGTAGTTCTTTTCGGTAAGTTTGTCTCTAGCGAAAAAGTGTTTTTGGCTTGGTCCACACTCAGTCTTGGGAATGACTGTTTCCCAGTCCTTTTCACTAAGACCCCCCAAGTCCTTATCGTTAAAGACTTGAACAGCTTCCACAGAAATAGCTGGTGCATGGTTACCATTGAAAAAAGCAGTGTCCACCTCACACCCTATCAAGTTGGCTGAACTTACACCAAATTTGAAAATGACCCAATCTGCTTCTTCTTCATTGTGTCTTCTAGTTTCCCAACCATCGTACCAAGCACCGGCATAGGTAAACTTAGTGGCATCTCTGATGGGTGCCTTTGGTTTGATCAAGTTCTCTGCCTGAGCAAACCATTCATCGGAGAATGAGTGGATCTTACCGTCCAACTTTTCACCAATGACATCAACGTACTTGGAAACGATTTGAGATTGAAATTGTGATTCTGATAAAACTTTAGCCATGTTTCTTGAGGATTTAGTGTAAATGTAATATTTGGTAATGAGATTAAAGGGAATGAGAAGGAATTGTTGTAGCTAGGTGAATATTTTCAAGAAATTAGTGAAAATATTTATACTAAGATATACCTCTCGGTACTTGCCGAAAGAGATCAAAAATTATTGTGGATGCTTTTCGCTCGCCGTATACTGTGCGGCTTTACACCAACTATGGCTAACATGTGAATACCGAGACTAAGAACCCCACTTTTGTTTGAAGTTGTAGGCACAAACTTCCCAAAGAAGAAACTTATAGTGGAAAGGATCAATATGAGGGGAGGGGGGGGGTGATAAATCTATTTGTTTGCGTTAAATTTGAACGTGGAGATTATGATGTGCGCTGTGAACCCTCAACTGCGCATTGAAGAAAGAAGGCACTCTTCAAGAATTTTTAAAGGCAGGAGTGATTTTCGTCCTCAGAAGATTGATTCTAGTGTATTTTTGTCGGTAGTACTGTTAAAGTATCAGTGTCTCGTACTTTATATCCCTCTCGTTGAGATCTAGATGTTCTTTGTTACATTCCCTAATTGAGACACAAATTGCGAGATTGTTAACCCCGATTGTTAATCTTTTTTTACAGAAGTACGCTTTCCAAATACATTTCCTCCACATAATTGCGCTCTTCCAATCTTCCTTGCATTTCAAAGCTGCAAAAATTGATTTATTTAAGAGACACAACGGTTCGTTGGCTGCAATATGTTCAAAGCCTTGTTTTGTCTACAGTATAAGCGGATCGAGAATTGCCAGTTCGTACCGGAATTAAAATAAAAGAACAATGCATATTTGGTTTACGTAATCCGATGGAAATTATAAACATCATTGCTTTTGTATAGTACATTTCTCCTAACCCACACAACGTACAGCTTCATACAATAGGACATTCGTAACTTTAACACAAGCAATACACATCATCTGGCTTACCCGGAAAATATTTGGACGCAAATCAATTACCAATGGCTAATCTGCGAAATGAAGAGGAAAACATCTCGTTGACTTCCATCTCGTCATCAGCTGCTTCTGTATCACCACATGTTAATGCAGATGATCCAGTTGCATTCAATCCCAAACTGGAGGGCAACAATGATGAAACTGTCATATGTAATGAATACTATCCCGAAGGCGATCATCGTAATCAAGCAACAACAATCATTACTGAAGAGCCCGAGAGACGAAAGCCGTTATGGAGAAAAGTCTATGATGTAATATACCCTGACTATGTACTACTGCATCTAAATTACAAATCATTCAAGGTGGTCAGTTCAAGTTGGATCCAGGTGTTCGCCTCAGTGATCTTGACGGTTGTGCCAAAAACAAGCAACTGGCTTTCTGGTGCCCCCTATTTGGTCTTAATTGTGTCTTTTATTGGCGTTGCTGGAGGTTCCTCACTCATTGAGAATGTATTACTATCCCTAGCAATTTTGATTGGGGTGATCATCTCGTTCGTACACCATGTTGTTAGATCAAAGATTATCAATGATTTACACGGTGGAATTACTCCGCAAGAATTGGTGCAAAATTTGGTCGCCGAAGGAGTCTGCCAAATGGGACCACAGCTAAAAGAGTGCTTGAATGAACAGATATATAGTGGCAGGTATATCAAAACCAAGGCCGTTGCAGTGACAATGATCTCAATGATTACAAATACGTTTATATTGGGCAATATAAGACAAATTCACCCATTATGGAACTTGTGTTACATCCTAGGCCAGATTGGGAATGTTATTTTTTCATGCTATGGACACTTTAGTCCATTGTATCAGCCATTGGAAATCGGTTACACTGTTTTACGGCCTGTTGGATGTGCCCTTCTTTTGAAAATTGGAGCTGCTTTTTTCGTATTCCCACTGACGTCCAGTTTCAGGTTCATAGACGGTACACAAGGTGTATTAACTCGATTGAAACAAACATCTGTCAAGAATATGCGTCTTTTCAAAACCATGAAACCTTCAGCTCCAAACTTTGCCAATTACAAAGCATTTAAAAGAGAGATGACTAATATTCGAGAAAAAATGGCTCCTTTGGAAATTGTGGCATCAACTGTTTGGTTAGAATATTCCTATGGCCGATTTGATGTTGGTGACGTTGGTCAATTTAGGTCATTGGCTAAAAACTTGGTTACTGCAACAGCAAGTTACGCCCATTTCTTCCAATTGTTACAAGAGCGCATGTTTTATTCCAAAGATGACTTTTGCATGCCCAGACGAAGGTCAACAGTGTCTTCGTTAAACCATGGTCACGCAAAGATATTCAGCGCCTTTCAAGATTCGTATAGGAAAGTTGGTGAATACGAAGATAGGAAACGCGTGAGGACCTTGCGAAATCGAATAATGCATCATGGAAAAGGTCACAGAATCCCTCCTGATGAAATAGACCGGATAGCCAGGTTCCTCACTGAAAGGCTCAGCCCGTTGTTGGATGTATCAGACAATGCACTTGGGGTAATACTTGAGTGGGTTGCTGCCGCTAATGACTTTAGGTTTTTTTCTCTATTGCCATGGCGTTACAAACAACAAGTGTCAAAGCAAAAGGAAATGGCAGCAAAGGTCAAGGAAACCAAGAAAGAGATTTTAGAAGTGCTTGCAAAGTATGAGGACGTTGATGCTCTAAAGGAATTGATGCTTGATAGTACCCAAAATGAGGAGGCGTTATTGTTCTTGATTAGTCAGGGTGTGTTGTTTCTTCAGATTGCTAGGCACCAGTGTGAAAATATCGTCAAGTTATTTGACTTATTCATTGACATTGATGAGAAGAGACCTACACCTAAATTCATCACGTATTTTACAAAAACCAAGTACTCCAAACCACGACACTTGTCAAGCGATCTCAATGAAGAAGTTCCAGACTATTTGCATAACGAAATCCAAAGGAGAAATGCCGATAACTTGCCACCAGCAAATATTGGACAATACATCGGACTCTACATTACCAGGCTATTTTACTTTTTGATATCGGACAGATTTTGGTTTTGGATTCGTGCGGGTGGGCTCATATGTATAGGAGCCATACCTTATTTTGTTAGGACAACAGCTAACTGGTATTACAATATAAGAATGGTTTGGCTTGTTATTATGATTGCTGTTTCCATTAGTGAGAGTACCGGGCAAACGACATATGTGTTTATATCAAAACTTTGCTATACGTTTGCCGGTTGTTTGCTAGGGCTTGTTTGTTGGTACATTTCATGTGGAAAAGCAGCAGGTAACTACTACGGTTATAGCGCTGTTAGTGGTGTCATTTATCTATATTTGATATTTTTCAGGCATTTTTCCGTGCACCTGACGCTTTTACCTCAAGTGTTGTTTGGTGTGACGACTATTTTGGTGTTGGGAACTTCCTGGGTAGATGCTAATGGAAACATGGCAGCTAATGTCGGCTATGGATGGGCACCGGCCTACTTGCGTTTTATTGGAGTTGTCATTGGTTTATGTATCGGTTCATTGACAGCCGTGCTTCCGACACCCAAATCTTCCAAGTTCCTCGTGAGACAGATCTTGGGCTCCTCATTATCAGAAATGGGAAACATACATTGTTATGTTTCCAAATTTGCCGTGAAAAGACGCAACGATCCGTCTTACCATATTTTGGAGAGGCACGATCTATTGTTGGCTAGATTCAGATACCAGTTCATGAGAATTTCACTGTTGAATAAACTTCTTGTGCCATTAAAGTTTGAAATTCCTATTTCGGGATACTGGCCAGAGTCTAAATACTTACGTCTACAAGGGCTAATCGGAGATACAGTGCAATTGTATCTAATGATGTTAATCGCTTTAAATGAGCTTGAGGATCCTGCAACTTGGGTACCCATAATTATGAAACGTGTGGGCTTCTGCTACTCAGAATTGGATGCAGAGCTTTTTTCGCTCATCCATATGGCTTCCGACGCAATCAAGACAAAAGATGCTTTGCCGAAAATCACCGAGGCAAATATTTCGCTAAGACACATGGAGTTGCTACGTCGTCAATGGGGAATCAATAAGATGTCTTTAAGTGAGCGGTTTTATAGTACCAAGATTAACAACGAGAATGTCAACGCAGGTGATCACGGTGCCATAACATCACATTTAGACTACCGCAAATTTTTCAGTCGTGATGGTCAATTGAACATCTTGTCATTGCTAATTGCTCATATGATTTATAATAGATTGGACGAGATCATGATAGTTGTCAAGGGTCTAGTGGGTGAGATGTACGATTTGGATGAGAATATATTGGTTGATGAGGACAGTGAAGATGAAGAAGAGCTTGAAGCGTTTGAGAGAGGTGGATAAATGGGGATCATAGATTGGTACGAATTTAATTACACGTTATACTGTTTGCTTTCAATTTTAGACGTTTATGTTAGTAGACTTTTAGAAATATGTAGACCATGCATGGTGGCCACAAATTCTATTTTTTTAATATCAACGAAAATTTGTTTCAACATTTATGCAAAATATATAACAAAACATTTCTCTAAACTCTACTCAAAAGTCACACCCTCTTTGATACTAAGTCAGATGTTCAACGTTAACGAGTGTCTACTGAATATCAACTGTCCAGCTTCTACTTTGCACCTATTACTAATTGCTGCAAAAACAAGTCCAGACCTTCCTCGGCCGTGCGTGTAATTTTGACCAAAAAACTTCTTTTTCTTCAATTTTTTTTCAGAGAGGCAAAATTTAAGCGGAATAGATTCAAAGTGACCTGATAAAACATCTAGAATAGCACCACTAATATAAATAAAACAAGATGAGTCTTCTTGTATCACGAAGCAGGAGGAACGTGTCGAGAATCCTAAAACGAAGCGTACCCAGATGTGTGCCTGTGTTGAGAAGATCGTTTCACTCATCTTCGTATTTTCTACAAAAGAACAACGACAATAATGACTACGAAGCGCAATTGAAGAAAGTAAGACAGAAGTTTGAAAAGATGTTCAAGAGTCAAGATCTACCGGTTGCAACGCTTCCTGAAATCCAGCTTCCTATCGATCCATTCGACATAAGATACCTCGACAGAATGTCAACCGTTTATGAGTTTATGTTGCGAGAATTCGAAAGAAAATGTGACGAATTTGAAAAATCCGGTGGGATAATTATGTTGGAGGATAACTTGGCTGAAAAAGAAATAAAGGATATCCAGGACGCGTTCACCAGACAGCACCCCAACTTCCTGCCAGTGACCAAAGAGGAGATATTGCAAACTGTTCGCATTTATTACGTCTTGTCAAATAACTTAGAGTACTTGGATCAATTGAAATTTAGCAATATGGATGTTCAGAAATTATTAACAGCATTTGACAAGGCAACGACCGAGACTCAAGACTTGAATCCTTCCGATATCGCACGTGAGCTGAACCTCAATCCCAAATCAGTGCAACTTTGGTTTAGAATATTTAGTACACTTCTTTCAACACCCTTTGCGGTTGACGGAAAAAGAACATTTGCACTTTGTCCCAACGAGTATCAGATCATAAATGATTTCCAAAAGCTTAAGGAAGTTTTGAAACAAAGACACACAAACAGCGACCTATTTTCTTCTTTCTTCAAGCAAGCAAGTGAGAACAACAAGAGCCAAAAGAAAGGAAACAAAAACAAAAAGGAAAAAGGACCGATTAACATAGAGGTTGAGTTTACCCCTAAACAAATTGTCCAAGCAATTGCGGTAATACTACTTGTGGTGTTTTTTGTCTCCTACACCAATGGAGACAATGGTAAAGAGATTACATTCCAAGACTTTGTTGCCAACTACTTGAGTAAGAATATGGTTTCCAAAGTTGTGGTAGTAAACAACTCAGTTGCATATTTGGAGTTAAATGAAAACGGCTTGCGTCAGAACCACACTGAAAAATTGTATTTCAGCATCGGTTCTGTAGAAACTTTTGAACGTAACTTGAGAGAAGCGCAAGACAAGTACAGCATCCCTTCTCAAATGAGAGTTCCAGTGGTATACACAACTAAAGGAAATACGACAAAGTTTTTGATCAACTTTTTGCCAACTGTACTCTTTTTGGGGGCAATTTACTGGATGACAAAGAAGGCTGCTTCGTCAATGGGCGGAATGGGACCCATGGGTTTTGGAAAATCTACCGCAAAGAAGTTTAACCAGGAAACTGAGGTAAAGACAAAGTTCAAGGATGTGGCAGGTATGGCTGAGGCCAAGCAAGAAGTCACAGAGTTTGTGAGCTTTTTGCAGAATCCCGAAAAGTACGAAAAACTAGGTGCCAAGATTCCTCGTGGTGCTATTCTTTCAGGACCTCCAGGAACAGGTAAAACTTTACTTGCTAAAGCCACTGCCGGAGAAGCCGGTGTTCCGTTCTATTCTGTTTCAGGTTCCGAATTCGTTGAAATGTTTGTGGGTGTCGGGGCTTCCCGTGTCCGTGACTTGTTTAAAACCGCGCGAGAAAATTCACCTTCGATTGTGTTTGTTGATGAAATTGATGCTATTGGTAAACAAAGATCGAAGGGAAATGCAACAGGTGCCAACGATGAAAGAGAAACTACATTGAATCAATTGTTAGTTGAAATGGATGGGTTTGATAGCACTGACCACGTCGTCGTGTTGGCAGGTACAAACAGACCAGATATTTTGGACAGAGCATTATTGAGACCTGGAAGATTTGACAGACATATACATATTGATAATCCTGAATTACAAGGAAGGAAGGAGATCTTTGATGTCCACTTGAGAAAGATTACATTGGAGAAAGACGTTGATCGAGATTTATCCGGAAGGTTGGCAGCTTTAACACCAGGTTTCTCTGGTGCCGACATTGCCAATGTCTGCAATGAAGCCGCCTTGATTGCAGCTAGGTATAACGCTAATGCTGTGACGTTGAGGCATTTTGAGTTGGCCATAGAGAGAGTCATTGGTGGTGTTGAAAAGAAATCTAAGTTGTTGAACCCCGAGGAACAAAGGATAGTGGCATTCCACGAAGCCGGCCATGCCATCTGTGGATGGTTTTTGAAGCATGCCCATCCATTGTTGAAAGTGTCTATAATCCCCAGAGGAAAAGGAACTTTAGGTTACGCTCAATATTTACCACCCGATCAGTACTTGATGTCAACTGCACAGTTGTACGACAGGATGATCATGACTTTAGGTGGCAGAGTTTCGGAAGAGTTGCATTTCGCTTCAGTTACTGGAGGTGCTCACGATGATTTCAAAAAAGTCACCAACATTGCCCAGTCTATGGTGTTACGATTTGGAATGTCGCCAAAAATTGGTATGGTGAATTACTATGACACCAGATCGCAGGATGATTTAACCAAGCCGTTTAGTGAAGAGACCAGTCGAGAAATTGACGCTGAAGTTAAAAGAATTGTGCAAGAATGCCATGACAAATGTAAGCAGTTATTGACAGAAAAGGGCAAAGAGGTCAAGTTGGTAGCCGAAGAATTGTTGAAGAAGGAGTTTATCACCAGAGAGGATATGATAAGGTTATTAGGCAAGAGACCATTCCCCGAGACTAACGATGCCTTTGACAAGTATCTTGATGGGAAAGACGCTTTTAAAAATATAAAACCCGACAATGAAAAGAAGGATAGTGAAAAGGATACAGAGGAAGAAAAAGAAGATGATGGGAAAAAATGAGTAAAGCTGACAGTTTCACAAGCGTTTATTTAGTGATGGTAGTTTTGTATCTTGTAGATAGTATTGAATAGATGAATAGTATAGTCAAGGGTGTACTGCATACAACCAGAACTGTGTGTATCTTGAGAAGAAAAATTAAGACAAAAATTAAAATATGTTTCTATAACCATTCAACCCACACTGAAAATCACCAACAATGGTTAAACGTAGAAGAGTGAAGAAAGAAGCCGACGAAGAGCATGATTCACAAGAAGCATATCATGAAGAGGACACAAATATTGAGGACGACGAAGTAGTGTCAGTGGACGACGTCGAAGACGAAGACAATGAAATTAGTCGAAGGAAGAAGAAAAGAAAAACCAATGCTTCGAATGTTGTTAAAGACGAGGACGATTCGGATGTAGATGTGAATAATGATGCAGCTGCTCAGGATGAAGACGAAGATGCCCCAGTTGATGACGAAGATGACGAGGAGGACGGAGAAGGAGAAGAGGATGAAGACGAAGAGGAGGGAACAGCAGCTATCGAAACTGGAGAAGAAGGAACTACTGCCGAAGGCGGGAAAAGGAAAAGAGGCCGTAAGAAGAAGGAGAAGAAATACTACTACAACGAAGAAGAAGTTTTCGATGCCGATGGCAACCCACGAAGTACAGAAAATGATGAAGTATATATCCCAAATGAAGATCCAAAAGGTAAAGAAAAAATTGATGAATTGGGCTATTTAAAAGGCGGAAGGGAGTTGCGAATGAAGACTTTTAAAATCCTTGGTGAAGGTGATAGATTATACGTTATATCAACCATTCCTGCACGTATGGTAGGTTTTAGAGATTCATATTTGTTATTCAAGACTCATCGTACATTGTTTAAACGGGTATGCGATGATAACCAGAAAATGGACTTGATCAATCGTGGCATAATTCCTAATTCGTATAAAGGCAGGGCGGTGAATTTAGTTAGCGCACGGTCGATTTTCCGAGAATTTGGCGCCAAGATGATTAAAGAAGGTAAGAAGGTTATTGACGATTTTTGGGAACAACGCGCGATTGATAATGGTGATATACCTGGAGAATATGCTGATCCTGATGAGCTATACAAGAATAAATTGTCCAATGTTTTGGGCGAAGGTATAGGTGGTGGTAGTGGAAGCGGGGGAATTGCTCTGGGAGGTAATGCAACACCAATGGCCCCTGCGACTTTGGTTGATCATCAAACTGATCACACATGGATTCATCAAATTGCATCGCAAACTTCGGAGTATAATCACAAGTTGGCAGAGTTGCGCTCACAAGTTGTTGCCAATGGGTATAGAGACGTGTTTACCAATATTGTCCAGTTCCCCAAGTCAACCCAGTCCCAACGCTATAAAATTGATAAAATTGATAGTAGTGATAACACTGAGAAGGACAATGACACATTGACATACGACGTCTACTACAAGAGCAGAGATTTAAGGCGACCAATCACAGGATTGGCAAGTGTACCTAAAGAAATTATCGATGAAATTGATGACCAAGAGATCAAACAAGCTATACTTGATCAACAGAAATACGAGATTGCGTCTGTATTATAAATAGCTACACTCTACAATAAAAAGTAATTTCAGATTTGAACCATTAATAAAACAGCAAAAACAAATCTACAGCCCAATACAAACTAACTATGATGGAGTTGGAGTAGGATTATTGAAAACAACTTCTTCATCACCAGATTCCAAATCACTGGTCTCCAAATAACTACCAAAACACTCGTTTCCTGTCTTTTCCATATGAGCCCTCAATTCAAAATCGACTTTTGTCTTCCGCCTTCCGACATGCACTGTTATATCGCCTTCTTCAACCACCTCGGCATGTTTTTTGGAATAGGCAACTTCAGCTTTAGCTTCCTTGCCAAAAATTTCATGATTGACTCTAATGTGTTTGGCCAAAGTGTCGTGACGGGTAAAGATTCTTGGACCAACACCGGGGTTCTGTTTAACACAAACATAACACTTGAATAGTTTCTTCTTTTTCGAGTGCACTGTTTCTTGATGTCGAATCAATTCATATTTTCTTGAAAATCTTCTCAAACATAGCTTGTGGGGTATTTCAGCCGATGGTAATTGACACTCGTGAACGACATCTGGGTCATAATTGGATGATTTGCCTGGCGTTCTGTCCAACGCTGTTGCATTAATTGGTTTTTTGATAATCTTGTGATGTTCAAGCTTGACATCAGGCCTGAAAGTCCGCTTTTGTTTATTGGCACCGGAAACGATATCAGCTACATACTTGTCGTGATCGGCAGTATCTGGGTTTAAGGAAAAGAAACGCTGCGTGCGTTCCTTTTCTTCAGCCGTCATATCCAGGTCGTCAATCATTTTCCTAATCTTTCTCTTTCTTGATCTGACTCGTGATCTTGGCAATGCTAGTGGCTGTTTAACTTTGTTATATGAGTAATATTCATAGTCGTTGAGAAATTTCTGATAACACTCGTGGATATCAAGGCCTATGAGGTTTAAGAAATGATAAATGACGGGCTTCCAAGTCAACAAGTTGTACAATTCCCAGTAATTTAAATTCATAAAAACCGTCGTTAAGAATCGTATGGTTATTGTAGAAATTTCAAGTGATTTGTAACTAGTGGCAATCTTCATCATGATTTCAAAATTGTGTTCAATGATAAGGTAAAGTTGCGATTTCAAGGGGTTGGCAAAGTTGACAAACTGTTCAACGATATTGATCAATTCTTGATATTTGTTGTGTAAACTTGTAGTGTATTTGGAATCGTACTTCTCCTCAAACAAAATGTTGGCAAGTTTGTTTAAATGACTGGCATATTCCTCGGTGTCCAAGGGCGATGCTTTAAGTAAGATCGATATTTGATGTTCAAGTAACAAATTGTCAACGTTTTGTGAATTTGATGCCGTGGCATTGCTTAACCTGGAAAAGATTTTGTTTATTTCATTCGTACGCTGCTGTTGCACACGACTCAAGTTCTTTAAAGGGTCAGCGGAACCACTTCGAGATTCATTTGGCGAGGTACTGTGCGAGTGCCTATTATTTGCATCAAAAGCGTCTTGGTTTTGGGGTGGGTGCGTAACTAAATTGGTCTTTGTCGGCACTGACGGGTTGGTGGATACAATATTGCTAGCAGAGGTGTCGGCTGTTTTAGGAGAAGCACTTCTAGTAGTAGGTAAGTGTGCAGTTAAAGACTCGACTGATGTTACTGATTCAACAGCCTTTTTTGGCGATGGCGGGTTTTGTCCAGCAGTTGCAAAAGTCAGGCTCGTGGCTTTATCAGGACCGTGTCCTTCATCCCTATAAGAATCATCATCACTATTTGACTGGCTTGATGACAACGAGTCCTCACTTGATGGATCATCTTGCTGAGGTTTCTTTACGACCGTATCATTAATCGCGTGATCATTGCCCTGGAATGTCGAATGGGTTCCAACTTTTTGTGAGTCCATATTTCCAGTAATGAATGTAGTTAAAAAGGGGTGTACCGTCAAGAGCTTATAGATACAATTACTTATAGCTGTGGAGTCAAGTGCGAAGTGGCAAATCTCGTGTGTTGGTGTGGTGTGATTGATCGATTGCAAAACTCTGCCCCTTTTAATAGTATGCACTGTAAGATAATGACCAGTAGATAGATTGTAGGTGGGTGATTAATTGGGACTGGTTGTTATTATAAATAAACAGGAGGCTATCAAAGGTATACACGATAGTTCTTTTGGGAGGGTATATGCTTGTTGTATATTAGGAGAAGTGAGTTATATTATAACTGTTATAACTTTTTTGAGGTTGTTTTAAGTATTGGCTGTAAAATTTTGTATGGCTGTAAAAAAAAAAAAAAAAAAAAAAATTAAAAAAATTAAGCAAAAGAGAAAGAGAGAGTAAGTGCGAGAGAGAAGGAGAGTAAAGTGAATGTGGGTGTGTGTGAATTACCAAAAGAGAGAGAGTGACGATTTTTATTTTTGGCTGTGAAAAGAATTGTAACATTATACACGACCTTAATTAATAACTTAACGCCATATCAAATTTCACCATGTAATATATTGACATATCGGTAATTACTTGCTCAGAGTGACATCCTTGTATCAATAAGTAGTCAATACTTACTATGCAGAACGTTATTTAGTCATGAATAGTTTTGGTTAGTTACGTGGAGTTATCTAGTAAGTGAAGCATGTACATAGTACACGACCTTATCCCTTTACCTTTGACGAGGCATAATTTAATTTTCTTTATTGTTTTTATTTTCTTACCTTTTTCTTTTGCAGTCATTTTTGTCCCCCAATTTTTTTCTTTAACCACTACGACAAGAACATTTTACACAAGTGTTGGTTTTTAATGGTGCACTGAGTATCAATATTGTAGAATACTATATTCATTACATAACCCTATACAATACGTCTAGGATATCTCTATTTCTCTCACCCTCGATATATGTGTCCTATTTCATTATCAATATCGTGTATCAGAGGAAGCTTGACATTGGTCCTTGGTGGATCACTACTTATCTGAGGTAGTGACTGAATGCTGTACTGATTCTGCTGCAGTGGTTCAGCTTGGGGTAAAGAACGATTCAGTGGTGCTGGTAAAGAGGGCGAATTTTGAGCTTTGCTCACACTAGATTTGTTGGAGTTGGAAGAAATGGAATTTGGACCCATGTATATGGAAAACAGACGATTGTTTGCATCCTTTGAGCTGAAATTTTGTAAATGAGGCAAGTCACCAAAGTTTTCCGAACGTTTCTTCGATAGAGGCGCAATTGAAGCCAGGTCACGATGGTATGTTGATGATGAAGGCTCAGGAAGTTTTTGTTGTTGACCTAGTGACTGACTCTGAGTTCTTGGAGGTGGAGGTGGCATTGACAATGGTTGTTGGTTATAAGTTGGTGAAGCTTGGGAAAGTACTGTCTGTGGAGGCAATGATATAGGTATTTGACTTGCAGGGTGCAATGCAATGCTTTGACCACCAAAAGAGCTTCTTCTGCGTTCTTTTTTCTCTCGCAACACCTCTTCTTTGAATTTTTCGTAAGCTTGGGAATCATCATCATGTAAATCTGGTGAACGTGAATCTGATGGAACAGGAGGTTCATTCACCTGTGGTTTAGTAAAAGGTTCTTCTGGTGCGTACTCAATATTTGCTGCTTCTGCGTCATCAACAATTATAACATTCTCTTTAGCATAATTAACTGCCATTTTGTTTTCCTTTCCAGTTATACCATGCTTTCTTCTAATGTGTCTCGCTAGCGAGTCGTGACGTGGATAACTCTGCACTCTAGCGCCACTGCGATCACAGTACAAGCATTTGTAAATTCTCTTTTTTGTAGCATGGACAAATTCCTGGTGTCTCAATAACTCATTCTTTCCATAAAAGATTTTGAGGCATGAAGCATTGGTATTAGGATCAGTTAAATGGCATTGGTGAATGACGCCATGACGTGGAACCCGCTTATTCTTTTCAGTGAGCAAAAAGTTTGGATCACCAAGATCAACCCGAAGATCACCTAAATGCAGTCCTTCGCCGACTTGAATTGTTTGGAAAGGTAGTTCCTTTGGTGAATTCTTTGTATACTGTATATCATCCAGTGCTTTTTTGTAGCTGGTATCAGTAACCAGGTGCAACTTATTTTGATTGGATGCATCTGGCTGTGATTGATATTGTGACAGAGGTTGGACACTAGCTGGAGGTGCAGTTATCCCCAATCCAGTACCCTTATACGATGAGCTGACAACAGGACCCAGTTTTGCACGTCGATCTGACAATGCGTGTTCCTGTTGATCAGTGAGCTTTGAGATGGAGGGCAAAACATTGCTTTGAGATGATAGATAGTTTGATATTGGCGAGATATGGGGAAGCTCTCTTGGGTGGTCTTGCTGGCCTAGTGCCGGAGACTTTTGACTACCCGTCTTGGGCAAAACGGGTGTCGATTGTGTACGTGGTGGAAAAGAAAGTTGAGGGCTATTAGAACACGGTTGCTTTTGTGGTTGCTGGGAATGTTGATTTGTGAGCGGTGGAAGCGATTGGAATGGGTAATGCAGATATGAAACGGGAGAGAACCCAGGGTTTCTAAATGGCGGCGAGTGTTGAGAGCGAAATATTAGATCTTGATGTGTTGCTGACGTTGGTGCAGAAGGTATATTTGGAGTCGTGATACTGTGTGAGGTTACTGGTTTTGACGCTGGATCGGTAGGAATGTGATTCAAACGAGCGGTGCTTTGTTTGTCATCTCCAGCTGCATCATCATCTCTTAAAGACGACATCTTTTCTTTTGAGCGTGTTTGCTCCTCTGGGTTATGTTTGACAGTTTTCTTTCTCCGAAAGGAATCATTCTCTTCATCGAATGAATTCCCTATATCACTCATAGCCCGAGTCACATTGAGTGCTTGATGGTCTAAACCTTTTTCGAGAATCACTGGGTTATCACCACGTGCCCCGCCATCAGATGCACCTTCTGAAAATTGCTTTCCAAATTTATTGGGTTCCTCGCTAATTGACTTCTTGCCTGACATTCTACTTCCTTTTCTCTTCTTTCTTGAAGCTCCATCGACGTTTTTTAAAGTGATATCCAAATACGGATTTATTTTAATCCGGTCAAACTTTTGCTGATCAACCCTAGAATCAAAGGAATGGTAACTATAGTTGTAAAATGGATATGGGAAAGGGTACTGCAATCCTTGCAACAAGTTATCGTTGAGGTAGTTTACTGGTGGTTTGATGATAGGGCCAAACGTGGTTTGGGTTACTTCAAATCCTATTAGTTCAAGGAAATCAATGATCTTGGGATTAACATGAGCCAAATGTACCACTTCCCAATAATATAATTGATAAATCAACTCCACTACATATTTTGTCACTTGGGTACTCAAGGTCAAATTAAAGTACGAGGTGGAAAACTTGATCAATGCATCAAAATTGTCAATCAAAATCTTCGACAAGTATCCATTAGGGTACGTTGGGTTAATTTCTCCAGGAATGCTTTCCAGCCGTGGAATACTCTGTCTATTTTTGTAGGCTAGATTGTGATCAATTTCCAACTTTTCAGGAAAGTCTGGCTTAACCCAAGGAATAAATGAAATCAATTGGGTCAAAGACTTTTCAAGTTCGATTCTTATGTTGTCATCCAATTGCTTTTCCTCTAGCAAAAGATACAACAATTCCAGTAGCTTTGACGAGTAGGTAGTGACGCTCTCTTCATTCAACTGTAATAAAATAGTAAACAGGGGCTTGTGGGGTCGTATTTTCATCAATTCACAGACTATAGGGTCGGTCTCATCGGTGGCGTGTGGATCATCCGTGTTTCCATAATACGGCAATGAGCGAGGTATCTGACGAATCACTCTTTTCACCAAAGCTAGAAAAAACATATTGTTAGTGACACATTATTTATAAATTCAATCTCAGAATGATACATACAGTTGGGATGAAAATCTCCAATAACATGGAATGTTCTCTATATAATGAAAGGTTAGTACCAATTTCATGGTGTGGCGATCCATCCCTCGATACTGCGTCCAGGACGGAATACGAAAAATACATACAACATGCCCATTTGATGTCATCCCCGTAACGTGTCGAATGAGGCTTGATTATTGACTCGTTCACCGGGGTCACAATTAATGAATTAAAGTCTATCTATGTGTGGTTAGATTGTGTGGGTGAATCTAACTTGCCTTTTTTTTTCCTGCTCTCTTTTTATTTTTCTTTTTTTCTTTCTGCCTTTGATGTGCTAATACATACTTTTCCTCTTATTGTGTAATTGTTTACTCAAGTTCAGCAGGACATAAAAGCTCAAAAGAGGTGGTTATAAGATATTACTATAAAGTACATGCAGGGCGGAGGTGAAACCAGTCGCCTCCCTTAAATTTGGCACGAAGTGTCTCTTTTTTTTTTGTCTCTACTTGTCTTTTACTAATCCCTCTCTGATTATAAGCGATCAAATAATTCTGCAACAAGACCAAAGCACACGACTGATAGTAACACAAAAAAGAAAAAGTACGAGTCTTACTAACAGAACAACGGAACAAAAGGTACTAAGCAACAACAGTAGTAGTAGTAGCAGCAGCAAAAAAAAAATAAAAGATAAAATTACAATAGACGGACAGTATCGTCAATTTTGCAACAATTGGACCATACACAAGAGACAAACAGTGGCTAGCTTGTACAAAATCAAATTAATACAAAATATGTACCAAAGAGTCAAGAGCTACGAATCACATTTTCATCTGTGCCACCAATCAAATGTACACTTTTGCCCAAATCTATATAAATACCGATGCCGACCCTATTGATTGCGGTGTTTTGAAATCTGCAGTGTTGGTACTATCTACACTTTGCGTCTTCTTATCACTTTGAGGGGCGCTACTCTTTCTTCTGTTGTTAGCTAGTTTCAAATAGGATAACTTTGCCCCCTGAGATGACGGCAGTGAGGAAAATTGGCCAGTTACGGACACATTGGAAATCCGAGTCACATCAAATTCATAATCATGATCTGATCCGGCCCCACCTGTATTGTTCAAAACTGTGCCGTCGAAGTGAGTCAGATCATTATCAATTGTTATCCCACTTAATCCAATATCGGGGCGGAATATATCCTCAATCAATTTAACGTTTTCATTAGTTCTGAATAATCTCGAGTATACGTCGTTAATGTCCTCTCCTAAGTATTGTAATACGCGTTTGAATACCGATTCGAAAACATCCTGTCCCCACAAGTTATCCAAGTGTTCATGGTCATACACAGGGTATGTTGTCGTGGTCTTTTTCGGCAACTGCGACTTCATGACATCAATATCGACAAGGGAATCGGTGGTACCGTAAATTAAATGGACTGGTACTTGTATATTCTTCAAAGGGTAGCTAACAGGGTTCAATCCCGATAACGACGATGACATTGTGGTGTCAAAATACATTTGAAAGTTCTTTGAGCTCATAACTTGAAACCAATGAACAACACATTTGACACTGGTGGTGGAATACAAATGGGCATAACTACTCAACTTTTGCAATTTTGAAATATTTAACGATTTCCAGTTGAACAACATATAGTTTGAGATATCAATCACCTTGTCAAACAATGGAGGGTACATTATTCTCTGCCAAAATATGCATGACGGCATGAGCACTCTCCTGCTAAACAACAAATAGGTGACATTTGGTGAAGACTTTAGCAAAATATCAAGGAACTTTGAGTGAAGTCCATGCGGGGTAGTTGCAGGTGATATTGCAATAAGCTGATCAATTTTATCGTTTAAATCCGAGTTTACCGACACACTGGCAAACGCCTGGGCACTGCCTTGGCTAAAGCCAATATAGGTTAACTTCTCTTTACCGGTTTCATTCAATATATAGTCGATCAGATTAGGTATGTCAAATATGGCAAACTCATCGATGGAGAAATTCCAAAATTGGAGTGAATGCACATCATAATACAAATGCTTTTGGCTGTATTTATTACCACGATTATTACCCAACCAAACATCATAGCCCAAATCGTACAAGATGAAAGGTAAGTTTTGATATTTTTCAACCATCGTAACCCAAACCTCACTGCACATTAATAATCCATGATGGAGGTAAACGGCTTTCCCATTGGGAACTCTTCCTGTGGGGCCACCCCTAATCCTATGCAAGGTCAACAAGTAGGAATCTTTGGTGGTGACAATCCTGCTCTCAATTTCGTATCCAAATAACTTGACCATATCGTGAATTGTATCTGCATTCAACATCTCAATCATCAAGTCGTAGCTTTGCTTGCTGACTTTTGACTTTGTTATGTCAGTGCCTTTTAAATAATGAAATTTTTCTTCGTCTTCAATGCTGTCTGCTCTTGGTCTCAGTTGCGTTATCAAGTCGATCGGATTTGATGTCAATCGAAAGATCTGCTTGACTACCATAGTACAAGCATTGATGAACCTTCTCGGAAGAAGAGTAGTAATAGCAGACACTATAAACTCAAACCATGCTAATGAGAATGAAATGATGATAAATGGCCAGTCGAATATGTTTAATCTCCCAAGGAGTGGTATTGTCATGACGGGTGGTTCTTTTGGATGTTATAAATCAAGTTAACGGGACTGATCTCTTCTTTGGCTTATGTTCAAGTATCCTGAAGTGATTAATAGTGACAAGTAGACAACTTATGAAGATTTTCGGGTGTTTTTGGCAGTAGAATTTGCGCTAATATTATCACATGTGGATTCTTTTTTTATTTTTATTTTTGTTCTGTTTTCGCTCTCTCCCGCGCTGGTTAATGTGCCACAATCGGATGAAGGAAGTTGGGCCCATGCGCACTGAGCTATTAACGACAGGTTCATCTAATATTGCTTATTTTACCTTTCAAGAGAGATCATGAAGACATGGAAAAGATTTTAAAGAGGATGATTTTTCTTGTATTTGAGGAGGGGGAGGAGCTAAAACTGTGCATTATTTTGTAACATCCAAGTAGGTACCACACATGCGTGTCCCCCCATCTCTCACCCCACAACGATGGCAAGAGTACTTGATAGATAAGCTCTGACGAAAGAAAGAGAACGTTGGATATATGAGCTAAAAAAGTGTCTCTCGAATTCAAAAGACACTGACAGAAAGTACTTAGGTACCGTGTACGAGATATGAAAGAACATTCTTCGTCACAATTCATACACCATCTCACTGGTTCAAGTATGATTTGAGTAAACCTTCCAGCCTCGAGTTTATCATACGCTACCAGGCCCAACTTCTTGGGTTTTTTCTACTATACTTGACGAGTAGATTACAAAAAGAGGCAATGCACGTGCGCCGGAACTGATTTTTCCTCTCTCCCACAAACACCACAACCATCTTCATTTTCAATAAGCTAAGTCCATTGTGGCAGAGGCAGTTGCCGATAAAAGTTGGGAGAGAACTCTTCGACAGAATGTAAAATTTGTGAGCAAATATTTACTTTCTCCATTTGAACAATAAGATATTACTCAGTTTTCAGGAACACGACAAAACATACAGTCCTCAAAGTATATATATATATATATATGGATGTCCACATCTTTAGCTCTTTGAAGCTTTTCTTAAAATACTTCAATTCGTGGTAAAACTCAAAGCAAAGCATATGATCCATGCGAGACGTCTTTTAAAGATTAGACTTTATTCAGTTACTTTCAAATACTGTTCCCCACTTCAATTTCCTTTTTGGGTGACTGTTATGTTGCCATCCGTTTTAAAAAGGCCTTGACTTTACATTGCCAACTACCAACAAAGCCCATCTCAGAGGAATAAACCATTCGGTAAAAGCAACTGGCAGGTCAAAGGGATACTATTGGCTGACTGACCCCCTTAGATGCCGGCACAACAAATCTTGGCTGACAGTGCCAAGACTATTTTTAGTTAAATCCGGCAATACTTTTTAGGGGAAGGATATCTTTTGAGACACTTTTGGTAAAAGTTAGGAGACAGACTCTACCCAATCACAATCGAATCCTCAGTTTAACAATTATATTTGAACAATATATCCCTAACTTTACTTACATTGGGAAATATGCCAGACAATAGATTACTTATAATTAAAACAATAGCTTTCTGGAAACCGACTAAAATTTTGCCCAGAACAATTTCTCGAAATGCACGACCCCAATTGTTTTGAAAGACACAAAACCAAGGTTAGTTTGTTTTGATTATTGTCCTTGTAAATTAACCAACTCAAACAATACCCCAATTTGGTAACTTTCTTTACGAATGGGCCAATGGGAGATGAGAGATTGTTGTTTCTGTTAATTACATTGTTTAGTTTTGGTTTTCTTTGTTGTTTTTTCTGCAGTTTTGCTTTTGTTAGGCACATTGGTGTCTTTACACTGTTGTAAGCACAAAACGAGGCCCAATATTATCAGATTCATCAGTGAATAATTACTTACAGTGCAGGAGAATTTTTGACCATTAGAGAAGGGGTTAAGAAAGAAAAAAAAAATAGTATAAATAGGAGGGTCAATTGCTAGAAAGTGCTATGAAGGGAGACACACTTTTTTGAGTTATACTTTTCTTGCTAATATAATTGACGAAAAATGGTTTCCTACTCAATCTTATCTGTTTTGGCCCTTGCTTCAGTTGCAATTGCCGGCGACACTCCAATCCAATCTGACTCAGCAGACCAACCTTCCTTGCAAGCTACGTTTAAAAAGAAAGCAACTTCTGATGTCACAGGAACAATCACCTTTGAACCAGCAACCAATGGATCAGTCTTGGTTAAAGTTGATGTTGAAGGATTGCCTTCATCAGGAGGACCATTCCCTTACCATATTCACGAACTTCCAGTTCCAGCTGATGGAAACTGTACTGGAACCAAGATGCACTTGAACCCATATGGTGGAAATGAGAATGCTACTACTCCACAAGGTAAAGAAGCTGGTGACTTGGCCGGAAGACACGGTAAGATCCAAGGTCAACTGTTCTCCACTGAATATGTCGACAACTATATTTCTTTGAACCCAGACTCAAAGACCTACTTTGGTAACTTATCCGTTGTTATTCACTTTGCCAACAGTAGTAGAATCACTTGTTCCAACTTGACAGAGATTGAGTCTAAAGAAGGCGGTTCCAATGAAACAAGCTCAAGTGAACCAGGTGTTTCAACTGCTAATGGTGCTGGAAAGATGCAAGCTGGAGGATTACTTGCCGGTGCTGTTGCTGGAGCAGCAGCTTTGTTGATCTAATTGTGGTGATTTATTTTGTAGGATTTCGGAGAAACAAAAAGAAAAACTAGTTTTGTCGAAGGTTGTGGTTTTATTCTATTTAGACGTTGCAAGTAATAAATAAAATGTTAGTATTTGATTTAAAGTGACACCCTCCTGTAGAAGTGGAGGTGATGCCAAGTATAAGCAGGGCTTCTGTTCTGTCTTACTCGTAAAAGGCGCTGTTTTGTGTTATTTCATATATCAGTTGATGCGCCCCATGCAGGTACATCAGTAACATCCAATTCAGAACAGTGTCTGAATTAACTCTTAATCTGCTAGTTTGCGACACTTATCAGGGGAGAGTAGATATGGAGAAAAGGAATACAAGACAAATTTCTTTAACAAGGGGGTACTGGACTCGGAAACTGTTTTGTAAAGTACATCAACATGTATTGACGAGGAAACTAAAAGAAATTGGCTAACTCCTTGTAGTAGTTCTTCAACGTGTCTTGTTTTGACTTGCTGACTTCACCAAGCCACACAAGGCCGTAGGTAGCAGGTCATTTATCAAGGTAGTAGTTTATATCTCAACAAAAGCAGATATCTCCTCAAATTCAATAATGTCAGTAATTATACCTTAAGCAAATGTGGCTTTAAAACAGGGCTTTGTCAACCTTGAAGATTAAATAACAATAGGAAACAAAAATATTTTTCAGATTACGCGCTTACATAAGCGGAAATATACCTGCACTACATTGTATTTTGACTCTTAAGTAATTATATACGGCGTTAGTGAAACAACTGCAAAAGATTTTAGATAGAGGCTTCGGAATTTCACTATTCCAATGAGTGCTGTAACAGTGTCATAGCTGATGTCATAATCAATACGGGAGCACAGCCCTATCACTGATATTACAAACCCGCTTGCCTCCCAATCCATTATAAATATCGAACGAATTTCCCTTGAAAAGTTTCAATTGAGTTATCACCATCAATTACAACAAAGAATATACAATATGAACACGTATTTACAACACGCAGAAGGCTGGAAAGCAGTAAGTGGAGCTCAACTTGGCTTATTTGTACTTGCAATTGCCGCTTTTATTACCATCACATTTATCCAAATCAGAAAAGGTTTTAAAATCAAAACAATTTTGCCATTCTTCATTCTCATGATAATTTTCAATGGTGTCAAAATTGCTGGTGGGATAGTCGGTTTAGTCTTTCTTGAAAATAAAAAGTTCAACAATAGTTTGTTCATTGCTACGTATATTTGTGACTCAATCAGTTTGGGATTCGTCTCCAGAGCTATCAGTTCATTGGTTCAAGGTATTATAGAAACCAAAATGGAGAACCCACAAGAACGCAACGACAACAATGATACAGATAGTGGAAGCAATGACTCTGCTAGACATTTTACAAAAGGTCCAGAAGACGAGGAGTCAGCTACTTACTTTAAATCCAACGACGCCTCAACCAACCCCCGAAGCATTCTCTTGAGCAAAGGGAGAGATTTGAAAAAGGCACCTTTTAGAATCGTTACTTTGATTTTACTTGCTGCAGTTATTACCAATATTATTGGAACAAGCAATTTAGATAATGGAGACCTGTCTTCGGATTCTACAGTTGAGTCTTTGATCAAAGCTTCCGCAGTGCTTTTCATCGTTGGTGTGGTGTGCCTCATTGTTGTGTTGGCTTACATCTCAGTGAAGGCATCCCATTGTGCCCTCATTTCACAGTTGTTGATAGCTGCATTGGTAGTGTTGATTGTGCGTTGTGTTTACTCATTAATAAGTGCTTTCCACGGTATTAACTTTGCTTCGCCCAGCAAGTACATTTTAATGTTTGGTATGCCAAAGTATTACGGTTGTTTGGCATTGCTTCCAGAAATTGTTTCAAACATCATTTTATTGGTTGCTTATTATAAATGGTGAGACTAGTGGTAACCCATCTTAGAATGTATAGCATCTCATAACAGTTTCAGCTCAATTGATTTCAAAGTATACAACATATTCCAAAAAGAAAACAATGCCATATCATCTCTGCTACTTTCAATTTGAACAAGATAATGGTTCCTGATAAGCAACTACATGGAGTAATAAAACAATATGAAATCATTCATTGAATAAATAAAAGGTAAGGTATAAGCTTTAAGCAAGTTGACATCGAATACCGCTAACGACCCCAGTCAATAAACAAGCGCCATCATACATGTTTGCAAAAACAAGGTTCCTTAATTCAAACAAAACGAAACTTGCAACTAGAAGTCAATTTGGTTGTCAATCTCCAATTTGTAGGCGTCGTATTCTTTATCGAAATCGGTGTACCATTTGTTACAATGGAAGCTTTCAAATGAATCTAGATTGTTGTGGGTTTGAAGGAACAATTTATATGAAACTAGGGCAGAGCCCAAAGCCGCAGTGGCTAAACTGATATACAACTTCATTATTGTTGTGGAGAAAATAAATCCGCTACTCGTCCAAGATAGGACCGGCACATAGATATATAATATTGTATGCACTTATATGCAGATAGGCGTGTGCCCCCCTACACTTCAAATTCACTATATGACATCTCGTGATTATTACTATATACAAGACTCACCTTCTGATTATACTATCCTTTGTCTGGTGACAATTGAATTTACTTATTGCTGTTGATGAAAGTGTGAAGACTTAAGCTCCTGATCTTTTCTGAGTTGTTGATATCTCATACAATCTGGACATTGACACGATGAATGGTGATCATACCCGCAGCGATGACTCTTCCAATATGGACCTGGTCCGTAATGGTTTGCTGACATTCTACCTAAAGCGAAAGCCCCAATTACAAAGAAAAACCCACCGAATCCAAAGTGACGTGGGCGGTAACCTGGATAAAAACCTCTCATGATTGTAGCGTTGTTTATAATAAAGTAAAACTGGTGATGAATTGAGATATAGGTAGAGTCAGTGAAAACTTTCCAAATTACTTTGTTTATATAATCCTTCTTTGGTGCATGATTCCTTTTAAGCCAACTTCAAACGCATGACCAGCGTATATATTAGTTGCAAAAATTTGATGGCAAATCGCTACCAACCCCGTCTAAACTCCGAATCAAGATATCAAACGGCGTTAACATTGTTCTGAAAAAATATAAAAGAATATGCAAAGACTCGTCTTTATGCAGTAGTCTATATACCAAGTATAACCGTGTCTAACTAATCATCTGATTTCAACCTTGAAGCGATCGACTAAATCTTTCTCCACCTTGTCATGAATAGAATTGATTTCACTGTTTGTTAAATTTCGATCCATAGATTGATAGTTTATTCTATAACATTGTGATCTTTTTCCTGTTTTGGGGTGGGTAAATTCATCCACGTTGACGACACTCTCAGCCAAGTCACCGGCACGGTTTCTTACGATTTCCATCACATCGTTCTCGTGCAACTTATAGTCGTCATTGAGCCAGAATGAGACATCCCTCTTGACACCGGGGTATTTTGAGTAAGGGACAAACGTACTGATTTGTCCTTGCTGAAACTGCTTGTGGAACCTCTCATCAAGAGTCCAAAAGAGTCTAATGTCTGGGATATCAAACAATAGCATTGCGATTCTATCCAACCCAATTCCAAAAGCCCAACTAATCTTTTGATCTCCTAAATTTGAGTTAAGCAACACCTGTTGTTGGACAACACCACACCCGCAACATTCTAACCATTCGCCCTTCCACCATACTTCAATCTCCCATGAAGGTGAAGTCCATGGAAAATACGCTTCAACCCATCGCACTTTCAAAGGCTCATTTAAGTAAGGTTCAGTGGAACCAGCCTTTTTAGCAGACTCTCTAGCCCGCTCAAACACTTGGTTTACTAAATATTCAACAGTCTTTTTCAAGTGTGTAGATATGAGTCTTATTTCTTCCGTAGTCATGTATTCCTGTGCCGGGTTGTTGGCTGTCACAGGGTTTTCTCTGAATGGATCTTCTACAATGATGTTGGTTTCAGGAATCGAATCAATATCGCGCTGAATTTCATCCAAGGCTCCCTTATTGTATACTCTTGCCCCTTCTAACTGGTGAAATGCCGGATAATGAGTTCTGTCGATTTCGTCTCGTCTATAGACATCTGCAGTAATTAAGTAACCTGGTGTTTTGGTATTAATAAAACACTCTTGTTCATGAGCCGAAGTGTGAGTCCTCAATAAGTAATCTTTGTTGAAGTAGTATGTGTCTGACTTTGATCTCCCAACGTGATCCTCGGGGAATCCCAAACTGTCAAAGTTCTGATATTTGGAAACAATGGGGTGGAAATTGTCGTACACAGTGAATCCCATACCTTTCATGTTTTGCCCAATCAAGTCATGTAGTATCCCAATTGGATGGTTGACGTTTTTATGCAACTTACGGTCTATGAGGTTGAGAATGAAAGGGGGGACGTTTGTCCATTCATCTGCATGGTATGACTTACCTCCAACCACAATTGGCTTTGTCGTGTTGCTGGAGTAACGAATGAATGTAGACCTAAGAGGTCTTATGGGCGCCTTGAACATTGGCTGAAAGGTCTATGAAGTCATTTTTCAAAGTTTTTTTTTTCCTTTTCCATTTTTTATTCGCTCTTCCTACATTATGTACTAACTATGAGAGAGATTCCTACCATGCATCCTCCTTATATCTACCACTATCCTCAAGCTCAAGAACGTAACGCTTTGCATCTTCTTCCGATAAACTTCCGTACCTCCTCACCACCTCCACGAATGTTATTCTTACTTCTCTTGGCATTTTACCACTCGAACCGCATACAAACACCTTTGCCTCTTGGTTCAACAACAAGTCACCAATCAAGTTGTATTCGGCAATGATAGCGTCCTGGACATATTTATACTGGGAACCATCATCTCGAGAAAAACAGCTATATATATGCAAATTACTCGACTTTTCCCAAAACAGCTTTATTAGATGATCTTTTTCCTCATGACGACATCCAAAAAAGAGAAACATCTCTTGTAATGAGTTTTGATGCAATATTTGGTCAACCAAAGATTTCATCGGAGCTATACCCGTTCCTGGTGCCACCATTATAATAGGACTCTGAGACATTTTAAACGATGATCTGTCAATACTCAAATGCACTTCGTCATCCGGCTCCAATGACTTGAGCCATCTGGTACAAAGTCCTCGACGGATACGTCTGATGATCGTTCTATACTCCACAATAGCAATAACAACCTCTATCTCTGTCTCACTCGAACGCGATGCGATCAGAAACATCCTAGGCTTTATCAATGGGATCAAGTCGAGTATATAGGATACGGGAATGTTTAAATTATTCTTGAATTCAGACAATGTTTCCAATATCAGCCTCCGTGGCCGGTTTGCATAGTTGTAAAGTTCTTCTGGGTCAGCGAAGGATCCAAATTCTTTCAACTTTTCTTGCTCTCTTTGACCATCTTCAGTGCTGGAATCACAAAAATGCCACAATATGGCAAAAAAGCTGCGTCGTGGAATGGAGATAATATCCAAGTGGTACTTGATCAAATTTCGCAACGTTATAAACTGTTCCCCATCAACCAAATTCCTTATTTTCAAAGGCTTGTCGGCAACTTCTAACCACTGTGGTTGCAGTTCGAGCAAAGCATTAACATCCAGGTCAAAGTTGCATGGATATAGTGATACGGTGTCTCCAGGATTATATCTCAAGTTCTCGGAAGATATTTTTATATGCCGAACATCTTGGAAATGATCGGCAGTGGTGATTCGCTCGTTTGAAATCACAGTTCCAACCTGTAAATTGTTGTAAATTTTGGTTAATAGCGAGTTCTCTGCCAAAGATTCTGCTGCATACTTGAGGGACACCTTATATTCGGGCATGGGCACAGTGTTGATATCCGGCTCAGTCGACATGCGGAAATATTTTGACAATGCAGCAATAAGTTGCGTTTCCCACTCCAAATAAAACCCGTCTATTCCTTCCGGTGACATTTCGTCAGCTTCACATCTAGGTGATAGTTCCTGACACCCTAGTTGCATCATCCTTGCGTGTATTTTCTTGATAGCATAGTTGTACTTTGTGTATGAAGAATCACCCAACCCTAGAGTTGTCAAACGCAAGTGTTGGAAAAGATCTCCAGGGAGCTTCTTTTTACAAATAAACTTCATGAAGGATTTCGAGTTACGAGGTAACTCCCCCTGCCCTGTAGTTGAGCATACGATGATTAGATACTCAGTTTCGGTTACTAAATTTTTCAAAGGAAAAGAATCTAATGATGACAAAGTGGGCTTTAGGCCATAGTTTTTCAACCGTAGCTTCAAGTACTTAGCATATTCTTCGGCATTTCCTGTCTCTGAACCATACAAAATGGTGATCTTATCTGCCATTTACGTCTCTTGTGAGTGAGCTAGCGTGCTGTTGTTCGTGTGATGCGCCAGTTATCTTACTAATTAAAAGATGTCGCAGACTAGACTACGATTAAGACACCGAGAAAAAAATTTAATTGACAATCACAACAAATGAGGAGGTAGTCCTTTGCCCAATAGCTCTCTGCAAACATTTACCAATCACAACACCCCGAACAATGGCGCCAAAGAGGAAAGCAATTACTTCACCGACATCAACGCCTCTGAAGATGCCGAAAGTGAACACACACACACCCACGGAGAACAAGCAGTTTTACCAGTCTACCATAAACTTAGTAGTGGATTTGCGTGAAGGGGAAGAACAACTTGCTGCGGCTTTTATCAAATTACCATCTAAAAAGTTATACCCCGACTACTTCCACCTTATAAAGAGCCCTATATCCATCAATGAGATCCAAAAGAGGATAAATACGAGATACACAGGAGAGTCAACCGAAGAATTTCTTGACGATTTTTATCTATTGCTTGAAAATGCTACTACCTACAACGACGCAGATTCATGGATTGTGGCCAATGCAAAGAAAATAGTTGACTTTGTGACCGACCAGGTAACCGAGTATGAGAGCACAGTACCTGCATCAGAAACTACCACCACGGATATTAAGCAACCAAAGATTAAGTTGAAGTTAAAGGGATCATCAGCTGGCGCAACAACAGGCGTTGTATCACCATCCCCAAAAGCTGGCGACACTGAGATTACATTTGGCAAGTTACCTGAATTATGTTCCAATGTGGTTAAGGATGTTATGCATCGTGACTTTGAAGACATTGGAGTTATAAGTGGTCCGTTTTTGGACGAGGTTGATCAAGACGTTTACACGGACTATTCAAATTTTGTGTCGAAGCCAATGGCTTTCAACACTGTTTTATCAATGTTGGAAGCTAAAAAATTGTTCAGTCCAAAGTACTCATTACTTGATAATTTGCAAAAGTTCCACGACATTGTTACTCTCATATTCACAAATGCCAGAGCTTATAACAATGAGGACTCTCAAATCTACCAGGATGCTGTACTTCTCGAAGAATACTTTGAAGAACTGTATGGAGCCTTGAGGAATAAAATTGAGGCGGTGGACACCGCTAAACCAAAGCCTGCTAAATTAAAGATAAGCTTGAACAAGAATGCTGAGAAAAAGAATAGAAAAACATCGAAATTTTTTGAAAATGAAGGAGGAGAAAGCGCTGCTGACGCTTCGAACAATTTGTCTGGAATTGATGACGAGGCTACGACAAAAGTCAAAGTTGAAGACGACCGATCAGCTCCTTCTGCTAAGCCCTCCGTTGAAATTCATTTGGATAAAACAACTGACAATACTATGGGAAAGACGTTGCCAACACTTTTGGAAAGTAACTCAATCATCCAAGAGTCTTCAATCTTCTCCTCGCCGGCTATTGTGTCTCACATTACCAAGTATACTCAAGACAAGATAGATGCGTCTTTGTCAACCCTGGCTTCTCGGGAGTCAGAAATAAAGCAGTCATTGTTTCCAGCTCAATCACAGCAGTCTATTGCTACCTTGTTCTCCTACAAGGTGCCAGCAAACGGTTATGTCGATCAGTCCTACACAATATCTTTGCCAAACGATGTGCTGCCTTATGTATCATTGAAAACATCTTTACACCATCTCCTATATCTTTCAAAAAGATCTGACTTGATAGATGGTCATGGTTACCTTAACCTGACCTCTGAAGACGACTTTCAATGCAGCTTAACTGTTAATGGCGAGGTGCTCAACCAGCCGAATGACTGCTTTGAAGAGTTGAAAGGAAAAGAAAATCTTTTAGCTGTTCAGTATGATATAAAGTTAGCGCATGGATTGAACATGTTGACTTTTGAATGTAAAGTAGCACCTTCCTTGAGCAGGAAGGTGAAGAATACGATTATACAGGATCAGCCTGATGAATTATCTGGAAGCCGACACACGAGACACCAACTCCAGCAGATGAAAATGTCATGGGATGTGGAGAGCATTACGTTTTTCGTCGTGTGTAACAGTGCCAATTAAATTTAATACAAGTATCTATTTACCAATGCAAAAGTTTGAAAATACTACTCCTAATATTTCCTCTACACCTATGGCCTCACCAGTAATCTTACCAATCCCTTCTATAGATTGTCTCAAGCCCTCAGTTGCCAACACCACGTCACCCTGGTCTTTCCAATGGTGGAACTCTTTTAACCCACATAGCACATCGAATTCTAAAATATCTTGGACTCTGGAGGAAACAATCGCTGCATCCTGGGCGCCGAAATGTGAAATAGCTTTAAACTTTTCAATTAATATGTCACGAAGAGGGTCGATGCCATGCCCGGACGTGCACGAAACCACATGAATTAAATTGCGAGGCACGCTCAACAATTCTGCGTACCGTTCAACTATTACACCCCTTTCATCCAGAAACAAGTCCTCCTTATTCAAAATAACAAGCACATCTTTACCATACTTGTTGACTAGCTCCAGAACGTAATCAAATATCGCTTCATTGTGAACCGAATTGGTGGGATCAAGCACTACCAAAATCAAATCGGCAGAAAGGGACTTAGCCTTGGCCCTTTTAATGCCCTCTTGCTCAATCTGATCAGCATCTTCTAACATTCGTATACCTGCAGTATCACCCAAGACTACCTTGTAGCCGCCGATATCGAGTGGAATATCCAACACGTCTCGCGTCGTTCCGGCTATACTACTCACAATAGCGGCCTCCTTGTTTGTTAAAGTATTTAAAATAGACGACTTTCCTGCATTTGGCGGTCCCAACAACGTAAGTTGAATTCCATTGAGCAAAATTTCGGATGATTTCACATTCTTAAGATAGCCCTCAATTTCCGTTTCTAATTTTGAAATGTTTGCCTCGACATCATGAGAAAGCGAATCGATGTCATCGAGATCTTGGTCCTCACCAAAATCAATCAATGTTGTAAGATTGGCCACATTCTCCAAAATATCCTGCCTCCATTTGACAAAACTGTTGTTAGTTTGACCTGTCATTGATGCTAGCGATGCAAGTCTTTGCAGCTCGGTTTCGGCATTGATCATTTCGCTTATCCCTTCCAAAGCCGTAAGGTCGTATTTTCCATTTATGAAGGCTTGGTGGGAGAACTCCCCCTGTTCGGCTTGTCGTATTAGTTTGCCGGATTTTGGATCATGTAGGTCCCGTATAGATTTTAGCACCGCCTTGATGATTGCTGTTCCTCCATGCAAATGAAACTCAAGTAAATCTAAACCGGTATACGATTTTGGCAGTTTGAAAAATATGGTAAGAGCTTCATCAAGAATCTTCGAATCTTTGACGGAGTATAACTTGCGTACGCTAGCGACTCTGTGTTTTGGCTGTGCTTGTGTCTTTGTTAGCTGTTGATAAACGTAAACAGCCTCCGGGCCGGATATTCGAACCACAGCAATTGCTGATTTTGCAAATGGCGTAGAGAGGGCAAATACCGTAGGCTGAGATGACTTGGTTGCAACACTATAGAATCTTTGAGCCCATATTTGTTTGAACATTAATGAAGCTTTACTTTCAATTGAATTGATTTTGCAGCGAAAATTTTTTGATCCGGAGCTGATGAAAACATTTTGCTTCAACATGATTAGAATAACAAGAGGGATAGCCACGTTCACGAGACTTCTCAGTCATGAAAACCCATTGGGCCTTCCCAGATTTAATAAAAGTGGTTCCGCCCAACCTCACAATCCAAGCTCCAAGGGTCTTCCAATAAAACAACGCATTCCCAATGTTAAAGACATTGTCCTAGTATCATCTGCCAAGGGAGGAGTCGGGAAGTCTACAGTTTCAGTCAATACCGCATTGGCTCTTCAAAAACTTGGAAAGAGAGTGGGGTTGTTGGACGCTGATATATTTGGCCCGTCTGTTCCTAGGTTAATGAACTTGCTGGGAGAGCCAAGGCTATCGCAAACTTCAGGTAAATTGTTACCATTGTCAAATTACGGCATTCAAACTATGTCGATGGGATATCTAATCAAGGATGAGCAAGCTGTAGTATGGCGGGGTTTGATGGTTATGAAGGCCATTCAACAATTGCTATTTGACGTTGAGTGGGCAAGTATAGATTATTTGATAATCGATATGCCACCAGGTACAGGTGACACCCAACTATCTATTAGTCAGTTGCTTGACATATCTGGTGCCTTAATTGTGACAACGCCGCAAGACATTGCATTGATTGATGCTGTAAAAGGTATCTCCATGTTTAATAAGGTGAACATACCATTAATTGGAATCGTACAAAACATGAGCCACTATATATGCCCAAATTGCAATCACGAGTCTCATATATTTAAGAGTAATGGTGCAGAGAGAGTTGCGATGGAGCATGGCATCAAAGTTGTTGCTAATGTTCCTCTTGACGAAAAAATTTGCCTTCAATCAGATCTTGGTAAACCTATCGTTGTTGCAGATCCGGATTCCAAAATTTCAAAAGATTATTTTGATATTGCAAGATCAGTCATTGATTTTGAAGAAATCGAAACGCAACACAAGTCTTAAGTGGCAAGGATACTCCTTCTAATAACTAACTCTTGACAAGTTCGACTTACAAGGTTACTTAAACACATCAACTATATTTAGTATGCAACTTGGAATTATCGTTTCCACGGCTCTTGCACTGCTGTTATTAGAACACGTCTCATGCCATAACTTTTCAAGTGCAGAGCAGCAGTTTCAACATCATATCAATTTCTTGAAGGAGGTCTTACCTCGACGCAAAACACTTGAATTAAATAATGCCAACTCGTTGGTTAGCATTCTGCACGAAGGCGTCCCGATAAACTTTGACAGAGTTTTGTTGGAAAATAAATTGCCTCCAATCGCTAATGCAGACCAACATAACTTCAACATGACAAGTGATATCAGTCCAAATGGCCCTGCCTCCTTAGATCCATCTGCCACAGGGTCATTAATATATATATCACCTTTGTCGCTATTAGTTGCCGAGACTTTGCATTCTATGACGACAAGTCAAGAACAGCACTTCGAAATTCCAACTGCACTTGCATCTGATAATAGTTATAATTCAAACCAAGAGGGCACACAGACACGAAAATTTGACCCACTCGCAGAAATAAGGAGACTAGAGCTGTTATTGATCGATTTGAAAGAGCACACGAGTCGCCAAGAGTTGGCTTTTCGAAAGCAAATGGAGAGAATCGTCCAAGACCAAAGAAATGAAAGCGCTCTAAGAACATTGGTGACACCTGTAACTACCAAATCAAAACAGCAACTGCCTGTTGTTTCTAGCTCAGCAGATAATGAAAACCCCAGTGATACATATTGGGAAACGTCTACAACAAAGGTCAACGGCAGACAAATTATGACAAAGAAAACTCCTTCAAATTCGGTTATAATAATGCCCCAGTTCCAACACCACACAAAGCAAAGAGTACAGCCAGGTTCCAATTATCACAAACCCAAGATTGCCTGGAGTGAAGTGCCTACCGTAAGTACCACTGATTTGCCCCACGTTGAGGCGCCCGAAATATTAGGGGTTATAAGAGAAGGAGAGTATACGATTCTTTTCGACAATGAGAACCAAATTGGGTACATTGATTCCAACGCTATTCAATTTGCAGAGGTTACTGATGCAAATGCGATACCATCAACTACGCAGTATGAAGAGTATTTTGCCAGACAGACGCTGCTCCAAGATTATGATAATGAGGATTCCAGTATAGAAGACATATCCAGTGATACAGATTTTGACAATTGGTCGGAGGTGAATCATGCTGATAATAGTGCCATGTCGAGAAGTCCAAGTTATGACCAAGATTTGATACATCTACCGCTCCGACATGCAGCCTCTTCAGCCATGGCAAATCAAATTGAAAGTTACACTGCGGCGGCGTGGGATCTGGCTACAAGAAACCGCAGACCAAATACCCACATTACAAAGAGTTTCAACTTTGATGTTTTTGACTTTGAACCTCAATCCATTAGGCTTAACTTAGGAACGGCATTGCGGAGGCCATTTAGCCTCATTCGTTACATATTATTGATGGTTTTGCTTTAAAAGTTGCAATACGAAACAAACCGTCAGGTGAAACCACAAGGGTATATTGTATCTTATTTTATGTATACAACAATGCTCATTAATTCGATGTAGGCACAATGAAGTAATAAGTAGACGCGCTTCTCGGTTCGGTTATAAACCGATTGTTCGATGCGTCCGACCTTCCAAGCGCAGAAACGCCACAAAACTCTTCGCAGAGGAATAGATCATACAAAAAATATAAACAGAAATTTGATTCCTACAATTTAGTGGCTCATCGAGAAGTATCTTCTTTGTTCACATTACCAAACATCATCACATTACGGATCTATTCTGAAATGTCTGCTGCAGCTGGTACTTTAAAAACGTCATCGCCTAAATCTACTAAGCCTCAAAACGTCGCTTCATTTAGCATGTTAGATTTTGACGAAACAAAGAATTCATATATCGAAGAAGAGGACAGAACATATGTGTACAACACTACAACTGAAGACGTTACGTCTGACGACAACGATGAAGATGACGATGACGATGACGATGATGATGAAGAGGAGGGTGAAAATCAAGGCTTGTCACGTAAGAGTTCTGACACTGATTTAGATGTAGCTGATTCGGGCGTTACGGAAAAAATACACGCAAGCAAAGACAACAAGATTGAGCCATCAACTGAGCCACCCATTCAGGGAAAATTCAAGCAATTTTTAGTGAAGCATGAGATTCCTAGAAAAGTGTTTCACTCATCTATTGGCGTTTTGACATTGTGGTTGTACACCAAGGGAACTACAACTCCACAATTATTTGCTCCGCTATTCACATGCTTTGCGGGTGTTCTAATCAACGACTTGGTCAGACTTCACAACCCGGAAATCAACAAGGTCGTGACCTCACAAATGTGGTTTATTATTCGTGAAAGCGAAAAGAACTCATACAATGGAACATTATTTTACTTGGCTGGTGTATTGATCGTGTTGTATTTATACCCAAAAGACATCAGTGTATTAAGCATCCTATTATTGAGCTGGGCCGATACTGCGGCTTCCACAATTGGCCGCAAATATGGAAAATATACACCTAAACTCGGACCAAGAAAGTCTTTAGCCGGATCATTGGGTAGTTTTGCCGTTGGGACGTTTGCAGCTTACTTGTTGTATGGGTACTTTATTCCTGGCTACAATGTCAACAAGCCCGGTGATATCTACTGGACAGCGAAGCTGAGTAAGTTAAACGTTCACATTTATTCAATTCTTGTTGGTGTCATTGCTAGTATCTCAGAGCTCATCGATCTCTGGGGCTTAGATGATAACTTCACAATTCCTGTATTGAGCGGGACATTAATTTACTGGTTAGTGCGTTTGTTTCGCGTTTAGAGTTGTTTGATAGAGATAAGGTTAATTTAATTTGCTAATTTATTTGAACGTTATTTAATTTTCGTTGAGGAACAATCCAGCGTAGCCCTGGCCGGTGGAGGTGCACATGGAGATGACTCCTAACTCCTTCTGCTGTGCTCTCAACCCATTCAACAATGTTGACACTACTCTACCTCCAGTAGCTCCCAACGGGTGCCCAATGGCAATTGCACCACCATATGGATTCACTTTTTCATAGTCTAAACCCAATTTATCGATACAGTAGATCAGTTGCGAAGCAAAAGCTTCATTTAACTCGAAAATATCAATGTCTTTGTGTGTCAACCCAAACCTTTCCAACAATTGTGGAATAGCTTCTGAAGGCCCAATTCCCATCAACCCAGAGGGCACACCCGCGACACTTGACCCAACGAACCGAGCAATTGGCTTGTAACCATATTTCTCAGCATTTTCACGAGTTGTCAAGATAACAGCAGAAGCTCCATCAGAAATCTGGGACGAATTTCCTGCAGTTGTGACTCCATCCTCCTTGAACACGGGTTTTAAGGACAGCAATTTTTCAAATGTCGATCCTGGTCTAATTCCGTCGTCTTTATTGACTAATTTGGTCTCATTTGTATCAGTACGTGATTCAACTGGTACTATTTCATGTGCAAAATGGCCAGATTCTGATGCTTTCGAAGCTTTCAAATGTGACTGCACAGCGAATTCATCCTGTGCCTTTCTACATACGCTAAACTTCTCGGCAACCAGTTCACTTGTAATACCCATTGGTGTTAACACATTTTTGGCCTCTTCACCGGCACTTTCCAAAAAAGGTTGGTAGATTCGTTGAGGAATCCCACGATGAGGGAAATAATCATGTGTCATAGATTCAACACCAGCAGCAATGGCAAATTTGTTTTCTCCACTGAGTATGGAGCCAGCACTATAAGTAATGGCTTGAGCTGACGATGCACACTGGCGGTTAATTGTGTTTACCGTTGTTTTAATCGGAAATCCCGCCTTCTTCACGGCTAATGATGAAGCTTTCTGGCCACCTAGGGTCTGTAACACGGTACCAACGAGGACGTCATCAATCAATGTAGGGTCCACTTTGGACTTGGATATTGAGCCAACCAAAACTTGATACAACAATTCCTCGGGATAGAGGGGAGCTAATCCACCCTTGACCGATTTAGTGACTGGTGTTCTTAATGCAGAAAGCACTACTATATCCTTCGCCGATCTTTTCAACATTACAATGACTTCCTGATGAGAGTTTGTTGAGTAATGCTGAGTTCAATTACTTTTTTTATCCAAAAATGTGTTTTATATCATGTTTGATGTTTGATGCCTTCTTTTGAGTTGTGGGGGAAAATGCTTTTCCGATTTGCAGGAAAAAGTTGAAATTGATCCAGTTCGGAAATAGCTGTAAATGTACGTGGCTGAGGAAGAAAAACAAAAAAACAGTTAAAAACGCAAGAATATGCAGAGATCAGAGGGGGGGGGCTCTCAAAATTCAAATGATTACTTAATTGAAGGGACAGTGCTTTTAGAAGTGCGATGTCTGCTTTTTGAAATGAGAGTTGCAAGGGTTCAATGATCCTCATAATCAGGAGATACTTAGGGTATTAAAGGTGGTCCCAATCATTAATTTTTTTGTCACTCTACCCCCCAAAACTAAAGCGCGGACAGATAGGGAGTCTCTGAGGATTGATTACATCCTAGGCATGAGGCATGAGGCATGAGGCATGAGGCATGAAAAAGTGGCATCATACATATACTACTTGAGTTGTCATTTCTCTATTTCCCCAGCAGATCAAAATCAGTTCTAGTCTTTACAAGAAGATTGAAATGACAAGTACAGAGTGGCAAGTGCCACTAAAAGAACAGTTATAGGATACTAAGATTATCTACCCCTATTCACAAGTAAACACATCTCTACTCCTGAATGGACTCCCTAATCTTGAAAAAGGTGTCATAGGTTAAATGCGCCTTTAATCCCTCATATTTAGTCAACTTCAACCAACCCTCCTTTAAGCCTGTTGAATAGAACTCTTCTGTCAGGTTTTTACTTACTGGATAATCCGCTTTCTTGAGTAAGTAGTACAAGGTTGTAAGTTTATCCCAATTTTGCTCGTCGGCAACAGATGGTAAGAATGTGCCCAGATAGTATTCGCTATCTAGCTCAAAAGATATTTTCAACCCGTGAACACCAACGGTCCAGTCATTGTAATCATTGATTGGTTGAAAATTATCTAACAATGTCACGTCAACTTCCAAACTAGCAACTTCCTTGGCTGATATCAGCGCAAATCTTGAGTCTTGCAATGCCGAGCTAATAGCAAACTTTGCAACACCGGATTCAATTGGTAACGACTGGAATGTTCCTATGCAGCCCCGCAATTGCGAATTTTTATTCCAAGTGACAAAGAGTGGAGCCGACTTGGGAAGTTTGCTTGGATCCTCCAGTAAGGTTTGAAAATACGACTTTAGTGGCACTTTATTCAGCTCAAGGTTGAGTTTGTTGACTAATGTCTCAAATGCATAACAGCAGAGTGCTTTAGACATGGTTTGATAGTTGTGGATGTGTATATGTTGCGTGTGATGCAATGTGTGTGTTGGGTGTCTTATCTAATCGTAAAAACGGGACAGTCTAGTATATTGAGCTTTTTTACACGACTTTCTAAGAAATTGTCAGCGCCGGCGTCAAAGCGTGCCATTGAAAACGCACCACACACCAAGCAGAGCTTAACTCAGCTTCTCCATTAATATAACAGTTGTTCTAAAATCCTTCTAAAACTCAATGGGTATATGCTTTTCATGCCTAGGAGGCTCTTCGTCTGAAGATGAATATGATGAGACTACGTCGCTACTAAGGAGGAACCAACAAGGGACTTATGACCAACTACAAGAAGAGGAATTGATAAAGCAGCAGCAGAGACAACAAGAGTTAAGTAATATAGTCAATGATTTATCAGAAAACTTGATTGATGTCACTTCATTTCTCAGCAAAGGAAATGCTTCGGGAATATATTCTCAGTCGCAATCACAAGTGCTTCAACCAAACAATAATAGCGGACTCGTCACACAGACTAGTAATACTGAACACACCTTAGGCGAGGATGGAGAAGGAAGTACAAGGATCTATCCTTATGTTTATAAACAAAGTGATAAAACAAAAGTCGTTGAGCAAGCAAAGAAACTTCCTGACACTGTACGACAAGCATGTCAAATCTCTGTACTGGAGCCTTTATATTTGAAATTTTAATGATAAAATAAACATAACTATCACGAATATATTTTTACGAGTAGATTATATATTGGGTAGCAAGTAGATGAACCCTTTTCGATGCTCTAATAGCCCAGCAGTGGAGTTTAACTTGAATTAAAATAAAAAAAAAGGACGAACAAATAACCTCACTCACCCAACTTCTCTTCTTCAACACCGATAACTCATTCAAATGTCAATAACTCTCAATTGGGCTATATTAGGTGCTGGAAACATTTCCTCACAATTCGTTTTTGATTTATTGCTCAACAATGACCGAAAGACACAGTATCGCCACGTCATCAAGAGCATTGGCTGTTCCAGTTCAGTGAAGGGTCAAGAATTTATCAAAAACAACAACATCACAGCAGAAAGAAATTATAACGTAACCCCTGTTGTCCAATCATACAAAGAACTTTACGCAAATTCTGAAGTGGACGTGGTTTACATTGGAACTCCTCACAACTTTCACTGTGAGCAAGCTGTGTCATGTTTGGAAAACAACAAACACGTCTTATGCGAGAAGCCATTTGCAGTGAACAGGAAAGAAGCAGAGATCATATTTAATGCTGCAAAAAAGCACAACAAGTTTTGCATGGAGGCTGTGTGGACAAGGTTTTTCCCAGCAATCAAAGAGCTTAAGGAAAAGGTGTATCACGAGAAGGTAATTGGTGATGTATACAGGTTGTTTGCAGATTTTAGTTACAGTGGTGATGTCAAGAACTTGCCGTTGACGTCAAGAGTAAGAGATAGATCGTTGGCAGCAGGATCGCTCTTGGATATTGGTATATATCCTATTACTTACTCAAGAATACTTTTGGATGATCAAGTAGGTCAGAGTGCTTCCAAGTTTGAACAAAAAAGCTTCCTCTCGATCGATAAGGACGACTTGGTGGATCATCTTGGCTCAATCATAATAAAATACGAAAATGGAAAGCACGCTCTACTTACTTCGTCTGAGTTGGTAGATGGACCAAAGGCCTACGTGAGACTTGAAGGATCGAATGGTTGGGTTGAAATGTATAGTGACAATCCCGCCAGAGCCAAGCACTTTAAAATTTTCAACAAGCATGGTAATGAAATCTATGAGTACAAGGACAACTCTGGATACAATGGCTTTATATACGAAGCAAATGCAGTTGCTAACGACATTCACGGTGGCAAATTAGAGGACGCGGTGATGCCTCACGATGAAACCCTACTTGTGATGGGGGTCATGGATGATATTAGGAAGGAGAACGGGCTAGTATACGAGCAGGATTAATACGTTTTGTCATTGTATACATTTATATACTATGTGTAATATATATATATATATTTTTTGATGCAAAATGTATGGCAAAAACAAACCACTCCATAACACATTCTTTAAAACTTCACCAAAAAGTACCTCATGAGATGTGGATGTGTACGAATATTTTATTGTTGATTGTCCTCCTCACCGGTATCGGATGTATCGAGCATCAATCTTTCTATGATCTGGTCAAGGAACTTGCAAAGTGGCAAATGTTACACCCAACCAACGAGTCGACTGCAGAATATACCTCGAAAACACTAAAAGAGCAAAAGCTTAACTACTACTCATTTATAAACGCAACTCGGAATATCAATGATACCATCTTCACCATTCAAGGGAAAGATAAGGTACCCAAATGGTCATTCAGTACAGGCATTTTTGCAAACAAGGCGCAAGATATGGGTTACCAAGATTGTCGCGAGATTGCAAAGTATAAGAAAAGACCCATCACAATTATTGAGACTGAGCCAGTTGTTGAAGAGCCAAAACCAATGAAGAAGAAGCCCAAAAAACTGAAAATGAAGCCAGAGGCGCCACCAGAATGGTTGTTGGATTCTTCCTCAAGTGAGGATGAAAGTGACATAGGAGAGAAAGAAATGAACCTCACTGGCTCTGAGTCGGATGAAGATAGTGATGTGTCTGAAAATGAGGGAAAGCTTTGGTTTTTGGGTCTCAGCAGTATCGACAAGGTCAATGAAGGTAAGATTCCTTTGATTCAAGAGGATGCTTTGGTTACAAAAGTAGGAAAGAACTACCCTGGTTTGTATTTTCATCGCCGTGCTTCTCTTGAAAACTATACATATCCCTTTCACTTGCATAGAAATCACCAAACCCATGAAAAGAGAAGATACACAGATAATGATTATTTGGACGAGGCAGATGATTTTCAGAGAGAAGAGGATAAATTTAAAGACAAAATTGCTGGTAACTTTGAAATCTGGCAAGTGAAATTAAATGCAAGAAATGCAAGCAGCGAAACCGAAGGTACAGACAACTCGACCTCCACCAGTATTTCATTTAACGAATTGTCACATGTGCATACCTACAGTGAGTCTAAAGCGTCTCGTTTATGGTGTATATTAGGTTTATACTGCTTTTGATAAAGTTTAATCTATGACATAACAAAATTGTGTAACAAAGAAAAAAAAAACATCAAGAATTGACTGCAAAAACTAAACAAAGACACAAGCAGAAAGGAGGGATATTTCTTTTACAAAATATTTTGCCCCCAAGAACCAACACAAGCCCTTTTTCCAAAACCACCAACGCACTAAGAATGTTGAAATCTTTTATATTGTTACTATTTGTGGCTTATGTCCAGCCATTAAATGACAACCACCACCCCAGTGTGTTGCCTCAACCACAGTCGTCAATTTTCACATCTCAAGTCATCAATTATCAAAATGGCAATACACCAAGACAACAATTTCAAAACGGGGATGACATGTTTCATTTGCTTCTTGTTGAGCAAACATCTGAAGGTAGTTTGAGAGCCAAACCCTCGCAGAATGATGAATTCCAGGCCCAAGGAACAAAAAAGGAAAAGAAAGTGAGTACTCCTAAATGGCGTCTAGGTGCTGGTGCATTTTTGAACAAGGAAATCGACGAAGGATCAACTGAAAAGGAAACCACCTTTATACCTACCAAAATCGGAGCGAAATTAACTGATTCGGATTCGGATTCTGAGTCGGACTCTGACTGTGACTCGTCATCAGAAAGCGATCGCAAGAAGAAGAAAAAGACGTTCAAGTTGTTTAGCTTGGACAATGTGAATGCAGTCGATGAAGAGGACCAGGAAGCTGTTGCTACCGACGAAAAGAACCAGAAAATGGTTGTCGAAAATACAGTCAATTTGGAAAATACTACCTTTGTTAACTCCTCCGTTACTAACCATTTGGATCCTATTGAGTTAATGCTTGATTCAAAAGCTTTCAAATTGCCATTTCGTACTCTCGCATACATAGTTTCCTGCAGTGTCTATCTCTTTTTAATATAATCATTATTTTGATACGGAAAAAAAGACGCTCCGATAATATGAACCATCCCTCTTGTGTATTCTTTGTCTATTTTTATCTCTTTTTTTATTATTCCCCAAAGGACTACTTCTTTTCCCTCTGCATCAATAGGAAAAGCTAATGAGACTGTTTTACATCTTGCTATTGATGGCATTAGCCATGTTCATTAATGGAAAACCCGTATTGACCTACTCCAGCGCAACCAACTTGATCCAAACAAACATGTCCGGAGAAAATGACTTAACGTATCAAATTTACAATATCACCACTTTGGAAAACATCTTGATGCACACCAACACGTCAAACCCCGAGGTTAAAGCTTTGATTAAAAAGAAAAAGAAATTGATCCCCAAATGGCAGTACAATGCAGGAATATATGTTGAAAAGAAAGTTAACAAGAAACTATTGAAAAAAGCAGGAAAGGGTGGATTTGCACTCATGTCTAGTGACGGTGGCGATAGTACTTACGCCATTATTGGGGATAACGAGATTGATAATGAAAACGTTTTCCATATCCCCAGTTCTTTTGTCGTTGCAAGAGCCAGTCCAAATACCCACTCATTATTTGCCGAGAATGCAACAGAATATGTCTCTATCCAATATGAAATGGACACCAATAGTTCCCAATTTCAAGGTACTTCAGATGGTCAAAGCAGCATCAGTTATGATGAAGATTATGAGGAAAGTTGTAGTAATAGGTTTGCTTATAACCCACAGATGTGTATTTGGGCAGTATTGCTGGTTGCTTTCTGTTTATTATAAGACTTTTTATAATTTGACACCACAGATACTACGATTGTAGCGCTTTAAGTCTCTGTTTTATCTCATCAATTGCAATAGTATCTTCCTCATCCTCTTCTTCTGTCGCAGGAATCTCCTCTTCAATCTGTGGTGCCTCAAGTTGGGTGGTGGGCACTTCAGATACTTTGCTGGTCTTTTCTTCTGTCAAGTTGGCTATGATCTTGTTGACCTCTTCTTGTGATTCGCTTTCTAGCTCTTCATCTTCGTCATACTCCAAATCAACCATATCGTCCATCATCTCATTTATAATACCAGCTTTAGTCAATTCTTTCGACAACTCTTGCATCGTTTGAGAAACAGCACCAATATGAATCAACAGATTAACATCTTTCATGATGGACGTGGACGAATGTATGGATTTGGTCAATTTGTTCATCAGGTATTGCTCATTGATGGACATTGTTATTGACTCGACCCTAGTTCTCGAGGTGTACAATTTCTTGTACTGTCTATTAATATTGATCAATTCTTTGGCGTACAATTTGGCTGTTTTATAATCCTTTTCCTTAGCGGACTTTTTGATCAAACCTTCGGTTTTCTTTTTCAAAGGTTGGAGTTGGTTAATTGATCTATCCAACTCGCGCTTATTCTTTCGAAGAAGCAGGTTGATCTTTCTCATCTATTTGAAGTTAGTCTTATTGGAATCGTGAAAAAGTCGACAATAGTGAGTGCACATACTTGTTCTTTAGGGTCAGGTCCCCATATCTGTTTCTTGATGTAGTCCATGCCGTGGAGTGTAGTGTGTGCTTTGGATGAGACACCTGTTGTGGTTCGCAATCTAAGATTTTCCAACGAGAACTTTTATTGATACAATTATTTATTCTCGTAATTATTACGACACCACACAAAACTTTGCGCCGCAGTTCCTTCTTCCTCATTGCATGATCCAGTACCACTGGTATCCTCTCTAAATGCAAGATGACAGTTTCTATGTACCGAGTATATTCTCTTAGTTTAAGCTTTTATAGCCATGAAATCTATACAGACATCACAGTTAAGTTGAAACGTCCAGCATTCATTGCTCTCGACCGCAATCGTATAGAACATACTCTTACTAGCTCCAAACGAGATGGTGTCTCTTCTAGTAATATTCACACAGATAGAGCAAGGGGAATATAGACTGTACACAACATAGAGCTATACTTACACGTGTTAAATTTCAAGGAAGGATTTTGCGGATAAATCCTATAAATAGAATTCTTTTACCAAAAAGTGTTCGCATCAAAGTAAAATTATCTCCGTTTACGCCACCACAAGCTTACGATAAGCAACATCAACCACAATGACAACACCACAAGCAGCACCTAGTCCCCCAGAGCAATTTGTCTTAGTATTGGCTGCTGTTTTCATTCCACCATTGGCGACATTTTTAGCGCAGCGGACAATATTCACCAAGGAATTTCTTGTCACGGTGATTTTAACATTCTTTGGCCATATACCTGGAAGTGTTTTTGCCATCTACTATATTTTCTACATCGACTTCCCTAGTCGTGGTGTTGAGGGCTATTCCACAATCGGTGATAACGAAAGCCGGGTGGGTACTGCTCCGCAACAAAATCAAGGAGGGGCTCATTCTCAAGGTCCACACAGCAACAATCAAAGTAGAGGACCAGGCCATAGGCTTGGTGGAGATGAAGACCACACAATTTCTGAGCAACAACAAGGATTTATTCACCATACTGGACCTAGAGAAGGCGGGTCACAGAATAAACATAAGCCATACCGCGATGACCTTGAGGGAGATGTGGAAAATCCAGGAGCTCCACTTTTGAATGCCAATGATCTCCCAGCCTACGACGATGTTGTCGATGGAAAGCACAAGAAAACAAGTGACGGTAAGTCTGTAGATAACAAAATCCAGCGTTGATTTTACTTGCCATTGGGGTATATATTCTACAGAAGTTTACTGCGTTTTTTATTTTCTTTTTCATTATCGATCTACAGTATAAACGATGTTGTCATTAATTAGCTGTAGTTGTCAATTGCAACCATTGTCTTTGCCACAAAGCCTTCCAAATGGAAGATACTCTTTTGCCCAAGACTCAATCTCTCATCAAAAGTAGATGCAATTTTTACAATTTCTTGTATCAATGATGATTTTCCTCTGGCTAAATTTATCAATTCAAACAATAAATTCTTCAAGATTGTTCTAGCTGGAATACAGTGTGATAATAGTTCATAAGAAACAGTTCTCAATTTTGCCAATGTTGCCACATTTCTACTACTGGTGATGGTTTTGGCCATATTTTTGATAACAGTCTCCCAGTCCAACACGATAACCGAATGCATTTGCTTGACATTGATGGTTTCGTTTTGCATGTGAATGGTTTCAAATGCCAACAATGATCTTCTCAAATTCCTATTGCTTGTTGTGGCAACTTGGCTGTAAAATTGAGTTATTTCTTGGCCGTTACTTGACGAAAACTTTACACGTTCCTTCTCAGCAACGTGGCCCAAGATTGAGCTGATATCTTCAACTGCAGGACTAGGGATCCTCACCAACAAAGTTCTCGACTTAATTGGGGCAATGATGTTGGATATCGAATTACACACCAAAATCAATCTGATGTTTGACGAATACTTTTCCATTGTTCTTCTCAATGCCGCCTGTGCATCCCTACTTAATGAATCAGCTTCATTGATGATGACAACTTTGAACCGATGCTTCTTGCTGCTTTGGTTCCCAAAATCAACTTGTTCCGTTGAGGCGACATCCTTTAACAAATCTTGAATAACCACACGATCGTTGTTCCCCATATCTGAAGGTGTGATTTCCAAATGGTAGGGAGAACTTAAAACATTGAATTCAAGCTTACGATTGGACGTAGTTACAAAGTTCTTTACATCAATCTTTAGCTTTTCAACCGATGAGCCAAATATTTCGTGTAAAGTGCAGTATATTCTCGTCTTTTTACCTGCTCCACTGGGTCCATACACTAAAAGATGAGGAAAGTCTCCTGATGTAGAAAGTGCACGCAAGTTTTGAGTTATGTTGTCATGATATGATAGCTGCGATAAGGTCTTTGGCCTATATTTGTCTACCCATAAAGACATGTTGTAAGTTGGATTCGTCACTTGTGTAAAAGAGTAGGAATTTTAGAAGAATGAAAAAAAAAAAATTGGCTTGACGCGTTTTAGCAAAAAAGTTGGAGCCCTTCACTTCCAGCAGAAGAAGGAGAGTGGAGCAAACTTTGACATTTGCAATTGACAAGTATAGTCATCTCATATATAGTCTTCTGATGATAGAGGTGAATTGAGGAAACGTAACCTACGCAAGCTCACTCAGCGTTTATTCAACTGAGATCTTCGACTACGCGTTCCTCACTACAACGATAATACAAAGATACATCTAGGCCTTTATCTAATAAGTTTTTGTACATTTACTAACACTATCAACGTCTGCTAACTTCTCTTAAAATCAACCATTACGTGGTGGTTCGGTTCTAATGTAATGAGTAGGACATTCGTATCCACCAACATTGTTATCGAGGTATTTCTGGTGGTAACTTTCAGCATCATAGAATACCTTCAATGGAGCAATTTCAGTTTGAATCTTGTGGTGTGGGTACCATTCTTTTTGAAACTTTTCCTTCAATTGTTGGGCAACCTTGTGTTGTTCTTCATCAGTGTAGTAAATTGCTGACTTGTATTGATCTCCAACATCTGGACCTTGAGAATTGAGTTGAGTAGGATCGTGCATTCTAAAGAAAAGATCAATGATCGACTCGGTTGACAATTGAGCTGGATCGTAGGTCAATTTAGCAACTTCAACGTAACCTGTTCTACCGCTGCATACTTGTTGATATGAAACTCCGTGGAATTTTTCATCACCATTGGCGTAACCAACAATGTTGCTGAGCAATCCCTTGTTGTTTGCGAATGCTTTAGCAAAAACATGTTCGGTTCCCCAGAAGCAACCAGCTCCTAACACTAATACCTTACTTGCGACTGTCATTGTTGTTGTTTATATTGATGGGATTGTAATTGATTGGCGAACGTATAAGAAAAAGAGTAAAGTATAAAAGATACTTGTTGGCAAAAGTAATGTGTATTCATCTCGATCCCATCTCACTCTATATATATTGTGCAAAATAGTAACCAATCCTGCATATAGTCTAAAATTTGCATTGCTCTGCTTTGTCATCAATGATGTAATACACCGACAAATGAACTAGAACTAGAACAATCAAAATTCTTTTAGTTCCGTGGGTAACGGGTATTACAAATTAGACAAAAGCAAGTGGGATGTAGTCATTCATATTATTCAACTAGCTACTCTGACCAACAACTAGCGTTACCCCTTGTGAACACTGAGGTAATGTCTGGGAACATAACCATTTTTTCCACAAGCCTTACAGAGCGGCTAACTTTGACGGCAACAGAAATGAATTATGATGTAGTTTAAGCGTTATACTTCGGTCATCCTTATGGGACCAATATTTTACTACAATTGGTTGTATTGTCTCTGTTTTGACGTATTCACTTGAATGTGGGGATAGAATTGAATTACACTTATCCAAAAAAATTGGGTTGCGTTTTGGGGTAAAAATTGTAACTTGCTATGGGGCGCAACTTTACATGACAGAATTTCATAACTATTTCTTGAGCCTACTCTCAGTATCCTTGCTTGTAATAGAAGCACATGCTTAATGTCTATCCACTGTGAATTACACTTGAATGGTATATCAACCAAGGATTAGATTGCACCAAAACGTGTCTCGCTGCTACTTTGTATACATACATAGAACCAAATGTAATAATAATATGCCAATCTGTTAGTTAACGAAAAAAAGTCACCAGTTTGTGTAACATAAATGTAAAATTTCTTTTTCTTTCTATCTTTTTCTCTCCTTCTTTTTCTTATTACTCTTTTTGGAAGATTCGGCTACCAAAATGCAAAAGAAAAAAGACCACTGTGGGAAAGGTCTAGATGTGTACGTAAAAGAGCTAAAGGAACAATGAATTCGTTACTTTGCAAACTGCAATAATTGATGGAGGAACACATCTGTATGTATTGAGCCCTTTCAGTCATGCAGTTTTCACGAGAATACAATATCAAATTACAACATTTGTGAAGGAACTGTCAAGTTCATACGTTGTATTAAAATAGCCGCAGTGCATAAAGTTTTTCCGAACGTTGTGTATGCACCTCGCAGTACAAAACGTTGATCTTATTATTTCTACGTGTACCGGGGACTTTCGGTACTAATGTTAGATCTTCTCTATTACATGTTCGTCGTAAAGTAAAAGATCTACATCCAAATGTGATCTATCAATTTGAGTATTGTCTATATTTTTAAATACACAAAAATGTATACAAAAATTGCATTTGTTTCCTAAGATGAACTCTTCTTTTTGAACCCAAACAAGCTTCGTCTTTTTTCCAATACAGGGGCTGGAGCTGGAGCTGTTGCTGGAGTTGGGACAGGCACCGGAATCGGGGTTGTGGACGATGACGATGACGAAGCATTTGTCTTATTTCCATTACTCTCCTCACTCACAGAGGTGTTTTTCAACGACAACTTACGTTCAAGACCACCACGTTTCAAACTACCCACCCAAGATTTTTTTTCCTTTGGTTCTTTAACTTGCGCCTCTTTCTTTGTTGAAGGGCCCGAACTACTACTTCTTGATAAAGATTGTTGTAATTTATCTTCTTTTTCAAATTTGAAACTTTTAAACATGCCGCCAGAAGTAAGCGAAGGTTTTCTAGTGGCTTCTGGCGGTGGCGGTGCCGTAAATGAACTTATTGATGATATATCCGATTTGGCATCCATTTCCGCAGCAGCAACAGTGGTTGTTTTGGATTCATCATCGGTGCTACTAGACGATGTATGTACAGGAACTTGATAATCATTGCCGTTGTAAATCGTTGAAACATCGAATCCAAAATTCTCAGACTTTTCATCAAATTCAACTCGTTGGTAAAATAAAATATAGGCACTGGCCAATCCTGGCCCATTGCCGAAAAACCTCATCACATAATTATCTTCAACTAGTTCCACAGTCTCATCATCGAATAATAACCAAAGACCAGCTTTGATTTTACAGATCGACACATAATGCCCGTGCATTGGACCCCCACCAATGTGGATAACCAAAGCATACAAATCGTAAAGGATGTTTTGGTTTGCGTCCTCAGTGGTATTGAATAAACGAAGCTTGAATGGATAGCTGATTGAGTCGAACAACTTTACCATCTTATCCATTTGTTCATCATATTTGAATCTTTTGAGATTGATCACCAACACTTTAGGTAGTTTCTTGACTTTGATTGTCTTGACCGCTTCTTGCAAAGAAGAGCAAGTATTGCAATGGAACTTGTTTTGATTTGTCAATGTCTCCAGTTTGGAAAAATTGTTTATGGCGAAATTCAATGAGTAAGCACTTTCGCCTGGCGGGATATCAATCGATAGATCTAGGAAAAATTCATGCTTTGACGTCACGGTTTCGCAGGATAAGCACTTTGTTTCATTTGTGATTATACCTTGGAATATATCATTACACCAATTCTTGGTTGGGTCGGAAATCTCTTTTGCAAGACTTTCGATAATTTCATTAATCAAATAGTTGAAGAACTCGTGCGCATCATGATGCATATTGTTTTGCCGAAACAAGTAGTTCTTTTCTTTTAGTTTTGAAATGAAGTATGTTGGTGACACGACTCCAATAGCTGATTTGTTTTCAACCATACTTTCAAATAAATCTTTAAGTGCATATAGCAAAGCAGTTTCGTCTCTCTGCTCACTCGGCATTTGTAATGAGGTGTCCAAATTAATTATTGGCCCATTAATTAATGCTGATCTTTTCCTTTGGTCGGCACTGGGGTTTGCATTAAACGGGTTGATTGGGTTAATCAAATTTGGTTCTGGCTTGGGAATTCCAACAATGATTGCACTCGACTTGCTATTTATTGATCCTTCTTGAGCTGTTTGTGATGGCTGGTCAGTTAATAACATCGATGAGCTTTGCGAATAGTCGGCTTTGTTGGGGTTAGTTGCGCTGGTGACAGAAGTGTTGCTTGACCCATTGTTCAAACTGACACCAGCATTTGAGTTTGCCATAGAGGTAGCACTCCCGTTATTCTGTCCATTGGCATAGCTAGTAGTACTGACAATAGGTCTCGTAATCATCATTTCCAATTTCAGAAATTCTGGATTCTTGTTGATCAAAATCCGTTGCTCCAAAGGCAAAGCTTCGCAATTGCCCGCTTCATCAATGTATTCATTTCTATGTTCAATGACAGTTGTAGGTACACTAGTTTGATTGTTAAATTTTATGCCAAATAGTGAACCCTTTCGACTCAGTTTTGGTCTATCGTCGTTTGGCGTGACGGGCGTAATTCCTTGCTCCTTCAATTTCTTTTGTAATAATTGTTCGTACTTCGTAGTGAAACCGTGAAACTTGATTCCATTCACCACCAATTTGGGGTCATGTTGGGTTTGTTTATGTTGGATCAAGTTTGTTCGAAATGATTCCGTGTAGTATAAGCATTGTAAAATGGAGTTGCAGTAGCACGTATTGCCAAAATTCTCCATGCCAAATACTTTAAATGAACCATCTCCATAGGGGAGCCGCTCATCCGCAACAGGCATGGCTGTAAACAAAGTTTATCTTCTCACAATTGACTATTAGAGGACTTCAATGATAATCTCAAATTGAAAATGTATGTTAAACGGGTTTATTGTATGGGTGAATTTAATTCCGTGCTTTTGTCGTCATACATTTCGGAGATCTATGGAGAGAAAATTTGCGTGGAGAATTTTTTTTCTTTTCCTTTTTTTTTTTACTTAGTCGTGCCTATTGGTTTACACACGTGCACACGACCCCTGTCCCTTGATTAAAGTGAAGAAAGTGTTCGCTCACAATGGAGGGGAGTGGAGTAGTAGACAAGAGGATAGTGTCGTTTGGCCAAATTCGTATGGTATTTACGATAACACCGAGATCCTCATGCACACACGGGTGATTTCACTCCATATAAAGAACACGTCCGCAATAATTGCATTATGTATCTTTTTTGAATGTGGCACCACTCGTCATTGTTCCCCATTATTAAAACAAAGGACAGTCGCGTGTCAATACAAACAACCTTTGGAGAGTTTGTTTCATCTCCACTCTCGTCCGAAAAACCATGTGCATAATAACTATTGTTGTGCAGAAGTTGGGCAATGGTGGGGGAGAAGGAGGCGGGCCAGATTCTTGAAAGGGAGGAGAACAATAAGAAAACAAAGGTTGGCAGTCTCAGTTTGTATTCTTTTCACTCCAAATGCCACATCGGTTCTGATTATCTAGCGTATAAAGCGCCAGAAACAATTCAGATTGTTTTTATTTATTATGATGATGGCTTTTATTTGAGGCATTTTTTTGAATAATAATTTAGGAATTCTCGGAACAATTAAGTGGTATCTGCTTTGTTTTCATTGGATCGGAACAATTATTCAATTTTGTGTGCATACATTATTCCGACATTGCTACTACGCTAAAACTTTTCTTTTTTATTTTTATTTTGACTTTTTTTATTTCTTTTTCTTATTTTGAAAGAAAATTTCTTTTTTTCTTTCCTTTTTTACAGCGATCTCTATTGCGTCATTTCAATTCTCTCAACGTCTTTTGGAATCTTCTAGCGTTTATCAATTCCGAACGAAGCGAAATAAAAAAAGTCAAAATTCAATGACATCGAGATCCAGAGAGGACAGTCTAGTAAGGAATCTTCATAACCTGCCACTCTCGTCTTTTTTCCAAACTCGTTTGTAAAGATCCTATTTGTGACCTGTTTGTATTCAAAGACGAAATGGAATCGGCCCGTGAAACAAGCTGGAACCAGCACTTTTAATGATACAATCGTAAGAGTATTGTCCTTCTTTTTGTTGCACAAGTGTATCAAACAATAGTTCGGACTACTACGTAGTCTACTAACAAAAGAGTTATTGTCATGCGAGAAGCTGGTTTTGCAAAAGACTAAATAAATTTAAAGCAATCCTATACATAAACGTAAGGCGAGCACGGCGGCAAAACACATAACCATTCCACTTTTTTTTTTTATGTCTTTTTTGCTAATTTTGCTTCACTTTGTCTTTGGAAATATGTAAGCAAAGACAACAATGCACACATGATCTTTAAAGGCTTTACAATGCTAATTGGAGAAATTTGGAGAACAGTTTGGAGAACAATTGGAGTAACAATATTAAGTTTGGGGGAGAGATATGGAGGTTTATACATCTCTCTATTAATGAAACTAAAAAAATTTTCCCGTCTATAAATAAGCACAGATATATCCATCTTTCCATTTTCCCTAGTCCCTTTCTTGTCTGAGTTATATTTCTGATTTACTATTCAGTTAATTTTAATTGCTAAATAGATAATACAAAATTATTAAACTATGTCACAAGAAGAAGCCCATTCTAGTGCATCCACTGCTGATGCCAATGTGCATGATGTTGAAGCTAAATACGAACAAGAACAGCCAGTGGATAATGAAGACCAAGTACACCACAGTGCCAACGAGTTGAACCAAAAACCACTTAAAGCATACGTTGGTGTCATTATTATGTGTTTCCTTATCGCTTTTGGTGGTTTTGTTTTTGGTTTCGATACCGGTACCATTTCTGGATTTATTAATATGACTGATTTTAAACAGAGGTTTGGTCAACAAAAGTCAGATGGTACCTACTACTTTTCCAATGCCAGAACTGGTTTGATTGTTGCCATGTTTAATGCCGGTTGTGCTGTTGGTGCTTTGTTTTTGTCCAAAGTTGGTGATGTATTTGGTCGTAGGCTTGGTATTGCCGGTACTATGATCATCTATGTTGTTGGTATCATTGTGCAAATTTCGTCCTCAAATAAGTGGTACCAAATTATGATTGGAAGAATTTTCACTGGTATTGCTGTTGGATGTTTGTCTGTTTTGTGTCCACTTTTCATTTCAGAAGTTGCACCAAAACACTTGAGAGGTACCTTGGTTTGTTGTTTCCAATTGATGATTACATTAGGTATCTTTTTGGGTTACTGTACTGATTATGGTACCAAGCAAAGTTACTCTGACTCAAGACAATGGAGAATCCCATTAGGCTTATGTTTTGCTTGGGCTTTGTTGTTGGTTGGAGGTATGATTCGTTTGCCAGAATCTCCTCGTTATCTTGTTGGTAAGGATAAGATTGATGATGCCAAGAATGCATTGGCCAGAACCAACAAAGTGTCACCAGAAGACCCAGCCTTGTATGCCGAATTACAATTGATTCAAGCTGGTGTTGAAAGAGAAAGATTGGCTGGTAATGCCGGGTGGATGACTTTGATCAAAGGTAAGCCAAGAATTCTCGAGAGAGTTTTTGTTGGTCTTATGTTGCAATGTTTACAACAATTGACTGGTGATAACTATTTCTTCTACTACAGTACCACTATTTTCCAAGCTGTCGGTTTGAATGACTCTTTTGAAACGTCCATTGTCATTGGTGTTATCAACTTTGCTTCCACATTCTTGGGTATTTATTTGATTGAAAAATTAGGAAGAAGACAATGTTTGCTCGTTGGTTCTGTTGGTATGTCTATCTGTTTCTTGATTTACGCATTGATTGGTACCCAACACTTGTACTACCATGGAAGCAGTGGTGCCACCAGACATCCAGATGGTGATGCTATGATTTTCATTACCTCACTTTACGTTTTCATCTTTGCTTCCACCTGGGCTGGTGGTGTTTACTCCATTGTTTCAGAATTATACCCATTACAAGTAAGATCAAAGGCTATCGGTGTTGCTAGTGCAGGTAACTGGGTTTTCGGATTCCTTATTTCGTTCTTCACCTCATTCATCACCAGTGCAATCCATTTCTACTACGGGTTTGTCTTTTTTGGATGTTTGCTTTTCTCGATCTTTTTCGTTTACTTTATGGTATATGAGACTAAAGGTCTTACATTAGAAGAGGTTGATGAATTATATGCAGCTAGGGTTGTTCCATGGAAGTCATCCAGCTGGACACCACCACCAGAAGAAGAAATGGCTCATTCGACCGGTTACGCTGCTTACGCTAAACCTGAAGAAGAACATGTTCAAGATACTGTATGAACAAAATGAGCAAAATGAATGAGATATAATGAGATTTATCAAAAGACTTTTAATAATGTTAATGACCACTACCCCCCTTTCCACTAAACTTTCACACCATGATTTTCATGATTTTATAGTTATTTAAAATAGGCAGAGAAGCCGCTTATAGAAGAAATAGATTGAATTACTGGGTTAATAATATGATGTAATCATTCCTTTATGCGAAAAAAAAACATCTACTCTTTGCATTTACGACTGTCGCCACTTTATGCGAGATAAGGCTCGGCGGATTCGTTAATCAGGGGACCATGCATGAAATGTTGTCCCTGTCGGTACAATGTAGATATTATCTTGTTGATTCGAGAAAGTTTTCTTCTACATTGTGTCATGAGGCAAGAGAGTTGAAGGTAGAAAGCTACACAAATACAATTTCTAACAATATATATACCGAGAATGGCTTGTCATTTCTTTTTCTGCGATTATCGTTTTAGTGGTTCAGAACTAGAGTTCGGATTATTCTGAGTTGTTCCGATGTTTGTATCATTGCACAAACCCCTCCTTTAGCTCCGAATCTGTATCAAATCGTTGCACAAAGCATACTTTCCAGGCGTTTTTCAAAACGCCAATAAATTTTTCCATATTCTTTTTTACTTGTCGTAAAGGCATTGCAAGTGAAAGTGTGATCCACTTTGACAAGAAAAATCTTCGTGGCTGGAGGTCACCATGGGGAGGGGCAATGCGGAATGACCTGTCCTTCTTTGCTTTGCTTCGAAGCAGTGTATGCGATGCCAGTAAATAAGTATTTATCTCCGTGCTATTTTAAACCATTTCAAAGAGCGTTGTAATTACGTAATGGTAGAAAAAAAATTTTCCGAAACACTTTAGTAAAGTACATAGGAGTGAAAAAAAAGATGATCCGAAAATGGTTGGGAAGAATAAAAAACAACAAGAAAAAAAAATAATCATAAGTTTGATACCACTATTGTGCGATGAACTCTTCTTACTATTTACTAATTCCTTTTTCTATTGTTTTCAACGGGGAACTAATACGGTCGTTAGTAATCCTGGGTTTTCTTATTGATTCTTTCATTTTTCATTTCTTTTGTTATTGTTGTTGTTGTTTTTGTTTTCGCCCGTCTACGTTCTAAGAGATAAAATGACATAATAGTACATATATCAAAGATTGTACTCGCCACTAAAGCCACCAAATGGCTTGCCTTGTGGTGTGAAGAGACCAACCTCAAGTCATTAGATTTATTCTATATCAGATGATGATTCTACTGGAATCTTTAGTGCACTAGCTACTGCAACCAAATGTGATATACACGCCATGCCCTCAAGCTCAGTCAGATATGGAGTAGTGTGTACCTGGTCAAGTGTAGGGGGGTTTGCTCGGGATAATTCTTTTCTTTTTATTGTATGCAGGTGTTTTTCCTTTTCTTTTTGTTGTTGCAAATTGGTATTACACAAAAGTCAACAGATTTAATCAGGCATATACACTCAGTTTCTAAGCATTTTTTATTGTTGCTCATCTGACTTACAATTAAAAAAAAGGTATCACAATAGTACTGAAAACTACTTTGTATATACCAAGACTAAAACAAGAAAAAGAAAAGAAAACTAAATCCAGCTTAACCCACTTTTGCAAAAAGGGCTTGTGGAGGTGGTGGTGTGTGGATACAAAAATTATGTCATTCAAAATTTTCCTCTCAATTATATATAAAAGGTCTCTGAACTTCCCATTATTTCTTTCATTACATTTCAGTTTGCAACGATTATACATTACTCTCCTTAATATATAAATCTTATATCGTTATGTCACAAGAATCAACGCATACAGACGGTGCCTCATCGCGAACAGAGCATACACCTACTCATGAAATAGAACAAAAATACGAGAACCAGGAAGAGTTACCTCAGGATCTTGAAAAAGATGAACAACATAGTGCCAATGAGTTGGCTAAAAAACCCATGAGCGCTTATATTGGAGTATGTTTCATGTGTGTTCTTATAGCTTTTGGTGGTTTCATTTTCGGTTTCGATACCGGTACTATTTCCGGATTTGTAAACATGGATGATTTTAAACAAAGGTTTGGACAACAAAAGTCAGATGGTTCATATTACTTTTCCAATGTTAGAACCGGGTTGATTATTGCCATGTTTAACGCTGGATGTGCCGTGGGAGCTATTTTCCTTTCAAAAGCAGCTGATTTATGGGGAAGAAGATTGGGTATTATGATTGCGATGCTTATTTACATTGTTGGTATAATTGTGCAAATCTCGTCCTCAAATAAGTGGTACCAGATTATGATTGGAAGAATCATTACTGGTCTTGCCGTTGGAACCTTATCGGTTGTTTGTCCTTTGTTTATTTCCGAGGTTTCACCAAAACACTTGAGAGGTACCTTGGTTTGTTGTTTCCAATTGATGATCACCATGGGTATTTTCTTGGGTTATTGTACTACTTATGGAACCAAGAGTAGTTACTCTGACTCAAGACAATGGAGAATCCCATTAGGTTTATGTTTTGCTTGGGCTTTGTTTTTAGCTGGTGGTATGATTGATATGCCAGAATCTCCTCGTTACCTCATCGGTAGGGATAATATTGAAAAGGCAAAGGCGTCTTTAGCAAAGTCAAACAAAGTATCTGAGGAGGATCCAGCAATACTAAAAGAGGCTAGATTGATACAAGCTGGTGTTGAAAGAGAAAGATTGGCAGGAAAAGCTGGCTGGATGACTTTAATCACTGGTAAACCAAGAATTTTCGAGAGACTTGTTGTTGGTGCTCTTTGTCAGGCTTTGCAACAATTGACCGGTAACAACTATTTCTTCTACTACAGTACCACCATTTTCCAAGCTATCGGGTTAAATGATTCTTTCGAAACTTCAATCATTATTGGTGTTATCAACTTTGCTTCCACATTCTTGGGTATTTACTTGATTGAAAAGATGGGTAGAAGAAGCTGTTTATTGTGTGGTTCGATAGCTACCTCAATTTGTTTCTTGATTTATTCATTGATCGGTACCCAGAGTCTTTATATCGATGGCCCAGATGGTCCCACTAATCAAGCAGCAGGAAGAGCATTAATTTTCATCACATGTCTTTTCATTTTCTTCTTTGCTTCCACTTGGGCTGGTGGTGTTTACTCCATTGTTTCAGAATTATATCCATTGAAGGTAAGATCAAAGGCTATTGGTGTAGCTAGTGCAGCAAATTGGATTTTCGGGTTTTTGATCTCATTCTTTACCTCATTCATCACACAAGCAATTCACTTTTACTATGGTTTTGTTTTCTTTGGATGCTTGGTTTTCTCGATCTTTTTCGTTTACTTTATGGTTTATGAAACAAAGGGACTTAGTTTGGAAGATGTTGATGAGTTGTATCAAAGTGGTATACCAGCTTGGAAATCTACCAACTGGACTCCACCATCAGAAGAAGAAATGGCAACATCAACTGGTTATGCTGCTTATTCAAAACCACAAAATGAACATGTACAGGAAGAGGATGCTATTGAAAATAGCAATCATTAGAATTGTAGCTTTGGTCTACATTTTAGGAGTGGTAGAGTATGTAAAGATGATTTAGACAATGAATAACTTAAATACGTTTGGATAAATGATTGTAGAGCTCATGATGGTTGAGTATTGATAGGAACGATCTGTATAAGTTGCAGGTGAAAAGTCGCGGATAAAATTACAGGACATTAATTCACGACACAGACCTCTCAGTGAAAAAAAAAATAAAAAATTTTTATAGGAGCTTTGACCAACAAGCGAATCCAAGCTCCCATTTCAATACCTTCATATCATAACTCGATAAACTATGTTTACTAGTATATCAAAGCACACGCTGACTATCACGTCAGTTTTCAAACGTTTCAAACACGAATACGCACCAAGATTCAGAGAAGTTGAAAAAGCACAAAAGGGACGAGTTTCCGTAAGGACAGGGGGATCGATCAAGGGAAACAGTCTAGAATTTGGCAAAATTGGATTACGTTTGAAATCACGCGGATTGAGAATGGGCGCCAATCAATTACTAGCAGCTGACAAAGTTTTGCGTCGTGAGTTGCGTCCGACTAAATCAAAGCTTTTCACTCGATTCGTATGCGATTTGGCTGTTTGTATCAAAGGTAATCAAACAAGAATGGGTAAAGGTAAGGGGCCATTTGACCACTGGGCAACTAGAGTACCCACGGGGAAAGTACTTTTTGAAATCAATGGGGGAATTCATGATAAAGTTGCCAGAGAAGCTTTACGTAAAGCAGCAGACAAGTTGCCCGGGTTATATGAGATTATAACACCGGAATCGAAGGTAAGAGTTAGTATGACTGATTTGATTGATAAACCGGAAAAGGTTAATTATGTTGAAAAGTTGAATGCCCAACCAAGTAAGAAATGGAGCAACATCCAAACTTTCAAGACCAATCCTATGTATAAATTGTATAGCGGGAGGTAGATGTTGTATGTAAATGCCCTGTAAATAATAAACTAATGACAGATAACCACTTGTCTGAATCTGGTGTTTGAAATCAAAAGTTCGATATTTGTAATTGAATGCGGATCAAAATCAAACAAGAACAGAACTTCATTCTTACTCCACCGATGTCCAAAGACACACCAAAACTAGTGGAACATACGTTAACCACGCTATCGAAAGTAATAGAGTCGGATACAAATGTATCTACAATTGACTTGAACCTCCTCGAGAATCTCAACACCAATCAATCACTAAACTATATCAAATTGGAAAATAACTTGAACGAACTCGAAGCAAATGGCAAACATTTGGAACTTCTAAGTATGTCAAATAATATTTGAAGATTAGAATACAGATACTAACTTTAGCAAACATAGAGAAGGAATTTGACCAGCATTCACAATTATTGGTGGATATAGAGAAGAAAGTGACTAAAATTGAAGCAATCATAAGTGAGCTCGATAGCTGGTCTAAAGAGCTTGAAACAGATTTGAAAAAATGAAAACAAACGAATTTCCTGTGGGATAGCTTGGGAATAGATTCACAGAGAAGTGAGAGTTTGTAAATGTCTACAACATGTCCTCTAGGGGGTGGTGCTTTACAGGAAATGCCCGCCAGAACTGCTTCTGGGACGAGCTTGTATTGACTCGGGATAAGTTTGAATTCCAATATAATATATATACAAGGTATAATCAAGTCTAACAACTGCTACAATAAACGTTGCATATGTTATTCGTGATACAACGTTCTTCAGCTACATTATAACCTCTATAGTCTCGGTTTATCAACCTGTTTAGTCTTTATTTTTGCATCGATAGGTTTGACTTCAGTCTTGACCTTTCTCAATTTCTTCCAATTGCCAAACAAATTTGTAATTGGTAAAACAAACCATTTGGCAAACCACGGCATTCCCCACAAACTAATAATAATTCTGAGAGGCAAGAACAACTTGACAATAGTGAATGCGTAAGCCCCTTCCATAATAACCGACAACTTATCACTAGTATTAAAGCTCCAGTCAAACTGACCCATCGCAGAATCAATAACCTTGGCGCCCTTAGTCAATGCCCACTGAGGAAGATCCAAAGGGATGAATCCAGGATGTTGGTGCAAATAATACCAAATACCGATCAAGGGTACAATTGCCGTGATTTCATGGAGCACAACAAATGCAATCAAGTGCGAGAGTGGTGCGTTGACGAATTTGGCCGTGTAATTACGAAGAAATTTGGGTACTCGTTTCAAGATTGGATGGGTTTTAAAGTCGTGTTCGGTGGGGCCCAGATTTGGAAGGGTTGACAGTGAGCCCTTGAGTGGATCCTCATCTGTAGCTCCAACAGATTTTGGATTAATGGTGGTGTTTGGCTTCGTGATAGGCTCGGCGTGTTTCTTGTGTCCAGTAAAGAGTTTGTATTGTGTTGAAGACGTTTGGAACAGACGAATAAGCAATGGCTTTGTGATGATGGGAGACTGCCGAAGCAAAGCTTGTCGAGATGCTTTGGTAAAAATACAGTGAAAGCGGAGCATCTGTTTCTTTTTGCTAGTGGTTGTTGTCTTCTATGGTTGAGATCAGTTGATGTGGGTCTTCCAGTTTGCTTTGTATTGCTTTTACTGAAAGGTTGAAATTTTGTTAAAGTTATTGTCTATTGCGATACACGTGATCTCGGAGAAATATCTCCATTTGACTCCACTTTGTCTCTATAAAAAATAATTTCAATTTAACCTCGCTTCGTTTCTTTTTGGTTTTTATTTTTTAACCGTTGGTACTGTATATTAGACGTGTTCGTTTCTGGAAAATAAAAAATTTATGAGAATAGAAATTATACGACTGAAACAAATATTGAGTGGTTGACAAATTTATAAAAAGATATCAAAAATCCACCACTATTTTTTTAACTAAACCATTAGTTGTTCTTTTATTTACTAGATTACCTATCTACTTTCCCATAAGTACATAAAATAGTATCTATTTCACAACCTCCACCTACACATACGCACACATATAATGACTGTTCCACCTGTATACATTGTTTCCACTGCTCGTACCCCAATCGGTTCATTCCAAGGTGGTTTATCATCATTAAGTTATCCTGAATTGGGTGCTCATGCTGTCAAAGCTGCATTAGCTAAGGTTCCCCAAATCAAACCAGAGACCGTTGATGAGATTGTTTTTGGTGGAGTTTTGCAAGCCAATGTAGGACAAGCTCCAGCTAGACAAGTGGCATTAAAGGCAGGGTTGCCTGAAACCATCGTTGCTTCCACCATTAACAAAGTCTGTGCTTCAGGTATGAAGGCTGTTATTATTGGTGCCCAAAACATCATCACTGGAAGCAGTGATATTGTCGTTGTTGGTGGTGCTGAATCTATGAGTAACACACCATACTACTTGCCTACGGGTAGAAGTGGTGCTAGATACGGAGATGCATCTATTGTTGATGGTATTCAAAAGGATGGTTTGTTGGATGTCTACAGTTCCAAGTTGATGGGTGTTGCTGCTGAAAAGTGTGCCAAAGACCATTCAATCACTAGAGAACAACAAGATGAATTTGCCATCAGCTCGTACAAAAAGGCCGCTGATGCTACTGCTAAGGGCAAGTTTAACAATGAAATCAGCCCAATCACCATCAAAGGTGTCAGAGGTAAACCTGATGTAACCATTAGTGAAGACGAAGAAGTCAAAAACTTTAACGAAGCTAAAGTCAAGGGAGCAAGAACTGTCTTCCAAAAGGAAAATGGTACCGTTACTGCGCCAAACGCATCCAAGTTGAACGATGGTGGTGCTGCATTAATCTTGGTTTCTGAAGCTAAGTTGAAAGAGTTGGGTTTAAAACCATTGGCCAAGATCGTTGGTTGGGGTGAAGCTGCTAGAGCTCCAATTGATTTCACTATTGCTCCATCCTTGGCTATCCCAAAGGCTTTGAAGCACGCCAACATTTCTCAAGATAAAGTTGACTTCTTTGAGTTGAATGAAGCCTTTTCTGTCGTTGGTGTAGCCAACTGTCAAATCTGCAACATCCCTCAAGAAAGAGTCAATGCATATGGTGGTGCTGTTGCCATGGGTCATCCGTTGGGATGTTCAGGTGCTAGAATTATTATTACATTGATTTCTGTTTTGTCGCAAGAAGGTGGAAAGATTGGATGTGCCGGTGTCTGTAACGGTGGAGGTGGAGCTTCATCCATTGTAATTGAAAAAGTCGACCACGACACTAAATTATAGATTACTTGAGTAACTTTAGCTAGCATATATTTAAAATAAAATAAAGAAAACTATGGTTGTCTTATAAAAAGTTCATTTTGTGACGTGTGCATGCCGCCGCACGAAATCTCTCTGCGCATCGCAATTCTTTTGATTAGGGTCTTATAATGAGCAATTGAGATGACATCAACAGAATACCTATGGACGGACGATGAATTACAGCCTCATGAGATTCAATCTGTATTTGAAGATACCACATTATCATTTGTGATTATTTCTAAGCATATCGATCAGACATTGACTAATTATGTGAAATACATGGAACCATGGATGCAATACCCCTGGAACTTCAAACGGCCCGAGTATCAGGCTCTCACCTTTAATGTTGTTGAGTATATATACGGTGAAATCAATTATCATGAGCATGTCCTTGATATGGAATTATTTATCGCCATTTTACTAGATTTCACCAAATATGAAGACTGCTATATTCATGTTTTTGATTCGGTCACGCTTGAACCAGTGCTAGCTACTTGCCACGATGCCCTTGATGAGGAGTTGCAGGATGTGACTACTTCGCGGAATAGAGTCTGGCTACATGATGGCGGATGCATTGAGCTTACTCGTGGTGGCCACGGTGGATATTTGCTGTTGCAAGATGCAATAAAGCAGATATTTGTGGGGGATTATAAACAAAATTCCAATCTAGCCGCAGCGTTAAAGGATGTTTGTAATTTAACTGCAGGATTGAGTCATGTTCATGATGTAAATTTGAATTTACCTGCTCCGGTTGCAAAATTAGCCACCACTGATCCAATGATGATTTCCAAAAGCTTGGAAGCATTGGAAGACGAGGAGGAAGTCAAGCCGCTTTATCTTGACGGTGGCATTGATGTCACCGTGCCCATTAACAGTGTACACTTTGGTGTACTCTTGGGTATTGCATCTGCATTGGGGAAACCGCAAGACCTAAGTGGAATCGTTTTGTCGGGGTTGCAAAAGTATTATCAAGGCAAGGAGGAACCAAAAGTGCCGGATACAATGAAGCCATCTTCGCGAATGGTCCTACAGGAGGAACTCATCAGCAGAGGAATAATATCGAATCCCGTCCCTGAAAATACCGAGCTAGTTGAAATGATTGCTAATATAAATGGACCCAAGATGGAGGATGAACAAGAATACGCCAAAAATCTTCAACAGGTATTTGAAGAAGGATTAGATGACTTTGAAGATATAATAGACGAGGATGAAGATGAAGCAGATGAGGAGAGCGATTTAACTGATGATGAACTAAATGAATTTCGTTGGAAGTATTACGACATTGCTTCTGAATGGATCCCGCGGGAACAAGTGGCTCAGAAATATCAAGAATTTAAATCATCAGTTTTGCAATCGACAAGTAAATTCAAGGATGAATTTAAAAACACTGAGTTTGAAGATTTCCCGGAATTCATGGAACTGGAAATCATTTTGGAAATGAGTGGCAACAAGTATAATAATGATTCCGACTACCAAAGTGATACGCCAGATACATATCAAGGAGATATGGCATATGATGAGTACGTAGAGTTTAAAAATAAGCTAAGACAAGAAGGCGCACATTTCAGTGAAGAAGAACCAGAAGAAAATGACGCTGATTGGGAAAGTGTTGATGGCGATGGTAATGATGATGATAGTGACGAATTATTAAGTGACAGCAATGTGGATATCTCCAATAAATATGAGCAAAGACCTACAATTGAAACTTTATACGAGGAGCAGCCACTAGAATACGAAGGTTTAGATCCCAAATTATCTAAAAAGGAGATTGAACGACTTACAACTACAATGGAGACATTAAAGACAAGCGAGGACAACAATCTTGAACTGAAGATGAAGAAATAAATAGAGCAATTTTTGTATTAAATAAAACTAATTAAAGAATTAAAAGTTGCAATCTGTGTTGCATATGCCAATAGGAATGATCTAGTTTAAGCTGGCCCATATGCCTTTAACTATCCTATGCGCCAGGTGTGATGAACCCTCTTTTGCTTAATTCATGCACAGTCCATATCCAAGTTCTCGCCGCATAATCCATGTTATCAGCAACTTTCGACGGCTGCAATTCTTTGCCATTTAACCCGAAATATTTCCCATTGTTCTCCTCAACTGATAAATATGGATTCAACGAACTTCGTATAACTTCATTTGCACCTTGTTCAGAAGTGACTCCAAACAACCAGGCAAATATTTGGAAAAAACACCAAAATATGATGCCCACAATGGGCAAGTTTGTCCAATATGCAAATACATTTGTATTCATGACCAACCCCGGATGCACTGAGACACACAATACTTTTGGGTTACGCAAGGCCAACATTTTCATAAAATGGATTCCGGCAGTTTTGGCAACTCCATATCTAATCCAAGTCAATACGAAATTGGGCCTATAGTCCAACGATGTTTTTAGATTGAAGTATCGAATGGCAAATTGATGACCCAGGGAGCTTAAGTAGATGACTCGCGGTCTTGGCTCAATTTGGGGAAATGCATCACTGGTTCGTTCAAGTATCGGTAATAATTTCAAGGTTAACAAAAATGGGGATATGAAGTTTGTTTGTAGTTGGATTTCAAAATCATCGATGGTTTTGCTATACGGAAGAGCCATTGCCCCTGCGTTATTGATTAGTAAATGAAGATATCGCTCTTTTAACTTGAAAGTTTCAACAGCAGTCACTATTGATTGTAGATTGCTCAAATCCATTTCCAAATAATGTACTTCACCAAAGCTGCGCTCATTTTCCTCACCACCTGTACTTGTTCCATTCGCACCTTGATGATGTTGATGCTGACTACGTCCATTATCCAAAAGTCTCATTTGACTAGCTCGATATTCCAATTCTTTAATCAGCTTCAAGCATCGCGATTTTGACCGACTAGCGATGTATACAATATATCCATGTAGGTATAGATGCAAAACTGTGTAGAACCCAATACCGCTATTCCCTCCAGTTATGATTGCCACTCGTCGATCAATATTGGGGTTGAAATACGGGAGTGTGTCAATATCAATTGGTGATGACATGTAATATTGGAACAATGACAAAAGGTTGGTTATGAGTTTTGTATCTTGTACTAGAAAGGCGTTGTTGTAACAGGTGCCAAAAAAAAATAAAAAGTAGACAGGGATACGGAGTTTGAGTCTAGGCGTGCTAATGCAATTATGTAAAGCGTCAGGTTGCGTGTGATGTTTAGGGCGTAAGGTTAATTGTTTTAGCTACCTTGTCTCTCTCCTGTGATATTTGTTCTCTGTGAGCGTGTGTGTCTCATTCTGAAATGTAAATCTCTGCAAGCCATTTCTTTTCTTTTTTTTTTTTTTCGTTCATTCCCTCTTTTGTAACTGTTTTACGTATGAGGCGTTTTGTGCGTCTGTGTGTGTGTGTGGTTTATCTGCCATTGGTCAGAGTGTGTGTTAGGTCTGAACAAACGATTTCAGGCTCAAATAAAAGATCCATAGTACACCTTGCATTGTTGACAATTCGTATCATTGGCTTCTATTTTATTCTGTCCCTATATATATATATATATATATACCTATTTACTACCTATCTTTTGGTAAGCTCAATTGTTTAAGAATATCATCAAATATAGCTTCTTCTGATTTTCCAGTAGAGTCAACACTTACACCTTCTCCACCATTCCTCAATAACTCATCACCTCGAGGAATTTCCATAATATCGTATTGAGACTTTACCATGTCAGATTTCATATAATGACCTTTCCTGTTCTCAACTCGTTTCACCAACTCTTCAAATGTAGTGTAAAGAAACACAAATCGAAAGTTTAAGTCATGTCCCAAAGAATTTTGCTTGATATAATCACGGTAAACCTTCTTCAATATTGAACAGGAGACAACACTCGTCTTGCTTGGATCTTCAATAGCTCTGATGCTAGCTTCGTGTGCTAGCTTCTTGAGCCAACCCCATCTGTCCTCATCCGTCAATGGCTCTCCTCGAGACATTTTGTCGATATTTGCCTGTGGATGCAATGAGTCTCCTTCTATAAATGGACATTGGTAATGTTTTGCAAGTAATTCACCTTGTGTTGTCTTACCAGTTCCAGCTGGACCTCCAACGACTATTACTGTGGGCATTTCAACAAGTGGGTAAGCTGTATGTAACGTTTATAAAAAAATGATATGGTCGATCTGATTCACTCGACAACGAAGTTAATCGGGTTGCCTTGTTTTATATAGCCAGATCCAATCGGAGTCTTGGAAGTGAAAAAATTTTGGGGGAATAAAAATATTCTTGTTTTTGTGGTTGCCAAGTAAGTGGGGGAACGAGGAGGGGAAGAACAGATCTTTGCATTTTGTCCAACAAAACCAACACCCGTAATCTAATTGCAATGTACATTTTCTACAGATGTAATGTCTATCTATTTACAAAGGCCTACCTGTCTAGTAAACTTCATCGTCTCCCCATCTTGTTCATCCTTCTTACATTATTCAACTCCTCAGTAATCCTCTTCTCGACAAGAGCCTTCAACTCCATAGCTGACTGTTTGTCGATAAACAAAGTTGGGAATCTTTGACTTAGCCACAAAAACAACAATATCAACTTATGCATACTTTCCAATTCTTCAACATTACCCAACGGGACTTTAATATCTTTGGTGAGCAACGATTTGGCTGACAAAAGGGGTAGATCCAAAAACCCAAAATCAAATATAGTTTTGCAACTTCTCTCAACAATATTTTTAAAAAACTTCTTAACTGTGGGGACGACAAGTTGTCTATTCATGGGGCCATGGATTGAAATTGGAGTCTCACTTAAGGTTAATTGATCATCAATGGTCATGTTTTTTAGCATTTTGTCCTTTGATATGATTTCCAAAATTCCCGTCTTAACTTCCAAGTCAGCTAGAAAGTATAATTCTGATTTAAAGTTCAGTGTACTGGCAATGAAATGGGAAAGGGTCTCCGATAAGGGGCCTTCAGTTGAATAGTTTGTCATGTAGTACTTCCACACGAGGTCTGTTGGCCAAAGACATGCTTTTTCAAGTTCAACAATCGGCCTCTCTAGACATTCCTTAATGTACAATAAACTAGCTCTTTGCAAAGCCGTGACAAACCCCTCTCTCGAGCCATGTTCTGCACTAAACCTACCCGCCCTCCCTGCAATCTGTTTGACTTGCGACGTCGACAAGTTCTCAACTTCAGATCCATTGAATTTGTTTATCCCACTAAACACAATTCGGTTGATCTTCAAGTTTAATCCCATACCAATTGCGTCAGAAGCCACAAGCACGTCATATTCACCACTATTGAATCTAGCGGCTTCTTGAGCCCTTATTTCGGGCGGCAACGCACCGTAAATCATACCAACTTTCAATGTTGTCTCTTTTTCGATGCTACACTTGTAGTCCAAAATCTTTCTCTTTGAAAACACAACCAAGCAATCACCCTTTTTTAAAGTTTTTAAACTTGTTGGCTTCTTCTCCACCGTTAATTTCCCTAGCCGGTCAAATTTCTTTACAACCAACTCATCGCCAGTAATTTTAACTAACCTCTCAATCAAGGGAACAGCACTCTCTTCTCCACATAAATGAATTTCGTGAGCCAAAACTCCCAACACTGCGTTAGTCCAAACAGAACCCCTTTGTGGATCGCCAATCATTTGTATTTCATCAATAACGCAAAGATCCATCTTTTTGTGCAATGGGATCATTTCAATAGTCCCAGAAGCCAACCCACTTACTCTTCCATATTCATCAATTGAGGGTATAACTTCTTCACCTGTAATCAAATTACATCCAATGCCCTGGTCGTTGAATCGTTCATAGATTTCACGCGCCAACAATCTCAATGGACCAGCATAGTAGCCTGTTTTTACTTTTGAAAGCTTTTGTAACGAGTGGTGAGTTTTCCCGCTATTTGTAGGTCCAACATGCATCACTATTTTACGTTTCATCTTCCTCGCTTCAGGAAACCATTGTGCAGGGTTGGAGAAGTCAATCATTGATTTTTCGTACGGCGTTGTTTCAATCTTGTACTCCAAATAATCTTTGTATAGAACATGGGTTAATACATGTTCCAATAGTTCATCCTTGTCTTTGAGGTTGTATAATTCAAGCATTTCCTGTGGGTATTTCCCATGATGGAGGGAGTTTATAAGCACTGGTAAAAGATGGCGATTGGGGTTTATGAATTCTGCGACCGTGAGATAGCTATCATCAAAGCTGGCACTTTTCAACACTTGATCATGAACTGAAGAAGCAAAGTTTTCAAATATAACTAGTTGTTGCGCAGTCTCCTCGTTTAAGTAGTTGTAGGGGTACACGAATGATTTCGACCTGATCTTCTGCTCTATCAGCTCTAGTGGGTTTGTTATAGATTCAATAAGAGCCCTTTTGTCTTCATGCGTAGGCTTAGTTCTGTCTGCCGTATATGCACCTCCACTTGCGTTAATTATAGGCAAAGCTGGACTCAGTCGGGTGGTTGCAAATCGTAGTGGAATGATCTGAGATGTTGATGGAAACACATGTCTTCCGAAGTGCTGGAATGTGACAACTGTATTCACTTTCGCCCTTAGTCGTACTTGCGCTAGTATCCTTGAAGAAATCATTCTTGTGCTATCTGCTGTGTTCTGTTTGCAAAATCCTGTCTCAACGCGATGAGGGGCAACATCCTTCTTTCTCAAACTAAAATTAGTTTCCAATGTAAACACACACACAAAGAAAAAAAAACAGTGCATTCTATACAGGTCCAGTGTATGTGGAAATTTCGACGCCATACACAGCGGTCACTTGCTTACTTTGCATTCTACGAAACTCACATTATCAAATTCAGTTTTATTACTTGATAGCATTTTCTAAAAGACTGTGAATACATCATACTCGACCCAAGCGAAGCTTCACCCTGCAGATAGCATTACCCAGCATTCCTTTTTTTATATATAATTGTTTCAACCTCTGCATCACACAGTCATTCCTTTTTGCCCAGTGGTTAGCGATATTAAAGAATAGCAAATGAGTAGCACTCGGGCACTTCCAAAGTATTCGAAGGAGCAGAATAATACAGCGCAGTTGGCTAATGAGTTTAACAACTTTTACATGGCAATATCGTCTCCAAAGATTAGCCAAATTGGGAACTACAGGATCACAGAAGAAATTGGTGAAGGAGCATTTGGAAAGGTATACCTTGCCACCCATGTTCTACTAAATGTCAACGTAGTGCTTAAATGTGGATTAATTGACGATCCAAATATTGTGAGGGAGATTTATTACCATAAACAATTGAAGCATAAAAACATCGTGAGTCTTTACGAAGTTATCAAGACAGAAAGCCATCTTTGGATCGCTATGGAGTACTGTGAAGGAGGCGAGTTGTATTACCTAGTTTATGAGAAAAGGCGATTGGATTTAAACGAATGTCGCCATATATTTTTCCAAGTTCTTCTTGGGGTGCAATTTGTTCACTCGATGAATTTAAGTCATCGAGATTTAAAATTGGAGAATATACTTTTGTCCGACAAGAAGAAGAGTTGTGTCAAGTTGACTGATTTTGGGTTCATCAGAGAGTTTAATCCACAGTCTAGAAGATTTTTATCGACAATATGTGGTACAACAGTTTATATGGCACCAGAATTACTATTGGGGCAAAAATACTCGGGATTCGCTATAGATGTGTGGTCGTTGGGGATTATCTTATACACTATGCTTTACGGCGTACTACCGTTTGATGATGACGATGAGATGAAGGTAAAGTCAAAGATAATCAATGATGCCCCACTTTTTGCTGATTTTGTTCCAACAGAAATCAATCAATTGATCTTGAAGATGTTGAGCAAAGATCCAACACAGAGACCAGGTATCAGTGAGATTTTGAATTCATCGTTTTTAATTGACGTATACAACAAGCATCTAGAAAAAAATCAGAAAAAGGCAGTTGGCGATGGTGAATCAATTCTTTCGATAAATCAGCATTATAATTATATGCAAAAACCGTTTGATACAAGGATAGAGCGTGAATTGATTCGGAAGTTACAGAGACTAAACGTCGACATTGATGAGCTTCAAGCAAGCATATACAGCAACGAAATGAATCTGTTGACGGCATTTTATGAATTGTTATTGACTCGAGAATTTTCGAAAAAGAAGAAACGGTATATTAGAGATAAAAAGAGAAAGTATTTTGAAGCAAGGAATTCGTTACGAAAATCTCGAAAGAAAGTGAAGAGTGCTCTCTCCATGTCAGACCAATTATCTGGTTCGCAGCCATTGGAGCGAATAATTTCGTCTTTGAGTATTACTTCCAACAAAAACTCAAGCAAAACGAATTTGGCTCGGTTGTCCACGTACTCAAGAAAGTCGGGTGATAACATTGATTTGCGCAATCTGCCAAGATCACAGCTGAATGCTCGCTTCAGTATCGATCGGGAAAACCCACCTCGAAACTCGATGAGCGAAATTGGAGGAGCTGATATGACTGCTCACACGCAGGCAATTTCACCAACATCTACGAAAATAGATGCACCCCTACATAGAATTGTGTCTTTTGTACCACAGGAAAGAAGACCATCTGATGCAGCATCAACCGGAGAATCATTAAAGAAGCAGAACAAGAGTGGGAAGATATTAAACAAATTGCAATTTTGGAAAAAGGACAAGAATGGTAATGAAGGTGATAAGGACGATTCAACCTCAGTTGTCAGTAAACGGTCTGAAAAATATGAAAATGATACCGGAAGTGGGACCCTGGAGTTGCAGTTGCAACAAAGTCCGCAAAGATATGGCCGCAGTCAAACTTCATTCGAGGTAGGTGACACAGAACAAACGCCAGCAACTATAGGATCCGATACTAGATCTAATGACGGTGGATTGGACACGCCTGCTGAAATACAGGCATCTGGGTCAAATCATTTAACACCAACATCCGGTGAAGGCAGAGGATTAAGCAGGACAAGACCTTCGTCGATGATTTCGCAAATAAGTCAAATCAGTAGATTGAGTCAGTTGTCAACCATGTTGTCGGAATCGGAATTAGATATACTAGATGAAACTGATACCTTAGACGACGAGGATGATGAAGATGAAGCATATGATTCAAGTATTAGCATGTCACAAGATGGAAGATCTACTTCCGGAATGGTTCTTGGAAGCAGCCGAACTCCTGCAAGAAAGAGACCTAGTTACAGAAGAGGATTATCATCTGATCAATCCATTCAATCAGCGTCGACGACTAGTGGTGGACAAACGACTGTCAAGAAAAAACTGTCCATGTCAAGAGTGACAAGCAATTCATCAGATGATACCCCCAGTGAATCAAAGTATACTGATGAGGTGCCACCAATGAATGGAGATCACAATACGCATTCTCAATTTATGGTGAAAAACCGGCCCTCAAATCTTGTTACGCCCACACCTGTTTTACACAACAATTCGATCCTTCCTAACGCAAACACAAATGAAATTGACCGAATGCAAGGCTATCGCTCGCATTCTCCACCATTCAACTTTAAGCTGAGCCCAAGGTCAGCAGCGCCTAGAGGTGATGCAAAGATGAATCGAAAGCAAATGCCGCCTGTTTTTGCCAATAAGAACAACAACAGCGTGCCTAACAACTACCATGATACAAAACAAGTTAACGATTGGTTGAATAACCCTTTGAACAATAATACAGGATCCCATGGGTATGCCAATAAAACTATGTATGGTCCCACCATTAATGAGGAGGATGAATACGATGAGATGTGAAAGTAGGACTGAGCTTTGTTTTGGCTGCAAAAATCAGCCATGCATATATAGCCTTTACCAGTTTCCACCCAAAGTACACGACTTTGTAAAAACCGCATTTTTTTGTTTTAGTCCTGCACGTAAGCCATCATACTCTGGAAAATTTTTTTATAATTCAGATTTCTACGGTTTTTGCCTAAAAGCCAAACTTACTTAGACGTTTCTGTACTTTCCCCAAAAACTATGGCTTCAGTAATTGTCGTTGATAATGACTTGAAAGATTCGATCAAGGAGTACGCTCAGGTCCTTGATGGTCTTAATGGTTCCACTGAACTTACCACAAAAGTTGACTCATTGTTGCCTAAAGAACAAGATCAAGCCATCTCCAATAAACAAGAATTATCCACCATACTTAAACAAGCTTCCACTGCCGAAACATTGAAAAACTTGACTGATAAAGAGTTTGAGCCAACCATTTACTTATTGATCCATATCCTTACGGAGTTAGAGGGTACTGATGCAGTATTAAATGATGAATCGTCTGCCATTTATAGATTGATTTTGGCCATCAATCCTCAACAACCATTGTCGTTAAGGGATAGAAAATCAATTAGATCCACTTCAGTGTTGTCGATTTTAAGTACAATTTTCAATTTGTTACCTAGCGGTTCCAAAACTAGGATATATGTGATTAAGGAAATTTTAAATGTGATTCAAACTTCCAATATTGAATTTAATGCTATTGAAGATAACATATCGGAAAACTTGGTCAACTGGTTACAAGAAAGTAATGCTTCAGAGAATGAGACTAAACAAATTTTCTGGGATTTCATTGCGTTGGATACAGGATACTCGTTAAAGTCATTAAATTTTATTAAATCATTTACTCACAGTTTTGCCGTATCCGAATCGGAAGTGGAAAAATTGACCAAGTTTGCATTATTATCGAAAGTTGTTGACGTTTCATTCTTGGTTAATAACAATGTTGCATCGGCGTTGAAAAATGGCGGCAGCAAATTGACCCAAGTTTTTAGTCAATACGTTAGGGGCCAAATACTTTCAACAGAAGATATTTTGGCTGCTGATTCATCCTTGCCTTCCCAATTCATTCACCAAAAGTCGAGAATCTTAAACTTGGCCAAGTTTTTTGCTAGCAAGTCATTATCATCAGAACACGATGATATTGTATTTAAATATAGTGAAATTGAAATTGCATCCGATTCAGTCGAGTTGGAAGAGTTACTAGTTGAAGCAATTAAAGCAGGTGTTTTGGAAGGGAAAATCAATCAAATTGAAGAGACATTCTACTTGACTAGAGTTAATAGATTTATTTTGGCTGGTGATGAGGAAGCTAATGTTGAAAATTGGAATCTTGTTAAAAAGGCATTACAACAATGGTCAGATTCAATAACCAACATTGATGATATCGTTAGAGCTACTAGAGAGAATCTTGTTAATAGTAGTGCTAACTAAAAAGAGTGTATTAATAGAAATGAACCACTAAACAGTATTTCACTTGTGCTTACATTGCTCTATTCCCTTTCATTATCTAAAACTACCAAGAATCCACCAACTAAATGTAATGACCCACATACAAACACATTCAACTCTTGTTTTCCACTCTTTAAATGTTCTACTGCCGTTTCTATATCGGGAAACACCATTCTCTTTGCTTTCCCATCATCCAACTCTTTCCACAATTCACTAAACTTGTGTTGAATCTCCAATTTTTTGACTGCGTCTTCCGAAGTGTTTTTGGCTAATAGTTCAGGATTGTATTGTCCAGAAGACCAAGTAATGTTTGGAGTGAAGATCACTTCATCAAATGCTAATTGTGGCCCCTTTTCGGATATTGTTTGGTATAATGTGGTTAATAACTCAGCATAATTATCACGACCTTGTTGGTTAAACAAGAGTACTCTCCTCTTCAGTGGCGATTTCAACTGCTCTTCCTTAAACCAGGTCGAAGATGCGTTTATAGACTCTATGGTGTGTGCACCATCCACATACCATATGATACCAGATGGATTGTTAGTGATGACTTGACATCTTCCTGGCCAATCGACATCTTTCAATCCTTTGATAAATCTATCGGGGAGTGATTCGATTTTTCCATCACTTGAAGAGACTTCAAGTCTACTATCAACCCCAATGGACTTCAAGTGAGTATCTGCTAATCTTACTGCCAATGCAGCATTCTCTTTTTGGAATTCTCCGGAAAGTCCCAATTCCACATCTGGCAAATCATTTGGGTGAACAAAATTTAATGAAGAAACGCCCAATTCTTTTGCCCTTTGTTCAATAAGCTCGTGTGTTTTTGGGTATTCTTTTTGTTCGCTGACAAATGCAGGACTCCCCTTTTTGAATATTCCCGTTTTATTGTCGGTTATACTTTCAATTGTACTTCCCAACATGAATGTATGGTCAATTCCCAAAGCACTTATACCAGTGACTGTTGGGTTTTCGATGATATTAGTTGAATCGTAAGTGCCACCCACACCAACTTCATAAATTGCCGTATCAACTCCTTCTTGTAAAAATACATGGAATGACAAAATGGTCAAGTATTTAAAGTACATGGGCTTCACTACTTCACTTGGTTGTAAGCTAGGCCACTCTTTGGGATCAGATTTGGTACTTGTAAGCTTATCCCATACTTCAAAGAAATACTTTGTGAATAATTCCTTATTAATAGGTTGTCCATTGATTCTTATTCTTTCACGTACTGACTTCAAATGCGGTGATGTATATAATCCAATCTTGGTAATATAATCAGGCTGATATTGCTTTAAAATGCTCTCGGTAAATGCACAAGTAGACCCTTTTCCCTTTGTACCAGTGACGTGGATTATATTCAACTTGTTGAAATCTCTCGGTGCGTAGCCTAATCTGGCGGTGTATTCTCTCACTTCGTTGATTGAGAGTTCGTTCCTATTTACATTGGGTCCTAGTTTCTTCATTGCTTCGATAGAGGCAAAGTTCGATTGTAGCGAATTCAATGCATTTATAGCATCTGTGTATGTACGAGAACTCATCTTTGGTATTCTCATTCCATTTAAGAGACAATTGTATCTTAATGGAGATATATATATCTTCCACCTGTTTGATGAAAGAAAAAAAAAAAAAGATTTGATCTTCGATATGAATAATTAGTGGCACAAAGATGTAACATAAGGAGGTTGGGATTCTCAGTTTCCAGAGCCATTACTTCGTACTATTACATGCCTAGTGCTCGGTTGTAACAAAGGGAGGACATTGATCTTTAGTATGTTAAAGTCAAACAACCGTATCGGCAATGACTAAAATTGTAAGCATGATACTTTATCGCTACCAGCTACACTGCATTGGTTTAAAGCTATATAAGATACCAAGACATAACATGCCTTGTCATTTGGCTGTAAAATCAATTGCTAGTGTTGGGTTGAATAGAGGTTAAGTAGATGTTCAGTCCAATTTGAACAGCGTAGCTAGTTTTAAATGAAATTTCTAAAATTTTCCTTTGTGTAAAGTCAAGGTGGCAAAAAAGGACACACAATAAAATCTCTCTTATAACTGCAAATCTAAAAAATCCCTTCTTTGTCCACCACAAGGCACTCTTCTTTCTTTCTGGTTCTACATATCCCGATCGAAAATACCACAGCTAATTGAAACTCCTAGGCAATCTGAGTGATTCAATTGGCTCAATTGAACCTGCACAAACAAGTTGCTTATGTATGACGCGTGGTTTCGAAACATACGCGTAATCAGCCAGTTTTCACGCGTATTGGCTAACATTCAACTGATGGAAGTTGGTTGAATAGAGTCAAAAGGTCTGGTCAAAGACTATACCGTTAGTGAAAGAAGTTTGGCGATACAAGAAATTCATCAAACAACTGCTAACCACATTTTAAGTCATGTGTCCCCAGAGACAATGAAAGTGGAACTTGGCTAGATCTATCACCTAGAAGCTAAGCTGAGTCCTTGCATCATTCATTTAGTTCCGAATAATCATGAAGCTGTTAATGAAGCTGTCAACCTTCATTAAGATTGAATGTCTACTTTTACGTCACTCGCAAATCAGCTTCAAGAACGCTCATTGCTTTCGCTGGTCTGGTCTACAGTACCAATGAAACCTACCACAAAAAAGTAGGCAGTTTGTGAAAACCAAAGGTAGGGAGCTTTTGAACCGTTTGTGCTGTTCATTTGATAATCTTACTTGAATGGTAGCGAGCTACATGCAATAAAAAGAAATTTCGGCATTTTCGAGCTGTTCAATTCTGTGTACAATACTACCCAATTAGGAAGTCAAGATCAAAGTTTCTTTTCTTCTTTTTTTTTGTTTTTTTTGGTTAGTGGAATTGAGTCATCAAACAAAATTAATTCCATTCCCTTAAAAAAATCCCAAACTCCTAATCATCAGATACATTTCCAATAGTAATCTACTTCATCACATCAAAATCAAATTAGTGTCAACTAAACCCGAAACGACATATCAAAACTTTTGAAGAGTACAAGACAATAGCAGTAATCTTCACATCTCAGCAAGCGTAACTAAAGCAAAACTCCTTTTCCAATATATATACTACCTACAAACCAACAAGCAGGTTTCTTTCAACAGTGTTTTCCATATCCATACAGTAACTACTTTTATTTTTTTCATATTCCGTATTTCAACATATCAATAATGTATTGGATTGTTTATTAGACCTATTTCCGGTTTAAAGGTTTTAAAAGTGTTTTTAATTTAGTTATTGAAAGAAAGCAGACAAACAAGTGCTTTTTTTAATTTTTTGTATCATCAAGCTTACACACTTGTATATATATATATATTGGTTCAGGAATTATTTTTACTTCAAAGGGATTATTATCAAGGAGGGTTTCATTATTTAACAAAGGGAGCCTATTTACGTTATTTTAAGTGGAAACAGTCATATTTTTACTTTACACTTTATCAACTATTTCCAAAGTGATTTGAGAGGGCAAGATAAGTAATTGATCCTCACAAAGTCTTCCTGAAAATTGAGTTTATTATTATAAATTATTTAGATTGTGATTGAGTGAGAAAGCATATTCTTTTCAACCATGATTAATGACAATATTCATAACAATAGCCAATTTGGCTCTGTTGCCTCGGATGTTGGCGTTGGCGGTGGCAGTGGCGGTAACGGTAGCTGTGGTGAGATATTAGGGAAAAGAGGTGACACAGGCCTTGCCACCAAGGATCAGCAACGCCATCATCCACAACAGCTACCACAGCAAGATAGTGGCAAAGTGAATATTGATGATCATCTTAACTCGATGTCACAGTTTATTTACTTGGAGGCAGCAGAAGCAGCAGGAAGACAAGAAGAGGACGAGGAGAGGGGAAATTCAAATAAAGATCAAGAAATTGGTGGAATCAAGCAAGAAGCGAGAAATAATGGTGGCAATCATCTAGGTGCACAAAATGGAAACGGTGGCCCATCATCTGTCGTTGCATCATCACTTGATATCATGTCGGTACAGGATAATGAAGATTTAAACAATGAATTCAATGAGTTTGTTGATATTCCCAATTTAGTATCCGATAATGAATCAGATGGGGCTGTTACTGTACTGACTAGGAGTGTTGGGTATTGGAATCAACAGAGATCATTACAACCTACCCCAGTGTCCACGACTAACCATAATGAATCGGTGACGTCTCCACACCCAGTGCAACAGCAGCTGCAGCAACCACATCAACAGCAAAGATCCATCCATCAACAAGTTCAGCAATTAAAGCAAGCTCAGCATCGCGCTAAAGTTAACGGTGGAGTGTCCAATCCTCAAATTAAGCAAAACATCATCAACAGCTTACAACCTTATGTGAAGGCCAACAACAATAGTATTTCTGCAGAGCAATTCAAGCATCAACGTACTCAATTAATGACAATTATAGTGAAATATGTTGCCACCAAGATTTACAATACATTTCCTCCAGAAGCACCTAAGAGAAGAGACTCATCATCGCAATCTCCATCTCCTTCGTCTCCCAAGACACCCAACTTCCCCAACACAAATAACGAACTACCATTGGATAAGTTTTTATTGTTATTGACTAGCAGATTAAGAGTCACATTGCCAATTTTCCTCAAGGCAATAATTTATCTATTCAGATATATGGATATAATTTATTTATTGAGATATCTTAATCAAACAAACAACTTTGTCAATTATAATGACATGGGATTTGAATTGAAGAAGTTGATTGTCGGGTGTTTTAAATTGACGATAATCAAGGAGAATAGAGTTTCACAGAAGAAGTTGCAAGTCAACTGGCAACAAGTAACTGGGTTGAGTAACCAAGAAATTAATTCTATTGTTAAACAATTGGTTAATCGTATGAACGGGAAATTAAATATTAAGGATGTTGAGGTTGTGAGAATGAAGAATGAGATGTACAGGTTTGTCAACCTTTGCCTTTAGAAGGAAATGATAGCTGTTTGTGCAGATGGAAGAGTATGTTTAATTGGGTTGATTTTTTTTTACTCTATGCTTTGTTTTTTTTATTATTATTTGATAGTATGTGTCTATATGGTCTTTGACAGATTGTTTTGTGATTATTGTTTTATAGCCGTATTTCAATTGAGTAATGATGTAGAGATACTGGTGTCATGCTTTCACCAATAGTTGTTGGTCAATTCAATCTGCTTTTCTCTCTAAATGGCATTTTTTTGCACAATTATTATGGTAAATCATTAAAGAAAGACAGAAGCATCTCTCACGGCTTATGCTTGATCTTGTAAAAAGCTAGATGTAATTGCATAATTTTCCTTTGCAAACGTCAATGATCCATTAACTAAGAGTCTGTAGTACTTAATTTCGCACCCGTCGTGGATGGGTAGAGTGAAGTGCTTGAAACACAATTGCAAAATAATCGAAGATAATAGTCCAGTGTCGTATAATCGTAGAAGTCGCGACATGGAACAAATTAATTATAATGTGTCATACTTTGATTTTGATGAGTCATAGAAAAAAAATTTTGTAGGGGAAAGGCAATTTTAAACAATCGCTACCATGCGAATTACACAAAAATAAAGAAAATTTTTTATTTTTGTTCTTATCGGGCGCGCGGTTAATTTTGGGGGAAGAATTACCTAAAAAAAAGGTCTAGAGGTCTTAGCAAAATGAGTAATAAATATATCTCTGCAGACAATTGGGCTTTTGCTCTTTTACAATCAATTTGCCTTATAATAGCTATTTCACAATAATCACATAGTTTCTTTCCTTAACCCTATTATATTGACTAATCGTAAATTTTTTTTTCAGTCATTTTTTTTTCTTATATTTATTTCTTTCTTTTTTTATTTTCACAGCCAATTTAAAACCCCTTTTAGCAGACATATATAAGCAACTCAAAATTTTTCACATTTTTCACTTCATTTTCTTTTCCTACTTTTCTTTCTTCATATACATACATACACACACACATACACTTATATTACCAACATGTCAGTAAGTTCTAATCCATACGGTCCAAACCCATCGGACTTTCTTTCCAACGTCAACAAATTCGAAGTTATTGAAAGTACATTGAGAGAAGGTGAACAATTTGCCAATGCCTTCTTCTCCACTGAAAAAAAGATTGAGATTGCTAAAGCTTTGGATGATTTCGGTGTCGATTATATTGAATTAACCTCGCCAGTTGCTTCTGATCAGAGTAGAAAAGACTGTGAAGCCATTTGTAAATTGGGCTTGAAAGCTAAAATATTGACTCACATTAGATGTCATATGGACGATGCTAGAGTAGCTGTAGAGACTGGTGTTGATGGTGTTGATGTTGTTATTGGTACTTCACAATTTTTGAGACAGTATAGTCATGGTAAAGACATGAATTATATTGCTCAAAGTGCTATTGAAGTTATTGAGTTTGTCAAATCTAAAGGTATTGAGATTAGATTTTCCAGTGAGGATAGTTTTAGATCAGATATCGTTGATTTGTTGAACATTTACCGTACAGTTGACAAAATTGGAGTAAATAGAGTTGGTATTGCCGATACTGTTGGTTGTGCCAACCCAAGACAAGTTTACGAGTTGGTTAAGACCTTGAAATCAGTCGTATCGTGTGACATTGAGTGTCATTTCCACAATGATACTGGATGTGCCATTGCTAATGCTTATACCGCATTGGAAGCTGGAGCTAAATTGATTGATGTCTCCGTGTTGGGAATTGGTGAACGTAATGGTATCACCCCTCTTGGTGCATTGATGGCCCGTATGATCACTGCTGATCGTGACTATGTCTTGTCCAAATATAAATTACACAAATTGAGAGACTTGGAAAACTTGGTGGCTGATGCAGTACAAGTAAATATCCCATTCAATAATCCAATCACTGGATTCTGTGCATTCACTCATAAAGCTGGTATTCATGCTAAAGCAATTTTGGCTAACCCATCAACGTATGAAATCTTGAACCCAAGTGATTTTGGATTGACGAGATATATTCATTTTGCCAATAGGTTAACTGGATGGAATGCAATCAAATCAAGAGTTGATCAATTGAATTTGAATTTGACTGATGATCAAGTTAAAGAAGTTACTGCCAAGATTAAATTGTTGGGAGACGTAAGACAATTGAACATTGATGATGTTGACTCGATAATTAAAGACTTTCATCAAGAACAATCGACTCCTGCTTTGAAACCAACTGCTGGTGCCGAACCTGTTGTTGCTGTTGAAGAGGAAGTTGAAGTTGAAGAATCAGAACCAAAAAGACAAAAAGTTTAAGATAAGTGTCATGTGAAAGGGTTTCTTTCCCCCAATTAGATTACGTATTTTTCCATTCATTCTATATTTATATATTTTGTTTTAAAATAAAAGAAAAAGTTACAATTAAGAGTTGTTGCAAAATAGAGGAATCGATTCACGGTATAGAGCTGCAGTACAAGTTTGTCCAAAAATTATATCCCTTTTATTGTATATATAACTGTCCTAATACCTTGAGGTCTTCATCTTTCCACTCTATTCACACATCACTAATGCTTATTCAATAAAACACACTAGATGCACGTTTCTCATCATCATAAAGCACTCCAACCCCACCATTGCTATTTGGTCCAAATTCGTTAACCACCTGCTCAACATTGGCCACACTAAACTCCAAATCATCATCAGTAATCATATCCCAGTACTTGTAAATCATCATAATCGTGAAAACATTGCACACACTACCGAAAAACAATCCATCAATATAATGCGAAGCACCTTGACATATTTGCATTGAAAACACATAAGTCAAAATTTGACCAGCAACAAAGAAAAACACTCCCAATAATATAGCACCCAAGGCCCACAATGAATTCAAGGCGAAAAATACCAAAATGATCTGTGACACGACATAAACGGCAAGAAGCACCGCATTCAACACGTATGCAAAGATAAACATGGTTGTCGTCTTTCGGTAATCCAATTCTGTATCCCAGTGCTTAAATGTAATCAAAGATATAATGAAATTGATAGCAAACCATAAAACCACAATCAGTCTCATTATCCACAACGATCTTCTCGTGCCATCTTCCCAAAATTGAAAACAAAGGATCCCATTATACAACAAACACGCAACAACTCCACTAGCTATTCCAATTTGTAAACTGACAAAATAAGCATATGTGGTTGAACTGGGTGGCGCAACACCACAATCAACAATTAAACTAGACACAATCAAACCAATCAACAAATACATGAAATTCAACATCTCGGCACGGCCAATTGCTGTATACTTGGCTCTCATGTTGAATATAATGATTAATATAATGATTAACCCACCAAAATGAACAAACGCGTTACCGATTTGGAAAATCATCGTGTTGGCGAGTTCAACACTACGGGCATAACATTGAGGCACGATCCCTCTCTGGAAATATGAGGATTGGTTGACGGCTCCAACTACTGAACATAAAGGTAGCGAGGTCTTATTACATATGTGATCAAATGAACCAAATGACATGGTGTTGTGATGTTATACTAGTAGTAGTAATATGTATAGATGTTAGATCAAGACTCTTGATGAGAAAATAGCAAAAATTGCAAAGAAGTGAAATGAACTTTTTGTTGTTAAAAATAGCGAATGTAATAGTAGTAACTGCTTTTCTTATAGTATGTGGTATGAAGGAGCTACACTTTGACGTATGTAGATGATGTGGTTGTAGTTGGCAAAGACTAGTTGAGTGATCGTCACCTGAATGTTCTTAAAACGTGTTTTTTTTATGTTTGATCTTCTGTAACTCTCCTTTCAAAACGAAAAAAAAAATAAAAAAAAGAAAAATTTCTTTTGTTTCTAAAATTAACACCACCTGCATGTAATATCCAAATTAGGAATATCAATAACAAATCAAACCAAACTAAACCAAACACTCACTCAATACAAAAGTATTAAACCAAAACTACAACAGAAAGATATCATTACATGCAGTGAGTAGCTTTGAGACAGCTAATCATAGAATGAAAGAAAAATAAAATAAATACCATAAAATATGTACACGTTATATACGACGGAGTTAGAAATAAAAAATGGATCCCAGCCTCACCAATAAGCCACAGGCACCGCAAAGAAGCCAAAATATCCCCTATTCAATCAATGATGATAAGGTGGTGGAGCAGTGGTGAAAACAGGTTGGCCATAAGTATTGAAGACATCTTGATGTATAACATTAGAAGGAGCGGAAGCAACTGCCAAATCATCTCTACCTCTTTTCTCATCGACAGCCACATTCAGTCTCTCACGACCTTGTTGATGCTGTTGTTGATGCTGTGGATCCTGCTTCAAATTCAAAGTCTCTTCCAATCTTTGATTAACCTTATTTATATCAATATGGTTGATCGACTTCTTTTCTTTCAAACTAGGTAACTCTTGATCAACAACAGCAGCAGCAGCAGCAGCAGCAACAAAACCACTAGCACTTCCCCCATTTCCAACAAGATTGCTATTTGTTCTTCTTATTGGTGATGTACTTATTGTTCTTTGTGGAGCGAAATTGAAATAACCAGTATTTCCTATTCCTACACCAACACTACTACTAGTAGCAGCAGCTGCAGCACTGCCAAATCCCCCTTTATCGTATATCAATGATGGTGATTGCGTGGATCTGATAAATTCTTGATAAATAGCACTATTATTGAACGATGGGTTAGGGTGGTTGTTACTACTATGGATATGACTATGGTGATGGTGGTGTGATTTCTTGGGCGTTGGATGCTCCAATGTATAAGGTGAGTTTTGAACTTGTTGTAACTTGGGACGTTGTGTTAGCGTATGTGTTTGAGGTTGCTGCTTCTGGTCCTTTTCCAGTTTGAAATCATTGTATTGTTGCTTCTCAGGAGTTTTAAATTCATTGACCATTGACATATCCACTGGTGTTTTAGTACCAGTAAGATCATAATCAATTAAAGTGGCGTTAGAACTGATAGATGTTGGGGTTATTGGTCCAGATGATGATGCTTGAGAAGTGCTGGCTTCATCTTGAGTTGGTATCTTGTGGTGGTGGTTCTTTTTCTTTCCTCCCAATTTAATTACTCTTCTCTTTGGTTTTATTGTAGCATCTTTTGCATATTTGTAATAGTTATTAGCTTGAATAGATGAGATATCCTTCAATAAATTATCCTTCTTTTTAAATGACTCATCCAATAATATATCAATAGGAATTCCATTATTATTATTGCTGTTGTTACTGCTTGCACTAATGTGGTTGCTATTACCTGAAGAAACCAATGCTTGAGGACCAGCAGTGTTCATATACTTCCTCACATCACTATTGTTCACCAACAATGAATTAAGCAAATTGGGATAGTTTTTATCAAATTTATCCATATGTGTTCTTTGAATAATATGTTTAAATTTGGGCATCTTAAAACTCATTGTTTCACGAGATTTAAATAATTCAAGCGTTTTTTGTAAATGCTTTGTAGAATAAACCAATGAAATATCTTCATCATTCTCTAACATTTTATAAGCTGACGCAGGAGTTGAAGTCAAAGATGTGGTTGTCGTATGTTTTCCATCATGGTCACCATTGGTTGAGCTTGATCCTGCATTTGCTGCCAATTTATTTTTAAACTCATTCATATGGTTATCAAGACTTAGATACTTTAATGATAATTGATGAATTAAAGTAGGCAAAGTCTCTCTAAACAAATCTCGTATTTGCGATTCAATCTGTTTCTGTAAAAAGTTGGCCAATACTTGAACTGTATCAAAAGTTGAACTAACTTTAATCGAATCCAATGGATCATTTCTAAACACCAAAGTTAATCCTTTTGATTTTGAAAATACAATAATACCAATTCCATTAATTTTGATATCGGATAATTTTAAATCCAAAGGGATAGCAAATTGTTCATTAGCCAAGACAAATTGGGGAGTAACAAATGCATTATCTTCATCATTGTACAATTGTTCACCCCCGCCTGATCTCACTTCAGTTTCCAACGAATTTGAATAATAAATATTCAATGGATTAGCTTGTACTTGTGTATGTAAAGTTAAATGAAAATCACCGTGATAATTAATCTTGAATATTCCCCTAAATCGGTCCTTATCCAATTCACCAATCTCCAAAATTTCAAAATCAGGAGCAACTTTACCAAAATTCAAATCCTTTATAGTAATGTTTGATGCTAGTATATTGGGAGATTTGCCCGAGTTCAACGCACTTGTAAGGATATCCTTCGTCCAATGTGCAAATGAATCAGTGTCTAGAGAGTCCCAATTAACCTTGAATGACATAGTTTTGTAAGTATATATAAGGAGGCTATTGATGTTGCTGTTTGTTGCTGTTTGTTGTTGTTTGTTGTTGCTGTTATCCTGATCTATTGTCTGTAAGGACTTACTAAATGAGTGAATATGTATATGGAAATATAGATATATATGTCCAGTGAGTGAATATTGACCCGATGGACTGTAGTGGTAGTAGTAGCAGTAGCTTTTTGTTCAACTACTTGATGATGAATGGAAAAGAAAGTGGTGTGTATAGTTTGTGTATAGTTTTGTATATGTATATATATTATAATGATATGATTTCTTCTCCTTCTTCTTCTCCTTTCTTTTTAAATTTAATTAAAAAAAATTTTTTTTATTGTGTCATTGTCACAACTTAAATTAATAAGACATTCATTTTTATGCACCCACATAGTAAAAGAGGAAAGGAGTCACGGAATAATGCGGAACAATAATTTAGCCTTTAGTCTTTATGATACAAAATACACAGAAAGTTTGGGGTACATTCTTCTCGTAAGCTGACAAATGGAGAAGACACTATTTAATACTTCAACGTCAAACCATTAACTGAGATCATTTGGGCAAGCTGCCTTCTTCTTGTGTGTACCTCCCCAGCTTATATGTATTTCAAAGGAAACCGTTTTGACCCGGTCACACGACCTAATATTACATCATTTCTTTTTTTATGTGTCTCATGATATTCAATTTCGTCTAAATTGTGACCCCGGATATAATATTATTAAACTCCGAAAGGTTGCCAGCAAAGAATATAAAGTGAGTATGACAAAGCAATATAGGGTAATCCCTTATAAAACACATAACATCAATACAAATGCCTTAATGTATGCTTCCCCTCTAATATGCCCCTTTCATGCAATGTGGAGTGCAGTTTTTAGTTTAGTTACAATGAGAAACAAACATGCGACACATAACTCGACATGCGACATACGACACTACAACAAGAATATATTTTTTTTATTATACGAGAAAGAGAAGACAAAATGCAACGGTTTTTTCAATAAAGAGTTCTACACGAATGAAATCAATTGAATAGAACTTGTTTCCACTACATCAATCACTCAGGTATACATATTCCTTTGAAGCACCACAGAATCACTCGTTTCCCATCCATCAATGTCTGAAACTGCTACTAATACCTCCACAACACCACCGCCCGAGACGCCGACAACAACTACAACTACAACAACTACACTACGAGAACAATCACCACCAATATACTCCTTTTCCCTACCAGATGCCCAAAACAACCTCGTGGATTTCACTCAGTTCCGCAACAAAGTCCTCATGATAGTCAATGTCGCCAGTTTATGTGGTTTCACCCCACAATACCACGAACTACAACATCTCTACGCCAAATATCACGCTCAAGGGTTGGAAATCTTGGGATTCCCCTGTAATCAATTTGGCAATCAAGAACCCAAATCCGATCGCAAGATAGCTCTGCATTGTCGACGCGATTTTGGTGTTGAATTCCCCATCATGAAGAAAATTAAAGTTAATGGCGAAGATGAATCGGACTTATATCTGTATTTGAAAAATGAACAACGGGGGATGTTTGGGTTTAAGGGGGTTCGGTGGAATTTTGAAAAGTTTATAATTGATCGTGAAGGAAAAGTTGTTGCCCGATTTGATTCTTGGATTACTCCTAAACAATTTGATTCGTTGATACAACAATTGTTAGACAAGGAGAATAAAGCAAACAACAGCTAGCATGATGTGATTACCATGGACTTCAATTCCACAATGAAATATTGTATTATAAAGAAGATATAATGTTAATAATATTGATAGTGATAATTAATTGTACATAAATACCGACTACTAAGCTTCAGTGGGTTTACTTTTTACTTCTTTTTGAAGCAGACACCGGCGTGGATTCTTTTGACCGTTTAGTTCCATTCCCATTTCCATTCTCATTCACCTGTTTACCCCCATTTGCGTCTGGGTTAACTTCTTTCAAAACACATCCAAGCAAAGTATTACATCTTCTTGCCAATTCAGTAGCATTTCTACTTTGTAGGAAAAAATCAAATTGGAAAAGCGGCGAGTCACGAATCGCTTCTTTAATTGAATCATAAACATTAGGCAGATCAAGACCAAACCGATATAATTGAACAAGCAAGAATCGATCTTCTTCTTCGCTGTAGATCTTTTTCGTATTTGAAGAAGGAGGATGCTTCAACTTTAACTCGACTAATGGATGCTGATATTGGGATAATTTTCTTCTCAATGCCTCCTTTTGTGTTTTCAATTTGATTATCTTTTCTTCACCTAGTTCGATTTGATTTAGATATTTTTCAAACCCTTCAATTTCTTGATACTTGAGCCAAAACTGTTTGGCATATTCACGCACTTGTTCCTCAGTCTTGTCACCCTGAAATTCCAAGGCAATCAATGGGATCGAATTACGCCCGTACTTGGCACAACTCGATATAAAATGGTAAAAATCTTTTCTATTCCAATTACCAAAACCCTCCTTCATCAAATCCAACTTCAATTGTCGTTCTTCATCAGTTAATGGACGCGATTGAGCAATCTCCTCCTGCTCTAATTTCTGCTCCAATTCCCGTTGTTTTAAAGTCGATTCATCGCCCGCTTTCAATGGCACTTGATACTGAATCTGCTTTTTATAGTAATTCTTTTCTAATTCATACAATTCAAACACTTTGGGTGGGAAAAATTGATGATCATACAAATTCAATTGCTTGGGGGGTTTGGGCCCCGATTTAGACACGGTTTGTTGAGAACGACCACCACCAGTGTGCAACACATCCTTATAATACATATCAATGGAATAGTTTTCTTTACGTTCTCGTTTACCTGGGTTGATCCAGGCATGCCCCACGTTGGTGATTGCTGTTGGTTCCTTCTTTTTGAAATTTTCACCATTCCACTCATAAACACTTTCGTCATTGGTGAAGTTCTGCAATGCATTCAAGTTTAATTTAGCATACTTTTCATTCAATTCTTGTGTTTTCTCCTCTGAATGTTTCAACAATTCATCAATATCTAAATCTTGTCCTTTTTCTCCTCCTTCTTGTTCCTGCTCCTGTTCTTCTTGGTCCTTTTTAAACACATCAGCAGCACCAAATTGAATCATATCCAACAACTCATTCTTTGATGCGGCTTTACCACTTTGTTGTCCATCCAATCCGGCAGTATTGTTACGGCCTTGTTGAATCACCAATTGATCCAAACGCAACTTTTGGGCTGCCCTCTCCAATACCTTTTCTTCAATGGCATTTTCAGTGATAAACCTAAACACTTTAACTTGTTTAGTTTGGCCAATCCTATGAGCACGATCCATAGCTTGCAAGTCAGCTTGTGGGTTCCAATCCGAATCAAATAAGATTACAACATCAGCCGTGGTCAAGTTGATACCTAATCCACCAGCTCTTGTTGTTAACAAAAACACAAACTTTTCACTACCGGGTTTATTATATTCATCAATGGCGTTGATTCTATCGGCATGTTCAGTTTGCCCATCGATTCGACAATAAAAATATTCTCGAAAGTAACAATAATCTTCTAAGATATCCAACATTCTACTCATTTGGGAGAATATCAATACCCTTGACCCTTCAGCTTTGAATTTTTTCAACAATTTATCCAAAATGATCATCTTTTGCGCGTTATACACCAAATGTTCATCGGTTGTATATGGAGGCCCTGGTTCTACCCCGTCAAACAAGTACGGATGGTTACAGCATTTTCTCAATTGCATAACTATATTGAGCAATCTCGTTTTGGATTCCTTTTTATTAGCTCCATTAACGGCATCAATATCCTTTTCCAATATCTTTTGGTACAAATGTTTTTGCATAGGTGTCATCTTGGTGTATATATTCAACTCCTTTTTCGGCAATAATGATTTCTCAACATCTGCTTTGATTCTCCTCAACAAGAATGGCTTTAAAACCTTGTGCAATTGAGAAATGACTTCTCCGTCTTCTTCATTAGTCTCATCCTTTTGAAACCATTCATCAAATGAATCATTATCGGCAAACACATCGGGCAATATGAAATTCAATAATGCCCACAATTCACGAAGGTTATTTTGCAATGGAGTACCAGTAATCAATAATCTGTTTTTCGAGTGAAACATTCTGATGATTTGAGACAATAAACTTTCCTCATTTTTTATCCTATGTGCCTCATCAATAACAATATACTCCCAATCAAACTTTTTAAATGTGGACTTTTCTCTAATGACAATTTCGTATGACGCTACAACGACATCGAAGTCACAGGTCATTACCCGATTTTTGATCATGTTGGCTCTCTCCTCCTTGTCACCTTGCAACACTAGCACGTTGATATCAGGAATCCATCTTTGAAACTCCCTATACCAATTATCCAAAGTCGATTTCGGAGCAATCACCAAATGAGGACCATTGATTTTGTACATGAATCTCAAATACCCCAAAAACGAAATTGTCTGTAACGTCTTGCCCAATCCCATCTCGTCGGCCAATATACCCGACAAGTTATTTTCATATAATGAAACTAACCAATTCAAACCTTGAATTTGATAAGGTCTCAATTCTCCATTTACATAGCCTGGGCTTTCAGTAAATTCAAATGGCTGTTTAGACGAACCTTGTTCTTTCAATAACTCTGCATCCTCTTCTTTTTCTGTTTTTCTCCTTCTCATCGAGTCATGACTTGTAGATTTATGCTTGGCTTCCAGATCATGCAAATCGTCAACAATTTTACGGAAAAGGGGATCCTTATTAGCTTTAGCCTCAATGAAATGACGGAATAATCCAGTCAATCCAAGAAGATATTTAAATCTATTACTGGTTTTTTCAATATCAACTTGTTGTTTTTCCGACTTGGTGAAATATTTACTAGCATTATCCAGAAACACGAGTTGGTCTCTATTTTGAATCACGTCATCAAACTCCAGTGATGGTGTCTAGATGTTGGGTTAGTAACATGGGGCAACTACCATCTACACGACGCGCTAGTACATACTCCCTCTATCGAGCTCATGGTTATAACTCTGTATAAGTAGCAACGTGTTTATGGTTGATCAATGCCGTAATGATTTTTTTTTCGCTCTTTTTTTTCTGTTCTCTTTTGAGTCGTGATTCCAGACCGTGGACTAGTTTTTCCTTCTGAAATTTATACTCTGGGAGGCCACACAACTGCAAGCGTACTTGACGTGGCTGCACAACTGCAAAAGGATTGAGAAAAGGTATCTACGTTAAAGTTTGCTAGATCGATCGAGTAGCCTTACACATTCAATCGATAATGTTTTCCCAAATAAGACAGACGCGTAGTATCTAATTCTAATTCTAAACTTTTCATCTATGTGATTTCCTAACTATATTAAACCCAATCCAAAACTTTTCTTTTTTACACCAACTGTGCTTCAAACAAACGGATGAAGCGTCATTGTTGGTGTATTTAAATCAAATGAAATTCTTCAATACGAATTTTAGCAGGATTAAAAGTAACTTTTTTTTTCTGTGGCGCGGAATATTAAGCGGTTTATTAAATCAACGCCGCCTAAGTGCGATCAATTCAAATCCAAAACCAAAACCGAAACCAATTCAAAAACAAAAATAAAAACGAAAACGAAAACAAAAACGATATCATACTTGAAGCAAACAACTTTCACACCAACCAAATCAAGCTTCTTATTTGATATCCAGCTTTCTCCTTTTTGTCACTGTTGAACATGCTTCACTATCAACAATGATTGGATTTTCTAACTCACTGTCACCTTCATAACTTGTTACAGATTCATCATCAACGACATCATCATTATGAACCACCAACTTTCTTTTCACACCTCGCTTGCCTCTATTGCCATGGACCAAGTTGCGATGCCTGCTCAATGAATCGCACCGATAGAATGCTTTGCCACAATCTGCTTCGATGCACACAAACAATATTTCCTTGATTTGCCTAGCATATGCACGACAGTTGGATTTGACGAGTCCATTTTTCAAATGCTGATAATGTACATGATGCTTCAACTCAGCTTTCTTTTTAATTCCTAGAAAGTACATTGGGCATTCCTTCACCGGGCAGTTGAATTTCCTTCCATAAACAAAAGTTGAACACGTAAGACAATCCAATCTATCAACCATTGTGAAGTAGCTTGCTTTCGAGTTTTCTGGATCTTCCTTGGAAAAAAGCTTTCTATCCGATTCAGTCATCTTAACCTTGATAATGGAGAGTTTGCTGTACAGGGCAAAGAATGCCTTCTTGAAGCGCCCCAAGTTGGTTGGATCCACTCCAGAAGTAGTACCGTTGAAAAAGCTAACTGAGTTCCTCCAGGTTGATTCTGGGGAAACTTTGGTATCACTGGATGCTATTTGGTGAGCACGATTATCACTACCTGTAGCTACGGCAAAGGGGCTACCGTCAATGGATATATTGCCGTCTGATACTGGGGTAGTTTCGGGAGCGACTGGGGTCTCAAATGCCTCTGCTGGGGCCGGAGAAGTTGTGAACTTGAACATTGACAATTTTTTCATCTGTGGGGAGGCCATTCTGGACAATGCGTAGCGTTGGGGAGAAGTTGATGTTGGAGCTGACATTCCCATTATGCAGTCTTGGACTGTTGCCCCATCTTGCGTTTCTAAACACACAATGCCCGCATCGTCACCATCCTCTTCAATAGTTTGATTAAACACGTCTTGGATATTTTCAAGTAATCCCCTCTTGAGCTTTAAGTGAATTGGCGACGGTTGCAGATAATTTATTTTATTGGATTGCAATTGCCAAGGGCATACTGAATGTGGCCAAGCACTTTGCTTGTCATCTTCAATGGCAGCCTCAGGTGAGATTGCAAACGGTGAAATTTTATACAATGCAGGTGTGAACCTCAAGTCTTGCTCGACCAAGGAATATAAATCATTGTCATTATGGATCTGACTTAACTGCGATTGTTCAATTGCCTTGTGATGATTGAGGTACGAATTGGAAACAGGTATGGACGATACGACAGTATTGGTAGATGACATTGATGAAGAACTCGATGGGTTGCGCGACATGTCTGTTTCGCGTAAGTTTAATGCACCTTTGACTTCACCTTCTTTGTAAAACATGAATCCGCTCGACATGTTAGGGTAGCTGGTACTCAACTGGGAAGATTCGCGATTAGCAAATCCAAAGGTAAACTTGTCAGTAAAGGAACGAGTTTTAAAGCCAAAGAGTGCACTAATTGGTCTAGCTTGAGCTTTGGTTGGCATACCCGTATCTTCTTCTATCTTGAGGTTGGGTGTTTGAGCTAGGATTTCGTTATATAACAAAGCTGAATGACATATAGAACCTGGGTCGTTGCTTGCAGTTGGTACCCGAACTATAACTTCATCAAAGTGCAAGCTTGGGAATGACCCATTTTTCTTGACCGAATGGTCAACTAGGTTGTTCTCTTTGTCTTCGGCACGGTACGATTGCAAAATGGCAGCTAATGGAGACATGACAGCAAGCGATTAAACACTAGCGAGCAGTGAGAATATGAAGCAACTTTTTGATGATGCTACTTGAAGTAATCCTAGACTGTGGCCGTTGTTCTTAATGTTGCATTATTTTATGAAAAGCGTTCAAGGTGGAATGTAAACGGTTGATATTTCAAAACATAACCCCAACTCCCCAGGTGTGGGACTCTCTGAATTTTTATAGCAAAATTTTTTCACGGAGTTGCATACGTGGCAGACCACTGACTATTATTTTACGGAGAAATCTAAGCTTCTACATTGATTACACCAATAAGCAACAAGGGGTATAGTAGTCTGCTGTATTGAGCAAATAAGGTCTCATAGGAATTGGACACCAAAGCATCTGTTTCAGAAATTTGAAAGGAGGGGATGGTGTGTATTACTTTAATTAATGTCGGTTGTAAAGTGAGACTTTGGGTACGAAATCTGGGGTAAAGGCGAAACAGGCTGGACTTACATTAAAATAAAGGCCGTCTGATTTCATGTAATACGAAGGAAGGATGTATGGTGAAGCTGATGGATAGTGCACTATATACTTCCAGTTACTCAATAGCTGTTGATTTGAATATCTATTGCACAGAAACTGGTAATCACTGATGTAAACTTTATCATGGCCCAACTTTTGAATCACTACACCAGGGGCGGGCCACACGCTCCTATTAGTTTATGTCACAAAGTTCGTATTTGCTAATAGAGTAGAGCAAACGTTGTTCAGTCTTCTAATGAACAATAGAAAGTGTAGTAGTAAATACCTGCGCCTCTCCTTAAAGCTAATCACAAACAGCACTCGAAAATAGTTTCTCTTTACAAATTGCGATGCCAAATACAACAACAATGAGGAGATGTGAGTTTTGATTAGACTTAATCAATACAAGTATTGTATGCAGAAGTGGAAGAGATGACTATTTAACTTGTCTTCTGCTTTCAGAAATTCAATTGTGACGTGTATCACTCTTGACCCCACAAATCAAATGCCGACAAGAAAAAAAGTATCAGTAACTGCACGTGTACTAAAAAGAAGCATCAAATGAGGAGAGATCCAATTGCCTCTCGTCATCTGGCAACAGCGATGTTGCATCTGAATGATCTTATTTGAGTGGAGCAAAGTTTGTGTTCAAACCTTTTTGAGGTGGTCGCGTATTATTTTGTCAAATTAGGCGGGATGAAATTGTGACAAACGTTTCAGCTATACGAATTAGTGAATGAGAGGACAAAAGAGGTGCATCAGAAAATGGGGGTGTTAGATAATTTGAGTCACATTTAAACAAACACCGAGATGGAAGTGCAGATCAAGTAAGTGTTGATTTCTTGTGGACATGAGTCAATATAGCCAAACCTATGTGAAGATGCATTTGTAACCGTGGCTTTATTATACGTTGATACTCTAAACCATTTTCAACTGTATGACGCAGTATAATAAATGTCTGCCAAGCCTCAGTTGTGTATTAACGGTGCGTAATGGATCTTGTGGTTGGTGGTTTGCCGCTTTAATATACCTCTACCACTTGGTAATTTTGTGTCGCGATTCCTTCTTCACTTTCACGCAGCCACAGGGGAAAAAGGCTTATAACAGCACTTGTCAACGTGAGCTACTTGGTCATTCAACTACTATCATGTCTGCGTCTACGATGGACAGTTATCTTCCTTTCGTGTTCGTGTGTGGTTATTTTTAAAAAACTTTCATCGAGAGTAAAGCAGGTATTTTTTAAGTTGCAAGGGGATGAAATTAGCCAGAGTGAGAACTAGGAGTTGGTAGGTAATATGGTTTGGTGAAAGATCCTTTTAGAATACAATTCTAACTTTATAAGAAGTAATGCAAGACATCTTGGGTTTCTCGCACAACTCTTTTCCTGCGCACTCTTCAGTCTCATTGGTTTCATTTCCAATACCGCACTCTATATCTCACCTTTTCCCATACAAAGCTTGGGTAACACATTTGGGCTAATTGCGCTTTCGCTACCATGTGCATATTAGGTTCTGGTTTTCTTCCATTCGCTCACAAAATAAACTTCGCAGAAAAACCTGCCATTCAAAAAGTTCCTTCCATAATCATGTGCTACACATCATTCCCAAAAGTGGCCCGAATGAAGAGCCTCGAAGATAGAGCTGCAAAGATGGACATTACCAATGACGCCTGCAACAAATCCAAAGACAATCACACACCATTTATAGTCGAAACCAGCGGAAATTTTTATGGTAGTAATGAAAAGACACCATTGATCGATTTAGAAGGCCAAAGAGAAGCCGAAAAGGAGGATGCAGACCCATTACGTGAGATTGCAGAGTTGATAGTGGCTCTGAAAATGAAGAAAATTAAACTTTACCAAAAAGTGTTTGTGTGGTTCGTTATTGCTCTTGGCATTAGTCGATCACTATGGATGTTCATATTAAACATCAGATATGAACTCTCCGAAGTCTTTACATCCAAATATTATCTAGGAGTGCTCCTGTCTTTATATATTTTCAGAGGTGTCGCTATTAATCTACAACATTATTTAATCACAGTCACTTTGAGAAATTTACAAAATTCAAACGATTTGAACCAGCACAATGTATGCAATATTGGATGCCTACCTAGACTTATGTTTGGAATTGGGTATTCCTTGTCAATTAGCTGGTCGCTATGGGTGGCTTTATTTTGTCCGCTTTCTGAAGTAATGTTCCTCATTATCATCGTACTTTGTTGTCTGGCACTTATTTCACTAAAAGTTAATAAAGTGGATGATAACGCGGATGTTGAAGAGCTATTACAAAAGGTTGTGCAAGGAAAGAGCGAACGCGGAACTTAAAGTTAAATAGTAGCTCCGAAATTTTTTTAGATGTGATCCAGATTCATCTCAGCGACATTCTTCAGAGCTTGTGTCAGAACATAGTTGGCTGATTGTAATGCAAGTGAAGTGGAGACAATTCTTTATATACTCAAGATAAGTAGATTTCAATTCACTGGAACACAAATTCGTACTCGATTTTGTCTCTGCAAGATTTTATAAATAGTTGCACTTGTTGAATGCCATTGCTGGTGGAAATAAAAACTTCTTCATTAATAACATCCAATTCCAAAACTGGTCAAGCAAATTGCGCTTTCTGCTACCATCCGATGAAAATTAACGTCATTTCAAAGTTTAATTTTTTGCTCGCAGTTCAAGCTTCGTTTTCTTTTTGTTTTCCTCTCTGTTTCAATTGGCGATAAGAGTTGCATCCCAGAGAGTAACGGACCAACACAGGGTAATCTACTTCCAACATGTTGCTCGAGAATCATGACTCCCTTCAGTGCAACGAAGAAGAACTAGCAAAGAATGCCTTGGGCACATCACTAGCTATTGACGAAAAAAGAGGTCTCACTAGTCTAGGGGAGAATACCGACACCGACTTGCGGGCTCAGGAGATTGACTTGCATAAAGCAATAGTATTACAAAAAATGAAGAAATTTAGACTATTTTGAATGGTATTTACCTTCGCCATGATGCCTGTAACTGTGATTAGAATCTTGTACACAACCAAAATTGAATACAAGTGCCGGAACATTTCCAATCTCATTAGTGCGGGTTTGATTGTTCCTTTAGTGGCTTGTTTGAAGTTTTCTGCAACCGAACATAGTCTCGAGCAGTATTATCAAGTCAATTTGAAAAGTTATTCCAATGGATTTAGAGAAAAGGAGAATTCATGGAATTTTAGTCCTGGCAGTAAGTTGAATTTGATATTAAGCTATATTCTAGCGATAAGTTGGATACTATGGGTAGCTTTAATTTTCTCCTTGGAAACTTTAAATCTGTACCTGATGATATGGATTAACGGTGTTGTATTGGTCGTTTTTTGCAAGTTATGTACTGGTAAGTTTTTTCCACTTCATAAAGAGCAAAGAAAGGAAACCACCATGGATTTAGAAAAGTAAAGATAACGTGACCAAATATAGAGAGTAAAGGTTCTTTTTTTGTTTCTACTTAGAAATGTTTCCATCATTTTATGTTCAACCATAAGATATTCTTCAGTACCCTTGTGGTGTTAGCTGTCGTTAGATTGGACTTGGTCTTAGAGGTGTGCAAAGCAAGGGGATTGTTGGAGCTTTAATGGCCGACATATTATGTCGTTTTGAAACAAAACAGCTAGATTAGAGTCCATTTTCCTAGCGTTTTATTCTTAGCATCACATAAATAATAAAAGTGTAGTTTATGAATATTCATAATTTTCCAGGGGAATCAACAAAACGAGCCTCATTTACCTGCCGCTCTACCTTGAACTGACCTCTACAAATCTCTTCTTCATCTAATATTAAAATACATTCAAAAAGACTAGTAATCAAAAAATGAGAAGTTATACATCCCTTAACTCCTAAGATACGACAAGAATTAAAACGCAAAAAAAAACTGACCTAGCTCCCCAACTTCTAAAGTAACTTCCACGGCTTCCAATTAATCTTGTGTCCTTCACCAACTGGAATATCGACACCCTTTTCACCGTCTTCAATAAAATCGCTATCCTGTCTCCTTCCTTCATCCAAATCAACTTCGCTTAAATTGACCCACTTAGACTTGTGCCAAAACTTGAAACCAAAGAAAAACACGAAAAATACTGGCAACAAGATATAAGCATCCACGAAGTCTTTACCGGAAAATGGTTTGAAGGAAGACCATCCCTGGATCAAAGCCAAAAAGATATTCAAGACAATTCCGGCAATTGGTAAAACTGGGTACCATAATCCTCTATAAGGCAATTCATCAACTGATCTTCCTTGTAATTTCATGGCCCTTCTAAACCGCATATGGTAAAAACAAACATTTCCCCAAACAATAAACACGGCAACACCGGAAATATTGACAATATAATTATATGCTTGTGCTGCACCGGTACTTTGATTCATCAAAGAGATTAATCCAAACAAGTTCATAAGAATGACTGATGCATATGGCACACCTTGCTTGTTGACTCTTTTCAAAATGGAAGGAGCACATTTTTCATTGGCCAAGTGCACCATGGCTCTTGATCCAGTGTAAATTGATGAGTTTATAGCAGAAACACATACGGCAACAATAAAGGCATTGACCAAATGGGCCCCACCTTCCCAACCAGCTCTTTGAATGGCAATAGTCATTGGCGATTTCAAAGCCTTGGTTGACTTGCCCAATCTGTCGTCATTGTAAGGAACAGTCATTCCGTAAAATACAGCAATTCCCATGTAGACGATTAAAATACGCCAAAATGTTTGTCTAATAGCATTGGGGACAGCTTTACTTGGATTCCTAGTTTCAGCAGCACAAACAGCAACAATCTCAGTACCACTATAGAAAGTACTAGCAAATGTAAAACAACTAGCAACCGACTTGAATCCGGATGCAAAAGGACCGGGATCATTCCAATAATGGAAACCAAATGCCTTGTGCCCTTTAATACCACCAGAAGCATATATTATGGAAAAAATGTAAAAAGCAACCAATCCTAAAATCTTAAACAATGCTAACCAAAACTCAACTTCACCGAAAATGGCAACACCTAAAAATTGAAACAATAAGAATGGAAGCCAAAGTATCAAGACATAGGCATAAAGTGGCACTTGGGGACCCCAAAATTGCAATATACTGGCAACTGAATTATACTCATTACTCAACACAGCAATCCAAATAATAACATACATCCATCCAACACTGGCACCCCAACCGAAATCAACAAACTTGATACCCAAGGTAGAAAATGCACCTCCTGATGGGTACACCGTGGCCAATTCACCCAAGGACTGCATCATAAAAAAAGCAATGATTCCAATAGCACCAAACCCAATCAAGATTGAAGCTGGGCCTTCAGCCAATGCATTTGAGGCACCAACAAGAATACCAGGTCCAATGATTCCGGCAAGTGCCATCAAGGATAAATGACGTTCTTTCAATCCATGTTTTAAACCACGATCGTCAACAGACAGGGCAGAACTAGTATTGTACTCCAGTGAGCTTTCTTGGTCTACAAGTTCTGCTGACTTGACCAGCTGGAAAGTGTCTTTGTTGTTTTCGTACTGCTCCTGCGATGGCGAATGTTCAAACGGCTGCGACATTCTTTTTCTTTTTTTTTTTAGTTTATGCTGATGTGTGTGTTATATATTGCGACTATATTCTGTCGACGGTAGATGTGACGTTATTATGTAGTAATGTTATTTTGAATACTGTAAAAGAATATAGCAAGGATAGAGAAGAAACTAAAAGAAGATAAACAAATCGAAACATCTACTTGTGTATTTATATATATATATCTAATGACTCTGTTGAATAATGAAAAAGGCATTTTTGCCCTGTTTTTAGTTGATTGTTTTTTTGTTTTAGTGTGCATATTGGGTATGGGTAAATTTGTATGTGATGATGCAATTTTTGCTAAATGGCAAAATTAAATTTAAAGAGAAGAAAAACAAAAAAAAGAAATTGTTAATTGTTGTTGATCTTTGTGTTTAATTAGAGCCTGAAATTTGTCCCTTAGCAGTGTTCACATTTGTCACCTCAACTACCAACAAGAAAAGTATAGACACTCATATCTACATTTGATACTGTTAGGACAAGAGAGAACCACTCCAATCTAGGTCATTATTTATGATTTGTACCCCCTCCCCCCACCTCCGTTTTCAAGTAGTAGCTGTATAGATTGCTATGTATGTAGGACGGGCATTCCTTTCTCCAATTTTTAGCAATTTTAGCCGCCGTGACATCTCCGCCCCCGACTCTTAAACTTTTTGTAAAGCTTTCATAGCACTTTATATCTCGCTAATCTAACAGAGTTAAGGCTGCTCCTCATACGCAAAGAATCTTCGTAGTTATGTTGGTTGTGAGAAGTCGTTGAAGAGTAATCACTAGAAAAGTTTTGATCTGCCATTTCTTACGCCACACATTTTTTTGCACCCCGAGCATGCAAAGCCACATGTGTTTAGGTGATTCTCGTTTGGGAAATTCCAATCATATAATTTTTTTCTTCATATAGTGCATGCAGGGGCTGTTTTTCAGTTATCTATCTATCTCAGTAGGAGTGCAACCACAGTGCAGAAGTCTTTTACAGAAGAGCTCTACTTTATTTACCTGTCTGTATTTTCTGCTACTACAGCATCCCAAAGCAATCACCTTTGCTCTTGGCGGAGTAAAGTATTAGCGTTCTTGGCAAGAATCTAAATTATATACACAGATATAGTCACGTGCAATGTCTAAACTCAAACTGTGGTTGCAAAACTAATTTATGCAAGATTACCTAAAACACAGTTGAAGAATAAGACAAGGTCGTGTAATACTTGCCAAATGTTTCAAAAGCAATAAAAGAGAAAAGAAAAAAGACAACAACAGGTGATGTGCCAAAATGAGACAATGAGAAGCCTCAATTCCAATTTCTATACATACATGTATTTTATACGACAATTGCCACTAAACTATGTATGTAAGATTACGTATTGTATCTCACACGACGAGATGGAAAAAAAAAGCCACATTTTACACAAAATCTGAGCTCAATTCTTAGGTACCTCGTATATGCGTTGCATTTTCCTTCTACAAACGGAACAAAGAGATTTTCCTAAATACGCTTAACGCCGAAGTTCCAAGTAAGAGAGTGTCTATTTAGCCGAATTAAAGCGACCACAAGAACAGACGAAGAAAAGTTCCATGATTGTTCTGATTGTTTAGTTTCATTCTCTTGCTGATCGAATAGCTTCTATAAGAAATAGGGTTGAGCCAGCTACTGGATTTACTCCCGTTCTTCGCAAGCAAAGTAAAGGGAATCAATTTTGAAGTATTTCCCACGCCATCGAAACTTCCCTCGATGTAATTTCCCTCCAAAGTAGCATTTTGTCTTGCCTTTATTATAGGGCCAGTTGCGAAATCAGGGCTCGAGCCAAGCGCCAGCGTATTTTGATTTCATATTTGCCGCTTCCTACGCTCTCCCACCATAATGATACACTGCAAATAACCGAGGAGAAAATTTATTGTCGAAATTAGCCAAAGTCGTCCTGCGACATTCACAAATAGTCCGGGTAAGTTTAGCTTCACACACAACACGTGAATCCACCAGTAGCTGAGCCAAAAAGAGAAAAAAAATTTTCAACGGTCTTCTCTACTTCATTTTCTTCTTCTCCACACGCTCCTGTTTCTGCCCCAAATTCGCTTTGCATCCATCGAATTATGGGTTCTGGTGATGGAGAAGATCAAGCCATGAAACGGAACTTTTGCTTTTGATACTTGTATTTGTTTTGTTTCATGGATCGTGTGGATGGCTTTGTATCCATCGTGTGGCACTCAATGACTATAAATGTCTAGAGAGCCTGATCGGTCCCACTATATTTTGAATTGAAAAAGAGTGTCTTTTTTATTGTAGTTACCGTAATTGCTTATGTAGATGTCAAGGCCTTTTGTAGAAGCCCAGACTGAAGCAGAGGTTCCGTAAAGAGTCTAGAGCAATTCTGATTACTCTTGGAAATTTAAGCTCACACTATTTGAAGGATGTAGAGAGATACTACAAGAAGGCAGTTTCATTTCCTTTGCAATGGCAGTCTATGGCCACTCGCCCTGTCCCCACTTGAAAATAAAATAGTTTCGTTTTCCTTTATCTATTACACACAGTTGATAAACCCTGTTTAAGTCTGCTTATAACACCACAGTTCCAAATTGACAATAGTATGGCTCGCCATTATGTTCAAAGTCTCCTTTACTTTTCTTTGCCGTTTTCTCCTCATTTCAGATGCTCTGGTCTCAAATCTGACCTCCTTGGTGCTTCCAACGGGTGTAATTGTGCCAAATAAGTAATTGCCCACATGAGATAACACATAGCTAAGCCCAATATTACCGATGATCTAAAGACAGTTCTGTTTTCTTGTGGTGCAAAAAACCATGCCAACGCTGAAAGACCAACAACAACAACTAGTACAATGACAACTGTGTATCTATTGAAGTGAGTGTTAGTATAGAACGAAAACAACCAGTAATACTACTTATTAACATACCCACTCATTTGCTGGATTGATTATGGGTGGAGAGTATATATATTCAACGACTGAATGTGTCGGGAAACTGTAAAAAATGTCCGAGTGCTTTTGATAATCGATCAGCGCTTTTTTTTTTCTTTTGCTTTTCTGATTTTTTGCGTCAAGATAATTTCGGATCTTGACTGGTGAACCCAATACTTGCCCATCAAATGTCTCTACCGCCACTTCCTCAACTGGTATCCAATTGGCTATTCAATGTTATACAGCCACTGTACCTTTACAAGCAATTAGTTTATGCCCATGTGTACCAATTCTTACAACAACACCTCAAGAAAAACTTGAATTTTAGAATACGGACTCAAGTCCACACATCAGAAGAAACAGGACAATCGGAGTTGTTGATAAACTTATTCGGGACAATTGTAATTAATGAGCATATTGGTGTCCCCATTGAAATATGGCTTCCATTCTCCTATCCCTTTTCGGATTACGATAGAAAAGGAGCCCCGTTGGTGTATATTACACCTGACCACAGTAAAAGTTGGTACTTGAGACCAACCAACAATGTCGACCCACAAGGGAAATTCTACCATCCGTATCTTTCAAATTGGTATCGCGACTGTGTTGAAAGTAGTGGCGACATTTCAGACTATTACAATTTGATCCAGTTGATAAATGTCATTTACCAAAGTGTGAAACAGGAAGTTCCTATTGTTTTAGAGGCACCAGTAACGACTAATGCGCCTCCAAAACCAGCTAAGATCACTACAGAGTCACCTTTAAGGCCACAGAATACGTCGCATCAATCTTCACCTACTAGGTCAGCAGTGGTATCTCCTCAAAGCACGGGACAACCACCTCTCCCTGCAAAGCCGCCAAAAATTGTATCACCACAACATACACTGAGCAATGGGGTACCGGAAAAGTATCAGCGGCCCTTACCATTACCTCAGGAGTCACACAGCCCTGTATTTTCTAATCCAAGTATTGATTCAGTCGCACCACAACACACCCAATCGGATATCAACCAATCGCCCCACTCGTCTAGACTACATCAAGATATGACTCCGAGCCGAACCGGAATTGTAAGTCCGCCAACTAAGCAAGCACAACTTGAACCGGTAGACTTAGTAGATAGTATTGCCCAACTATCTGTGGTTGATCTTGAACGAAAAGTAGCACTCGAAAAGCTATCACAGGAGTTCAACAATTACTTTGCCCAGGATCCAATTCATCTTCATACAAGTTACGCCAATGAAAACATCCAAAAGGCTAATGCGTTGTACACCCAACTTAGTCGTCACAATCAGCAAGCATTAGAAAATTCGAAAAACTTAGACGAACATATAAACCATATTTCGACTCAATTGTCAAATTTGACAAACTTGAACCAAGAGTTGGCTACACTACACGAACTCAACAATCAATCACACGAAAAAGTCATTCTCAACAATACATTCCAACTACCCTTGGATGAGTTAATTATTCCTGACCTGCCTCTAGTCAAACAATTGTATGAGGTAGTACTGGAGATCAAGGCCGTCAAGGATACGATAAATTTAATTTCGGGCAATTTCCATGGTTGTAAAGAGTTAGTCAATGACAAGAATTTGGATGTTTGTGTCAAGAGTTTAAGAAACTTGGGTCGAGAGTTGTTCTGGTTGGAGTTGACCAAGAATGAAATAGCAACCAACATAATGAATTTGCAGTGATGGGATTTGGTATGACTTCTATGCTTATCAACAAAGAAGAACGCATTTGTATGTAGTAGTTTTTATTCCTGCATATAGTACCAAACAGAGAAAATTCTTTTCGTGCGAGCTCATCTACAAATTTTTAGTCCATCATAAGACCAAACAGCTTTTACACCCTTCTCTCCTCCACAACAAGCCATGTCGAAAGAAGATTTCCAAATCAAGCCAGAGAGTGTGACTCCCTCCAACAACACCTCAGAATGGCCCCTTTTGTTGAAGAACTACGACAAGTTACTTGTTAGATCCGGTCACTACACCCCCATCCCAGCTGGTTCTTCACCAAACAGCAGAGACCTCAGATCTTATGTTTCATCAGGTGTTATCAACTTGGACAAACCATCCAACCCTTCGTCACACGAAGTTGTCGCTTGGATTAAAAGGATATTGAGAGTTGAGAAGACTGGTCATTCCGGTACTCTTGATCCTAAAGTTACCGGATGTTTGATTGTTTGTATTGACCGTGCTACTAGATTGGTCAAATCGCAACAAGGTGCAGGTAAAGAGTATGTCTGTATTGTTAGATTGCACGAACAGTTGAAAGACCCAAAGGAGTTGAATAGAGCGTTGGAAAATTTGACTGGTGCTTTGTTTCAAAGACCACCTTTGATCTCTGCTGTCAAGAGACAATTGAGAGTTAGAACTGTTTACGATTCCAAGTTGGTTGAGTTTGACAACAAGAGAGGATTGGGTGTGTTTTGGGCCTCTTGTGAAGCTGGTACTTATATGAGAACTTTGTGTGTTCATTTGGGTATGTTGTTGGGTGTTGGTGGTCATATGCAAGAATTGCGTCGTGTACGTTCAGGTGCCATGAGCGAACAGGACAATTTGGTCACCTTGCATGATGTTTTGGATGCTCAATACGTTTATGACAACACTAGAGATGAATCGTACTTGAGGAAAATCATTCAACCATTGGAAACTTTATTAGTTGGTTACAAGAGAATAGTAGTTAAGGACTCAGCTGTCAATTCAGTATGTTATGGTGCCAAGTTGATGATACCCGGTTTATTGAGATACGAAGAAGGTATTGAATTGTACGATGAAGTTGTTTTAATCACCACCAAAGGAGAGGCCATTGCCATTGGTATTGCCCAAATGACCACTGTCGATTTACAAGGTTGTGACCACGGTGTTGTTGCTAAAGTCAAGAGATGTATTATGGAAAGAGACACCTATCCAAGAAGATGGGGTTTGGGACCAGTTGCCCAAAAGAAGAAACAATTGAAGGCCGATGGTAAATTGGATAAATATGGTAGAGTCAATGAAAATACACCTGAAACTTGGAAGAAAGAATATAATGATTTGGATGAACAGCCAGCACCAGCCATTCCTGAATCCAAATTGGTTGCTCCTGAACCTCAATTACCTAAAAAGACCTTGATTGAAGAAGTCGAAGTCAAGACTGAAGTTGAAGACTCTGATAAGAAGGAAAAGAAAGAAAAGAAGGAAAAGAAGGAAAAGAAGGAAAAGAAAGACAAGAAGGAAAAGAAGGAGAAAAAGAGGAAAGCTGAGGATGGTGCTGAAGAAAAAAGCGAAAAGAAGAAAAAATCTAAAAAGGAATAAAAGCTTTTAAGGCCCCCCCTCCTCCCCACTTTGTATATTACTGATTAAATATTAAAAAAAAAAAAAGTAACATCATTTGAGAAGCGATAGCTGTCTCATGCATTATTCATCTCTACATCCTGCTTTTCTTCTGCTTGCAGTTGCGCCAAACTTTGAAAAGTTGGATCGTAAATCACATTCTCCGCCAACATCGCATACCTTGGAGCCAATAATTTATAAAATCTCTCCAATTGAACTTTTTCCATATCCACTTGACTATGCAAACCATTACTCTCGTGTACTTGCATCAAACTGCGTAATAAAAACACTCGACAAGAATCGACTGATTCAGATATAGACACTTGCACCTTTTTACCCAGTGGCATTTCAACCACATCTGATTTCGATTTGGGAAGCAAGTCCAAACATCGTTTAATCACCTTGTTTGTTTCAGTTGTGCCTGAAATTTTAAATACCAAAGCATATGAAATTAAAAAGTAAATGAAATAAAAAGTTGTTTTATCGCCAATCTTCACCAACATCAGTTTCAACTCATTTGCAGCAAAATCCGGTGGTAAATCTTTAAGCACCCTCATGATGATCTCCACCGTTATTTTTAAAAGCTTATTGGTATTAACAAAACTAGATTGAAATTGATCAGCTTTAACAGGTACTTTGCTAGCCAATGCAAACTCATCAGAAAGGGTATTTCTAATACCACTAAATTTTTCAACTGCTTGTTTTGATTCTTCCGTTTCTTCTTTCAGTATAATTTCAGTAATTTCATAATCCAAAAGGATGATTAAATGGAATGTCGAATAAATATACAATTCACTAAACTTTCCCAGGGGAGAAACTGCATTTCCACCAAGTCCGTTAGACATTTGCTGCAATGAGATGGTTGGTTCATCGGCAACTATACTTGTCCAGTTTCTCACTTTCAAGTAATAGAACTTGGCGGCCTGAATATCACCTCGGCTGTGATAATACATGGCAACCATGTAATTAATGTAGGGGAAAAGGGGCGTAAACATGGTAATTTCTTCTCGATTAAAGCCTTTATTGTTGGCATTCATAAACTCATTCAAGGAAGCGATTTTTGAATTATCGTCAATGAATGATTGCCATTGCTGGTAATACTGTATTAAATACTTGTAGTACCGCAACTTCAAATTACGCTTCCTCGCCTCATATGCAGTGAGGTACTTGGCTAAGCTCTTGTTCAATTTAAGATTCTCTTGAGCATCACCAATGAGTTTAAGTGCCTTGGTAAAACAAACCTTGGATTGATCTCCCATTGAGTGCAAATAAGCAACACCACTCAAGAAATACAACATGATATTAAAGTCCAGCACAGGCAACCATGGAACCACGAAATCAAATTCTATATCTGATTCGCCTTTAACATGAAATTTGATATCGCCATGAACCAGCCATTGGTTCCAGTTCGATTTAGTACCATCATTAAAGAGTTCCATAAGCATTCTAAGAAGATGCTTGACCTCGGAAGTGCTGTTCAAGTTCATATTTGCAAGCAATTTCGTCATCAAGACATACGCCACAAAGGGTTGCGAATCCTTTGTGGTGTCTACCCCTTTTAGAAATTCCACAGCTATGTCGGGATCACCACGGTAATTTTGCAATCCTGCAACATAAACTAACGCTATTTTCTTGATAGTTGGATGTAATTTGGGCGCTTTGATTAACCGCTGTAGATTAACCAAAGCCAACGTGACATCCGATGCTAATAGGTACTTTATCCTTGCTAGCTGCAAGCAACTCGCAAGTAAATGATATCCAGCGTCTTCATAATGTGCTACTCTTCCCAAAACAAACCCATCTACCATTGTAACATTATAATTTTCATAGATTTCAATCTTTAACAAATCGCAGAAAAACCCAAGCTCAATTAATGAATGGTCTCTGCAAACACTCAGCGCTGTAGTCGCGTAAGCTTCTGCCAAATCAATGCTCTCTGTTTCATGTAAGTACAATACTGCTAGCTTGTAGTATATTGAAACTAGTTGGTGCGGAGTCAACTCTTTTTTGTACGTTTTAGTAAGTATTAACAAGCACTTGATAGCTGCTTTTATAAACTTGTGGTAGTCTAGCACACTTTGTGAAGACTTTCCGGAAACCAAAGATCCATGGGCTTTGCTGACTAATTCTTGAGATGTCTGTACGAAGTATGCAATTTTCAAATTGGGGTGTGTCAAGCTTTCAGATAGAAAGTGCTCCACTTGCTGCTTTGAGTATGGCACCATCTCAAACCGAAGCTTTCCCGGTAGTTTCAAGTCAGCATGGGTATCCGTTTGTGGTTGATTATTGAAGCTCTTTACATTAATTTGTGGCTTCATAAAGCCAGCATCAAAGCTTCCAAGGCGTTTTCTCTCAGTAGAATACGTGGGTCTATAGGAATCAGCCCTCGAATGAACAGGTTCGGGCTTGAATTTTTTATTAGGCGGTTCCGATCCTTCATGGGCCCAAGTTCGAGGCTTGTGTGTTTTATATCCTTTATTTTCTTCCTCGCGTGACAGACGAGGTTTGGTATGTAAATTATTTCCTGAATAGCTTTGGCTCTTTCCGGACGCATAAGCATCATTAATAGGAACCCATCGTTCACCCTTCAGAAGGTCTTGGCGACCAAATCTCTGATATTCGTGAACCGTATTCATACTTGGTTCTTTAGCTTTATATGGTGGCTTTTCAGCTGGACTGTTACTGCTATAGTCTAATGAGCCCGGCTTCGCCAGTTTGTTTAAATTAGCTTTCTTAATAAAACTCTCTGTTGAGGTAACAAAAGTTTGCTTTCTTGGTCCAGTTGAAGAAGGACCGGTGGCCTGTGCTTTCTTCTTCAAAGTTGCGTGCTCAAAACCGCCTTCAGTCGGTTTGCTCCGATTTTTTTGAAATGGTGTATTCGTGAAGCTTTCTTTTGTTTTATCTAGCGCTTTTTCATATTGCTTAAAGTGTTTGCTCTCTGTTGACCTAGTAAATGAAGAGCTGTCGACTAGTTTGGAATGTAGGTCATGCCCTGATGCATGTAGAAAGTTGTTAGGTGGTGAACGGAATGATGTATCTTCTTTCTTTTTGTTTTCTAAAGTTTCAGTTCGTGTACCCAGTGAGATACTTGCAAGGTTATTCCAAGGGATTTTTCCTCGCATATTGGCTGATGCTTGGACGGACGAAGTGGAAGTGGCTCCTGTCGGTTTATTATTTGTCGTTTCCACTGGCTTAATCTTAAAACGTTCCAACTGGCCACTCATTGAACTGCACATCGCAATATCTTCAGTTCTTGCGGAATGGCCATTCTTTAGAATCTCGGCAGCGGCTTCTTTCTCTGTTAAAGTTGCTTGAGTTCCAGCTTTGGGAAGAGCACCGTACTTTGAAAGCTTTCTTCGTATTTCATTCTTTGTTTCTCCCCCTTTCGTTTGAGTCTCAACATGGTTGCTTGGTGGTGTGCCGTCGTCATCTTCACTTCTTACATTGGGTAGTTCTTTTTGCAGCATTTGTGGTTTTGGAGGTGACAACGGTAGTTTACGAGAACCCTCGATCGCGTGATCATTTGATGCAGTGTTCTCTTTATATTGCAGTGTCAGCACATGTCTAGACTCCGCTAGTTCTTTCAAGGGTTGTATTAAATCCTCTCCTCTACCTTTACCTGCATCTGTATCAGGCCCTTCGTATGGTGCTGACGCTTCCTCCAGGTACTGATCAAACTTGGGATAGCCTAAAGAGTTTCCCTCGTTAAAATGCTGTGTGTTTGATTCAGTCCCATTATATTCCCTGTAATAGCTGCCATTCTCTTTCAGCTTTGGCTCTTCTTGCAATTGGTTCAAGAGCTTTAAAGTTGAATTGCTTTCAGATTGTTGTTCCAACCCATTAAGTCCACGCAGTACAAGCGAGTACATATCATTAATGTCGTTTGTAAGTGCGCTATTATTTGGTATATAGGGCTTGAATATCGAGGCTATCTTCTTGCGTGCCATCTCAGCTTACGCTTTCGTCAAGGATGACTGTGTCTTTGGTATTACCTGTACTATATACGATGGTGATGTGTACTCGTCTTTCACATATCACGTCTCGTTTTCTTATGTTTTTTTTTTACAACCACATTTTTACCTCATGCGGCAAAAGCTAGAGAAGGAATAACTGTATCAGTCTATTGAATATATTACAAAGTTGAAGTTATATACATATACATGTACGTTGCTAAAGAGGTCCAGAAACATGACACGCTATTTTTTAGCATGCTGGCTACTTAACCGATCAAAGTCCTCTTCTAGCCTCTTTCGAACCATCCTCTCTTCAGCCAATTCCTGTTCGTAGAAATCTTGCATTTCACTCACAATCTTCTTGAACTCACTCCTTAATATGCCATTACTTACGCCACTTGCAGATGTTGCTCCACCTCGCGACGCTACGGACAGGATTTGACTTGTTGTATCATCTTCATCGCTGGTTCCTGAGTTTTTACCCACCTGTGGAGATGAAAAATCTGCACTACTGTGTTTCAACGAGGTTGCAGCTGAAGAACGTTTAGACACGCCAATGTTGTCAACCTTTAGCAAATTGAGCTCTTTACGTAGTTTAGTTATTTCTTTATTTTTGCTCTCAAGGGAAGTTGCGTGAATGGGTGAAATTGAACCGGACACAGAGCTTCGACAAGAATCTGAGTCAAAGATTCCCTTGTTCTTTTCCAACTTTTCAATTCTTTTCCTATAATCTTGAATAAGTTTTGATGAGCTGATTCTTGAAAGCTCGTATTCTTTGGCCAAGTATTGATAAGAGAACTTCAAATCGGTCAAGGCGGTTCTATACTCGGCAAGAGTTTTGCTTGAGTCTGTGGAAGGTGATGAAGTAAACAGCTTTTCAGTCATAGAATTGTTAGCAATCACAGTAGTATCTTCTGTTAACTGTGAAGTCGCCGGTTTCAAAAGTACAGCATCAATGCTATGCTGCATCCAACTGAGCTTGACTGCGACATCATCGTCATCTGTGGGAGGTGGAGCAAGTGTAACATTTCTTTGAGCAGCGATACTAGCAATGTGTGCACAGAGTGACTCAAAAAGTTTGGGGGATGAGTGGCTTTGTTTGGTGGGCGACGAAGTCGTTGAAGATGGTAATTTGCCCACTTGATCTTCTGACAAGGTTTCGGTGCTCTGGTCTTCTTCATCAAGACGGCTACGTTTCACATCTTCAATATATCCTAGAAGCATACACGACAAGTTGTGGTTGTTGACTTTTTGTCTTGCGTCATCCAATTCTTTGTTGTTGGAAATTAGTTGGCTTTGCAAAGATGAAACCGTTTTAATTACCCTTATTAAAGTTTCCGAATCCACATTGTCCTTGTACACCACTTCATTGATAAATTGCTGAGACACAGCTATCTTTGAAAGCAAGTATTGTTGTAGTTCTTGCTTTTCCTCAACTTTCTGTTTTAGTTTCTCTATTTCATGTAAAGGTAGAACAGATTCGTTGCCGAGCTGGTCTGAATCAAAGGCTGCATTCTCAATCAAGATCTTCAAATTCATGTAATTGGGCTTGTTTGATTGTAAAAACATGTCAAGGCTATAATTTTCAGCCTCATCGTCATCGGTGGATGTTGGTGTGGACGATAAGCTAGGGATGTTGATCAACGAAGGGTATAACGCAGCACTCGCCTGTAAATGATTATTGAATGAGTCTTGAGACCGAAACGAGTCGTGAAACAAAGATGGTGATGGCCCATTAGGGTTGGCATCAGCTGCCACGTTCAACGAAGACCTGTACTGCTCTTGTAACTGAAACTTTACAAGATCCTGAGTCGTATTTGTAAGGTTATAATGACTTGCTGAATCGTTATGTGTTTGCTTGAACGGGGACTCCTGGTTGAATGCTTGGGTGTCTATCATTTTCGTTGTATTTATAAGGACGTTGATCGTGAGAGCTTACTGATGCATGAAATGGTTCAATTGAACTGAAAATTGTAACGCAGTGTGTTGAGACAAAATATTTGCTATTCTTTGTTTTTGACTTTCGTGTTTGTATCTATAGCAATTAAGTGGGGGAGTAGTTTCAGAAACCAGTGACTTGTCGACTTATTGACTTATTGACTTCAGATTTAGAAGAATTTGAAGTTTAAATCTCTAAAGGTGAAGAAGTTACGTGAAATTAAGAATAAAATAAAATAAAAAAACTAAATTGATTATGTAGAGTTAGGTAAGTAAATATAAGTAAATATAAATAAATAAAAGATTAAAGACTAAGACTTACAACTGACAACAAAGAACGAGAAAAGAAGAAGGAAAAAATTTCAAAAATATCTTCAAATATCTTTTGTGACAGTCGTGTCCATGAGGTCAAAACAGAAGAAAAAGAAAGTAAAGAATTGTCTTGCACAATTTTCAAGACGTGTTTGTGTTTTCAAAAGTATTGTTTAATAAGACTGAACCTAACATCTCTCCAGTTCTTCCTATTGTCTTATAATACTCTGATGACAATAAAACAAGATATAAAAGAATTCTTCTTTGGTTCACGCGTAAGTCCCTCTTGGTTTTTATATTTTTTTCACAATGGAAAGAACAATTGTTCATAGCAAGTCTAGAACCCAAACATAACTGAGCCGAGTTCCCCTTTTTCTTTTCTTTTCTTTTCTTTTTCTTTTTTATTAATTTTTCCCATACGAGAAGGCAAATGTCAGGAGGTAATGAAGGTGCGTTATCTAAAACCTTGAGTGTATCTCACACTGCAGGTACGTCTGTGATACAGGAATAAGGTGGGCGAGTAACACGTTTAAACAGTAATCAGCTAAAGGAGCTGCGCCTCAACTTGCCACAGTTCCAGCAAGAGTAGTTCCTAACCATCGTAAATCCCAGATTGTTGTGGAGTTACAATAAAGTTCAAGTACAATGCCATGAGCTACCATTGCCAGAACCAGATAAAAAAAAATAAAAGAAAATAAAACAACTACAGATAAAACTATATAGAGAGCACAGCGCCACGCAAGCTTTCAGATGCCAGACCTACTATCTCAACAACCATTCACTAAAATTTTACAGAAAAATGAAAATTCCTTTAGATTTGTTACGTTTAATGTAAACGGTGTCAAGACAATTTTTAATTACCATCCGTGGAACAAAATCAACAATGATTTCAATACAATGTTTGATTTGCTACAAGCAGACGTAATTACACTCCAGGAATTAAAACTAACGGAACAATCTTTGAGCACCTTGAAAAATATTGGCCATTTAAAAGATTATCGGTCCTTCATAAGTCTACCGACAAAAAAAAAGGGATATAGTGGCGTTGGACTTTTTGTGCGTATCCCCCAAACGCCAATACAAAGAAAGTATCTAACTGTTGTCAAGGCTGAAGAAGGACTTACGGGTTGGTTATCGGATAAAAGTGGGAAATCATATCGGTTGCAAGATAGTAATATTGGGGGGTATACAGATATTGATGAAAAACTGGGTTTAGATCTAGACAGCGAAGGACGATGCGTTGTTATTGAATTGATAAATAACTGTGTGGTTTTCGCGTTATACTGCCCCGCAAACTCACTGGGAACAGAAGACGGTGAAATTTTCAGGCTACGATTTCTACTGCACTTGTTGAAACGGTGTCACAATTTGAAATTCAACCATGGTAAAGATGTCATTATTATGGGTGATATCAATGTGTGTCTTGATTTGATTGACAGTGCTGAGGGCATCAATGATAGATTAGCAACAAATCAAATCACCGATATATCTGATGGATGCTCGTTTGAAATTGCCAACTACGATGAATGCTGCAAGTTTAAAAAATCGAGACGTGCTCGCGAATTAATGAATGATTACGTTATACGATCAATGGTTCAAGAGAGAACAGATGCATCTATGGGAGATAATTTCCTATATGACACCACGAGGTACATCCAAGGAAGAAGAAGAAAAATGTATACGGTGTGGAACACCTTGACCAGTTCAAGACAAATCAATTACGGTTCAAGAATAGATTTGATTTTATGCAGCTCACAGAATATGGTCAATTGTGTCTCAAATGCAGATATCTGGCCATTCATACTAGGCAGTGATCATTGTCCCGTTTTCACTGATTTTGATCCATGGAATGAAGGTTCAGCAACAGAGGAAATGAACTTGAATGAGAATAACAAGCTTCTTTTTGAGGCCAAATACCACTTTAAATTAAACAAAATGAGAGATATTTCAACGTTATTTGGTGCTGGTAAAAAGAGATCAGTGCAGTCAGATACCGAAACCTCCTCTGGTGTAGATATCACGTCTCTGGAAAAACTGGCAACTCCCGAATCACAATCAAAGGCAGGTGCTGGTATTGCTGCTACAAAGAGACCCAAGTTAGTCTATACGAGTAGAAAAATAGCCGCAAAAGACAGTAAGCCTAGAGCAATAAACGACTACTTTAGCTAGACAAAAATATCCCTCCTCCTCTTCTTTTTTCTTTCGAAAACATTCATTGGCATTTTGTTATTAAAATTTCTATAAAATAACCTTACAACTAAGACTTTCGGAATTCACTCAACACCGGATATATAGCCTCAAAAGCAGCATAGATTTCCTCTCTCTGTTTCGCACCCGTCAACACAATTTTCCCAGAAACGAAAATCAAAAGCACAATTTTAGGCTTCACCATTCTATAAATCAAACCAGGAAACAACTCAGGCTCATATGAAGAGAAAGTACCATGCGAGAATGCCAACCCTTCCAACCTGATGGGAAACTTGACATCACATGAACCAACAATGTTTTGAATCTTAAAGTCGGTAAACTTTGCATTGAATCCCAATTTTTGAATAATACGAGCATATTTTCTCGAGGCCAATTTAGAATCGTCTTCCGACTTGGCACCAGTAACAACCATTTTACCACTAGCAAAAATCAAAGCTGTTGTTTTGGGATCTCTTATCCTCATAATAACAGCAGCAAAACGCTTCGGATTGTACTCGGCATTACGAGCGTGCAACGCAATTGTTTTCAAGTCCAACCGGCAATCTAGATTGACAGTGGCAACTATATTTTGTAAAGTAGGAACAATTCCTGACGTGGCACCATCATCCTCCTGTTGCTTTGACTCGATTATATCAGCACTCTTTTCCTTCTTGACTGTAGTGTTGGTTCCATTAGCATTAAAGTCCTTGTTGTCATTCTCGTCAAGACCTTCTTCGCCATCTATACCTTTAGGAAATAAAATGGAATTTGGAGCGGTAAATACTTTAGCTTGAGCAGCTGTTTGTGGCAACTTTAATGAATCCATGATTGTAGCTTGTTATTTGTGTAAATGCAAAAAGTATAAAAATCTGTGTGTGCTTGTGTGTATATATGTTGTGCGTTAACGCTTGCGTGAAATGGTGCAAAGTTAAAAAAGAAAAAGCCTAATATCTGATATTTGAGATGAACAAGTGAATGTATCCCAAATGCTTAATGAAAAGATAAAAAATAATAATGATAGTAGAAATGTAAAATGAATTTTAATATAATACAAAAGGGTGTGAAACTAATTTAGTAAAATACCCTCTTCCCTTTTTTTTTCCGTGAAAACTACCCCTGACAATGATTTGTTCGGTGCCCCCTATTGATTCTTTTAGTGAGTGAAACCTAAATCAAAATGCAAGACAATAGTGTTGGTGGAAATTAAGGATGATTTAATAATAATATGAACTCCTATAAAAACACACCCCAAATAAGTTAATACTGGAGATTTGATTTTGAGTAATGGGGGTTTATTATACGCAGGATCGCGAAATGAGACTAAAATATTTTTTCGAACGAAAAAGAAAGCAAAAAAAAAAGTGGGAAAAATCCGCTCCTATTTATACTTCTACATATTAGCCGGGTAACTGATGAGCAAACATATAATGCATTGATGCAGACTTTATCATTAGTGGCAAAAAAATAAAAAAGAAAGAAAAAAAGATAAAAAGGAATACAATTGTCATAAAATAAAAATAAAAAAAAAATAAAAAGAAATGAAATGAAAGTTGCGATATGACTTTTTAACGTTATGTAGAAGGTGTTGGTGATGTTCATAGCCACTGACTTGGACTTTAGTGTGTTCATCCAAAATTGAGTGTTTCTTTTGGTTGACATATACTGGACTTTTCTCGGTGCGCTCTTGCACCTTTTTGTTGCTGGGCCTGCATGACTCAAAGTATATATCTCGTTACCGGATTCATTAACGCTCTTTAAGGAGCTTATTTCTCTTTTCCCGTTTCTTCAACCTCTCCACCTTCTTTAGGTGCATCTTTGCTGCCAACTTTTCATGTCTCTCTTTCTCAGCCTTTATTTCACGTCTTCTCTTTAAATCATCGATCTTTTGTTTTTTAAGTGACTCCTTCTCTTCCTTCAACTCCTTCAATCTCTCTTTGTACTGTTGCTCCTGCAACTTCTTCATCTCTCGTTCCTTGAATGAACTCTTTTTAGACACTCCCAATGTTTTCACCCTAAATGCATCCTTTTTTATCTTCCAATCCTTTCCATTAACTCTTGACCCCTCACCCTTGTCCTTTGGAGCAAGAGGATCAATATACCTCTTCGGTATATCTTTGTACTCTAAGTTTGAAGTTGAACTCATACTATTTGGCAGGGATAAACTGAGAGGAAAAGAGATGAGATATTTTACCTTTCTGTTTTTTTCTTTTTCGTTTCGAGATAAAAAAAAAAGTGTGACACTTGTGTGTCACTTTTTATTCTTCCACGACAGTAATTGATAAACTATGTAATGTCAACAAATGTAAGCTCATAAATCACTCATCATAAACAGTGCTTTGCTTATCAATCATCAAGGTTGCAGTCCTGGTCCATTTTCTCGACCTCGTGAACTTACTGAATCCATCTCTGTATCGAGGATGTTCCCACTTTGAGTCGTAATACACCCAACCATCTTTTGATTTAGATTTGTTAAACTCATTGTCCAACTTCCAGTCGTCTTCTATCCATTCCCATTGGTATGAATATATGTCATTTTCAAAAATAGGAAAAGGAAAGTTTTCCTTGTGAACGGTGATTGGAGGTGCCGGTTGCAGTGTTTTTTCGTAGCAGAAATTAGACCTCTCACTGGGGTAAAGCAACGATGACCACCCCAAACCGAGCCATCGTCTTTCATTTTCCAAAATCTCAAACACAACAGTCTGTTTCAATTGAGTTGGGGAAACCATCTTTTTTTTCAAGATTTTGAAATTAGACAATGTAGGTGCTGCAACACTCTTGTCTTCGATGTCACTCGTTGCAGGTGTTTGAACCCTTGAAACTTCTTGGTAATCGCTTGGATCGTATTTTTTGGTCACTTTTACATCCAAGCCAGTGATGTATACAACGACAAGTCTAAGGTATATTGATCTCCAAAGCAACTGTCTGATGGCATACGCATGAGGGCTATGGAATGTTAAGGCAAATAAGCCCGAATACCACAAGAATTTTTGAGGAGGTATTATTGTCTTTACCAAAAACCAATATACTGGTGACAACAAGAGTGTGACGACGAATAACCTCGTATAATTTGTAACCGTGAAGGGAAATTTTTTGATTGGCCTAAAAACCATTTCAAATCGTATTGTGATATTATGCAACGTATACAATACCTCTTCGATTGTAGGCTTTTCATCATACTTTGAATCATAGACAATTGAGCTGATCAGCCACACTATACTGGCAAACGTCAATGCCAAAATAATGGGAAGCACAACGTGGCTAACCATATTCCAATACATCACAACACACGAATAGACAGCCAATATCAAAAAGTTGCGGTAGTGATCCTCATTGGTCCATGTTATTGTCTCTAGCACACCATCTATTAATAGAATGTAAGGAAAGATCTGTGATAGTGCAGTTGCTAAAACCGGCGAGTCGGTCAATAATTTGCTGGTGGGTGTTGATGTCAACAATTTAGTCTCACTAGGTTCAAATGTGGCTCTTAGGTGGTGTGAAAATTCTGGCATTGTTGTTACTGTTTCTGTGATTACACATGTAATGGAGTTGATTTTGAAAGAGAAAGTTGTGTGTTCAAATGATTTTCAAGCTTGGGGTAATGTTGAAGGAAAAAAATAAAATAAAATATAATTGCGAGGTACAATACCTTAATTAACATGTGAAAAAGAAAAAAAATAGAAAACTATATAAATTATTTTGAACGGAATAGGATACTTTACTGGGTTGGTGTGAGACTGGTTCACTTAACATAGATATGCTGAGCAACTATAGGCTATATGTGGGTTAGAAAGGTATGTGTAAAGGGTATAAATGAATTCAACTCTCTATCAAACCGAGCATACAAATTTTTTAATTTTTTGCAGCAATTTATTAGGAAATAATCTTGTTTTACAAAATGAAGACAAATCTACTTGGTATCTTTTAGGTAATTTTGTAAAACATAGATTGGTTTAAGTGATAGAAAGCTGCAATCCATCTGCTGAAGGACTTAGATTACGACCCGCCCTCAAAGATAGAAGTAATTTGTGAAAAATGCCTTTGAAAATGTGGGAAAACCACATCCACTTTGTTCTGCTGAGCTCAAAGTTATTTCCTCTCGATGTGTGAGATATGTTCTATGTCTCAAAACGAGAGGAATAAGTTGTCATTATTGAAGGATCATGAAAATATAAAAATGTCTGTCTGTCGGGATATAAGGTTTTTGTCTGTCTGGTTTTAGTCTATTATTCGCGAAAGTTGGCGAAACCAAAACAAACAAAACAGTGAGTTCCTTAATGGAAACAATCGATATGAGATAAGGATTAAGCAAGTTGATACCTCTTGATTGTGCGGGTTTAGATCAATCTCTTCAAATTTTACATGAATTGCGCATCAGACACATTCCCCGACATTTTTGCGGACATTTCTTCAGACACATTCCCCGACAGCAAAATGGTCACTCAATTCACGTTGTCGAAGACTCCCATGCTCTGAGCTCTATTTTGAATTTAACCAATTGAAGTAATTCGTATAGATGTTGCTTTGGACTGGAAAATATGGAGGCAGTGTCGAAGAAAGTGAATCTGCATTCATGAAGCTTATCCTGACCTTTGAATACGCTCGACTCGCGTTGCTATGACCAGCCCACTTCAATGATTTTGCAAAGCAAAGATACTACATATCACTCACTACTCACTCTGTGCGTGCTGTAAATTCATGTTCGTCTAACTCTACTTAAGATAGTGCTTTCCCTTGAAGGTGATACAAACCTTCATATCGACATATTTCCTAAACAATTTTACATTTGGGAATGTCTGTCTGATTTTTCACATCAAAAGACTGTCTGATGTATTGAATAAAAGACTGTCTGATTTTGCCGATTCAAACCTGCCCATAGTAAAACTCAAGCTGAACATAGTATCTCAACAATGTCATTCGTCAATGAGCGTATACCTGCCCTTTCAGGACTAAATACAAATAAAAATATCGTGCCATACGGCCAAGTGGCCCAAGCTAGTTTGTTTACAAATTGCACTTTCAAGGGATATTGACAACACCATGTAGAAAGTCCACTGTGTTTGGCATTCCTCTGTTTGCCACCATGAGAATTAAAATTTGCTGCAATTTTTTCTTCACCATGTTTGTGTCATTTTCTTTAAGGTTCTATACTGGTGGCAATTTACCAAAAAGGAAATTGCGCCGCAGCATCTCATTACAAACGAAGTTTTAAATTTTTCAATATTTAAGGAGAAAGAACTTCCATTTAATTTTGCAGTTAGAATACAACTAATTCAGTTTATAACTATAGAGATAGAATGGCGTACAATAGATCCAATAAGAGCAAATACAACAAGAAAAGGGGTCACTCAGCTACACCCAAGAGAGGCGCTAAAGTTGCAAAACCTCAAAAACAGCAATACAGAAAGTATTATCATCAACAACCATCAAAAAGATTTGTATACGTCGAAGAGCCGGACAGTGAGGGAGATGAAAGTGAAGACGTTGAAGTAGAAGAAGAAGATGTTCCAGTGTACGGTTATGATGACGAAGATGACGTAAGTGAAGAGTCTTCTTCAAGTGAAGAAGATTCCGAAGGCGACTCCGACTCCGACTCCTCCTCAGAAGAAGAGGAAGAAGTATACGACTTCGAACTTAGACCCCAATACTATGATGAGGGAGGTAATTCCGAAAATGATATCGACTTTATTGATGCTAGCGATGTTGAGTTGGAGTCAGATGGTAATGAGTATTATGTTGGTTTGGATGACAAATTGGTGAGTGCAGACGATGTTGGAGTACCTGAAGTTCACGACTTGAATGATGAGATTGTTGCTTACTACGATGATGAGGAAGTAAGCACAAGCAGCTCAGACTCAGACTCAGACTCAGACTCAGACTCGGACTCTGAAGAAGCCAGTGATTCCGAGGACGATGTTGAAGCAATTGTACACCTTGTTGAGCAAGACGAGAGTTCTGAAAGTGAAGACTCAGAAAGTGACGATGAAGTCATCGGATACTTGGTCGATACCAATAAGTTGAATGAAAAATTGCTCCTTGAAGGTATTAGACAGGAATTTGAGGAAAACTTGGTCAGTCCTGATGAATACGAGTCAAATGACGAAGATTCAGAATTGGGTTCTGAGCCCGAATACATCGAGGTTGACAGTGACGATTCCTCAGACGAAGAGGGAGCAACTGTTTACAAGAGTTTACCATGCACTGAATGCGACTGTGAAGAAGATGAAGATGAAGAGGAGGATGACGATGATGATGACTTGCAAGTAATTAGAGACGATGATAACAAGTTTGAAGTTGTGGATTTGTCTGAAGATTTGGCCAACAGTCAAGACTACCAATTGGAGGAGTTAGATGACGGTTCATACAAATTGAATGTCAGATTCCCATCATTGGTTAGAGATGAATTAAAAATTGAATTTCTCAAGAATGAAAACGAGTTGGTCATTAAAGGAAAGTTGAATTTCAATGGTGCCGAAACTGAAGATGAGGATGAAGTTGCTGATGTAACTGAATTAACTCCAGCAGAGTTTATCAGTTATGCCTTGGATGAAGATGACGACGAAGAAGATGATGAATATGACTATGCTGATCCAGAGGATGTTTCTGAAGAGGAGTACTCGGGGGATGAAGATTCTTTAGTAGCTAGTGGCAAGGAAAAAGCCAGAGCTGAGAAGGCCAAGAGAGATTTTATATTGGCACAGATTGAAGAATTAGAGAAGCAAAATGACTACAATGAAGAATCTGACGACGATTACGAATTTGGCAATGATGCTGAAGACACTGGTGACTTTGAAGGTTTGTATGAAGACGAAGAGGAGGACTCAGAGGAGGACTCAGAAGAAGACTCAGAAGAAGACTCAGAAGATGATTCAGAGGAATCGGAATCTTCCGAAGATGAAAATGACGATGTCGAAGACGAAGAGCTACAAGAAGATGCAGAAGATCTCATTAACGAGTTTAAGAATCAAGAAGTATTCTTCGAAAAACATTTTCAGTTTGACAAAGTAATCAAATTCAACAAAATCAAGGCCAAGTTTGTTGGTGATGATGAATTGGAATTGATAATACCAAGCAAGGATGTTACCGTTGAGGCTGACAATTCTTTTGCCATTACTGTTGATCCATCCGATGACGATGAAGAAAGCAGCACTACTGAGGAAATAGATGGAAATGTTCCAGTATTGCGTGATTTGGATGAGCTTTTGGAAGCTGTTGAAGCAGCTTAGTGGACATTCAGAAGATCTAACTTTTATTTCGGTGTTGATTTCAATTTATATACACATTTAGATGTAATATTAAGTTTCATTGTTTTGTTTATAAAGTCCACGTAAATTTGCTTTTCTTCTCTTTTTTTGCAACAGTTTTCATCAACCAACCCTTTGGGCTCTTCCATCAGCTATGTTCAAGAATAGAAAAGAGAAGCAGGTACTATATGAAACCTTGGCGGGAGTTCAAGACATCAGCACGTTACCTGCAACAAGTTTGAACTTATATTCCAGTTATAATCATGGTTTAGATTCGGGAAAAGAGAACTACACCACTTTCGATATTTTCATTGCCCATGTTTTCAAGATTTTGCTTACTTATATTATCTTTGTTTACATGAGGTTGTTTGACATACATGAGCTAATCTTGCACTCAGTTGAATTGCTCCGTATTTTGCGTTTGGATATTAGGTATTTAATTCACGATTACGTCAAGATTCTTTCACTGCTGTACTTTCAAAACTTGTTAACCGAAGTACTGTTCTACTGGTACGTTGTCACTTCAATACCGGGTCTTTTCTGGAAAGTATTCAACCCATGGTCAGGCACTCCCATTGGATTAGACAAATTTTTGCAACATATACCCAAAACCAACACACCGTCCTCACTTTGTTTAATTTTGCACTACCACCCACCATTATTGAAACTCCCACCAGATATCCCTCAACCGTATTTGGACTCTGATAGGAAGATTCAAGTGCCACAGAAAAAGGATGTGCAATATGCCATTGCAATCAGAAGTGAGTACTTTGCTCAGTACCAAGCTCATGTTGCTTCTGAGAGGGTAAGATTGTTACGAGAGATGGGTCGGTTCATCACTTGGTGTTGCTTGGTTCCGTCTATTGAGAGTTTAACCATTGTTGAAAAAAAGGCAATCTGCTGGGAAGAGGAAGCCGATTATATTGATTCCGTGAAAAATGCGATTTTGGTAGAGTTGGTTGCCTTGAGCAACACTTGTGAGCCAGAGGAGTTGGCTAAACTTAAACTGCTTTTACCACAAATCGTTCTTGTAAACAAATTCTCCAAAGCAATGTATACCATAAATGAGAATGAAATTCAGTCGCGAGAAGCCACACATCAAGAAGTCACTTTGGATGAAATAATCACTTCATATCAAGATCAACGAAAGCTCACTGTCGTCTTATGCGATTCTCGTGTGAGAACCACAAATTACAAACTTGTGACATCAAAACCTGATGATTTAAAGGCTGATGATCCCGAGTTTAACAATCAATTTCCACCTACGCCCGAGTACATCATTGCACCTAGAAACACCCGCGGGATGAATCACCTGCTTGAAGGATATGCCTGTATCGATGAAGATCCAAATATGCTGAATATGGCCGTTGTGCACTTTTTACACCTCAAATTCGGCTTTGCATTCTTTTCAAGAGCGCTTTATCACTATGCTTTGGAGAAACATTATGCACCACCAACCAAGGAAGAGCCCCTAGCTAATAGCACTTTTATGAATTAGGCCGTTGTGGGGGGGGGGGGGGGGGTCTTTCGAGCTGTAGCTACAATTAAACATGTTGCAAAAAGAAGAAAAAGANCCTGCGAGCTGTAGCTACAATTAAACATGTTGCAAAAAGAAGAAAAAGAAAAGTTTGTGTTTTGCATGACATGTTCTCGCTATGTTTTACCGTTTTCGTCATGTATAGTCTATATATTGTATTGCGCTGTGCTGTGTTGTCTTGTTCCTTTTTTTTTCTGGCTGAGAAGATAAAAGAAAAAAAAGTGTTATTTAGTGCGCGCCATAAATTCGAGCAAAGCTTTATATGTTTCTGACACACTTACATCTATTGGAAACTACCAACAAGAGCTATCGATAACTAGTATCACCAACCTACTACGTGACTATATTTCTGAAGATATTACAGCCCTCTTGGCACTACGTGTTAAATATGAAACAATGTCTCGGAAGATTATATAGTATCTACCTAGCCACGCCCAAGTTGTACCAATGTTCCAACAATAAACAACTAATCAACAAGTACATCCAGACACACGGCAGCAACTACACTTATATACGACGTTTCACTACCTTTCAACGACTAAATCAAGAAATAAAGGGTAAACCCACGTCAAATCCAAAGAATATCAACAGCAATACTGATGTTAAAGGCACGAAGCAAACCGAGCAATCAAAACCAGCAAGTGGCAGCAGCACTGACGCTGCCTCCAATACCAGGCCAAGTCTCAACCTATTGCACAATGAGTTGAGCAACTCTATAGTACCAGGCGAGGCCAAGGTGATACCCGAAGGTTCATGCAAAGAAGATTTCTTAACTGAGATATTTGACAATTTAGAACCATACATTGACACATATGAGGTGTTCACACGACTTACCGAGGCAGGTTTCACAGAAGCCCAAGCTGACCTGATTATTAAATTACTTATATATCAATTAAACTCGAAACTATCAAAGTTGTCTACGATATATGCCCAAAAGTATGAGATGGAGAGTGAACAATATTTATTTGAAAGTGCTCAACAGGAAATCTTGGTTGATATAACTCGCAGCAGAGAACAGCATATCAATGAGCTAATCACATTGGTTAACATCTTGGAACGTGATTTCAACATCATCTCCGACGAATTAAATAATGACAATTTAAAACTCCGCAATGATTCGCAAGTGGCTATTCATGAGCAAAAATCAGAAAATACATTGAATGTCAAGAAATTATTTTTACGAATCCAGGAGACGAACCATAAGATTACAACTGAATTGGATTCGGCAATTAGATCGGAAATCGAAAGTTTGCGATGGTATTTGTCGCGTTGGGGGTTGATTACATTGTTGGTATCGCTATTTCTTGCCAGTTTGATCTTTTTCAGTAACAAATCCAAGAATGAAAAGAATGAGGCCAAGAAGGAGTTTGTCCCCTTGGTTATTCGCGAACCTAGTGAGTATGACGAGGATGATTATCATACGGACTTGGATAGATCGAGTGTAGAGTAATTTTATTTAATGTAGGAATATAAATGAGTAGAAGAAAAATTAGAACCGATTTTAAAACGATTGCTTCAAACAAAAAATGCCTTCTTTTCTAGCAATTGCCTTCTTTTCTTCTTGAAAGTACATCTATATCGTTGAAGATAAGCACATTACACTCAACCAACGAGCACAATTACTAAGCTACTATTGCCATCAACATGTCTGAAAGCTGTGAAACAGACGTATCGCAAACATGTAAAGCCAAAGCATGCGCAATTCAAGATTGCCTTCTACGTAATGGATACAATGAGTCGAAATGCACCACTTACATCGACGATCTATATAAATGTTGCAAGGAATTCTACGAAGAACATGGCTCTGATGCTAAAAGCGTTTGCTGTCCCAAATTCAATCTACTACAATTGAAATTGCAACAACGGTCATTAGGAAAGATCGATGCCAATATGATCAAACAAGGTAGAGCATAGTCAGCAATAGGACATGCACACACGCACAGACACACACTATACATATAAATACTCCCTCAATACACGGAAAAAGTACTTCCCACTCTATACATGATATTACAAAAATGTATGTTTAGAACCGCGTAGTCAATCCATCTAAGCAAAACAAATAGACACGAACAAAACAAGGCTGGTAAAAACATTCGATTTATGGCCTTAACCCGAGCACGAAAATAATCACATAGTGATTGTAGTTAATATGTAGAAGAAAATACCATATAAACCGTGACTCTAATGGGCGCCAATAATTAAAGACATTGATGAAGAAGAAAAAAGAAGAGAAGTGTGAAAGAGGTTTGAAATTTTTTTCCTCTCCTTTTTTATTCGCGAGAACGTCTCTGGATGGGTGTGAGATGAGAAAACGAATTGTCAATTGCACACGACCTTTTGGATATCAAAGCGTTGCAGAGTGAATGAACCAGCTCTCTACACCACACAGCTCAACTTGATCTACTATAATCTGATTTCATCTCTATTTACTTTTACGATTCTTGTCATATTCCATAGTGTCAGGCAAGTACGGTTTAAATTCTAGAATAATCACAAATGTTAGTAAGAAATCCTTCAAAGGTTTTGGCAAAGATTATACATACCTGATTTATCATCGAGCCATAAATACTGGCCCGTGACATTCTTTATTGAATTGTCGGCTTTGACACTCTTTTCAAATTCTTTAATTGAATCGTCTAAATCCACGGGTTTCATCCCAGCATCAAGTAATTGTTTCCTCAACATGGCAATGTGTAACCCCATTTTGAAATCTCGTTTAGCCACTTCTCTTCGTTCTTGCAACATAACCAAATCTCGTTTCTTTCTTTCTTGTGCATGGTTTAATTGCTGTACTTGTAGAGCCTTTAAGTTTATTGCCGTTGTGTCATGATGAAGCTTTTCAATCTTGATTCGTTCGGTGTAATTGTCGATGGCGAGATACGCAAGGGCAAACATAGCTAATAGCCCAGTCACTTCACGAATTGAGCCTTCATGATTGTTGGAAGTTGAGGGTTGTTGTAAAGTAGACGATGGGGGTGATGTTGCTGTTGTTGTTGGTGTTGGTGGTGGGGACGAGTGTCCAGTGGTGGTGCTGTTGATATTGTACGTTTGTGGAATTTCGCCCGAGCTGAAATGAGACGGTGGCCGGTTTCCTGAGCTTAGAAATCGAGTAAGGCCTAGTCTTGTGCTTGTCTTTATCATATGTGCTGGGATTCAAACGTGGCGGTACAGTGAAAAATACTGGACTATACTGAGCCTTATTGCTTTATGTTCTTTTTTCTTTTTTTTGGGTGACACGATTCCGCGGCTGCAACTTTTTATAATTGGGCTGCGAAATAATTTGCCGAGAGCCACGTTGTTGAACGAGGTGGATAGCCTAGCAATGGCTGGTTTTTTTAAAAAAATTACTAACTCTATTAATATATTACCTAACTGTTTACTTTTTATCTTTCTTTTTGGACAAGAAGTGCAAATTATGTAAACTCAAACTAGAGGAGGTCCTCATTGGAGCACCGGCTTGTCTATCGGAAGCACTACGTGATAGCTTACTCACATTCGATGCTTCACTTGCATTGTTAGGACTCGATGCTCTGATATTCACAGGACTCGTTGACAACGAATTGCTTGACGATCCAACACCGTTATTACCTCCTGCTGGTCTCAATGAATGTGACCCATTGCCTCCCATTGAAGATGCTAGATTATTCGATGATTTGCGCGATGGGATCAAGTTTGATAAACTTGTTGATGATACGTTACGTGAAACAGATGGGGAAGTGTTGTTTGATGGTGAACGAGCACCAGCTTTGGGAGTACTGGGCCCTCGTTGTGGTAAACTTGGACGAAGTAATGATGATTGATTATTTTGCAACAAGTTTCGATTCACCTCATTCAAGTTAAAGTGTGAATCAGGAGACGGTGGCTCGTATGCTGGAGAAACGTCATCATCACCCGAAGCAGCACTCTTCATTGCTTGACTATAGGAAGGAACACGGGACATATCACTATTATTAAGTACACTGGCATCTGAGTTAACTCGCGATAAATGTACCGGCGGTGTCATTATATGGTCTTGCAAAAAACTACGATTCCTTGGGAGGGAACCCGACCCACGAGTGAAGTAATCATTACCTGGCAATGAATGAGGAGTTGAATGTTGTTGCGAGTCTTCATCGTCTAAATTGAAAGTTGCTCGACCGTTTCTAGAGCTTTGTGAATGGGCTTCAGCTTCTTGAGCTTGTCTCTGTAAGCTCAATTGCCTCAAATTCTCACTCAATGCATTTGAATCCAAGGGCGACATGGAAAACTGGCCCACATCACCTCCATAATACCCACCTCCTCTACTTCTTGGAGTTGAGGCTCCTGAAGTCAATGGCGTTTCTATAGGAGAAACGTCTGACCATAATCGATCGTAAATGTGTTGATCATACACCGGTGGTGCCACCAATCCTGTAAGCGAGGTATGTGAATTACTAGCTGAATTTGCCGCACTGCTATTGGCTCGATTATCTAGTCCACTCAATTGATCATATGAATCACTAGTGAATAAAATATCCTCCTCGTTGTTTTCATTTGGAACCGAATCAACATCGTGTTTAGAACTAACAGTGACAAATGGAGAAATAAACAATTGTACCGGCAATGACGCTCTCAACTCGGATACATGATTATCAGGATTGACCAAACCAATACCAAATTTCAATTTGTGCCTCACTTTTACATGCAGTTGCAAATCGACATCTTGGCAACACTTTGATAAACTGGCTGGAATCCTCAAAAATGTTTCGATTTCCCATTTGTCCATATTGAAGCTATCGGGATCGGGTTTGGGAATCTTTTTAGACGCAATGACCCTTTCGGCTTGATGCATGGGGGGCACATTGCCAACATATGAATAAAACTCAACCAATTGGATTTTGATTTCTCCCAAAGTCAAACCTTTAAGTAAAGGAACAAGCATCATACTAATTGGCGTTCCACTTCCAATAGCCAAGGCCCGCGTAGGACAACTTAGAGAATACTCAACTTTCTTAGGCCAGGTGTTATCCACAGCGATGGTTTCTGACAATTCAACAGCATCGGTAGTCAATGTTCTAACAACACGAAGATGTTTCTTTGTCACCAATGTGCTATGGAATTTGCCTCGATCAATGGTTGCTTCCAATTTGTAGACCGATGAACATCCTGGCAATCCCTCAATTGATTCGGGCATATCTCCTGGTAAAATTGCACTGAATGGGATTTCATAATTGCCTTGCACCAACACATGATTACCAGCACCCCCTGAAACTGTGGTTCTTGGCACATTTGTTGAACTGCTGCTTTGGCTAGACAACAAACTATGACTTGATTGTGATAATTGTGACAAATTCAATCCACTTCTTGACCTCAATCCTTTGAGCGACGTGGAGGAATTATTTTTTGACAAATGTGGCACTGAACTTGAACTGTTTTCATACATGTGATCAAAATACTGATTGAATTCATTTGAATCCCAGTCATATTCATAAACTTTCTTGGAGAAATTCAACATTTTCCGACTTGTTCCAGCAGCTGCAGATGAAGCTGATGTTAAATCAGCACGTAATTTTAAATTTGCATAGAGCCGAAGGGTAACTTTCTTAACATGTATTGGTTCATTGACCGATAATGCGATATTTCCCGACAACAATGCTGATGCAGCTTCGTGTGCACTTCCCTTTAACACGAGCACGTCATGTTCAAGGTTTTTCAACCTAACTTGGAATAAAGACGTCGATTTGGATGTATTGTGTTGTTTCTTCAACATAGCGGAAGCGAGGGTGTGTGATTAACTAAGGATGACGATTGGCTATGTCGTTGTAATATACTGAGCGATGGAAAGGCAAAGCCGTTGCGTATTTCGGACTTTTCAAAAGCCGGTACTTCTTGCAAGACGTTGATAGCAATACCGTTTCTCTTTGTGGTAAAGTCAGGTAGTGCTTTACTCTTTTTGATAGTCAAGTCTAGTTTTGAACTAGTTGATGATATGGTAAACTGTTGTGTAAAAGAAAGAGAAGTGTAGCTTTAGTTTTAAACAATTTTGTTGTTGACTTTAAAAAGTAGGCAGTTCATCCGTGATGTTTTATTTCACAAAAGAGAGATAAGTCAGAAAGAGAGAAAAAAGAAAAAAGGAAAAGAAAAAATAAAAAAAGAAATTTATTAATCAATCAAACAAAAGATGAATCATTTGAGTCAAGAGAGAGAGAGAGAGAGAGAGAGAGAGAGAGAGAGAGAGAATAATAACTAGCCAGAAGCAGTTCCAGGGCTATAAATTTTCAACATTTGGCTGGGTGATAATGTCTTCTACAGTCGAAGCCTTGTAAAATTTTGTTAATGGGATGCATAGGGGTTTATTTGTACAGAAGGGAAAAGGGTCAATGCGATAAAAAGAATGCTCGGGATTTTTCCGTGCGAGGCTGCACCTGAAACCCTGAAACAGCTTTACCTTCAATCAGCAAAGAGCAAACAAAGAACAGCCAACAGACACATCGAGACAGACATACTGGGAGACTGGTTCTGCCAAACAGGGTCTGCATTATGTCTTCAACTTCAAACAGGAGAAATATTTTGCCCTCTATGCCAATGATGTGATATTGTTCGTTCACACACACTGGCCGTTAAAAAGTTTTTCCGTATCGTATTTCAAATTTAAAAATTTCTTTTTTTTTATCCATTTTTCTTTATCGGTTTGGACTTGTGTTTGGTTTAAAAGAGATGAAGAAGAAGAAGAACACTGAATGATACTAAATACATACATTAATTTATAATATACTGTTTGATAAACATAAAACAGTTGAAGCAGTTCTTTTACGCCAAACATTTGTTCACCTCTAACCCCTTGTAAGAAATTCCTCTGTAAACTTACTAAGTCTGCAAGATCAAGAAAACTATGGAAAGATACGTTTAATGTATGATGATGTTTAACCTTTTGTATATTGGTCTAGGTTTCCCTAAACTCTCATTGACCAATACACTCCAAGAATTAGTAGGCTTTCCTTCAAATATAATAAAACTCAACTCCACGAGTTGTGGAATAATGGTGAGATCACCTTTGAAGATGACGGTGCATATTCTATCATATAATATTCTGACACCTAATGCATATCATTTATGGTTGAAGTTAGGAAATTAGCCCCGTGGTAACTCAACAAAGAACCCCAGCTACTAGCTCAACCAATTCAAGACCATTATATAGAAAAATACATTGTATACCGAAGCTCTGTTAAAATAGTTTTCTTTTGTAATTTGGGAGTTTTGCAACACTATTTATTCTTTTTCAATCTTTTTGGAATTTCTTAGTCTTTATACAAAATAGATATAAAGAAAAATTCTGGCAACAAATTTTGTAACGAGTAGCAGTGCGCTGGAGCTCTCGCGATAGAATTGTTGTAACCACTGCTCTAATCATATCACGTGTAACTTACTGCTGGATCACATACCATCTGTTCCTTAGGAAAGTTGCATAGCTTACCCCAGTATTGATTATAGCTTTGGTTGCATTTGCAAAATGGGAGACTGGCACTACAATTATACAATGTTAGTAAAACAAGAGGGGTAAATCTCACTGCTAACCTAAGCTGTGCATAATAGAAACAGTAACTACCTGGTTTGACAGAAGGAATATAGCCATTTAATGACAGCTTACCTTTCTATTCTTTGTTGTAAGACCATAACATCTGTAGATAAGAACTGATATTAATACAGGTAAGATAACTATATAATGCGACTGATCCCTTTTGGTAAAAGTATTTATTTATATTTTTCATTTGTCCGGAGTTTTACCACCAAAATTAACTTCCAGCTGGTAATACTATATTCAACATTTGTGATGTAGGGGAGGCTCTTTACATTATTCTGAGGCTACCTTTATAACTCGCTGCAGAAGTGAGTCATTCATTGAAATGGGCTTATTACCTTTGGAGCAATGCTACACAAGTTTGATAATACTAAAGATTAACACAATCTGTTGAATGCCAAAAATATTTCATTATACATTTTAGTGACAAATTATCTCTCGTCTTCTTTTAGTCTTGCAACTAGACTTGTTGGATCTCGCTTTCGTCTAATCCATAAACAAAAGAACAGACAATAACTACAATTAACAATGAGAATTAAGCGTATTCATAAGCCAATATTGTGGATCTCGTAAAACGGAATTAGCACGAAATTAATAAATTCATAACCAAAGAAAATGGCTGGGTTTGTTTAGGCTATTCACATGTGAGTCCTCTTTGGCTGAAGAACAGACATCAAAGGAGGCCTTTACGTATGCGTGGCTTGTCGGGATTAATCATTCATTAACCTGAATTCAACACAAAGTTGGATTGGTAAAAAGGGTGTCCAGTCTATATAATCCAGGTACGCGTTTTCTCAGCTAACCTCCTGAAAAGTGAAAATGATAAAACCAGAAGCAAAATCATTCATTGGAGTAGAACAATTGCCCAATTAGTCAAATACACCAAGCTTTTGTTGACATATTTTTCTTCTTTGTTCTTTGTTTTTATTTTATTTTTTACTTAGCTCCTGTCAAATCAGTTGAGGTGCACAAGAAAATGAAAGTGTTGTACCCTTTGTAAGTAAGATTCAGTGTCTACGGCAAACAAGTATATATGTTTGTTTAATTGTACTATCGCTTACGAAGATTTTAGCCAGCCCTGTCCTTGCGATAACTTTAAATTTAATTCTTTTTGTGACTGAAAAAAGAAAGTTTAGTTCAAAATTTGTTCTTTTTCAAGGTACGTCCAGAAATACTTTACCCTATCTAGATGTAACAGAGTAGAATGTCAAGGTTGGTTAGTCAGGTACGCATACATTATATTGTAGCTAGGAATTGGGTTGCATCAAGAAAAGGTTTGTTTCTTTCCTCAGGTTTATTATCGAAGAAGCTCTTCCAGCTAAAAGGATTTATATGTCTTTGTTAAGAACAACTGCCTCTTTTCGTTGATTTATTTGTTGAAGTCAGGAGTGATAGATACAACCACGGACCGTTCCTGTTACCCATTTCCGATTCTTCATTCCAACCCAAACAATCCTTCATTACGTACTCTGGTCTCTATATGTACAACCGGTTGAAACAAAGCGGGAAACAAATTAAAGTTTTGAAACCACAAAAACAGCAACAACCAAAAAAGACTGAGAAAAGAAATCTCTTTTCAGATATCAAAACCAGCCATGTTTTCTAATACAACAAAGCACACCACAATATAACACAGATTATTGAGCTTCCACTATCCTTTGTTCCAGGAGCTGGTTTCAGAAAAGTAAACACCGAAACATACGAAATACAACAATGATCAGACAAACAAAACAAACAAACGAACTTCTTTGTTTTCATTTATTTAGGACAACATTATTTTGTCGTCAAAAAATTATTGTAAGCACAGATAACATATAGAAAGCTGGCTTTTCAAGTATCTTCATCTACATTATCCACAAGACTCATCGTCAAAAGGGTTTATATTTAAATTTTTCGTATCTTGTTTCTTATTGTCAACAAAATTAGTTTTTTGTTTGTGTTCCTGGTTTTTTTTCCCATTTCTATTAAATTACTTGCATTAGCTCGCTGGAGGGAAACGTCAATATATATATATATATATAGTACCACATCCTCCCATCCTACCCACATTATATCCTATTCTTTTTTTTTATTTCAACTACATTTCTGTCGTTGTTCCATCATCCAAGCCATTTTGCTTAACCACTGTGGGGAGAGGCATACATACCAACCAAGACAAAGCACCCCAAAACACACACCCCTCAACAAAACCACTAGAACTTTTCATCATCATCATTCCATCATTATACGGTAATTTTGAACCTGTTCCACGCTCATTACTCACCCTAGTCTTTCATTAAGTACCACCAACTTTTGCATAATCTTATTTCTTTTTATTGTCATTTATCACAACTTTTCAATTCAAAGGTTTCACCAAAGTTCCCTATTTGCATATTTTATAACGGACTAAGAGTAAAACCATCTTCCCCAACCTTTAATGTCACATCTTAGAAGAGCCCCCAATTTTACATATTAATCAAACACTGTTTATTTTTTTTTTTTGCATTATTTTCTTTCACACCTCAAGCCATTCACCCCACATTATTGATCTTTTAAACAATTATGAGTTATAATCCGACCGAACCATTACCTTATGATTCATCGAGAAATTGTCCCATTTACAATCCATTTTCATCATCTTCCTACTCCAACGAAGAAGTAGAAGAAGAAGCTGTTGGAGAAAGTACACCATTGAAGAAAGCTAGGAGGGTCGTATCGTCAAATTCGTTATCGGCGTTTCTACAAAGATCAAGAAAAGGTAGAAGGAATGTGAGTACAAGTGGAAATAGCAGAAGGTCAAGTCAATGGTTGACTGGTGATGAAATATACAACTCCTCCTACTCATCTCCATCGTCTTCTGATTTAGAAAGTTTACCTGATTTGACTGACGACGATGTTGATACTCCAGAAACAACACCAGTGAAACCAGGTCATAAATTTACATTCTTAGATACAATCTCACCAGGAAAGAAACTTGTTTTCACGGACGATGCCATCACCACCACCACTACTGCTAAAAAGCAAGAGACACATGCATTTGATAGAAAGAAGCAAACCAAAATTTCCATATTTGACATACCTGAACTTGTCCATCGTATTCTTTTATATGTTGAAGCACAGAATGACTGCCAACCACACGAAGTCACTCCAATCCGAAGAAAGCCGTTGAGTTATAACCATGCATTGTTGATTTATGGAGATAAGCATCTGGCCCAACAAGCAATGGCTGCAGAAGATAATGGACTATCACAAAACAATACCCACACAAGTCCTTTATTCAATTGCCTTCTTGTTAATAAATTATTCAATAAAATTGCACGAGAGTTGCTTGCCACCAAGTTTTACTTTTCCAATGATGTTCAGTTTAGTAAATATGTCGAAACCACCACCACCCCAAGCACATCTACATTTCAATTCCAACCACAGCTGTTTAGTCTCCATAAACTATTTCACACAAACCAACTTTTATTCAACCAAGCAATAATCAACGTAAATTTCCTTCATCTCACTTCGTTTGAGTTGTTTATGTGCCCCAAGATATATCCATCATGGGAAATATTCCAATCATGCGGATCAAAACTACAATCTTTAATAATTACCGGATCCAAAACGATTGATGACAAGTTCTGTTATATGGTGAGCCACTTTTGTCATAATTTAACCCATTTGGACCTCCGTGCGTGTGAATTAATCACTGATTCTGGATTATACCACATTTTCAAAGCCAACTCCAACTTACAATCGGTCAACATTGGTCGCAAAAACAAAGGATATTTAATCACTGATGCTTCGATTGCCGTTCTAGTTAGAAATAATTGCCATTTACATACATTGGGACTTGCTGGTACATATATTTCTGATATTATGTTGTGGCATATTGGCCAATTAAAGAAACTAGAGCGATTATCATTAAATAATTGCCCCCGATTGACCAATTCTGGAGTTGCCAATGTGTTGAATCATACCCGATTTTTTCCTCATTTGACGGTGTTGGAATTGAGATTTAATTTACAATTGACCGACTTGACTAGTTTAATTCATTTCAAAAATAGAAAGAATTATCAATACTATCATCATCATAAAGGAGTTGATGAGCGTGCAGATGGTAACAGTGAGTTGTTACTAGTTGAACTATGTGAGACTCTCATGTATAGAATGAGACGCCAAGAGTTGGATTTAGATAAATTAATCTCCAGCAAGATCATGAATGATATTTTGTATTGGATTAACGATCGATGGGAAAGTGATGGTGATTTGCCATACATGGAATTGTTAAATAGCAGAAAGAGAAAGCGCCAATAGATATTTGTGTTTGCCCCAAACTGTAAGAAAGTAATTGTTGTAAGATTTATTTTTCGCAGCTTTAACAGAAACCAGGTCACGTGAGCAAGGTAGTATATATCTCTCCGTTGTTTTTATTGTTTGCTAAAATCAGAAACAAAGTGTCATGCCAAAACCTTTCCAGACAATGACCAACAAACTTTACCCCTCAACAAAGATAGCAAGAAAAAGCTAATTATAAAGATCAAAAAAGAATGCCTCAAGTGTTTGGCTGTCGCACATTTCCGAATGAAAAAAGAAAAACAAAAAACTTCGTGTAGCAATGATAATAATAATAATAATAAGACGATAGTTGCGTCGTATCATAATAGCAAAAGGTTAAAAAGAAAAATATAAAACACAGATGCAAGTGTATATAGCTAAATTTAGACAATAATAAATATTGTATTATTATTGTTGTTGCTGACTACGACAGGGGTATGTATGTGGAGATTGAAGATGGTTAGATGATCACTCAAGAGGATATATATTTATGTGGCTCCTTTTTTAAACTGCGAGAGGCGGTCAAAAGTCAGAAAAAAAAAAAAAAAAAAACATAAAAAGGAATTCACTTGAGGCGAATGTATACAGTAAAAAGAAGGGGGTGGGGTGGAAGTGGGGGGGAGATAGATTGTTTCCCATGTTCTAGAACTATGGATGTGCGTGTGAATGTGTCAAGAAAAACAAAGGAGTGCATCCTGTATATAATCGAAAAAGTACTATTTTGAAATTTATTCAAATTGGTAACTAACAAAATACATAACAATTAACCTATAAACTATTTTGTGTAATTATATAATTGTAGTAGAAAAGAGAAGTTTTACTTTAAAACCAAATTCATTAAATGCCTTAGCTTAACATCAACTAAACTGAATTGAACTCAACCCAAATCAAAACTATTCATTCTTTATATAATACAAGAGATCTTTTTATTTATTTTTGTTTACCATAGACAAAACCCCATTTTACGTTCGTTTATTCAAAGTATTACTTTACTACATTATACCCTCCCCCCCCAAATCAATCAATCTCATCGTCTAGAACACCCACCCATTACCAACAGAAAGACCGCCTACCTCGCTACAATTACCATATGCGTCTGAACTCCAAAACTTTAAAGCAGCAGCCATCGAAACTAGATCTAATAGATGACACTACACTAACGTCATTACCATTCCCTCCACCTCCACCAATCAAACGACCATCAGCAGTGGCTTCTCAAAGTTTATCGTCAACTACCACAGCCAGAGGGAGAGGAGGAAGAGACTCACCATTGAACCAGCTACGTACAGTTAAATCGAACCACTCTAGCGTCAATGGCCCTATGGAGACAGAATATGTGGGTGATTTAAATTTTGATAAAGTTGGTGGCGAAGATGTAGAAGACGATGAAGACTATTATGAATACTCCTATGAAGAAGAAGACCCCATTGTGTTAGTAGAAGATTACTTGTCACTAAGAGAATCAAGTCCTTCATACACCACCGCAGATACATCTCCTGCTACCTCGTCGGGTATGACGTTGTCAACATGCTCCACAAGTAGCCAACACCACTTACTACGTCAGAAATCACTAGCTAATTTCAAGAAAAGAGTTTTATCCACCAGCTCAAACAATTCCACTGATACTATAATTTTGCAGTCAGAAGACAGGAGGGATAGGAACACGATAATAAATAGTTGCGGCTTACAACCACCACCCTCATCCTCCTCCTCCTCTTCGATAGCACAACAGCAACAACAACCCCGTCAACAGTCAGATGATTTACAAGCAATATTTGGCGACTTGCCCTCTTTTCATCTTCTTAAACATTGTGACTTATGTGACAAACCACTATACGAAATATCATCCATTATAAACTCCAAATCAAACTTGAATTTAAACTTAAAGGAATTTGTTTGTGGCGATTGTATTTCAAATTATGAAGTTTTCATGACTGAATTCATCCAAGAACAGCAATTGAATAACAAAAAGCAACCAATTGATCAAGATGTGGTGAAGGAACCAGCTTCAAAAAAGATAAAGAATACTAAATTTTGGCATGTGTTGAATCACATTTCGAGTAAATATAACGTGAGAAGAGAAGTTGTATGAGATGGAAATACATCTCCATAAATCATTCATTGAATTCAGATGATAAATTAGAGATAGTATCTCTTCCCCATAATTATACCCCTCTTGTCACTCACAACGAGAACCAAATCTATATAAATCACTAGACAATAATGTACATCTAAAGTTCTATCATACACAGCTTTCCTCTCACCGACTCATACCTTTTCCAGCAACACTTCGTCCATTCCAGGTATACTAGCTCCCTCAAGATACTCCGGTTCACTCTCATCAAGATTGCTCTTTGGTCCCGAATATACTCTGTATCCCCATGTAAAGTAATAAACCAAGGACAATATCCATATTCCAACGTTAATCACAACAGTATAATTCATTGAATCCTTGTCAACTTTCTTTGAATCGGGGAACATTGTCAAAACAATGATGAAAACTAACCAACCGCTTGCCACAATGCAAATACCGGTACTGACCCACTTGCCAAAGTAAAATGGTCCAGGGATGAATTTCTTTCTTCCGTAAGGTAGCAAAACTAAAACTACTGGCATACCCCAGGCAAGACTATTTGAACAAATGGCTAATGAGAATAAGGCTCCTGATCCTGCAGTACCATTGATAAGAACAAGCAAACCCAAGATCAAGGCCAAGATTCCAGCAAACACTGATGCTCTAACGGGGATTTTAATCCTAGGGTTGACATATTTAACATATTGGTAAACTATTGGCAATCCGTCATCTCTAGCAAACGACCAAATTTGCCTCGATAATGCAATTGTTATTGAAATGGTCATGAGATATTGACCAACAGCAATCAATGACATAAATGCCACTGCCCACTTCTTTCCCAATGCGTCATAGATAATCTGTGCCATTGGTGATCCAGTAGCTGTATTCAACACACGAGCAACATCACCATCTTTGATACATGCAGCACATACAATAACTACAAACCAACCCAAGAACCAACAAGCTGCAATGGAACCTAATATTCCCACTGGGATAGACCTCTGAGCACTCATGGCCTCCTCAGAACAATGGATCACTGAATCAAAAGCACCGATAACCCATACTGCTGGCTGTAAAGAAATGAAAAAGCTCCAGCCAATACTCCAGTCTCTGGCATTCTCAAAATTGCCAAAAATGAAACCCCTTGAATTGAAATTGGAGCCGAATCCAGCCGGCACAGCAATTAAAAACAACAACACAAGAAACACATTGACAATTATTGATGCTGTTTGTAAAGAAGCAGCATGTTTCGTTGTCAAGCATGCAATAAACACATTGCTAATCACACAAGCAGCAAACACACCATAAGCTTTACCATTAGTGATGTCAAAGTCGCCATCTTGTGATAATGAAACTGCCGATAATACTTCAGTAGCAAAACCATAACTAATACTGCACAATCCACCAATCAATCCAAGTGAGTTCGAACATCCAATTAGAAAACTCAATGGCACTCTGATACTGTCGGGACAATAATAGTTTGTATAGTAATACAACCCACCACTTGTAGGTATAGCACTTCCCAAGAAACTCATTGAAAGGCCGACACTGAAAATGAAGAAACTAGCAATGAACCAGCCCCAAACAAGTCCAGCGGGGCCTGCTTCGAGACCCTGTGCCAAGACTGATGCGATACTTGGTAACAACCCCATAATTGAAAAAGCTATTCCAAACACTTGCAACGTCGAATAATGACGCCTTAATTCCTGCTTGTAACCAATTTGATTAAGTAGATCCTCGTCACCGGCGTTATGTTGCGGGTCAACCGCTCTAACTTCTGAGCGCGATGACACGATGTTGTGGAGATGTTGGTCTGTTCTTGATTTTATTGCTTCCATTGTTTTATAAACTAAAGCAGCGTGGATTTTGGAGACATAAAGCCTTCTAGTCTTTAGTTTTGTAAGAACTTTGATCTACTTATATAGATTCAAGGATGCCAGATGCATCTTCTCCCGCCCTTAATTGTCTAAGATAAAATCCCTCAAAACCTTAATCTAGATATCAAGTGTGGCGCTTTTTGTTGAAGCATTCGGAGAAAAACCAAATTATGAAGATTTCAATCTTATTGTTGTTTTGATTAATTCCTCTAGGTGATAAGAATCTGGCACTTAACGCATCAATTTTAATTAAACTGCAAAATATATTGAGACACAAAAACAGGAAATTCATTGTCAATGTAATTTAAGCCTGCATATAGACCACCAATCAAATACCATATTTTTAATCGTTATCTCTTTCACTTCAATTCGTGTTATCAGAAGAAATAGCCAAACTAAACAATAGGAGGCTATTGCAAATATTGCCGCTACATCTGTTTATGGCTTAGTGCATGTTTCAGTTAACCTGGGTAGAATTTAGCGGAACTTCCTAATCAAGCAGTGTGAGACGCATTTGAGAGCTAACTACTACAACGACAGATTGTTTTGAATTGCTCCGGACGGCATAATTTTCCACCGGAAAAGGAGTATCTAAAGTGCTTCTTTCCATGTAAACATGATCGGCAATAAGTATTGTCTAGTATAGACTCCTTTGGGTATTGCGGTCGAGCTCACCCTTTTGTTACTGACAGTTGTGTTCTCCGTCATAATCGTATTAACAGTTGTACTCAAGCAAGGAACTCTATCTGTCCATACGAGGCTCCTAACTTACCTTAAAATGCATATCCCCAAAGGGTATCAAAATGTTTTATTTCGTGGCGGTGAAAAAAAAAACAAAAGGGACGTAGGTAGCGCCTCTTTCCACGCTTTAAACCACCGCAGTGGCTATAAAACTCAGAAGCAGCAATAGGTTACTAAACAACAGGTACAGGTGGGATGGCACGACAACAACAGCACCAGCACCAGCAACAAAAATTATCCACACATCTACCTATATTGTATAACCCGTTTTTGAATTGCATATTCAATAACCCGAGTCATTCCAAACCGCCATTCAAAAGAACCATTGAAGAATTAAGCAACAAGCATAACCAATATACGATACTTTTACCTCCAGCATACATTTTAAATGAGTTTCATGATCCAGCTACCGACGAGTCCAGCACAAAGGTGCTATTGAAAGATTTATGTTATAACAATGAAGATTTCATCAAGTCACACGTTATTAGAACCGGGGCACCTGTGTCATCAACAGTGACACCGATTTCGAAGGAGCAACTGGTGATTTACAACACAATGAGTGGCAAACAAATACTCATTAAGAATCAAATGATATATACCGGTAAAGGGTTCAAGCGCAGTCTCAAGTTGAAAATCACCTCGGTGCTGTATTTCAAATCATTTTGCGATTATTTCCCCAAGGGATCCCAGTTTATGGTTATACATATTGAAAGCTCTCTTATCGGAGGATCGCCGCCATTCAAACCTCTACCGGATTTACCACTAGCTCCTCCCTCTTCGTCGTCAGATGGGACAACTTCTCGTGCAGAAAGTGTTGATAATGTGACGTTTGAGAAATTGTTACGAAACTTTCCTCTCCTATCTAAAGTAGTTGGTGATAAATTCTATCGACTATTTCATCATAACAATAGACAATTCCATCAATTGAGAACAAGGACGAGAAAGAAGCTAAGTGATATCAAGATTGAATTTACCAAAATGCAAGATGAAGCATATAAAATTATCCTGGACAGTGTTAAAATTGAGAATCCCAATAGCGAACAAACTTATAATTTGTTGAACCATGTGATTAGCACGTACCCGGGATTGGATTTGAATAAGTTGGTGCATGAATATGTTGAACTAAATTTGTACGATTTGATGTGGTCGCAATTGGTGTTTCAATTCAATTGTCCCAATGACAACAAGGAGGATTATGACCAAGAGGCTATCAAACATCTTACAGCATCTGAGTACGAGAAACTTTCTTGTTTATCACTAAATCAGTTGGACCTTCCCGTTACTAAACCGTGGTTGATCAATGAACTACATCAACGAATATACCTCGCAATACAAGAGTTTAAGAAATTAGCCGATTCCTCGGTAGTGACCCTGACCATGAAAACCAACATCATTTACAAAACAATAGAGATACTATCACTGAGCAAAGAAGGAAGCGATTTAGTCATTGATGCGGATACCTTGATTGGTTTATTAGTGATGACTGTTGTTCATGCCAAGATTGACAACATCGAAGCACATATCTACTACGTCAAAAATTTTAACGCCATAGACCGAACTGATGATGGGCAATTCAACTACATCTTGAGCAATTTAGACGCAGTTATTTGCCACTTGTCAGAAAAAGAGCACTCGTTGGAAAGTCTTGCTGTGAGCTCAAAACAAAACTACGATTTATGGAGCGGCATATTAGAACAGGATGTTTCCAAAGTGGAAATAATTATCGAACAAACCAATGAGAATTACCAAGATCAAGAGCTACCCCCAAATCATTGTTTATTGAGCAAAAATATCAATGGAGAAGGCGCACTTGATTTTGCAATCAAGGCGAAAACCTTTGAAATTTACAACTTGATCATGAATTCGTGCATACTGTGGTTCACCATTGATTTCATACTTTTTGATCAAAATGTGATCACAAATCAAAATCTTTTAATGACAGCATTGATTGAAGAAACAGATGGGCAAATATTGGACGATTTGTCGGATATAATTATTGAAAATACCACCATCGATGAACAAATAGCATATTTCAATAGCCCTGATATTACTGGACGTACTGTTGGCCACTATTTATTCCACAGCCACCATTTAATTTCGAAAATTGGTAATTTGATTGACTGGGAGTTGAAGGATAATAACTCCCATACCCCTTTATTTAGTTTGTGCCGTTGTTATGACCATCCAAATTATCTTGAATTGTTAAAAGTTGGGTTTGAAGTTGTTTATGATAAATATAACAAAAGGGGTATTGATTTTGACAAGCACATGGATAAATCAGGAAACTCATTACTACATGTCATCTTAATGGGAATACCTCAAACGCAAATATTATCACGAGAAGACAACTTGGTAAATGTCAATTTGACAAATGCCAAAAATCTTACCCCATTGATGTTGTACGTAAAGTACAGTCGCTTGGAAAACTTGCGCGACATTTTGAAAGATGACAGGCTTGATTTTTTATTTGAGGACCGCAAAAGCTTCTACAACGTGTTTGATTATTTGAGTTTTGTAAGCACGAAATCTTCAAGTTCAAAAGAGTATAAGCAAATTGAAAAACTCATTGTTGATCATTATTTTGCCCATTTCTTTCCCTATCACAGACCAGAGAAGCTTGCTGCTTGTAATGGAAAATTTGATTCTAATTTAAAAGAATGGGTGATCAATTTAAAGAGTCAAGAATACAAATGTAAGCTTCAATCATTGAAATCGATAAAGCAAGTATTGTATGTGGAGAAACTACAACGGCCAATGTCCATTTTCCCTGATTCTGATATCATTTGGCGCAACCATGCCATGAATGTATCTACAAGTCCCATGTTTCAAAAATTGAGGATAAACAAATTGCTTGCGAAGCTTAATGTCATGTATCAGAGTATGATGTTCCTAAATGATGTTAATCCCGAACAGCTATTCACTTCATTTTTAAGTGATATATCCCACAACTTGTCCATATTGGAACAGAAACAAGTCATACTGGCGGTTATTGAATCACAAAAGCAAGATTTGGGTCAAGTCAAATTAAGATTTAGCAATATTCAAGAAATGGAGTTTTTCCTTGACTTCTCGCTTCAAGATGTCAAAAGGCATGGTTCACTTTTCCATAAATTTTCTAAATTAGTTTGCATTGGAGAACAAAAACAATTGGATCTAAGAAATGTTGAGGATTTAACCATTAGTCGTGTTAATGAGCAATCATTCTTTTCGAAATTGTTCAATATCCCTGAGTATCATCACCAACGGGGAAGTTTTGATTTCTTAGCCCAGTATGTTGTGTGGATTGACATGATTGGCGATGAGTTGTTGAAGCATTTCCGTAAAATCAACCAGGACGTGGAATTGTGGAAGAAATTGTATCATGAAATCTGCAATATCAACCTGGAGTTGAGATCGATGGAACCGAAATCACAAACAAACGTTCCCAATGGATTGTCGCATGAGGGCGCCCGTGAACAGGGGGAAGAAGAAGAAGAAGATGGTCATGATGGGCTTCGTCGCACCGGAACCAATAGCTCCCTATTCTCAACCTCCACACATACACATGCTGATCTGATACCGGATGAAAGTGAAGGTTTGAACCTTTTCGGTCTTGGAAGTAGTAAGCGAAACCGGTATAAAAGATTAGTCGTGTCAAAAGCTGATTTAGTGAAACAAATTATGAAGTTGAATATTGATCTTAAATGGGAATACGAAATAATGGCTACACAAATTTCCAATTTCTTAACGTTTAGAACTCAGTTTTTAAAGTTTGGGTTGTCGATTTATGTTAGAGAAGAAATTCGATGCTTGAAGCAGAGGCAACTAGAATGGAGAAAGATCTTGTATAGAGTGAAGCATAAGTAGGAAAAATGCTATGTAGGTGCAAATAAAATCAAAGCGTAGACGAAGTTCCATCATGTTCTCCAATTATCAAGAGTGCAATTTTACACAAAAAGCATCTCGAGTGAAAATTATCAAAAAAAAAAGAGGCGAGATTTTGACACGTTCTGTAGAAAAACCCAACAACAATTAATTGACCAGATCCCTTACGTGTGCCGCCAGCTTTTGAAAACTATAGCATTTTACACCATGTCATCTGTCTCAAATAAAGACATTGCTTTGTCAATAATCGGGTTCTTGAAACAATCTGTCGCCGATAAGACCATTGCGGAGGATTTTGTGGAGTCGATGGATGTTGCCATTGATTGTATCGCCGATGCATTTGAGGTGAGCAAAGACGATGATAAGTCGGTAACCGATTCTAAATTCCATGGAAAATCATTATCTGAGTTGGTTAAAGCGTCAGTTGCTTCATCGTCATCAGAAGGTGCTTCCAAGGGTGAATCTACCAGTGATGCCAAGTCATCATCCATTGTTGTTGATGACGCCACCAAGGAGAAAGCTGACCAGTTGAAGCTTGAAGGTAACAGATTAATGGGAGCTAAAGACTATGCCGCTGCTATTGCCAAGTACACCGAAGCCATTGGCTTAGATCCAACTAATGTCGTGTACCTTTCCAACAGAGCAGCCGCATACTCTTCATCACAAAAGCATGCACAAGCAATTGAAGATGCCGAGAAAGCCATCAAGTTAAACCCAGATTTTTCTAGAGCTTATTCGAGATTGGGATTGGCTCAGTATGCTCTTGGAGACGCCAAAAAGGCAATGGAAGCATACAAGAAAGGTTTAGAAGTGGAAGGTGATAAGCAATCAGAAGGTATGAAGAAAGGATATGAAACTGCTAAAAAGAGAGTTGAACAAGAATTGGAAAATTCCATTTCCACATCTGATGCCAGTGGTGCAAGTGAAGGTGAATCTGGCTCCAGGTCAGCTCCAGGTGGAGGTGCTGGTGCTGGTGCTGGTGGTTTACCTGACTTCAGCTCGATGTTTGGTGGTGCAGGTGGACCAGGTGGCGGTTCCTTTGCCGATATGATGAATAATCCCCAATTGATGGAAGCAGCGCAAAACATGATGTCGAATCCAGATGCCATGCAGAACTTGTTCAATAACCCGGCAGTCCGTCAAATGGCCCAATCTTTGGGATTAGGTGGCCCTGATGGACCTGACTTGTCCAATATAATGAATAACCCTATGCTTAGTCAATTTATGGGAGGTAGAGGAAACAGCAATAATAACCAAGATGGACAAGGTGGAAATAATGAGTCATGATTTTGATATACAGTAGTGTGTAGATAATATATTACGTTCCTAATTGTAATTAAGTAAACTGTGTGTGGGAGGAGAACTAGTTGTTAGCGCACAAGCAACAAAGCTTTGGAAGCATCGCTAAATTTCAAACATTTAGATTTAGTATCAAACTAAATAATAGCTATTCCATGCTACAACACAGACAATTGTTGGGCAGGAGACTCTTCAGCTCCTTTCCAGCCTTACTCAATGTATCAAAACCACCTACGCTTCAGCCAACTTTTGACGTCGACAAAATAAAAGATCTTCCTTTTAATGACAAGATCTCACTTCAATGGAAACAACTAATCCCTTACAAGATCAAACTCAATAAAGAAGAGACGCCTGTACTTTTCCTTCATGGTTTATTTGGATCGAAACTAAGTTTCAACAAAGTAGGCCGGTTGTTTAGCGAAGTAACCAAAGTCCCCACCTTTGCTGTTGATATGCGAAATCATGGTGAGTCACCTCACGTTTTACCATTTTCCAACGAACAAATGGCCCGTGATGTGTACGAATTCATCAAGGAACGCAAATGGGATAAATGCATACTTGTTGGCCATTCAATGGGGGCTAAAGTCGCCATGTTGGTAAGTCTATTGTATCCGGAATTAATATCGAAATTAGTCATCATGGACAACACTCCGCACCCAATGGTACTAGAACCTCATTATAGATTGGATCTATTGGGCATGTGTGAAGTTGAAGCACATGCAGAACTATACAAAAAGGGGTCTAATGGAAGAAGAGTCACTGAAGTTAAACCAATTAGCAAATTTCTAACTAAATATGAAAAGAGCCCTCTTGTTCGACTGTTGTTAATGAGTAACCTACTTTTAACTCATAAAGATATAGCAAATCCAAATATTAAAGATCGTTCCAAGGAAGTGTTTAGAGTCCCCGTGATGAATTTCTGGAAACACGATATTATTAAGGCTGTTGAAGCATGGGCTGATTTGCCAGGAGATGTCGAAAAATTCCCTCGTCCAACATTGGTGATGTATGGTAACAAATCGCCATTTGTGAAACGAGAATATTTCCCAATATTTGAACAATACTTTGCCGATGTAAAATATGAAGAATTTGATTCGGGTCATTGGATCTCACATGATCAACCGGGTGAGTTTGTTAATGAGTTGATAAAGTTTGTTTCACCACCTTGGGAGCGGAAAGAGAACCCCAACCAATTGGAAAATGCAAAGCCAAAGAAGAAACCTAGACCACCCAGGGCGAAACCATTCTAGAGTAGTCAACACAGTAGTCAATAGATATATAATCGTCATGATAAAAATAAAAGTCCTTTCCCGTAATATTTATGTATAATCTCCATTCTTTCTAGAGTGATTGTCGACCTGACATACGCATCTCCAACTACAGCAATGTATTGCCCCATACACCTAACCTTACTTCCAATTGACAACGTTGCCACCAGATACCAAAACCTGCTCATCAATCTTCTTTTCAGGTTCATTTTCAGCTCTCTTCCACGACTTAATCTCACCTTTCGCCGTATTCAACACAAATGTTCTCATTCTACGAACGTACCCACCATATCCGCCATACCCACCTAACCCAACTCCACCTCCATAGCATAGCCAAATTTTGTTGTCATCGGTTGCAGACTCTTGTTCGTCTAGTAAACAATAATCATTACAGTGGTCATGGCCAACACTTATAGCTTTAACACCTATATCGAGGAATGCATCACGTGCACCCGAATTGTACATTGGGGAAATAACCCCTTCTCTGTGTTCGCCAATTACCGGCTTTTTAGTGTTTTTAAACTCAGGCAAGGGGATGTGGAAAAATGCCATTGATAAATGCTTTTTATTCTTTGATTCACCATTCTCAATTGCTTTTTCCTTCTCAAATTCCGAAATTCCATCTTTGATTGACTCTGCTTCTTCTTTCATGTAGATTAATTGATCGTCTTTGATCCAGTCATAACCAGGGTATACTTTTTCATTTTGACTATGAGCATGTGAATCGACGAAATAGAAGGATAGCGCAACCGATGATTTATATTTGCCTTGCACTGTGGTCATGTAGTTTCCAAATCCATCAATTGATTCTGGTCCCATGGCTGCAACACTGTAAGGAAGATCAGCGTATAATCCCATCAACTCCTTGGCTTTTAAGGATCCTTCCGCATCATGGTTCCCCAACACTAAAGCGAATGGAATTTTACGTTCAATGAATGGACTCAACGCTTTGAATGCAGCTGTTTCCGAGTCAGGGGCACTCGAGCCAAAGATTTGGTCACCTGTTAAAACAACAAAGTCTGGTTGCTCAATATCAAGCACTTTGTTTACAAATTCCAATGTTCTAGAGTCAGCTTTACACCCCGATGCCGAAGAAGCAGGTTCAGGGTTGAGACATTTCCCATAACCAGTGGAAAAATGCAAGTCGGCAACTTGAAGAATCTTAAACTCATCATTATCATTCATAACCAATGGATTATCAAATTCCTTCTTATAATCAAGTTTTGGTCCACGGCGATAGGTTATAAAAGGGGGAATTCCACTTGAACTGCAAGCATCTCTCACTGGAATTTTGACCAAATTCCAATTTGGTCTGGGGTCTACTGCATCAAGTCCAAACAAGATATCAAAAGCAGTAATCGCGTCTTTACTATTATGAGGGCCATACTTGACCCAAATTCCATGAGACTTGTACTGCCAGCCACTCTTTGTCAACTCTTCCTTTGTAGGTATGTAGTATACGCGAGTCAATTCATCCTTGCTTGAGACCTTCTCTCTCTTGTTATGCTTCTCATCTCCATCTCCATCATCAGTCGAGTCGCCCTTAGGTTTAGCTTCTCCCGCTTTTTCCGCATTGACCTTTTCATTCATTTCCCCAATCTTGTAGCTAGCCTTTGCCGAATCAGGCGTTGAGCCATCGAGAATGTCATCTTTGTTTTGCTCCATTAAACTCTCTTGTGTTGTTCCATCAAATTTCTTTTGCTTATGAACATCTTCTATTACGTGTTTTGGTAACTTGAGTTTCCCATTACCTTTAATTTTGGCATCATTCTCAGGATCCTGAACAGCAACGTCAACAATCACTTCGTCGTCCAATTGTGTCTTGCTTAGTAATTTCTGATAATTACTGTGATTGATCTTCTTCACCGAAAAGATCTCCTTTTTAACCCACGACTTTCCAAGGCACAAATCCTTCTTTAATCTGATCCAGCCTCCCTCGAATTCAGTCAAGTCGCCATATTTTCCATCCTCGGGACTTGGTTTACCGCAATTTGGGTTCTTGTAGTTATAAACGTTGCAGCCATTTATTGATATATCTAGAAGGAACAGATCAGAAGGTGGTTGGAAGAATGACGGTGCTGTACTGGCAAAAAGATCATACGGCACGTATTTATTAAGATCAACAATTTGATGTTTATTGGCTAAAAGTAGTAAAATCAATGCCGTGAAAAGAAGAAATACCACATACAGGGCTGACCTGCAAACTCTTCGAGGTAACATAATGTGTATATTGAGTACAAGGTGGTGTGGTAGGATTCAAAAGACCTTTGAAGTGACATTCAAGAAAAGGAAAGTTTCAGGAGCGATGTAAAAATATCGCGACAAAAAGGAAAAACAAATTGTGCTGTGAACAAACCAAACAACGTACTTCCCCAAATAGTTTTCTCCCGTTATCGCTATTCTGATTCAGAAGAAATTGAAAATTGGCCCTAGCTGATTACAGACATCCTTTACCATTGTAATTTACAACGGCACCCACTAATCATGTCGGATTACCCAGGAACGAGCAACGAAGACTTGTCACTACCCAAAGCAACGGTACAAAAAATAATCGCAGAGATTTTACCCAAAGACATTGCCATATCAAAAGAAGCAAGAGAGGCAATAACGGAATGCAGTATTGAGTTTATAATGATGCTATCTACCCAACTGAATGATATTGCTGAAAAGGAGGCTAAAAAGACAATTGCATCTGACCATGTTGTCAAAGCTTTGGAGGAATTGGATTTCAACAACTACCTTGAAATAATAAACAAAATCCTAAGTGAACAGAAGGAGTTATTGAAAGGAAAGGAAAAAAGGAACAACAAGTTTCAGAGTTCAGGATTGAGTGAGGAGGAATTGTTAAGACAACAGGAGGAATTATTTAAAAAGTCGAGAGACCGTTTACAAAGCCAGTCGGGTTCACCGCCTTATGAAGTCAAACAGGAAGAAAGTTCTTAATAGGGTTATTTGTGTAGATTGATATATATATATATATATCCAGGTAAAAGCATTGAATTGAGTGTAAAGCTGTGTGTCGAATTTTTTATGTTGTGGTTACTTACCATTCAAGCTCAATCACCTCTTGGTAATGGGGGTGAATTACAGCATAATGAAAACTTCTCTCATAATGCCAAAATTTCCCGTTGTCCCCTTCTCCAACAATCAACCTAAAACTATCTCATATAAAATGATCAAAATGTTCACTACAATCAACGGTATCCTCAATAATGTTCTCACGGCACTTATTAGATTAATCAATTTAGTCTTGATTGACCCTTCACTACTATCTAACCCAGTATTGAATTGGCTAAACTGATTTTGTAAATTGGTGTTGCCATTTGCTGATGAAGTTGTTGACCCCCATCCGATTCTATTCAAAAACCTATCTTCACTTAAAACCGCTATTCCATTTATAGTTAACACTATTACGTAGAATAATTTGCCCAAGCCAAACATTGTTTAGTGTTGATGACGAGTGAATGATGGTTGGTGAGTTACGTGTTGGCCGCGTTTGATCTAGTGTCAAAAGAAAAAAAAACTATTGATTGATTATTTGGTGCTACCAGTTGATGTTTTGTCCCTGAGCTGACTCTCAACGAAATGGGCTGGGATACACAGTTCGTCTGTGAGAAGTATTGTCTGTATGGTTTTTGCCCAATAAAGCCAATAAATAAACGTAGACTCAGCTAAGGATTGTATGTCAAATTTTTTGATGGATTGGTGTAAATGCTAGTTGTAGTTGTACGAGTTCTGCCGCTTGTCCTGACTTTAATACAAGCGCTGTGTCTCTTCCCTAAAGAAATACTCCACCAGAGTTATTAGTCTCCACATCTTAAATAAGAGTGTCGCCTAAAGAAAGTTGGTTCACTTTCATCAAATTTCTTGGTAAGATCTGCATCTACTTATCTTATCGCAACCACACAAACAGCTTGAAAATCCACTACGCCTTACTCTAAAGACTGTATATGTGGAGATAAAATACATCTTAATTTATGAAATTTTGCTGCATAAGAAAGAAAAAAAAAGAATTAGAGAGATAGTCCAAAGCTATTGAAAAGTGCCCAATTTGTTGAAATACCGCCAGCTTTGCCTTAGTTCGGCAGAAGTGTGTAATCAACCGTATTTGTGTAATTCCCGTAACTCAAAATGATCTTGATTGTTCTACTGTTGTTAGTCAAGTTGCCTTGCTCCCCACTTTTGGCGGTTTTGAAAAAATGTGAGTGAAATGTAAGGTTCGCTGCTTTAGTGTGTTCATAAAGGGATAGAAAGATTGAAAACATTTGACACATTTAAACTTTTTAAAAGCGGAGTAATAGTAAATAAATACCAGTTACAAAACCACCAAAAGAACCCCCAAAGAAAAAAAAAACAACAAAAAAAGACTCAAGATGATGATTAAACAAAAGCTTTTTAAGATATTTTAACGCTGGGGATAAATAAGATTCAAAGATTGTAAAGAAAATTTCAGGACTTTGAGCTGTTAAAGATATTTTTACTTTTGACATATTATTCTACAAAGTTGATACCGCTGGATTGGAAGAGGGGGCACGAAATTTTGGAGGTACCCTATTGCATTCCTTCATTTATATTTTTTTTAATGCAATGCCACGTAGGTATAAAACGTACATTGCAGTTCTCCGTAGTGGGGGTGACTATAATTGACTAAAAAAAATTGAAGCTAAGAGGGTGGGGCAAATCTCGCTGCCAGTTTAATTACTATGAAGCACCAGAAATGTCACAAGTCATTAATAGCTTGACTCTTCGATTACCCCAGATTCTTAGCTCTTGGCGAAGGATACTTTGTTGGAGAAGAATACTTTTCGTTTAATCTGTACCTTATCTTTGGTTTATGTATGATATCACTTTGTTCACAGCTGCAGTTTTGTGAAATATTGTACGAGTTTGAGTTACTCATGATCGTTCTTTTCATCTCATCAGAGTACTATATTTCTTTTTTTGAATGCCAGTGCCGCTAAAATAAGGCGGAGGTTTATCGCGATATGGGCTAAATAATTTTATATAAAATAGTTGCAAAATCCAAGTCCATTTCAAAAAGAATTATTGCATCAAAATTTCATCAAAGATGTCGACGTTTTCACCAGTACATAGTTTACACCATATTCCTACATGTGCCTCCGAGGTTAGATTTGTTGACCCTCAACATAACCTTGGGGATACCGAGTTGTTACATCAAATTGGTTACAAACAAGAGTTGAGACGTCACTACTCAACTGTGCAGGTTTTCGGAATAGCCTTTTCAATAATGGGTCTTCTACCCAGTATAGCGTCAGTTTTCAGTATTGGTATTGCCTCCGGGCCTGCTGGTCTAGTCTGGGGTTGGTTTATTGCTAGTTTTTTCATCTTTTGTGTTGGGCTTTCAATGAGTTTTTTAGGAAGTGCCATACCAACTAGTGGTGGATTATATTACTATACAAATTATTACTGTCCCGACAGTTTCAGAGTGCCTTTGAGCTACTTGATTGGGTGTTCAAACTCACTTGGGTTGACAGGAGCTATCTGTAGTGTTAGTTTTGGATTTGCTACCGAGGTATTGTCAGCTGTCTCTGTTTCAAAGGATAATAATTTCGAAATCACAAACGCAAAGTCATATGGAGTGTTTGCTGCATGCATTATCGTCAATATGGTTGTTTCGTCTTTAACAACTAAACATGCTGCCAAGTTTCAAACGGTTTCAATTTGCGTCAATGTGTTTTTGGTTATCTTATTTTTAATAGCAGTGCCAGTTGGGTTTTCAAAACAAAACAGCTTCAATGATAGAGGATTTATATTTGGCAAATATGAAAATGCTAGAGAGTGGCCAATTGGTTGGAGCGCAGTAATGTCGTTCAACACAGCTATATGGACAATTGGTTCCTTCGACTCGGTCATCCATTGTTCTGAAGAAGCATTAAACGCCCAGAGATCTATACCCGTGGGAATATTGGGTTCCATTGCTGCTTGCTGGTTCTTGGGTTGGGTAGTAATAGTAGTGTGTGCCGCTTGTATCAAGGACGGTAATGTCTCACGTATCGTTGCTACAGAGACGGGATCGCCATTGGCTCAAATCATTTACGATGCTTTGGGGAAGAAGTGGACTGTAGCATTCATGTCGATGATTTGTGTGGGTCAATACCTCATGGCTATATCCTTAATGATTGCATTGTCTAGACAAGTCTGGTCCTTTGCCAGAGATGATGGGTTACCAGGTGTCTACAAGTGGGTCAAATATGTCGACCCAAGGATCAAAGTACCGGTAAGAGCAACAATTTTTGCCGGCTGCTGCGCCTTGGTTATCGGATGTTTGTGTATTATCCCAGGTTCTGCTGGGTCTGGAGCATTGTTTTCTCTTGCTATTGCGTCAAACAACTTGGCGTGGGGTATGCCAGTGCTTCTTGTGATCTTGCCATACGGAAGAAAGAAATTCATCCCGGGACCTTTTTATTTCGGACATACTTTGAGTTACATCATCAATGTTATTACCGTGCTTTACATTTTTTTCGCCATTATCATGAGTATGTTCCCCGAAAACAGACATGTAGACAGAGACAGTATGAATTATACTTGTGTAATCAATGGAGGTGTGTGGATATTGTCCTTGGTATATTATTACGCTTGGGCTTGGCGTACTTATACCGGACCCAAATCTAACCTTGATGGAACAGAAACAGATGATGAAACTAGTGTTAAAAACGTTGATGAGGTATTGAGAGAGAAAGCTTGAGCAGAGTCGTGGCAAAATGTTACAAAGTAGTTCTGTAGTTATTTATTGAATAATACAACCATTTGATTTTGGAACGTTGTAGTAGCTCGGTTTCTTAACAGATTGAAAAACGCATAATAGTGCAATCGAAACACCAGAGGCAATATTCAAGAATCAATAGGTGTATTACCCTTTATCTGTTACGAAGGTGAGATAGAGAGCTCAAGGGCGCGGAATTTAAAACGGAATTTTTGAAGACGGAAATAATAGAAACATTTCTAAATTTGTGTCAGATTTAAAGCTACCTTTAAAAGTGGTGTAGATCAAAATCTAAAACCAGGCGCCTTACTTACACGTACAAGTTGTCACTGAGACACGAAATTCAAACACTTCCTTTAGATAAGTATTCCTTTTGGAATATTTTAACGCACCATATTTTGATCGACCCGTTGTCATATAACAGACTGAGAAACTCCCATACAGGAGCTTAACATATAAAACTGTAACGTCAAAACTGTCAAAGTTTTTAGGTTAAAAATATCAGAGGTAACATCTGACCTGAAGAGAAATGAACGGTATCCTACAATCTAGTTTATTTTTTATGGCACTTTATTTTTGATGTGCCATAAATCAAAGTCGCAATATGAGTTTTACCCCAAATTAAATGCAAACAAAAACGGCTGAAAACTTTATTCTATTATTACAAAAACAAACAGCCCACTTCTTCTTAGTAGGGGTAGTCCAATGAAAGTAAAGTTAGAAGTGGTTGTTAAGTTCTACAACTTTCTGCTCATCAAACACAAGGATTCTAGCTAAGCTTTCTTTGGGCATGGGCTTGCTCTCATTAATACCCTTCGGGGAAAACCATTTCGCGCTTGACGGTTTGATTTTGTATTCTGTTTTTATCTATGCTTTTAAATTCCGTTTTAGTTTTATTGCACAATTTTAAAGTAAGTGAAAAGATTATGGTTATTCCAACAAAAGTTAAAACTTTATGTTTTGTGAGTACCGCTAAGTGGAGACTTGAAGGCACCTTTGTGTTTCAGTAATGAGGTAAAAAAAACTACTCTTTTAAAACTGTTTTATAAAAGAGCTGCAAAATCCTTTGCTATTGTGAGAATACCAGTAATTCTAAGGATCAATATCATTAGGTACCTCATCAAACAATGAAAGCATTTTCACCAGTACATAGTCTACGTCAAGTCCCCACATCAGCTTCTGAAGTTCGATTTGTTGACCCACAGCATAATAATGGTGATGTTGATCTCTTGCATCAAATAGGTTACAAGCAAGAGTTGAGACGTCATTACACCACTTTACAAGTTTTTGGAATCCCCTTTTCAATTATGGGTCTGATTATACCCAGTGTGGCATCAGTTATCAGTATGGGTATAGCTTGTGGACCCGCCGGGCTAGTTTGGGGTTGGTTCATTGCGAGTTTCCTTGTCCTTTGTGTCGGTATTTCAATGAGTTTCTTAGGAAGTGCCATACCAACTAGTGGTGGTTTGTACTATTATACCAACTACTACTGTCCTGATAGATTTAGGGTACCTTTAAGCTATTTAATTGGGTGCTCAAACTCACTTGGATTGATGGGTGCTATCTGCAGTGTCACTTATGGATTTGCTACTGAAGTATTGTCGGCCGTCTCACTTTCGATGGACAATGATTTTGAAATTACAAACGCTAAAACGTATGGCGTTTTTGCCGCTTGTATTGTACTGAATACAATCATATCCATCTTGACATCTAAACGGGCAGAAAGGTTACAATCCTTGTCGATTATTGTCAACGTTTTTTTGATGTTGTTGTTTTTCATTGCTGTACCAGTGGGTTATTCGAGACACAATAGTTTCAACTCGAGAGGGTTCATATTTGGTAAATACGAAAATGCAAGAGATTGGTCTGTGGGGTGGAGTGCCATTTTGTCATTCAACACGGCAATATGGGCAATTGGCTCATTCGATTCAGTAATCTACTGTTCTGAAGAGGCATTGAATGCCCAAAGATCTATCCCCGTGGGAATATTAGGCTCAATTTCTGCTGTTGGGGTCTTGGGATGGACGGTATTAATCGTTTGTGCAGCTTGCATCAAGGATGGTAATACCGCTCGTGTCCTTTCATCAGAAACTGGGTCGCCATTGGCCCAGATCATATACGATGCTTTGGGGAAAAAGTGGGCGGTTGCATTTATGTCATTGATTTCTGTGGGCCAGTATCTCATGGCAGTTTCTTTCTTGACTGCATTGTCAAGGCAAATTTGGTCATTTGCTAGAGATGACGGTTTGCCAATTGTTTACAAATACGTCAAGTATGTCCATCCAAAGCTAAAGGTTCCCGTTAGAGCAACGGTTTTTGCTGGTTGCTGTGCATTGGTAATGGGTTGTTTGTGTATAATTCCTGGAACTGCTGGGTCTGGAGCATTGTTTTCTCTTGCTATTGCATCCACTAATTTGGCGTGGGGTATGCCAGTGCTTCTTGTGATCTTGCCATACGGAAGAAAGAAATTCATTCCGGGACCTTTTTATTTCGGACATACTTTGAGCTACATCATCAATGTTATTACCGTGCTTTACATTTTTTTCGCCATTATCATGAACATGTTCCCGGATTCAAGGAGTGTTAATAAAGAAAGCATGAATTATACTTGTGTAATCAACGGAGGTGTATGGATGTTATCTTTGGTGTATTATTACGCCTGGGGTTGGAGGAGTTACACTGGACCCAAGTCTAATCTTGATGGTACAGAGACAGATGATGAAACTAGTGTTAAAAACGTTGATGAGGTGTTGGGAGAGAAAGCATGAAAAAGTATATATTTGATACAAACTGTTGAAAGTAATAGCTTTTAACTTAAAAGCCATGGCACGTTTCTAGAAAAGAGACTTTGATTTTGCAAAGTATTAATTGGCAGTTCTATAGGTTGCAAAAGACGTTTTATCAGATAATTGACAAGCCTTTGGGTAATTTTTCTTGTAGATGGAGCTATTAAATTCGTTGTGCTACATGTTTTGTTGCTTCAGCTTGGATTTAAGAGGCTTATTTTCTAACTGAATTGCTAACTTTTCTAAATGCTTGTGCTTGCAAAACTCCAGTACTTAGCGTGGTACCACACCGCTTCTCTTTTGTGTGAACCAAATGCAAGATCAGTTTTTCTTCAACATTTCGGCGGTCAATTAATATTTGCAGAAATACCATACCAGCCTATGTTTGACCATCATGATAAGAACACCAATTCCCATATGCTAAACAATGAAGGGACACGCACTGAATATGACAAGCCTGCGCTTACGGGTCTAACCAACCGTATTTCTTCTGCCAAACCACCAAACTCATCTGTCTCCCATCATATATCCGATGATGCTGAACCAGTGCCTAAGAGGCAAAAACTAACCAGTGATGTTGCCGGCCTGGAATTAGCTCAGCAAGGGTCCACAAATCAAAGTACCCAGGATAACTGGAAAATTCCAAATGACGAGCTCATGCAGTCAATAAGTAATATTTTCAGTATCGCAATTTCAAAGACTATCAACAATGCAATCGAAGATGAAGTTCCTCGAGGACTACGACATACTATCTTGAAGCAATTATCCAATTGCTGGAGTCAAGACATGAACCCAGATTCTTTCCGATCACGACTCAAAGTTACAAAGTTACCACCTACACTGGGTTTGTCATTATCAAACAACCTCCAAAATGAGAACATACAAGTTAAAAATTTATTGAATCTGCAAGAATTAACAGCCAAGAAGAAGATACTAGATGTCTATCTCGCAGAAGAAACCCAACAAGTCAACGACCTAAAGCGCTATTTGTCCAAATTGGAACAAGATTTGGCTCGAGACAATTCTAAGCTACAAGAGTCCCGAAATTCAATTGAAGATGTATTGTCCTCAATCGACACCCAAGTGAGTCAAATGACACAAGACATGCAGTTAAATAAATTTGATGCAGTGGGTGATGAAGGATTGTCTATGGTTAACGTTGACTCAATTAGTGATTTCAATCCCAATACGGATCCAGATATTGCCCCAAGGATGAATCAGTTACAAGAGAAGTTGGGTGAATTAGTTGCAAAAACTACGTCACTAAAGTCATTTAATGATCGATTGGAGTCAGTTTACAACTTGTTAGATTGAAGGACTTATATACTTATCCAATATACTGTAATGAATAAACAATTGACTTGACTTGGGCTCGTTTTTGATGTAATTTCACTGGGTGTTGACACATCGATCTCCTTCAGGTTACCGTCGGTTGCATCCCCTTCATTAGTAGAATTTTCTGATATCTTTGTTGTGGCATCGTCTTTCATTACCGCATCCTCGTCTTGGGCTTTGGCTTCCTCTTCATCACAACTTCCATTCATCAAATCAAGCTGAACAGTAATACATCCATCTTTAGAAGATTCCCAAATCGATACAAAGTCAGTATTGAGGCACATATCAAAAGAATTTGCATTATTAGTAGCTAATGACGTATAGTGAATAAGGAATTTATGTTTTGACGATATAGTCGTTAATTTGTCGGCTAATTTCGAAGCAAGCTCTTGTGGCGTTAGTTTGGAATTTTCATTTATGATCTCAAGTAATTGAGATTCTGAAAATGGCGCCTCGGCATTTTTTGACCTGCTGGCTATAGTGCATTTAGTCATTTGTTGTTAGTAGGTTTTACCTTAGATAAATCTTTGAAAGGCCATTTTTAGGTGGAGAGAGGAAAATATATGGAGAATCACTTGGTAGCGTTGTTTATAGCTTAGAAGGAACCCCCTTTTGAGCCCAATTCCCACCGACGGCTAAGCATCGCAATTCCCTTATATGATAAGCTCAGTTATGTTCCGCAGATTGGTTGGTTCTTGATTTATTTTTGGCAGAAATTCCCTCTATAACAGACACTGTCAGCCGATAGATTCGTTTTGTGAAAACTTGAATTTTTTTTCATTAACGTAAACAACACAATCTAATCACTACAACCAAATCATGTCTGCAGAAGCTTTATATTCTCTTACCTTGATCGTTCACGAGGATTATGCGCCTGAAAGCATTGTATCCGCTGTTGATAGATTCATCACAGACTCATTGCATGCTAGCTTCGGCAAGACTCAACTTTCTCCACGTGCTTGGGACTACGAACTCGAGATAGACAACTATCAAGAAGCCCTTGGATTGGTCAAGTCGCAATGTTTGAACCAAAACTATGACTTGATCCTACAACCAAGCTTAACTAGACAAGATAAGCAGTTGTTCATTTTTGACATGGATTCTACGTTGATTTACCAAGAAGTCATTGAGTTGATAGCAGCATATGCCGGTATTGAAGATAAGGTAGCTGAAATTACAACTAGAGCAATGAATGGAGAAATCGACTTCAATGAGAGTTTAAAAGAGCGTGTTGGTTTACTTCGTGGCATAAACTCAACCACGATATGGAAAGAGTTGGAAGAGAAAATTGAAATCACAAACGGTGTAAGACCATTGAGCAAAGCCTTGAAAAAAATGGGATGTGTATTAGGAGTTTGCTCCGGTGGATTTATACCTTTGGCCGAACATATCAAGAATGAGCTAAGCTTGGACTATGCTTACGCAAACACATTAGGTGTTGATGAAAACAACATCTTAAATGGTGAGACAATTGGAGAAATTGTCAATGGTGATAAAAAGGCCGAGCTTCTATTGGAAATAGCAAACAAGCATGGAATCGACCCCAAGAATGCTGTTGCCATAGGTGATGGGGCTAATGATTTGAAAATGATGTCAGTTGCAGGATTTGGTATTGCGTGGAATGCAAAGCCTAAAGTTCAACTACAAGCTCCAGCTTGCTTAAACACCAAGTCTTTGCTTGATGTTTTATATATCATGGGCTATAGTGATGTCGACATCAAGGATTTATTAGAATAAAATACATTGACTATATGTATGTGTATATATCAACCGACGATTCTTCCTCTAACGACACCCATGATGCCATTGAATAATAGTACTTCATTTCCAATGGAAACATCTTTCATCAGAATGACATCCTCCTCGATAAAGTTCCTACGCAAGAGATAATGCCTAGTAACACCACATAGACAACCAGAGCTCAACAACGGGGTGACCCATTTACCATCACTTTGTCTCTTAATAGCAACATTGGTGATTGAGCCTTCCATTAACTGATTTTGCGAATTGAAAAGTAACACTTCCTCCTTGCCTGGTTTCAACCCAGGAAGGATCCTCCTTGCTTCTGTGTAAACGTCTCTTTTTGTAGTTTTGAATGATGTGAAGGGTGAGATAAGCGAACTCTTGGTGTTTATGTATACATCCCATTCATCGTGCCTCGAGCCAGATTCAGTCAGAGCTTCGGCACTGTTTTCACCATCAGCAGGATGTAATCCCAATAATAGATCCTCACGAATTGTCGTGTCGTGAATCTCTAACCTTGACGATCCATCTAACTTAAACAATCCACGTATTTTGTATGATTTATCCACAGGTTTCTGCAGCTCCTTGAAACTTTCCACAATTTGCTTCAACAAGTATTCCTCACCGATGTCAGAATCAAATGAAGTTCCGTACAAATGATGAAAAAATGTAAATGTGTACTGTAGTCTTGCAACGTGTTCAGATAAAAGAAAGATATTCAGAGGTGATATATCAATGTAGCCTGTTGGAGGGACTTTTGACAACGTTGGATCATACCTGATGGTTGATAATATTTCAAAATCTTCCGGTTTGATGGAGGAGTTTGATTTGGGAAAGAACCTATCTATGTAGTCCGTATGAACTGACTTTAAGTCCTTGTCTAGCTGAAATGACTTCATGCGGTGGACAGTGATGATGCATTTAGTGTCTTTTAGGGTATGCGGATGTTTCAGTTTTATTCAATTGGTAGCAAATGCTAGCTTTAAATCAATTCTTTACATGCTTATTACTTACTGATCTACTTAATCCTATTCACATTTTCTCTTCCTTTGTCTATACCATCTAGTACGGCCTGAAACGCTTCTTTTCCTTCATTAACCTGACCTTCTCCTGGTCAGCTTTGAACTTGCTTAAAAGTTCATTCATTTCTTCTTTCTTGCGCTGTCTCAATTGGAATCTATAGAAATCTTGTTTCTCCTTCTTTTTCATCTTATTCTTTGCTTTATCACTCTCAATGGTAGATGCTACGTTTTGCTTACCTAGTATACCTGCCTTTGTTTTCCTATGAGATCCCACAACCAATTGGAACCCATCTTCATCTACCAAGTTTGCTTGGTTTTGCAAATTTTCAATGCTTTCTTGTTCAGCAGTATCAAAATCTTTCAAAGCTTGTGCCACTTCTTCCGATAGCTTTTCTTTGTCCAATATTTCCTGCTTATACTTGTTGAGAAAGTATGAGGTTGTAATCTCCTTCATTGGCCAAGTGGACACAGAAGCACCGGAGGATAGTTTCTTCAACGCGTTAAATGCCAACAGAAATGAGCCTTTGTCAATAAATGTTATTATTGCACAATTTTTGGGTAATTTACTAGCAGTCTCATCGGTGTTGCTTATGGGTAAATCTGATGTTAATTTGGTTAAATCTAGCCATAGATCCTCCGTGCTATCTGTTAAATACGATTGGGTGTAGCTTTCGATAGTTGCTCCTAGAGCAACCGTTTGGAAATACTTTTTGATTGTTTGCAAGTCACTTAGTATTGGTAGATTGCAAATAAAGATGGATGTGTTGCTGACACTCTCTGGATTACTTTTAGAATCATGCTTTTTGAAGTATATGTAATGCGTGGACTTTGTTCCTGGTATATTTACAGGTAGTATTTGAAACCCCTTTACTTCTGTTTTCACCATGACAGCAAATACTTAAGAATATTTAAATAATTTGAGGACTGTTGTAGCGATATCAAGACTTTGCTTGCCAATTTTAGTCAGATGAGCTTCGTTCATCAAAAGTGGTAGTGTCCATTCGCTCAAAGTTTCAACGCGAAGAGACAAAAATAAAAATCAAATAAAAGAAAAAAAAAATTTTTTGTTAACAAATAATTTTTCAGTGATTTAATGTTAAGACACACATAAACTGATTCACCATACAAATAATATTCTTTCACCCTATTGTCAAATTTGGCACCCAAATCAAAATACACAACAAGAGCTTATCAATAGTAATAGGTGGCGTGCACTAATAGATTCATACTATAATTCTAAAATACCCCAAGAGTACAACGCTTAAAGATACTTTATTAAAACCATTTCATTTACCTTTTATAAAGATGGATAAAGATTCACTTCTCCAGGCTTTGGGCGGCACTTTAAACGCAGATCAGCAGGTCAGAAAAAGTAGCGAACAGTCATTGCATGTATACGAACAGCAGCCTGGGTTTACCAGCTACTTGTTGGACTTGATCACCGAGCCGGGTATTCAATTGGGCACACAAATTGCAGCGGCAATTTTTTTTAAAAACAGAATCATGAACTATTGGATTGCGCCAGAGCATACAAAGCAACCTGCTAGTTATTTTCTTCTTGAGAATGAAAAAGCTGATATCAAGAATAAGTTGGTGCCTACCTTAATGAAAGCGTACAAGATCAACCAGATCAAATTTTCTTTGTCAACTGCATTGAATGGGATATTAAGTTACGACAAATGGGACGAATTGATACCGGTAATTTCGAATTTGCTCTCATCTCAGGATCAGGATCAGATTTTCGTTGGTTTGATATGTTTGTATGAATACGTCAAGAGCTACAGATGGGCAGGTCTTGAGCTGAAAAACTTTTCTAACCCAGTCATGGAAAATATTACACAAGAGACTTTCCCCATTATCGAGCAATTGGCTCAAACCCTAGTTGCAAATGATGGTACTACTATCACAGATGAGATGCTCTATCTCATTGTAAAGTCATTCAAGAATGCCACGTTTTCGTCACTTCCGTCATATTTTATGGATGTGAATAAATTAGGCCTTTGGTGCAATATTCATATTCTGATAATCAACAAGCCATTACCTAAAGAGGTTTTGGAAGAAGATATACTCGAGCAACGTGCATTGCACCCTAGAGTCAAGGCCGTTAAATGGTGTTTTGCCAACATGAATCGTTTATTAAACAAGCACGGCGGTGGTTATTTGACCAAAGAAAAGAATGATTTTACCCAGGTATTCCTCACAAACTTTGTACCTGAAATACTTGGTGCTTATTGGAAGATTATCGAAGAATGGTCGAGCAAAAAGGTTTGGTTAAGTGAGGCCTCATTATATTACATGATCTCATTCTTGGAACTTATTATTGAAACCCCTTGTTGGGAATTAGTCGGTGACAAATTGGATGCAATAATCAGGCACTTGATTCTCCCTTCTTTACAAGCAACTGAAGAAACAGTCGAACTTTATGAGGATGATCCTTTTGAATACATCAGGAGATTCTTTGACGTCAATAGGGAGCAAAAGACAAGTGATGTGTCGGCAATCAATTTTGTTTACAGACTCTCCAATAAAAAGTTTACACAAACTATAAACGTTATTTTTGGTATAATCAACGATATATTCACGCAAAGACTTGGCAATCGTGGCAACCAGGATATTGCAATGAAAACTGAGGGAGCTCTTAGAATCCTTTCCACAATATCCTACAAATTGGATCTGAAATCATCTCCATGTCACGGACAAGTTGACAAAATGCTTGAGACGTATGTTCTTCCTGAATTGTCAAACGAAAACTCCACTAGGACACCTTGGCTTACCGCTAGGAGTTGCGACACCATCGCTATGTTCCACAATCATGAATATAGTGATATGCAAGTCTTGGAAAAGATTTTTCAAGGAATCATTTCATGTTTCCAAAACGAGGTACAATTTCCAATTCAATTGACTGCCGCAGATGCTTTGGCAACCTTAGTTCAAGAAGACTCAGTAGCAAGCCATGTTGCAGAGCAAGCACCGCAATTATTGGAAAACTTGTTGGAGAAATCAAAGAAATATGAAAGTGATATTTTAACCAACGTGATGGATACTTTTGTGGAAAAGTTTGCCAAAAACCTTGAGCCATATGCTGTCGAGCTTGGAACTAAATTGGTTGAACAATTTCTTCGGTTGGGTAACGAAATTCTTGAACTGCAAAGTGCAGGAGGCGCAATAGAGGCGGACAAAGAGTACCAAGCAAGTGGTTTATTGAGTACGTTGACTACGTTGATCCTCTCTACGTCTCATGCATCAAAAATAGGAACACGTTTGGAGCTTGTGGTTCAAGAGTTGATTAACTTTGTCTTGGAAAATGCGATGGTGGTATTTTTGACCGAAATAGTCGAGATTATGGAGTCTTTGTTGTACTTGAACCAAGAAGTCTCAAACACCATGTGGTCAATGTATCAAAGTGTCATTGATGCGTTTGAAACATACGCTTATGAGTATTTCGACCTGTTCCAACCATTCTTTGTGGGTATAATCAACAAAGGGTTCACTAACCCTCAAGTTACAATGGAGCACCCTTATGTTCAATCAATGATGAACGTTTGCTTCGGTATTTTGAAGCAGGACGACATGGATCCAATTTTTGCCCATTCAGCCTTTGAAGATATTGAGTTGACTATTTTGGCAATGAATACGAGACTCGCTTCTATATTGCCCAACTTTTTGAGCGAGATATTTGATATTTATAACAATTTGGAAGCCCAGAATGCTTTTGATGGGTATATGTTGCACCGCTTGTCGTTGATTCGAATTCTTTTTGCTTCTATCTTTGTTGATCCTGTCAACACGTTGAGCATGATAGGATCAAAGGGTTTCACTGTTGAATTCTACAAATTGTGGATTAAACATTGTGATGATTTCCAAAGTGTTTACGGGTGTAAATTGCAAATTTTGTGCGCCTTGGCTATTGTCAAGAGCGAAGCAATAAAGAGCATTCCTGAAGACTTGGTTGGTGAGACTGCTGATTTACTTCTAAACAATGTGGCAGCTTTGCCCAATGCAATCAGAACCAGGAACTCTATCTTGACTAATGAAATTAGTCAAAAGGACCAGGTCAAACAGGAAGGAAATGACGAAGGAGATGATGATAACAATGATGAATTTGCAGAAATTGGTGATTTAGATGATGAGTATGAGATGGATGAAGCAGAGATGGAGGCTCTTAGAGAGACACCTATTGACAAGATCAATGGGTTTGAGGAGTTTGTCCAAGCATTCCTTTCGATGCAACAAAACGAACCCGAAAAGTATCACATTTTGTTTGGTGATTTGGATGACAGTAAAAAAGAGATGATTCAAGAACTTGTTAAAGTTACTCAACAGACGAGACGTTAATCTGTATGAAGCTTATGTGTATACCTGTACTTTTGTATCTGTCATAATTACAATGCTCACTAGCAATAGCTTTTGACGGCAAAAATAAAAAAAAAATGTCAATAAAAATAAAAAACCAATCACTCTTTAATACCACAAACTTTCTTTACCAACCAACAACATCATGTTTTCTAGTTTTGGATCTTCCGTGTTTGGTGGAGGTATGCAAGGATTTGGAGTACCTGCAAGTAACACCTTTGAGGAATATTTTAGATGTTATCCAATTGCAATGATGCCAGATTTGGTACGAAAGGATGACGCAAACTACGGAGGCAAAATATTCTTACCTCCTTCAGCATTGAGCAAATTGACAATGTTACACATCAGATATCCCATGTTGTTTGAACTCAAGAATGAGCAGAAAGACCTATTGACGCACAGCGGTGTTTTAGAGTTCACTAGTGAGGAAGGAAGATGTTATATCCCTCAATGGATGATGAACACATTGAAACTACAACCAGGAAGCTTGATCAAGGTCAAGAATTGTGACCTAAATTTGGGGAAATTTGTCAAGATAGAACCACAAAGTGTCGACTTTTTGGATATCAGTGACCCCAAAGCAGTCTTAGAAAATGTTTTGCGAAAGTTTTCCACCTTAACCGTGAATGACGTGATTGAGGTGAACTACAACGATTCAATTTATGGAATCAAGGTTCTTGAGGTAAAACCAGAGAGTACAAACCACGGTATTTGTGTTGTGGAGACAGATTTGGAGACCGACTTTGCTCCTCCAGTGGGGTATGTGGAGCCCGAATACAAGCCCAAAAGTGTTACACCATCCCTGCTGAAACCTATTGATCCCTCAAGTGTAAACAGGGGTGCTGGTGCTGCAACCATGGCCAAGTCCATCAATTATGCAGAACTTGTGGGTAACGCAGCAACAAATGGAGGATCCGTGTCAAAATTCGGAGGATCGGGCCAGAAATTATCAGGGAAAAAAGTGGAAGATGCACAACTGGCAAATGGCAAGTACAGTGTGGATGATTTAGATCCCAATGCCCCAGCCGTACCATTAATTCTACCGGAGAACCAATTATTCTTTGGTTTCCCTGTGGTGTTGCCTACTCAAGAAGAGATAAACGAGGGTATCAAGGATGAACAAAAGAGTCAACATGCATTTTCTGGATCGGGCCAGTCATTGCGACAAAGTAAAAAGAGAAAGGACAAAAATACAAATCATCCATCTTTAAAGAACCATGAGCGAAGTCCCGATGTTATAGAAATTGATTAGGATTTTAATTTATGCTTTGATGACACATCTATAAAGCTCTCTATTCTTGTGTAGTTGAAGGAAGGAACACATCGTTGCCTTGTTCAACGGCTTTCTTTTGATGATAGACAATATCAGTTGCTTCCCATGGGTACGCGATCCAGCAGTCGGGCACGGTTCTTGCAGCAAAATAGTTGCCCGTCTTCATAATTTCATCTGGTAAATCAGCCTTCTTTTGCTTTTCTTTGTCATGCAAGACAAATATAGCAAACTTGGTGCTCTTTGGGTCAGCATTTAAAGCCTTGGCTTGTTCCTCGACATCTTTCTTCAACTCTGAGACGGCATAGTGCAATGTAGTTCTCGTGTCGTCGACCTCATCAATAATCAAAATGTTCTTTCCAACTAAATTAATCTTGGATTGAGTGTAATCGATCCATTGAGTTCTACTGACATGAGTACCAGGCTTTTCTTGTACTCCATCTGAGTTTTCAATCTCTTCGTATAAAGATAAAATGATGGCCATGATTCTGACATTTGGCTGACCTGGTTCTTTCAAGAAGGAACGCAACATCCTAGCAGGAATAAAACCACCTCCTCCGATTGCGATGATTAAATCAGGCTTGAATTGCTTAATTTTGTCAGCTGACTCTTGGCACAATTGGTGTACATTGTTGTACGAGATATACATCTTATCATCCGACATTGTTGCGCACGTGTATGATTCAAATGGTCAAACTAATGAGATTCAGGATACTCCAGTAGAACTAGGGTTCTATACCAAACCCAAGAAAGAAGAAAAGAAGAGAGATACATACGACCTTGTGGTATATTTTTTTTTTTATTTTTTTCTGTTGAGAATTTTTCCGATGTGATTCTTCTACAGTGTAAGAGCTTGAATTAGATATTAGCAAAGGTCAAATACAGCCAGACAAAGATCAAGTGTGTACTTTATTGCCCTATGTGGAGGTGTTCTTATCTTTCAACTCTTTATGCAAAGACTTTCTTCTTTGTTGCTGTTGTTGATGATGATGATCCTTGGTAGCTGTTATCACGGAACCTCCAACGGAACAGTAGACAATGTTTTTGCACCCATTTGAGACAAAAACTACAACTCATCACAAAATTTTACTTATAAAATTACAAACAAACAAACAAAACAAACATTATAATACTCTTTCAGGGAAGGGGATATTTTTCTTCCATTGGGTCAAACTTGCAGCAACAACATCCCTATAGAAGCGTTCTCTTTTATAACTGACATCATATTGAAATTCATCCCGCAACACCTGTGCGATTGTTTTCCTAAACTTTCTTCCAAAATCATCATACTCAAACTTATTGACTATCCAAATAATGTAATTATTGCTAAACAAATCATTGAACAAAATTTTCAACTGCAACAAAATCTCAGTATCAATATCCTCATTTGTTTTCAAATAAGCACTTGTGAAGGTTAATTCATAGTGCATCCTAGCAAACTGAAGTGCAAAAGACTTTGTAATATCTTGTTTTTTTGATTTTTCACTCATAATTTCCAAATATTTGCAAAATTGCAATGTACAACCAAGCCCACTATTTAAAAGGTTTTGATACTGCTTCTTTGTTTTCATTGGCAAAGTTTGAGATTTCGAGAGGATTCCAAACCCGTTGATTTCTCTTGGACGAAATTGAACTGGAATACTTGGCAACTCCATCAACTGGTGATCTGGAGTCATGCTTTCGGAATCTTCATCACTGGAATCTTGTGCTCCTTCAGAGTTTCGCAGAACCGTAGTTCCACCAAGCCATGTCTTGATTTTATTCACAAACGGCTTGCCCCATCTTGTAGAGTCCACTGATTTAGCACTTTGCGAATCGCCAATAGCACGCTTTTCACCTGGTGTACCACCGTTAATGGGAGTATCGTTGTCTCCATTTGTCTGATCCAACGGCAAACCATCTGAATTTGCTGCTTCGTCGCTGGCTTTGATGTTTGGGTCAAGGTTCTTATTACGCTTCGTTTCTTCATGTACGCTATGCTTTGTCAATGATTGTTTATCCCTTTTCGAATCAGAGACCTTCTCGTTGCACGATTTTGAATCCAATCCCTCTGTAAAGCCATTCTCTTCTTTTTCAGCTTCACCCTGATCGTCAATGTTCTCACTCAATGTCGGTGTACTCCTGGGTGGTGTGGTATCAAAAGGAGCCGATTTTGCAGCCGAAGAACTCTTTCCAATCCCCAAGTCAAAATCTCTAGAATTGATAACTTTTCTAGCATTGTCCTGGGGGTGATTTAATTTTGGCAGCACCTTATCATTCAAAAGATCATTTACTACTGCTTTAGTTTGAGCCCCAACTTCATTCAAGGCTCTCTCAATTGAAACGTCACTTTTGTTATTTGGTTCGTTGTCAGTTTGGTGACTGTTTTGGCCTGATTTTGACATCATTTGTTTGGAACAATAAAGCGGGATAAAATGAAACACCCTCTTTTGAACCCCTTTTTCGGTAGTCTTCAAATGGGGTGTTGATCCCTTTATATACCACTCATCCAGATTACGATAACAAAGAGGAAAATAATTGCAGTCATTGACTAGTAGCTACCACTCCATAACAAAAATCTTTGATAATTTTTGATATGCCACCACTTTTTTTTCCCAAATACCAATTAGCGCTGCTCTACTTAATCTTGCATTGTTTTTGTAACTAGCTTTGGAAGACTGGCATCAAAGCTCAATGTATGGTATTAAGTGTAATATTTTTAAATATGTGTACCCTATTTTTTAATGTATTTGCTTACTTTGATGCGTTGTCCTTTTATGAAGTTTTTCCGGTGGGACATGCCAAAGTCCATCCCAACAACACCGAAAATGAACTGTAAGCAATGCCATGGCTTTGACAAAGCGACTGCTGCTAGTAACAAATTGTGGTGTCAGAAAATTGACTACACTCTCTATTAATTCGGTGGTGATCATCAATTCATAATCTACTCTCTAGTTCAGGTTTACATTTGCCACTCTATTAAATGAAAATTTGTGGGCTCCACGTTTGAAAGTAGAAAAAAAAAAATAGAACAACAAAGAAAATTTCAACAGATTTCACTAATAATAAGAAATTCATTCCTTTTTTTACACGATTTCAACTCCTTTTATGCATATATGATATGAGATTCTTACTCACCTTGACGTGCATACTATCGTCTGTTCTCTCTGCAATTGTGGGAATAGATTATGGACAGCAATTCACAAAGGCGGTGTTATTAGCACCTGGCATTCCATTTGAATTGGTATTGACGGACGAAGGAAAAAGAAAAGACTTGTCGGGTATCTGTATTAGAAAAGAGCCTGACGGTGGATTAGAAAGGGCCTATGGATCACAAATGGGCTCATTGGTCACCAGATTTCCCCAGAGTACTGTCTTGGATTTAAAACAATTGATTGGTAAAACATTTGACGATCCTGCCACTGAAAAATATTTAAGAACCCACTTTGGCATCAAGTTGTTAGGAGATGAGTCTAGGAATAATGCCATTAAGTTTGATCTTGGATTGGGAAATTCAAGTTATCAATTTTCAGTGGAAGAATTATTGGCAATGTCGTTGAACGAGGTGAAAGCAAGGGCATTGAATGATCTCGAGGAGAACCCCCACGCAGCAGCATTGGTTGAAGATGTTGCAATCAGTATACCACCATTTTCTTCCCAGGCAACTCGTCAAGCCTATTTGGATTCCTTATACTTGGCTAATTTTTCAAATGTTTTAGGCTTGGTGGATGAGGGAACTTCTGTTGCGCTCAACTTTGCAGGAAATAAAAAGTACGACCAATCTGAGTACAATGATGTTACCGAGTATCACTTGGTGTTTGACGCTGGTGCTGGTTACACTACGGCAACTTTGTTCTCCATTACTCCACGATCGAACGGAAAAGTTGTTTTGAAAATGGAAAGCGTTGGGGAAGATTTACTATTTGGTGGAAAGACCTTGACGGAGTCAGTTTATTCCATTGTGTTGGAAAAATTACTCAACCACTTTGGTTTGGAATCGTCAGATCTTTCTGAAAAGATTCATGCCAGACTATATGAGGTTGCTGAAAAAGCAAAGATCATTTTGTCTGCAAATACTGAGTATCATTCCACTTTGGAATCTATTTATGGTGACAAAGATTTCAAAGTTCTGGTTACAAGAGACGAGTTTGAGGAGTTTAATTCAGATTTAATGGAGAGAGTCACCAAACCAATAGCGAGTGCCCTTAAGAAATCCGGCTTGAGTGTAAAGGATTTGAAATCAGTCATTTTGAATGGAGGGTCAACCAGAGTACCATTTGTTCAAAAACACGTGTCGTTGTTTGTGGGTGAGGACAAGATATCCAAATCAGTAAATACCGATGAGAGTTCTGCTTTGGGAACTACGCAAATGGGCTTGAAATTGAAAACCAAGACACAGAATCCTAAAGACATCAAGTTAATTGACAGAAGTTATCACAATTTTGAGGTTAGCACAAACGCAAACGATGAGCAATTGGTTGTCTTTGGCGAAGAATCTGAGGTCGGAAACACGACGAAAGTAAATCTTGGAGAAGTTGGTGATCTGTTGTCTATTTCCTTGTTTGAGGATGGCTCGTTGATCAAGTCGTACAGTTTTGGCGATATCTCCAATGCCGTTCAAAAGTTGGGTTGCAAGTCGGGAGAAAGTAAGGAAGTGATAGCTACTTTTGAGCTTAATAAGAGCAAGATCTTTGATCTTGTGAAGACCAACATACAGTGTCAACCAAAGAACACTGGCTCCTTTTTGAAGAATTTGCTCAAAAATAACGGCGTCCAAGATGTGCTAGATGTTGATGCTGATGAGGAAGAAGGAGAAACGGATGAAGGATTTAATTCAACATCCAGCGACACAAATTCAACTAGCAGTGATTCCAAAGCAAAAGCATCAAAAGCATTGAAATCTACCTATGTTTCAATCCCCTCAGCAACATACCCTCACGTGAAACCAATAGGCAAGGACCAAAAGAAGAAACTACTTCGAAAACTTGCCCATTTGAATCGTTTAGATGAAGCAAAGATCGAGTTAACAGCAGTTAGAAACGAATTGGAGAGTCACTTGTACAAGTTAAGAGACTTAATTGAGTCGAATGAAGATGCTTTAAAAAAGGAATTGAGTGACAAGGAGATAGCAAAGTTTGTCAATTATGTTGGGGAACAAATTGAGTGGTTAGATTTTGAGAGCGATGGTGCCGTGATTGATGACTTGAAGCAAAAAATCAAGGACGTTGGCGGACGTGAATCAGAAATCAAGAGTTACCTTGACATGTCAAATACTGATTTATCAAAAGATGGCATGAAAAAGTTATATGAAGATGGTTCAAGTTTGATCATGACTATTCAGTCTAGCATGTTGAAATTTGGCGAACAAATTGCAGAAGTGCGTAAAAAGTATGACAATGCTGGGTTAAACTTTGATAAAGAAAACGATAGGATTAAGTTGAAACTCATGGGCAAAGAAGACAAAATGTTGTCATTCGACAGAAATTTGCGGGAGTATAGAGAGGTTATTAGCAAAATTGGAGATTTGTTAGATTTCCCTGACTCCAAGTTCAACAAAATCAGCAAAAAAGAATTGTACAGCTTCCACGATGCTTTGGCAAAGGGAGTTGCTCAAATGGTAATTGACCTTTTCGAGTTGGAAAAAACCCACAACGACCGAGTTAAATTATTCGATGAGCAATATGATAAACTAATTGAGAGACAGCAACAGAAGGAGTACAGAAAGAAGTTGAGAGAAGCTGCTAAAGAGGCGGAGAAGAAGGCTGCAAGTGAAAACCAAGATGATGAAGCTGCTGTTGTAGAAGACGAAACTAGGTCACGTTCTGAGAATGACGCAGAATCATCTAGTACCATCAATGAGGAAGCACCTAAAGAGGCCAATCCATCTAGCGAAGCTGATAACAATGGTGCTGATATTGACCATGATGAATTGTAGACATATAGAGTATTTAATATTGAAATAGTGTTGCATTTTAATTCTTCTGCGTAATGCTGTTCTCACATAATATGGAAGAGGGAAAAAAAATTGATCTTCAAAAGACGAAAAGAGGGAGCATCATCACTCCAAGAACCAATCGCCTGCCCACGCTATTTTACCCATCACCTCCAGTATGTCAAATCCACCACCAAACGGTTATTCGCGAAGGGGAAATTATGGTGATACTAACAGGAATTCATCAGCACGCTCAGGTGCATCGATCCGATCTCGCAACTCACACAGTGGAAACACACAACGGTATTCAAGTTCAAATTCGCACTATGATGGATATTATCCTCCTCGGCAAGGAGTGAGATCAAACGATGGAGGAAACAGCTATGAAGCATATGCATACAGGGATCGTGGGAAAGAAAGGTACGCTGATGCCCCCACTCAGCCAAGCTCGCATCATGGTGACTCTTACAGACCGAGGAGTAACAAAAGAAGATACGATGAGTACCAAGGAAGCTCGTATAGGTCTTATAATACGCGAAGGGTAGATCATTATGATGCTAATAATAGAGCTGAAACACGCAACTTCCAGGAAAGCTACTACACCCAACCAGAAACAAAAATGTCTAAAGCTGAAATTGAAGACCGCATCCAACAATTGGAACTCCATTTAAAGAATTTAAACGATGCACAGCCTTTGAATCAGATCAAGGTCATTGATTCACGTTGGGGCGTCAAAGCAAAGGGTTTTGAAAAAGTGAGTGCCCCAAGGGCAAAATTGTCAGGATTATTTCCGTTACCGGGCTTCCCCCGTCCCGTTGACTTTACGAAGCTTGAAGGCTTGGTTAAAGACAGACTTCTGAATAGTAATGATATCTTGAATGAGACAAGCAGAATCGACCCCATTGATTCAAGAGTAGCCAAGACCTTAATCATCAATGACATTGGAACTATTAATTACATGAAGATTGTGGAATTTTTCAATGATTATTTGAGAATGATTGATTTTGAACAGAGCTCGAGTAATAATATACACAGTAAAAGGAAGTTGAAGGACGACAAGACATTGATTATTGAATTTAACAATAGTGAGTGTGCGACAATTGTATATTCACTTAATGGTACAGAGTTACTATTCAATGCCTACAAAGAGGATCATATTGATCGACGGGAAGTAAGCGACAAGTTTAGACTCCAAATATCTAGACCAAACGAGTATGTTGTTCAAGATGAAGCGACAACATCGGATGAGGTGCAAGAAGCTATCAAAGACAGTCCAAGAAAAATATCGCTTATTGTTTCAACCAGTGTTTCACCTGATGACGCAAGCGAACAACTCCTGGCCCTAGCGCCTCTATATGGAATGCAGTATTTCCGACAAAAAGGCACAAAAGACCCGTTAGGATTAATTTTTGTCGAATTCAAACTGAATGATCAAGGAATACTTGAGAAATTAAAGCAGCTATCCTTTGTAACAAATGCGTTTTACTCATGCATTCCACGTTTGGAAACTCCGATACAAAAGGGGCCCATTAACTACGACACCTTGCCCAAATTGGTAAACAACGAACTAGTCCAAGCTAGAGCAAGCTCAAGAGTTGTTCAACTACTAAATGCAGTTTCACTAAAGGACTTGAAGGATGATTCGAATGTGCGGTTTTTGTACAATGACATGAAAAATGAGGCATCGCAATTTGGAACGGTGGTGTCGATAAAAATTCCACTACCTGCTAATGATTTTACCCCCGGGTTACAGCAATTGAATGTTTCTGGATTAGGAAAGATATTTATTGAGTTTGATGACGAGAACTCGGCGTTGAAGGCCATTATGGAGCTCTCTGGAAGGCTGTACAATGATCGCACAGTGCTTGCCACATACTTTGATTATGAAGATTATAAAAGGAATGTTATATAGTTCTGATAAAGTCGTCATAATGAATATATTCTTATAAATTGCCACTATTTCTACACTAGCTTTCTACCCCCTCTTCCCACAAAATCAATCTCCACCTAGTTTAGTTCTTTTCCATTAAAACATCATCGACATTTCTAACACTCGAAATCTCGGAATCAGAATCATCAAGGTTGGACTTTGGGCCAGAATACGACCTATAACCCCACGCAAAATAATACGTCAACGATAGAATCCAGACTCCAGCATTTACAGCAACAGTATAATTCATTGTGTCCTTGGTGACCCGTGTTGAGTCTGGAAACATACTCATTACGATGGCAAAACATAACCAACAGATTGTAATTACATTGACAACAGTACTCCATGTCAGTCCAAAATAAAATGGTCCCGAGATGAATTTGCCCCTTCCGTATGCTAATGTCACAAGCAACACTGGTGTACCCCATGAGAGACCATTGGAAGTAATACAAAGTGAAAACAAAGCATTGGCACCGGCTGTTCCTGGAATCGTAACTAACAATCCCATAACCAACCCCAAGCACCCCGCAAAAATTGTGGCCCTAACAGGAACTTTGATTTTGGGATCAATATACTTGACATATTTGTACACCACAGGCAATCCATCGTCCCTAGCGAAGGACCATACTTGTCTAGATAAGGCAATCATGATTGAAATAGCCATACAGTACTGTCCCACCGCTATCATTGCCATGAATGCGACGGCCCATCTTTTCCCCAAAGCATCGAGAATTATTTGAGCCATTGGTGAGCCTGTTTCTGATGAAAGGACACGAGCGGTATTACTATCCTTGATGCAAGCTGCGCAGACAATCATGATAAACCATCCGAACCACCAACAAGCACCAATGGATCCTAAAATACCGTATGGAATTGACCTTTGAGCATTCAATGCTTCTTCGGAGCAATGAATTACCGAATCAAACGCCCCAATCGTCCATATTGCAGTTTGAAAGGACATGATTGTGCTCCACCCAGTGGGCCAATCTCTTGCATTCTCAAAGTTGGTGAATATGTATCTTGCTGAGTTGAAGCTATTGTTTCTTGAAAACCCAATTGGTACTGCAATGAGAAAAAGAACTACCAAGAACATATTGACTATAATGGACAATGTTTGAAACTTGGCAGCATGTCCTGTTGTCAAACAGGATATGATAATATTCAGTGCCACACAAGCACAGAAAATACCATAGCACTTGAAGTTGGTGATTTCAAAAGTGTTGTCTCGTGAAATTGACACAGCTGATAATACTTCCACCGCAAAGCCATAACTGATACTGCATAGTCCACCCAATAACCCTAGTGAGTTTGAACAAGCAATTAAATAACTCAACGGAACTCGGATGTAGTCAGGGCAATAGTAGTTACTATAGTAATACAAACCTCCACTGGTGGGAATAGCACTACCTAAAAAAGACATTGATGTACCCACACTGAAAATAAAACAACTGGCAATAAACCATCCCCATACTAGACCAGCAGGACCAGAAGCTAATCCAATTCCTAGAACAGATGAGATACTGGGTAACAATCCCATAATAGAAAATGCAATGCCAAATACTTGAATCACAGTGTAGTGGCGTCTTAATTCTTGCTTGTACCCAATCTGGTGCAACAAATCAACATCACCCCCATTGTGTTTTGGATCAACGACTCTAACTTCTGATGCAACCGAGCTGATGTGTCGAAGTCCGTGCCCAATGCTGTCGGCTTTCATGATTACTCCTCAATGCAAAAATCATTCAGCAAGTTCTAAAACTAAATCAATTCACATTGCATTTATAAAAATTCTGGAACAGTAAGCCGGAATAAGAGTCTCAAAAAATGGCAAAATTGTCTTCCAAAAGATACTTTGCAATTATTATAACCGGAATTATGGAATAAAAGAAGTGCTGTTTTCGACATTTTATTAGCAGAATATTATATTTCACATTCTTTGATCATTTTCTGGGCATACACTTCATCACTGATTTGAACCAAAAAGAAAACCAAAATATAAGCAAACAGCAGTCGAAAAGCTTTAAGAATCCGCAAAGCTTAGCTTTATATTAAATTAAGATTATTCAGTTGTCGATTAACGAATGCAACATGTCTTGGATAATTTGTTTTGTATCTTCAAGAAATTTACACTATGACTTGGTACTGAGAGGCGCAATTACTTTGTAGTTTGACTTGCTCCCAAAAAGTGCGGGGGCCATGCTTCCAGCTTGGGGATGACTTATATTAACCAAAATAGGATAGTTTTATTCAAAGCCTTAACAATAATGTGTTTTCTCGACCGAGATGAATTTTGTCGAACCTATTTTTATAAAAATAATATTGTCCTATAATAGCATCTCTTGGCATAAGTTTCTCAAAATTTTACATCACGTCTGTACTTTTAAAAAACATCTGCTTGGTAATACGAGAGCTTGCCTCGATAATAAATTACAATGGCGGGGTTGTTTAACTTGATACATAAACTTTTAAACCCGCTAAGGATTTCTTACCCAGACAAGGGATAAGTAAAACTTTGAAGGTGGAGAAGGTCCTTTTTTGAGATTTCATTCAAACATCAGCGTTAGCTAAAAACGCTTTCAATTTCTTCGGTACAGATTTATCATGGCCATGCCTGACAATCAAGTCAAAAAGCGGTTTTGGTAACTCAGGAATAAAACTCAAACTCAACTTGATAATCTCATTGGCTTCCAAACTGGGAAAATTCCTCAATACTTTCATTGGCTGTTCCGATTCAAGTATTTGTGATCGATTTATAATCAATTGAGCCACAATAAACAAAATATTCATATGGAATCCATAAGCGAAAAGGAAATCCCACAATTTGAGTACTGCATTTAATGGCGGTGTGCAGGCACTTAATGTAAGCACCGAGGGAAATGCGTAAATCTCTGGTTTCAAGAATTTCGAATCAAGGGCCTCACTTAAAACAGGATCTATCATTTTAAGAACGACTTCAACTAGATTGAGTCCAGTATGAACACCTTCCAAATTGGGCGTAATATATAGTGGAATATGGTAGGTGATTATCGTGTGGAGTATGGCAAATGCTTGTGGTTCGCTTCTGTGGCAACAGTAGGCTATGGGAGCGAGCAATACATTTAGGCCTTGAACGTACCCCACATCATTGGTCACAGCAATGCAGGATAATATTCGTATCAACAGTTCTTCACTCACCTTTTGATGGAATTTCTGATCATTCATTAATGTGCGAAAGGTGTCACCTTTAATCTTTGCTCTTAGTTCTTTGCTTAAACTGCTCTCCAGCTCTGATAGTAATTGCAAGTAGTGATTAGTGGAGAAGGTTTGGGTTCGACTTAAAATTGACCACACGTAGCATCTGTAAGGACATTGATCGTAGCCGTCAGGAATTGAGAGTCCTTCAGTTAAGATCATATATCGTAGTTGCGACAATCCATTTTCTAAGAATAATTGTGAGCTCCCAATAAATAATTCAATAGAATCCTTCCTTCTTCCTTTAATCTCGTCCTCCTTTCCTTGCGCCATGTTTTAAAAAATAACTTAGGAATAACTCTGGGGAGAATGGAAATTTCGATTGTTTACATTTTTTTGAAGTTATGATCCAGGAGCTACCACAAATACTACTAGACTTTGGGCCAGCACATTTTCGAAGCTGGAGAAGCGCTAGTCTAAGTGCCACATACAGATGGGGAATCTTGGACTTGGATGCTTCAGCCATTGCGCTTTCATAAACTACAAACACACTCTGCAACTCTTAAATATTTTATTTTGAAACAACTATATAGTTCGTGTATTTAATAGTTTTAAAACTTAGTGTTCAATCTGATTCTGACTGCTTTAGTTTGAGTGTATTCGTGGAACACTTCTTCACCCATTTCTCTACCAATACCAGAAGCACTGAAACCACCAAATGGAACCATTGGATGGAAATCGTTATAAGTGTTAACCCAGATAGTACCAGCCTTGATCTTGCTTGAGACGTAGATACATTTGTTAACGTCTCTCGAGTGCACACCAGCGGCTAACCCATATTCAGTATTGTTGGCCAATTCAATTGCCTCATCAATAGTATCAAACTTAATCAACGTGACAACAGGACCGAAAATTTCCTCCTTGACAATCTTCATGTGACCAGCAACATCGCCAAAGATAGTTGGTTTGACAAAGTAACCTTTTCCATCCCCTCTGGTACCACCAGTGATAATCTTGGCGCCTTGTTCCTTACCTGACTCAATATATTGTAAAATCTTTGACAACTGAACTTCGGAAACTTGGGCTCCCATAAAAGTCTTTGGGTCAAATGGATCACCGCATTGAATTGATTCTGCAGCTTCCTTCAACTTCTTGACAACTTCGTCATAAACTCCAGATTGAATCAAGACACGTGAACCAGCACAACATACCTCACCAGAGTTGTAGAAAATACCAGCGACAATGTTTTTGATTGTATTGTCAACATCAGCATCGTCAAACACGATATTTGGAGACTTACCTCCCAATTCCAAGGTAACCTTCTTCAAGTTAGAATCAGCTGCAGCCTTCATGATTGTCTTACCAACAAGAGTAGACCCAGTAAATGCAACCTTATCCAACTTCATGTGGCTGGCAATAGCAGCACCAGCAGTCTTACCGAAACCGGAGATAATATTGACAACACCTTTTGGCAAACCAGCTTCAGCCAACAATTTGGCGAAAAACAAACCTGACAATGGTGTTTGTTCAGCAGTCTTCAAGACAGTTGTTGAACCACTGGCCAAGACTGGACCCAACTTCCATGACAACATCAAAAGAGGGAAATTCCATGGAATAATTTGACCACAAATTAATGGAACTCTTTCGGTGTAGTTAAAGTGGGTACCACCAGTGTTAATGACACTACCCAAAATCTTGTCACACCACCCGGCACACGATCTGAAGTAGTTGGCAACCAATTGAACATCACCCTTGGCGTTGGAAATGGATTTACCATTGTCCAAAGTTTCAATTTCAGCCAAAATTTCGGCATTCTTGTCAACCAATTCAGCAACTTTGTACAATACTGCTGCTCTAACTTCAGGAGCACAGGTAGACCATGTTTGGTAAGCAGCAGTAGCAGCATCAACGGCAGCGTCGACATCTTCTTCTAAAGCTTCATAAACACTGGCTACTACTTCCTCATTGACAGGAGAGATAACCTCAAAAGTTCTCTTTTGTTTTGGGTAAACAAATTCATTGTTGATGAACAAACCAGTTGGTTGTTTGTAAGTCTTTCCAGTTGGAATCTTGACTTCAATTTCTAAAGGTAAATCGCCACCCATTGTAAAAATATATATGCGTTAATATAGTTTTGTTTTCTTCTGTTTGTATCTTTCTGACTATAGTCAATTGACAAAATGAAAAGAAGAAAGGGTAGATCAATTGTCTGTTATTCTAAAAAAAATTTAGGGAAAATTTGTTGGGTATTTATATTGAGATTGTGTTTGAAAAATTAAGGAAAAATGGCAAGTTTTCGGAGTCAGTTTAAATCTTACAAATAGTATGCGAGACTTTTGTGGGGTTTTATTTTCTTTTCTTTTTTTTTGGCTTAACACGTAAATTCAAATCATGTTTCTTTAACTCCTGTATATAGCACACATCATTTTACTGACAGCAAAAAAAAATACACTAACAAACCCCTCTAAATACCCTCTATTATTAAAGCTTGATCTGACACGACCTATGTATTTTTTTTTTTTAATGTCTTGACCTTTTGGTCATCTACTTAAAGGGCATCATGAGTGACGTAATAACCACTTTGATAACCACTTTTAGAACCACTACGTGATTTTAACTGGTGATTAACCCTCGTCCTCGTCCAGTAAATCATAACCGCAACTATCCACGACGAACAATGCAATATGTATTATTTTGTGTCACAAGATAATCGATGATTGTTTTAACTCTCTACATGTATTGGCCAACGATGGATTGCACGGATTAAAGGCACACCCCACAAAAGTCGACTAAAGTCTGTGTATATATCTTGGGGTGGTTCAATCTAAAGTGGGTGTGATCCCCCATTGATAAAGGTAATTAAAGGCTTAACTAAAAGAAACGAAAATTGACTAAAATGACTGCAAACGTTCCCCCATCATCTATTGTCTCTGACTCGGATTAAAGGATTATGGAGAAAGAAACTGCATCGTGACTATCTTTGTAGAACAAGCAAATGCTCCACACCAATTTCAATATTGGTCCTTTTTCTGAAACTCTTATTTCTTCTTCAAATCGTGTGTCTTACTTTTATCTGTTGGTATTCCTCTTTTTTTAGTTTGCGCAATTACTTTCCTTATTGGTACAACGCCTAGGAAAGTTTGTCTTTTCTTTTTTTCTTTTGGGAAATTCTCGGAGTTGTTTTTGTCTGGGTTTGTGTCGATTGAGTATCTACACCACCACCACTAAGAGCACCACCACAGAAAGGGGCTCATTTATAACACAATGGAACATGGGTAGCAGTCTATTGTTGTTGTTGGGTAAGTAAGTGGGTGTGTCTCCTGACTAAACTCTATGGGGCCCAAGTGGTGGTTTATTTCGGATCTGGGGATGTTAAAAGTCCTGCAATGCCTTCTTCCCCCCCCACCTTTATTTTACAAGAAGATATGCACTTGAATTTTGTGTGAGAAACAGCTTTTTTAGATTGAAATGGACCGTCACTACACGTTTATAATAATTCATTGGGATTAAGAGAATATTGCTTTGAGATAAAATGCATTGGGTGCTATATATACCGCATCTTTTCTTAGTTACGATGTACCTTTCGAAACTGTTTGGAGGTATTATCGTAGATCCTTACTAACTCATCACTCTGTAGATTTAGTGTCTTGCTCAATAAGGTGAACAAAAACTTATCCATTTCATTGTAATCTGCAATCCTTCCATCGGGGTTGTCCATTCCAGCATCCAAAATGCGCTTGAGAGTGGCAAATTTACGTGTGACAGTTTCTTTATCTTCCACCACCTGCTCCACTTTGCCCAAATCTTGATCCATCCCTTCCAAAGTGAAGATTTGGAATAGCCTCTTTTCCATAATTGATAGATCGCCGTCATCGGAATTCCCATCTTTAACCCTATACTTCTCTGGCATCAAGTGATTATACACCCAATTGCAATATCGTTCAGTTTTATCTTCAGACCAATTAAGTAACGAGCCATCACATACTTCGTTATTATATTCATATTCCATGTTGTATGTTTTGACCTGCTTCAACCAAACTGCGAGTTGGAACTTTGGCTCACCAAATTCAAAATGTAACTTGATAATGTATATGGCCACCAGGACCAAATACACCTCAGGAAAACATTCTGCAAGCTTAGTAGCAGATTTAAGGTTTTTTGGAACCTCGAAAGTGGCCTTTTTGCAAAGATTGAGAAAATAGTACACCAACATAAACAAGTCCGGCGCATTTGGAAGAAATAAAGTGTTGGATAGCATATCAAAAATGAATGGGAAATAGCAGCTCGATGGTACTTGCAAATCATGATCCAACACGACCGAGTTTAAGTAAAAAATACGTCGTAGTATCTGTCCTTCACCAGGTGCTTGATGAGCTTGTAACCGACCATGATATGAACCATGCAATTTCTCCAACTCTTCAGTCGGTAGTAGATTATATGTCTTGAAATATGGCACTTTGTCCAACGTGATACACTCAACAACATCACTAAGATAGAATGGATGGGCTCGTAACTCCAAACCTGCCATATAAATAAGACACACCAAATCCAACACATCTAAAGAACTCTTTTGGTTATCGGTTCCATTTTGATCATTCACATGGCCATTTAGCCTGTAGTAGTGCTCCAATGCCCTACACCAGTAAGTTTTAACAATGCTAGTCAAAGCCGATTTGACCCCATCACTGAAATAAATCTTGACAATTGCGTCCAATTGAGCTTTCAATATTATTTGCAAACATCGATAATATATAGGCAATGCATCATCACCAGTTAACTTGTCCAACTTATGTTTCCTTGTCACCCTCTGGCTTGACTGACTGGCAAAGTTACCTCGCTCATCAACGGCAACAACGTTTAATCGTCGTGTTTGCACTGGTTGTTGATCTTGATCATCATTATACTCAATTGCACCTTCAAGGACATGCCCATATTGACATATCGTTAACCCATCTCGGTTTCTATATAGTCGTGATCGACAGTTATCGGTACCACATACTGGCCCTTTGAACCACAACTGTTTGCCCATAGCACCACCATATATACAAAGTGAGGAAATCAATTGTGTTTGGAAACACATTTTTATTTTTTAACAAAGCGAGAAGAGTACATCTTTTATCACAAAAACTTATCCATTTTTACAACACCCATCTACTCTATACAAACATCTATTTAATGGTTATGCATACACTCATGTTTTTCAATAACATGGCCAGCATTCAACTGTTCATCCAAATCATCATTTGGATCAATTTTGAATACCTTATCTGGATTCAATATTCTTCTTGGATCCAATGCCAATTTCAATTTCCTCATTGTATCAATAGTTGATTCACTCAATTCCTCAGAGAGGTATTTTCTTTTACCAACTCCAACACCATGTTCACCAGTACATGTACCCTCGAGTTGTAATGCACGTGCAACCATACGGTCGACCGCTTCGTGAACTTTGCCATAATCTGGTGAATTGTAGATAATGAGAAAATGGCAATTTCCATCACCAATGTGGCCCAACACGGAAAATTTGCCGTCGAAGCCGGCATTAATCAAGTCATCATTTATCTGGCCAATAGCCTCAGATAGGTTCGATACGGGTACAGCAACGTCAGTGGTCCATATTTGGACATCATTGGGATTAGAAAGACGGCTAGAGCCTGCCTGGAACGTCGACCAAAGTCCATTTCTTCTTGCTGCCCACAACTCGGCATTCTGTTCGGCATTTTCACTACGTTCAACTTTGATTGCACCATTTTCGTTAGCTATTTCTTCAACTACTTGAGATTGCTCAAGAACAGTTTTAGTTGTAGGACCACCCAACTTGAAAAACAATGTAGGCTTTTCCAATCGATGTTCACCATCTGCAGACTCGTTAACAAAAGACATCATTGTCTCATTCAAAAGCTCCATTGCATTTGGCTGGATTCCTCTTCCAATAATCGTCTGGACTGCAGCTGCAGCATCTTTTATAGTTGGGAATGCTGCAGTAGTAATAAGCTCAACTTTGGGGCGCACATGCAACTTTAATGTAATCTCGGTGATGATACCGGCTGTTCCTTCGGTGCCAATGAAAAACCTCGTCAAGTCGTATCCAGCACTTGATTTTCTAGGTCTTTGTCTCGTCCTGATAATTGTTCCATCAGCTAACACTACAGTTAAATTGACGACATTTTCCTTCATTGTACCATACCGAAAAGCATTGGTGCCTGAAGCACTAGTACCCACCATTCCTCCAATATTGGCACCAATTCCTGGATCAGGTCCAAATAACAAATCTTTACCCTTTGGATCATCGTTTAAAAAATCGGCCAAATCAACCCATCCAACACCAGGCTGAACAACAATATCCAAATCATCGGGATGGAAAGCAAGAACCTTATTCATTTCCGCAAATGAGAGCGATATACTGAAGGGACCCCTCGTGTGGATGTTTTGTCCTTCAAGTGAAGTCAATCCGGAACTGGCAACAACAGGGAGTCGATATTCGTGGGCGATTTTCATAATTTGCGACACTTGTTCGGTTGAAGTTGGTGTTATGACAACATTGGGCTTTTGTTTATCGGGTTGAGGAGGATGATGCGTTGAATAGAAGGAGTCGTTGTGTGAAGCAAGAACGTCGGGATCAAACAGAGCATGGTCTTTGCCGACAATTTCAATTATTCTCGATAACCCTTCTTTAAATTTTTGTTCATCGGCATAGACGGGGGGTTCTAATGATGAAAGTGGGGCGGTGGAAGCATCCTCATTATCTGCCTTGAGAAATGCAGCAGTATTCTTTTGCTTTTTCTTTTCAATGGGGTTACTGAAATATTGTCCCACGAAATATCCAGCACCTAACGACCCTACTGCAAGTGCTGCATAATTGAATATTCTTGTTTGTGGTGGTGCTTTCGGCGTAAAGTTGCTATTATGTCTCAAAGAACCTTTAGCTATGCCTGTAATTCTCTTTCGTCCAATGTTGAACATAGCAGTTGTGTATAGCTATCACTTCTTTCCAAAAAGGAGACTAGGTTTGGCCAGAAAGATAATTTTTTCAAAAGTCGACTTATTATCCAGAAGGTGTGGCGCGCTAAGATATGTCACAAAATTGGAATGATGATTCCCATCTTCAGTAATTCATCAACGCAAGCTCACCAAGAGCTATGCTGTAACCGCTCTTACACCCTAATAGCCAATCAATTGAGTTAAATTGTTCATTGCTTATAGCTCACATACATAGATACATAGTATAAACATTTTACGATTTCTCTTTTAATTCGTTGCTTGAATATGGTCTCGCATGCCAACAGATCCTGTCAACCTCGAGGGTGTGGTACTCTTGATAGGATAATGGATATCATTAGACTTGGCCTTTGCGTCAACATGGCCATATCCACCTCCACCGGGCGTGCTGATAATAATTCTATCGCCTTTACTAACTTTAACGGTACACTTGCCACCCAAAGATTTACTCTTGTACTCTCCAGTTGGAGACTTGTAGACCCACTTGTTGATTCCTCTAGCACCTTCACCTCCTCCATGCAACCCGTAAGGTGCTAATGATCGTCTTTCCATTAAGCAGGAAACTTCCAATGGGTACAAAAATTCAATATCCCGAATCACACCATCACCACCCTTATGTAACCCGTCACCTCCTGATCCAAGACGAACCGAGTACTCATGAAGCAATACCGGATACCTCTTTTCAAATATTTCAGAATCCGTCATTCGCGTATTAGTCGTGTGACATTGAACTACTGATTGACCATCCCAGTCAGGACCAGCACCAGCACCACCACAAATTGTCTCGTAATAGCCAAAACAAACGCCATTTTCCTGATCATTAGTTCCAAAAGTAAAGTTATTACAAGTACCTTGTGAGCCAGCTGCTGCCTGGAAAGTCTTGAGCATCACATCAACAATTCTCTGCGTCGTTTCAACATTACCACCCACCACAGCTGCATCATCAGAGGGAGCAACTAAGGAGCCTTGTCTTGTTTTGAATTCAATCGGTCTCAAACAACCATTATTCAAGGGGATATCGGTACTTATAAGACATCTGAGGACGTATAGCACCGCTGAATACAAGATTGCTGTTGGTGCATTCAAATTACCGTATATCTCATCACCTGTTTCACTAAAGTCAAACAAAGCCGATCCAGTATCAGGATTGATAGTTACAGTCAATGCGATAGGAGTGCCGTCATCAATATAATCGATTCCTTTCAACTCATGCGATCCAAACTTTTGGAAAGCCAATTTTAGCAAGTTCCGAACCGCAACTTCGGCAGTTGATTGAATGCCTCCCATGTACAACTTGATAACGTCATAAGTGAAATCGTCAACCAACCGTTGCAATAAAACAATCCCTTTGTAATTTGCAGCTACTTGCGCTTTCAAGTCAGAGATGTTATCACTCAATGTCCTGGTACCTGATCCACCGGGTTGTTTAGCTGGTTCGTCAACCAATATCTTGGTTATACCTGCTTCATCAAATTTACCCTTTACACACAACTTGTGCGTGACTACTGCTGCTCCTTCGTCATATATGGTTTTGGAATTTGGCGGCATCGATCCAGCTGCTATAGATCCAATATCTGCATGATGGCCCCTTGATGCTGTCCAGAAAACAGGTTCGTTCTTATCGTTGAGGACGGGCGTGATAACTGTAATATCAGGCAAATGAGACCCACCAGCAATTGGATGGTTGGAAACAAGTACATCACCAGGCTCCAACTTACCTTCCCATATCTTTATCTGGGCCTTGACCGCATACGACATGGAGCCCAAATGGATAGGAATATGTGGTGCATTGGCAATTAAATCACCATTGTGATCAAAAATTGCACACGAGAAATCCAATCTCTCCTTAATGTTGGTGGAGATTGCCGTTTGTTGCAATGTTCTCCCCATTTGTTCAGCAACCGACATGAATCTGTGGCCAAACACTGATAACTGAATCGGGTCAACAGTGGTTGATGACAACTGTGGCTTCTCTTCTTGCTCCACTTCGATCAACACATGGTGAGCTAGGACTATTGCTTGAGAACGTGGCTCAATTATAAGCGTTTGGGTGTTGTCGATAATAATTGCAGGACCTTTTACGAGTGTACCGATTTTCAAATCAGTGAGAATGTGCACTGGAGCATCTAACCAGCCAAATGTTTCAAAATACACTGGTTTCTTGAACGGTGCCTTGGGTGCATCCAAAGTTAAAGACAAATTGGCGGCCTCTTTGTATGGATTGTGCACTTCCTTGTCATTAGACTCAACAACTAGCATCACTTCAACATCACTGACTAATACATTTCTATCCAAATTAAAGCCAAACTCATGCTTGTGTCTCTTAATGAATTTATCAGCAGCATCGGTATCGCCAACTTTTGTAGCAATCAACAAGTGGGTATCACTGCCGACATACCTCATATTTAAAAAGATTTCCAACCTTGTATTGAAATCAGTCAAATTTTGTTTCTTGTAATCCTCCTTGGCTGCTGCAATAAGCAACTCGATTTTTGCATCAAGACCAGGCAAATTCTCCTTGGCATATGTCAAGGACGCTGGTGATTGTTTTTCAATGACAATGTCAGCAAGTTGAATACCATAAGCGGATAACAACGAGGAATACTTGTGTACTGCAACATTGGTGATGCCCAAATTCTTTGCCAATGACACGGCAAATTGCCCACCTGAACCACCAAAAGAAGCCAAATTGTGGTTTGACGTCTCGTGTCCCTTGGCTTCGGTCAAATTCCTAATAGGTCTAGCCATGGACTCAACAGCAACCTTTAAGAACCCACTGGCAACTTCAACCGGACTTAACTCGATACCCTTGGCAGCTTGATCTTTGTTGATTTGTTGAGTCAACTCCTTAAATTTTTTATCCACAATATCATAGTCCAATCCTTGATCCTGATTGGGACCAAATATCTTGGGAAAATGTTCGGGAACTAATCTTCCCAAGTACAAATTTGCATCGGTAACAGTCAACGGTCCGCCTTTTCTGTAGCACGCTGGTCCAGGGTCAGATCCAGCAGACTCGGGACCAGTAACAAACAAGTCATTTTTCCAAAACAAAATCGACCCACCACCAGCAGCCACTGTCGATATGTCCAACTGAGGAGTTTGCAAATTAATCTCACTGACTATAGTTTCATAGATGTGCTCAAAGTGGCCATCGTATCGAGATACATCAGTTGATGTACCTCCGGCATCAAAGCCAATCGTGGCTCTCTTGGTTACTTCGTCATAACAAGTTTCTCCAAATCCAACCATACCGCCTGCTGGACCGGACAAGATTGCTCTTAACCCAGTGAATTTGTACCACGGACATAACCCACCATTTGATTGCATGAATAAAAGCTTATTTCCAAACGCCTCTAAACCGCCTTCAAATCCAGCACCAAAGTTTTGGATGTATTCATTAATGATTGGAGACAAGTATGCATCAGCAACAGCTGACGAGGTTCTATTAACGAACCCAATCATTGGCTGCAACTCATGAGACACTGATACTTCAAACCCAATATTTTGGGCAATCTTGGCAATCTCGGCTTCGTGTTTTGGGAAAGCATATGCATGAAGTAATGACAATGCAATTGCCTTGACTTTACCTTCTTTGAAAATGGCTCGCAAATCAGCCTCAACTTGCTGGTAATCAGGCTCTTTGATAATTCGAATTGTATCGCCAGTGACTCCTTCAGCAAAATTAGGTTGCAGTTTATCAATTGGCAATTTATCGCCACCACCTTCAGAGAAACTTTCAATTGTAACTCTCTCATCAATCTCAAGCACTTGGTTATACAAATGACCCAACTTCTTAGCAGTCAAATCAAATATATGTGGTCTTGTCTGGTTACCAATCACCAATACATCCTTGAACCCTTTAGTGGTGATTAACAACACATTGGCTCCTTTCCTCTCAAGTAGTGCGTTTGTAGCCACGGTGGTCCCCATTCTAATGCTTTGAATCTGATCCAATTTTAACTTGTCAGTTTTAGGTATTGTTGTACCGTTGTTGACATGCTCCAACACTCGCCTTATACCTTCTGTTGGTGCATCCTTGTAATTCTGAGGGTCAACTGATAGCAACTTAAATACGTAGTCATCCTGGCCCGGGATTTTTGCAATAACATCACAAAATGTGCCACCACGATCAATGGCGATCTGAATACCTTTGACTGGCATGTTGAGTTGTGCTTTCTTGTGGAAAGTTTTGTTACCCTGGTGAAAAAGTTTGAAGGTTTAGGGGGATGGAAAGCGACTATTTATATATTGCTGGCCACTGTGGTGAATTGTGTATCAGGTGTCGTCGCTTACCGCTTGCTTTTAGAGATTCTCATTATAGTGTGGTTTAATCAATTGGAGCGCTTGCTTCCTAATTGAGTACTACGCGACTAAAAAAAATCTTTTCGTACGGTGCCGTTTGATAAGTTTGTGGCACAGAGGTTTTGCGGCTGTCGGTAACTAAAAGAATAGAATCGTATAATAGAAAAACCTATATACTTAATGAGTTTAACATGTTGGGTAGTTCGTTCTTGGTGACAATGTTCCCCAATTTATCGTAAACAATCTCTTCATCGGACTCGGTGTCATTTTCATCTCTTTTTTGACCCAGTACAATATTGCCCAATGCATCGTACTCAACTTCACCCACATCATTCGTATCGTCTATAATGTTCCCTAGAGCATCGACTTTCTTTCTCAAAATCACGTTGCCCAAATTATCATACTCCACTACTTCCTCCTCCTCTGACTCATTCTCTTCATCTTCATCTTCTTCGTCATCCAATCCATTGTTGTTTCTATTCACATTCCCCATCATCCATATATCCTCACTCTGCCCCTGTGCCTTTCTCTCCTTCGCCTCCTTTTCAATCTTATCCAACCACTCATCCTGGGCCTTCAACACCGACTCTGAATCAGTACATTGCTGATACACTTGCAACAACTCTTCATTGATTTTCAAAAATGTCAATCCCCAAGAAAAATTCTCAAGCAATAGCTCAGCCCAGTCCAAGTGGCCAACAATGGCAAAACAAGCAGCTAGAGCCTCAACACAATTTAATTTCCACGGACGGCCATAATTGACAGGATTAGCAGCCACCAAGTACGGCAAAAGACGTTCATGCTTACCGCCGATTTTGCCAAAGGGCACCTCGTCTAATCTTGCCCATGAACATTCAACCACTGCCGCTCCGTTTTCTTCAACTATTTCCACATCATTAGGACAAACGGTCGATTTACCATTGGGACTCACAACAACACCTTGAAATTTCTGACCCACACGGAGATTCTTTATAAGCCCTAATCGTTCAAGCTTCTTTCCACTGCATCGTTTGGGATCACAGTGGTCAAAGTCCCACATTGCTAACTTGGTAGGGAATTTGTGTTTTGATTGTGGTGGTTGAGCTATGGCATCGGGCGAACCTGTTAGCGATGAACTGGGTACAGGAAGAGGGTTTAGCGATGATGCTGCTACTTCTTGTTTGCCCTTTCGTATATGGTGTTGCTTTGATTTGTGGCCATTTGAAGTTCGACTCTTGTTTGGTCTATCTTCATTTGATTTATTCTTTCCCTTCCCCATGATTAGCCTTTTGAGATGGGTTTGAAACTGCTCTTGTCTTTCTGATTTTTTTTTTTTCATTTTTGCGCGTTGAGGACCAATCTCACCAACAATTTCTCTACGAAAGCGCCATATTTTCAAAAACAAAATATTAAATGTATATAACAAAGTTGTAAACTATACGTGGGTGTTGTCAGTATATAAACTGCAGCTATTAAGGTCTTTCCCAAGACCAAAAATGAAATGAACTTCATAAGATTTGAACAAAATCAAAATCAAAATCAAAACAAAAAGTCAACCAAAACCAGTCATTAAAAAAAACAATATCCTTTCTCATTATGCATCTCTCTCTCTCTCTCTGTCTCTCTCTCCACTTAGAAATCTTCATCAAATGCAAAAGCGTTGGCATCCTTGTTTTCACTCTTGGCCATAACACCTGCCTTTTGATAATCAGACACTCTCTTTTCAAAGAAATTGGTCTTACCAGCCAAGGAGATATTTTCCATAAAATCAAATGGATTAGTGACATTGTAAACTTTTTTATTACCCAAAGCAACCAACAATCTATCAGCAACAAACTCAACGTATTGACACATCAATTTACAATTCATACCCAACAAACTAACTGGCAAAGCATCAGTGAAAAATTCCTTTTCAATTTCAACAGCTTCAGTAATGATTCTTTCGACAATTTTGGGGTCGGGTCTGTGTTGTAAATGAGCAAATAATAAACATGCAAAATCAGTGTGCAAACCTTCATCACGGCAAATCAATTCGTTGGAGAAGGTCAATCCTGGCATCAAACCTCTCTTTTTCAACCAGAAAATAGATGCAAATGATCCACTGAAAAAGATACCTTCAACAGCAGCAAAAGCCACTAATCTCTCAGCAAACAATGCATCGGAATCTTGAATCCATCTGATGGCCCAGTCAGCCTTCTTTTTAATTTGTGGGATGGTTTCAATGGCATTGAATAAGAAGTCAGCCTCCTTTGGATCCTTGATATAAGTTTCAATCAATAAGGAGTAAGTTTCCGAATGGATGTTTTCCATCATGATTTGGAAACCATAGAATGATTTAGCTTCTGGGATTTGCACTTCTGCAGAGAAATTCTCCACCAAGTTTTCATTAACAATACCATCGGAAGCAGCAAAAAAGGCCAAGATTCTAGAAATGAAATAACGTTCGTTATCATTCAATTTCTCTCTCCAATCATGGAGATCTTTTCCCAAGTCAATTTCTTCAGCGGTCCAGAATGAAGCTTCAGCCTTTTTGTACATTTGCCAAATCTCATGGTATCTGATGGGGAACATAACAAAACGACGTTTGTTTTCTTTCAAGAGTGGTTCTTCGGCTTCCAATCCTTTCAATTCATGTCTGTGCACTTTATGTGAGCTCATGAAACGTTCGTGTTCAGCATTCATGGCTTCGAGTTCTTTTTCGTATTCTTTAGTTTCTTCTTCAGTTACTGGTTTGTTCACGTCCATCTTCAAAACGTTTTTGGTTTCGTGTATGGTTTGAGCTTCGTCTTTGGCCAATGCTTCAGCAGCTAATTTATCAGTCAATGATTTACCTTGAGTGGTTGACATGTCAAGACCTGAAAGGTTTCCAGCTAAGACTTTACTTGGAGTTTCTTGTGGTAATGATGTTGATGACATTGGAGTTAGTCGTGTGCAAAGTAATTGGGGGCTATAGGAGTTTGATGTGTTGATAAAAGTTGTAATGTAAAAAGAAGAAGATACAATTTTTTTGATCAAGACGTGATGGGACTCGTCTGATTTATATAATTGAATTTTTTATTTTAATAATTCTATTTTTTAGTTAAGACGTGTGTCGTGTGTGTGGTGTTTGTTGTGAGTTTGTGGTATTCCGAGATATGCAAAACAAGAAGGAAAGGAAAGATAGAACAAATTTGATGAAACTATGATACAAAGGTGCAGCAAAACAACTATAGTCAATTGTTGTTGTTTGTTGTTGTTGTTCGTAGAATAGGGAAGTGAGAAAATTTTTGGTGTATTTTTGTGATGTGTTTGACACATTTGTTCATGTTTGGCGGCTTGTTCTATTTTTCTTTTTCTTTTTATTATTTTTTAGTGTGTGTTGATGATTTGTAGTGATGATGAAATTACTAATAGAGAGCGACAAAACAGACAAACATTTGCTTTTGGTTTCAATTGCACTACTTTGTCACTACAATATAATCCTACACAATATGCACAACTTTGTATTAACGCGTGAATGAAAATGTTTTGAAATCAGCCTCAAGTAGTAATTTCCCAATGCTCTTTCATCTAGCAATAAACAAAACAAAACAAAACAACACCACCACCAAAACAAGGGTGAAACGGCAAATAGGTCATCCACGAGTAAATAAGTGGAGACGACACGTCCGCGTCTAAAAAGTATAATCAAACACGTGTTCTGATTGAGATTAATGTCCTTTCATACCAAAGGAAATCTTTGCTCCTTTTTTGCAAACATACACTGCTGTCATAACATTAACGACAACAGTTCCTGTTGTATCTCATCGAATGCAAAGCTTACTAATCTTATTATTCTCTACATCATAACCTAATTACTAATTACGACCACCACGTCTTGTGTATTTTACTTTACAAATGTACACGTCTTAAGACGCGAAATGTTTTTTGAATTTTTTAGCGCACCCTTCACAAAATGGTTACCTCCTACTACTATTGCCAAGTAACTCTCTCACTAAAGTTGCCTATTGTGCATTGTCTCTTTGTTTGCCCCATTCGCTGATTGATTGCTTGATTAAATAGGGCATCCGATTGCTCGGTACGAAGTTGATTGCTAATTCGATATAAAAAGCGAAACTACATTTTCTCTTAATCTCTTATTTATCTCTCCGATCTTCGGAGTACCGCTTTCGTACTCTCCACCTTATGTCATACTTTTTTTGCAACCTCTCCACTCTTTTCTCTCACAAGGATATTTACGACGCGTAACATTAACGCGATAATCAAAATCCCTTCTTACAAATAGTCTCTCAAAATACAAAGTAATTTCAATTTCTATAAAGCAGCCTATGTAGACGAATTATATACGTCCCGTTTTTTTTCGATAGTAAGGTAAATTGTCTTAGCAAAAAGAAGAAAATGTACATGAGGTTACGCTCACATCCTTCTTCAATGAATAGTATAGCATCTGTAACTAAATCAAAACAAACTCTTAAAGTTCCGGAAGCAATACCCACCACCTCTAAGCAGCAACCTCTCAAACACTCAATGGGCTGGTAATCCTAGGAGATCCTAAATTGATTGGCTCACCCAAATTCAACAGCATACGATCATCTCCTCCACCAATACTGTCAACACCTGTCAAGACAGGTGATGTAACTTCTTCAAAATTGAGATCCAATCCTTCATACAATTTACTAATATCGCCATGTCCTCTGTATCCTTTACCATGATGACCACCTTGTTGCATCAATGCAACAATCTTGTCGCGCAAAACATCCTCCAATTGAAACTGATTCATGTTTAAGCGGAAATAGTCAGCAAATGCATCTTGCGCATCACGTGTAGATAAATATTGATAATGAGGCAATGATGGCAAGCCAAACAACATTGAATCAGGATTATTCTTTTCACTTGACAAATGACGTGGACGGCCATACAATTTAAATGAGTCAATAATGGGGATAAAGTTACGAACCATAGTTTCAACGGCATTAACACCAGGATGTGGTATTGGCATTATGTACATGGTGCTCGTCAATGCAAAATCCTCAGCATGCTTCTTGAAAAAACTGGAATTGGTGCGGTTCAAGTCAAACTCGGTATTGGATTTACTCTTGGATCTAAATCTCTTGGGTTTATCCGAGTTGGAAGCATTTGAAATTGAACGATCTCTCGTCAATGGCGTCATATTCGATGGAGAGTTTGCAAAAAAGGAATTGGTTGAATTCAATGAATCTGACCTTGATCGAGAATCTCCATTCATTTTGGGTGTTGATGGGATTTGCAAGGTATTACTGGCACTGTTGCTATTGTTATTATCATCAGTCAATGATGAAAGCGACTTGTTTGATCCTGAACGCGAAATTGAGGCATGGTTCTTGGCAATGAGTTTCCTTGGTGACAGGTGTTTATCCTCGTGATTATTGTAAGGAAACAAGTACTCATACTGTTTATTCACATGAATCTGTCCCGAAGCGCTCATGATGGAATTGAAATCAATCATATTCGACTGCTCGGGATACACGTTAAACAAACTTGACAAATCACTGATATAAGCAATAAGGTGTTTCTTTTGCATCTTTTTATCCAGAGGGTAAATTTCAATCCTACCCAAATGATGTTTATCACTAGGCAAAATCACCATGTAGACCTTGATCCATTTCGTAGAAATTTCGGGCAATCTAATGTTACACCACTCATACTCAACAAACCTCTTCTTGTGGGTAAGCAACACATGAATATCCAGCAACTTGGATCCCTTTGAACTCAACAACACAGCGGTGAATGCTTCATTCAACTTGGTGTATTCAAACTTGGACAACATAATGGCACTAATCCATTTATTAAAATCGAGCTCGTTATGGAATCGAATCAAAACACTGGAATCCTCACGATAATCTTGCGAAATGCGAAGTTGCAAATCACCTAAAAATTCCACTCTAAAATCAATCAAATTGATATACTTTGGTTTAAACTCATCATTACCATCCTCCATGGTAAATTCATCATCCAGTGGTCTCCAAATAGCCAACTCGTTCCCAGTTAATTTAGCATCCACTTCAAACCAAGCCTGTTCGTTATTACCGATACGAGCGGGCACTTGAAATGACCCCACACAATACGACCTCAATCTCTGCGCATTGAGCAAGTTAACAATAGGACGAAACTCGGGTGACAAATTCTCTGTCTGGTGTTTATTCTGCAATAACAACGATTGTCCGGTTAATGAATTCAACAGGTGAGAATCAATGTCGGATAAATCATTGGAAAAAAGTCGCGATTGACGCACAAATGACGAAGGAGTTTTACGAGCTTTTTCCGACAACGTGCGTCTAGGCAGATTGGTCGTGTCCGAAAACGCATCCGACAATTTCGACAGATGACGGACTCTTGGCGAGGCTGCACCGGGGAATGGTGAATAATTTGGCGAATTCAACGAGTACTGGTCATACATTGATGATACTTCTGACGATTGGTTGTTGGCGACATTCATTTTTGATGGCAACAATCTATTCTGGGTTGCAGAATCGGCACTAGAGCTGCTATTGTCACTATTTTCCATGGCGAAAATAGCAGGTGGTTGGGCATTCTTCTGGGGAGCATTTCCATATTGGTAACTGTAGTTTGATTGTTGTTGTTGTTGTTGTTGTTGTTGTTGCTGCTGTTCATGAGCAAAGTCACCAAAGTTAGCCAGTTGCGACAAAGGAGACCTTATGCGAGGTAAAGCAGCAGGTGATGGCTGTGTATATGTTGTGCCTGTAGTATCAATCTGTGGTGGTGGCACTCTGTTGGAATTTGAATATGAATTTTGTGTCGGAGATGCCGGGGCATTGTAAGGCGGTGATGCTATGTTACCATTATATTGTGTCGATGGAGATGAGGAGTTCGTTGTAGTAGAACCATGAGTTTTATGGTGGAGTAATGGTTGGTTATTTTCCTGGTTGTTGGAGTTGGTTGCAAAACCCTTTTCCGAAGAAGAAGAAGAACCTTTGGTTTTATTGAGTAGCTTTTTTGGTGAAAGTAGACTACTGAATGACATTTTATATAAAGGGGGGTAGGGGGAGGAGGAGCAGGGAGTATTAACTCTACTTTTGTTGAATACCAGGTGCAGTGAGACCTCAAAGATGGATTGACAAGAACAAAAAAGATCAAAAAATTTTAAAATAAAAGGAAAACTGAATTTATCAAAACAAAAAATTGGTTATTGGGTAGTATATATATTGTATTGTATATTGTATATATAGATATATGTATTAAACGGTTAATTTGGGAAACAAAATAAAGAGAGAAAATAAAGAGAGAAAATAAAGAGAGAAAATAAAGAGAGAAAATAAAAATAAAATAAATTGAAAAAAATAATGCTAATGGCAATTAGTTAACAAACAAATAACACAATAACAAGGAAAATGAAAATGAAAATGAAAAAAAAAAATGCTTAGCATTTTATCAATTAAATAGAAACACACTGTTGAATATGTACAGAACAGAGGTACTTTACTTCTTAATGACTCCAGAGAGAGAGGATATACATATACACCAGTCAACAACAAAAGCCCATATCCCAGAGCTCTATGTACCTTTTCTCGAGAAGTGTAAAATTTATAAAAGACTGTAAGCAATTTGATAAGAAAAAAGAAAATCGGTTTTGTCATCTTTTCTTTTCATCGGAGCAATTTAAAACAACCGAAAAAAAAAATTCCAAAAACTAAACAGAACAGAACAGAGACGACTACATATTTCATTCATTGCTATTATTATTATAAAGACTCTACACACAAACAAGTTGAAATCCCTGAAGTCTATTTTAAAACTTAGCCGTACGTGGATGTATTAAAAGGTTGACGTACCTGCGAATGCATTGAGAAATAATGCATTTGACTCGTGTGACGTAGTTGAGAATAAATGTATTATTGTGTATTCTATTGATCTAAGGAAATGATAGTCAAACAACAAGAAAGTTGTATATATATCAGTAGAAACAGGTCACACACATTAAATAAATGCCTTTCTCTTCCCCACAGTCGTTTTCCAAGCATTTTACTTGTTTTCTTTCTCCCACTTGAGAGTATTGCCTCTTCTTTGTTTGCATTGCACCAATTCCAAAGAGAGTCATCGACGCACTCATCAGTGATAGCAACCAAAACCTCATTTCCCACTAAAAACGACTTGCAAGAACAATTGCTACTTTACTCTTTAGAAGTGTAGACGTTTCTTCACTCCTAATTGTGTTCTTGTTTCATCTGAATCTCCAACAAGGAAACTCTTGCAACAAAGAGAAACAATAACCACAAAAAAACACACACAATCAAAATGCAGGTTTCAGTTATTATCTATCGTCCCCTTGTCCTTGTTTTTCTTTTTTTTTTTCACTAACTCTGCACCAGATGACCAAGCCATGTTCCATAGCAAGAATACTGAATAGTCACTTGTAGTGGCGGAGTAAAGAGGTATGTCTCGATAATTGTTTAACAGAAAGGTTTCGGACTAAGCATCAGTCTTTCATAGAAAAGAAATAAACAAGCCCTCGTGCGTTATTTTTGTTTCAACGAATAACCGGCCAAAAAGAAAAAAAGAAAAAAATCACTCTTTCGTTAGTAGGTAAAAAATATTTTAATTTGTCAAAACGGCCGAATTACGGCGATAAGAGAAAGATGTGCGTTCTTTTCTTTTGCCAACGCCCTGTTGTTTTACAAGAACAAGGGGGTTTGATGTGTAGAAGGAAGGTGGCGATGTTCAAAAACTGCTCACAGCCTCCCTTGGCATTAACTCGCCTAAAATTAGAGACTAACCCTGTGTTCTTAATATTTGCTCATAAACATATCTTTTTCTTTTGTCTTTTTTGTTTTAAGTTTGTTCTTCGGCCCATTACACAAATCAAAGATCCGAATTTGAAAACAAAAAAAACAAAAATGTGTAAGCCAATTACATCATCATAGATTTTTGACACGACAGATCAAGGAACAATCTTCGATAGCGAATAAATTAGTATTATCACAGAAACAAACAACTAATGGTGTAATCGAAGTAAATACAGGCAGACCACAACAACAACGCTTACTTTTAAACTATGATGTAATAACTGTTTGTACAGCCACAATCTAATTTTGCATTTACAGTACCTTTTTTTTCTGACTCTTACGACTAAAATCTATAAGGAATATACCCATTACTTTAATTGCTATTTTGTGGAGTATGGGGAAGTGATACTTGACTTAAGACTATCAGCACACCTCCTAGTCTGGCAGTTGCTATAAGATCAACCCCACTCGACTGTGATAACAGTAATGCTCTTAGCACAGCCACAGCCTTGACATAAGTCTAACTAAAATATATATATACGAGATGGGAGCGCGGTCGACAGTAGAAGCTTAAAAACTCCAAACTCAAACTTCTATTTTTGCAGTAACCACGTCTTTTGCATTAAAGGACAGGTTGTGGTTTTGAACTTATTTGTGCAACGTTATAGCCTTAATTTACAACGCACCTCCCCCCTGGAGTGGGGCGCGCCCTTTCCCCCTATTGATACATGTACCTGAAATTAAATCTATCAAAAAATAAAAATAAAAAACGTAAAAAATAAAATAACCTCCAGTAGATTGCTATTGTTTTGCTCTATTGTGGCTGTACCTGGGACTGGACGAAAAAGAAAAAAAAAGAGACCACTAAAAAAGAAACAAAGGACAATTAAGGTGGCCCACGAGGTAAAGAGAGAAAGAAGGCGAACTGCCGTTAACGTTTTGGAATTTGCTTAATTGTATGACCGAAACCGGACTGGGCATAGTTTGTAGGAAGTTTCGAAGAATGGCGTGTACTTCCCATTCACCGTCTAATATTTTAAGATGAGCTTGTCACACTAACTATTTCTGACTTTAGTTTGGGAACTTTAGCACAGTTTTGGCTCACCAGATTGCACATAAACGGCGTTTTAGTCTCATCTGATGGATGTATTTTCATTTTCTTTGAGTGTTTTTGCAACAATCTTTCAAGAAAAAACAAAAGACGATTAAGCATCTGCAACAACTGGTACCACCCACAAAGAATCAACACCTGCACACGGTATCAATATTGATGATCTCTTAATCGTCTGTATATTACTAGTCAGCCCTCCGTCTATATCTAGAAAGAACACACTATTTCTCTCTTTCTTTTGCAATTAAAAGACTACAATTCTAGACTTGAAATTTTTTTATTTTTTCACTACTATCGTCTTTCAAAAAACCTAATAAGTTTCAAGAATTCATTGATAATGATTCTGTGACTTAAATAGTTTGAAGAGCGTGCGGTTTGTGCCGATATAAATGTTGCTTTATTCGCCTAAACGTAATATATTTGCCACTTTGCAGGATTACCAAAAACGAAATTGTCACAACTGAAGACAAAAACAAAAAACGGTTTGTGCGTTCTTTGTTTTTACAACCTCGGTTATTTCAATAATACACAAACGATTTATCAAAGTGCTAAATTACAAAAAAATAAACCACAATTCAAACACACATCTTCATCTTCATCTTCCTCAACTCCACTCCACTCCACTCCACTCCACATTACTCGTGCTCACCAAACAATGGACACTCTTCAAAAGGAAGTCTATGATGCCAAATACCCCATTTCGCGAATCGCAACTAAAGCATCAGTCAAGCTAATTTCGCAAAATGATCCCACAAGAGACATTTATCAAGGCCGATATGTGCTCGAACCATGGAGCTCAACATCACGAGGCACTTACGGCGGCGACTTGATTACACAGGGGTTAAATGCTGCCTGGGAATCAGTCATTAACCGATCACCACAAGATGATGGCGTCCAATTCCAACCTCATTCATTACACACCTATTTCGTTAAAGCCGGATCAACTGAAAGTGTAATGAAGTGGGAAGTGATCAAGATCAGCGACTCAAGAAACTTTGCTAATCGATGTGTGTTGGGATATCAGAGTCATAATGATTTATTGGTGGTTACAATCCAAGTATCATTTACAAAAGATAACAATTTGATTAATAAACAACGTCAATTTGATCAACAAGTGGCTCAAGGAGTAACACCAAAAAGTTGGCCATTGGTGTTTAAACGCCATCCAGGTCCTAGTTTTTACAAGTATCGTGACAATTTACACGACTTGCAGCATAGGACCTTGTATTATAGTGGCCATTTGACGCATGGTGTGCCGAAGGAAATGTTTGAATCTAGTGAGAATTTCAATCTTGATACGACGGGTAATGAAGAACGTGGATTTTTCGTCAAGATTAATGATGACTTGGCAGCCGGTGTGCAGGGGTATAGTGGTGCTAGTGCTAATGGCGTTAATTCTTCTCCATCACAAGCCGATTTAACGCGTCGCAAGTACTTGGCGTTGACTTATGCCAGTGATGCATTCTGGGCTTCAACGTTTATTAAAGCGTTGGGTTTGCCTTTAGGCACAACAAAAGCCGCCAATGTAAGTTTAGATCATACATTATACTTTCATGATTCAAACTTCACACTCGGCACTACCACTAATGGCGATTCTAATTGGTTGTATTTAGAAACGCAATTTGTGTCTATGGGCAATAACCGATTATTGGCCATTGTCAATTTCTACACTGTGGAAGGTGAGGGAACATTGGTTGCTACAGCAGTACAGGAGTTGTATGGGTTTTTGCCTAAGGAAGTTGCTGATAAGTCGCGACAATTGCATGAGAAACATAATGCGTCTAAGTCACAATTGAGTGTTGCTAAATTATAGAGAATGAAAGAGAGAGAGAGATATAGAGCTTTTTATAGATTTAAACTGGATGTGCTTGAGATGGGATGCAGATTAAATTGCTTGCAGTTGCAATATGTTGCTTACTTATTTATTTATCTATTTATTTATACTTTTTAATAGAGTTTACTAATAGTAAACTAAAACTTTAGACTGTACGTTACAAAATGATTGCAAAATTTACAATACAATCTTATACGTCAGCCTATTTTATTGGCAAACTTTTGTTCATAATAACAAGTCATGTACAGCATTAATATCTACATTAATTTTTCTCATCTCTCACCTTCCGGCCTCACTCAGCATCAACTTGTGCATAAAATAATCTGCTCGTAGAGCTTTGCCCACGCCATTACCCCCTACCAAATTATCATTGATCAAATCACCCGCTTTATCAAACTTGCCATCAAATATAAGCTGCAACTCCTGTTGATGCAACAAGGTAAAGTTTTTCGTCAATTCCCATTCTTGCAAAAGTGCTCTGTTGCCCGCCAACATTTTCAAATGATCAGCCTCAGTCAATGAATTCAATTTTGTCATTAATTTGAAATCGTATTCTTCCAACCAAATATCCTTTATGCCAAGATACTGCTTGATAAAAATTGTTGGGAACCATAGACGTAAATTGTTCAAGTAGGTGAATTTGCGATACTGTTTATTTGAAAGCGAGTTAATATTGTATTCATCATTTAGAATCAGCATAAAGTTTTTCGGAATGTATGCAATTTGATTTTCACAAGTTGATGTAATCAATGGCGATAGTTCTTGGTAGGATGTGAAGTGCTGGTTGCGACAATTGTACAATTGTAATTCTTTATTGATGATGGAATAATTTTGCTGGACTGTACCATCTTCTTGCAAGGACTCGGCATTCTTAATGGCAACTTGTTTGTCTTTATCCAAAAAGGGAACAATTAATGAATAGCGACTAGGAGATGGAGCATCAGTTAGAGCCAAGCCCGTGATATCGATATATAACCCCGTATCAACATCAATAAACCGACCATCAATGGCATTGTTTCCATTACCTCTAGTACGATGGGTAATGGTCGAACCAATATCAATAAAATAACGACCAAATCCATCAAAATTACCCTGGGCATCAACAACATTTTCTACAACCAAAGTCTGATTATATAATCGTCCCAATTTGTACAAGTCAGCTACAGGGACTTGGACATCAATATCGGTGTCCCATGGGAAAGCAACGCCATTCCAATACCAAGAAAGTAACGAACCATGGGCTATCCAGGTGGTTATGCCATGAATACGAGCAAAATTGAGATAATTTTTAATTAATCGATGCAAAATGATGGGGTTCTCGGGGGAGTCCAAAATAACCCCATGGAAAAACCGCCAATCGTAATGTTCCCCCTCCCAATGATGAGGTGTTGATTTAAGTAATTTGGCTTCGTAAAAGTACTTTGGCGGGTCTTTACAATTATGACTGAATGTGATTGAATTTAAATAGTCCTGTTCCATGAGTGTCAATTGCGTTTTTTCTTGTTTGTCCAACATGGATTTGATGGTTGATTCTGGATCATTGTGGAAATTTGATTCTGGGATGGCTAACTCGTGAAGTGACTTGCCACCTTTGGCTCCATGTTGTTGCTGTTGAATTGTTTCTGGCCTTTGCGATTGTAAATATTTGTAGTCTTCAACGACATTAAAGGTGTCAATTGGTAGTGAATCAATCATACCATTGCGAAGTAATGAGTTATTAAAGTTGTTTTTTTGTGGATTGAGCACATCAACGTGGTGGGACCCATTAGTTGTTAAAAATATCAATTTCTTTGGCGAAGGTGCAGTGTCAAACAAATAAGCACGTCCGATAAGTTCACGATTAGGTAGAGTTTGCTGACCTGGTTGGTCGGTGATTTTGAATCCCAATTGGGGATATATTTGTGATTCTGTTTCCTCCACTTGAATGACTTGACAATACTCTTCAACTTTGCGTACAGTTGACCCTTTGATTAAATCTTCGTTAACAGAAACATCAAATATAGTTGAACACAAGTCTGTTTTGGGGAAACTGGTTATATATTTGTCAAGTATTGATAAGTCAACCCAATCTGACCAATGGAATGGGACAGCTAAATCAGAGTCTATAGATGGGGGAGTTCTAGCAATATATTGGTAATAAGCACCAAATGTGAATCTAGGATCAAACTTGTGAACAAGTGGAGCTGTTTTCAGCAGTAGTAGTTGCAGTTGGCTACTGTCGTCCAGCTGCCCAAAGTTTGACGGTATTGGTACTGTTAATGGTAGGTTCTCAGTGAGTTTCTCATTCAACATCCAAATTTCATTTATATCGTCATCTTCTTCAACAGCCATTTGTCGTATCGTGTGTAATTCCTCATTAAACTTGTCGTCATTGTTCAAATCAAAGTCGGATGCAAGAAAGTTGTAGTATAGTTGATTAAATTTATGCGTAAATTGCTTAGTCAACAATTTACGATATTCCTGTAGGCTTGATTTTGCTATAATTTGATTAAAAGATGCAATAATTGTGTATGCTACTGTTAATAGTAGAAGTAGTTTGACAATCAAACGGCGTGAAAACAATTTAATCATGTTTTGAGATGACGCTGTGGTGAGCTGTAGTGGGGTATGTAATGAAGGTGCTGCTTGAAGGAGGAGCTAGAATATAGTATCTGCTCTGTTTCTTTGAATGCTTTGTATGTACAGCTGAAAATGAATTCGATTGTGTATATGTCGTCTGTGTGTATAAAAAAATGAAGGTAATGAATGTACACTTTCAATGAATAATCCCTCTGTATATCATCTAGTACTGTAGGTGTGTTCCTGGTATTTTAAACAAGATACTTAGTAGTCAATGCAAAATGGATGGATACACCGGAATATAGATGTATATGTATGTATACAGATATAAAAGAGGGATAGTTTTTCTAAAATAGTGAGGTAACTTTCGATGCTGAGAAAAGAAAGAAGGGAAAAAGAAAAGAAAGATGTTTTATACCATTGGTGGAAATAAGTGGGGAGGAATTATAATACTTTATATAACTACAATATACGCTTTTAAATTATTATACATCTACAATGTAATCACTTTGCTTTTTGCTTTTTGCTTTTCGCTTTTCGCTTTTTGGTATTTAATATTTATTATTAATAATTAATTGTTTTTCTTGACAAAGAGATACAACAAGTTGAAAACCAAAAACAAAACACAATAAGAAGATAAAACAAAGAAAAGAACAAAGGAACAAAGGAACAAAGACACAGAAGAAAAAGAAATTTTAAATTTTAATATTTAATATTTAGGTCACACTACTACTAACTAATTTAGACCCACACGACATAGAAAGAGAATCTATATTACACACTATACATATCATATTCCCCTGTATTCTTCGCTTAAACCCGTTTGATCAACATAATGATCTACTTACTGACTGTTTTCTTAAAGATATTTAATAACTGAGATAAAGATGTAATCGTTGTAGTCTTGTTGTGCGTGGGTTTCTTTTCTTTTTTTATGCAATAGAAGCTTCCCTCTAACTCCACTTTTACCACTCCTTTATTTATTTTAAACTTCTACCTTTTTCTTCTTCATCTTCTGCCAAGACAAAAGGAAAGTTAAAAATTAAGTCTTCTTTGTGTCGGTATTCTCGGTGTTTAGTCCTTTTTCTGCAGTAAAAGTCGTGTTTAATTGCACAAAAGTGATAGATCCAAAGAAAATTAAAACAAAGGACCAACTTGTATATAAACCACCACACAAGAGAGACACACAGACAAATGCATACGTACGATAAGGGATGCAAGGAGGAATGCAAGAAGTAAAAGTGATTCTGAGAGTAAATTAAATCAGCTAAATCAGATCGATCAGGAGTGCATAAAGATATCAACAGTTTGCAAAAGGCTTAGCGAATAAAACAGCACTAGTCCTTCTGCTTGCTTGTGTCTTTTGTTTCAAAATTTCAAATACCGGAATAGTTCCTAGACTCATAACCAATCATAAAACAAGAACTAAAAAATGAAAGGATTAAAAAAATAAAAAATAATAATGAAGCCACACACACAAACACCAAACTTTCTACCTTTATCCCTTTCTCTCTCTTTAAGCCTCGCCCAATCAACCAAGTCACACGACACAATCTAAAACGTTTATATTACCCCTCCTCCACTTCACTTACCCTTATGAAAATTCAGATCTTCAAACTTCCTTAAAACTTTATTGACATTTATTCCACCTATCTCTCTCTCTCTCTCTCTCTCTTATAATTAGTTTAAAAAACAACTCCACCGAAGAAGAAGGCATGTATAAAATAAAGTAGTTATTGACATTTACCTAAAATCTGCAACCATCATTTAGCCAATTGGTCTAAAGATAACCTTACTTTGCATTCTCCATCCAGACATCTATAACTTTCTATACTTTTTTTTATTTTTTTTCTTTTTTAACCAAAAACATCTACACATCAATTTCCTGCACCAATATACCTTCTTCGCTTTGAGATAATCGTCCAACAACATCAACACTAGGATTCGATTCATCAATCGCATCAAAACCATCACCATCATCTCCCCCACTTGTAACCTCTTCTTTATTATTATTAAATTGTAAAATACATGAACTACCACCATACACCACATCACCCTCTCTCCCCACTCGATTACAAATCAACACATTAACTTTTTCATCAGCTGACCACCATTTGGGCATAAAACTATACTTGTGTTTTAAAAATGGAAAAAACCGAAGTATCCAATAATTTATCGTTTCATCACATGGTTGACTCAGTAGATGTAATGATTCAGCTTGTTTTAATTTCTCTTGCTCATTCAATTCCAATTTGATTGATGGTGATTGAGGTGAGAGCCAGGCCATTGGGCATATGATCAATTTAGCCCGGTTATGATAACTTTGGGCGCTGAATTCAAATTTATTGAATGGGGCTTCAAATTTATATGGATTTAAATCCATACATATACCAAAATTAGCTAGCACAGAAGTATCATCTCCCCCTCTCTCTTCGTTGGCACTGAATTGTAGGGGGATTGGTGTGAATTTGGCGTCTGGATTTTCTAAACACCCCCATTTTTCATCAGTTTCATATAAAAATGTCTTGCGGTAATTATAAATCAAGTCACCACCTCTATTGAAAACAGCACAAGAATTATAAATCAATTGCTCATCCCTTGAACCACCCCCGTTAACCTCGCCAATACTAACTCCCTCAGGATACCCCACCACAGTAAAACAATGGTGTTTTTGACTCAATTCGTGGGCAAACTTAAGCGATGCCCCATACTTTAATGGCGATTCCAAAAATGGTTGGATATGTTTAGCCAGAGAGAAGTTGTAGCCGGTTATTGCAAGTTCTGACAACACCACCAAATCGGGGAATTTCCCCTTGATGGTTGATAATAAATTGTGGATCTTGGTGATGTTTTGTTGTGGATGTCCTAGAAGTGAATTGATCTGGACAATTGCTATTTTAAGTCTCATTTTAAGCGATGATTGGTGGGATGCTTCCGTTTGGATAGTTTGACTGTATGGTGTTTTTTGGAAGGTTGTGTGATCTAGACGTGGAACTGTATTCCAAGGAGGTGTTTTATGCTACTCGGGTGGGGATGTAATGTCAAAAAAGTTGAGTTTTGCGCGGATTAAGCAAAATTTTAATGTCATGGTTTTAATGTCGCATAAGTAATACAACTGTCACTTTTCACCAATTTCTTAGTTGTATCTCCTCTCCCCTCTCCTCATACACTAAGTTTGGCACATCCGCATATCATAATAGAATCTACTGAAAGTATTGCTACTACAACAACAAGAAGGAAATCTTAGGATGAATCCAACTCTTGATACCTTAGCGTCAAATTGCAGAATTATCCAGTTAACAAAATTTAACTAACAACCCCTTGAATCAGTTGATGTTTCCTGAGCCACTAGAAAATAGAGACAATAGTGAGGTTATAATGGTTTGCATCAAAAAAAACAAAGCAAAGCAATTAATTGGGCTTGTTAATAAAGTTTGAATTCACAGTGGTTGTTAAATATAATCAATCTCAACGACACAGGACGAGCTTTGCCTTATACAGACTACTGATCATAACTCCCCACTCAAATTTAGTCCACATTAATCTCAAAGCCTCCTTCCTCCCACCTCCACTTCTCATCAATCAATTATGAAAAACTTTTGTTCACAAAACTAGACGCGTTTAGTTTTCAAATCACCATACCACCTTTAATTGGCCATTGTTTTTTTTTTTTTTTCTTTCGTTGGTTGTGTAGATTTTTCTTCGCATCGTCTAAATTTTGAAACGAGCTGAGGAAGTATGAGAAAACGTGTAAGAAATAAAAGGTAAGAAATAAAGGGTAGGAGACAAAGGGCAAGAAACAAATAGTAAAGGACAAATAACAAAGAACTAAAAGCAATTGGGGACAAAATAGCGCTGCCGAATGCATCTAATTTAACCCAATTGAGTTAAATTACAACAAGAAAATAAAATTGTAACTTACATAACACAATGAAAACGGAATCATCACAAACATTTTAAATCAACCCTAAGCAAACAAATATTATGGGGGAGGAGTGCAAAAACGCTATAGATAAAATTTTGGTATATTATGATCTCCATTGCTACAGTACCTCATCAAACGTTTGTTAAGCTCATCTATTTACAACTCTTTTACATCTTTAGATCGTAATTATGCTGATCGTGTTGGCGCCTCCTCCTTTTCCCTGAGATCCATTTAGCATCTTTTGTGGACAAAGACTAAAAATAAAAAAAATTGTTGGTTGTTTTTTCTTTTGAATCGATCTTATCAAAATACGAACTTTGTTCAAAAGTCTGTTTCAAATGTAATAAAACCCATTCGCTTGCTCTTTTCTTTTCTTTTAGGGATGAAAAACAATGTACTCTGTAGAAATTCCTTTTTCAATGTAATTGAAACATCCAAGCGCTTTATTGATTTAGCCAACTCATTCCGGTCTTGTCTTTTTTTGTTTTTTCCTTCCATTTATGCGTTATTGTTTTTACTGTTTCTATTGCTTCTATTGTTACTATTGTTACTTTCCGCCTCACCCTCCTTGTGAAGCAATATAATTCCGTTTCGTCATTTTGTTCTAACATTTTCTTGTACAAAGAAAATCAAGGGAACATCTCGTTAACTCCTAAGGCCACTTTACTACAGGGTCTAGTAGCCACACGTGTCGTACAATATTTTTTTCTCACAAGAACTCCACACTTCTTATACTTGTTGTACTTCGAAATGTGGGCATTTACATATTTCAACCACGTCAATCAACAAGCATTAGTTAAAGTCTATCTTTTAATCCAAACTTCTTCTTCTCTTTAGTTCTATTTTACTTCTGATCGTCTAAAAAAGGCTACTTGCGAATTACACAAAATCGCCGAAGCACCTACCCATTCTAGAGAAATTCAATTAATACTTTTTGCACCCTATGCATATATACCCTGTGGCTTTTTATTGTTTATGGTTATTTTGTAATTAATCATAATGCAACAAAACCACAACAAATGGCTCAGGGCTCAAAGCACAATTGTAAAGGAGGAAAAAAGGTTTTTGACGACTAAAAATAAACAAATAAAAATAGGATTTAAAACTACGAACTTGTGCTGATTTGCTCTAAAACAAAGTCGCTTTCAGATTATTTATTTGCTTGCGTTTTTCTCACCCTTCATATCCTTTATTCCATTCGTTATTTCCAACCTAAAACCCAATTATAAAAAACTACTTATTCACATTATGACTTCTGAAGTTTTAGATTCTACCGCACCATCAGTAGACGTTTCTCGATACGAGGTAGCTATAGTCAAGCAGGCTTGGCTTGCATTAAATTTGTTTCGCAACTACCATCAAATCAACACCAGCAAAACCGCAACAAATACATCCGAATTAATTCGCGACGAGTTTACCTTTCGTGAATTCCAACAGAGTCTTGCCGCTAGGATTTTTGATAGATCATCAGCCGAAGAGCTCACAACAACAAGTTTGATTTCAACTCCAAATATCGACCATGATTTATTTGGCGATTCTCACAACACCACTAAATCAATGTCAGATTTCGATGTTGATGAAATTCTATACGATTACCAAATCGAACCTTTGCTTCAATTCGTTACAATCATGATCAACTATTTAGATCTCAACATGATCCAACCAGGTGAATCAATGATTAATCTCCTGAAAAAGAACGTTCGTTTATATGGCATGTCATCAGTCAAGTATCAAATCTTTGGTGAATGTTTGATACAAACCATGGTTGAAAAACTTGCCATAACTGACGCTAGCAAATTCCAAGGCGAAGAGCAGTTTATTTTTAATAAGTTCTTGTCTCAAGTTTTAAGCTTTTTGGCTTATTACAGTCGAGACACAACAGTGACGCTCCCAAGAGATCTCTCATCAAAACATACAACTAAACTACTGCCATACTCGGAATCATTATACCCAGTGCCAACCGTATCGGACAATTTGAATGATGAGGTGAACCCTACCCCGTATGCTAAGTTGACTCCACCTGTTAAGCCAGTAACTAGGCCGTCAATTAGCTCAAGTCATTCAATTTATACCGAGAAATCATCGGATTTGTCCCTTGGCCATCGTCACAACGATGAACTTTCTGATTATGCATCCGAATACGATATCAATTCAAAACAGTCCTCACCCACCGCTAAAGATGAACTACCCCTTTTACGTATGTCGTCCAATGAGTCGATTGGGGACACATATGATTTGTTGAACTCGTTTAGGTGTTATCAAACACCACTAGAAGTTAACAGGTACGATCAGCTTAAACGGTCCTTTTCAGTAACTTCTTCTCGTGAGTCGAGTGGGAAAAAATGGGGGTTATTCAATAGAAACAAAACTGGCCTGAGGCAAAAAAAGAGTGGCGACTTGCAAGACCAGTATAAAGATAGATCAAAACCTAGGACGGGACTCTATAGGGTGATTAGTCGTAGGTGAGTGATACCATATACAGAGATTTGCTTTAAATAGTGCAAATGAGTGTAATTTTACAAAATATGTGTTCAAATATAACGTTTACAATTAATATTCTCTATCTATACTATCACTACTCTACACCCACCAGTATAACTTCCATCTCATCCTTCTCCCCCCTCAATGACAGCTTTGAGTGTCACAATTAGTGAATCCATCCACTAGGCAGTTCAACTTCGAAGTATTACCAAATGCATTTGAATCGTCATTCTGCGCACCAACTGATTTAAGTGACTTATTCTTCAAGCTTGGGAATTCTGGCTGGATAGTGACCGAATGGATACCATACTTGTGCAATATATCACGAACTTGTGATACAACAATCAAGAACAAGTTTCTATCAATTTGTGTGTTTGACGATTCATCAGGAGAATCTGATTGTGGTTCATTTTGACCATTTTCCGGCAAGACAACTTCACACCTGGGCGTCAACTCAACATGTAATGAAGCAATAAGGATATCTTCATTCAAGTTCCACACATGGAAGTCATGAACACTTTTCACCAATGGTAATTTTAAAAGGTCCTTTAAAATCTGTTCCGAGTCAATGTATGGTGGTGTAGCTTGTAACAAAATCTTGGACGACTTACGACACAATGGTAATGCACTGTTGAAGATGATCAAGGTGATCACTAAAGACGTGACTGGATCAGAATAGAACTTCCACCAGTAGTCAGTCTTCCAAATAATCAATGCAGTTATAATAACTCCTACATTTCCCAAAGCATCACCTAACACGTGCAAAAACACTCCTTCCATATTCATGGACTTTCCCTTCTTGGTCTTGGCGTCATTAGTAGCAGCACCATCAGCATGACTATGTTCATGGTCATGTTCATGTTCACTTGTTTTAACTGATGTAGACTCCGAATGATATCTTTCAACAACATTATCAGGGAAATAATCAAAAACTTCAGAAGGCGAATTACGTACTGTTGAACGAATCAAGGGAGTACTTTCATCTAACCCAATCCTGGCTTCAATTTCATTATCAGAAACACGTTCTCCATCTGTATGCGAATGGGAATGCCCATGTCCCTCATTACCACCGCCGCCATGCGAGTGTGAGTGACCGTGTTCATGAAATAATACTAATCCAATACCATTACTCAACAACCCAGCAATACCAACCACTAAAATCAACTGAGGGTTGGTTATTTCTGCCGGTTGGAAAAATCTTTGAATGGCATCCATGATAATTGTAAAACACAAGGCAATCAAGAACACAGCATTGATTAATGCCCCCAATATTTCTGCTCTTTGCCATCCATACGTGTATTTCCCATCGGCCGGTTTCAAATTCTTAACTCTGACGGCCCAGAGTGCAATGATTAACGAGATGATATCGTTCAACATGTGGAACGAATCGGCAATCAACGCCAACGACTGCACTGAGTAACCAATAATGGCCTCAAGAAGAAAGAACAAGGTGTCCAACACTAGTAATGCGGTGATTCGAATTTCTTTGTTATTCATCTTTTCCTAGGTTGGGGGATGCTCTATTGGTGATGTTGATTTTGACTTTGTAATAGTTGGAAAGTGTCTAAAGTCAAGCTTAAGGAGGGTGGGGGCGAGGTGTAATATAGTTGATCAAGTCTAGGCTCTGTTATAGCAAATGTTAATTAATAGCTTGATTTTGGTGCGGCTTTCTATATACAACGATGTCTTTTCAGTATTGCATAACACTTTCTTGATAACCTTTGTTCTATTAAAGTTATTTAGAATACAAGATAGGTTTCCACACTCTCTATATTCTCTTCTCTGAGTTTTATGCTTGCCCTATTTACCTGGTGATGCACTAACGGATTTATTTTTAGCACCTTTTTTTTTTCCTTTTTCTTTTTCTCTGTTTTCTTTTAATCCTTTTGCTTTTTGTTCCCTATTGTAATAATATAAAAAGTAATGCAATTTAAATTTTGGTCGTGTAAGAGTTGTAGCCACTAATAAGTATCGTTACTATAGTGGTTATGAGAATGACTTTGATGAGCAGAGTGAAAACTAAACTAGTATTTTAATTACGAGCGGTATATCGCAAGCTCCTTGGTGCAAAATGAATGATTTCTCTCTCATACAAGAGTTAGCAACATAGTTGATCATATATATTTCCGCTCATAATACCGTTGAAACACCGACAGTAGTTCTAAGCTTACCCTGAAGTTTTGTCTCCGCTTCTACTTTAAATCTCCAAAACCCCGAACTCTAGAGGTGTATCTTATATGCATGAAAGCAAGAGGCAGACCAAGCACTTGCTTGGTTTATATCAATATATCACATGCAAAATACAATCGTCATTTATCTTTAGGACAAATACATACTCATAATCTACTTCGTAAAAAGAGAGTCAACAGCTCTCGCCCTCTGTTACTTTCGTTTTGCATTATAAAACAAACACATGAGAACAAGACAGGCGTAAATGGTGAATCAAAACATGACAATCATTGCCAAAAAAAAAGTAAAAAGCAACATCAGCTGCTAATGGGGGTGATACGCTTGAAAGCATACATATAAGTATCAAGAACTAAATACGACCATACCCAAGCAATGCATCAAGCATCAATAAAACTAAAACAAGTTAGCCAAATGTCTGTTGATAATAAAACAAGAAAAATACCTCAATATTTCAATCCATATTGACCTAGTCGCCAGTTCACCGTTGCAAACTACTTGGAAGAACTCAATAATTGATTAAATGTAATCTTTTGGCCTTGTGGATTCGGTTGTAACTGCGAAGGTGGAGGGTAATGCATGTGTGGCACAGGAGCCAAATACGGATTGTAGAATTGGTTTGGAGGCAAAGGAGGTGGAACTGGTTGCGGAACATAATGAGATTGGAATGGGTGGCATCCTTGGGGTGCGTATATCGCTTGTTGTGAAGCATGCGGGCCTAGATAGACCGGCTGGATAGGTTGGCTAGGATATCCTCGTGGTGAATATGACATGGTTGTAGCCGGGCTTGATGGACTTTGGGTAGCTCCAACCGGTGTAGAAATTGGTGCCACACTGGACTTTGATGTAGATACATCAATCAGCTTCAGTGAAACCACGTCGGTATCCTCTTTGCCCACAATTTGCTTTGGTGATGGCTTAAAATTTGGTTTTGGGAGATTCAAGGCGGCAGGTGAAGAATGGAACGATGAACCAGCATACGTAGAAGAATCCTCTTCTAAAACCACGGCCACAGGACCCTTTTCCTTCTTATTGTTGGCCTTTTTCAGTGGTTTCGAGTTGTTGTTGAAATTGGGCTTTTCACCATTAGGTAATGAGGGTTCGACAACAGATGGCTTATCTCCTTTCTGTGACTTCTTTGACCTTGTCAACGCTTTAGCTGGGTTTTGCTCGCCATCTTTTTTTCTTCTCGAATCACTCTTGTCATTGTAAAATTGAGGCTTCTCTCCATTTGGCAAAGAAGGCAAAGATGATAGCTTTATTGGTTCCTTAAGCTTCTTTGGGCTATTGTTTTTGTTCTTGTTTTTGTTTTTGATGGGCCCGTTTCCAAAATCAACAGGGGCACCACTAGGAAGCACTCTTACTTGATTATCATGCCCTTCGGTTTGCTTCTTCTTATGCTGACGAGAAGGTTTCTTCAACATGTTTTGAAATGAAGCATTATTTTCGTTTCCATGTATTGGTATTGGTGTGGATATTTCGTGTGCCATCATTGTAATCTTTAATATTTGGGTCTAAATGTTAACTATATCTCATAAACTGTTCAAAAAGTTTGTAGTATTTGTTGCTATTTGCCGATATGTATCTCCTTCTTTGAGTGTAACTCTGAAGTGGTGACCTTGGATATATTAAACAGTTGTGATCTATGCTGTGAAAGGATAGTTTCTGTGAATAGAGAAGGAAGATGGAAATGGACACTCTTTTCTTTTTTTTCTTTTTCTACGGTGACACAGGAGCAAAGGTCGTGCAGAATGACCAGATATGGAAGAGTAAGTAGGTAGCGTTACTTAGATAAGAATCCACGATTTATATGTCAAATTAACTAGAAAATATGGTTGATAGCCCAATCACCACTATGCCCACAATACACCATAATATGACAAAGTTCATATTCCCTCCAAAAGAGACTGCACTTCCAAACATAGTCAACGCAACTACGGTTAAAAATCCACTGGTGACAGCCATAGTTACTCCAAATATGAATCGTAAGGAATGTACATCATACTTATTGGAGTTGACTTTGAGAAAGCAGTATCCCAAGAATGCTCCTAGCGGTTGTGAAATTCCACCTAGTGTTGCACTGATCGCAACTGCCTTGATTTTGGCAAACTTTGATGATGTCATGGCATAATATAAAGGAAGACACATTGAAAATCCTTCCGTGTAGTTGTGTAAGATCAAACTGATAAAAATGGAAAATCCGAGCTTTGGGTTTGTCTCTGATGTCACATAGGTGATAAACCCTTCTGGTAATTTGTGTAATGTAATCGCCAAGGTAGTTTCAATTCCAATCAATAGTAACCGAGAAAGTGGAGAATTGACGTGGTGATGATGGTCTACTTCGTGCAGGTGGTGCAGCTGATTCAGACTAAAAGCTGGTTCTCTATGCGTTTCTTCATCATCGCCAGTCTCGATGCTGTGTGCACCCTCTTCGTGATTTTCCAATTGAGGAATTTCACAAAAATGTAACCGATCAACTCCATGTTCGTGGTGGTGGTAGGTGCAGAGCTCTGCAGACGTATATCCCTTGCATTCTCCTGCTGCTTCATCATTCAAAAAGAGCTGGATAATTGATTTTCTTGGTTTCAAAGTTGCTCGAATAAGTGGTGTTCTTTCACTTTCTTCTACTTCCACCTCCACCGGCACCTGATCGACAAAATAATCCCGAACTTGATTTTCTTCATCAGTGCTTGGCTTTGAATGGTTGGTATCAGCCTCAATATTCGCATGTGAATGCTGATGACTGTGTCCATGCCCATGCCCATGGCTGCGGTGAATCTCTTGCATCCCATGATCTTCTTCCTCCTTCACCGTATTTCCATGGTTACAATGAACCACGCTTTCACTAGTCAACAAATGCAAGGCAAAGTTGAAGCTCAAACAGATTAAAATCCCACCAAAATAGCTACTCATCAAGTAGAATTGCTGCCATCTCTTGGTCAAGTGCTCGGCGCTTGCATCTTCATTCAGCATAGCCAAATACCCCGAGGCCTCAGGTAACAATCTGTATAATGCTGTAATAATCAAGCAGCCTGAGCTTAGAGCTAATGAGCCATTGAGAAATGAATAGTTTTCCTTTAATTTAAATCTGTATCTCGAAGTGATGAATTTGGGACACACGAGGTAGTAAATGTCGTCAAAAAATATAATCAAGGTCCCTAGCACACATAGGAATGATGATAGGATCGTCAAGGTCCACCCCTGTGACAATATCAATAGGTTTTGTAACATATGGAAGTTCTTGTGTTGAAAGGAGCAACTTGTGTCTAATGTAATCTTTTATGATTTGTATTTTTCCGAATCACTTAAAACAAGGTTTTAGCGAAGAATTTTTAGGCAATGAATGTGGCTGCAGTATAATGACCTTCTTTAAAGTGACAGAGTCTCTAGATGTTGTTATCTGTCTATGGATGCCAGGCCGATTTAAACTAGCGCCAAGAGGGCGTTATCTACCACGAAAACCTGTTTTAAGGTGTTGCCTTAAAAACCCTGGTGGTTACTTTGAGTGGGTGTTTGTGTAATTTAGACAGGAATTGGGGGAGTTTCATTTTGTTCTTTCATCAAGAGAGAAGCCACGAGTAGAAAATCACTCCCATCATAAAGTTAGCTAAAATAATGTATATACGACTATCTTTATCTGTCAACCTATTTACACCTTAATCTCGTTTCGTGCCTCCTACATCCAAATTGTTTAAAGGCAAGCTCTCAAAATCTCTTTTCTTTTTGGAAACAAAAGGAATCATCCTGTGTGTTGTCTTGTCTCTAGCAAACTTTCTCTTTTTCAAGTGACTAAAATCAAATTTATTGATTCGAACAAAGAGCCACATACCGAAAGCTGCAATCACAACACAAGTAGGCAAGGTCATCATAATCAAGTACTCTTCATAATCGATCCCTTCTTCAACGTTGTTACCAGTTAAATATCTGTTCAACTGTTTCTCTTCTTGTCTCTGCAAATCAAGAAACTCGCCCTTGCCAACTTTTGATCCTTTCCAAAACTCCACCACTATCGAGTCTGCCTTCGCAACGTCAAACTCTTCATCAGGTACGTTATCAGGCTGCAAAGAAATCAACACCTTCTTTTCAAACACATTTTTGGGAAACCACTCTTCGAGGACAGTTAAAGGATAGAAGCCATCTTCATTGCTGACCCACTCAGATACGAAAAATCCTTCTTTGATCTGGCCTCCGTGTTCAAGCACCTTGGATCTTTTGTCGAGTAGTGGTGTATCATCAGTAACATCCTCTTCATCAATATCATCTAGATCTCTCTTTTTCCAACCTTTTTGCTTAGCATTCACTTTGATATTGCTCAAATGTATTCTAACATTATTAACCTTGGGGCTAAAATACCTGGAATACCACGTTATGAAATGAGTCTGGTCCATAACTAATCTCACGTCATCCTCTGGAGTACAGAAAGGTTCGGTCGATACGTCCTTCGCAATACCCTTCTTTTTGTATCGGTCAGGTGTGCATCTTATGATTGGATTCAATAAATGATTTTCTAAGTCAGATTCCTCAATGTATTGAACTTCTGTATATATCTCGTCCTCTGCCATATTGTGTGCCTTTAGCTGTTCTTTATTGAATGTGACGGTGGTGGCACTTTGAAAATATGTACTATAATCAGGGTGTCCTTTTTTGGTTCTTCCATTCTTTATCTCTGGCTTGATCGTTTTTGGTTTACCTGTCTTATCCAAACTGACCCACTCCTGCAATGGATCTGTTGTCTTTGGTGGCTTTGCACTGATAGTAACCCCTGCGATGACTGTTGGCCTCACAATCTCAACCTGGCCATCAACAGTACGGTACCAAGGAGCAGGAGGAGGTCCAGTTGATGATGAAGATGTCTTTTTCGCTTGATTTTGAGCATAGTTTTTGTTGTTTATAACTTCTCTCATTCGTTTAAACAAATGTTGTGTAGGTTCTGAAGACTCTGTGGTCAAAGCCAAAGTGGGATCTGGCGTTGCCTCGGGTTGTGCCAAGGTCAATGCATAAGCGTTAGCAATGCATAAACTAATGAATGCAAATGGGACTTTCATCGGGTTTGATTTCTTGATGAGAGAGGAGATGAGTGGTTTAAGCTTTTTGGTTTGTTTTGATCCGTGGAAAGAAAAAAAGAAATAAAAATCGTATTAATATTTTATAACCGAGATAGCTCAATCTTATTACTTCACACGAAGTCAAAAGAATTGACATCGCTCAGTAAGAAATCCAAGTACTGGAACGTGGTATATTAAAAACAAGGAAATGTGTACACTATATACATAAAACGAGGTAAAACTTCTTAATTAATACTCAACTAATCCCGTCCAATAGCCCACTTCATTATAGAGGCCGGGTATTTCCTTCCCCGTTGGCTTTCTAAATGATCCCGCGACCAGTGCTTTAGATTTTAAATCAAGCAATGACTTCTGCAAGACTTGATAATAGCCGGACTCCTTAGAAGACAAGTAGTTACTTATAAATTTATCTGGTAGATGGGAATGCGTAAGTGCAAAGATGTACGCCAAACACAAAACATCACCGGCCGAAGGTTGGTCACCAAAAACAAACCCACCTCCTTCATAATGCTCTTTCTTTAACTTCTCAAGCCTGTTTATTAATTGTTCAACCAAGACAAGGCATTTCATGGAGCTTTGGGATTCTCTCAAGACTTTCTTCGTTTCGGATTTTTGCACTAAAGACTTTTCGTGAAGGCCGCTGATAGCCCTCGAAGTTTCACTCTCTTCATCAAGATCACTGTTAAAATATTCCGTCTTAGTTTCTTCGCCACTACCGACAAAGTTTAAAAATGATGACTTGTTTTCTCCTAATCCTACCAAACGAACTTGGCTCTGAGCGTCGTTGTAAAACTTCAGTGCCTGATTGTACATCATCGGGAATGGGAAAAACTTTGCAAATAGTTTTCTCGTATAATTTTCGTAGTTCTTAGTGTTTGAGAAAAGGTTGTACTTGTTTAATGCCCCAAACTTGGTTTCAAAAAAGGCAATCAAACTATCGTCAACCAATTTTTGACTTTCTGAAAGTGATAAGAGCCCAGTATTGTCATACTTGGTAGTTAAATACGTCGCAATATTCCTAAACCCACTGTATTGACTCTCTTTGTCGATTAAAAGTGGTAATTCATTCAACTTTGACAAGTGAGGGTTATTAGATGGGACAATCTTGAAGGGTACATCTTGCGAATGTGATATTAGACTAATTAGCCATACAGATGCAATACAAGATGGCGATATAATTGACACTTCTTCGTTATCACCCCAGACATGCAACTCAATCATGATTGCAGCGATGCAGTTTCTTCTCTTTTTGGTAGCTCAAGTGGAGATAAATTTTTGTCGGGTTTTGTTTTCGTAAGAAGCAAAAAAGTTTCGCAGATCTACCCCATCAGGTTATCTCTAACCGTATATATATTAAGCGGTCACACACGCGAGAAGCCCAATCAGTCGAAACTACCGCTGTGTTTGCACAATTCAGAGACTTTTTTAAGGGATGAGTAACCCTATCTTTATTAAAAACAATAAACCAAAGAAGCTATCGTTGGATAAAATAGGGCAGTTGGAAGATGACTTGGAAATCAATCCTTTGGACCATAGCAAGTGGATCAAACTTTTGGATCAGATAGTCGCCAAGGATAATCAAGAACAGGTTAGAAAATTGTTTGAGAAATACCTCGGCATATTCAAGTTTGATGCCGTGCAATGGAACAAATACATAAAGTATGAACTCAGTCGTGGAGAAAAAGAGAAGGCAGAAGCACTTTTTCAAAAATGTTTTGCCATTACTGAAGGTGTCGATTTGTGTCGCCTGTACGTTGACTATGTGCGAACTGTTACAGATATGATCACAGGAGGTGACAAGGCAAGAGGCACTATTATCCAAGCGTTTGAATTTGCCATCGACAAAGTGGGAATTGATGTGCAAAGTGACGGCTTATGGCAAGATTATATAAGCTTTTTGAAATCATGGACTCCTGGTGCTAACTGGGAACAGCAACAAAAGATTGATTTGATTCGTAAAGTGTACAAAAAGGCCTTGGTCATTCCAACGGAAAATATCGAAACCCTATGGTCGCAGTATACCAGATGGGAGAACGAACTTAATCCAGCAACGGCACAGAAATTTGTGTCTGAAAAGTCAGGCGAGTTCATGGCTGCTCGCTCGTGGAACACGGAGTGGCAGAATATCACAAACAAGAAGTTGAGACGTTCAATAAACCCCCATACAATAAACGATGAGTCAGTAGGAATGCAAATGAAGTATTGGCAAAGCTGGTTACTGTTGGAAAAGAAAAACTCGTTGCAAATAAAGGACGATTCATTGCTTCAAAAGCGAATAAACTATGTTTACAAAGAAGCCACTTATGCTCTACCTTTTGTGCCTCAGCTATGGTTTGAATATGTAAAACATTTGTTAAACGATAACGAAGAAAGCAACATGAATAACTGCATTTCTATTTTAAATGATGGTTTAAAATTAAATCCTAAAAGCTTACTTCTCTCTTTTCAACTAGCCGAATTGTACGAAAAGGATAGTTCTTTTGAGAATGCAAAGACAGTTTACAACCAATTGATTACAAATTTGAGTGAGGATCACAAAGCAGTTGTGAGGAAGTTGGATGAGTTGTATGAGCGTATCAAACCCAAGGAGGAAGATAAACAGGGAGATGGCGATGATGAGGATGAGGACGAGGGAAGTGAAAATGAGGGAACAAAGAATGTCAATGGTAATTCTAACGGTGACCTGAATGGGCATGGACTACCTGATATCCCCCGTAAACCGAATATTCCTAGTTTGCCACAAATCCCAAGCAATTTGACACCTGCGTCCGATGGAGTTGATCTGGATGTACCAAAAGGTACAAATCAAGTTAATTCTAGACTTTCAATGGCAGACCTGAGGACATTGCTGAAAATGAAGAAAGAGCGTGATCAATTGGTTGATTCGATTACCCTCATATACGTCAAGTTCATGGTTGCTAGCAAAAGAGCCGAGGGAATGAAAGAGGCGAGGGATGTATTTCGGCAGGCAAGGAAGAATGAATCCGTTGGATACCAAATCTACATTGAAAATGCATTGTTAGAGCATTATGCCGATAACAAGAAAACAGCATTAAAAGTGTTTGGCGTTGGGCAAAAGGCATTTCCCACCAATGGACACTTTTTGTTGAACTTTTTGGACTACTTGATCATGACCAATGATGTTGACAAGTTACGAAGTACAATACAAAGCTCCGATACAAACTTTTCAAAAGAGATTTCTCAGATTGAGGAAAAGTTATCTCTAACTGGTTTGGATCCAATACTCAAAGATGAAAAGGAAGAGAGATTAAGCTTGCAGAAAGCATTTTTAAAAAAACTATACAAAAGGTATATATCCTTCACGGCAAACCATTTGTCTTTAGATATAACAAGTAGCTTTGCCAAAAAATATGAGCAATTATTTCCTGACGATGATCCAATCGACTTGTTTACTGATAGGTATAAGCTTGATAGTGTTAATGTTATAAAGAGATACGAGATGAACCAGGACGAGGCAGACGATTATTTTGGTCAAGCAAGAAAAAGACGCAAGTTGTCAATGGGATTCGACAGCAGTGAGTCCAACTCAGCTGTGAAAAATATACAGGAGTCGAGCCGCATAGAACAAGAGGTAATTGAAGAAGAACAACTGAACAATTCATCATTTGTTGGCCAATCAATTGTGGCGTTAATGACTGCGTTGCCAAACGCCTCTTATTTTGGATTACCTACAGAAAGTGTTTTCGATAGCGATAAGTTGGTTACCTTATTCGCAAATCTACCCAACATAGCATAGCGTGCATGTTAATTTAGCTGCAAAAACAGATGTGTGTATAGAGAAATAAAATAAAATTCATTTGCGTAACATATCAATCAAATTTTCTCTACACCTCTAATTTGCAAACTAAGAGATCAACTATGAAATTTTTAACCCAAGGTTTCTCCGCTTCGCTTTTCAAACAGAGTTCAAAGTGTTTCTCCACACCATATGAGCAACCACCCAGCTCCAAATTAAAAAGTGTGTTTGTATTGAGAAATATAATATTATGGTTGGTTTTGATGAACCTCAAAAATTTCTGTCTAGATTATCATTACGCATTCGGCAAGGCTGACATTGTTCGTGTTCTTTCTGAGACTGGTTTGGGGTTTGGACTTGCTGCTGGACTGAAAACGAATTTTGAGGATATATTGGTAGGAATATACGTTAGAAATGAAGAACTATATTCGGAGAACATTGACAGCACAACCATTATAGCTGATGTCGCCCTTCACATAGTAGGACACGGTGCTTCCTTGATTTTGAAAGAGGGATTCTACGAATCGGAATCCTTCCGCACAGGCAACAACAGTACGGTTGAATCAGTTATTAAAATGGATTTCCCACAGGGGCCGAACTTGTTCCATGTTGGAAAAGCTTGTGATGTTATATCGGAATTACTAGAAGTCCCTTTGGAAACACTATTCAGCAAACCCATGGCATTGCACTTGAACCAGAAAATAGCAACCGTATTCACACTTGTGGTAGTTTTCAAACTGGTTATCTTTATCACTTCAATGCTTCTCGTGGTAGTCTATCTTGTTTTATACTACTCGCCCAAACCTTTATTCTGGCACTATATCAATTTGTCCACCCTTTATGTTTTAGATATGGTAATCTTGGCTATGGTCTTAGGACTTCTCGTGACATGGTGTCAATTAAATTCCAAAACCAATTATGAATTGTTTTTTCTCATTTTGGAATTGGTATCAATCATGGGACTCAACTTGGTATTCTTCCAGTCTCACCAGGCAATAATGATCAATTCTGGAAGCGCATATAGCGCACTGTCGTCTATATACTCATCTGACGACCCTCAAAATACACCACCCATTGTTCACAAAACAAGCACCTCACCCTCAACAGGCGAAGGATTAACCGGAAAAACAGTCACTAGAACTTATGTCCCCATGAACCAAACAGCAAAGGTAGTCAACCGCCAGGCGAATGTAATACGTTGTTTCACTGCACCAGCCAAAAGCTCAGTCGAATGGCAATAATAACCCTCAAATAATATGTACAGATGTTTATTTTGTAAACGAATCTACGTGAATTAGCATCAGTCTACTTGAAATCTTCCTCACCAATGTCAAACGTCTCTTCTATACTTGGTTTGAAGGGCCAGTCTTCATAAGCATTGGCAATTGTTATTATATCTTCTGTGGTGAATTCAATGGCTTTCTTGTTTAATACTTCGTCAGGAATGTAATTACATAAATACTCTGCTCCTGCAGCTAGCTTAGGCAACAGCTCTCTCAAGGACGAGCTAGTTACAAAAATTCCCAGCAAAAGATGCTCGATATTAGCAATAACGTCGCCAGTATACCTCCCTGGCAGTATCTCAACCACCGCCGCTGCTGAGTTCCTGATAAATGAAGACTTATCAATCACAACCGGTTGATCTCGAACCAAAACACGAGGATCATAGCCCTCGCCAATAATTTCCAGTTCTTCTCCAATGGCAATTAGTCTCGAATCGGTGTACAAGTCTCTCTTCAACGCAGTTCTGTTTCTCTTCTTGAACCCTGGCTCACTCAAAAACTTCATAGCCGTCGAGGATGGTACAAAAAGGACCATTCTTACCTTGCCGTATTTCATTAGCCAGTTACGATAGCTACAGCATCCAATCCATTGGGCAATAGTAGACTCATCTTTAGTTCCAGTCCAGTTTGCAACTATCAACAATTCATCATGTATTTTATCGAACAGTTGGAACTTTGTTGGTGGTAATATTCCCTTTTTGTATAGATTCAGATACGTTTCCCATGAAAAAGGATCTCGATCAATAATTTTGAAATTTTCCTGGTTACCAGTACTGTTTTGAAGGGTCTGTATCTTCTTATGCCAACTTCTCACTGTCTCGTCGTTTCTATCTAGCAAAATATGATTCTTCGGTTTAAGCTCATGATTGAGCATGGCTGAAAATAACCCGAATCCTGGAGTCGCATCTATAATATCCAAGTTTGAAGAATTGTACTGCCCTTTGAGGTTCAATTTGTCTAGAACTTGTTGACAAGCCGCTGGATTCTTTAATTGAGATTTTCCGTACGTGAATCTAGGAAGCTTGTCAAAGAATTTCTTCAACAGCGGGTTATATGATCTCAAGTTGGCTACTGTACTCATTCGGTATCATCTATATGGTTTTAGCTAACGATGGATAGAGAAGATTAAAGGAAAAAGAAAATAGAAAAATGATGACAAGTCCACACACACACAAAATCAAACCTCACTTTATCCACCATGTCCATCAACGGAGTAGTCTTGAAGCATAACTACTCAAAGTACTTTTCGTCTAACGAGTTACCTTTTGAAGTCAGCAGTGATGGTTTGGAACTACTAAAATACAAAACACACACGTCGAGACAAACATTGTCGATTGCACTGAATAACAGCAACTCGCAGTCAAAACTAAAGATAACTGCACAGGACGGGTACCTATATCTCACCACCAAAAGATTGGTATTCATCACAGCTAAGCAAGGCGATGTCGAATCATTTGTGTTGGACTTAACATTAGCGCCGATTTTGCAGTTGAGCCACAAGTTGAAAGCGCCTTGGTTTGGAGTAAACTACTGGGAATTCATGTTTTACAGTGCCAAAGAGCCAAGCATAGTTAGTGATGGTTTCCCGAAGAATGAGTTTTTCAAAGGTGAAATTTACTTTCAAGATGGTGGTTTATTCGATTTTGTCGAAGCGCTCAATACAGTTGTGAATGATGTGGTCAACAATCGAGAGATTGACGACGAGCTCCCAGCGTATAGTGCTGCTGCTGCTACTACTATGTAACACCACGTAGATTGTTGAATGAGTTTAAAATCACATTAGATTGTTTATATTTTTACCTATAAAAACATTTCGTCAAATTCAGAAAAGTTTAAAATCTTCTCCATTTCTTCTGCTGGCACTGTTGGTAACAATTCATTGAGTTTGTCGATGCACATTTGCTCTAAAAACGCTGCATCTTGATAAACAAATGAACTTTCTTCATTATAAATCTTGGCATTGCTGAACATCAAGTGGATGTCTTCCAAGAATTCTCTTAACTGGGTATAAGTATGCCCACTTGCTCTCTTCCTGATAGTATCGAGGGCTATTGGGTGTTTTATCAACACATAGTAGTCAGGGTAGTATCTTCTCGATGGCTTAACTAAAAACAAGTCACTCAATGCCCTTCCTTCATCGTTCTTGTGGTTCATGATTAGTCCCAAAAGAGTTTCAATATTGTTCTGAAGCATAGCTCTTTCGTCTGGAGACAAGGGGTCTATCGATGGAGTCGCACGAGATAACAACGATCCGCGGCCTCTTCCACGTCCACGTCCTCTACCTCTCACTCTACCGCGACCTCTCCCTGTTGCAACACCCGATCCAGGCTCAGGTGTATCAAGTTTTTGCCTTTTCGGTGCAACACTGTTATCAGATTCGTCAGCTGAACGTTTACTCGAGCTGTCATACTCATTTGTACTGTCATCATCCTTATCCAAGATATGCGTTTTCCCGCCACGACCTTGTCCAAATTTCCTCTTCCTTCCCTTGCCTTTACCTTTACCTCTAGCACTTCGACCACTTTGATAGATGTCATTGTCACTGTCAAAGTCCCCCTCATCGTCATCACCTGCATCATCATCGTCGTCATCTGAAACAACACCTTCAATTTGCTTCAACCATTGTTCCTCGGTTAAATTATCATCATACTTGGTCGTCTTTCTTTCTCTTGCTCCACGACCATAGTCTTCGGTGAAGATATCATCTTTTTTGAGAACTTCCTCAGGATCTTTTTTATAAATAGGTGGAAGCTCTTGTTCAGAAAGTAATCTAGTTGGGTAACTAGCATCCTTGGTAGTAAGATATCTCTCTTCATCAAGTTGTTTAAATTTAACAAGCTCTGATTCATTTCGAGCTATTATTTCATTCAACTCGTCGTCATCCAAATCCTCCTCTTCTTCTTCTACACCTTTTGTACGACGTTCATCTTCCTTTTCAATCAAAGCTCTCAACATTGCCTCCTGCTCTTCGGCTGTCGACTTGTTATCAAACTTACCCGCTTGAATGACTTTACCATCAATTTCCAACTTTGCGTGGGCTCTTTCTAAAATCATCTCCTCGACTGAATTCTCTGTAATCAATCGCAAAATTCTAACTTCATTTTTCTGGCCAATACGATGGGCCCTATCTTGAGCCTGTAAATCCTGATGTGGATTCCAGTCTGTGTCAAAAATGATGACTGTATCTGCAGTTTGCAAATTCAATCCTAAACCACCTGCTCTCGTCGATAAAAGAAAACAAAAGTAATCGGACTCAGGCGCATTGAATAATTTCAAAAGCTCCGTTCGATCATCTGCCTTGGTACCTCCATCTAACCTCATATGCTTCATCCCACGAAGCCTAAGAAAGTCCTCCATTATGTCCATAACCTGGGTCATTTGGAAGAAAATCAACACCTTGTGACCAGTTTCTTTGAACTTGGGCAAAACTTTATCCAACAACTCAAATTTACCTGCAACTCTCCAAATGAGATCATTATTTTCTGCTGTGGGGTTGATAAAGTTTTCCACGTCTTCGTAAACAAAAGGATGATTACAAATCTTTTTCAACTGCATAATTTGATTATTGGCGTTTTTTATAGGCACAACTGCCATATCATCATTTGGATCACCGGCATATAAGGCATTGAAGCGCAACATTTGTTGGTAAAGTTTAGACTGAAGCGAAGACATCTTACACTTGACGACTTTTTCAACTTTATTCGGCAAGTCCTTTTCAACATCCTTTTTCAATCTTCTCAACAAGAACGGCCGTAAAACTTTATGCAACCTTCTAATAACCAATAATGTCTCTTCTTCGCTCAATTCAATCTTATCCTGCCCACCGGTATTTGCAAACGGGGTATTAAACCACTCATCAAAAGACTTTACCGAGTTGAAGATTTTAGGCAATACAAAGTTCAATAATGCCCACAACTCTGGCAAGTTATTTTGCAATGGTGTACCCGTCAAAATCAAGCGGTAGTCACTGTGATAGTTTGTGGTTAAGGTTTCAGAAAGTTTCGAATTTGAGTTCTTCATACGGTGACCTTCATCGATTATCATATGTACCCATTTCACTCTTCCTAAAAGACCCTTGTCCTTGATAATGTATTCAAAGGTGGTGAGGAGGATTTGAAAATTACCCGTTTTGATATCATGCTGCATTGATTTTCTTTGGTTCGGAGTTCCTTTGTAAGTAATTTTCTTCATCGTTGGAGCCCATTTCTCAAACTCGAGATTCCAATTTGTCACCGTTGAAAGCGGAACAATAACTAAAAACGGACCATTGATTTTCTTTACTTCTGCCAAATAAGTCAACAACGATATGGTTTGAATAGTTTTTCCCAATCCCATTTCATCTGCCAAAATACCATTCAAATGATTATTGAACAAGGAAACCATCCATTGTAAACCTTTCAATTGGTACTCCTTCAAAGTTCCACCCACTAAAATTGACGGTTGCTGAGTAACTTCTTCTTTGATTTTATGAGCCACATTGTAATAATCAGTTTTCTCTCTTTTCTCATCTTCATTGGCAGCTTCAACAGCGTTTTCTGGTGCCCTACCGGAGGTAGCAAGATTTGCCTCTGCCTCTTTCTGCTGACTTTGAACAGCTTGTGCTAAAGAGTCTAAGAACTGGTTCGTCTGTCTCAACAAGTGGGTAATCCTTGTATCCTTGGTGTGGTCCAAAAGCTTCAAATATGCCTCTTCGTCATTCAGCTTCAATGCCTGCAAACGTTGCTTGGCCATCTTTTCAAGCTTTTTCTGTTCTTCCTTGGCAGTCAGGTTATGGAAACTAGCAATTTTGTTTACAAATCTATTGACCTTGTCTGATTTTTTATTGGTCCTGGCGGAATTTCTAGTGCTAAAGTCAATGACTTGGTCTAAAACACGGGAGTGTTTTCGATTTTGTTCCCTCATTAGGGACTCCAATTGGTGGCGATATAAATCAATTGTGACAGCAACACTTTCCATCGATAACGTGTTGAATCTTGCCAAAAAATTCGGATGAGAATTAGGAAGCAAAGACTTACTGAACCATACCTGACTGAGCAATTTACCTCGTACTTGTTTTTGAATTGGTATGATCTCCAACTGGTTGAGTCGTGTCACCAACAATTCTCTCCTCTTATGGTCCTCCTTACCTAAGGACTGAATCTCGGATCGTAATAAATCTTTTTCATTTTCGATGCTGAGTATCAAGAACAATTCGCGATTAGCTGCGATTTGCTCCAAACTTAAGGCCTTGGGCATCAAAGATGGAATATGAATTCTGCTTTGTGGCGTGTAGAGGAAAGTTAATGGTACATCATGGGTGTGATCATCAACCATGTCCGCTTTTTCAAATGTATCGACCTCAATCGTCGGTTTGGTCACTGGCACAACAATTTTTGAATCCTTATTCTTGTCATTGACCACCTTGCTCAACAATACTGGGGGTGAAGGATCTGCAAATGAAAATTGATTTTGCTGGGACAACGAATGAAGTCCTGTTTGTGGTTGTAGTGGTGCATGTGGTGGTGCTTGTGGTGGTGCTTGTGAGTGGGGTAGTGGTTGCACTTGTGGTTGAATTTGTGGTTGAATTTGTGGTTGCGGCTGTTGTACTTGAACTTGTTCCTGTTTGATTCTATTTTGCTTCTCAAGTTCTTCTCTATGCTTCTCTGCTGCGATCCTTTGCTCCTCTTCTCTCATCTGCTTCTTTGTCATCTTCTTTGGTTGATCTTTATTCTTTGGTTTTGGACCTCTCTTTCCCTTTTTCTTTTCCGCCGGTTCGTTTGGAGTTTGCACATCAGTATTATTGTTGAAATTATTTGGCATGGATGTTGCACTTTGGGAAAAGTTTGGATTTAGGGTACTGTTATTATTTCCAGGCACCGATATGTAAGGATCGGTGGGATAAGAAGATGTCGGGTTAGTGACAAAACTGATCAAGTTTTGTGGCATGGGCCCTTGGTTTGGTGATTTAGTCAAGTATTTTATTGCCTGCATTTGTGATTTTAACAACTGAAACTGTTGGTGTGTGAATGCAGACTCGGAGGTAGAAACCAGCTGTGCAGGAGAGTTAATAGGCCAATTGCTACTGGTGGATTGATTGACCTTCTGGTGTGAATCGTTGCCGTTTTGCATTGCTCTGTTTCCAAACTGTGGTGTATAGCGATTATTGTTGGCTTGTCCGCCTAACAAATTCGCATCTTGTGAAAAGGGGGTTCCAGCTGTCGACAGTTGTATGTTGCCGGCTGGAGAAGCAACCAGGTTACCAAATTGATCTGCGTGATTATTCACACTTGCTGTATTTGTAAATGGCTGGTTGGGGGTTGGCGGAATAGGATGCAGAACTGCTGGCGATCCTTGGTGTTGTGGCTGTTGTAGTTGAGACTGCAATGGGGGGCGTGGTTGTGGTTGTGGTTGTGGTTGCGGTTGTTGCTGCTGTTGCTGCTGTTGCTGTTGCTGTTGCTGCTGCTGTTGTTGTTGTGGTTGGTGTTGGCTTTGCTGGGGCATCTGTGGTCTCTGTATGTTCCTTTGTTGTTGTAAATGTTGTTGTAATTGCTGTTGTTGCATTTTGATGTTATTAATCGTCTTGTTCAACTGAGCAAACTCGGGGACATTAACAACTTGGTCACCATACTGCTCTCGCAATTGATGCCACCGTTGCACTATCTTTTGAACCTCTTCTTTCGTGGGCATACGGTTCATCTTTTGATATCAATTAGCAAAACAACAAATAAAAAAAAACTTTTTCGTAAAAAGCTATGGGTTGTTGAAGGAATGTGTGGTATGTGGAGAGGAATCAATCCAATATAAATCGTCTATCAATAAAACCTAGTCTATTACAGATTCAAAAACACATATATTGGAAATGATTGATTGCAAAATTGTTTATGTAAAATCCCCGATATAAACCAAATAGTTTTTTGTATATATTATTCTTTTGCACAAAAATTATTTTAAAGTAATTAAAAAAAAAAAAACACACCCAGTTTACAATCTACATGCAGTATATTCACCACATCACCACCACATAACTTTTTATATTTTTTCTGTTTGTTTATATTATGAATAATAAATAATAAATAAGAATAAAAAATTTTTTCTTCTGTGCTCAAATGCACGACTTAGGCAAAGCGTGTGAAATGTTGCACGACTTTTCAAGCTCTTAGCAGATTGCCTCGGCTCTGTATTCAGAAATATCTACGTTCAATCAACCCAAATGGGTGGTTTTGCTAAATAATCCCTAACTTTCTTCTCTTTACGTGTTCTTCAAATTAGACTCTTTGCATCTTTTTACGTCTCTAAATCATCTAGGAACTAGGAAAATAGAAGAAGACAGCAATCCTCAAATCCTATAAGAAGAACCAAATGTATACAATTCTATCCAAGCTCGACTCTTATAAAGCACGGTTGAGATGCAACAGCATATTCCTAGAGTGCTTTTGAAGACAAAAAGGGGTCACAACTTTCCGATACCCGTTATTTGTAAATGATACAGTAGAGTCACCTCTCTCGTTCAAAACGACTTCATTGTATACATTTGTACCCCTGTGAAGCCCATATATGTTAGCCTAAAGTAAAGGGAAACACTCAATCTGATATTACGATTTTTATTCCACTCAATGACTATGGTCTCCACAACTTTCCTTGCCCTCTTGGGGCATAGTTAATGGCCTGAAACTTCTCTTTCTTGATAGTACCATCTGAGGAGCTGTTATCTTTCACCTCTTGAACAACACCGTCATATGGTATACTTTTTGCATCTCTACTCTTGGGTTTTCTTTTGTGGTGTTTTTTTAAATTAACCTTGGGTTCTTCTTGCTTTACCGTCTTATACTCATACAATGTTGAATCAATCTTATTCTGGAGAACATCATTTCTAGGATCAAAGCCATCATTTGCCGAAAATGGATTATATATTCTGAATGAATTGACGTCATAATTTTGAAAAATAAGCAATTCGGCCTCATTCACATTCACACAGTCAATGCCAAATGATTTCGCCCAAACTTTAGTGATTGGGTCTTCCGTGACCAATTTCCACTCCTCTATGTTGTTCTTTGCCCTTGGCTGTGTTTTTTCAATGAATCGTTTATAAATGCAGGTACGTATCAAATATTTCAATCGGGCTGGCATTTCGGCAAGGGACTCTGCTGACCCCTCAAAAGTATGTTGCTCGCTAGTTGAATCGCTTTCCCGGTTCAGAAGAAAATTCTCCTTGTGCGGTACTTCAGCAATGAGATTAGAATCAAATTTGGTTTTGTAATTGGGAAAGTCCTTGATTTTGGGCGAGTATAATTTGAATTTTGAGCACTTGGCCCATGTTGGCGGTATCTCGCTTGGAGACTCTAGACTCATGATGTACTTGATGTTTCCACTTACCGTTTCAGATTGATTTTCTAAGTAATTATCAATAAACTTAATTGCCTCCCTAGCATTAGTTGCTGTTATTGAAGTGCCCTTTTTCACAAAATCAAACTCGTGCAACGTATACGACGGGATGTATAGGTTAAAAACGATAGGATCTGAGGTGGTGTTGAAATTCTGCTTTATGTACTCATCGTTGAACCAACGTTTGATATTTCCAATTCCACGAACAAATGCAGAATGGTCCAACATTAATCGAACATAACGACTATTGGGGTCCTCTTTAGTAATTGGATCGCCGACAGATTTTAAATCGAAAAGCTCATCTTTTGAAAAGTCATCGCTGGTATCTGAATCATACTCTTGAGACATCACTTTGGAGTAGAAAGTGGCTGTTTTCCGGAAAGGAAAAGAACAAAAAGAAAAAATATAAAATGTCCTTCTTTATTCGAAGACTCCGCAAAAAGGGATGGGAGAGTTGCTGGGTGTACCCTTCTAAACAAACCTACTGGCGCAACATGTTCAGAGAGTATACTGATACCATGCCTACAAGTAAATGCTACAATAGAAATAGGTGCGCAAGGGTGTACCCCCATTACATCTGGCGACGTTTTTCTCCAAATATATACTCCACAGTTGAATCAAGTCATCTGTAATCATTCTAGTTAGTAAATAGAGCTTAGACCTCATTTTCTTTATGGATATTCAACATTATTATAATCAGATAGGTTTAGTCAAGGGCATAAGCATTGAGCGTAGCTCTAATATTAGAGATGCCAGAAAAACATACTTTTAAATTAAAACAAAGTTCATCCTGTTGTTAAATATCCAGTAAAATAGTTGATGTTATTAACATACCTTCAATACCTTGCAAATTTTAGTCCACAGTGTTTCGTGGAATTATGGTGGAAGATAAGAAGTAAAAACAGTTGAAGATTTTGTATATTCTTTCATGAAAATTTTTATTTCTGTTCCCTGGGTAATTGTGCACGACTACATTTGCAACCACAAAAGAATACTTTCTAATCGCATGTTCTGGAAGGTGTAAGCAGCTTAAGGGACTTGAAAGGTATTTGTTTGGAATATTAAAAACATACTCCATTTGTGCTTTCTCTGAAAAGATGCTTTAGTGAACGATAACTTTTAATATTTTATAAATTTTGTAGGATTTTGAACCAAAAAAGTTATGGGCAACCCAATTTGTCTTCTTAGAGTTCTAAGAGATTTACACCTTTGACTATAAGCTTCCGAAAACTCTCCGAAGCATCGTGAGTGAAATTGAACATTACCAACACATTAAATGAGACAGGAATATGAAATTAGGTCCCATCAACGTAAAACTTTTTATCCTTGTTGAGAGTTTTTCAACTGCGCTACCTCCTTTACAGGGACGCCACAAGTTTAATCGCGTTGGGATGCCCTACATTTTAAAGCCTATTGCCACATGGGGCATTATTGTGGCTTCATTTTTTACGGAGCTTCAACAAACACGTTTAACTAAAGCCAGTAATATAGCTCGTGCTCTCGTAGTCACCTTATTGTTTGCTAAAGTGCACTGTATAGCGAGCGGCACTCAGAGACGTCTATTGTTGTAACACAACTTTGCTGGCTTTCATGGAATTTTCGGTTTTGTACTCTTGAGATCTATTGTTCCTAATTTCCTGATTTGGATCTTTTCAAAACAAAATCGTCAAGTTTTTTGTTCTTCTCTGCTGAAGCGAGGGGTAGCGCAATACACAGTTTCACTGACTAAATAGATTGCAGCTAATGATTTATATAATAATACTACCCATTTGATTTATATCACAATCATCAAGTAAATTTTAATATTTGAAAGTAGTTTATTTGAAAGTTTAGGATTTTCTTTGCATAGTTTTCACTAAATTTGCTTTTCACTTTATCGAATCAGCCACGAACGAAGAAGTCTTAGTGGGCAAATCACAACCTTCGGAAGCTAACCAACTTACATTTTCAAGCCCCATCTTTGTCCTCCGAGTCAGTTAAAGATGTCAATGCCCGAGTCTCCAAAAAGAATGAGTCACAGAGGGTCCCCAGCATCATCACCATTGTTGAGTACCCCTACACGTGCGAGACCTATCGATATTAACAATAGCGCTGGATCAAGCCCATCTTCCCCAGTTAAAGATAAAGGCAGCCATTGTGGAAAGGGATATTTTCCAAGTATGGGTGAAGACGACTTGAGGTCCATCATTTCCTCACCTAGTTTGACGTCGGATCAGCTAAAGTCAATATCCAAAAGTCCATTAGCACGGAGAATGCACATTGTATCATCTAATCCGTCTAAAGACAAGTATGTGATTCCTATTCCATTAACACTTAGACTTCCTCCTAAATTAAGCTTACCCCAAAAAAGTCCAAAAAGTCAGAGTTTTACTCCACCTTCGCCATCCCCAAATTCTACACCTAGAAAGCCTAAACGACAAACATTAATTTATACATCTCACGGCTACGAGAAGATCGAAGTTTCGCTGTCATCCGAAGATGAGCTGGAGGAATCGGTACTTCTTCCAGTACCTGGAAAGACAAGTTTAGCTAAAAAGACCCAACCACCATCAGTCGCTACAAATAAGACCAAGTACCTGAAGTTGGCCTTCCAAAATAAGGATCCCGATGAGTTGAGTATGATCGAGGAAGTATCAAACTTTGGCTCACGAAATTCGAGCGTAGCTAGAGGTACAAATCAAGGATTACAGCATGAGGTTAGCAAAAAACTACCGAGCTTGCCAACTGAGTTGGAGGAGTTTGCTCCAACCGGAAGTGATAGTTCTGCCATCCTTCACAATAAATACCACACAGGACACAAGGGCAAGCCAGAAGCTATAGAAATGGAAGAGAAGCAACCAAGGCGTACTCCCCTTCCACCAAAGGAAATTTGCTCGATTGCAAGTGCAGCAAACAATGTTCAAGTGCCAATGCCACAGGAATACAACACAAAGCTAGCTCATAGTCGTTGCTTCAGCGAGACATCCCAAGTGTCAAGTGTTAGCTCATTCAGTTCTGCTGGTGCATTTGGATTGATGAACTCAGGTCACAGGACAGGTCCTAACGCTAGAACTGCTGCACCCACTAGGAACGAGAAACCCGATGGTTCTGCAAATGTTGCACTAATCACTTCCTTGAACAAGCCAAATGCCATTACCGAAAGACAGGTTTCTGATACTAGCCAGTTGTCCACGGGTTCTTCTAGTAGTTGGAATTCACTCCAACAATCAATTGACATTTCTTTGAATCGAGAGGTTAGTGAACTGGAGAACCACCTGCTGGAAGAAAGGAAAAGCTCCAAACAAACAGATGACGAGAATCTTTGGACAGACGAGAGCGCTACCGACAGCGAAGGATTTGGTGAGGAAATTAGTCCGCTCAACATAACAAGACAAAACACAGGCGCCACATCGGCGTCGATCAGAAGTCCCGTTAATAAACAAGCTCACAATGATTGTGACACGGATTTCGAGCACAAGGGATCTGGCATCGCTTTCAACTTTCCAAACAACTCAAACAATATAACCAACAACAAGATTCTCAAGCTGAAGCAGTTGGACGAGGATGCAAAGAGTGCCAAGTCTAGGTACAGTTTTTACTCGAACGGTCAGATTGAAATTCCTGATTTGACAAATGGAAAGGTAATGGATCAGTTTTCTTCAAAAACACCATCGAGCTATGATGAAGCCGTGTTTTCTGAAAGACATACTGAAACTTCGGTTTCCGATTTTGAACGTGACGATCAAGATTCAAGAAAAATAAGGGTTCCTAGTAGGGATGCATTGAACCATTTTCAAGAACAGTTTAAACTTTACTCAGCTGATGATGACTCTGATAACGAAGCCACCTTGAAGTCATCGGCGTTGTATGCTGCTCCCACAATCTCCAAAACAGCACCGGACTTACAGTGCAATTTTACCCAACCTAGACAAATTCTGACTTCACCAGTAAGACACAGGAGAGGTAAATCAATGTATAATATTGACTTCAATTCGAATGATGGGCCTCAGGAGACACACCATCAACTGCATCAAAAATCAAAATCAATTGATTGCAACTCGACATGCAAGTCTCACCTAGTAACAAATTCACACGGAAGTACAGCTGTTGGGGTGACAAAGAAGAATACTTTTGAGAAACGGCACAGTAGCAAAATACAAGATGCCGTTCCTGAGGATTTAAATATTCGTGTAGCCGAGCCACCAAAAGCGGTTAACTATGCAATCGACTTTAAAGTCAACAACACGACCGACAATGATTTTGGAAACAAGTTTACTACTCCCAAGGCTATTGATAAGCGTCATGGTTTAAAGCCTAGACACGGTTCACCAAAAAAGGCATCGCGATCTGACATTTCGAGTCGCAAGGACGAATCTGACACCGAAAGTGTTGTTATTGATTTGACTGATGACACGTACAATGTTGTCACTATTAAGCGAAGTGACTCTACCATATCCTATCGGTCGGTTACTGAGAAGCACAGGGGAAAGAACGTTGAAGTAATTCTTCTTGATGACGAAGAAGATGCTCGAGATGAAACAAATGAGTCGAAAAATGAAGAAGGAGATGAAACTGACGATGAGTTGCTGAGCATCTACTCTAAATACAGAAACGATTCTTGGTTATTTGGACCCAAATCATCAAACAGCAGTGAAGCGTCTTTTGAAGCTAAATCGAGCTACTCAAACATAAATGTCAAACTGAGGAGTCCCCGAAAATCAGAAAACTTGCAAGGCCTACGTTCACTTACAACCGCCGGTAGGATCTTACATGAGCTAAATTTGAAGAGATCAAATACAACAACCTCGTCCAACACGTCACCATCTAGTAAAAGTAATGACAGAAAAGTTTCCCTGGCAGCACCATCTCGGATGTCAATGAATAGAGCTAGTACTTCTTATTTGGATGATAAGTACTTTGACTACGCCATGAATGGAAATTACAATTTTCAGACGTTTATGAACGAGAGAAAATTTTAGAATTAATTATATAAATGCATTAATAAAAGAGAAACATTAAAACATTAGTTGCGTACCGCTCCAGTTTGATATTAATTGTTTGGTCTTTCTAATTTAACGGGTACTGGAATCACAGAAGCATTCCCATTTGACTCTTCTTCGTCCTCATTGACCTCAGTGACTGATGGAATCGAAGTGATAGATCTAAATGAGGATCCTCTACTCAAGTTCGAACTTTTGACCCTCTTCACATCTAAAGGTAGTGAAGGTCCGGCTTTGTTCCTGTCATAAAATGTAACTGTCTTGCTCAATGTTTCTACTTTGTTGGGTTTGACTTGGTTCATCATGACGACTTTCTTGGGTTTTCTGTTAAACGAACTAGATCTCTCAAATCCCATCGCTGAAAAGGACTTTTCTGAAGTTGATCCTTTGAACTTGCTTTGCTCATCGTAGTCATAATCCTCGGGTATCTGGTTGATTTCATCTAGTATATCTTGGTCCAACGGTGGGGGTTTTATGGAATCGTCCGTTGGATCCACACCTTTTAAAGTCAAACTTTCTTGACTACTAAACCACGAGTATCGCTTGAATGATGGCTTTCTTTTAATGTGCAGGTCAAGTAATTCAAGCTCCAGTTGCAGTAAATTCAAATTTTGGTCAATGGGTTTAGAGGCAGTTTGTGGTTTGCCATTTTCAGATTTCTCGGAATCACTTGCTAATTTTTCAATCTCTCCAACTGAAGCCAAAAAGTTCATCATACCAGCTACCGAGCTTCTCACTTCTTTGCTGTTGGATTCAGTTGCGCCTTCATCGCTTGCATCCACGTTCTGGGAGTCTTCTAAACTGGACAATAAACCCATCATTTCGGCTACTGAGTTCCTATTTTGTTGACCTGTCAGTTTATACGCCTCATCGACAGCCCCTTTTTCCGGATCATTTCGTTGCAAGGTTGACAATAAACCCATCATTTCAACAACTGAACTTCTATTTTGTTTACTCGTGAGGTCATTACCCCTTGTATCAGTATTGTTCTGCGTCAGTGAGATCTTGTTAGCTTCAACACCACCTCCATTCTCTTGCTTCAGTAGTCTCGTAGTTGTGTTACTATCAAAACTAGATTGCTTAACAGTAGCTCCGAGCGGCTTTGCCTTTGAAGAGTGTCTCACATCATTGTCACTAAGCTTACTATTCTGCCTTGAGCTGGACCAATTTTCAAAATCATCAAGTTTGCTTTTAATGCTATTATTCAAACTGTCATCAAACGAGCCATGGAAAGAAACGATATAGCGGCCCCCCTCAGAAACACCCTTATCACTCAGATTATTACATCCAAAGTGACCCATCGGCATGTTGATAGGATTACGGTGGATTAATGACCTGTTTGAATTTTGGCCCATTCTATTTGAACGATGTCCCAAATTATGACCAATGGTGAGACCATTTATCACTGGACTACTAACATCAAAAAGCTCAAACTCTTCTTCGTGATGCATTACTGGCGATTCAAGTTCCCCAAAGTGGTTATTGCTTGAGTGAATGGAATTCAGAATGCTTGGATCCAAATAGTTTTCCAATATATCCTCCTCGATGTTAGCTCTTCCAGGACTTGAAGGTAACTCACTACATTCATCCTTTGTAGGACCCTGGATTGACAAGTGATGGGAAGAATTGAACATTGTATGTACCGGAAAATCCTGCTCTGAAATAAATTCTCTGAACTTTGTTTCTGGCGAGAAGCTCCGTGATAGATTTCCGAATGTTGGTTCTGCAGCAGAAACGGAATTTTGCAAGTCAGTGGCATGGTATATGCCATCTCGTTCCCTATAATCATCATCATCAAATTCATGTGACACGGTACGAGATCCCAGATCATCATTTTGAAACATTTCATTGTATGCCGCATTTTCACCATCAAATTCGTTGTAATCATCAAAGTCGTCATCTTCGTCTCCCAATCCATTATTTTCAAAATCATAGTCTGACATATCTACATCATCATGTCCCAAATCTTGCTCGTCAAAAGGATTCAGGACCAAAGATTGCTCCAATTTTGGCTTTGCAACGTTTGTCTTGTAGTACTTGACAGAAGTATTTCTGCCACCTTTCATATCTTGTACAAATGAAAATTGAGAGGAATTGTCATCATCATCGTCATCCTCTTCTTCATCTTCGTCATCATCTTCGTCATCGTATTCTTCATCCGACTTCTCACTGGAATAACTCGTGTGGTTCGTCTTGAGATCATCCTTGTCATTGATATATGACATAGATGTTGCATCAAAAAACACTTCTCTGGTATGAAACTTTTCACTCTCTGCTAAAGATGCGATGCTGACATTTTTACTTGAGCCTCTACTCAACAGGATAGGTGGACCAAGACTGGACATGTTTGCAGATGTAGGAGGCACATCGACAAACTCAAGAGGCAGACTTTCACCAAAACGATTGTATCTATTCCCCGATATTTCCTCTAAGTTTGTTGTTTTGAGCTTTTGAAGGGAGGGAGACGACACGGTCAGCTTGAGTTTATTGTTGCCGTTAGACTTTTCAGGCGGTTTCTTAAAGTCGTTTATAGTGGGAACGGAAACATGACTTCGGCTACGTATATGCTTTCTGAATCGTGAGCTTTTCGATTCCTTGGGGGAAGCACCGTTTAATATTAGACTTTGTAGATTGTCGTTGGAGTTTGGTGTTGGCCCAGCTGATTTTGTAGATGTAAATAGATTCTTAATTGGTGTTAGCAATTTTTTCGGCGAATTTGTACTCGATGCCGATAGGACATTGACAGGTGGAGTATATTGAGGATACTGTTGCAATTTAGGAGATGAAGTGGGGGTGAACTTGTGACTAGTCGCTGGGGGACGGTTCATAGTTTCAAAGTTCGAAGGATGAGAGCTGGTTTGCCCTGGCTTGGCTTCATTTGCAAATGTAGTAGAATCATTCTTTTTAGGTTGTTTTATAAATGACTTCATCAAAATTTGCTCCTTTCTAGCTAGTATTGCAAGGACGAAAGGTGAGTGACAGATGGGCGATCCTTTTCCAATAGAGATCTAAAAATAGGTTATCGCAGTATATATAAAAAAAAAAGTAGTGTCGATTCTCAAGAAATTGGTTTCGAGTCTCATCTCTTACAATGTATACGCCGTACGCTTATAAACTTCTTCTCTTGGTGACAGCATTTGCTAATAAATCCAACACCTGAACAGTTGATTCCCAGCCAATACAAGCGTCTGTAATGGAAACACCATATTTCAAAGCATCTTTACCTCCCTCTTCTTCTGGTGGAACATTTTGTCTTCCTTCGTTGATGTTGCTTTCGATCATCAAACCACAGATTGACCTGTCTCCTGCTTCGATTTGGTCTGCAACAACTCTTGCAACTTTAGGCTGGTTTCTATGATCTTTATTGCTATTTCCATGAGAACAATCAACCATTATTCTTGGACCATTATTTTCATCAGTTACCAATTTAGCCTTTTTCAATTCTTCTTGGGTTGCCTTTACTGAATCTTCATCGTAATTCGTACCTTGCTTACCACCTCTTAGTATGACAAAGCAGTCTTTGTTTCCTTCAGTTCCTACAATTGCAACCACACCGGGCTTAGTCACAGACAAAAAGTGATGTGGGTGAGAAGCAGCACGAACGGCATCGATGGCGACACCTAGAGTTCCATCAGTACCATTCTTGAATCCGACTGGGAATGATAAACCTGAAGCTAATTCCCTATGCAATTGAGACTCAGTGGTTCTTGCACCAACTGCCCCTACCGAGAACAAATCGGACAAAAATTGGGGTGAGATGGTATCCAACATTTCACCAGCAATTGGCAACTTGGAAGTCAAGTCAACGAACAACTTCCTAGCAATTCTCAAACCCTTATTGATGTGGAAAGTACCATTAATATCAGGGTCATTGATCAAACCCTTCCATCCGACAGTGGTTCTTGGTTTCTCTAAGTATGCTCTCATAACAATTAAAAGTTCATCCTTGTGTTTTTCGGCTTCTTTAAGAAGTCTGTCAGCGTATTCCAACGCAGCCTTAGGATCATGAATAGAACATGGTCCAATCACTATGATCAATCTGTCATCCTTTCCATTCAAGATATCTACCGCAGCATTCCTACCTTCTAAAATGGTTTTCAGAGACTCAGGTGTTAATGGGTATTCATGCTGTAATAAATCAGGAGGAGTTAACGGGTCGTAACCACGAACTTTGATTTAAAAGTTAGTACTAGAATTTTCGCAAACATTTCAAACCCATCTTTATATCAACATACTTCTCCAGTCTTCCATACGCGATCTGTCACCAACGTGCTCGTTTGTGATAAACATCCTTTAAGATACGCTTGATATTGAGATATCTAGTAGCAAAAGTATAGCTGGTTGTGGATTCTCCGAAAAAGTTATGACTGAAAAATTTTTGACTGAAAGAGTTTTACGGGTTTGTGTAATGAGTCAATAAATATTTATTACTCATCGTTTAAAGAAACAATTGTGATTGCAGGAATTAGTCTTCCATTTCTTTTGTGTCAAATATCTACTATTGCTACTGAGGAAAACCTACAAAGTTGAAAGCATATAATATTACCTGTAAGAAAGATGGTTTATTCAAATTTGTTCAAATATATAGATATAGGCATTCTTCTCAACATCCTTCAAGTTGTCTTCTTGGCAAAGAACTACTTTCTCGTCATTGAACAATACCCACTTCCATTCACCATCGACAAGCTTCCTAACAAATGCAACATAGTGGCCCGTGTGTGAAGACGTACCCTTGTGGCAAATCACTGACTTCAATTTATAACGACCTTTTGAATCTGACCCCTTGTTTTGCAACTTTTCAAATAATTCTTGCTTTTCTTTTTTTACATCAACTGGCAGTTGATCAATTGCTTCAATTACACCATTGTCATCTGGGTTGGCAAACAACCATTCCACAGCTGCATTTGGATCATTACCATTCAAATACAAGGCCTTCTTTGATAATTGGTATGAAAAGCCCATTGCAGCAAGATTGTTGATGGAATCTTCAGAAGGTTCATTTTGGTTACTTGCAGCTCCCTTCTTAAGGTCTAGCGGTTCATCTATATCAGCATCCTCCATGTGTTCAAAAAGCCAGTTCATGGCATCTTCGGCGTTATTGTTTCCCGTCTTGTATAACGCTTTGATGGATCTAGGCTCTGGAAATCCCATACCCAAGAGTGTATTCAATGATTCGGCGTTTGGTGTAAAAAGGTTAGTGTCATCGACTGAACTGGATGTCAATTCCTCCACCTCTCCGTCCTTGAAAGATGGTGCACCAAATTGAGAAAGATCCAACTCATACGGTACCTTCACAGGAACGTCTGTTTTTACAGGTGTCCAATTCTCCAATTTGATTCTTTGAACGCTGACAACGAGATACTTTGGAAACGAGGTGAACCCACTAGTTTTCAAAGCAACTCCGGGAGTAAAGTGGCATTTGTCGCAACTATATTCTAAGATCAGTTCAGGACCAGCCACTTTTTTGAAACTATCAATTAGATCCACCTCTTTGTAAATCTTTTGATCTCCTTCACTCTTCAATAAAGTTTCCTCCAACGGAACTGATATATTGTCCAACAACTCTTTCTTCAAGGAGCCATGCTTACAGTTGTCACAAATAACCTTTTCCGTGTACACAAACTTCAAATCTTCATTTAGTTTGAGACCAAATTCATTATCAAGGTTGTCCAAAAGATAGAGTAGAAACTCAAATGCATCCTGTTGTCTCTGCGTCTTGAACTCGGAATGATTTTGTCCTATAAGGTTTTTAAACACAAAAGGTTTGATGCCCAACTGATAGTCTTCCCCTTTGAGAGGACTAGGTATGGAATATCTACCACTGTACAACCCATCGTAAATCTTGAGCAATTGATTTGATAAATCCTCAGCAGGGTTTACGCCAGATTTAGCTTTCAATTGTTTGAAAAATTCTTGGTACAGATCCAAATCAAACAAGGATTGAAGGACAGAGTTCATGTAGCACGAATTGCCTAGATTCTTCAATCCTGTCAAACCCTTACCATAAACAGGTGGTAACTTATCACCATCAGCTCCATCCAACTTAAAGTCCCAATTCAAGTTCTGGTCAATGTTTAGCTCCACAAGTGATTTTTCTGTTTTTTTGGTTTTGTCTAAGTCGATGCCGTATTTTTTAAGAATTGCTGCTAAATTTGGCACTTTTACCTCATCATTACATTGGTAACAGTACGCATCATAGCTCTCAGAGTCTCCAGATAATGATCCTAGTTTTAATGCGACTGGATGTTGACTCAACTCATAATGTGCTAAAGCGTGGCTATTACCTTTCATGGTTGATCCATACTGTTGCCTTCCACATCCCAATGCACCACAATGTAAACAAATCCATAGATTCTCTTTCAAATCACACTGGCTACATTTGGTAAGGTCGGGGGATTCTTCAATACCAAATTGTTCGACATTTATCGAATGTGGGCATGGTACAATTTCCTGCTCCCACTGCTTTATCTCCTCATCGTCATTAGACGAGTTTGCGTTCAAAATTTCGTCAAAAAGGTTGTTGAAGGCAGAACTGAGTTCGAATCTGGGATAAAATTTGTCCTCTTTCACATTATACAAACTGACTTCGGTGTTGTAATAATCATCTTCACTGATATTCTTTATTTCCAATTTGCGAATTTTGGGATTTTTTTCCCCTTCATCGTCATACAACAACTTGTCAATTTCCTCCTTTGGTTTCAAAGTCTTGTTGATATTCAAGTATAGGTAGTCACCGGTTGCTTCATAGTTTTGAGCCGTATAGTTGTAGTCTTTATTCCTCGAGTAGGCACAGTACGTTTTCAAGTCAATGTCTAAACCCAATTCATTATTTTCTGCTGTATCGAATGTGTACATGCAATCATCTTTGTAGATCTTGGCACCAGCAGGAATATGTGGTGGAATATCAGTAGGCAACTCTAGGACCATTTTTTAGTATTGTTTGTTATGTAACTAGTGGCAATAAATATAAAAAGCTTGAGTGCGGTTTTTTTTTAGCCTCTTTTAAATTTTCTCGGTCGATAAGAATTGAGACTGCAAAACGCACTTAATACGAGTAGCTCTCTCACCAACAATGTGCCATCGGTTAGTTGAGAAGTTTCAAGAGAGATTACACCATCATAATGCACAGCAAACGGCGTTATCAATTGACCACAAGTTCAAGACTTGTGTGTACTTTACGAATTGGGCTGTGTATGATAAAAAACACTTTCCCTGTCATATACCATCTCAATATTACACCCACATATTTTACGCTTTTATCACTATAGATCCCGAAAGTGGTAATGTTAAGTTCTCCGACAAGTGGTGCGATTTGGAAATGCCAGAGGAGTCTTTAATACCAGGCGAGACTGTCCATGGGAGCTTGCAACAGTTGTACCAGATGAAGAAACTTTGCCGAAGCTTGAAGGTGATTATGTCCGTTGGTGGATGGGGAACAGATCACTTGTTTGATGCTATTGTTAGTGACAAGCAGAAGCTTCAGACTTTTGTACTGAGCTCGGTGGAGTTTGTCGAAGAATACGGGTTTGATGGAGTCGATATTGATTGGGAGTATCCAAAAAATTCTAGCCAAGCTCAAAGTTTTGTGGATTTGTTACGCTTGATGCGAGAGAGACTACCACCAAGGTATTCCTTGACGGTCGCTGCACCAGCTGGAAATGACAATATTAATCACTTGCATATACAAGAGATGGATCAATATTTGAGTTTTTGGAACTTGATGTGTTATGATTTCGCTGGTCATGGCTGGTCACAGACGACTGCATTTCATTCCAATCTATTTGGTAATAATGGCGATAATGATATGAATGTGTCGGATGTGGTTCAGACTTATCTTCTGAAAGGTGTTGCTCCATCAAAGCTAGTATTGGGATGTCCCATGTATGGAAGAGTGTTCACGGGTGCACAAGGTTGTAAAATAGGAGAGACATTCAGCAAACAGCGTACCAACTCGAGCGACATAATCAACTATAACGAATGCAGTTGCTTCCCAGACCAACGATATGACGCGAAAAAAGTGGCAGCGTACGCATACGATCCCAAGACCATGCAATTGGTGACCTATGACAACGACAAAAGCGCGAGGATTAAAGGTAGCTTTGCTAAGTCGAAAGGCTTGGGTGGAGGGATGTGGTGGGACTCATCAGGCGACAAGGTCTCAGCTCTGACACCCACTCCAGAATCTCTAATTGCAAATTTTGTCGACCAACTCGGCGGGTTGGCCCTGTTGGATCGGACAGAAAACTGTCTACTGTATCCAAAAAGTAAATACTTGAGTAATATGAAATCTTGAATTATTTTACTTGCATTGCCTCTAGTATAATCTATATAAACAGCAATTCTTAAAGGATTGAATCCATTCTTGCGAAAACACTTAAAACCGCAGCCACTAATTCTAATTGTAATTCACTGGCTGAAGACTCTGAAATCTCAGCGCTGACTTCTTGTCCTAAGTTTAGCCCTAGTCCTAATGGGCTTTGATGTGACAAATTGAAAGGGAACTCACTAAAGTCAGCCAAAAGTTCATCTGCTCTTGCAAAGGCTTGGTCTCTTTTGTCATAACTCAACGATAACAAAACATTTTCCAAAACATTGGCGGCATACGCTCCACAAACCAAAGATATGGACCTCAAATATCTGAGTGAGGTATCTTTAGGAAATTGGTCATTGGCAACTGTGTCGAGATCAACGTTCCTCAGTATGAGCAATGCCAATATTCTGTTTTTGATATATTCCTTTGATAATTTGTCGGCCACTGGATGTGTTGCCATATCAAACAAGAAAAAGTTCTTTCTCTCAGTCCTCAAGATACCCTTATCGACTAAACCTTTTGCTAACCTTTCTCTCACCTGCTTCAATTGATAGTTTATTTTCATCAAGTTCCATGTTTCTCCACTCAACAAATCAATCCAGTTTGTTACTGACAAGTTCGACTCGTCACTTTTCATTATCTTGAGGGCCTCATCCAACAAAACTTCACCGGTTGGCTCATCGTCAATGACTTCCACGAGTCTGTCACTTAGCTCGAATCTACGCCTGGCTGGGTCATTGACCAAAGTTATTCTATTTCTAAAAGCCAATTCCAACAATATGCATCCCCTTAAAGCATATGATATATTATCGTTCCAAAAGGACAAGTATCCTTCTTTATCCTTCAACCCCATCAAAAGGACTTCTTCCATTAACGTCAATAACGGGATTTTCACCTCCTTTGGATCCTTTATATCACGATCGTCATAGCCCACTTTGACATCGGAGTCACTCTGCACGGCACTTCTATCCCCGTCAAATGAGTTTGATCCTCTTGATTTCGAGGCGGCTTGTTTATTACCTCCTCTACGTCTTTGCAAACCAGAACTCGACATTTAATAATCAAGCTAAATTTTTCTGTTGAGATTAGATTTAGTCTGGGATTCTGTAAGTGATAGATGGACACCGGTAGCAGTTAGTTGTATCAATTGGTACTGTAATTAAATGCTAAATGTGTTGTTAAAGGGAGAATGATTTCAATTTGAGTAGCGTCCAGTGGTAAGGGTGTATCGCTCACTCGTTGTTTTAGGAAATCTGTCGACTTGTGAAAAAAAAAAAAAAGAAAAGAGAAAAAGAGAAAAAGAAAAAGAGAAAAAAAAAAAACAAAATAAAAAACAAAAAGGAAGTTTCGCAGGGTTACACTACAAGCATCATATGGGACGATTTAGCTTTTGCAGGATAGACTTTGGTATATTACTCTTATTGTAATCAGTCACTGGTTCATATTTGTATGGACATTGATGCTTATAGCGTTTTATAGGATAGTTCTTTCGGCTCTATACTTGACAGCAATTTAAAGCTTTGTAATTCGTATACAACTCTTTTTCTTATTAAATTCTTCACCACTTTGTTTTATTTGTTTTGTTTGTTTTGTTTCCCTTTGGCTTGGCTTAAGTGCGTTGCAAGACAATACTGACAAACCACAAAGAATTTGCAGCATATATAAGCCATTGATGGAAATTTGATACACCATACCAAGGTAACCATTTCACTGGGGGGTTCATAGTTTAATTCATACAGCATTGCATTCCATTCGCATACATTATTGATGGTCCAAAAGGATATACAGGGAGATAAATTTGACGTGTCAAGTCAAATGACGCCTCAGGAATCATCCCCCAGGATGTACTACAATCCAAACAATAGCGACGATGAAGAACCAAGCGCATCTACTCCAAGAAAGGAGGATTTCGTGTCATTTCCAACTTTAGCAGAACCGGAACTGCAAAACAATAAATCACTTTCAGGGATAATTACAAAGACGTTAAGAAAGGTAACTAACAATGCCACCAATTTAGTTCAGAACTATGCAGTGAACCTTGAATCACCAAAACAATATCTCGAGGGTGGTACTCAAGATACAAAATCGCAATCCACTACCACAACACAACAGCTGAAGGATCTACTTGGAGCGCCATTGGTCGCACATAATGTCAATGAAGCTGGCACAAGCTTTACTTCTAAAGTTGATGTTTCCCCTACGGAGAGAGAATCTAAAGATATTCCCATTAACGCAGAGTCTGATACGTTTAGTGCGAGGTCGGAAAGAAAAGGATCTGAATCCTCAAACCTTGCGGGCCAATCACCAAGACTGCGCATAGGCCGGAAACCTGTTGTTCCAGTCAACGACGAGGCACCGAAACAGATTACTGATCGACCAACCTTAGTCGAAGCTCAATCAAACCATACGTTGTCACAAGCGGCGAAAAAACACAATTCTCATAACCAGTTCATTGAAGCTCAACATGGAACCACAGGAGTTGCCAATGATGTACAGCAGCAAATATCGAAACCTAAACCAACCACATCGCTGAACCCATCCTTAAGTTTTTATAAAGTGCGTCAATTAATAGATGAGGAAAGGGCAGCACCTCGAGTAACGTCTGACAACAGGTCCCTACGACTTTCAACAATGCCTTTTCTTCATTCACAATCCTTGAGTCCCAGGGCAACAAGTTCTGTCGTTAGTATCAATGCATTGGCTACTGTTGAAACATTGGACACAGATCAACATCTCCAAAGTTCCATCCCTCAAGGTGATCGTAAAACCAGTGATAAGAAAGCAAAGGGAAAGTCTTTGGGCAAGAAGATATCAACTCTTTTCAACAACCTTCCGAATGATATTGAAGTATCCGATGATTCTGCATCAGATCTTGAATCTATTCAGGAAAGTGAACTGGCTGATCTGAGAGTAAAAGGAAATGGAATTGAGTACGGTTCCAATGCTATCCTACCCGGAGCGAATACTAACATAATCAATGGAAAGCCAGTTCCGTACGAGATAGGGGTATTGCATGGTGATTCAATCGCAAAATCATCCCCAATCAAAGCTGAAAACACCACAAAAACGACGCTCTCCACATATTCTGGGGATTCACCAACGGTATCGTCATTTCAAGCGATACAAAATAAAGACCATCATGCTTCTAGAAAGAGATCACAGAACTTCCCTTCAATAATGCTCGACAATGCCAAAACTATTATAAACCAAAATTTAGGAGCAGTTACATCGTCTGCATCCTCGATAGTGGGGAAACAAAAAAAGAAAAAACCCACTAAAATCTCACAGAATCCTTTGAAGAATGGTGGTATACCTAAGAAATACTGGATGGATGATGCATTTGTTGCCGATTGTTTGAATTGTTTTAAGCCATTTACAGCATTCAGAAGAAAACATCATTGTCGATTTTGTGGGCAAATATTCTGTTCGGACTGTACTTTATTTATCTCATACACACAGCATAGAGATCAACGAAACAATGTCGCTGATATAAAACGACCTTACCATGATAAGTTGAGAGTTTGTAAGCCATGCTACAGTGATGTCATAATCTACCTTAGTGATGATTCTTCTGAATCTGAAACAGAGGAGGAAGCTGATAAAACCGCCGAAGAGCTTAATCATCCCAAGTCTCGAAATGAAGATTTGCTAGTACCGAATCACCCCCTTTCTCGAGTTCGCTCACTTTCGACAACATCATATCGTGATAGCTTCAGCAATAATGACACTAGTCAAGGCTCAGTCATAACTGATCCGAAGGTTAGAGATAGTGCTTCCGTTAATTCTCAGTCACCGTCCCGCAAGCATAGTCAACATATATATCCTGACGAGTCCATAAAAACCAATCCAAAACAAGCACCTCGCATGGCCATCCCAACAACGCGTACCGGCGAATCCATTGAGATTCCATTGATGAGAAACTCCTTGAGCAATGCTCTGGTGGCTCGAGGACCAATAAACAAGTACGGCTCCAGTAGCAAGCTTGAAATTGTCGATCAGAGTAGTGCTCCAAATTCGTTGCATTTTAACCTACCTGGGCATCATCAACTAGCAATTTTTCATAATCATCAGACACCTAATTTTGGTCAAACCCCATATGACGTGTTGAATAGTAACAAGGCTTGGTTAAAGAACTCTGGAGGATTTCTCGGACTGGATGCAGATACCAGTCGTAACCTCGATTGTCAAAGCCCTGTCTACAACAACCTCGTGTCGAAAAAACCGTCATTGAAACTAAAGATAGCTCATTCATTTAGGCGTGATAAGGGTCATGGGTTTTTTGAACGTACAGATGACGATGATGCAGATGTCGAAGGTAGCAGCAGCAGTGAGAGTGATGATGAGATGCATCCCCTTAGAGGGTTCAGAAATGACGACAGCGAAGGGGAAGAAGACGAACGCGCCATGTCGATATATTCGGCACTCAATGATCACCACGTTTATGGATCAACTCCCTTGGGCCGAAATTCGGGTCATATGTTTGGGCCAGGCGCTGCTGCTTCTGCTGCTGCTGGCGCTACCGCTGTACCAACATTGGGGGAATTTCCTGGTATTAAAACGTTCTTCTCTGAAGTCCATAACAACTTCCCATATTCAGATATCATCAAGAAAAATAACATTGGCATTACTGATGCCACACGACCGGAAAATTTGAGATCGCGTGCTAGGGCAAACGCTTCAATTCAGCGTATGCGGTCAAGAAGACAAACCAGGGGTGGGCGTAACGTTCTGATATTGACGCAAAATAACATTCGCTTGCCCAGTTTGGGATCCACTGTCAACCGATCAAGCACAGCTGTTCAGCTTACTCCAATTTCTTCTCCTACATCTCCTTTGCCAGACGGATCCACTCGTTCTAATTTGACTACAGCTATATCGAACACTCCCGCTAATGAGTCATATTTAGAAACGCAAAGTGATGGTTATGATCAAACAGAAACAGAATTGTCTCCAATTGGTCACCAAGTTTCTAGCAGCACAGCGTTGGATCATGATTATGAGAACTCGGATTATTTCACATACAATAACCATAACGGCGCCAGAGGTAGTGCTGGAGATACCGAGTCGAATAATTACAGCGAAGAATACTTGAGACTTGATACGTTGTATGACGACACCTTGACTGATGTTTTGCGACAATCACTAATAGACTGTGGCATAAAAGACAATTTCGAGAGATGGATGTCTGTGCTTCCAAACGTATTGACAGAGGTAAACAAGCTCAAATTATCCGACACTTTGGACATAAGACAGTATGTCAAACTCAAGAAGGTTTTAGGTGGGAAAATAGAGCAAACAGAAATTATCGATGGACTATTTATCACGAAAGATGTTGATAGTAAGAAAATGCGGTCTGAAATAGATAAACCATTGATCGCGCTACTTATGTTTCCAGTCGAATATTTGAAAGATCGTGAGCAATTTATTAGCTTGCGTATTATCCATGCCCAACAATCGGTTTATATCACGAATTTGGTATCTAAGCTTATTTCTTTGTCGCCCGATGTTATTGTTGTTGGAGATACAGTATGTGGTTTAGCAATCAAACTTCTTGAAGAAGCAGGTATTACCGTCATATCCAATGTCAAGCCACAAGTGATTGAAAGGATTTCGCGATATACAAATGCAGATATTTTCCAGTCTGTGAATGATTTATTTTTCAAAAAGGGTAATTTGGGTGTATGTGAAAAGTTCGAGGTTAAGCGGTTCAAGTACGAGAACATTATCAAAAGCTTTGTCTTCTTTACTGGAGTTGACACGCTGTTGGGATTCACTATTTTATTGAGAGGAGGGAATGAAGGATTGTTAGATAATGTCAAGTATACCGCTGAGGTTCTTATTCATGGTTATCTTAGTGCGCGGTATGAAAAGAGTCTCTTGAGAAATTTGCTTTTGACTTGCACAAAGGTTTCCCTGGAACAGTCATTGGAAGGCATTGATAACAAAATTATGTCTCTAACGACAGAACACATGTGGTCTCACGTGGAGCTAGTGTTGGATAAACAGGAGGTGATTTCATACATTGAGTCTTTTGAGACACGGAAATTGAGCCTAACGCCGTCGGTGCAGTACAATTTACCGACAACGTTGGCCAAAGCTGTGGATTCCTACTATAAATACTTTCAAAGTTATAAACTTAATGAAATGATTCAATCGGTTACGAGTTTAGAGCAAATTGATCTGAGATGGAAGGATGAGTTAGGAATCAAACTCAGTGTTGAGACATTACCAGGTGAAGGCAAGGACTTTATCAGGGTCTTAAAATGTGCAAGTGAGACTCAATTAAAACTTTTACTCGACGAGTATCAGTCTCGAGCTCGTACTTGGTCAAATTGTTTAAAGTATCCGTCATATCAATTGTATCCAATTTTCCATCGCAATATTCATATTTTGCATTCAACTGTTTCCATCAAACACGCAACCCCTTGCGCAGGACCAGTCATTGTGGTGGTTGACTATTATACAGAAAATGATAAATGTTTGGGATTGTTTCTTGATCAAATCTTTTCCGATAGTTTCAAAACGTGTAATGAATGTGGAGAATTGTCGCTTGACCATTACAAGACATATGCCCATGGCAATGCCAAGATTGATTTAATCACTGAAAAGTACGACATTAGGTTTAACGGCGGTAACCATGAATCACAAGGTAAAAACCAAAGAGTGATGTGGAGTTATTGCAAGGAATGTAATTACGTGACCCCAATAATGGCAATGAGTGACGATACTTACTACTTATCAATTGGCAAATTTTTTGAATTAAACTTTTATGGTCGAAATGTCTATGGTGGATGCGAGCACGATTATTTCCAAAACTATGTCAAATGTTTTGGGTTTAACGATTTAGTGATCAAGTTAGAATATTCAAGGATTGACAATTACGAGATTGTCGTTCCAAAGAAGCAACTTGAGTTTATTTCGGACATCAATATAACGCTAAAAGTGGACTCTTTTAAATCCATCAAGTCCAAGGCGGAGGCTTTTTTTGAGTCAGTATTGAAACGCTTGCGTAGGGTCAAATTGGATACATTTGTCAAGGCTGAAGATGGAACCAAAAAAATCGCAGAGATGAAGGATAAGTTAGCTGAAGATGCAAATGCCATATATAACAAGTTGCAAAAGAAGTACGATGAAATCAGTGTCACCAGTTATCTCGAACTAAATTCAATATTTAAAGATTTGCAAGTGTTGGGTATATTGTGGGATATTGAATTCCAGGACTTTGAGAAGAAATACTTGCCCAATGAAAGTGAAGTTAATAAAATCACCCAGTTTCATTTGCGTAAGTTTCTCATGGACAAGTACAACGTGAATGATAATGACAAGAATGACTCAAATGATGCCGCTGGCTCGCCGGTAAATGAAAAGGGTAGCGGTAATGTCAATAATGAGGACGACAATGTACAATTGGCTGACACTTTGGGAGGTCCTGAAAGGGGAGATAACGCCAATCAGAATAGAGTTTTAGATACTGAGCAGGGACCAGTAGAGGGGGCTGCACGCAAAATTGAGAAACTATCAGAAGCACGGGATGATAATGCAGATGTAACCGCTGCCGCCAAGGCTAAGCCCAATACAAATGATGAGTCTCACGATGAAGATATGCGTCCTCCAATCGGGCCACTAAATTCGACTGATAAATTGCCTGTATTTACTCCTCGTAAGCCAAGGGCCGTTTCAAATGAACACCTAGAGCCAGACACATTAATTGAATCGAAAATGTTTCCCAAGCCTTCATTGTATGAGCCAAAGACAAACATATCAGAGAGAATCAGTAAATGGGAAGAAACTGCCGCTGAAAAAGCACTCCAACAAGCCATGCCATTAAGTCATCGAGGCTCAGACAGTTCTTTGAAATCCGTAAACAATGTGATCCCGTCGCAAAATAAGGTCATTCATTTAGCCAATTTTTTTGACAAGATGTATTATGATCAAATCTCATTGGAGTTTTCGAAACAACGAGAATTTGAATTGAAAAAGAGAAGCAAGATCAAGGCTCATCCTATATTGGACAGTAAGCCAATTGTTGAAATTTACAACAAAATTGAGGATGTGGTGGGAAGTTCAGAAAATGAGGAGAAAAGGAGTGCCAGCAATAACAACAATGTTGAGACAAAAACAGTGGAAATCAAGGATACTTCTGCTCCAATCGGCCAGCAACCAGAGCAAGTTCCTAAGCAGATTGATATACCTGAAAAGCAATCTTTGTTGAAGTCATTGACCAATTTTTGGGCTGATCGTTCAGCTACTTTATGGGATCCATTGGCATACCCATTGGATAATCATGAGCATACTTTTGCTGATAGTGATGTGATTGTGAGAGAAGATGAGCCAAGTTCATTAGTTGCCTTTTGTTTAAGCTCAAGTGATTACAAGCAAAAGCTTAAACATTCTTTTGAAAAGATTGATGGTGATGGTGATGGCAACGCTGGTGACAAGGTGAAACTGGGCAAGAAAGAGGAGACTCGTGGTGATAGCGGAGATGTATTGGTGTCTCAACATCAAGATGCACAGAACAAGTTGAGTTCGTTTGTGGATGAACGTCAAGCCAAGTATAAACAGCAACAGCAACAAGAAAGTCAACAACAACAACAGCAGCAACAACAACAGCAGCAGCAACAACAACAACAAGAACATCAACAGCAGACGCCGCAACAGCAGACACAAGAACCAGAAAGTGGCAATGACGAAACTGAAACTGATTATGACAATAAAAATGAATCTGGGTACAAGACTGATTTCAGCTTTGGATTAAACACCGATAACAAAAAGAAGAATGCCCAGTTTGCTAAAATTGAACGTAAATTCAAGCAAAAGACATCGCGCGATGGCGATGGTAAAATCAGCCAATTGGAAACAATATTAAGCAAGACTAGATCCAATCATTTAAAGTATCAATTTAGTGATGGCAGCACCAATTTATCGTGTAAAATCTTTTACAGTGAACAATTTGAGGCATTACGTCGAGGATGTGGTGTTGATAATTACTGTTTCATACAGTCTTTGAGCCGATGTGTTAAATGGCATTCAAGTGGAGGTAAAAGTGGATCGAGTTTCCTAAAGACGTTGGATAATCGATATATTGTTAAAGAGTTGAGCAAGACTGAATTGGAATCATTTGTTGCCATTGCGCCGTTTTACTTCAAATACATTAGTCAATCAATGTTTAACACTCTAACCACAGCCATTGCCAAAATATTTGGGTTTTATCAAGTTGAAATCAAAAACAGTTCCAATGGTAAGTTGTTCAAAATGGATTTCCTAATTATGGAGAACTTATTCTACAATCACAAAACAACGAGAATATTTGATTTAAAAGGATCAATGAGAAACCGTCATGTTCAACAAACGGGTAAAGAAAATGAAGTGTTGTTGGATGAAAATATGATTGAGTATATTTATGAATCACCAGTATTTGTTAAAGAGCAACTGAAGAAGTTGTTACGAGGATGTTTGTTTAATGACACTAGTTTCTTATCGGCTATGGATGTTATGGATTATAGTTTAGTGATTGGAATTGATGATGAGCTGAAGAAGTTGTATATAGGTATCATTGATTGGTTAAGAGCTTTTACTTGGGATAAGAAGGTGGAAAATTGGGTCAAGGGAAACAACTTGATTGGGGGTAATAAAAAGGGTAAAGATCCGACTGTTGTTACACCAAAACAATACCGAATTAGATTTAGAGAAGCAATGGAGCGATACATCTTGGAAGTGCCTGATATATGGTATGAGGGCACTAAATAGCTAGGTAAAATATACGAGTGTCCATTTGGCGTATAGGAATATGACTTTATGAATTTTTGGTTGCAAAAATGCATTGCAAAAGGATACGGAAAAAGGGAGTAAGACAAAGTCGTGTATATTTCTCAATAAATTGTATGAGAAAAAAAAGGGGGCAAATTGGAAAAGGTAGTGTGGGATTTACCACTTGGGTTAAAAATAAAAGTTACCACTTATTTCGCGCCGTATCAAACATATGTAACTGTATGCAGGTGTGTCTACAAAAGCCTTGTAGTAAATACACAAAGACAAATTGACGATTAAATATAGAAACTAGGTTTGGATTTCGAGGAACAATAAAACTAAGGCGACTTTCGAAATTGATCCTTTAGGAGATAACATTAGCCATTTAGGATAATAAAATTGCTTAAGATGTGATAAATTTTGACTGGATATTTATACATGAAATTAGCAATCAATTAGAAAGAGAATTAGGCAAATAAAGGAGAAGAAACGACAACGTGTGTACGTCCTCGACACTTGAAAATCCCACTCATTCTCCTGTTTGAGCAATCGGTGTGAGATATCGGGCTTACTAAGAAGAGCTCAAGATCTGAACACCCTAAATACCCTGGAGTATAACTGTCGAAGGGAGGCTGTTCCAGTACGAGGTGAGCTTTTCTATCTGTAAAAAAAAAGTAAAACCATAATAGGACGTTTCCTGCATGTAGTACTACACACAAAAGACTTCTTCCAGTTACTTATTGGAAGGGATAAAGTTATTTATATACTGATATTTCAATGTTTCAAATGATGAAAAAATGGGGTAAAGGGGAGGGGGGGGGGGAATAAACCTTGATGCTATTAGATATTTCAAGCATGTTGGCACTACTATTTCATTGTATTTATGTGTTAGGCTTTCTTTGCCTTTATCCTGTATGTTCTTTCTCTTAATTTACCATCTCATGCATTTAGTTCATACAAAGTCAAATTTGTGTGTTGTTTTTGTTTTGTTTTGTTTTATTGTCTCAGCCTTATGCCACACTACACAACGCGACAAATTTTTTATCTTTAGATCAACACACAAGACACACAGACATACACTTCTACAATTGAATTTTTTTAATTTCAAATTTATCTACAAATCTCTTGAATACTTTTTCTTCTTACTGTTATAGCCTTCTTTCTTACCTATTTGTGAGATCAAACATACGTATACACTGCTGTTGTTTCATTAGCTAATACTACTGCTGCTTCGCTTAGGACACGTTTTTTTGAAACAAATTTGTACAGCCTCCTTATCACCACTACCTCCCTTTCGTTACTGGGTCCATTTTTTTTCTGTTGTACAGCCACAGCCCCATATAAACACAGCGACACATACAGATATACATCAACAGGTACATCTCCACCTACTTCATCGACACAGCACCCTTTTCTCCTTCATATACAGTGTGACATACAACGTTCGTGAAAGATGGGTTTCAGATTAAGTTTCAATACTGGGTCACTAATATTGATCTTGGTATCACTCGTGTTTTTACTATTGGCTACTATAAGTTCACCAGTGGTTACCACTTTTAACCTAGGAAAAACAGCTAGTTATACTTATGGTGTTTTCGGATACTGTACTGATAGCAACAAAGATTGTTCGTCAGCTACTTACCCAATAACCCTTAGTTCAGTCGACGACAGTTCGTCTAATTGGACAATGAGTTCATCAACAAGGGATACTTTGGCTAAAATTTTTATTATCACTCCTATTGCTCTTGGATTTAATTTCATTTTGCTAGTTTTGGTTGTTGCTTCTCATTTTGGAAAGAGGGCTATTGTTCTCATCGCTCTTGGTGTTAACATTATATCACTTATTTTAACGATTATTAGCTGCATTGTAACCATATTGGCATTTTATCCAAATTTGGCTTGGACCGGATGGATATTGATTGGTTCAGCTGCTGCTAATCTTATTTCCCTCATTTTGCTCATCCTTACCTTGACAACTTTGAGAAATGACGATGACAATTCCGAACAAGAAGAAGATGATGATAAACATGGATTTGGAACTTACAACAACTATAACAAGATTGATGATAAATTTAACCATATTCAGACATCAACTTTCAAGAGTCCAAATAGCGCCAGTTCGATTGATAATGATTACGATTATAAACCTTCATACAGTAACAACACTGCATCCTTTGGAACTCCTGCAAATCAAGGTAATAATGGGTCAAATACGCGCTACAATGGACATGCAGCTATTGCTGCTGCATCGGCTGCCTCGTTAGCCAATTCAAATGTTGGTGCCAATGCACAACCGGGAGCACCAGCACAAAGAACTGGCACCGGTACTGGATCATTTACTAGCAATTCATCCTCGACGTATCAAATGAATCCACAAACTGCTAATGATTTCACCCAGATCAATAACGCCAGCGGTGGCTCTTTAGTTGCTGGTGGCGGGTATAAGCCCCCTACAGGAGGAGCGCCATACCCAACCACGCCTGGAACTGCCAATAATAGCAGCAGCAATGCTGCTTTTTCAAGAAGTGTATTTGAGCACCATCCACAAGTGGATGGCCATAGACCTTTTACAGAGATGGATGATGATTTCGACGACGAAGAGGATTTAAATGCAGGTAGAACTAATGTTATTGTAACCACCAATGACTCTGACGATGATTCTGATTTCACTAGTGTTTCTCAACGTCCACCTAACCCTCAGTATAACAATCAATATGGCCCTGTTCCACAGCAACGTCAACAACACCCACAACAGCAGTACCAAAGTAATCAATATGCTAACCTGCAGCAATATCAACCACTAAGTCAGCAAATGGGTCTCCAATCAGCACCTCCACAGGGTCACTTGCACCCACTGTATCAACCTATCCCCAACCAATACGCACAACCACCGCCGCCACAACAACAGCAACAGCCTTACAGACCGATGAACTACGCTCCACCACAGCCCCAACCACAACAGCTGGGCTATTCCAGACCAACTATATCCGATAGCGTCTTGAGCAACAATCCTGATTTCAATTTTGCTAGAGGTGCGCCACAACAAAAGAGAAAAGTTGCTCCTGGATTTGTACCTGTTGCCGCTAGATATGGAAATAACAATAGAGGTGGCGCTACTGCTAATAATGCAAGTGCATTGATGGGAAGAAGCGGCGCTGGTTCTACTACTACTCAAGCTAAAAGTGGACCATACGGCGTGACTAGGTAAACTAAAGGTACCGAAGCGGAGAGAATTCAGCCACCCTCTTCTATATAAAGTGTTTCATTATATTCATCCAGATATGAAAGATTGCCTGCTATTTTTCAATTCTCGTCCTCTTTTTTTTTATAGTATTATTAAATGATTATGTTAGACCTTGAGTATTCCCTTCCTCCTCCCCTATTTTTGTATATTTCTCAGCGGTGCATTCAATTATTTAAAATATATAGCAAAAATAAGAGCTACGTGGTGCACGTCGCACCCTATTCACCGCCAACATCAATTGGTTTGGATCCTTCAATTGGTGCGTCAGGATGGTTGACTTCATTAGGTGGCTTGGATGAATCACCACCACCGCTTCCTTCACTCCCTTCACCTACTTTTGCCGGCTCTTGCGGCTTTTCGATAATTTTTTCAGTACTGCGACTTCCACCACCAGGTCGCAACATAAGTATCATCAACAAGGCAAACACACACAACACCATAAAGAATATAACTTTACATTTGGTGGTTCTCTTTTGGTACGTTCTCGCTTTGATCAATTCTTTATCAGACGATTTCAAATCTTGTACCGTGTTGGTTAAATTGTAATCAATTCTATCCAACATTGTTCCTTGATCGATAACGATACTCTCCATTTCTTTGAACATTGTTGAGATTTCCAATATACCCATTGCTAGTTTGTTGATCTCTTGTTCTCGTTGTTCCAAATATTGATCATTGGTGTTTTGTTGAAGCTGGACTTGTTGCTGTTGTTGCTGCTGTTGATGATTAGATTGGACAATTTCTTTACTTAGCTCTTCGATATTATCACCATTCAATTGTTCATGTTTCACTCCACGTTGATTACGCTTTTCATTAATCAATAGATCGAATTCATCATCATCATCACGCAAAAAATTCATATAATTATTTTGTAAATTTCGGAAAACTAGCAAATGTTGTTGAATCTTGTTGGCATAATTCTTCTTCATGTTTGTCAAAATATTCAAATCCTGTAATGAATAATTCAATTTCAATCGCTCATGATTATTAGTCAAATATTCAAACTTTTTAATACCAATATAACATTTCTCAAAATTTTGTAAAATTTGATAACTATGCTCTTCAATTTGGGATTCAACTTGTTTCTTCTGCGATTTGCTTATAATTATAAGTTGCTTGTACAATGAATTCAATTCTTGCGTTTGTTTATCAATTACGGCTAACGCTATATCTAGATCTTTAGCAATTTCAAATTGTGTTGGGATTATGGGCTTCATTTCGATATCTTCTTCGTTTTTATGAACCCCCACTGAGTGAGATGCAAGGCCTGATCTCCGTTGTTGATGTTTCCGTGATGAAAGGATAAGATTATCTTGTTCGGAGTCGAATAAACTGTCACTATCATTATTATCATCATTAAATACGTCGTCTCGAAACGGTTTTTTATGCGAAGTATCTCGTGAGATTGTTCGACGATAAGATAAGAATAACTTTGTTCTATCTCTAAACATGGTGTCTTTTTAATACACAGCAACTATGTTTTGGTGGCAGGGTGTCCTCTCTTGTGGTTCTTGAATTGCAAGGATATTCACCGTAATTGTGTTTGGGCAGTGTTATTCAATTAATCTTCCTGCACCAAGCTTTATTTATTCAATAGAACCCTTTCTGATAATGCGATAATACGTCCAAATTCCTTGATCTGTGACCTAGTATTTACCTCTGATGGATTGCTTAGGTTGTAATGTTTGGTTAATTTTGGTACCCCGAAGTTTTGCTCCTCAAATGAAAGAGCGCTACCTATGTCGGCAAAACTGAACTTTGCCCACATGTAGCTTCAAACCACCAGGACTTTCAGTTATGGCCAGCACTTTAGTTGACCAATCTGTTGTAATACACTAATGAGAAGTCTATAGCTGCTTAACCTGAGAGCCGGTGCTTCATACGACAGATTTCTTATCTCAAAAAAAAAGAGGGGGTTGAACAGAACTACATATTCACAGTATTAATAGTCGTTACGAATCACCTTCCGCATTCACCTTGTTTTAATAGCACCGCGATTCAAGCTTGTTGGCTTCGGTTTCAAGCAGTGTTGCTCATATAGGCCCGTACTGTACCTTTAGCCCCCTTCTTTTCAAAGGGTGGCGTGCTGTCGCCATTGGTTAATTAGTCATATATGACAGCAAACGCAAAGAATAAACTTACATGAGATTTTAGCTACCTTTGCTATTAATACTGTGGTAGCTATGTGTGCCAAAAGTTTAGTTCCCTGCCAAGTCTTCAACAGTAAAAGAGCCGAAAGTCATTTTCCTCAACTATTTCCTATACCGCCCTGTAAGCGCATATTTTTTTGACATCGGGTTTTCCATACGCGCCTCCAACATCAGCCTATTATTCGTGAATTGTGCTTAAAATCTTTCACGAAAAATATGATAACCAACCAATGGTTAAGAAGTGTTGTCAATGAAAACAGAGTACATCAAGATAAACAAGCCTGAAGCCAAAGATGTTGCATTACCGGTGGTAATGACAATTGCTGGAAGTGATAACTCGGGAGGAGCAGGAGTTGAAGCCGATTTGAAAACTTTTAGTGCATTTGGAGTTTACGGAACCACCTGTATCGCAGCATTGACTGCTCAAAATACAAAAGGTGTCGTATCGTTCGAAAAGACTTCGCAAAAGCTAATCGCTCAAATCTTGAAGGCCAATTTGGAAGACTTCTATGGGTATGAGAATGCACCTTTGAAAGTGGTGAAGACGGGGATGTTAACTAAAGAAGCAATTGAGGAGATATCGAAAGCCAATATCAAAGTGAAGTTTGTTATTGACCCAGTAATGGTGAGTACATCTGGTAGTAAGTTGTTCGATTTGGATGGAATCAAGTACTGCGTTGACCATTTAATGAAAGATTCGTATTTAATCACTCCAAACTTGCCCGAGGCTAAAGCATTATACGGATTGTTTAACAATCCTGTTGAAATCACTACTATGGAAGAGTTCAAAAAATTTGTTGTTGAACTACTGGGCTATCTCAAATGCAAAAACTTGTTGGTGAAAGGGGGCCATATCCCCTTTGATAAGGAAGGTAATGTATCCCAAAATGGTTCCCACGTCATGGACATTTTGTACGAGACGGAGTCCCAATCGTTGACTATTTTCAATTCAGTGTACATCAGCTCTGAAAATACACACGGTACAGGATGCACTTTAGCTTCTGCAATTGCAGCAAATGTAGCCAAGGACAGAAATCTCACCGATGCAATTGCCATTGCCATTGATTTTATTCACAGTGGCATGTTGCAAATGACGAAATTGGGCCACGGAAATGGTCCATTAAACCATAATGTAATCCCACGTACTCAGATTACTCGCTTTATTGCGGAAGATGGCAACGATGTTTTGAAATTTGATGAAAATAGTGATTTTGTTGACTACTTGACGTCACACCCAAAAGTAAAACAAACTTGGCAGAGGTACACCGAGCATCCATTTGTTAAGAAGTTAGCTGAGAATACTCTTCCATTTGAGAGTTTCTTTTACTACTTGAAACAGGACTACCATTATCTCATCATATACGCCAGAATGCATGGTCTATTGGCGTCAAAGGCCCCTACTTACCAACAGACACATGCAGCTGCAACAATAATCGGAGAAGTTATTACCGAAATTGAGCATCACAAGAAAAGGCTCAAGGCATACAATGTCGATTATGAAAGAGATATTCAAGACTTGAAGCCGGGCAAAGCTTGTGTAGAATACTGTGACTACTTGCTTGCCGCGGGGGAAACAGAGGACTACTTGGGAATCAAAGTAGCTTTGGCTCCTTGTTTACATGGGTATGCTGAAGCAGGTGCTTATGGCAAAAAATTGAGAGAGGAAAATCCGGTTGAGATACCTGATGTTTACAAAGATTGGTTGAATGTATATGCTTCGGACTGGTACTCAAAAGCTGACAAAGAAGGAAGATTGGCTCTTAATGCACTAGTTGCGGATGGCATAACTAAATCACGTGCAGAAGAGTTGGTAGATATATTCAATACAGTATCCCAATTGGAGATTAACTTTTGGAATGAAGTATTGGATATTTAGATTTAATAATAGAGTGCGAAATTTAAATAGGAGTTTCTAAATGTGCTACAGATGTAAACTTGGCGCAAAGAAATTGAACAAAAATAAATTTCGGTAGAAAAGAAAAAAAAAAGATATTATTGTTGAACGTCTACTTCCCCCTCCCCCCACCACCAGTATGTTCAATTCATTTCAGAACACAGGGTATAACCCAAACTATGGTGTGCCCAATCAGCAACAACAACAACAACCGCTATACACCCAGCCAACTGGTTTTGCACAACCTAACTTGTATTCATCAAACCTTTCTTCAGGCTATGTTCAAACGCAACCAACAGGATTCCAAGGTGCCCCCACTGTTGTGGAAAACCACGATTTGAAAATCCCCCCCTTCCGTTTGTCTTTTATTACTGTTGATGACCAAAAGAAGTTTGAGCATCTTTTCAGAACTGCGGTTCCTCGAGGAGAACAGGCAATTACTGGAGATACGGCAAGTAACGTATTGATGAGATCCGGTTTGAGTCCAATTACTTTGGCAGAAATCTGGACTTTATCTGACCTTGATAAAACTGGCTCCTTGCTCTTTCCGGAATTTGCATTGAGCTTGCATTTATGCAATATGGCCAAACGTGGTGAACCTCTCCCTGGAGTTCTCCCAGAGAAGTGGCTTAATGAAGTAAAGAGCTTTGTGGATGCAATCAACTTTAGCATTCCTGATGATCCAAACAATATCCTAGCTAACACTCCGTTTGCAAAGAAAGATGACTGGATGTACAATCAGCCATCGGTCAATGCCCAAGCTACCGGATTCAACCAGCCACCAACTACATTTGCCCCTCAAACTACTGGATTTGGTCAACCTGTTAATGCTTTTGCTCCGCAAGCCACTGGGTTCAACCAGCAGTCTCAACCTACGACCTTTAACCAACAACCACAGAACAATTGGATTGCTCCTCAAATTACTGGATACCATCAACAACAACAACCACCGACATCTTTCGGAGGTGGTGGTGGAACCCCAGGCGAGTTTATTCCATTAAAGCCACAACAAACGGCTGGTTTAATTCAAAAGACTGGACCTCTCCAAGCACAGGGCACGGGCTTTAACCAACTTCCTCAGCAACGTACGGGAGGTTTCATTCCTCAAACCACTGGGTTCCAACAACAGAACCAAACTGGGGGTGTTAATCAATTCAACCAACAACCAACTGGAGGACTCAACACTATTGGTTTACAACCGCAAAGAACTGGTCCATTGCAAGCCAATAGAACTGGACCAGTTCCAATGCAGTCTCAGCCAACAGGTCTTCTTCAGCAACAACCCACTGGTGCTTTACAAGCACAACCAACGGGATTCTTGCAACAACAACCAACTGGATACTTGCAAGCACAACCAACTGGAAGACCTGGTGAATGGGGATTTGTCAATATGCCCACAGGCGGATACTCTGGTTTAAACACCATGCACAAGGTGTTCCAACCCAACAATACCAAAACCTTTGAGGATTTGAACACTGCTATGAACAATAATGCCTCCAGCAATGTAACCTGGGCCATCACTAAACAAGAGAAGCAAATTTATGACAACTTATTTCAAGCTTGGGATACAAGCAGAAGGGGATATGTGGACTCCAACGTTGCTTTAAATGTGTTTACCAAATCGGGTTTAAGTCGACAAGACTTGGAATCAATTTGGACTTTAGCCGATACCGATGATTCTGGTAAGCTCAACAAGAATCAATTTGCTGTGGCAATGCATTTGATTTATAGAAGATTGAATGGGTTAGAAATTCCACTTAGATTGCCTCCTGAGTTAATTCCTCCAGCTGAAAGAACATTTAAAGATACCATGGACAATTTGAAAAACTCGTTGAAGAACAATGGGGGTATCAAATCGGCCAAGAATTATAAGCCTCAGACAAAAGTTGATGGCGCAAGATTCAAGAATGATGATGACAATGTTGGTTACGTTTCACGTTCTCGTCATAGAAGTAGAGATGAAGGATCCTTCAATAGCTCTCCCGATAAAAAGAACACTGAGGTCACCATTGAACAGTTGAAGAAATCCATCAAAGAAAAGAAGATCTTGTTGGATGCTTTGGATGCTGAAGATGAAGAAAAGCAGCGTAATGACACTACTGAAATTGACAAATTAAAGAGTCAAATTTTCGATTTACAAACCAAGATTACAAAGGAAGCGCCAAATAATAACAAGAATTTATTGCTTCAGAAATTGAATCACTTGGCAAGGGATAACATTCCAAAGTTGATTTCAAATATTAATAAATTGAACCAAGACATTTCGGAAAAGAGCATTGAATTGGTTAAACTTAAATTGAAGCAAGAAGATCCTTCATGGGATGAGAAGAATGTTGACCTCAACAACATCGCTACTGATAAAGGCAAGTTTGATTTAAAGCAAAAGATGGCTTTACTCACTGGTAAAGGCGGTAGTGGTGGAGGAGCAGACTTCAAGTTCAAGGAGGCTGTTCAAAAATCGAAAGCTGATTTGAAGGGGCAATCGGATATGGTTAAAGATATAGAGTCAGGCATAAAGAGCATGGAGGATGAATGTGCATCAAAGTTAAAGACTTCGGCTAAGATTGAAGTTGGATATGAGAAGTGGGAAAAGGGTTTCGGAATTAGCCAAACGGTTGCTTCATTTGTTAGAGAATTGCAGAGATACCAAGACAATGCAAATGCGAAGGCTCAACCTCAGTCTTTTCCGCAAGCAAAGAAATTCGATGCTTCATCACAGGATCAATCGGCCAGCCCTATTCAAAAGGATGCAGTTGAGTTTCCAGCTACTCAACCAACCGCCAGTTACTCCACGCCTGAAGAAAGAGCTGCATATATCAAAGAACAAGCTGAGAAGAGAATGGCTGCTAGACTTGAGAAGCTTGGAATCAGCCGTAGTAAGAATCATGGGAGGAGATCAACTGAAAAATCCGAATCAGCCTCAGCCCAACCTAAACAGAAGCCAGAAGCTAAAGATGTTCCTCGTGAGACTAATGAGACCATTCATGTGCCACAGCTTACCAAACAAAAGACTGGTGCTGTAGGTGGGTCACAAGTTGATGCTTCCTCTCTGTCTTCCACCCCTTCTAAGTCCACTGAACCAGTGGTGGTGGAAAAGCCAAGAGACAATTTCACCACACCATCTCAGCCAGATATCCCAAAGGAGTCAGTTGTTCCGCAACCAGCTACTAATGAAGTAGCCCAAATTGGCAATTTTAAGACAGAGCCACCAACTGAGCCGAATAAATCTGAAGAAATATTTGTTTCACACTCAGTCAATAGAGAAGTAAGCCAGGCATACAACCAGAATACAGCATCACAAGCACAAGTTCAAAACACCAATGAGACACTGAGAAAATCTGGAGAGCCTGTTTCGCATGAGAATAATTCAGCCATCTCCCAACCTAACTCTGCTATATCTCAACAACCAGAGCTTGAAACTGCTAAGGAGGAAAGCACCAACAACAAGCCACCTTCAGATGACAAGCTCAAGGAAAATGTACAGAACCAAAGCACTGCTATTTCATCCAAACCTCCCAGACATGATAATAACCCATTCTTTAAGAAGCAATTCCAACCAGTTAATAATGAAAAGGCTAGTATGCAAAGAAATGTCCAAAGAGGTATTCTGAATGATAACAGCTGGAGTGATTCTGATGACGAAGAATCAGACGATGATGCACCAAATAGAGCAGGTGCTGCACACTTGGCCAACTTGTTGTTTGGAAACATGGCACCAGCTGCTACTCACTCAGTAGAGCCAGCAACAACTGGAAACCTGGGAAGTAAAGTCGACAGTGTGTCTCAACAACAAGGTGAAGCTGAGTTTGCAGTGACTATACATCAGGAGAATAAAGCCGACAGCGTGTCTCAACTACAAAACGAACCCGAACCAGAAACTACATTACCAGTACCAGGTACGGACAATTTAGAGGCTTCATCAACCAGTTCTAGTGGTGCCGGATGGAATACTGCTGAATCGTCACCATCAAATCAACCAGTATCTGGTGTTCGTGAAACTGAATCAATTCCGCCCATTCCTTCGTCAAACTCTATTCCGCCACCGCCACCGCCACCAGCCGACTCAATTCCGCCCGTGGCTTCCTCAGATTCTATTCCAGAACCATCTTCGAACGGTTTCTCATCTACTGTTCCACCCACCCCAAATGAGTCAGCCCCTCCAGTTCCATCCAGTAACTCAATTCCCCCACCACCACCACCACCACCAGTTCCCTCAAGTGATTCGATCCCACCACCACCACCAGTTCCACCTTTTGGAGCCCCTGCTCCTCCTCCACCACCTGCACCAGCACCTCCAGCTCCACCTGCAAGCGACAGTGGTGCACCATCCACGCCTAATGTTGGGGCCTTGTTGAATCAAATTACTGGTGGTACATCTTTGAAAAGGGTTCAAACTAAAGAATCAACAGGTGCCACTGTTGGAAGAGTTTTATAGATGTATGTTTTCAGAAGTTGAAACTAAGATTTTTACGTATCCTAGCATTACCTGTAGCGCTATTGGGGCCAAGTCTTCTCCGTGAGCGAGTATTTCCAACGGGCAAGAGGATATATTGTTAACCTAAAATAAGACCCAAATTCCGGCAATTGAGTTTCAAAACTAAACTCTTTGCCTTCTTCATGTAAAAAATTCTAGACTTTGGAAGCTGCTCTATACGAGATGTTCCATGGACAAGCTCTTGTTGCTTTGTAACTTTAATATTTCTTAATGTAGTGTTATACTTTAGTCGGCTAATCCTGACAAATTTAGTCAATTGGCTCATTATTACACTTGGGGGGATCTCTTCAAATGAAAGACTTTGTTTCATCCACGTGAAAAAAGGGTTCTAGAACACAACTGTATTTTAATGCAGAGGAAAATTATAAATGGTAAACATTGTAGATTTCGCATTGTTTAAATTTAGATTCCGTAAATAAAATGAGGATCGACAGAGATCCTCCTCAGCCACCAAATACGGCCACAATATAAAAACGTCCTCGGGTTCTTCATCAGGATTCCATTTATATTCAATGTTACAAATTTCCAACCATTAAGCCTCCCGTTTTTAAAAACATGAATAATAATAACGCAATAGTTCTCAAAAGAATGATCAGGAAACCATTGGTTAACTTGCTAATGGTGGGGTTAATCGCACTTCTGTTTTTCCAATTATTCCTCATCCTTAGAGGAAACAATCCTGCCAGAATTATCAAAAATGAAGTAATCATTCCAAAGGACTTGTTCGAAAATGAAAAGGATTTGAGCACCTTTGTAAAACTGAACGAGGATTATTTAAGGTACCATCTCCTGGGGTCAACCGAATTCAACCAAGCTATTGACATTAATCCAGGAAAAGAGGTCCGCCAGCTAAAGTATAAAAAGTATGACTTCACTGCATTCAACTTGGCTGAAAATATAGATTTGGATCTAGAACAATGCAAACGGTTGGGGTTGAATTCGCTGGTAAAGATAAGCAAGGCAACAAACATGAGGACTTCCTTGCACGAAGTAGTACAAAATATCCTCAATGACATAGAATCGGGAGAGAATGATTATTTAGCCGGACTAAGGAAAATTATCCTTCCCGAATTGAGGCTTCAGTTGGATCTTGATGTGGTGGAAAAGTTTTGGTTCCGTTTGGCGGGGAGTTCGATATGGTTAAAAGATTATGGAGTTCATTATATGGTGTCTCGAATAATGTATAGTCCTAAGGGCACGAGGAACTCTCCCATACTTTCATTGGCGTATGCACAATTATATGACGAGAACTGGAATGAGTTGGTGGGCACTAGACTACTACTTCCGAAGGCCCGCAACTCTCCTACTGGTGAGCAGTACATATTAAACTTCCCGCATATCGTTCCCATTCCCTTCTGGCAAGATCCCAAGATAAACGAAGACCAGTATTATGGACCCGAAGATCCAAGATTGATCTTGGTCAAAAATGAGGGAGGATACGATGAACCATTGATTTTGTTCAATTCGTATAATTGCAAGATGGACACCTATGATGACGATGAGGATGAGAAGTTGGTTACATCACAGAGGTGCTACCGCGCCATGTCTCTTTGCTGGCCATGGCAATTTGATAGCGAACGGAAATACAGTAAAACTGCTGAGCTCAAACTTGAAAATTATAGATTGAGAACGCAGAAAAATTGGACGCCATTTACAAGCTACCTTGATCGTCAGGTTGATGGGTACGACTCGCATATTTATTTCGTTTTTAGGTGGGCCAATTTAGATATTTTGAAATGTGATTTACAAGGCGCATGTTCTTATGACTATAGATTTAATATCCTGTTGTCGCCTAAAAACCAGGTTGGTCCATTTAGGGGAGGAACTCAATTGATGAATTTGAATGAATTGGTCACTGTCAAAGAGGACAGAGAAGTATGGGCGGGATTTGCTAGAGCACATATAGATGACTGTGGGTGTGGAAGTTCGATGTATCGGCCAAACTTGGTGGTAATAGTTAAGGAAAGAAAGGACTCTAAAAACTATTACAAGGTGACTCACATATCGTCCTCGTTATCATTTAATATGTATGTTCCAGGGTGGGATTTATTGTACCCCGAAAATTCATGCCTCAGATCTAGTGTTCTTATCCCAAACGGTATCTCACAGTGGATCGCCGATAAGGATTCATCTGGAACAATAGTTGATGATTATTTGACTTTGACCTTGTCAGTAAGTGATTACACTGTGCATAGAGTGAATGTCAAGGGACTTTTAAAAGAGTTGATAAATTGGGGTGTGCTAAATTACGATGTAACTGCGGATCCACACCATGCTAATGACAATCTAGTGTGTGCTTTGCAATCGTCGTTTCAATTCTGTGCAAGATACGGTCTTGAACACCATTTAAAGAAACCAAAAAATTTCGAAAAGGATGCAGATGGAATGATGGTTGATCCTGAAAAAGTAGAGTACTTTAACTATGCACAAAGATATGACCTTCGAGGGGTGCCATAGCTGGACAAACTCTACTTTTGTTTCTATATTTATTGAGCATTGTATAAATAAAACACATTCAGACCTTTTTTTTTTTCAACGTTTAGCTCTCTTGTTCCTTTTTAGACTGTTTGTTTTTCAATTCGTTATAGTATTGTAACAAATGCTGTTCGCTTTTCAAAGTCTCTTCCCTAAAGAGGACCCTAATGTCTGGTACATTTGTCTTTTCTATGTCATTACCATCAACTCCTCCTTTCATGTAGTTTTTACCCAACCAATGCTTTTTGATAGTCGCTTCCCATCCACTTTGCAAACATGAATTTCTTGCCAATTCACACATGTCAACTCCAGATAGCTTGTAGATTTGTGCAGCAACAGAATATTCTTCAATCAATGGTTCCTTCGTATATGAGAATTGAAGCGGATCATCTGTAGATAAAGACACGTTCATTCCTTTTTTGAAAAAGTTGTAAAATGGATTCTTATCATACGTAAGGAATAATGCATTGTTGGACAATGGAGACATGGCAAGACCAATTTGATCAAGGTAATACAAATATTGAATGAATGGGAGTTTTCTCAATAGGATACCATGCGAGATCCCGTAAGAAGTCAAGAAGGCGCTAATCAAATGGTCGGGGTCACCAGCTTCACCACAATGTGGCCTCAAAACAAACGTGTTGAACTTGTTTCTCAATCTCAAGTGATTCAAACTGGCAATGTTCGAATATAAATAGTAAATGTAGTATGAGTAAGGAGGGTTTGAAGTATGGTTCCATTCCATAGCAGAGGGGTATTTGTGTGGCGGCAAAGGTTTGTCTGCCTTTGATTCATCATCGACAGAATCAAACCCAACCACTCTTTGCAAAAATACGTGTAATTTAGGATGCGATTTGGGGTTTCTTGAAACTTCAAACAATGGCTCAAATAAATTCTTGACGATATCTAAGAAGGAGGTAACATTTCCATTCTTTTTGTAGATATCGTACAATCTAGGCACTTGAATGAGCCATCTGACATTGTGACTAAACAATTTATTGTCAATTACCCACGAGGCTACCTTGTCCCATTCATGGATAGATCTACCGTATATCGAAATTCTAAGCTCATTCATTTGATACTTCGAGCTCTCCAAATCCTTCATCACCTGCTTGGTTAGTTCTGCCAAATACCTACCGTCGATGAAGTTGTCAGTTTTCAAAAAAATCTCCCTCAATCTCGATTCTCCAATAGGGTTATATTTCAAGTTGAACTTGTCAAATCTATGGAACGTGTCGGTATGTGCATGCATATCCAAAGTGTCAATCGATAAATCGTATCCCGACAACTTCAACGACTGGAACACTTCAGCTAAGGTTAAAATTTTGCCATCACGGAATATGACTGGTTCGTCTGGCTCGGTCTTGAGCTTATATTTAATGAAACGGAGCAAGTGCTTTTGATTCATGCATGCCGAATGATGAATATGCGTATCGACTTTTCTTACGTTATAAAAATCACGATGTGGGTTTGCTTTCGACTGCTTTGTTTCTTCAAACTCATTCAACAAGTAATACATATTCCATTTAGCCTCGAGATACTGCAACCTTTTGAAAGAAAATGATTTTGTTGGCCCATCGGAAGAAATTTTACCCATAAAGCCTAGGTCACGATAATATTCATGCAAATTCGGTACTTGAACAAGTCTCTCGTTCTTTAAACTGTCAAATACTTCATACACACCTTCGTCATTTAAAACAAAGTAGACATCAGAACCACTCAAGTCAGGTATGTTGCATTTGCTAAATTCAAACTCTTCGTCCTCGTTTGGTGTTGCAACCACTTGGTTGAATTTGTTCTTCGATTTATAAGTCGGTTTAGGGGGTGCTGGGTAGATTTTCCAATCTGGTTGGTTTTTAGGGTTCAACAACTCTGGTATTTGCAATGAGAGCTTCAAATATTTGTGACGAAGATCCAAACATTCCTTCACATCCAGGTAAAACTCGACAATTTCATCGGAGGGAATCTCTTCAGGTAATGCATTTGTTCCAAATATGTAATCATTATTAGATGCTATATTTGGCGCTTGCGATGGTGGTGGATGATGTAAACTATGGGGCATATCAATAACAGATGATCTTCTTCTAAGGTTTGCTCCACCCGGCGAGGACGGATTTGATCCCTGATGCCCATGCAAGGCTTCAAATGTCTTGACTTTCAAATCGTGATCCTTCATGAACCTATCCTGTGATGAGGAGTAGTGTGCTGACTTTATAGATTTCGACAAATCCTCGTCATCACTTTCCGCGTCATAGTTGTGCGAGTAATCACTGCCGTCCGCTTCCTCTTCTTCTGGAAGTGAACTGCACAGAAGGTCCTTCATTTGCTGGTTTAAATTAGATTGGCTTCCCATTGAGTTAGTTTGTTGCTTCGGAGTAGTTCTTGTCGATCTGATAAAGCAGAAAAAAAAATATAAAAATAAAAATAAAATATAAAATGGTTGCTGAAGCACAGACGTCCGAGAGAATCTTTTCCTGAAGAATCCTACTATCAATTCCTACAATCACACACATTTGAGTAAAAACTTCTAAATAAATTAAAAACTATACGTTGTGTATATATCGAAGAGGTATTTATAGAAATGAAAGAAACGAAAATGAATAGAATGAACCCTCAAAAGGAGTGGTCCCCTCTCTCTCCTGCAATGCATGCTCATTATAAAACGAACGCTGACAAACCAATTGCAGCAAAAGCAACACTAACCAAATTCAATGATGCAGGAGACCCAGCATTAGCAGCATCGACAGTAGCAACTGACGAAGCGTTAGCACTAATTGTAGATTGTGAAACAGAACTGATTAAGCTTGAAGTTGCGTCATCTCTAGCCAAAAGATTCTCAGTCATTTCTCTCTTTGAAAGTCCCACGAGCGACCCAAGCTCACTAAGGACTTGACGGACATCTCTGAGAAGAGCAGCCCTCAAATCATCATCGTTAAGTGCTCTTTGAAGGAGATCTGGAAGGATTCCTGAGTTTTGAAGAGCAGTAATCAATGGATTCAGGGTGTCAATTTCAAAAGTTGCTGGGGTAATACTGGCCAAGATGTCTCTGATAATCAATACAACAGACCCTTCAAATTGACTGTTGGTAAGCAAATAACTGATGGTTTCATTAATCAAGTTAGATTGGGCAATTGCTGAGAAAATAGTAGTTAACAAGTCTTCAACACCGCTCCTCTTGGCCAATTCAATGGCCAATTCAACTTCAGCAAAGTCTTCAGCTCTCTTTTGCTTAGCAACAAATTCCAAGACTTCGTCAACAGCATCTCTTTTCTTGGAAGAGCCACCAATAGCAGAAGCTACAGCGGCAAGGGAGCCATAGTTAACAGATGTTTGACCTTGTCCAATTTGTGAAGTTGGAACTGATTGGAAGGCAGGACCAGTAACAGTAGCCAAGTTAATAGAAGATGCTTGACCTTGAGTAGTTCTGCTGGTTGATCTGGTAAGGGAAACAGAGTTAGCACCACCATTAGCAGCAGCAGAAATCAATTGGTTGATTGAGTTAACATCAACACTGCTATAGCTTGAACCTTGAGTGTTTGCTGCTGTAGCACTTCCAGAACCGCCACTATTTCCGCCAAGTGGGTTGGAAACAACCAAAGTTGGCTGAGCTTGACCTCCAGTGTTGCTACCTCCATTTGTGTTTGTTGAAAAGGTAATAGTTGCACTTCCACCGTTCAAGAATTGACTAATGAGGGCACCAAAGTCAATTCCGCTGATAGTATCTTGGATAACCCTAAAGACAAGAGGCAAAGTGTTTTCATTTTCAACCAAGTCAGCAATAATTGTGTATAACAATCCTGAATCCTTCAATGCAACAAATACTGGCTCTGGATCGAGACCACTGTTGATAATACTAACCACAGCTTCATAAGCAAGGTGTCTTGTTTCGTTATTTGAAACAACAAAGCCAATAAGAATAGGGACCAAGTTTGTACGACCAAGGAAGTTCAAAATGTTTTCCAAGTATTGAATGTTGTTGTTTTCAGTTAACAACCCATTAACCCATTCAGCAATTCCGTCAAAATCAATGTCATCAAGGATAGCAGAAATATTGATACTTGAAACAAGATTACCAACAATGTCGGAGATATCTCTCTGCTCCAATTGGTATGCTTGCATGAGACTGTCTCCCATCTCTCTAGTCTCAAGTTTAACTGTCAATTCTTCAGAAGCAGGTGAAATGTATTGTGCCGTCGCAACGGAAGCGATTGACAAGGTCGATGCCAAAATGGTAGAAAACTTCATCTTTGATACCCAGTCTTGTAGCGAATGTGAAATTAATGAAGCTGCAATTCTTTAAAGGAAACAAAAACTAGGGAAAGAAATTTGACCTAAGAAGTTCAAATTGAGACAAGGGCGGGCCCCAAAAGGTATTTATATGAAAACAGTCACATGTGCAGTGTATTTTCGTCTGACAATTTTGTCTCATGTGGCTTAAACAATAGTTGACTCGTAGGCTTTACTCAAGGTGGTAATATCCCTCTCTTTATTTCATATGATTGTGGATGCAAAAAGCATAAAGTAAGATGAAAAATAATTTTATTTCCCAGTTGAGAAAAGAAGTTGAATTTAAGCAATTGTGCATAAATATTATAATCTTACACAAAATTAATCGCATGTATAAAATGTAATAAACCTCTTTTCCTAATTGGGTAATGTTCACATTTTAATAACAAAATGAGAGATTGTTTTACTTTGTTGGTGAAGCTTTTGCAAACTAATATAAACAAAATACAATACCCCAATTTTACGGTCAATCGCTATCCCTCTTTATCCGCACTAGCAATCATTACAGCTGATGAGTTACAATAAGCAGTCATTGTGTGGGTGTTTTTTTAATTGACATCTATCTCCGTTCGTTTATAAACTGGTTTGTTAATTGTGTCAAGTGCTTAAAACCGAGCGTAACTGCAGTCTTTTAGTGAACAAAAGGGTCGATTAATCTTACAAAATAGGAAATGCAAATTTTTTGTGCTTTTTTTTTATTACTTCGAGTCAGAATCTCTCGGAAGTGAAATCTAGAATCAAGGAGCAACAATCTGTCCGAGAGATTTCACTGAAATGAAATAAAAAAAGCTTCAATTGTGTTTGCAACAATCAAAACAGAGAACAAAAGGTGTTAAATTGCAAGATGAAACGTACCATTGTTTGTATAAATTACTCTACACATTGCCCATGTGTGCATGTGTGTGTGTGTGTGTGTGTGTGTGTCGTGCTTTTCTTTTATGATTGCTCCTTCAAAGACGTACAAGGATAAGCGGATTAGTATCATCACTCGTAGGGTGAGCTTATTATGTGAATGGGTACCTTGAAATGTTGAGTGTTTCCAACAGCATCGGATCGTAGAAATGTATTAGACTTGAAAACAAGGTCACTTACACCGACATCTTCTTCGGATAACTTGGCAAGATTTAATTGGAAATTTAACCAATATGTTAAATCCATAAACGACTTGCTCTGGAACTGGGGCGTCAAGAATTTGGGTATGTTGATAAACTGGTCAACTGTACTCTTGGCACCTTTCTGATTATTCAAGATTGTTGCCAAGGTATTGATCTTTATATTTCCCGAAACTTCGTACTTGTTGACGATATTCTTTCCTTCGTCCTTCAAGTGATATGTTTCATGAGCCTCCAAGTACGCAATCAATCCGATAATTTGCGACTCCTTATCATTTAAATTCATTTCAATTTTAAAGTGAATGTCCTCGCCGATATGGTAGTATGGCTTGGATATAGAAATCTTACACACCTCGTCTTCGTTGACTTTCAACTGGTACAGCGTTTTCAAATTTGATGGAAGCTGAGCTGTGTACAAACTCTCATCCGAAATGTGTGTCAGTGCATTTTTTACACTACTCCTCCTTCTCTCAGTTGTTGAGACCTTTGGCATATTGTATACATCTGAGTCAATCAAGTCTGAAAGATCCTTTAAAAAATCAGCTTTTGCCGAGGAATTACTCACTGTGAGCAGGTTCGCAGTCTCATCATCTAGACCCTTTATGGTCCAAGTCTTGTCCAACCCCAATGCCTCTTCAAAATAATACCTCTGTAACACCTTATTAGATACATATCTGTGTGGAACAATGTTGAGTGGGAAGTAAATTGATTTTGCTGGTTCAACAATACTGTTTTCATGCAAACTCATAACAAGTGAGTATCTGATACTGACCCATCCCTGGTCACAGGCTGGACCGGTCAGTCTGGTGTTGTAACTAGGTGGTAACTTCTCATTAACAGGAACACTGAATTTAAACGATTTGGAGGAGTTTTTTGGAATTGTCAAATCGGAGAATAAAAGCGATTGCGGTGTTGTATATATTGGCAAAATGGAATCAGTCATATCTTGCTGCGGAAGCACAGATTTAGTTTTGGGATACGAATCAAATACATTGATTAAATCATGTAGTAATGTTGGATTCACATTGAAAGGCTTTGAGTTGTTCTCGTGGACGAGCAAATCATTGACCCCACCCAAGTAGCCGCCAATGGCCAATTTTGATTCAAGTTGTTGTTTGACAAAGGGAGTATTCTCAACGACAATGTGTGGATCTTTTCCTTTCTCTTCTTCGTCTTCCTTATGCCAGTACTGGTTCAAGTATTCCACATTGTTCCACCACTGTTCATGTCGATTCATGTCTAATGAGGTGGTGTCAATTGGAATCCTATAGTTTAAAACAACGTATCCAAACAACTGTACATGTCCCAAGAATAAGGTAATCAGCTCGTCCTCAGTCAGCGTAACCAACTCTGTCAGTTCCTCGGGGTTTCCCGACAGTCTAAAGAATTTCGGTAGCCATCCTGATTCTTCTTCGTCTGCCTTGGACTTGGCGGTGGTCAATTCAGTTGTATTGACAGTTAGGTCCTTCTTTGAAGTGTTTTCAAATGTCATCTCACAAACCTGATAGCCATTGTCATCTATCTCTAAGTAGCTTAATGAAACTAACAAAGCTCCATGCAACTGTTTCTTGTAAGTCCTATCATTACTCAGATTGGTTTGTTTTTTCAGAGACATGTTTCGACTTCGTTGTAGATCAAGGTGTGTCCCATTTTGTCAACAAAATCGCCGACTTCTGCGCGCGTTTATAGAGGGCAACATTTGTTTTGCACAAAGATCACGTCGTGTAAAGTCATTGTTATATATAAGCTCATTGGAGAAAACTATAATCTACCACCTATATATCAAAAGAAAGAACAAATGGAAGAACAGCCTCTAGGTTTGTTGCTCTTGAGCAAATTGTTGCTGCTGTTGTCTATTTAACTCGTCCAATTTCTCAGTGTTTCCATCCGCATCAGCAACTTGTTGTTGTTGGTAATCGAGTCCACTGCCTCCAACTCCAATACTTTGATGGAAATCTAAAATCTCTCTATACATCATTACCCTCCAATTGTCAACTGGCAAGTCGGCATCATTGAAACTCCAATCGAATTTGGTTTCACATACTGGCTCATCAGTTGGATCATGGTATGGCTCCATGTATGGATGGGTCAAAGCTTCTGCTGCGCTGATCCTCTTCTTAGGGTCAAACACCAACATCTTGGATAACAAGTCAATAGCTTCTGGTTCAACATGGGTGCAAGAAGCAAATCTTTCACTGAATGGAATAGGATCTCTATGAGGCAATGATTGGACAAACCTCAATGTATTTTCTGAACAAATGGTATCAATGACATCAGGTGGAGGGCTTCCTAATAACTCCGTTATGATGGAGAACTGATGTACATGGTCCTTACCCGGGAACAAGGGCTTTCCCTCGATCATCTCGGACAATATACACCCAACGGACCAAATATCCACCTCGGTATCGTACTTTTGCCAAGTCAACATAATTTCTGGTGCACGGTAGTACCTTGTCGAGACATAACCAGTCATCTGCGGGTCTTGAATTCTAGCCAAACCGAAATCGCAAATTTTCAAATCACAATTTTCATTGATCAAAATATTCGAAGGTTTCAAATCACGATGGATCACTCCTGCAGAGTGTATATATTTCATGCCTCTCAATATCTGATACGTAAAATATTGTATAAACTGTTTCTCCAAAGGTCTTGACGTCAATAAGCGGTGTAAATCTGTACCTTGTAACTCATTGACAAAATAAATATCCTCCAATGGCGAAATAAATATATCGTCCAAGGTGATCAAGTTTTCATGTCTCAAGTGTTTCAACAACTTCAACTCTCTATAAGTTCTTTTGGCTAAAACCGAAGTTGAAAAGGGTTTCATGATTTTTTTAACGGCAACATTTTGACCAGTCAATTTGTCAACGGCAGAACAAACCAAACCAAAAGCACCCATACCAACAGGGTTCAAGTCGGTATATCTGTTTGTGATTTCAAACACGGTACCGAAAATTTGAGTTCTCGTGAACTCTCCATCCGACGACATAATAAGTATGTTTATTTATCTGTTGTTTAGAAGGTACTATGTAAGATTCTTCTCTGTAGATAAAAGATAATGATGTTGTCCTGGCAAGCTCTCTTTTTTCGATTCGATATGAGCAAGAACTCTAAAGCGATAGTTTAATGATGATTGATATAAAACACAGACTTTGCTTACTCTATAGAAAGAATGTGCCTAAACAAAAGTGAACCGTTATGGTTTTATTTTTTTCTGTTACTTCTTCTTTCAAAATATATGCGTTGGTGGCTTTCAATTTTTTTTCTTCCTTTTTTTTTTATTTTCCTGTTTTAGTGTTTCCCATTTTCTTGGTGAAAGCTTTGAAAAGAAGGCAAAAGAGGGTTTTAGATGGAGGGATAGTAGCTATGCAAAGCACTTGATTAGTCAATTGTACGGCTCTCACTAAAAGTATAGACGTGCAGGCTACTCCACCACTCAACTTGAAGCTTCGTTTCATCTTTGGTGGAAATCTCGACAAGCTTTTGTGTAATTTTATAGTTGCTATATGCCAAAGTTTGCAACTTTTGGCATTTGTAGGAATATTAAAGTTTTCTAATGCATTTTGGGGTAGTAAGTCAGCAAATTTTGGGTATTCCTTTAATGGCAAGAATTTGAATTTGATTTTTGGGCCGAATTGTGGATCAGTTGAATTTTTCATTTAAAACTAATTTGCATGAAATTTAAGCAGAAACTTCAAGAACATCAAACGAAAGGCCTCCAGCCTTTTACTAACATCAATTGAATTAGCTAAATGCACTTCTTCAGTGATATGTCTTAAATGTTCGGCAGAAAAGCTACACTTCAAACAATGTAATAGCATTATCCACTGCATTGGTAGCGTTTGTTTTTTGTAATTGTGGCGCAATTCAGTGCAAAGTTGCTTCAACGAAAGTTTACATCATGTCAAACCAGAAATAGCATAAGCTGGATGTCGACAGTAAGAGTGCCGTTCTGATTTTCATGAGAGAGAGGAAGAGAGGGTCGGAGACGCAAGTGGGTAAGCGGTATTCCGTTAGTGTGTTATGTCATAGAAGCATTTTCTAAGAAAAGAAATGCGCGCTGTGGGCAATAATTCTTTCGTTTTTGTTTGGTGTCACTTGAAATTTCCCTCATCCATCAGCCAGGCTTCGTTTTTACCCACAAGTAGAACATCGACCAGTTTCAAACATGCCATCTATAGACAATGGAAGTAGCGGTGCATCTAATGTCTCGTCAGCTATCAATTTGGTCAAGACGATAATCGGTGCTGGATTGTTATCTATGCCATTGGCATACGCCACAGATGGAACTATATTTGGAACTTTTATTATTATCGTTGCAGCGGTGACTTCGGGCTTTGGATTGTTTATACAAGCTTACGTATCACGATACACAGTTACTGGCCAAGCTAATTTCTTTGGTTTATGCTCGATTACGTATCCACAGTTGTCGGTTATCTTTGATATAGCTATTGCTATACAATGTTTTGGTTGTGCCATTTCATATTTAGTCCTTATTGGTGATTTGATGCCTACTATTATAACCAACTTGCCTTATATCGAAGAGAAACACTATAGAACGTTTTGGTTATTGGTTTCAGCTGTCTTTACTGTACCTTTATCGTTTGCCAAGAAACTAGATGCGTTGAGGTACACGTCAATTTTGGCTTTAATTGCCATTCTTTACATCTCGTTGCTTGTAGTTAGCCATTTTTTCATCAACGATATTCCTCGTTCAGGTATCATTGAGTATTTCCCATCCAGCATCACGGGCGTGTTTAGCACGTTTTCGATTATCGTGTTTGCTTTCAGTGGTCAACAGAATATGTTTTCAATCATCAATGAAGCAAGAGACAAGTCATTGACCAACTTGACTCGCTTGATCAATTTTGCTATTCTCCTTTCAAGCGTGTTGTTTATCGTGGTTGGGCTCACGGGCTACTTAACTTTTGGATCCAGCGTCAATGGAAATATCATTTTAGGGTATCCTAATGGAGCAGCAACGTGGTTGGGAAGGTTCTGCATTGTTTTCATGGTCCTTTTCTCATTTCCTTTAATGTTTTATCCTGCAAGAATCTCCTTCAACAATATCTATTATTCAGCTAGAAAGGGCTTGGAGGAAAAAACAGAAGAGGCAAACGAGTCGACCCTGTTGCTCCAAGGAAGCACCGGTGGAGATTCAGAAGGACAAACAAACTTGCATGCTGTTCCGTTCAGTCACAAAACGTTTGTCATTCTCACCGTTGTACTTTTAATTACCGCATACACACTTGCCATCACGTTGAAATCGTTTGCCTTTGTTTTGGCCATAGTTGGAGCCACTGGGTCCACCTCAATTTCGTTCATCTTGCCAGGATTGTTTGGTTATAAACTCATTGGATCAGAACTGGACGATCCAAGTACTTTAGAGAGGATTTTTAAGCACTTGTCACTCGGATTGACTATTTGGGGAGTGCTTGTCATGATTGTTTGTTTATATAGCAGTTTAGCATTGTGAGACCCTTATAGAATAGATATTTGGGAATTATCTTTACATGCCCTTGTAACATAGATGAACAGTAACTCTTTGATTGATAATCTTTTGTGTGATGCATTTAGTTCACTGAAAATAAAAAATAATTATATCTCCATCAATATCTTTGGCCACCAATATAATACATCAAAAGATGTCCTGCGAAGACGAGCATCATGGACATGGCGGCCATGGCAATCAAAATCACAATCACAATCACAATCATAATCACGACCACGACCACAGCCATATAGCACCTATCCCTACATCGTCGTCCCAATCACTCAATTCCAAGATTGACACGTTTAAAGTATCAGCATTAAACATGGCTAATCCACCTGATGATCTAGCAAAACTATTCAAGTCTCCAGAAAAGAAGTATGAAATCCACCCGACAATCAAATCAGACTGCGATGAGCAACTTATTATCAATGTCCCTTTCTTGAATGGAAGTGTCAAATTGTACTCCTTAATACTCCGCACCAATGGTAACTCATACTGTCCAAAGACGATCAAACTATTTAAAAATGATAAAATGATTGACTTTGACAACATAGAACTGAAGAAACCAGTGCAAACAGTCACCCACCCCCAGGTTGGCATCGCTGATGACGTCGATGAATCTGAGAACACTGTGGAATCAGACGGTGATTTTGTGGAACATTTTCTTCAAAGGCACAAGTTCACTGGCGTGCAGCAGTTGACTATTTTTATTTCCGATATATACGATGAAAGTGAAGACCAATGCCGTATCCATTCAATTGAATTGAGAGGAGAGTTTACAGAGTTGAATAAGGACCCCGTGATTACCATCTATGAACTGGCTGCCAATCCTGCAGATCATAAAAACTTGACAGCTGTGGAGCACCAGAATAACATCCAATTCGGTAGTTAAGGGGGCGTGGGAGTAGTACACGTTAGAAGAGAATAAATAGGAGAAAATACAATGATGTTTATTTGATGAAAGTTGAGTAGTATGCAATGGACGTCTGTGAACCATAAAGTAAAGTAAACTTCCCTTCCCCCCTCGGTTGAGATTCAACCAATGCATTTTTGCTTTTGCTTTTGTATGTTGTTTTTTTCATTCCAATTTTATCCGGGGCACTCTCGATTCATTTTCCAACCACACTTTTTTTCACTTCTTAAATTTTTAATTTTTTACCCAAATAAATTATTAGTTTTTTTTTCTTTCGTCTTTTCCCTTTTACTTTCCCTTTTCCTTTTCCTTTTCTTCAATTCCCTTCATTTTCCTTTATTCTACAAGAATATACTCTTGAAAAAGGACAACCATTTCAATTGATAGCCCAAAAAGAAAAAATGCCAAAATTAGTTTTAATTAGACACGGTCAATCCGACTGGAACGAAAAGAACTTGTTCACCGGTTGGGTTGATGTTAAATTGTCAGAGACTGGTAGAAAGGAAGCCAAGAGAGCCGGTGAATTGATTAGGGAAGCTGGTATTAAAGGTGACGTTTTGCACACTTCTCTTTTATCCAGAGCCATTCAAACCGCTGACATTGCTTTGGAAGAAGCTGACCAATTGTGGCTTCCAGTCAAGAGATCATGGAGATTGAATGAAAGACACTATGGTGACTTGCAAGGTAAAGACAAGGCCGAAACCTTGGAACAATACGGTAAGGAGAAGTTCCAAACTTGGAGAAGATCTTTCGATGTCCCACCACCACCAATCTCAGCTGACAACAAGTACTCACAAGTTGGAGAGAGAAGATATGGTGATCTCGATTCATCTGTCGTCCCACACACTGAATCATTGAAATTGGTGATTGACAGATTGATTCCATACTGGCAAGACGAAATTGCCGCCGATTTGTTGGAAGGTAAAGTTGTCATTATTGCTGCCCACGGTAACTCATTGAGGGCTTTAGTTAAGCACTTGGACCACATTTCTGATGAAGAAATTGCTGGATTGAATATCCCAACCGGTATTCCATTGGTTTACGAATTGGATGAAAAATTGAAACCAACTAAACCAGCTTACTACTTGGACCCAGAAGCTGCTGCTGCTGGTGCCGCTGCAGTTGCTGCCCAAGGTCAAAAAAAGTAAATAAGCGTATAGAAAAGAGATAATAATACATTCTTCTTCTACTAGTTAGTATTTCGATTGCATTGTAGAGAATGTTTGACAAAGCGAAAAAAAAAAAAAACAGAAAGAAAGAAGAAAAAACAGTAAATGCATACAAAAACTTTAGTCCCTTCTCTAACATAAAAAATCATTAAAGAGAATATTTAACAGTGACGACCTCAGCCTAATCGCGACATATATTCCTCAATTGTGATAAATCTAACTGTAAGGTCATCATGTTCGGAAATAATAACTCATCCGGCAACCAAGGCAGTGCTTTCGGCGGGAATGCTAATAACAACAATACATCACAGAATAGCACATTTGCTTTTGGATCAAACAATTCAAATGCAAATACAACTGCAACTGGAAACGCATTTGGCCAAAGTGCTAAACCTAGTGGTGGGTTTACTTTTGGAGCTGGGTCCAACAATCAACAACCACAATCATCATCGAGTCCTTTTGGCGCACCAAAGAGTACAGGATTCGGATCGGACTCTGGATCTGGGTCTGCTTTTGGAGCAAATGCTGATGCAAACAAGAGTCATGCAACACCTGGTCAGAGCTCAATCTTTGGCCAGCCTGGATCAAATACAACCACATCTAATAACAGCGGGTTCACATTTGGTAAGAAGGATGAATCTCCAGCAGCAGCAGCAGCAGCATCTACAGGGGGAGCTGGCTCTGTAACTTCTGGTGGAGGATTATTTGGTGCTAGCAAACCAGGACAACCATCGACATCCCAACAGGGTACAACTGGGTTTGGGTCTTTTGGAGCTCAAGGTCTGTCTGGACAAACAAGTACATTTGGAGGTGCGTTTGGGCAAAAGAAGGAGGATAATCAGGAAAAGAAACCAGCCTTTGGTTTTGGCAGCTCTACAACAGGACTGAGTGCATTTGGGTCCAATCAATCGGGAGCTGGTGCCAGTGGTGCCGGTACTGGAGGTGCATTCTCATTTGGTGAAAAGAAGGGAACACCACCCGCGTCAACCAATTTCTTCGGTGCAAAGAAAGATGAATCATCATCAACCGCTAATACTGGAACAGGTGGCTTCCAATTTCCTAGTCTGCAACAGCCCAAATCCAGTACTCCTTTTGGAAACGCTGGAAACACTGAACTGGCACAAAAGTCTCAGTCGCCAATGTCAGTAGGAGGCACCTCTTCAAACAATCCCAGTGGCGGAGCATTTGGATTTGGAGCCAAAAAAGACGAAACTTCTGAGAAACCAGCAAGTGGTGGTACATTCCTGTTTGGTAAGAAAGAGGATGAAAAAGACAAACCCGCACCAGGTTCATTGTTTGGTTCTAGTGGCGACAGCGTCAAACCAGCAGCCGGTGGCTTTTCATTTGGGGCCAAGAAAGCTGATGAACCTGCCAAAAAGGAAGGATCTCCTTTCTCACTAGGTGCTAAGAAGGATGAATCCGCACCTGCATCTGGGTCTTTATTTGGCGCTAAGTCAGATGATTCTGCAAACAAGCCGACTGGAGGGTTTTCCTTTGGTGCAAAGAAAGATGATGAGAAGGATAAACCAGCTAGCGGCTTTAGCTTTGGTGCAAAGAAGGATGACGACAAAGACAAACCAGCAGGAGGGTTCTCCTTTGGAGCTAAAAAGAATGACGAGAAAGACAAGCCAGCTAGCGGCTTTAGCTTTGGTGCAAAGAAGGATGACGACAAGGACAAACCAGCTAGCGGCTTTAGCTTTGGTGCAAAGAAGGATGACGACAAGGACAAACCAGCTAGCGGCTTTAGCTTTGGTGCAAAGAAAGATGATGAGAAGGACAAACCAGCTAGCGGCTTTAGCTTTGGTGCAAAGAAGGATGACGACAAAGACAAGCCAGCAGGAGGGTTCTCCTTTGGAGCTAAAAAGAATGACGAGAAAGACAAGCCAGCTAGCGGCTTTAGCTTTGGTGCAAAGAAGGATGACGACAAAGACAAGCCAGCAGGAGGGTTCTCCTTTGGTGCAAAGAAGGATGACGACAAAGACAAGCCAGCAGGAGGGTTCTCCTTTGGTGCAAAGAAGGATGAGAGTGGTGCTAAAAAGGAAGCGAGTACTGCTGATGTGGCTCCCCCTTCTTCTTCGACGACCTCATCTACTGTTGATTCCTCAGCCCAACCTAATTTGAAACCCACCAAGATCCAACCCATCCCAGTGTCAATAGACAATAAGAATTTGGATGATTTGATTTTAAAATGGTCAAAACAATTGGGATCAACTACGAAATTGTTTGATACATATACAGACAAGGTCAAATCATGGGATTTGAAACTAGTGGAAAGTGGGGATGCAATTACAAAGTTAAATCAAGAATCAATTGAAGTACAAGCATTGGAATCCAAAATCGATCAACAATTGTTATTTGTTGAGAATCAACAAGATGAGTTGGAAAAAGTTTTGGACAATTACGAACAGCAAACAGATATCTTGTTGAATAACATTCAACTTAATAACAACTCAGGCCTTGCTAGTTCTGTTAATGTTCCTGCAATCACTGGGGGTACCAATGCAAGCAACACGACTGCCAGCGGTGCAAGTGCATCAAGATCAGCCTTAACTACCCGCGATGACACACAACATCAATCTCAACAACAACAACAACAGCAGCAGCAGCAGCCTCTTGTGCCCACGAGCGTCAGCTTAACCGATAAATTACGTGAGAAGGCCTATTACAATGCCGAACTTTTGGATGAAAGATTAGATACATTGGGCGACAACTTGAATACATTAATAACAGAGGTCAATTCAATAAGCAATATTTTCAACAAGAGTTTGGCCAAGAACCTTATTTCGGCCCAAGGCAAAAGTGAGGGACAAAGTAAAGCTGGTGATAGGAAGGATCAAGCCAAAGGTAATCACAATAATGACAATTCAATCGAAGAAATAATCCAATTGTTGAATCTTCATTTAGAAAATTTGAAGTTTATTGAAAATGCCGAAGCCGTATTGAAGAAAAAGCTATCAAAAACTAAGTAAGATATTTGGATGAGTAAATAAGATTTATATAGGTCAGTTCTATGGCTTATTGTATAAATTTATTTTATTTGTTAGCGTAAAGTAATAGGTTTAATAAGCCTGACCCCTCAGTATGTTTGAGATACTCGGTTACTGGTTGAAGTAAATAAAATGTCAAAGTTTCCTTCGCCTGAATCAGCTCGTATCTAAGAGCCGAATAGATAAAACCATCTCAATGATAAAGAGATGTTATATGTTGTATGCATGTGATAAAAAAAAAAACTTAAAGAGGTACACCGCGGAGTTTACTGAGATTATGTGTTACTTCACTTTTGGTGGGGTAGAAGATCAAATTTCAACATTTCAAAGATTTTATCATTGCTCCGGTACAGGAGAGTGTAGCGATTGTCGTGACTTGTGATAGTATAATTCTATGTAGCTGGACACCAGATTTATCTACCTCCCATAGTTAACTAAAGTGTTGGGTAGTAGTCTGATTATAACAAGATCTAGGGGTTACAGGTAACTTAACTCTCTCTATAAGTTTAATTACTCAAAATGGTGAAAGAAAAAAAAAAAAAAAAAACAGATAGACAGAATAAGTTTGTGTAATATTTGTTGTTTTTACTCCACCAACAAATTTCAAATATTTCTTTCCTGTCTGTCTGTGATAATTTTATTATTTATTTTTGTTCTTTAAAAAAAAAACTATACGTTTAGTACAGTTGGCTTATATAACACCAATACCATCTGATCTTTTCATCGCTTGTCTACAAAACTCCACATCTTTTCTTTTCTTTTTAAGAAGAAAAAAAAAACCACTTCAATCACACGCCTGATTACTCCACTACTTGAGATATCCTTATAGCTTGAAAGAACTTAACTAACAGCCGTGCTGATCAGAGACTAACTTTCATCAGCCACAACTACGAAACCACACTAGACGCTTGATTGAGATACGGTCGAGACATCTTTTTTGCATAACTTTAGCTCAACGAAACTAATTACATTTTCCCCTTTTTTTAAAAAAAAATAATGGCACCCAGTCCACTTTGGTTACTCCTCGACTTGTTGAAGGACCCAGACACGTCCAACAAGATTGTCTTGCAAATGGCTTGGTCTCAAGTCAAAGCCATTGGTATTGGGAAAGTCTTGGCTGCTTTGTTAAGTGCATTGACCGTTGGTGTTTCGTCATTTATTAGAATCCCCCAAATTCGTAAATTGTTAATCAAATCAGAAGTTGATCGTGTTGGGGTTGCCAATGGTTTGTCATTACAGAGTTTGACAATCGACACCTTGAACAGTTTGGTTAATGTATCATTCAATTCCAATAACAACATACCATTTATCAATTATGGAGAGAGTTTGCTTTTGGGTATACAAAATGCCATTATTATCTTGTTGACCAAATATTACAGATTGAGAGGGAATGAAGAGATTGAAAATGTGGGCAAGTTGCCATTGTCTGAAGCAATTAAAGAATTGGCTGATGGTTTGGCTCAACCACTTTTGATTATGGCAGGTGCCGTTATCTTTTTCACCAAGATTGCTCCATCTAGCCTTGTCTCGGCCTTGCAAATCTTGAACATTCCAATTTCTATTATTTCAAAGATCCCACAAATCAGAGCTAATCACAGATTACAAACTGTTAGCCATTTGAGTGATGTTGTTTTGAGAGCCAATGTTCTCGGTTCAATCATTAGAGTGTACACCTCCTACACCGACTACTCAGCCAAGGCAAAGAGAAACAAAAACACTGTCGATGAAAAGATTTTGGTTGCGGGTTACACCACTTCATTGATTATGAATTCAATTTTGTTGGGACAATCTATTGTTTATGACAAGTTAGGTAAAGGAAAACACGTGAAGGACGAAGAAACCAAGAAGGACTAGAGTCTATACAGGTTTATAAGTTTTAGTCGGTGTATATTTTGACCTAGGTCTAATATTTAATCTCTTAGGGTAGCTATGACATACGATTGGGTTATGTAGACAAAGTAGTGAAGTATTCTCTGTTTTCTTGTTTGGTTATTTGGGTCGGCCTTGTTCAAAAAACGCACACGATAAACAAAACAGAAACCGAAAACGCAATCAAAGGAAAAAAAACTTGTTTGGTTGATTTTGCACCGCAGCTATCGAGAGGGCAGCATTTCCAACCCGTTTCACGTCTCTCATATAAAGCAAACATGGGTAACCAGCCTAGCACTCCGAAGATAACTGATCAGGATAGGGCAATATTTCAACTCAAGCAACAGCGTGACAAGATAAAGCAACATCAACGAAAATTAACCATCATATGTAATAAACAAACGGAGTTAGCTAAAAGGGCAATAACCAATAACCAGCCACAACGAGCTAAGTTTTATCTACGATGCAAGAAAAACCAAGAGACTACAATTAACAAGACCTTTGAACAATTGGATAACTTGGAGAAATTAATTGGTACTATTGAATTCAAATTGATTGAAAAGGATGTCATGTATGGATTACAGCAAGGGAATCAAGTATTGAAACAATTAAATAATGAGATGAATGTTGATAAGATTGATAAAATTATGGATGATTTGGAAGAAGAGAAGTTGAAGGAGGAGGAGATTAGCCAAACTTTGGGATTAGGTTCAGGATTGAGTCGCGTTGATGAAGATGCAATTGAACAGGAATTTGTTAAATTGGATCGAGAAATACATCCAAGTCAGGAGAGTAAAGTTAACAAGGAGGACAAAGTTGCTTTGCCCGATGCGCCGACTGATCGTATTATGCCTAATGTGCCGGACACTGTGAAGCAAGAAGAAGAGCAAAGAGACAAGGATGGAACTAAACTGCCGAGAACGAATGAACCAATCGCATTATAAATGCTACGATTTTATTACACGCATTATAGCTTCACATCTTTATACAGTTAATTCACAATTCATTAAATCACTACGCCAACCCTCTCCCTTTTCTCTTTCATGTCATCTCCTTCTTGCTATACCTGTAACCATTCCAAAAATTCAGGAGTAAAGTAACTGATAATCAACCTTGCACCTGCTCTTAAAAACCCTTGATGAGCCTCAAAAGCAATCCCCTTCAAATCAACGATTCCCTTTTCTGCAGCCGCATGCAACATGGCATATTCACCACTTACATGATAAGCACAAATGGGGTAATCACGACACACTCTGCTAGCATCGCTTATAATGTCCAAATAAAAAGTGGATGGCTTGACAATGACTGCATCGGCACCTTCATCCATATCTCTCAATAACGCTCTTCTTGCTAACCCTGACCCTGCTGGTGGTAATTGGTACGCTTTTCTATCACCATGACTGGGCGCACTTCCAGCAGCATCTCTAAATGGACCATACAAATTACCCAGGAATTTAGCTGCATATGACATAACAAGACATCTATTTGCCAATCCGGCTTTGATTAATCCTGCTTTAATATCTTTAATTCTACCGTCCATCATATCGGATGGTGCAACACAGTTGGCACCGGCTTTAGCATAGTTGACGGCAACGGCAGCAATACGTTTCACTGAAGGTTCCGGTTTCAAAGATCCATCATCGTTTAAGATCCCACAATGTCCGTGACTTGTATACTCACAAAGGCATACATCGCACATGATGAATAAATCAGGGAAATTTGATTTCAACAACTTAATACTAGAAATAACCGGTCCGTCTGGATCGTCAGCCGCGGTTCCCATTTCGTCTTTGACACCAGGTTTCAATGGAACTCCAAATAAGATCACTGCTCTCAAACCCTTTTTCACTAAAGAATCAACATAAGGAATTAATTTGTTGATTCCATAACGTTTAATGTTGGGCAACGAAGGGATATCGCTTTCTTCATCCGGGTCGTCAGTGACGAAAAGAGGGAAAATAAACATGTTTTTCATAAGTTGTCTCTCTTGTTGCCATTCGCGTGATAATGCGTGGTTGTATCCACCTTGTAGTACTGATTTAACTGAGTATTCAGTAGTTTCGAGAAATTCTGCCGTATGAACCATGTCGTGAGTTGTGTAGAAGTTGCCTAGTGTTTAGAAGGAGTGTGATATTTTGATGTTGGTATATCTAGGTAAGATGAATATTAAAGTGTCGCTTAAGTCAGTGAGGAAAGCTAGCGGCTGAAAAGAAAAAGAAAAAAAAGAATTCGACCAAATCTTTTGTCATCAGTTCTGTTTTTCTTCTTTTTCGCTTCTCCGCTATGTATTACCTAATTAGGGTAATTATACATCAAGTTGGGACTTGTTAATTCACAGTGAGATTATTTTTTAAAGTTAAGCAGTATGTGCAAAGTAAATAAGCGAAGAGGTACGATGCGTTTGATCTCTTTGATAAAGTACGAAATTTGGCGAACAAAAAAAGGAAGAAAAGTTGTTGTTGGGACAGCTAAAATTATGCGAAGGAGACGGCTTGTCCAACCTATTATTCAAACTTGGGAGTATTTTGAAAGGCTAGCTATCAAATAATATGGCCTAACTTGAAACATTCTGTTACTTTCAGATAAACCTTTGTGACTAAGGCTGGGATTTAACTGTCTGTGAATTTAAATTGGTAGCGAAATTGCGGAGGCTTGGGTTCACTTTTTAAGCCAAAGATTGTGTGCGCCATGAATTCTACTCGACCAAAATCAAACAAGGAGAAAGAACAATCTCGAGGTAAATACTGAAGCTTGTGTAGAGATGGGTTTAACAAAATACTGGTGAGAGTGTGTCTAATATACTAAGTAAGCTAGTGTGACACTTTCCTCAACATCATTACGTCACCAGGAAATCTATCGTCGGAGTTAACTATGCGCTGGCTAAAATGGGGAATTATTTGTGTAATATCGTATTTCTCGACAATACCCAGTTTGATCCGTAGGGAGCAAAAGAGAGGGAGGCATTATAAACAATTTGAAAGGTCTTTTTACAAGTCTTGACGGAACACACATCTCTACTTCTTCGTCTAACTTTCCTAGCTGTATATATAATTCCTCTTTTAATCCATAAACATTCTCGACGAATTGGAATTTTAGTTCGTTTTTTATTTTAATTTTCGCAGCTAGAAGTTACAAAAGCAGCAGAAAAAGAAATGACCCTTTGACCGCCTTAGAAGTCTAGAACAAAAGTTTTTTTTTGTGCACCCAATTAAACGCTAACCAACCAAACTTCAAGAAAACCCTTACTAGTTTGATATAGGACTAGTAGGGTGACTATCCACCTAGTTTATTATTGCTGAACTGCACGCAACTGTCTCTTCAAAACCGTATGATACCCGGATGAAAGTTTCCTTTTGACCAACAGGACATGACGTCTGAAAATTTGTTATAATCTGTCGTCTAATCTCGAAAAAGCTCAAGTCAGTAAGATTGACAATAAATATATGAGACTCTGTAGCTTTCTGTACAATGCCATGGTACTTGTTTGACGTGCCTTTGCTTTGCATCACAAACCGTTTCAGATTCCTTGTCAATGACATTTTGAGCATGTTATATTCCACATAACCTTCACCCTAGACTTTGTTTCTCTGCGTTTGCAATGCGCCTGTTGACTCTACGATTCGTGGTTTCCTGATTCAACATCGCTTCTACGAAAGTGAATAAACGAGGCCAGTTACAAAAGTTTCATTGCAACTGAAAAACTGCACTCACTAAATAAAAAGCTGTAAGGTATTTCGATATGTAGGCACTGCCATCAAAAGCGCATAATTTAATGTATTACGGAATAGAATTGGATGATCTCCACCTCTGTGAGTCAGTGTCTTCTTGATTTACACAATAATAAGTACAAATTGAGTAAGTCATTAAGTCAGAATTTCGCCTTGTCTGCGTTCCTTCCTTCTCTCCCTGTATCCTAAGAATAATACAATAGAGTTCATACATGATGCATACATATAACAAAGGTATTATTGTTTCTCTATAATACATGTATTAATATATACGATATTAAAGGGAAAAAAAATTTAATACACACACAATACAATACACAATACATTCCCTCAATCACTCACCCACAGAAAGCAAAAGGGAAAAATAAAAAATAAAAAAATAAAAAAAATTTAGAGAGCGAAAGAGAAGAAACTTTCATTACACACTCACATTCTCACATTCTCACACACAATACGATCAACATAATCAAACAACACACAATTCAACCATACAACCATACCACTTCATAAACACATTCCCTCACTACCTCTTTTCCACTACTTCCTCCTTCTCCCCAGTCATCTAGCCTATTAATCATCACATTTTAATTTTAATACAGATTTGGGCAATAATAGAATGGTAAATACTGTCAATTTACCTGCTCATTTAGTGCCACAAGCATTTATGAATCAACAGGAGGATCATAATCACAATGACTATAGTAATCAACCGAATTTAGAGCAGCAACAGGAGCAGACGCAACACTATCATCTGTCAAACCTGAGTCCTCAGAAGAGGCAAGAAGTACACCCGACTTCATTTCAACAACAACAATTACAACTGCAGCAACTACAACTGCATGCAAATAATTCACCACACAAACCCAGTCAGTATCCACTTCGTACGCCTGACTATCCTCAACACCAGCAGTACCCGAAACAACATGCACAACATTCACAGCCAGTGCCAGGTGCACATTATCAATCACCACAAAAATACCCACCTCAACAACAATATCAGCAATCTCAGCAGCCAGGTGCATATGGTGCTATGCATCAAATTCAAGGTCCTCCAAGCCCCTATTATGCTTCAGGGTCCTCGACAAGTCACCCAACACCCCAGCAGAACCCCAACTATCCTTCTCTAGAGCCTACGCGTCGTAATCAATCATGGACATCACAGACCGGATCAATCTCAACGTTGGACCCATACGGCAATGGACGACCAGCAAACTTTAGCTTAGCAGAAAACGATCAACCAGGTCTGCAACAGTCCCAACCATATTACACGAATCAAGGTATACCTGATCAAAACTACAATCAAAATTTCAACCAGAGGCCAACAAATGGTTCCTTTGACGCTTACAATCAACCTCAGTACGATGAAAATGCAGGCCAGGCTGCTCAATACGCAAAACCTTCCAACAGGTCAGCACTGTCATTGACATACGAAGCTAACCTGCAATTTCAAGGAAGTGGAAAGGGCAGTACGAATATTCCCTATCCTGTAGACAATCAAGTTCCGGGGCACCCATCACTTCACCCTACAATTCATGAGCAGTCAGAACAATACACACCTGCACCGAAGGCTCGAAAAGCGCCTACAACAAACTTGCCACCGATTCAAACCGACCAAATGTATAATAACTTTGATAACAGGAGGATTGTTTCCTCTCCTCACCATCAACAAGCACCTCGTCATGTAAATCAAGATGCACGAACAAAGTCCTTGTCGTCAAGTTCGTCGAGATTCAAAAGTGCGCAGCAACTACAACACAATCAGATGCATAATAATCATGACCAGTCGAATAATACTCGTCCTTTATCTGGTGAAAGGGGAGGCTCATCAACTTCGTTGCATCACACGTTTTCACTTTCGTCAAAGTCACGTTCGTTTAGTTCCATTAGTAAATTTTCGTCATCGTTATCAACAAAGAAGTTTAACTCATCCTCATCATTAGGTAAAGCGGACCGAACAAGCAACGCAAGCTCAAAGACTATGGTTCCTATGCACCCCAGTTCAAATGCAGTAGTTTATCCTGCAATCTTGTCGGAAGTTGCCAAAGTTTTTAAAGAGGCAATCATTTTAACAATCAATACAAAAGATGGATTAGAGTACCACGACACTTTTACTGGTAAAATGGCAGTTGATATATTGTGTCGAGTCATAAAAACAAACGATCGAAACTTGGCACTTTTGTTGGGAAGGACATTGGATGCGCAAAAGTTTTTCCATGATGTTACTTATAATCATCGTTTGCGTGATTCAGTTCATGAAGTATACGCATTTTCGCATATCTATAATGATGTTGACTTTTATAATGAGGATGGCTCGATCAGCAACGGGAACAATAGCAATGCGCCATCTAAGCAAGGATCGTTTAGTGACAGCCTTCAGTTACAACAAGCTATCCAAGAAAACTTTTTAGCACAGCAACTCCCACAACATGTTAACCAACCATCATCGGCAGAGTACATAAACTCTGGTCCTTTGGCTAGTAACAGATTAAGCGGTGGTAACAATGCCTCTGTAGCCGGAAAGAAGCTAACTGCAACACAACAAACTGGTGTCAATGGTGTTTTTACCATTTTGACTGATTGCTATTCTCCGACATGTAGTAGGAATCACCTTTGCTATAGTATAGCATGTCCCAGGAGATTGGAACAACAAGCTAGACTCAATATGAAACCACAGGGTGGATTGAAGCGAGCTGTGTCGAGACTCTCATTGCACGATCAGGAGGAAAATGAGACCTTATGGCACAAGACTGTACCGCAATCTGTGTTGGATAGATTAGACAAGCATGAAAAGACCAGACAGGAGTTGATTTATGAATTCATCTATACCGAACGTGATTATGTGAAGGATTTGGAGTTTATGACTGATTTTTACATTATGCCGTTGAGAAACCCGGCAAATAATATAATTCCAGAGCATCAAAGAGAAATCTTTATTCAAACCGTGTTTGGTGGTGTTGGCGATTTGCTAAGGTTGGGAAAGGGTTTTAGTGAAGCGTTGACAAAGAGACAACAACAGCAAAAGCCAGTTATTGAAACTATCGGCGATGTATTTCTAGACCATGTTGGCAATTTTGAACCATTTATTAGGTACTCGGGAAATAAGGTGTTTGCGACGTTTGAACATGAGCGTCAGCAACAGGTGAATATCAAATATGCGCGATTCCTCGATGCCATTGAAAAGAAGCCAGAGTCTAGAAGACAAGATTTGTCATCCTTTTTGATCAAAGGTGTCCAAAGGCCAGCAAGATACCAGTTATTGTTGGCGGGGATTTTGAAACATACCAAGCCGGAAAGCCCAGACTACAAGTATCTTGTAAAAGCAAAAGAAGAGATAGAGGCGCTTTTGGTCAAGATCAATGTACAAACTGGTGAGAGTACTGATCGTCATAAAATTATGGTTTTGCATAGACTCTTGGGTAAACAAACGTTGGAAAACAAGTTCAATTTCAAATTGTCGTACAATAACCGTATTTTGTACCAAGTTACGTTAAACAGGAAGCGGGACAATGAAAAGATTGATTTATATTTATTTGAGCACGCATTATTGTTGGTGAAGCACAAGATTCAAAATAAACGAGAGCAACATAAAGTGTTTGAGAAGCCGATCTTATTGCCACTATTGTTTGTCAATAGTGGATTTGAAGCACCAACTAATAGAACCTTGATGAATTTCAGGTACAATGTGTCGCTTGTTTCCGACACCAGTTTGAAAAACCAGAGGACTGAGAGTAGTAACTATATTGGAAACACTTTGTCTTCAAACAATGCCAACAAGTTCCAATTGAATTTCCTTGGGTTGGGAAGGAATCAAGTACATGTTCCGTTATTTGCTGAAGACCTGACTATCCAGAGTCAAGTGTTGCAACAAATTGCACAACAACAAAGAAAGTTAATTGACGCTAATGACTTGTTTTCCATGAGTAAGTATGAAACAAGACGATTTACTGGGAATAATAAGATCAACTGTGCTGTGCCATGTTATGGTGGCAAGAAGTTGTTGTATGGTACCGATTCTGGTGTATGGGTGAGTACTGTGCGTTCGATTAGCACTACATCAAACGAAAAGATTTGTTCTGATCCCACATTGGTCATATCAAAGCCTTATGTTACTCAAGTTGAAGTGTTGGTTGAATATTCGAAATTGCTAGTCTTGAGTGATAAAGCGTTGTATGAGTTTGATCTTGCATGCACTGATTCATTAGACCATATGAAAAATACAAAACTGGGCAAGTTGATCATGACGCATATTTCGTTTTTCAAATATGGTGTGTGCGACGGCAAGTTGTTAATCATTGGTGCCAAGACAGGATCCCAGCATTCAATCTGCATATTTGAGCCAATTAACCCGTTTGACCCTAAACAAAAGAATCGTAATAAGAACAAAATTGAAATACAAGAAATACCATTTACATCTGATCCAATTTCCATATCTTTCATGAAGAGTAAATTATGTATTGGATGCACAAAAGGGTTTGAAATTTTGTCGCTTCAATCAGGTAACAAGGAACCAATCTTAGATGAAGCTGATCCATCACTAGATTTTGCAACCCAACGAGAATCAGTGACACCGTTAGTCATCCATCGGTTAGGCAAGGATGTATTATTATGTTATTCTGAGTTTGTGTTTTTGATCAACAAGAATGGGTGGAGAACTAACCATGATTGGGGAATATTTTGGGAAGGCACTCCACAAAATGTGGCGTTGTTCTTTCCTTATTTGCTATCATTTGAACCTGGGTTTATCGAAATTAGAGATTTACATACAACTAACCTCATTCGTGCTTTGGTGGGGGAGAATATCCGATTCTTACATTCAAATGAGCATGAAGCAATGTTTGCTTGTGAGGAAAGAGGATATGACATTATAATTTCGATTGATTTCCTAAATTTAAAACCCAAATCGCCAACGATAAAATGAAGCTGAAGATTGGGAAAGAGGGAAAAATAAAAAAAAAGTACAGGAAGTAAATAGTATTAGTTTTCTTTACATGTATACAAGATTATTCATATATGTTAAATGACTGATGGTAAAAGTAGACCACACGAGGAGATCCTTGGTGAACAGAAAGCGGAACGCGTGAAATTTAAGTTTTAATGTTTTATTATTTTATTTCTATTTTTATTTTTATTTTTATTTTGTACCGACGTGAACTAAACCGACAGGTCCATTGTGAAAGTCGCGCATACTTGTGCCCCACTCTTTTACGAGATGAAATGAAAAGGCCAAAGTAGGTTAGAATAGAATGGAACTGAAATTACCTGTTAGATAGAATATGGGTCCTTTTGCCTAGTAAGTGAATCATATCTCCCTTCACCCTCTTTCTTTTCTCTTTCTTTACTACTTTTCGCTTCGGTTTTCCCCTTTTTCTGTTTTCCCACTCTTTTTGCAATCTGAAATTTTTTCAACAGAAATTCTATTTTTGTTTTTTTTTCTTCTCGTCATCATCAACAACAAAAGGACATAGTGACAGCTCCAAAGCGTTTTCTTATAGACATAAAAAACCACAGATCATGTCAGACTCTATCTTTGCACATAAGGCATCACAGGACTTGATTCAAATCAACGTCCCTTCGATTGAACGTCCATTTGGAATTTACTTGTGGCCTATATTCAACAAGGTTTTCGAATTAGGTATTGGGTATCCAGCCGATGAGTTTGAGTTTATTTACCACAAGACATTCTTGGCTAATGGGGTCCATGCTATAAGTATAATTATAGTTTATTATATTGTCATATTTGGTGGAAGAGAGGTTATCAACAAGTTTAAATTGCCAGCTTTGAAATTGAATTTCTTGTTTCAGTTGCACAACATCGTTCTCACTTTGTTATCGTTGAGTTTGTTGTTGTTGTGCATTGAACAATTGGTGCCAATGTTGTATCACCATGGATTGTTTTATGCTATTTGCGATCAAGGTGCATTTACGCAAAAGTTGGTTACTTTGTACTATTTGAATTATTTGACCAAGTTTTTGGAATTGATTGATACGGTGTTTTTGGTATTGAAGAAGAAGAAGTTGTTGTTTTTGCACACCTATCACCATGGAGCCACTGCATTGTTGTGTTATACTCAATTGACTGGGTCCACTTCTGTTGAATGGGTGCCAATTACGTTGAATTTAGCCGTGCATGTTGTCATGTATTGGTACTACTTCCTTAGTGCTAGAGGTATTAGAGTGTGGTGGAAAGAGTGGGTCACTAGATTCCAAATTATTCAATTTGTGCTTGATTTAGGGTTTGTTTATTTTGCAACTTATACCCATTATGCATTTGCATATTTCCCAAGCTTGCCCCATATCGCAAACTGTCATGGAAGTGAATTGGCTGCTGCTTATGGATACTTGATCTTGTCTTCATATTTGGTGTTGTTTATCAGTTTTTATATCAAAGTGTACAAAACTAAAGGTAGCAAGAAGGCTGTCAAGGCCGATGAAGTTGCTAAAGCAGCTGAAGAAGCAATCAGTGGCACTAGTTCTGGTGTGAGTACCGGTGCTAAAAAGGCTGAATCAAGAAAAGCTTAAGAAGGTGGTGCTTGAGGGAATGTAATTGCACATAAGATACACGAGGAGTGGAGGGTGTATGAGAGTTGTGAGAACAACTGTTCCTGCTGTCTGCTTTTCAATACATATTCTAGACATTTTTATAGTAGTCATAAAATAGATAATTTTAATAATAAGTTGAATTTAAATGGACGAATGTAGGAAGCGAGTACGGTGAATCGTGAAGGATTGAATATGATGAATTTTTGTGCAAAGTAGAAATTTTGTTGTATTTTTGTTGCAAAAATATCTGTTGATGGCAAACAGCGCTCAGATGGGTCAAGAGCAAAGCTTATGGTTACTATTTTTGTACCGCACAGAAGAGCGGTCATCACTCTCCTTAATGATATAACTGTACCAGAACCATTCCATTGCAAAAAATAAAATAGCGGAACCCGGATTGTATTCAAATGATCCACGGGCCGAACTATTTACGGAGTTAATATCGGCTCCGTGTGTTGAGAGCAGCATATAGTACGGCTTTTACTTTCGGAGATAAAAACGGTGTACTAAATGAGAACGACATTGCCTACATTCGATTGTGTCTACACGCCACTTTTGGTCCGTCTCCGTGTTTCATATTGATTCACTTTACAGCTCTGCTCTTCCTGTTAATATCCTTGCCTCGAGATGACCAAGACAATAAGACTGCACAATAAGACATAAACAAGAAATCTTGAAACAAAGGAGATTTGTGTAATTGATTCGTGTCGTTCGCCGTGCCGAAATATACCAACTGCCCTCCGTTCCCCCTTTGAGAAAAGAAACATTCTTGCACGCGATTGTTTTCGCGTGAACTTGCAGGCGGTGGAAATTATTTTTAGCGCACACAGAATTAGGGGCGGCAGGGCATAGGGGGTATACGTAATTTAGTTTGGCTGGCACCATATTTGAAATGAACGAAAACTGCCGTTGGTCCCACTACCACCACTACCACCACTACCATTGCTTCTCTTTCTGCGCCCACCCACTCTCTACTTTGCAGTGCATAGAATAAACCCTGGATTTGGTGTTTTTCAAGCACTCGTGCTACGTATCAAGTATAAGGAGGCACAATTGACACCAATAAACCGGCAAATCTTGGCTTCTATCACAGTTTTCTGGTGAATTATTTTGATAAATGAAAATACAGGGAATAATTATTGAAACACGCGCCATCTCCCCGATCATTCCAAGCCCGTAAAACAGATGCTAATTACATAGTTTTCTGTGCTTATGTTTACGTTTTCCTTTTAGCTTTGATTCTTGGCGATCCCTCTCACTGCCACTTTCGCCCCCTATAATTCGGATTACGGAAATAAAGTTTTGGGGCCGCTTACGGCAAGGTGTGGAGGTGGGGAATGCAAAAAATAATAATCAAAGAGACAACACAAACGACAGATGAAGAAAGGGGTAAAAGGGTCATGCGATATGTCCAAAGCGTGTTCTATAGCACCAAGTATCTACAACTGGGAAACAGAGGAAGGAAAGTATATAGGTCATTTGTCAATTACAGCGGAAAGACTGGGATAAAAATAAACCCCCTAAATGTTTTTAGTTTTCTCTTTTTTTCTTTGGGAGCGAGTATTTTGTTACACTGCTCTCAGTCTCATAACCAATTGTGTTTAAACCTTTTTTTATTATGTACGAGGTGAGACTTTTGATTTCTTAGTTTGTGTCTTGATGAATAACTTCACAGTATCGGCAATAAAACAAAAGTGAACAGCCGCGCTCACTGGTTATAAAAGAAAAATAAAATGAAATGAGTGCTTTTTTGTTTAATGAATAGACGCCAAATATTCGTAAATGAAAAGGTTAGATAACCAACCCCTATGTTTTCCATAGCATGACACATAGTGTACAACAAGAGACAATCCATACATTGGTTGGTGGTAGTTTGACACAGCTCTTCTCCCTTTTTCCTTTCTAAGTTTAAACTCTAACCTTAAATGGTGTCTAGTGTCGTGTTGTTTTATTTTGCCACATTTAATAGAAAAGAATACGTCATATGTGTTTGTATAAACAAGAATTGAGTTTGACTTAGATTTGTTTCTTTCTTTTAGCCGTGTCCCGGACAATCCGTTAGAAACAATAAATTAGGTGTTATTTCTTATGCAGTACTGCATATGAGCAGCAAGTCTTAAAATAATTTTTTGATGGGGCTTTAACAGAAAAGAAAAGGTCTCGGAGTTAAACAAAAGAGAAGAAAACGGCCCAAAAAATAACTCCCTATAGACAATAAACAAAAACTTCTGGTGTAGGTATTGTTTCACCTTTACCGGCTGGATCTTTGATTTTGCTAATTCCATTGACAGTGAAGGAGAGAGAGCTACCACAGTCCACCAATTGTTTTTACTTTTAAAAAGGGGAATTACTAAATTTTTACAAAATGACAAGAAAAGAAAAGAGCAAAGAAAAATATTTGCATACGGCTGAAACGGACATAAGAATTGCCAGCGCCAACAAAAAACAAAAAGAGAAGGAAAGGGAATAGGGCAGTGCCCACCTCCGTTTAATCACAATCATCTCAACCATTTGCTTAACGATGGAGTATATCCAACCACCCTATTATTACCACTACTCAGATGATAGAAGCAACGTAGAAAAAAGCAGAAAAGTCTTTTCCTGCTGAGTAAAATGTATCTGGATATAAAAAAACCCGGACCGATAAAAAAGCCAAAATCGGAGGAATGCAAAAACACCAAAAAAACGAACAAAATTTCACCGCAACGCAATTGCCACTTCCACTCTTATTATGGGCTTTAGATTGTGATATCATGTATGCTAATGTGGTTTGAAGACGATGCTCTTCTCTCTGTTTGATTTCAATCCAACCTCAGGGTCGTCATCCAGCGCTAACGCCCTTGCCATAATTTTCTAGATGGATAGAACCAGATAAAAATTTGGCCCACAGTTAGACAGAGAATTAATAATCGACCAAAATGGGAAATGGATAAGACGGGTATATGATTAGAAGCAAATAAAAGAAAACCAGGCTTTTTTGTCATACAAGGCTGATCCGGAAAAGTATACATCACAGATGGGACAAAAAACGAAAAGAAGAATAAAGAATTTCACGGAGGTAAAGGTGAGTGTCTTGTATCCGAATACCTTTTCGACTGACATAGCAAATAAATCGTGAGTGAACTAGATTTGTAATGTAATGTAAGTTAAGTTATGTGTCATGTACGTATATATGTAGACGGGGTTAAAGAGTTGAACAACATAAACAGCGTTTGTTGTTGTTGATTGAAAGTTCGGTTATTAAAAATAAAATATTTATTAAACACCGAAATATTTTTTTTATTTTACTTAACAGAAGCAGCAGCAGGAGCAGGAGCAGTAGCATCAGAAGCAGTAGCCCCTATTTTCCCATCAAAAAAATATAAAAATAAAAATAAAAATAAAACTTATAATATAACACAAACAGAAAATTATGACCGAGAGATTTATAAAATAATTTTTCAAAGCCTTTTAACAAAAGTAACAAGATCTAGTACGTATATATGTCATATGCATAAGTATATGAAGTATACATATATATATATATATATATATATATATAGTTTGTATTCTCTCCACTTTGATTTAATCTCACAGCCTAGACCTTTACCAAACTACAGTTCATATATATATATATATACGTATCCAACCTAACAGGCTAAATACTGTTCACCATTAACTACTACCTGCTATATTCGCATATACTATGTTAACTACAGCTCAACCACCATCATTATATAGCCACAACTACAACAACTACAACACTTCAACACCATTAATGAATAATACAACAACCAGATCTTCCTTGATGCAATATTCACTTCAGCCACATTCTCAGCAAGTACAGCCACTTGTGGTACAAAAACACCCACAACCTACCAGCCCCTTGCACTCACCTAGTCCAACAGTGGTACCCAGCTCCAACAATTTACCTCATTCATCAGTCATATTGCCATCGATCCACTCACTAAATATACCAACATTCCCCCATAGTAAAGAAGAAGTACATGTCAACCGTTCGTCAAATATCAGATCACCACCTTTATTGATCCCTAATGCCGACAACATAACTGAATCTACACGCGCCTCGTCGTGCTATAGCTATTCAAGTGACACGCCTTCAGTAGCACCACCTTCAAATCAACCAACTACATCTACTTCTACTGCTACTGCTACATTTAACTATACTCATGCACCAGTGATAGCATCTCCATATGTTCCCACAGTTGCGCCACTTAAACACCAAGAACTGCCAGCATCTCCAGCATCTTTGCCATCTTCTGACCATGAAGAGTTTGCTGACCACGAATCATCAGCATCATTATCACCCACACAATCGAAAAAGAATTGGAAACCTCGTAAAAAGAGACAATGTCCCGAGTGTAAATTGTATTTCTCCAATTTGGCTACTCACAAGTCAACTCATTTAAAACCAACCAACCGTCCCCACATTTGTGAGTATTGTCAACGTGGATTTGCTAGACCTAATGACTTATTCCGTCACACCAAATGTCATTGGAAAGAAATTGGCTCAGACAAAGGCCAATTCAAATGTCCTTTTAAAAACATTTCATTGTCTTCATCCGCCACAACATCTCCTAATGAAGATAGCACAGTGTCAACTGCTTCTGCAAATGACAATTGTTGCCATAGCACGGGAATCTTTTCGCGTTGTGACACATTTAAGAATCACTTGAAGGCCATTCATTTCCAATACCCCTACGGAACCAAAAAGGACCAAAGAAACAAAGTTGCTGGTAAATGTCGCATGTGCTTTAAAGAGTTTGAAAATGTTGATGATTGGATACATAATCATATCGAAACTGATTCATGTCCATACGCACTTAATAAAATGAAGAGAGATTAAGGAACTATCCATTGTTTTGGATTTTGGCGTTTAAATAGAAGGATAGAGTGCAACAGGGTTATACGATTATGATGATTGATGCTTTATGAAGAGGTTAACAACGGGTTACGAATGGCGAGTTGTATGAATAGTGACGAACTGATGCTGTTATTTTTTATTTTTTTATGGTTTTTTATGTTTTATTTGTATTTTTGTATATATGTTATTTCGGAGGGTTTTATAGAGTTTTCAAAAAAAAATTGTTAAAGGGATATATTATACGGAACTATATGATTAGCAGACCATTGGTGTAAGGACTTTAATTCTACTTCAATTGTGAGTGGGATTGAGATAAGGAGTTTCTCTCTTTGATTGTTGCGAAATATTGAAAAAATGGTGCGAATTGATCAGTTTAGGAAGTTTTTTTGTTTTTTTTTTTTCTTTTTCTTTTTCTTTTTCTCGGATCGGAATTAATGAATAAACCGATTTCTTTTTCTCACTACATGACAAGAAAAGTTTATAAGAGAAAGCAATATGGAATTGAAAGCAAATTAATCAATCCATGGCAAGTCAAATTAAATTCACAAAAAAGTGGTGAAATGCACACAAATGGTGGTTTACTGAAGCAAAAAAGAAATTGAACTGTTCTACGTTGAATAGCAATAGATTATTCTGTTGGATTCCACAAAAGAAATGGCAAAGCTTTGTTGTTATTTATAGCAAAGTTCGATTCCACGGCTAACTGTTTTTCTTTTCAATAAACGAATATCTTGTACCCAGTTTCCTTCTTGTATGCTTTGTTTCGCCGTGCGTCGACTTTTCCACTTCATCTGGATCCTTTTACGTTGATCACCAAAGTTTACGAAGTGTAAAAGAGCTGATGCCTTTTCTGGTTAATTGGTAGCTAGAAAAGTGTTTTTGCCGCATACCCTTACAAAATTCTCATAAAACCGGCGTAGAATTAATTCTAGATTTCACACACCTCTGTCGAATACTCTAACCTCGGTTTCTTTATGCGCCTCAATTACAACTAACCTATTACATTTTGTTGGGGAGAAAATAACAGAAACGGTTTGTTTTTTTCCATTACCTGCGCAACACAAAAACGCCAATGAAAAGTTTAACTCCGGTTAGTGCTGCTCCCTCTTCAACCGATGTTTATTAGACGCCAAATAACTAAAAAAAAATAAAAAAGAAAAAGGTTTAAACAACTGAAAGTTACTTTGTTGAGAATAGAACACGAAGAACCAAGTCTTTCTAGTCACCAACCAGTGCTTTGATACTACAACATCTTTGCTTATCTACCCCAACAACAATGATCTCTCGCAAGGTTATTTTATTTGTACTATATCTTGCCTTGTGCCACAAGACAGCTCCATTGTCCCATACGATACGGTTTTACTACCAAGTAGCCACAGGCTTAATTCCCTCACGATTCAAAAGCAAAGATTCAACTAAGGAAAACACATATAATCTTGCATCGCCCGACAAATTGTTCAAGTACGTGACATGGCATTCACGCGTAAGTCCCATGGAAATTGACATGTATATGCACAAGAACAATGGAACCTATTTCCTCGATTTGGATATTGCTAGAAGTAAATTGCTTATTCGCTTGCTTCAACAATATTGGTGGTCAGCATTTGAAAATAAATCGGGCGCATTTGGCAAGGCCCAAAACACGTTCAACAACATTCCTTATACGCCATTGGGTACCGTACAATGTCAATTCAAACGGGAATTGACAATTTTTGAAAAGTTTGATGTCAATTCGCGTATTTTGGCCTGGGATAAGAAATGGTTATTTGTATTATCAACATTCACCACAATTGACCCCAAGACAAAGGGGAAAAGAATTAATGCCATTGCATTGTCAAAATATGTCTTCAAAAACAAGAGAATTACAATTTCCCCTATTGAATATTTGAGATATTGTAACTTGATTGATGAGAAGAATGAAGAAATCAATGCTAGAAATTATGAAATTGTTAAACACATGATTGAGACTGAGGATTTAGAGGCACTTGTTGAAGAATTCATCAAGTAAATTTAGCCTCATTTGCAAATATATATATATTTATAGAGAGATAGAAAATACAGAACTCACCAAATTATTAAATAAACCAAAGCACATTAATTTATTAGAAAATACACAAATCAAGCTCCAATCAAGCCAATCCAAATCCTTCATGGCCCTCAGTGATAGCCATCAACAAAGAACCTCTTAGCGTCTCGTAGTTTTCATATGCAGGTAAATCAATTTGGTTGAAACAAGTGTGCGACGAAGGTAAACGATCAGTAGCACCATAGTCACGATGGATGCTAAACTTGCAGGTACCGCTAGCACCAGTCAACTCTTTGAATCCATTCAACGGCACTTTTGAAGTACCGGTAGCAAACTGTAACAATCTTGCTCTCTCTTCATTATCAAAGGACTTGACAGCTCGCCAGAACCATTGAATCTGTACTGACGAAGGTGAATAGTTGACGTACTGGGTATGCGATTGCCAATCATGAACGTCGATATCAGGCAACCCAGAAATCAAAAGCTCCAATTCCTTTTCATCAAATATTGCCACCAAATCCCTGGGGATGATCTCGTGGAATCCAATCAAGAAATTCTCCATTTGCTCTTCAACTGACGTTTGCAATCTATATTCGACAATCTTCTTCACATACAACTGCTTATTCTCTTCAGTCACAGGGATGTTTGATCCGTCAGGGATTAAATCGATGACCTTGTGTTCACCGTAATCATCAGTCTCAACACTAAGCGTCTCAGTAATTACATCAGTAATGTCATTCTCCAACATCCATATAAGTGACTTGTAGTACTCAAGATCCAAGGTCTCCATGTCCTTTAATGATTGTGGTTGACCCAAAATACGCTTGTAAACGGCTCTTGAAAAATGGCAATCCAAAAAGCAATTATCGTAAATAGCTTTACCAATTATACGACCAATGAATTTAAAGAATGACAAATGTTCAGGATTCACATACGACGTACGATTAGGATGGAAAGTTGTCTTGTCCGAAACCACAGGTAAAAATAAGGCATAGTCCGGATTAAACATTTGTCTACTCAAAACCTGATACCATTCACGAGTTACTCCCCCAGCATCAATACCTTGTTCACCTTTGAAGTTTATTTCCAATTTCGAGTCCTTGAATTCGTCCTTTGACTTAAAGAATAATGCCCGATAAGAATCTAAAAATACTTGGTCACGACGTATACTGATTGCCAATTTTGAATTTTCTGGCTTATCCTTGTGAAGTTTGCGATCGAAATAGTTTTTCTTATTGTCAAATTCTAAAACTTTTGGATTCTTGACCAACATTCCAAAAGGTCCACTCATCAAATTCGGATTCGTCCTCACCATTTGGTTTAATATCTTTTTGTGCTCGTCAGTAAAGGAGAAAAATAAAGACTCGATAGGTTCCTTGGTGAAATCAATCTTTTTCACTTCATACTTAGCATTCTCCTTATTTTGAAGGTCGCGGACCTTGCCGTGCTTACAAACAACCATCAAAGCTTCAATCAAGGGCAATAACGCATTTGCGATATTGTGCAAGTGAGGGTTCTTTTCCAAAACTCGCAAACACTCACTCAAAGAATCCCATAGATTACCAAGCGCCAATTTTTTGTAAAGATCAGTAAGTTCTTCAACGTCAGATTTCCTTTCATCAAGGTCTTTATCCTTGTGTTCAAACATGTAATCCAATGCCGTCAAGACTCGAAGTAACTTGGCCTGGTCTGACGAGTGGGCACTGAATTTGGAAAATGCTTTGCTATTTAAATCACCCTCATTATCCAAATTCACGGTCAACTTGTTCAAATCGACAATGATTTTTTGTCCGTATTCGGTTGCCTTCTTTGAAAGCTCATTCTTGAAGATATCCAGAACGTTTTGCAATACAGATAGGTTCTGCATTGCACTAATAGTTCTCCTAAATGTCGAATTTGAACAGTCGTTACCAGTCAAAATTGCAATGATGCATCTAACATTCTCTTCGGGAATATATGGTGGTGGGAAAGGAGCGGCAGACTTGCCTTCCGATTTCTTCAATGCATATAACGGACGCGTTGATATTTGTAAAACTCGTGCCAACACATCCAAAAAGGTCTGGTCTTCAGCCACCAATTTATTGTCCAACAATTTCAACAAGTAATTGATCGGATACTTACTTTCTTTGGCAACCTTTTTCGATTTCTTCTGTGGCAAGTATTGGTTTTCATGATCAGTCAAAATGAAATATCTCAAGTGGCTATTTCTTTCTAAGAGGAAATCAATCGATTCAATGAATTGAATACCGGTCAAGATTTGTGTAGTGTTCAATGGAATCCGGCTCTTAACCTCTTTACCACCTAATGCACGGCTGCAAACCTGAGTGTAAATCTTTTGCATCAGTCTTTGGTTAGTAAAGGCTTCGTGCAATACTGCAATCATCATGTTCATAATCTCAACTCTACTATGCTTATTATTGGACATATACTGGAGTGCATGATACACCTGCTCCCTCTGACTTATTGATAATGGTGAAAAAAGAAGTCTCACTATCGCGGCTATACCATTCTTGTCCAACATTGGAGTGAAGAATATCTTTCCGCTTGATTTCCTTTTATTACCCTGCAGTGATGGGTGTTGAGAGTTTTCGGATCTTGCACGTTCGTCGTCATCTTCATCTTCTCCCGCATTCCCGGCTGTCGCATCCTCAAATTCATCGTCGTTAGGTTCCTCTTCATCCCATTCGGAAAACCTTCTTGCCAATGATTCCAGTTGCAAGATTTCGTCTCGTATATTACCAGGCAAAGCGTCCAAGAAATCAGGATCAATTTCACGTGCGTCGGAGTCACTAGTAGTTGCATTAGCACGCCTTTCTCTGACATACAGAGCAAAGACCTCCTCTCTCATATCTTCAGGAAGAGCTTCAATGTAATCAGGATCAATATCAGTTCCACTAATATCGACATCCCTGTCTCCAATTCTGACGAAAATAGGTTCTCTAGGAGGCTCGTTAGCAGCATTTTCTTCCCTCTGTTTAGCCTCCTCTTCACGCCTTTTCTGTTTCTCCTCCAACTCTTTTCTTTTCTTCTCTTCCTTTTCCTTTACAGACTTTTCAAGGTCAGCTTTTTTCTGCTGATAAGCTTCAATGCTCCTATCTTCAATTTTGTTAACAATGCCAGGTATTACACGCAACACTAAATCTTCCTTATCCTTACGGTCAAACATCTTTAACGCGTCAACCCACCTTTCGTTGGTAGATTTTATATGTAGAGTATGGCTGTGATCCATGTGTCTTCCTGTTTGCCCGATTTGAATCATGTTTTGAAAAAGTCTTCCAATGCTAGCAGGTCCACTACCACGAGCACCGTCTTCAGTAATTTCAATCGAACCACGCATATTACCTTCTCTGAATAAACCATCCAACAACAACGATATAGGGGATGTGCCATCCATTCGCCCGTTACCGGTATGATCAAAAACTCTTCTTAAATCATTGCTGGTGGGTAGCACCGCAAAGTCCTGTTGTGATTCGGACTCGCTAACATCGTCTGAGCTAATTTCAGTTCCGTCGTCTTCTCTTCTAAACCTGAATCCACGATCGGTTGGCCCACTTTCATCTGCATTGAACTCGCCATAACCAATATTAACGTGACCATTGAAGGGGGTATCGCCGTGTCTGTCACCGTGGTTGTGACTGTGACTGTGACCGTGACTATGACTATGGCCATGTCCATTCGACCAATCTTCGTTCAGATCGTTTTCACTTTCCAACTGTTCAATCCACCCGTCCAACTCGTCTTCGTCATATTCACTTTCATCCTCATCCTCATCTCCGGTATAGTCATCTTCATCGACAGGTTCGCCTTCTGCGTCCACCTCCACATCTACATCTTCTTCATCGCCATAGCCAAATTCATCGTCACTAGAAGAATCAATGTCCAATTCGTCTATAATTTCAATGTCGTCAAGACTTCCTTCGGAACCTTCATCGTCTTCATCGTAAGGACCCTCATCCATTTCAACGTCCAGTGGTTCGTCTTCCTCATCTGATTCAAAAGACGACGCTGACCCCATAGAGTCAGAGGCCTCGGCTGAGATCATTAAATTCCCATCTTCATCATAATAGTCATCCTCCTCACTATTGACATCCACATCATACATACCCAATGTTGAATTGCGGAATAAATCAGGAGTATCATCCCGATCCTCGTTTTCATCGTCAGGTACTATTTCATCATCATCATTCTCTTCCTGCCCATCTTCGGCAAACAATTCCAGGTAATCGACTTTATTCTTGCCCAAATGTGTTATAGGTTTCAAAGCAGCCTTCTCAACTTTATCTATATCAGGGAAGTTCAAATCAAATTCAGCAATCAAATTGGCCAAAGTTGTGGGTACTTGTTTTTCGATGAAAACCTTGGATATGTGGTACATGTCGTACTGTACAGCTTCTTTGTTGAGCAATGGGCCAATAGTGTCCCGAAACTTTGGCGATATCAACAGTCCGCTTAGCTCAAACAAATCTAACAACTTGCCGTACCTTGTACGTGCAATGACATTCAATTGAGATGTATCTCTCATCACTTTTGTCAATAGCTCTACGACAAATCTCCGTATAAGTGCAAGATCTGGATCTTCTTTCTTCGCGTTGGAACCGTCCCGAATATCCTGGATGGGCGACGAGATTAAACACATCAACGCCATTTTTGCAGTCGATGAGACAGCGGTTCGTCTCTCCAGCTCCAGCCCTGAAGTACTCAACAGTTGAGTGGGGATCAATTGATGGAAGAAAAAGTTCAAAGACGTTGACCTTGGCTTGATATCGCTGCGCTTCTTCTTGGAAAAAGTGAGAAAGTCGAATTTAGCTTGCTTGTAAGACCCCAAAAGTTCGACAACGCTTTGTAAGAGGAAACACAAGTAAGCAAAGTTTGTGTTTGAAAATATATCAGTCGTAGCCTTACCCTTTGATTTTTCATTCTTTGTCTCGTCTTTCTTTGGGTCTGACACCCAGTCGCTCTTAACCACATTCATTAATTCTGTCAACAAGTAATTCATGACTGACCCAGACTTGAGAGTCTTTGGGTTTGACTCGCCTGGTAACTCCACGTCTCCAGAAGATTTGTTTGATTGCGCCTTGGTAACAATTAAATCACCAAAAGTCACTGGTGATTCCTGCCCGCTATAACTGTCGAGTATAATGTTTTCCGATATAGCTTCAGTCAAGGCTTCTGGATTGCGAAAGACTAATGCCATATTGTCTTTAAGTAGCAGCTTGAGGTTCTTGGTCAGTTTGAAGCTAATACCCAACAGTTTTACCAATTCGGGTTTCATGTAACTTTCAATGACCATTCTGGTTTCAAAGCAGTAGCGCATGATAAAAACGACACTGGTTTTAAGCGACTCTTCCACGGTCTTGTCCTCCCCTGTGGTTTTTGCTGCCTTTATCAAGCACCCTAATACTGGCATTTTAGATATCTCTTCAGCAAGTGAATCGTCTTTCGCAAGCAACGCCATAACACGAGATATAGCATTAGCTGACCGGGTATTTGAAATTTTATCAAGCTTAGAAAACTCCTTCATAAATAAGTGTTTTAGGCCCTTAATGTCATCCGTGTTTCCACCTGTCTTGTATTTAATATCTTCATGCTTTGTACTTTCAGCTACAGGCACATCTTCCTCAACTAGCTTTTGTTCGAAAATTGCCATTAGATATTGATAATATGGTTCATCCACAGCAGAGGGCCCAACCGTGAACTCTGTAAATAGACTACTAACCTCTTTCATGGAGTCATCCAGCAAGTGGTCCTTTTTCTGAAGCAACAATGATATAAGATGTAAGTATACCGCGTACTGTTCGCCACTCAATTGTTCGCGTGACGAAGCCTCTTTGACAAGTTTGCCAATGCGTTCCTTATCCTTCAACGTCACGAGGAGATCAGCAACTAAGTGACTGGATTTGGGGTAAGAAACAGCTACCAGAATCCATTTATCATCTATAGCTTTCCAGATCTCTCTACTTTTGTCAAAAATCTGTCTTGAAGTGAGATAATTTCCTTCTTCAATTGAAAAATCAACTTCGGCGGAATTTAATTCATTAGCAAATGATTTCCAGTCACTTTCTTTGAAATTATCAAATTCCTGACAAGAAATTGCTCTTCCCTCACGTAATGCGGACAAATCTGGCTCATGATCGAAATAATGTTCTGCCTGGGACTCCGTCATGCCCAAGGAGATAAGATAGGCAACTTGATCCATATCAGGAAATACTCGCCTCACATCCAAGGGAGTGAACTCGTCGGGGCACTCACTCTCTTCATACAGATGAGATGCAATATAAATCACCTGGTCGATCAAAGGTGTAGGGATATTTTGTTTGTTATTTCTGGCATCAGCATTACCAACTACTGTATCAGTCAAACCGGTTACCAACTTTAATGCTTCAAAAGAAATCTGAACCAAAAATGACATTATAATACTCCTCTCCAATGGGCCAAGCAGTTTGTTCAGGTAGTACGATTTGCTGAATGGGAAGCCTCCCAATTCAGTCTCATTTACACACTTTGCAAATATCATCAAGTTTTGGCTTATGGCATTCTTGACAATGCTGCTTTTATCAGCACATATGTATTTGAGCTCTGCAGTTTTCTTCACCTCCTGTGGGTCCATATATAGCAAATCTTGCCATAAGCCTTGAGTGACATCCTTCAATTCCTGGAAAAATGACGATTGAAACAAAGCAATGGCTAGTGGAATGTATATTGTTTCTCGTGTACGCTCCTTCTGACTGAGAATGTACAAATTGACATTGGACACAGCCAAAAGGTAGCACTGTTGATTATATCTTGACCTAAATTCTCGCTTATACGCTTGGGTCATTAATGATGCTATCCACAACAACAACGACACAGCATCTCTTTTGGTTTGAGCGTTGGAATGATCAACTCTGCGAGGAATACACGTTCTGACAACAGAAGCAAACACAAGAGCGATGTATCCTTGGAAATAATAATTTAGTGTACGAAGCTGTAAAGTGTTTTTGAATTTGGGGTTGGTGCCGCTCGTATCCACCTTTGAATCAACAGGGTCACAGACATTGATTTGTAATGGAGGGCTATCGTTGGGGAAATTTGATGTCATTTTCAACACTTCATCAGGGGTTCTATTTCTTAAAAACGTTTCTTCCATTACACTTCGTTGTAATAGCAAGAACAACTTTCTGACAAAGTTTGTATGAGATCCAAACATATCAACAATCTGTTTGATTCTTTCTGTAAATAGTAATCCCAAGTTTATGTAAATCTCAGTCAAAGCAAAAAGCAATACGTTTATTTCACCCAAGTACTGCAAAAGCTCTGTTCCTTGCTCTTGAGTGGTCGCGTCAAAGAAAGATTCATCGTAAGATTCAGGGCCCTCAAAAAAGATGTAATCCTGCACCAAGTCGACCTCGATTAATTGCCTAAGCTTTTCAACTATCATCGGGAATCCATAATCTCTATCTTCGTCATCAAAGTATTTGAAAATACCCATCAAGGAAGAAATTCCGTTGGACAAGAAATAATCATAGGGCGCCTTCTTGATGGTAAGGAATTTGAGCCATTTCGAAAAATTAATCGTACGCGCCACGTCTTCTCCCCACAGCCCGCTCTCTTGAAGCAATCCTCCAAGGAAAAAATAAACATTATCGAGTAAAATGGAGCACTCGTTCCTATCCCAGCTTTCAATTTCCTCGCCACCATTTGACTTAACATTTGGCTCTTCTTCTTTCGAATTATAAAATGGACCCGAGGGTGATTCGTATAGTTTAATACCTTCCATCCGTTCATCCACGTAGATCATCATCTGTTCGATCAATTTCAGCACTTGCTCCAAAATCAAGGGTTTGAGACTTGGGTAATGTCTACCCAATTCATCAAAAGAACATCCTAAATTCGTAGCCATGTCAGATTTGACCAACACTTTGGCAATAGGAAGTTCATAAAACGTTTCGAAAAAAATAGGTATACTGTTTTTGTCAATGACCCTCTTGAGACCTTCGTTGTTTAAGCAAATAGCTCCAAGAACTTCGGGAAGAGACATCAACAACTGCCCTGAAGGCATAAATAAGTTGCTATAGTTGTCTAGGATTGTGTCAATAACATTGGCTTCGTTCAAAATAGAAAATGCAGTGGGTTCATTATGAATGATGAAAAAAACAGAATCTATGGTGCAACTCAAAATGGATGGACCAAATATGTCTGAATTATTAATGATCTTATTAAAACTCAAAAGAATTGGTGAATCAAACAAATTACGGAGCCTATCTCCATGGTCGGAGTTGAGTAGATCGGCAACAAACTTCATCAAATTTCGCAAAAAGTTGGCTCTTCTCAATGGAATCTTTGTGTATTGTGGACACTCGCCATATGCGTCATCATCGCCATGTGGCTCCTCAAGTGCAGAGTCTACCTCATATTGGATATCACTAATGAGCGAATTAAAACCATCATTGGCAATAAACTCGTCAAGAGACTCAGAAAAGCCAGCGATGTACAAGGATAGCAGATGCACAGCAGCAGAACAGGTCCATTTGTACTTGGAGCGGATATCCAAAAATGGCATCAAGTCATTAAGCAATCCTCCAGCAGCAAGACGTGGTAAAATGCTCTTTGTATTTATCATGTTACCGAGCATGTTGAAGAATAGTATATTACCTTCTTCGTAGTACTGATCGTCATCTTGAGCAACTAATCCTTTTATACGTCTTAAGCACTGAAATAGAATACCATGACTCACATTTCCACCCATGCATCTTATTATGTCGCTTCCCCATACCTTCTTCATGGAAATACACTCGAGTGCTTTCATTGCAGCATAAAATACCGGCCTTGGAACATGGTCACTATTTTCAGGCAGAATAGCATCCACGAGAAAACTCAAAATATAGGGCTCAGTCTCGAGTAGTCTTGTTGAGGCGTTTTGGTGAGACAACATGCAACAAGTAAACGCCGCGGCAAAACATTTCATTTGGATCAATTTCTCTCTAAGCTTGAACGCATTTTCCGACTGGGTATTAAACGATTTTGCAACTTCTGCTGCAAGACCGAATGAGAACCAAGAGTTTTTTGGTAAAATGTCCATTCCTTTCAGAAATATCTGCTCCAAAGCCATCTTGGTAACGGATTCTTCTGGAACGGAGAAGATCTGTAAACCTTCAGATACAACCATTTTCTCTGCTTTTTCTTTGCTCTGATTCGAGTTGGATCCCTGTGTCAGCTCTCCACTCTTGGATGGGGATAGGGTAGATCTGTAATATTGGAAATTGATGCTTTTCCACTTTTGTGGGAGCACCTTTGTTCGGTCCAAAGTGTCAACAAAGTCGTAATGATCTCCTATGATACTCGATTTCTCATTTGAATCCTTTTGTTCATTTTCAATCTGTCTCAGGTTGCATTCAGCGGGGACCAATGGAGGGAAGGCTTTGGCGATTTCAAGTATTTTATCTCTTGCTTCTTTCGGAGCTGAGAAACGAGATGCCCCTGTTAACACAAACTTTTCACCGAGCAATACAGCCACTTCCAAGGCTTTTAGTCTTACATCAATCGTAGGTGTGTTGATTAACGCGTAAATCCTTTCCATACTCGAATAGATGTGCTTGTCTGAACAATTGCTAAGCAACGTGTTTGTAAATTCAAGGCAAGTTATGATAGCGTCTGCTTCTTTCCCAGGAATGAGGCGTAACTTTGGATACTCGTTCTCCAAGTCATACTCCTTGATATGGTTAGAAAAGACCTCATCGATACGGTTGAGCACTGGTATCCAGTGCAAAAGGTCGCCTCTGGGTCTTTTCCACTTTAAATTTGACCTCAACAATGGAGTAAACTCTTCTTCGCTTGCATTGGTCAAAGCATCAATCAATGACTTGATTGGTGCAGCCAACTCCATTCGCTGTAAGTGTTCTCTCTTATCAATGATCATGACTCCTGAACTCTTTTATTACTGATGGTTGTGGAGGAAGAGAAATCAAAAACTAAAAAAAAAAAAGAAAGAGTAAAAGAACAAAACGGATTCAGTTGGTATAGATCTATCGCTTTTAATTACGCAGTTTGCTCCCGAAAGCAAAAAAAAATAAAAAAGAGTGAGAGAGTACAGAGACAAACGCATTTCTATGTAGGAAAGAATGATGCTCAAAATTAGGTAAGTTTCTAGTCAACCTCCATTCTATGAAATATGAGGAGATTTACTTATGCTGGCAGAGTTCGAAAGATCAAGGTTATGTAACACAGCGAAGGAGGACTGTGACCTTGGCGAAATACTTGTTGCGGTTGCCTTGAGAGCTACCTGCTCAACTGATTTGGATATAGGCATGCGCACAAAAGTGAATTTGAAGATGACGCAACATGCCCAACCAAACAGAGCTAAAATCTTTTAATCGAGCGAATAGTCATGGCATATGGCAAACGTAGTAGGGATGAAGATAAGCTGGACACCGAAGCGCATTTTGGAAAGAGAGCTCGAGGAACGTTGCATCCTTCACATCACAATGACGACATAAATAATACACAACGTGGTGGTGCAAGTAAAAGTGGCAAAGGACTTGACGTTGATATCCACCCATTGTTGCGATCATTGGACACAACAGGACCCGGTACTCAAACCAAGGGGCAAGGTATCAAGATAAAGAAATGGTTTGACCCGACGGCTTACAACCCTTATATCAACGACTCAAATTCCATCTCCACCCATAGACCTAAGCCATTAAAGTTTAATAAACAAGGCAAATATATAGAACAGGGGCTGAAATTAAGGGAGAAACTAAAGGCAGAAGAGGAAGAGAGAAGGAAGCACCAAGAATTAGAGAGCAAGGGTTTAGTTCCTGACTTTAGCTTAAACGAAGAACTGTATCAGGCATCGTATCCTCCTTTGATAGAATGGTGGGATAGGCCATATTTACGAGATAACAGCTATGCAAAAATAGACGACGAGAGCCGAAGAATACTAGACAACGATGACATGCCCATTACGTCATACATCCAACATCCAGTATTGATACAGCCCATCTGGCTTGAAACTGCTCAAACTGATATCAAGCCCATGTTATTGACGAAAAAGGAGCGGAAACGTTTAAGAAAGAACGACCGACAGATACGGCACAAGGAAATGCAGGATAGGATCAAACTCGGATTAGAGCCACCACCAGAACCAAAAGTGAAGCTATCAAATTTGATGAACGTATTGACAAATGAGGCGATACGGGACCCAACTGCTGTTGAAAATCGAGTAAAGCAGCAAGTGGAAGAGAGATTACACAAACACCTTGCAGGTAATGAAGCCCGCAAGTTGACGAAAGAAGAGAAGCACGCGAAAATGTACTCTAAGCAAGAGCAAGATCTCGCCAAGGGAATTTTTACGACTGTTTACAGAATCAGTAACCTAGAGAACCCACAGCATCTGTTTAAAGTGGATATCAATGCCAAACAGGATAATTTGTATGGAATATGCTTGAGAAACCCAAACTTTAACTTGGTTATTGTTGAAGGTGGAGAAAAGTCCATCAATCATTATAAAAAGTTGTTGATGAATAGGATCAAGTGGAATGAAACTACAACAGAGGGCGCAAGTGGAGAAAAGCTAGAGGAAACAGGTGCAGGTGCAGGTGCAGGTGCAAATGAAGATGCAACTACTGAAGCTACTGCCAATGACCACATACAAGAGAATAAGTGCATTATAATCTGGGAAGGAAGACTTCTGAAGCTAAACTTCCAAAAGTGGAGCTTTATGTATTCACAGAATGATGAAGAGGCAATCAATGTCCTTAAAAAGTTTGGATTGGAAAATTATTGGAGATTAGCAAAGAGTAAGTAGGTACCATGTCTGTTGATTTTATTTGAAAAAGGCATGCATGTAATATACACCCTCTTTCATACTCTGATTATACATATATATGTATTAAGTACTGTACAATAAAATAAACATTTTTGATTCGCAAATCAGATTTTGTTTGTGTGGGGAGAGAGAGAGCTAGACCGAGAACCGAAAAATTCAACAACTCAAATTACCGCAACCATTGAGTTCATTACATTCAACCGTCACACAAGAGAAATAATGGGTTCAGCATATACTATATTAGGAAAACAAGTCCCAGCACACGTTGTATGTATTTCAATTAGATGGATTCTATTCAATTGGCGTAATCTACTTACTAACAATTGTTCAATTTCAGTTGTCCATTCTTACGTTGGGTTCAGTTGCTGCTGGTGTTGCAATTCCAAAACTTTTGGGAAGTAACGACGTAAAGAAGGAAGCGGCAGCTAAACCAGCTGCTCCTGTAGCACAGTCAAAAGAAGAGGATTTCGATTTAGAGAAATTCATAAAGTATGTTTTTATTGCATTTTTAATCGGGGGGATAAACCAGTACTAACATATACCTTATAGTGATTTGACTAAGGAGGAGACAAAGTAGATAAATGGTGAATGTCTGGTTATGTATTGTTAAATGGCCCGTGAATAGTTTAGAAATAAATGATCATAGAATTGTTCGATTTTGCTGTAGTTGGAGAAGGAACCAACTACCATGTTATTCCTAATGCTCTGTTCTGTTTACCACTGGAGAGAATGTTATAGAATGGTCTGCTAGAGCTCGTTTGCAACAGCTTGGAGTAATGAGCATCACTGAATTCAACTAAAGAATTGAAAGCATATTAAAGGTTTCAGGCTGATGGCAATTAATGATCTTGTCTTACGTCACTCGACCCATTGTATCCATCAGTTGCTTAATCTATTGATTCAATAAAAAGTGTACTCCACTTTCTTCCAGGCAATTTGATCAAATACCGACACGGCGTTATCTTTTAAATTCTTAATGTATACAAATTGGGCTAGATATTACAAGAGATAAACACCAAAATCGTAAAAGCCGATATCGTAGCCATTGTTTGTTTGAATTCCGTTAATACGCAGAAGAAGATGAAATTGCGATTGATTATAAATCAAATTTTTGATTTTGTTCCAAATAAGGTTTGTTTATGTTTATATTTATATTTATGTTTTCTTATGAAATCTATGGTGTTTTACAGTTAGTAGACATTAGTAAGTCTGTTTGTTAACTATGTAAGTAAGGAAGTCACAACAAAGTAACAAAAGGATGATATTGTAAATACAAGATGCGTCTACGTCTTGTTAAGAAAAAGAAAAATTAAAGAAAAAAAAAAAGAAGAAAAACACATTTCGCGTTCCCATCAAAGAGGCAAAAACAAAAGAAACAAAGGATACGCGTCTCATCAATTTCTATAAATATTTTACTAGATCTCCTTCTTCTGTATTTTTTTGTTTTTTTTTAATTTAGCTTTACTTACTTCAGTTAATTTTCACACAACTACCTGATTTACAACTGCTACATCATGTACGTTTTCAAAAGAGATGGTAGAAAGGAGCCAGTGCGCTTTGACAAAATCACTGCTAGAGTTCAAAGATTATGCTATGGCTTAGACTCAAACCACGTTGAGCCAGTTGCTATTACTCAAAAAGTTATTGCTGGTGTATACCAAGGTGTTAACACCATTGAGTTGGATAATTTGGCCGCTGAGACTGCTGCCACTATGACCACCATACACCCTGACTACGCTGTTTTAGCAGCAAGAATTGCGGTATCCAATTTGCACAAACAAACAACCAAATTGTATTCGCAAGTGTCAAAGGACTTGTATGAATATATCAACCCAGAAACTAATCTTCATGCACCAATGATTTCAAAGGAAACATTTGACATTATTCAAGAGAACTCTGATGAATTGAATTCGGCAATTGTTTATGACCGTGATTTCAACTACAACTACTTTGGATTCAAAACTTTGGAAAGATCCTATTTGTTGCGTATCAACGGTAAGGTTGCAGAAAGACCACAGCACTTGATTATGAGGGTTGCCATTGGTATCCACGGGAGAGATATCCCAAGAGTTATTGAAACTTATAATTTGATGTCTCAAAGATACTTTACCCACGGTTCTCCATGTTTATTCAACGCTGGTACCCCAAAACCACAAATGTCATCCTGTTTCTTGGTTGCCATGAAAGAAGATTCAATCGAGGGTATTTATGACACTTTAAAGACGTGTGCCTTGATTTCAAAGAGTGCTGGTGGTATTGGTTTGCACATTCACAACATTCGTTCCACTGGTGCTTACATTGCTGGTACAAATGGTACTTCCAATGGTATCATCCCAATGGTTCGTGTTTTTAACAACACTGCTCGTTACGTTGATCAAGGTGGTAACAAAAGACCAGGTGCTTTTGCTTTATATCTTGAACCATGGCACAGTGACATTTTTGATTTCATTGAAATCAGAAAGAATCATGGTAAAGAAGAAATCAGAGCTAGGGATTTATTCCCAGCCTTGTGGATCCCCGATTTGTTCATGAAGAGGGTTGAACAGAATGGTGAGTGGACTTTGTTTTCTCCAAATGAAGCACCAGGTTTGGCTGATACTTATGGTGATGAGTTTGTTGAATTGTACGAAAAATATGAAAGAGAAGGTCGTGGTAGAAAGACCATCAAAGCTCAAAAATTGTGGTACTCCATCTTGGAGGCTCAAACCGAAACTGGTACCCCATTCATGTTGTACAAGGATGCTTGTAATACCAAATCAAACCAAAAGAACTTGGGTATTATCAAGTCTTCTAACTTGTGTTGTGAAATCGTCGAGTACTCGGCACCTGATGAGGTCGCCGTTTGTAACTTGGCATCGATTGCTTTGCCTTCATTCATTGAGCAAGATGGCAAGCACGCTTGGTACAACTTTGACAAGTTGCACGATGTCACCAAAGTTGTTACTCGTAACTTGAACAGGGTCATTGACAGAAACTATTACCCAGTTCCTGAAGCAGAGAGATCCAACATGAGACACAGACCAATTGCCTTGGGTGTCCAAGGTTTGGCTGACGCTTTCATGGTTTTGAGAATTGGATTCGATTCCCAAGAAGCTAGAGAATTGAACATTCAAATTTTTGAAACAATCTACCACGCTGCTGTTGAAGCTTCTATCGAATTGGCACAAGAGGAAGGCCCTTATGAAACCTTCCAGGGCTCTCCAGCATCTCAAGGTTTGTTGCAATACGACTTGTGGAATAGAAAGCCCACTGAGTTGTGGGACTGGGATGAGTTGAAACAAAAACTTGCCAAGCATGGAATGAGAAACTCATTGTTGGTGGCACCAATGCCAACTGCTTCCACATCACAAATTTTGGGTAACAATGAATGTTTTGAGCCTTACACATCAAACATCTACTCGAGAAGAGTATTGGCAGGTGAGTTCCAAATTGTTAACCCATACTTGTTGAAAGATTTGGTTGACTTGGGAATCTGGAACGATGCTATGAAGAGTAGTATCATCTCAAACAATGGTTCCATCCAAGCCTTGCCAAACATTCCTGATGAAATTAAAGCATTATACAAGACTGTTTGGGAAATCTCGCAGAAGCATATTATTGATATGGCCTCTGATAGAGCTGCTTTTATTGACCAATCACAATCATTAAACATCCACATTAAAGATCCAACTATGGGTAAATTGACAAGTATGCACTTTTATGGATGGAAGAAAGGATTGAAGACCGGTATGTACTACTTGAGAACACAAGCTGCTTCTGCTGCTATTCAATTCACAATTGATAAAGCTATTGCTGACTCAGCCGGTTCCAATGTCGCTTCTTTGCATAAATTGAATAGACCTAGATACTTGAGCAAATCCAGGGGCGGTGCCACATCGACTGATGACTCATTTGAAAAGAGTCCATCAACTGAACCAACATCCTTGGAAAACTCCGTTGCTGAGTTGAAGATTGAAGATAAGAGTGAAAAGAGGGAAGACGCCAAGCAAGAAGGTGAACAATCAGAACCTGTTGATAATAGAACCATAGAAGAGATTGAAAGCGACATCTATAGCGCGAAAGTCATTGCCTGTGCCATTGACAATCCAGAATCGTGTACCATGTGTTCTGGTTAAGAAAATGAGATTTGTTTTGACTAGTTTGCTTTCTTGTTTAGATCTTTTGTTTTTATCTTTTTTGTCAGGTTTAGTTTCTCTTTAGTTTTGTTAATGTTTAATGTAAAGTTCATTTTTAGAAATGTGGTTGCTGCAAAAAGTGTAGAGGATTTGGCGAGTGTCGTGAAATTTTGAAGTGTGGCAACATCTAATTTTTGGCCCAGTTTACACGCACTCCCCTTTGTTTAAAGCAGAGATCAAGAAGTAGGACGTCATAAAATAGTATAGTGGGATATAAATAGATAAAAGTAATTAAATGAACAATACAAAGTCAATTAAATTTGACAACCAAGATCAAAATTTGCAACAGAGTGAATCACGAGAGCAAATCGATATAGTTTCTGACTCTTCAGATCTACATCCACAGGATCCTCAAGACATACCCTTGACAGATCTAGATCCTTCCAGAATGTCCGAATCGGAATTGTTTACTGAAGACTTTGACAACGAATCTGGGGATGAATATGTAAGGCTCTATCATCAAGACAGAAAGACAAGATGGCTTTATAAGGTGAGGCAGTTTTTCCATAGGTTGTGGGAAGGTCCAGTGGAACCTAGAGATGATTATGCACCCCGAATATCAAAGTTGGAGTTTTTTGAAGAACTACCTGTGAAGTTTAACCAGAATATATCATTGACTTACAGAAGAATCTTGCTTACTGTCTACATCCTATTCTGGTTTGGGCTATGCTACTCAATTTTAACACCATACTTGACAGTACCTCCTTACTCATCAGATGATTCCACTCCGCATATTCATAGTCTTACTTGTCTGTCACTGCGTGAATTTTGGAATGGAAAAAACGCAGCATGTGGTTTGCATGGTGAATTGTGTCCTCAAATTGCCAAGCACAGTGGTGATACTGATGTAGTAATTAGATGTCCGGCATTATGCGATCGTGGAAGTTGGACATATTCATTGATGCCAATAGGGGATCAGAGGATCAAGCATAGAGGCTACTTTGTTGGTGGTGGTGATAAAGTTGCCAACTCGATCGATGATAGCCAGCTTACGAACCCGTATCGAGCAGATTCGTATCCTTGCGGGGCCGCAGTACATGCTGGGCTAGTATCGCCATTTTGGGGTGGTTGTGCTCGTTTATCGTACAAGAGCAAGAGTCAACCATACTTTGAGTCAGCTAAGGGCCACTATGGCGTTGATGATTCGATCGAGTTCAAGTCCTTCTTCAAGTCTTCGTTTTATTTCAAGATGTTAAAAATAGACAAAGAAACATTTTACCAGTGCCATGATCCGCGTATTGTGATACTTATCACCAATGTTATTCTTGGTCTTCCTATTGTTTATCTTGCGAGTGGTGCAGCTGTATATTGGATAATAAGTATTGTGGGCTTTTGGACCATCTGCTTGGCCACTGATCCACCCATAACGGTAGATGCATCAGATCCACAAGATTTTGCTAGTTTGATTTCCATTGGATTGGAACGATTTCTACCTACATGTTCCATCTTATATATCTTATGGCATTCTTCAACCAAGAGAACTCTATCAGAGCCAACTTCTCCGGATGAAAAGATGTCGTATCTTAGTCGAGTTATTCTATGGTATCCGTTGTTTTGGTTGGGGGTGTTGAACAACGTTAGTTTTGATAGATTACCAGTAGACCGACTTACAGTCAGTGACTTGAAGGAGCAATCGGGTGCACTCCTAGCAGTTTCGTCGATAATCGTCACCATATCAACCTGTGCTGTCATCCAAGCTTACAAAATTTGGTTGTCAGGTCGGTTCAGAAAATACTTGATGGTCTATTCCATCTTTGTATTTGGGTTAATACTCTTGGCACAATTACCCGGTTTGAGTTTAAGGGTCCACCACTATATCTTGGCGATGCTATTGATCCCGGGTTGCTCAACACGGGGCAGAACAGCTCTCTTGTTTCAAGGAATTTTGTTAGGTTTGTTTCTTTCCGGTGCATCAAGATGGGGGTTGGCAGCAATTGCAGAAACCATTACATCGCTTAAAAGGGATGATCCTTTGGGGAAAATTGTGCCTCCTATTTTCACTGCTTATGACCCTGCTTCCGGAACTTTACAATGGCAACTTATACCTGATGATGTGGCAAATGTTGTAGCTTATAATAAGTACTCGTCGATTTCTTTGTTGGTTAACGACATTGAATATTTCGTTTTGGATAACACTTCTTCACTAGATTTGAAGAGTTTGTTGGAGAATACAACTAGTTCGATGTACAACCTAGTGAAAGAAGCACTAAGCAGTGGCATTAAAGACGCCAATGGTGACATACCGTTGTATATCAGAATTGGAAGAAAAATTCCTAATACGATGGTGTACAGTGATTTCTCAAATGCTGCTGTTTTGAATTGGCCGAGTGGGAAACTAACCTTGCCTACACCAGGCTTGACTTGATGGTTGACTAGATTTTATTGGCGGGATGGCTGAAACTTGATGTTTGAGGCTAATTTCATGCACCTGCTATTTGCTTATAGATGTGTAGTCTTTGAAAGTGTTATGCGTATGAGCTGCTGATAAAATAGTGTACGCAGATGATCAATAATAAGCTAGACTTGCCATATTACTTTGGCGACGTCAGTCATATGTCCCTTCTTCTAGCATAGAAATAACTAGCAACCTCAAAACGGCTCGCAGGTTGACCTTCTTCGGCTGTTAATGCTCTTGCGTACTTTCTTTTAACACTTTTGTGTCACTCGGTTTAAGCTACTACGCGGTTCCAAAAATTTCACAAGTTACAATTGCTACAAAGGTCAGACCATGATAGATTCGTTTATTTCACAACTTTATCAGATTGGTTCAACACAATGATTGTCTGGATACCACGTATTATACCATATGTTAATAGGATAGCACTAGCGCGAGCGAGAAAAATCACGGTATTTGCGAGATTCAACAGCAACCACAGCTCCAGTAAAGCAAATGAGCTCCACTCTCCGCACCCACCGAAAGCAAGCATAAGGTGGTTCTGTGCCTCGGATGTACCAATATCAAAACCAGAGTGGTTCAATTATACCAAGACAAAGGACCCAGAGTCATTTCTTCCCTTTTCCGAATATGATTCGAACCGATTAGAGCGGGCATTCAAGAATAAATCTAGCAAGCCAATTGAAGTTAATGAAGACAAGCTCTTTGAGGTCAATATTGACAAGTTCGAGTTAAATCCCGTATACTGGGAAGGTCCCATATATGAAGTACGCCGAGGCCTTTGGTTCAACACCGATGGTACTCCGTTGTCAAATGAAGTTTGCAAAAAACTTGAACAAGGGTACGGTAGAGTTAAACCGTATTTATTTGAAGGGGCAATGAGTGAAAAGAAACAAAAGGGTAATAAGGACAAAATTTCCAAATTTAACAAAATGCAAGCTGAAGAGGAAAAAGATGAGCAAAAGATTGATTTAACAGGGCAAAAGGACGTTTGCGACCTTGACAATGGACAACTTGTATTGTATTTCAATGAGAACAAGGCTGTCATGTTTCCTGACAATTACGATTCCGATTTCCAAATTGACGCTATACGATACTTTGGACCTAACCCTGTTTCATTGCTTGGAGTCAACCATATTCAGCGTGGTTATACCGAAGAATTGCAAGAAAGCGTATTTGACAAGTTACCTGATAATCCATTACCGAGCATTGCCGACACATTTCAAAATGAATTTGGCAATGTCTTGGGAAAATTGAATTTCGAAAGTGATGAGTCCAAGAAAGGAGAAGTAAGTGATACTGCCATTGACAATGACATTGACGATAAGCACATGCAACAATATCTTGAAGCTGATTATGATCTAGACACTTCGGAAAGTAAATCCAATCGAGAAATTGACCATTTGATCTTTTGTATTCACGGAATAGGCCAAGTCTTGGGGAACAAATACGAGTCAGTAAACTTCACCCATAATATCAATGTGCTTCGTAATACAATGAAAAAGGTGTATGAAGAGAATGAAGATTATCAAAATCTTGCATACCCAGACGGCCACGCCGACAAACACAATAACCGTGTTCAAGTTCTTCCTATTTCTTGGAGACATCGTGTTGATTTTTCTCCACAAAGGACGATACAAGAGAATAAGGATTCACGATTGCCAACGCTTTCACAATTGAATGTTGAGGGAATAAAGGCGTTGAGAAACATGGTTGGTGATGTAGTCCTTGATGTGTTGCTATACTATGAACCAAAGTATCTAAAACAAATATTCACCTCGGTTACGTCGGAGTTGAACCGCGTTTACAAGTTATACAAGGAGAGGAATCCTAATTTCAATGGGAAGGTGCATATTTTGGGCCATTCATTGGGCTCTTCCATTGCTTTTGATATCCTCTCTGGACAGAGTGGTACCATCAAAGGTTCAATAGATGTGAACAAGGACATAGGCTTTGACGTTGAAAATTTGTTTCTTGCTGGTTCCCCAGTTGGATTGTTCAAGCTTCTTGAAGGTAAGAATATCGAAGCCAGGACAACCAAGGGCTATGAACCGTCAAAAGATTCAACAGCAGTGGCGCCAAAGTGCAAAAACTTGTACAATGTGTTTCACCCTTGTGACCCAGTTGCCTATAGGATTGAGCCAATGGTTTCGCCAAAGTTTGGTGACTTTAAACCTGTCCCCATCAAGTTTGCCGTCAAAGGGTTCAACAGTCAAATCACAGAGTTGGCAAGTTATGGTGATGAGATCTCGGAAAAGATTGCTCTGGCGGTCAAATGGTTGAATCTTACAAAGAAGGACAAAAATACTGATGCTAAATCTATTGAAGAAAAAGCAAGGCAAGAGAATGCATTGGGTGATATCATTTCGAGTATTGCATTTACGGATAAAGAAGCCGAAGATGACAGCGAGGACACTAGTACGAAGAGAAAATTGACACCTAAGGAACTATCTATACTCACTTCATTGAATGAGACAGGAAGAATAGATTATAGTTTACCCATGGGAGTGCTTGATCTAAGTCTCATATCTGCTGTCAGTGCCCACATCTCGTATTTTGAAGATGAAAATACCGCCGGGTTCATTATGAAAGAGGTTTTGTCCAAGCATCAGCCACCAAAAAGTGAAACTGTAACTGTATATTAAAAGTGGTTTACATCCTCCCCCCCCCCCCAAAAAAAACAACTTACTTAATTAAGCAACAAGTCGTCAATACTTTGGTCTGCATCATGTTTGATTAACTCCAACATACCTTCAGGTAAAATAGGTTCATCATTATCATCAACAATATATCTAAACGGCATCTCGGTAGATTCGTATTTATTATATTTAATTTCAGGATAATCCAAAAATTTAATATTGTTAAACTCTACTCCATCTTCAATAATTCTTTGCGTAGTTCGAACAGCTGTGTCGGTAGTCATTTGCAAAGATCCTAATCTTCTTCCAACGAATCCATACTTTTCACGTAGTATTCCGGTACGATCTATCCGTGGATGCTGGCCCAATATACCGCCAAAAACAAAATATTTGAATTGCGACTTGTCTTGCGGAGTTAAATCAGTCTTGGCAGCAGGGTCAAGTAAACATACTTCATCCTTTTTCAACCCACCTTCTTCTAAATCTACACATTCTTTTGTAGTCCAGTTGATTCCAAGGTCAAGTAATCTTTGGGGAATGTCCTTCTCAGTAGTTGTTGGTGGAAGGGACGTAAGAATGAGGTTTTCTTTGCCCACATCTTTGATGATTTGTGAATATTCTAATATGACCCATTCCGAGAATCCTTCCTCCATGTGTTCTATCACGTATTTCATGGCAATGGGATTTTGGATCAAGGTAGTGAGGGAATGTTGTTCTAAGGCAGAAGCAGCGATGATCTTTGCGATTTTCATTTTTTTCACACTGCGGCTATTTGTCGCATGAGTTCAAAATGTTATTGCACACCCAGTTTACCCCTTCCAAAGTTGACGCTTGTGATGCCTGCCTTCTCACGATGCATATCTCTCATCAACTGTAAAGTTACTTTCTCTGGATCACACTAAAACTTAATTCCTATTAATTACTATAAATATATCCAAAACAAATGTTAAATCTCAAACAGCTTCCTACTCTATCCCCCCCTCACTTTTTACAGCATTCAGTAGCCAATCTCGATGACTTATCGACATTCAAACTACAGGTGTCAACACCAGCAGCACCAGCTTTAACTTCGGATGTAGTTCTAGCATACGATGGTTTAACATCCAATACTGGGTTTTCCGTGTGAAGGTTTCTTGGTCTCAATTGCAAATCAAAGATTTCGGTTGGCATCACTGGGAAATCTTCTGGGGCTGGGAAGTGAGTAATACCAAAAGTGTGGAAAAACACGATATCGGTATTGTTAATGTTTGCCGAACCATCGCCAATCCATTGTCTCATACCTCTTGGTCCATCACCACTCCATTGGGCTACGTGTTCACCTGAAGGGTACAACATACCGTACCCGTGCTCTTCATCCTTGTATGGGAGAACTTGTGTGTGGTTGGCAGCCCAAGGTGCTCTCTTTCTCACTAATGAACCAGGTTGGGCCAACAATGGTGAACAAAAGGTTGATACCAACTTGTAAGTTGCTGGTTTTCCAGAGTACTTGTGGATAGAGTTTGGATTGAAGATATCCCAAGTTCTGGCTGTGGCACCTTCAAAGTCAGTAATACCGTCTTTAACTGTGTTGAAGGTTTTCTTGTCACAATAGAATGCATTACCGTACATGTTTTCATTTGATCCAGTTGGGAATGGCGAAGGTCTAGCGTCACTTGTAGCAGCCGAGTTATTGTCACCATCAATTCTTGAGTGCAATCTCAATGAGAACAAATGTTGATGGTTGTGAGCATTGACATTTGGATAAACCTTGGTACCCCATGGTCCAATATCTTCATCATCAGCACAGACAAAGGTGTTTAATATACCAGTCAATCTGATTTCTAATTTGATAGTTCCATCTTGTCTGAAAATCCAATAAATGCAGTATTCATAGTTGGCAGCAGTAAAGATTTGAGAAATAATCAACTTCTTTCCTCTGGTTGTAACAGTGGTTTGGAAATCATCTCTAAAGTCAGAGTGTTTGAAAAGCAAACCGTCATCTTCTTCATGGATACAAATAGCATTTCTAACAGTAGCTGCGTCACCATTTGTGTTTGGGAAATGAGCATCCATGTATTGAATAACTCCTTTACAATCACAACCTAACGCCAAGGGGTTGGTACAGTTACCAGCACCATATTCACCGATATCCAAAGCGTGTTTTCTTTGATGAGGGAAATCAGGACAACCATAAGGAACCACCATTTCACAAAGGGAGATACGGTGGAACAAAGGTCTGACATTTCCATGATCATTGTAGGTCATGTCACTCAAAACAATACCTTCACGGTAGTTGAACCCAATATGGAAGTTGAAGTTGGACCATGACATGACGTGTCCATCCATTTTGAATGACACTCCCTCCGGTTGAGTAATGTTGATCGGAATGTTGTCGTTTCTGAAACCTGATGGGTTCTCCTTTGTACCAAACTTTTCAGCAATGTGTTTTGGATGGAAACTTGAGTGTTTAAACTTTGATAATGGTCTTCTCTTTTGGGGGATATCGATGTAGATAACTTTACCAGCATTCATATCAACGACAGGACAGAAATCAAATGGATGAGAATAATGAGAGTCATCCTCGTCTGATCTGTAGTACATCAAAGCCTGTTGCAATCTCTTTGATGACCCCCATCTCTCATCGTAACCAATAGTCCAAGCATCACAGTAAATCTTGTCCATGGAGTTGGGAGGTAACCCACTTAATTCACATTGTCTAATCACTTCAGGATCGTGACGAACAATTTCTTCGGTTTTTTGCAAATCGTGTGGTGTCAAGATTGGTTGAACTCCTTCGGTGTGTTTCATTTCAATAATTTGTTGAGCACCAATATCAACCAAGCCTTCGTGCACACCGGTATCACCATCAACAACAATAACGAAATATGCTATTCTTGGTGGTTTAGGTCCACTTTTCTCCTTCCACTCGTAGTAAGCTCTCTTGATTGGTTCTCTCAAAGTAATAGTGTTGAAGTTGAGAGACTTGTTGCTTCGGCTGTACTTTTCCTTAACAAGGGTGGATACCGATTTGATTTCTTGGGGAGTCAAGGGATCTAATGGGTGAGCTGGAGCTGGTGGGGCGCCGACAGCCGAAGTTGAGTGTAATGCCAATTGAGCTAATCTTTCCATCTTTATTGTTGTACCCTATATTATAGTCAATGAATTATTTCTTTAGCAAAAGTGTAGATAGCAAACGGTAGTTGTAGTATTTAAAGAAAGGAAAAGTTTCTTTGTTTATAAATGCATTTCGAAAGATGAGGGGGGAAGGAGGAGGACATGGACCACTATTTATATTGTAGATATCTGTGGTGAAATAATTACTCAAATCATTGAATTAGTTATGGAAAACTGTAAATGGGGCTAATATTATTTTTTATCACAAATAAATAGATAAAGTTACATATTATTTTCTTTGCATACATCTATTGGGAGATATGAGATGCTTTATCGTGGGTAATCTATGCCCTGATTAGCCAATAAATTCAAGAGACATGCAATATCGATATCTCTGTCAACCATCTCACCCTATGCATTAACCTGATTCGGCAAGCCAATCATGATTGCAAGATACGTTCAATATCCATCTGTCTCTGTATTATTGTTTGGGTTATATTAAGTGGAGATTTGATTAACTTTTTGTGCTGATTGAACAATTTGTGTGTATGCTCTTATCGATGCCCAATTAGGTAATAATTTCCATGTATGTAAAAAGTGGAAAGTTATTTCCGGGTATCACCTTCCATATATGGAAATACAAGCGGCTGTTGACTAAGAGCGGGCAATAATTTATTTTTTTTCCCTTCCGCAAGCGGTTGCCGCATTTGGAAAAAGGCATCGTCCTTTGCCTCGAATTGCAGTAACACCGCTTTGCAAGATAATCTTCTCAATTAATTACCGTTTTTGAAATGGTCTCATATAGCGAATGCTAAACAACGTGGCTAAGAAGTCCCCTACCGAAATAATCTTGCTGCAAACTTTTGTCAATAGTTTTTTGTTGCAAATTGAGGCAAAACTAAAGCATGAAAGAGATTAATTCAAAAAGTGATTCTTTGTAACACACTCTGAAAGAATAACAATAATGCGAATTACCACTAGAACAAGTTGAGTTCTAGTTAATTTAATTAAGACTGACGAACCAAATACAACTAAACCACGCAATAACAAGGAAGGGTTAAATCATTTACCAAATACGACAAAGAAGCAGCTGGTCGGTTTTGAAGTTATTCTGTCTTCTTACTCGCCATTTGTATAAGAGTAGCAGAAGTTTTTAGACAATCTTGCACTCCTTTTACACACAATTTTGGTTGCAACTTAATTTCTTTGTCGTAAAATTAACAAATTTGTCATAAGCAGAAAACAAAAACGGACGTTATGCGGCATCACGACGTAAAAGCTTGTAGCAGCACTTTATTATTATTTAATTAACTATATACTCTATGTAGGGAAAGAATGTGAATGAGAAAAACGTCAATACAGCATACGATGTTAATGCCACCAAATCCAACCCAATATGTACAACCAATATCCAATGAGCAATAATAATTAGTATAGCGTTATAGCTATAGATGAGATTAGATAATATGTGTCTGAAATCAGTGGTATTTTTCGATGTAGTGAAGTTGGCAATGACACTGGAGCCAACTGTAGCAGCATATGTAAGTGACAACATTATAAATGTGCCGATTTCACCAATGTAACCGGTGTAAGATAGTAGCATAATACCTGCTAATACAAGTGCACTCAATCCTCTAAAATTAGTTGATTGTCGGGGTAATTGCTTTTCATTGTAATCCATTTCATCACCGGAAAAGTCAGATTCATCCAGTTCATCGAGTTGAATTTGGGGCCCATAGCTGGTGGAATGGTACGGAGTCACCACACTGGTCAAAAATATGGATACACAGTAGATTATACTGAGAAGAAAGCAATCAAAGTTCAGCGACGACACTAGTTTCAATTGGGTGATAGTGGTGATGAAGCTCCCCCATACAAGCAACACTATTGAATACACATTTTGAGACTTTATGTGATATAGTAGAAAACAAAGGGATGCTATAATATTGATGTAGAAGTATGGTTGTGTGTTGAAAGTGGTTATTATGTCCTGAAGATCAGTTATAGCAATCATTTTGTGGGAGATGTGTGATTACTTGGGGGGTGGGTAATTAAATGGTGATATTATACAATTTAGTAAAAGCAATTATTTTCTGGAATATGTACTGGTACAACTGAGTAAGCACCAAAAGTAGGAATGAATATATATGAAGTTTGATTTTGAGACGGGCGTGTGTGTGTATGTGTGTGGTATTACTAATTGTCTTGTGCGAAGAGAGGTATCAAAATGTGTTTGCGCAATTGGTGACGATGTTAAAAAGAGTGGAATAATTGATGAATATTTAACATATGAAAACGATGTAGTGGTAGATGGCTTTCTTTTATCAAGAGGTTTGGGATTTAAGGAAAATGGGAATTACTAAACCATTATATATATATATGTATATACATAGGATATACGTTTCCTCTTACATTACATACAATTGTTTTAATTAACGCATGATGCGTAATTTGACTAAAAACTTTCACCATTGTTCTTTCTTTCTTTTTTAAGCGTTAATTGTGTCATCATCAGTTTCTCTCTCACAGTAGTAATAAGTTACATACGCACACAAACCTCAAAAGAACAATAATGGGTAATGCTAATAGCCCTTTCGGTCTAAATGCTCTACATACAAAAAGCGAGGTCTTTATTTTTCCTGCCAAGAGATACTGTCCTTAAAATTCCAACAATGTATCACAGAAGGCTGTTGTGGACCCAACTCAGTACAAGGTTATGCATGTAATATATTTCACATATACAAACTTTTCCCTACTGTTTGTTTCTTAAACAGGGTCAATAGTAAATATTCCCTCACTGAACGTGGCAGTTTCGTAACCCTCTTCCAACGTCAATCTTAAAAAAAATCATACCCCAATTTGGAAGACATGCAAACACTATGAGACGAGGTTTTGCAATCTTGGCTTTACAAAAAGGAGCTTTTTTCAGTGTTGCTATTTGTCCATATACTACCCCAACAGGTACTTTAGCTGTGAAGCAATGATTCCTTCTGCCCAACCATTCTGAATCAGAACCGTGGATGTTGTCTACGTCGAAAATTGGTTCGTCATTTGATCATTTTGCGGCAATTACAGAATTCCAAAAAGTTTATTTTTTTTATTTTTCTTTGTTTTTGTTCTATTTCTTTAGCCAGAACATCCGAAAAACTGCTGACACTAGTCATCACAATCTCCAAATTTCAATTCATCGTTATGCTACAGTTGCTTTCTTTCTTCTCCTCACACTGACACAGATTAAACAGAAGTGGAGCCTCTTTAGGATGAATTATCTAGTATCGCCTGCAATATGCGCTCTTCGAAGAAAGATGAACCGCGGCGTTGATAGTTCTAGACTTTCTCTCACCGAGATCCGTCTCGGTCGTAAAATGCCGAAAAAAAGCAGAAGAACAAAAAATACATTTAAAGTCAAACCACAAAGAGCTTTACTTGTGTAAACTTCAATAACCACTTAGAATACCCCTTTGAGGAATTTGATGGCATTCAACTTAAACGATGAGAGGAGAGGGGCCTTATACTTTCTAACAACTACAAGTTCTGCTTGTTATAACAACAACAGATAGATTTGGTTAACATCAACCCAACCATGTCTACAAAAAGATTGCCACTGCTAGCTTCTTCGTTCAACGGCACACGGCCAGCAAAAAATGGTTTCACTTGACTCGAGCGACCATTGCTATTATTAATAGCGCATTTTATGTATCTCATAACCTATTTGCATTCAATTCGGTTATGTATAAAACTATGACAATGAAAATGTAAAAGAAAAAATTAACAGTTCACAAAAAATCGACCATGAAAAGCGGCTGGAAATCCGTCGGTTATTAAAACAACAGAGAATCATTAACTATTAATTCCGAAATTCCCTCACGCAAGAATAAATCAAGTAGACGACGGATCTATACCCCATACCCAGTTCTCTTCATATCACCCTCGATTGAACTTGAAGTCAGTAGGAAAACCCCTGGGTTTTACTCATTTATAATCACCAGACAGCAATAGCAATCATGTGGGATCCTCAAAATCCCCACACCGTCTTCTTATCATTGTTCTTTTTTTTTTGGGAAAGGAATGGGCAGCCCGGTTGTATTGCTCTCTTACTTTTTTTTAACAATCGTGCATTTGTCTAGTCAAAGACTACTGTTTACTGCCGATACGGCTAACATACAAGTGACCCAATTAGCTCCTCTGTTCTTAGCAACACATGGTTGTTTAAGAACAATAAGGAACAGAGATGCTTGAAGTGTTTTTACCTTAACTGGAGGTACGGCTTGGTCATACTCTTTGTAACAATATCTAGCTAACCCATAAATACAAACAGACTAACGCCTTCCATTACTTCACGCCTGTATAACAATCTTTCACATATACTTCCTTTACTTTACTAAATAACTAATTGAAGGTTCGATAAATATACACTAAGCTTACAACTTATCGTAGTATTCTGTGTAGTCTGGAACTTCTGGTTTCAAACCTTGTCTTTCTCTCTTTTCCTTAACAATCAAACCTGGTTTGGAAGATGGGTCCTTGACATCACCATTCAAGATGGCCCAATGGTCAAAGATCAATTGTGGGAAAGCTTGACCACCAGTAGCTTGTCTCAATTCACCAGTGAAACCAAAAGATTCGTTAACTGGCAAGTAAGCCTTAACAGTAAACAATGGAGTACCTGGTCTTTGTTCTTCAGAGACGACTTGACCTCTCTTCTTGTTCAAGACTGAGTAAATACCACCAATGGCGTTTTCTGGACATTGGATTTCAACCAAGAAAACTGGTTCTTGGATAGCTGGCTCAGCCAACAACATAGAAGCGTAGGTAACTCTTCTCATGGTTGGAATGATTTGACCACCACCTCTGTGGATAGCATCAGCATGCAAGGTAACATCCAAAATGTTAATTCTAACTGATCTACAGTTTTCACCAAAGATTGGACCTTCTTTAGTAGCCCATTGGAAGGCAGCAACAACTGAATCTTTGATTTCGTTCAAGTATTGAACAGCCTTAGTTTGGTCAACAACCAAGTTAGGACCGTTACCATCTGGACCGAAACACCAAATCTTTCTAGCATCGGTGACATCCCATCCGTGCTTGTCAGCCAAGATTCTAGCTCTAGCCTTGAAATCATCTCTTGGGTTGATAACACCGTTTTCAATATCCAATGAGACTTCTTCGTCAATTGGTTGAGCTTTAACATAGATTCTGTTATGCTTGTTTGGTGACTTAGACAAAGCAACCATTGATGATTCGGCTTCAACAGTTTCTCTGTAAGAAACAACTGGTGGTGAGACTCTAATTGGGACACCAGCGTGGTCATTTTCCAAATCTGACAAACAAATTTCCAAGTGCAATTCACCGGTAGCAGCAACAATGTGTTCACCGGACTCGTTCATAGAGGTCATAACACATGGATCGGATTTGGACAATCTCTTCAAACCTTCAACCAATTTTGGCAAATCGTTAGCATTCTTAACTTCAACAGCAACTTGCACAACTGGTGAGACTGAGAATTTCATGACCTTCAAGTTGTGGGCAGATTCACTGGTGGTGATGGTACCTGATTTCAACAAGAATTGATCAATACCAACCAAACCAACAATGTTACCAGCTGGACAGTCATCGATTTGTTCAACGTTTCTTCCCATCATCAAAACAGTTCTTTGGATAGATTTGATGAACAAATCTTCCTTCTTACCAACTTGATAGTTTGGACCTTGGATTCTAACCTTTTGACCAGATTTAACAGTACCAGCAAAGACTCTACCGAAAGCGTAGAATCTACCCTTATCGGAAGTTGGAACCATCTTGGAGACGTACAACATCAAATCAGACTTAGGGTCACAGTTTCTGATAGCATTACAGATGGCATCATCGGATGGACCTTCGTACAAAGTTTCAGCTCTGTAGTGTTGAGCAGTGACTGGAGATGGCAAGTGCAAGACAATCATTTCCAACAAAGCATCAGCAGCTGGCAAGAATTTTCTCATAACAACCTTCAACAAAGCCTTACCTTCCAATTCTTTTTCATCGGATTTCAAGTTGATTTCCAATTTTTCCAACAAGACTGGAATTTCATCCTTCTTGAAGTTCATGATGGCAGCAAACAATCTAAAGATTGGGTCCAAGACAAACATGTTGAAAGCTCTTTCCAATGGCTTTCCATCAGCATCCTTGTCCTTGTTGGTCCACTTCTTGGTCTTTGGGTTAAAGTATGAGTCTCCCCACAATCTTTCCATCATCTTGGATCTGTCAACACCAAACTTCTTGGAGTACTTGGTAGCAAATTGTCTGACAGTGAAAGCCCAACCGTGCAAACCGGAACCGAAAGCAACAGTTCCCTTGTCTGGGAAAACTTGAGCATCACCCAAAACTGGGTCAACGTAGGTGGAGATGATAACGTTAACGGATTCAACAGTTCTGGCAAAAGATTGGTACAAATCTTCCTTGGTGACTTGCAATTCCAACAAAGCTCTGTCAACCTTGTTAATGATAACAACTGGCTTAATTCTTTCACCCAAAGCTTGTCTCAAGACAGTTTCGGTTTGGACACAGACACCTTCAACGGTATCAACGACAACCAAAGCACCATCAGTGACTCTCAAAGCAGCAGTGACTTCTGATGAGAAATCAACGTGACCTGGTGAATCAATCAAGTTGATCAAGAATGAGTTACCTTCAGTCTTTTGTTTAATGTCTTTGACATCTTCATCGGTCATAGCAGCATACAATGAGATGGCAGTAGATTTAATGGTGATACCTCTTTCTTGTTCATCCTTTCTGGTATCCATAAATCTGGCTTCACCAGCCTTACCGGCAGAAATAATACCGGCCTTTTGGACCAATGAATCGGTCAAAGTAGATTTACCGTGATCGACGTGAGCGATGACGGACATGTTACGCACATTGGCAACTTTGTCCATCAAGTCACGGATTTGTTCAATAGTGAAAGCAACTGAATAATAGTTAGTAACATTGTCGTCGTGAATTGGTTTTGCCAACAAGGGGACAGCCCATCAAAAAATTTTGGGAGCAAAAAGTAAAGAAAAAAAATTTTCATCCTTTGGTTAGCCACATGGAGACAGCAGAAGACGTTAAGAAAACGTCAAGTCTAATTGCTCCTATAGCTCAATCGATGTAAAATCCAGGTTCCTGTCATACCCTTTCATTTAATTCAAAAAAACATACCCATCTTGTAGTTTTTATTATGGTGTTAAATCCAATGAGTTGAGAAGGGGAAGGGGGGAAAAAGGTTATGTAAATGAGAAAAATTCTGAAATGAGAGAGAAGAAAAATTTTAAAGTGACTTTGGAATGAGTAGGTAGTGTACCCTTGGATAGAAAACAAAACCTAAAAGAGACACGAAGTACACTACTACTACTTACCAATGGAAAAACGAGGAGAACAGATTTAGTGACAGAAATGTAGCTGTCACGACACGACATTAGGAGCAGAGTCAATATCAATATCGAATTTATCGAAATTTAAATTAGGTTACAATACTAAGCACACATCTCTCTCTCTCTACATTGACGATGCCATTGAACATCACTGTATTAATATCAGGTTCTGGAACAAATTTGCAAGCATTGATAGATGCTCAGCTGGATGGTAATTTGCCCAACGGCGAAATAAATCAGGTCATCTCGTCGTCGAGCACCGCTTATGGTTTAACTAGAGCTGAGAAGAGCAAGATCCCAACAAAGGTTCATGCCTTGAAAGACTACTATAAGGGAATTCCCAAGGAGAAAACAGACGAGAGAAAAGCGAAAAGAGAGCAGTTTAACGTTGACTTAGCCAATCTTTTAATATATGGGTCGGTGGACAAATCAAAAGAGGAAACAGACTACACCAAGCCAGATTTGATTGTTTGCGCAGGTTGGATGTTGATTTTAGCTCCTTCAGTGTTGAAGCCATTGGAGGAAGCAGGAATTACTATTATTAACCTTCACCCAGCCTTACCTGGAGCTTTCGATGGTACACATGCTATCGATCGTTGTTGGAAAGCTGGCCAAGATGGTGAGATTACCGAGGGAGGGGTCATGATTCACAAAGTTATAGCTGAAGTAGATCGTGGTGAGCCCATTTTGGTGAAGAAATTGGATTTGAAAAAGGGTGAGACATTGGAAGAATATGAAGAAAGGGTGCATAAAGTGGAGCATGAGGCAATTGTTGAAGGTACAAACAAGATATTGGAAGAGTTGATCTTGTCAATAAAACTAGATAAGCTTATTCTATAGTAGTGTATTCTGTAAATATACGTGTATTGTACTTAAACATCTAAATAGGTTACCCACTTGAATGTTTTACAAGTTCTTGATAACTTCTTCCGTAAAGTGTGTAGTAGTAGCAGTACCCTTCAAGTCACCAGTTCTGTTTTGTGGACCAGAAGCAATGGTCTTCAAGACAGCTGATTCAATCTTGTCAGCATCACTGTGCATGGACATGTGTCTCAACATCATACATGATGACAACAACAAAGCAGTTGGGTTAGCCAATCCTTTACCAGCAATGTCTGGAGCTGAACCGTGGACAGCTTCGAAAATAGAAACAGTGTTACCCATGTTACCAGATGGAGTCAAACCCAAACCACCAATCAAACCAGAAGACAAATCGGACATGATATCACCATACAAGTTAGGCATAACCATAACAACATCCTTGTACAAACCTGGGTCTTGAGTCAATCTCAATGAAGTGTTGTCCAACAATTCGTAGTCCAATTTGACGTCTGGGTATTCTTGACCAATTTCTTTAGCAGTGTTGACAAACAAACCATCAGACAATTTCATGATTGAAGCCTTGTGAACAACCAAAACGTGTGGCTTGTTGATTGACTTGGCGTATTCAAAAGCATATCTAATAACTTTTTCAGAGGCAGGTTTAGTGATCAATTTGATTGATTGAACGACACCTGGAACAATAGTGTGTTCAATACCAGAGTATTCACCCTCGGTGTTTTCTCTGATCAAAACGGTATCAACGTTCTTGTATGGTGTGTCGTAACCAACAATAGATTTACATGGTCTGACGTTGGCAAACAAGTTGAAGGTTCTTCTCAAAGTCAAGTTCATTGAAGTGTGACCCTTACCAACTGGTGTGGCCAATGGACCCTTCAAAGCAACCAAGTTTCTATTTACCGAGTCGACAGCTTCTTGAGGCAAAGTAGTCTTTCCATCAATCAACAATGGAGTAACATCAACTGGCTCCCATTCGATTGGCACATTAGCAGCAGCGTAGATGTCCTTAACTGCTTGTGAAATTTCTGGTCCAATACCATCACCTTCAATCAAGGTAACGGTGTAGTTACCGTTTTCCTTCTTCTTACCGGTGAATTGACCAGCAATGTATGATCTGGTTAAAGATGGGCCTGTGGCTGATCTGAGTGGAATAGATTTAGCAATTTGTCTCAACATTGCTTCTGTTTATGATTGTAAATTTTGAGGTTGGGAATTGGGAAATTGAATAAATATCTCAAGATGAAGAATTCGGTGAACCTTTCAATGAGATTTTTTTTTTTTTCTTTCATTCTTTAAACTTTTTAGTACTCACTCATTCTCATTCTCATTCTCACTATTTTTATTTTTCTCTCCCAATATTAATGTATCACAATATAGGTGGTAAAATAATATCTCAACGACAAGAGACTAATGCTATGGATACTGGAGTTTACTAATGAACAACATGAAGCATGAGATGTGGACTCTATGAGCCGTAGCTGTAGCAGATATGCTGGTGTATTGACTGAGGTGCTTACTCTGTCACTCTCAGCTGTTATTTACCTCCCCCTTAACTCTACTTCGGAGTTATGAAATTTGCACACCCTCTTGTCCAATGAAATCAATCAATTTCTGTTTTGTGACCTTCTCTTTTACATTGACTTTTCGGACTCGACTTTTGATTGATGTAGATGTGTGCGTGTGCGATGCGAAACAAAATAGAAACTCCGAAAGCTACCGGATAAACTATTGGCACGTATTTCCACGGAATCTCAACTCTACTCAGCTTTACTCAACTTACTCAGCTTATTCACCTGGAACAGTTCAAATTTCGATAACACAAGTAGATGATTCTAAGAGACTACTAAAGGTCATGACACTTCTTAATGGAATGTTGGATCAATTTAGCAAGCCTAAAGCATGTGTATAGCCCCCCCCCCTAGCCAAATCAGCTCCAACAGCAGTATCAGTACAGTAGAACTCTACATTGACTATGATAAGGGATCAATGTCACCAGAGATATTTTTCAACTCTCTACACACAGAGTAGATTCACTTAGTTTGTGCATTACTTCTTTAGATCAAACACACCAAGATTCTTACCGAAAGGTTCTTGACTTGACGATACGGATAACTACTCTTCCTTGCTTGTAAACATACACTATGAGGGTAATCGTTCAAACTTATATCCCCCCCCTCCCCCCCCTGTACCTACTTTCCATTGATTTCGTATGGGGCATACTAAACGCGTCTGAAAAAATAAGAAAAAAACTTCTGGTTACAGCTCTCAATGCCTCTCCACATATAAATGATAAATATCATCAATTGGAGAAACATCTATGTACTAACGATCCCACTACGGATCGTATTCACATTATCAAACTCGTACATACATCCCGATGAACATTTCCAGTCGCTAGAAGTTCTTGCAAACAAAATACTAGGGGTTGAAACCAATATACCATGGGAATTCAGTAGCACTGCTCCAGCTAGAAGCTACGGTCCATTATACCTCATATATAGTCCAGTTTTATACTTGATTAAAGTACTAAATTTGAGCTTATCCCCAATACAAATTTGGTATATTCTTCGATTGCAAAATTGTCTAATCAGTTGGTTAGTCACTGATTTTTGCTTGTACTGGATGTTACCCATAAAACATGAACGAATCAAGGCTATATTCTTCACACTGACTTCATTCGTTACTTTGGTTTTCCAAAACCATTTGTTTTCAAATAGTGTCGAGACTGTGTTATTGATTTCTACAATTTACATCATTGATGATTTAAGATATATTGAGGAGAATCGAGACTTGCATGATGTCAATAAAATCACTTCTATATTTTCTTTAGGAGTGTTGGTATCGATTGGAATCTTCAATAGAATTACATTTCCGGCCTTTTTGATTCTCCCTGGTTGGTTTGTGCTCAAGTATTTTACTAGTCATGCACTATCGCTCATTCCTTTGATATTTGGGTTTATTTTACCATCCATGGTATTTGTACTATTTGACACTCAGATGTATCAATCACAACAGTTTGTTATCACACCATTGAACAATTTGCTTTATAATGTGAACGTTGACAATTTGGAATTACATGGTTTACACCCGTGGTATACACATTTACTAGTCAATTTGCCCCAAATTCTCGGCCCAGGTTTATTATTCATTATTTCCAAAAGGTATTGGAAAACAACTGCATTTTCATCAATTGCAAGTGGCCTTCTATTTCTTTCAATTGTCCCACATCAAGAACTTCGATTTCTCATTCCGCTTTTACCATTATGCTGTTGTTGCTTTGACTTGACCCAAAAATGGATATCTCCTTTCCTAGTTTACTTGTGGTATTTATTCAACTTGATAATGTGTTTGTTAATGGGCGTCTTTCACCAGGGGGGAGTCGTGCCTGTACTAAGCTTTATACAAGAGAACAATCTAAAAGGCACTCATGTTTGGTGGCACACTTACTCGCCTCCATCTTGGTTCTTGGCAAGTCGTTCAGTTGAAACCGTGACACTAGATGGTGTCAGGAGTAGTACCAAAGACTTTACTTTAATTGATGCAATGGGACTGGACTTGGATCATGTCGAAGCATTTTTGTACAGAAGAGACCAACCTACGTACATTATTACTCCAGTTGCTTCGTTTCATAATTTCAACGCTACTCGCTTTAAACCAGTTTACAACTACACCTACCACATCGATTTAGATCATATAGACTGGTCGAATTTCCAATTAGGCTTGGGCATTTACGAGTTAATCATATAGACAAGAATCTGTTTGGAGAAGACAAATGTTTTATTATGTATAATTTATTTATAGAACTCAAATTTGTCATGCTCAGTTCCCGTCTTCACTTGTGAGCTGTAAGCCTCTTCCAAATCATTCTGCAAAATCATATATCTATTCTTTCTCACAGCCCTTAAACCAGCTTCTTGCATAATAGCCGCTATTACAGCACCCGATAACGGATCATTCCTTATTATAAGCGAGTCCAAGTCCACCTCTGGAGCCAAGGACATCTTTGATGCTATAGTTGTGAAAATCAACCTTCTTTCCCTTCTGTCTTTCAAGTTTGGGAACTCAATCTTTCTGTCCAATCTACCCGGTCTCAACAATGCAGGATCTAATGTGTCGGCTCTGTTCGTTGCCATAATCACCTTGACATTCGACGTTTGGTCAAACCCATCCATCTGGTTCAACAACTCCAACAAGATTCTCTGCACTTCACGATCAGCACCAGTTTGGGCATCAAATCTTTTCGTTGCAATTGCATCAATCTCATCAATGAAAATGATGGCTGGTGAATTTTCTCTGGCCAATCTAAACACATCTCTCACCATACGTGGACCTTCACCGAGATACTTTTGAACAAACTCGGAACCATTGATTCTTATAAACGAGGCCTTGGTGGCATTGGCGACAGCTTTGACCAACATTGTCTTACCAGTACCTGGTGGACCATACAACAATACACCGCGAGGTGGGTCTATACCAATTTGGCTATACAAATGTGATTGTTCCAATGGCAACTCGACAGACTCAACAATTTCTTGCTTTTGCATATCTAGACCACCAATATCAGCATACGTCACATCAGGCTTTTCATTATCTCCAACAATAGAGATAGAAGAGTCAGCTTCGGGTGGTAAAATGTCGACCAATGCGTTGGAATGACGGTGTAATGCGACTGACGACGATGGCTTCAACAATTCACGGTCCAATGTGGATAAAATACGCACAACGTAGTTTGACCCCGTTGTCGATGAAACGATACCGGTATTTTCATCTATAGGCTCCAAGAATTGACCAATTACCAAAGGCACCGATTTAATTCTCTTCACCTCTTCTTGTGCTCGAATTAATTCACGTTTCAAATGACGCTGTTCATCTTTTATGTACTCCTCTTGTATCTTTATCAAGTCTAGCTCCTTCAATAAGGACTTATGACGTAAAAATATATCAGTACTTCCGTCCATGTTTTATCTTCTGCTGTTGTAGTGGGGTGGAGGACTCCAATGAGTTTGACGATCAATAGGTTTAATGTAGTGGCAAATCTCAATTGTGTTGAAGAATATGTAGCGCGAGAAAGTTGATTTTTTTTCTTTTGCACCAAAATTGTATATGTGTCGTGCGAATGGCAAATATCAGTGCAATAAGGGAAATGAAAGTCTGTATGAACGAAGAATACGGGAAAGAAGCACTTAAGAGGCTATGGATTAATCTTTCTGTAATTATTCTATTCTTGGCATTCTATAAACATCTATTTACAAAGTAGAGTGATAATGGAGCCAAGACCGCAAGCGACTACGCTAATCACCGCTGTGTATACACCAAACTCGAATTTATCTAGTTCTAGTGACTTAACTTGAGGTGACATAATGGCCTTGTAATTTCGTACACAGACTTCCTTCAAGGTAGGTAATTGACTGGCAAAGAGTTTGAAATGAAAATTTGACAATGAATCGATGCCAGTTTCACTTTCTGTCTCGTTGTAATTTAGTTTTGACTGCTCCTTGCTTTGTTTGCTAACATCCCCGTCATCCTGTTCTAACTGTTCTATTATCGGCTCCAAAATCTGTTCGTTCTGTTGACTGATTCCAACAAGAACATTCTTTACTTTGTCCTCAAATCCTTTCACTAATTTCGCTCTCTTCCACGGTTCAACGATAAATGTAGCAAAGACAAACAACAAGACGTTAAGGCCCATCAATATCCAAGTGCCCCACGTGGAAGACCTTCTTATTTTATCGGACCATATTTGTTCCTCGTGGTATCTCGTCAATATCAGCTGGGTCAACTTAAGCTGGATTCCATCCACCTTCAGTTCAACATCCTGCAACTTCTGCTCACACTTTTGTTCATTATTCTCGTTTTCATGGTCGTTGCGGTACAATTCTGTAAATCTTTCCAAATCCTGCAGCGACCAATTGTGCTTTCGCGTTAGCAATTCGTTAACCTCTCGCTGCGAATGTGATCGTTTCTGGATAGCGTCACTATAATCCAATTTACACTTTTTAACCTCCTCTTTCGCCTTCTTCAAGTCTTCTTCTTGATTCTGAATGGATTTCTTCAATCGCTCTATTGCCGAGTAGCCAGTGACATCATTCAACGCTCTGGTCACTGTAAGTATTGTATCATGTGCCGAATCTAAATAGTGTGATACCTTCTTTGCAAGCTGACTTTGCTGCTTTGCTTTCTGTGAAGGCAAGTCTCCAATTTCTTCCTGGATTGTTTCATTTATTTCTTTGGCTAAATTTGGTATATCTGATTCATCAATTGCATCCTCGGTACTGGCAATAATTTTATCTTCCACTCTCAATTTTTGTTGAGTACCCTTCTCCTTATTCTTTACAGTCTTGTCGTGGACTTCTTCATCTACCCCTTTAAGTTTTCCTGAATCGGTAGTACTGAAATTCGCTTCGTGTTTTTTATTAACCTTGGAAAGTTCAGCTTCACGATCCTCCGCCTTTCGCTTTTCCTCCTCTTCCCTTTCCTTTGCTTTCAATTTCCTCGACACTTCCCTCTCCTTTTCCAATTTCTTTCGTTCCTCTTCGAGCTTCTCTTGTTTTGATTCCTGGCCGAGGTTGGTGCCTTCAATTATTTTGCGCAATTTTTCGTCATTAATGTTCGATAGGTAGTCTGGCTTCTTTGACTGTAGACGTATAAATGTGGCAAGAAGTGGACGGCGTATGAGCACTCTTGTAGCTCTTATGCATAGAAGCATTCTCTGTCTTGATCGTTTTCAAAACCGATACTGGGGGGTTATAAAAATTTCTGTTTTGATAGAGCGCGAATCGGCGGCCCAAAAGGTCAAAAGCTACTTAGAGATACAAAAACCTACACTTACGTCTAACTTCATAAAGCAATACAATCAAATTCATTCCTACTAAAAGTTTGTGTCAACCAACTCCTCAACCATCTTCCAGTTTTCTGCCTCAGCATAATCCAATACGATAATTCCCACACCCTTATGGAAAGTTTCTTGAATATTACCTTTAATCATGGCCTCGGAGATAGGCTGTGGCCAACAATTTTGGTCAAAAAAGTTTGAGCCTGATGTGAAGTTGAGGAACAACTTATCATCGTGATTATTTGTATAGTCTTGTGCTTTTTTGGCCAAATCCTTGACGTATTGGATTTTCTTTGGCAAGTCGTCTGCCGATTGCACTTCGCAAAAATCTTGAACCACAAAAGAACCACGGTCGTCGTCGGTGGTGTTGTATGACCATGACGATGCACCGAAACCAAATTGGTTCCTTAAGTTCTCGTCCTGGACGCCGAATCTTCTGAATAGCAATGCTTTTCCACGAGCGTCCCTAACTCTTGGTATATCCGTATTCAAGTACCATCTGTCCTTGTTTGGATTGACGTAGTGATCCCAGATCAATTTTCCAAACTCGTCCTGTTGATTATCCCAGTCATCAGAACCTTCCTGTTTTATAGAAACAATGACAGTCTCGCTTCTGTTGTGTTCAAGGAATTTGTAAACTTCTTCCAATACTTCCGTCAATTTCAAGGGAAATGGAATCTTTACCGGGAACTTTCCATGGATAACCTGCAAGTCCTTTTTGTTATCACCAATGAATAATTTTCCGACTCTGATATCAAGGAACCTGACCCCGTGTTCCAATTGTTCGGTAACACTAGCACCTTGGCATTGCACCGAAGGTAAAGCTGTGTGACAAGCAGCAGAATTGTGCGTACCAGGAATAGACAACTTTGAGATTTTAGTGTCGTCGTTGATCTCTCCAATCCAGTTTTTGTAGTTCACCATTGTTAAAAAATTTTAGTGTGTGGGAAGAACAATTAATCAATTGGATGAACAGTTTCAGTGGAATTCAATCCCCTTTTTATACATATAGGGTGTAAAATTTTTTTGTTGACCCACCTCCCCGGCAAAAGATGAAATTTCGTATATACAATAAGAGAGGAACCAGTTGGAAAACGAGTTTGTGTAATATTCAATTACATCATTTAGTCCAACTTCGCCGCGTTGCAACAGAGAACCCCAGGAGGGGGAGGGGATTGTGACCATAGAGTGTTTGGAGGCAATTAAAACAATTTTACAATTATAAATTTTCATTATCCTTTGATCTAACCTATACGCTTTCACTTACTCATCCTGATCCTTCTTTCTATAGTAGTCTTCTTCTTCCTTCACCACCGATTCCTCACTGTGGTTTGGTACGACATATATATCCTTATCCTTATCTTCGACCTTGGCAACTTCACCTTCTTGGATCTGTCCCTTCAACATAAGCATAGCAAGTGGGTTCAACAATTTCTTTTGAATTACCCTGTTCAAAGGCCTTGCCCCATACACTGGACTATACCCTTGTTCAATCAACAACTCCTTAGCTTGCTGTGTCATCTCCAACACTATACGTTTGTCCAACAAACGGTCATCAATCTCACGCAATCTGATATCCAAAATATCTTTCAATGACGTCTTTGATAATCTATTAAACACTAGTGTGTCGTCCAAACGGTTCAAGAATTCAGGTGGGTAATAATGCTTCAAGTTATCCAACACTTGCTGTTTAACCTCTTTATTAATATGTCCATCTTCGTGCGTATTCTTGTCGTTCAATAAAATGTCTTGTCCAATGTTGGAAGTCATTATAATGATTGTATTTTTGAAACTAACCTTTGTACCATGCGAGTCTGTTAATGAACCTTCGTCCAACACTTGCAACAACACCTTTGCAATATCTGGATGAGCTTTCTCAAACTCATCAAACAACACTATACTGTATGGTTTTCTTCTAACAGCTTCCGTTAATTCACCCCCTTCTTCGTAGCCAACGTATCCTGGTGGTGCGGAAAGCAATCTCAGGATGGAATGCTTTTCTTGGAATTCAGACATGTCAAACCTGACTATAGCGTTTTCATCGTTGAAAAGAAACTCTGCCAACGCTTTGGTTAAAGCGGTTTTACCACAACCGGTCGGACCAAGGAACATGAATGAAGCAATTGGTCTGTTTTCGTTTGTCAAACCGGCTCTTTGCAACCTGACTGCATCTGAAACAGCATGAATAGCCTCATCTTGACCAACAACTTCCTGTTTCAAAATCACTTCCATATCTAAAAGCTTGTCTTTGTCACCCTTCAATAAGCTACTGACAGGAATTCCAGTCATTTTGGATATGACTCCTGCAATATCATCTGACGTGACAGAGTCATGCAAAAGATTACTGGATTTGCTAGCTTGCTCTGACTGTGTCAACTTGAGCAATTTGGATTGCAACTCCGGGATTACAGCGTATTGTATTCTCGATGCAGTAGCATAATCACCATCTCTCCGGCTCTGGTCTAACTCGTGCCTAGCTTCCTCCAATTTTGATTTAGCTTCTTTTACATCATCAATAACCCTTTTCTCGGACTCCCACTGTCTGGTTAGCTCCTGAAGATCTTTCTTTTTAACCTCTAAATCTTCTTCCAACTTGATCCTTCTGTCTTTTGAAAGCTGATCTTCTTCTTTGCGCAAGGACTCCAACTCGATCTCAATCGTCATGATTTGACGATCCAACTTGGCCACCGCATCTGGTCTCGATTCATGTTGCAACCTTAATGTCGAACTAGCTTCGTCTACCAAATCAATTGCTTTGTCGGGCAAAAATCTATCTGTGATATATCTGTTCGAATACGTGGCTGCAGTAACCAATGCTGAATCTAAAATTCTGACCCCGTGATGAACTTCGTATTTCTCCTTCAATCCTCGAAGTATGGAGATTGTGTCTTCAACAGTAGGCTCACTGACTTGGACTGGGGAAAATCTTCTAGCCAACGCAGCATCTTTCTCAACATATTTCCTATACTCATCAAGAGTAGTCGCGCCACACATTGATAATTGACCTCTAGCTAATGCCGGCTTGATCATGTTACTGGCATCGATAGACCCTTCGGCTTTACCCAAACCCATTAATAAATGGAATTCGTCAATGAATAAAATGACTTGTCCATGTTTGTCTTCAACCTCTTTCAAAATGGATTTCAACTTGCTTTCAAAATCTCCTCTAAACTTGGCCCCACTTATTATCCCCGCCAAATCCAATGTAATGATGTGCTTGTCCTTCATTGACTCGGGAACTTCTCCTTTGATGATTCGTTGAGCTAGACCCTCCATGATTGCCGTTTTACCGACACCTGCTTTACCCACCAATATAGGATTGTTCTTAGTCCGTCTAGACAATATTTGTATCGTACGGCGAATCTCTTCATCTCGTCCTAGAACTGGATCCAACTTACCATCCTTTGCCAATTGGGTTAAATCAGTACCAAACTTTTCCAATGCAGGTCTATTATCCTGGTCATCCGGATTTTGTTGCATCTGCAATGACCTAGGTGCCGAAGAATGGAATCCTCTAATTTGATGCAAGGAGCCAGTGTTTTGATGCAGTGGTAGAATTGAAGTTGCCACCATCTGAGTTGGCTGTGGTGATGACTGCTTGTGCTGTGGTTGCGATAAGCATTTTGTTGTCACTGGCAAATATGTCTGCGTCAAGCGGAGGCTCGGAACAGTTCTTAGTGCTCTATTTCTAACTATTTTTGATGATAACATTCTTAATTTGTAGCGATTGTGCTTTGTCAGTTGTATGAATGTGAAAAAAGTCAGAAAAAAAGGGTAGAATACTATGGACGAAAACCTGATTAAATTTATAGCAATGTTTCTTCAAATGTCTGATTATGGAGAGGTGAATGATACTTCTGTAGATTGTTAAAAGAGTGGTACAAAACTGATTTGAAAAGATCACAGAGGAATTTCATAGAACACAAAGAAATTTCTGGAACATCTGCGAACTCTATTGTGAAAATAACGTCACGCTTTACATTAGAGTATATATAATAGATTTAGCTCTATTTGGTATTAGTTTAACGATGCAAGGGAATGAAGATACTAGGACTATGACTGTACTAATGGCGAAAGCTTTACGTTATAGAAGTCTTTTCATGACTTAGTTCTAAATTTGGATCCAAAGTTTGACAAAAATGAAACTACAATTCGATGTAAAGGTCTATAATATTCGAATAATACATTTTTCTACGAAATAAACTCTAAATACCCGTTGAGTAGCCTTGAGCCCCCAGCTACCCCCTTCCAGCACCACCGTTAGATCTCCTGTCGACACTTCTTTGTCTGAAATTGTCGTCCACGCTGGATTCTACCTCCCCACCTTCGTCACTCCACATGTCATAATCGTTTACATACTGATCGTCATACTCATCTATCTCTCCAGAGACACCCTGACTGTCATGCATATCTCCGCCATCAAATACATGACTGCGGCCTTCACCTTCAGTTTGCCTCGTTGCTTCATTCTCATGAAAATCGTGTCCAGCACGGTCTGAATCATGAGACAGTTGAACACCTTCGACTCCTTCTTGCGTGGTATGGCCCACGCTTAAATTCTCTTCCCTATCCTGTAGGGGGATCGAATTTGTTCTAGCCACAGACCCCTCAGAGTTAGTCAGCGTGAAGTACTCTTTCAAGCTATCGTCTGACCTTTCTTCAACGTGGTTAATTGTCGTTTGACCAGTAATCTTACTGATTACCCAGTCTAAGAGAGTGTCCAACTTGGAACTCTTCTTTGCCGAGTCATTGTTTTTAAAACTAACAATATCTTCATAGCTTATTCTCCTTCCTAGGACATTCATAAGCTCATACCTCTTTTCAAGAATCCAAATGTTATAAATCCATTCCCAAATGACAGTAAGCAAAATGATTTCAATCAAATAGGGAATGAGGACTAACCATGTTCTCACCAACCACTTCATTCGAAATAGGGAAACATGAAGAATATTGATGACAATGTCCAAGATGAATAAAGACCAGACTAAAATTGCTAAAGGTAACAACTTCTTTGAGTAGCAGATTTTGCGTGGATTCTTCATGACTGTCGTGTAATAAGCAAGCACTCCAAGAAACCAAAATGCAACAAGTAGCCGCAGCGTTACGCCGGCAATATCCCAACGGTGGTACAAAGTGAAATCTTGCATTTCATGAGTTATATAGTCTCTTGTAGTGAACGTTACTTGGAAATATGTGTAAATGGCAATGTATGTTCCCATGAGTATAAAATTAACTATTGCGGTAAATGACTTGTACTTCAGTCGTACCAATCGTTGGATAATTTGAAACCAAGACAGCATAGTGAATGCTTGCGTCAAAATCATCAATACTCGATAAACGTTGTTGTCATAGAGTTTGCAGTTCAATTTTATAATGTCCAAATTATCATGGTAGTACTCGACTTCAGCCGCTTTTGTGAGTCTATCAAGTAACACACTGGTGACAATGGCATAGAATATTGTTGTTATTTGGGCCAACCATGGTTTTCTTCGATGCTTTGGGGTCAAGTACAATAGCAAACTCAACATCCAACAAGAAACACACGAACCGCACAATGTGAAAAGAAGAGCTATAAATGTGTCACCATTGTCTCGTTCATTGTAGGGACTTCCATCGATTCCCAACGAATTACCATTCTGGTGGTAGTGCAGAGAAGTCAGGTTTTCTTGCTGGGAAACCAACTCAATAAGACGCGGAATGGAACAGTTTGTGATAAAGTATGCCGGAAGAAGTTTATGAAGATTGGTTGCATTGTTCCATGTTTGGTTGTAGTGGTCTAATAATTTGATGGTGCCGTTGGTCAATGAGTAAACCGAACAGTTGATGGGTATGTTGTTTTGCAGTAGATATATTAGCGAGTTATTCCCCATCGCTGGATCCAAAGGGGGTATATAATTTTCAAACAGCATTGTAAGAACATTTGAAAGGGGGAAATGTTGTTGCCTTTTATACTGGTGTGATAATACGCTTGGCTCTGTACCTCTTTTCTTTACTGAGACAAGAATAATAAATTTTCCGTTTTCTTTTTTTACTTTTTATGATTTTTCTTTTCTTACTATACACCAGCATTTCACAGCTAATTCTTTTACTCTGTTTTTCAAACAATAGTGATGCTGCTTACCATCACCACCAGAGTAAAAGCACGAATGTAACAATATGTAAAAGCACTGAAGTGGCCTTTAGTTCCACTCTGTGTGGACAAATAAGTAAGCTTTGTCATGTATTGTGATGGTCAATTTCTTGGTATTGTCTTTTGTTATTTTTTCTTGGTGTCGTAGACTATGCTGATATCTTTTTTTGCGACACTACACTAAAGGACTTGCGACTTTCTCGTTGTTGTATTTCCGTTTCACGTGCTATAGCTCTCCAAATATCGAGTATCGGATATTCTCAGGAAAAAAAAAAAAAGAAAAGAAAATATCAACACTTTTTGCTCAATTGAAAGCTGCAATATCCCAAAGCCAGAAAAAGCGTGTTGGTTATTTTACAATGTCGTTTGCCAACAGCAATGAGTTGTCTCAAAACTTGCAGGCATTGGACCTAAATAATCAGCAGCCTCTGTCACATTCAAGCAAGAAGAGATCAAGACGAGCATTTCACACAAATTTCAATTCTCCTGTTGCAACAGCGGCACCAACAGTAGCGCCAACCCCAGCGCCTATAAACTCATCTGGCGTACCACAGGCTCCAAACTTTAGTGACTCGTTAAATGCGCAAGTCCACGGATCACAATATCCGCCGCAGACTCAATCTGTTTCAGTAAGTTACGAGTCACACAACGCGCAGCAATCGGTACCGTCGTTGCAATCTTTTAGATATTTGGCACAAAAGGAGTATGACACACCAAATGAGGAAGGTAATTACAAGTCATTTTTAACCTTTTCAGAAACAGTTCCGCCTGATGCAGGAGTGCAGTTTCATTTCACCGATCAAGGCACGGCCTCTTCCAAATACATGCGCTCTACGATGTATTATGTCCCAGAATCAGAAAAACTAAGACTGGCCAGCAAACTACCAGTGGCAATAACAATCAGACCATTTGCACCACTCTTGGAAACAGAGGAGCCTGTACCAACAGTCGATTATCAGAATGATGTCAATCCTGAAATTGCCTCAGACAACGAAGATCCATTGAGTAAAGGCCCATTGAGATGTCACAGGTGTCGAGCTTATGTCAATTCATCGATGCAGTTCACGCACAATCAAAGGTTTATTTGCAATATTTGTCAGTTTGCCAACAATGATGTTCCACCGGAGTATGCATCAGCTCTTGATGCTAGAGGCTTCAGAATTGACAAATTAGTCCGCCCAGAATTACATAAAAGTGTATACGACATGCGTGTTCCAAAAGAGTACAACTTTGGGGACAGTCACAAGACCCCCGAGCCTTTACATATTGTATTTTTGGTTGATATTTCAGAAAATAGTATCAAACAGAGTTTACCAATTTTGGTAAGTGAGTCTATTAGAACAACTTTGTTCAACTACAAGGAGGGTGCATCTGAAATACCAGCTCCTTACAAAATAGCCATCATGGCCTTCGATAAGAAGTTGCATTTCTTTAATTTGTCCCATAGGTTAGAAAGGACCCAGATCTCCATCTCCTCAGATCTTGAAGACCCCTTTGTTCCATTTGATGAAGGCTTGTTTGTGGACCCAGTTGAAAGCCAGTTTGTTATAGAAGATGCATTGAACTACCTTGAGCAGTTGTGCAATTCTGAGACACACGCGTTCGACTTAGAACCTTGTTTTGCAGTTGCTTGTAAAACCGCGGGCATGTGTTTGGAGATGCATGGTGGGGGTAAAATTGTATCGGTTTTGTCAAACCTACCATCTTGGGGCCCAGGAGGGTTGACATACAAGGACAACAAAGCTGTTGGCAGAACTCCGGCACCTGAAGTGGAAAAGAAAATATTTTTACCCAACAGTGAGTATTACAAAAGCATGACAAAGTATTTTATTCAAAGTGGAGTAGGATTGGATCTTCACGTCGCATCGCATGCCTCTGTTGATCTTTCAAACCTTGGATTTTTGGTGTCATCAACAGGAGGAGAGTTGACACGCTGGCCAAATTTGAATTACGAGAGAGATGGCCGCTTATTCATTGCCAAGTTCAAAAACTCAGTCGTGAATACAACTGGTTATCAAGGGCAGTTGAAATTACGATGCTCGAATGGATTGCAAGTCATTGATTATTACGGTACTTCGTCATCGATAAAAGACACCAGCATATTAGGGTCAGTGCAGGATCCAGTAATCCCTGTATTAAGCAAGGATCACACATTTACCGTATTACTTCAGTACGATGGCATCCTCAGTCGGAAGCTAGATTGCCATTTCCAAGCAGCATTGCTCTACACTGACAACTATGGTCAAAGAAAGGTCCGAGTAATTAACTTGGTTTTGGCAGTAACAAATAAACTAGAGGATGTTTTCAATTTTGCAGATGAAAACGCCATTGTGGCAACATTGGTCAGAGATACACTCAATTTCGTAGGTCAGCAGACCTTGGTCGAATTGAGAGAGTCGCTCAATACAAGGTTGGTGGATGTTTTCTCGCAATATAGAGCCATGACCGAGTATGGCCACAATCGTGCGAAAACGTTGAGCAATAACCTTTTATTCCCAGACTCATTGAAACACCTACCGATTTACATTTTGAGCTTTTTGAAAACGCATTCAATCAATGCTTCGACTGGATTGTCGGCAGACGCACGGTTAGTTGACTTGTTCAACATGTTAAACATGCCTTTGGAGAGATTAATGTATCACTTGTACCCAGCATTGATTGAAATACATTCACTAGCTCCAGAAGAAGGGACCATAGATGAGGCTACTGGGTTTACAAGACTTCCTGAATATAAGGGCTTGTCGTTAAAGAGTTTGGATAGAGGGGTTTACATTTTATGCGACGGAGTTAGAGTGTACGTATGGCTCGATCCAGAAGCAAGCATCATGCTTATAAAGGATCTTTTCGGGGAACAATATGAAACCATAGATGAAATCGACGCATTTATGGATGAATTGCCTGAATTACCATCCGAAATTTCCCAACAAGCCTGCAACTTGGTGCAATTTTTAAACAAACAAATCGTTGGTGTTCAATCTTCTGCGGTGCAAATTATACGAAAGGGTATCGACGGATCTGAGCACAGTTTCAAAGAGTTTTTGCGAGAAGATGCTTTTGGTGGTGCTATGAAGGCCACAAACGGAATTAGTTTCAGTGAATATCTCACTAGTTTGCATAAAGCTATAAAGGTCCAATTGGAGAGCGACAAGGCATCGCAAGCTATCCGACAATCGATATCAACCGTCGAACACGACGCAGGAACCTTGGCACAAAGATTCATAAACTTTTGATCCATGGTGAGAAATAATTTGCATTAATAGATTTTAAAAGTCAAGTAAGCTCATCACACTCGTTATCGCCTCTTTGCTCTCTGCCGTACCATTTTTTAAAACATTTACACATACAGGTCTTAGCTTCTCGTCAAGCTTTTTGAGTAGCAGCTCATCTTTGTTGGCCAAAGCATACACCAAGTTCACCAACAAGCAAGTTACTGGATTTATCAAGTTACTTTCTTTGACCTGGTGTAACATAATTTCAATGATTGTTCCCATCAATTGATCAAATATATCTTTTGACTCAACAAGAACGTCGGCAATCACGTCAAAATTTGACGCATTAACCAAAAACCCGGAAATTACTGCCTGCAATTTCAGATTATCTGAATCCAACAACTTCACTAGTATATCTAATCTCTGTTTATTTGCAGTTTGTTCTATGTTGAAAAATTTGGCCAATAAAAGGGGTTCGCTAATCAAGTTGTTCAAAAGTTCAAATGAAGCAATTTGAATATCAGTTTTCAGTACAATCAAATCGTCGATAAAGGGTAGGATCTGCAGAACAAGCAATCTCCTGGTGTCGGAGTTATCTGCAGCCGCAATATTAGTTAGTGCTAGCAATGATTCGTACTCGTCTAGTTGCGTCATTTCTTGCAAATATGATTGTTTTGGGTTCACAGAGTCTGAAGGAACAGGACCAATTAATTCAACAAGAAATGGAATTGCTGATTTGACATCATATTTTTGAAACGATACTCTAGGGTCAACACAAATCAACATACGTGCCAAACTACGCAATGCTTTGAATCTATATTTTGGGGTCATATCACCCTTCAGTACCGGGATGGCAACTACCCTATTTCCCATTTTCTCCATATCACTTGTATTGACCAAAAAGTTCATAATTATAATCAACGCTCCTTGTTTGACTAGTTCTACTCGCATACTCTTGGCTTGATCTGTAGATAAATGGTAAATAATACTAATGACTTCGTTAAAGTTGTTGTCATTGGAGGATTGGTAGGTTTTAATGGCACTCAATTTGGAAACAATTTCATCTTGCTCGAGCAAGTGTCTATTGAAGAGTTTGATGTTATCTTGGTTCTCTTCATTGTTGCCTGATTCCATCTGTGGCGCGGTTACGTTTTTCAAGTTTGCTTTTGCAGTATTCAACTCCGGCTGTTTTAGCTTTGTAATGTTGGATAAAATTGACAAGATACCATACTGAATTGACGTGTTTACATTATCAACTGTTGAATAGTTCTGCAAAATATGCACAAACCTCTCAATCAACGATACATCCATTCTGATTAAGTCCCGAACTTTCCAAAACAAGCTTAGATACACGAGACCTTCCAAAGAATACTCAATATACTCCAAGTCGTCACCCTCGGTCACATAAAGAAGTAAATCTTTTGCTAGCTCTGTCACCTGCACCTTTGATTTTTGTTCCACTTGTATGAATGTCCACAATTTTACCACACATAAGGCAGCTAGAATTCGTATGCTCACATGTTGTGACTGCAAATAGTCAACTAAATACAGATAGTACTCTTGAATAGTAAAGGTACGACAGCTTTCTACCATTGATGATGCTGCGATGCAATTCAAAATAGGCACTGTGTACTCTGTATGTTTCCCTTGGTTCGAAAACGCATCGAGGATGTGCTGTTTTGTGGCTGTATTTGTATAAATCTTTGAACACAACTCGGGAAGGATAGGAAAACACATTGCAAGGGTCGATACAAAGTTGACCAATGATGTGCCATTCAAGGCCTCTTCATCTACTTGTAGCTGCAAGTACTCACTTACTATATCCATGCTCTCCGCCTTATTTAATTTCAAATCTTGAGCCAATATGACAAGAATTGCATTTGCCACTTTCTTTTCAGCCCCGACAAAGGTCAAAAACAAGTTCAAATGTTGAGGATTGGTTACTCCAAATTTGGTTATTAGGGAGATATAGACTGTCAAGTAGTAATCTCTGACATTGGAAGACTTTATCAAAATACCTCGAATGGCACTTAACACACTTAAAACAAACGACTGACGTGGGCCACTGTCGACCCTTATTAATTTACCTAATATGCTTCCTGATTGATCATTTAGCACTTTCAAAAATAGCAACACTTGAGTAGGATTGTCAACCAATTGCTGACATAAGGCTTGCAATTCTGTGTCATTGGTGTCAGCATTCATCAACTTGTGCCGCAATTGAGTTTTTCGATCTTTGCTAAAACCTTCATCACTTAGTCCCTGTGTCCCATCATCATTTAACCTTAGTTTCTTTATATCCTGAATGAGATCGTTTTCTGACATTATTGTAATGTGGGAGCAAACTGGTTGAACCGAAAAATATATGGACGTAAAAAAAAAGAAAAAAAAAGAATTGAAAAGCCCAATGATTACTAACTTACGCTTATCAACACTATACATAACTAATCACGATGGATACATCAACTGTGCTAGAGAAATACACGCAAGATCTTTCTAACTTGCCATTGGAAATACGACATCTCCTAGAAGAGATCAAGAACAAAGATATGCAAGCAGCAGAACTTCGGAAGCAATGCCAATCCAAAGACAACCAGATTCACAAGTTTATCAGGGCAAATGGCACTCTTACCAAACATCCCAAGGAACAGCAGTTGAATAGCAAAATAGAAGAGGATATGAAACACCTCAAAAAGATACAAAAAGAAAAGATTTTACTTGCAAACACGGCGCTTTTTCTAGTTTCAAAGCATTTGTTCAACTTTGAAACGGATATTACCAAACTAGAGCGAGATGAGCTTTTGCCACCGCTAGAAATACCGGTCGATTTACAAACTATGTCCAAGAATGAATATTCAAACGCACTAAATGGTCTCTCCGATACTTTATCGGCGACTCCAACATCGAGAAATGCATTATCAGTTACTCCTGCTGTGGAACCAGTCAAGAAAGGACAAAAGAGAAAAGCTGTCACAAAGGGCGTAGTATCAGTCGCATCAACGCCCACTGCTCCCTCGAACAAGATGAATAAAAAGTTGAAATCAGAGGAAGTCGAAGACACCCTTGGGTATGAGACTGGATCTCTTGCGCTCAGTGGGTCGACAGCAGATATGCCTACCAATGTCGATGGCCCTCAAGGCGACGATGCTGACAACAATCTTTATTGTTTTTGTCAGCGAGTGTCGTTTGGAGAAATGATTGGGTGCGATAACGAGGACTGTAAGTTCGAATGGTTTCACTGGAGTTGTGTTGGTATAACGTCTGCTCCCAAACCAGACGAAATATGGTATTGTCCTGATTGCAGAACGCGAAAGAAGAAAAAGAAGAACTAACTCGAGCGAGGCTCAATGAGGTTTCCATGCCGCTATGCTCGTGAGTTCGTGATGACACCGTTTTACTTTGGCCATGGTTGTGGCTACGTTTAGGTGGCTCAGTCACCAATGAAAGGGGAACTTTTTTATGCGTACTGGCTAAGGCTATATTGCTGATGGAGTCAGTTTTGCTACTTGTCCTAGTAAAATTCCTCGGGATCTTCCCAACTGTGTAACTCAATTACAGTACCGCGCATGTTTATAAAAATGGATTATTATTATTATTATTATTGATGTGTATAATATCCCTTAAACCTGATTTTGTGATATATTCCAATTTTATAATTGACTTCACGTTTTGTTTCGTTTCGTTTCTTTTTTTTCTTCCTTTTCACCTCTAATAAAATCATAAAATAAAAATAATAGAAGTCCTTTCTATCTACTCCGGTTGAAATACCACTAAAAACGACACATACACATACATACACACGCTCGCTTATCAAGTATGAAGAGAACTTTTGTCTTGGGTTTGCTTTGCAGTTATTGCTTAGCAGCTGATGCAGTTGTAGCTGCTGCCGCAGCCGCTGATACTGCTACTACTGCCGCCAACGCAGCTGCTAACACGGCCACTACTGCTACAACTGCTGCAGCAAACACAGCAACAACTAACACAGCTACGACCGGTGCCACTACAACAGGTGCCGCTACGACCGGAACTACTGCAGCCGGTGCAACCACGGGTACAGCTACTGGAACAGCCACCACAGGTACAGCTACTACCGGGGCTGCTACTACTGCTGCAACTGATACTGCTACTACAGGCACTGCTACTACAGGTACTGCTACTACAGGTACTGCTACTACAGGCACAGCCACCACGGGTACTGCTACCACAGGTACTGCTACCACGGGTACAGCTGCTACCACGGCAGGCGCCGCTACTACAGACACAGCTGCTACTACGGCAGGCGCCGCTACTACAGACACAGCTGCTACGGCAAAATCAAGTGCAGCAGCTACTACTACTGCTGCTGACACTTCGAATGAAACTACCGGAGTTGATGACACTACCAAAAGTCTTTCTTTTGTTACAACACGAGTCTTGAGATCTACCTCATCAAGTGGAAACCAAGACTCGTCTACTGGATCAAGCGGAGGAAGCAGCCAATCTGGAAATGGTGGAGCACTTCTTGCAACTAGTCCAGTATTGGCTTTTTTGTTTTACTTTAGTTCAATCATTTTATAGTTTCAAATAGATTTTCGCGTTGGATTGCGTTTTTATAAATTTTTACAAAATTTCAGAAGTGTTAGTTTATTAACGAGGCACCGTCATATAACCATGATGCTCAGATGTGGACCTATTAGAGTTGGTCCTAGAGTCTGCTATTTTAAGGGCCTTCGACCTATATCATCACCTGCTTCTTATGACTATATTAAAGACTATGAGTCCCTCCATAAGAAGATCAAAGCATCCATCTCAAAAAACCCTTCCAGCGAAGAGATTGTCAGTGCAATTTCCTCAATAAAAAACTTCCAGTCCGAATATCCAATACAAGACCAACTTAATTCAACCTCCATATTGACACGCCATTCGGAAACTATAATACATGAAGTTTTTTCCAATAAGGAGATAGAATTCACTCCGCAACTATTGAAACAACTTTTCCTTTTAAATCTACCAACAGCGTTGAATATCAAGCTCATCAATGAGTACTACAGGTTTAATCCAAAGCTGACGACTATTATAGAGAAACTGATTGCTCTTATTCCGCTTCGAAATGCGTTGTATAATGCCGACTTTCAGCGGGCGGTCAAAATCTCTGATGTTACTGTTGGACACCCAAACTACATCGCCCATCAAGGCAGTATTATCAGAAGCGGAATAGTTAAGCTTGTGTCAACAGCTGCAGCGGTAACAATTTTCACAAAATTTGGCGTGACGTCTTTGATTGATGCTGGGACTTTGCCTGCATCATGGGACCATTTGGGTGCAATCAATTCTATTCTATTGACATACATAATAAACTCGAGCTTTTTTGTAACTATTGTCAAATTTGGACGACAGCTCATTAGTTCCGGAGGTGATTACTTGACTTGGCAACGAGGAACATTTTACTCACATTGGTTTAAGCACGCAGACGAAATGTTATTTAATTCAAAGATTGTAGAGGCCGATAGGGACTTGAACAACGGAGAGTCAAACCCCGACATTACAGATGAAATATGCCGGCCTGCACCAGAAATCCGAAGCAATATGGATACATTGAACCCTGGCTACGATCGCGAGGGCCACAAAATACGATTGATGCAACTCAAGGATGACTTGGAGAAACTTAAATTTCAAGCTTATTGGATGACTGGTGGGGATGGTTTCGAATGGGTGGAACCCGACCAGGATCCAGCAGAAATACAATGGAGAGACCATTTAGAGAAATACAATAAGCCAGCTTTGGACAGGGCCGATAAAGATGCATTGAGATGGGCAGACGATTTGATCAAAGAGAGCTAGTGAAAAAAAAACACTTGTATGTAGAATAAATATAACTCAAATGCTATACAACTTTAATAGTTTTTTCCTGGGGTATTTCATTTTCTGAGATAACGTCGTCTTGCTCTTCCTCCTCTGGCAAAGCGTACCGCGGAATCAACCTTATATCGTAGTCAGTCTCTAATTTCAACTCATCCCAGGGTTCAAAATTGAGCCAGACCATCTCGAAATCGTCGTCATTGTCAATAGTGTGGTTTCCCAATGTTATGCTTGGTTTCGCAAAACCATCATTCACCAATTCACTCTTCCCCTCCAATATTAAGTCTAACCTTTGAGCTTTGTTCAACTCGTTGACGTCTTTCAACTCGTTACTCAACATATGTTCAAACCGTTTGTCGTTGTTTTCCTTCAACTTTGCGTGAATTTCATTGTATTTACCTCTGCTTTTCAATTTCTCTAGAAGGCTAGGCTTTGTACCTGTTTGTGCAACACTTAAGACGTTGTTCTTTTCTCCAAGTTCAATTGATAGGTTTTGAAATCCTTCCGGCTCTTCCAATTCCTGACTGACATTTTCAATCCAGTTATGCAATAGTTCGATCCATTTCTTAAAAGACATTGGCTGGTAATATTTGTAAGCACCAAACCACAAGCTTGGTTTATCTCCATTCTTGATGGCAACTTTTCTGTAGTGACGTGCTTCTTCGTACCAAGGGTCATATGGCAAGATCAATCGACTAATTTCCAACCCACTTCCAAACACTACCGTCGCACCAACTGCAGCAAAAACCACCAGTTTGAATATGGATCCACCCCTAACAGATTGAGGAGGACCATTAGGCACCGCGACAAGTCTATGCCTGAGTTGATTTCGGGCAAATTTAAAACACCCAACACCTAACAAGAATTGCAAACCAATCATCGAGTACAACGCAGGGCGGTTATCTGATGACGGCGTAAGTGGACCCCATATCAATCCAACACTTGGATTATGTGGTATAAGAGACTTGGGGTTGGGAATCACTATTGTCGTAGAATCTGAGGATGAAGCCGAGGATGTGAGTGGATTTGTAGGATTGCTAGTTCCATTCTTTTTTGGCGAGTTACTCTTTGCATCGTCACGCTCTTTATCATTATTGTTTGGGGGCGGTATATATACTCCCATCGTCTGTATAGAGATAGTTGTAGGGGGTTGTGTTTAGTTTGCTTGACTGTATGGCCTGTTGGGAGGAACATTGGAATTGAAATTCAATTGCGTATGGTAGCAATAATATCACGCGAAGAGAAAGTTCAGCTACTGGGGTACTACAAAATGCCATCTCAAATAAGCCTACCCCATCAGCAAATCCCAGCTCCTACGTTCACTAGGTTCAATCTCTAGAATTGACACCTACATTCATCTACAGATGTACCGGATACTTAATTATATGCTTGCATTATAATAATATAAAACTGAACGTTACAAAATTTTAAAGTGTTTTGCTAGGATCAAGAGACCTTAGGCTTCATTTCCGTACAAGTCTTCCTTCAAGTCGATTCCCAATTCCTTTCTGATGTCTTTCAACTCTTCCAAGTAAGCGGCATATTGTTCTGGGGTTTCCACTTTGTGTTTCAATGCTTCAAATGTTCTGACAGCTGTTGGGTAATCGTTTACACGTCTGCAAGCTTGCAAAGCCTTTTCAACGACGACTGGGGCTGGGACTAAATCATATGAGAAGACATTGTTCAAGATTCTTTGTACTTCGAATAAATCGTAGGCATCTTCAAATTCCTTTTCGTATCTAATAATGTTGTTAGTAATGGTTACACTTTAAGGATAAATATTGTGTATTACATACCTAGCTGTGAATTCCTCAAAAGTCTCATCTTGATGGTCGGAGGAATATAATCTAACGCTTTGTTGGAAAGTTGGTCTAACCAATGGAGTCAATCTCATAACATTTGAGATTCTTGGAGTCTGGACTGCCAATCTTGATCTTAATGCTGAACGAATGGTTGAAGATATCATGCTGAAATAAATAGAATATCGGGATTGAAGATTTGTAAGTTGTATTGGCTAATTATAACTGAGGGTAAGATCGATTGCTGAACTTGTTACGATGTCAATGGTTTTCACCTGTGGGGTGTGTATGATCTTTGCAAGTTGTGTGGAGGTTGAGGGTTGTCTGGGATGTCAATTCACCTTTCGATTAAATGGACGTAGTAGTTAACCTAAAAGATTTGGTTTCCACTCTTTATTCCAAAATTTTCTTTTCTTAATTTTTTTTCAGCACATTGGAAGAGGAATTGGTAGCTCTATATAGTGACAACAGTGTTAGATTTTTGTATTATGCTAAAACATTTATCAACACAATAATTGGACAAAATGTTACTGATGTTACTATATGCAGGATACACTTTCATATCTTTTGACAGGGCACCTCATTTCTTTTTTTCTTTTCCACAAATCGTATGATCTCAGACGTATTTACAGCATGTATTTCGAAACCTCCTCATTGGATCATGTCTAATTGAAACCATGCCTTAATAGTAGGTGATTTAGATCATAATGAGTGCAGTAGTCATGGGTGGTTTCAATTGGACAGTAGTATGTTTTATTGGAAGAAATAATGTGCATCGAGTTTGTTAATTACTTTTATACCACTCTTCTCCAACCAAGCTGTAATTCCATCTTTGTCACACCCTTCGGTTACCTTTCGCTTAAAAGCTCAAACCTCTCTATTAATGCATTGTTTGCTAGAATAGCTTTTTTTAGTACGGCCCCGATATAACGTTGCAACAACTGTCTAAAGTTGTCCCATTTTACACGACCCAGCCGTTTATTTCTCTTTCGGAGCACTTCAAAAAAAATCAAAATAACCTTTCCATCCATTAAGTAATCAATTTGTCAGCACTGACTACAAAGGCACTTTGCAACCAAAGCCAATCGATCAATCGTCATGAACTATGCTAACTGGCAGTCAAAGAATGAAGATATTCATCAACAACATCAACAACAACAGCAGCAACATCATGTGCTGAGCAACTTGGCCTTTAGATCGCAGGACTCAATTTCGATGAGTGATAAGTCTCCGATCATGGACTCGTCTTCCAGTATTGATGCTAGTACAACAGATCCAGCGTTATCGCGGACATCTTCGAATCTGAAGTACAATCCAAAGCACATTTCTTCATTCACCAAACGAGCAGAGCAAAACCGAAATGCACAAAGGGCATTCAGACAACGGAGGGAGAAATATGTTCAGGATTTGGAAAAGAAGGTACAAGAAATGGACGAGTTAAAAGCAAGGAACGAGAACTTGAATAATGAAAACGTTCAATTAAAGGACTATGTGATGATTTTGCAGAGGAAAATCATTGAATTGACCCAGGGCAAGGACTTGGGTCAGCAGCACCAGGACCACACTATATCGGATCCGTTTAATTCAAAGTAAACTCTTTTTTTTGTAGTTTTTAGTTTATCCACAACTTTTATAGTGAACCATTGTTTTTGAATGTTGTAGCAGACAAAGCTGTCTTCTGGGTATCTCTATGCTATATGTGTTAGAAAACCCTTTGTGTGACATCAAAGGAGAGAAGAAAAAAATTCAGAAAAAAAAGGAAAATTTTGAAAAATTCAGGACCGAAAGATCTTGAGGACATTGACTATTCGGCCAAAGATGAGCACTAGGAACAGCTTAAGAAGTGCCTTTTTACAGCTTAAAAGAAGAAGCAGTACAAATACTGGTGGGGTCTGGTCGGATTTCTCTAAGAGACCGACCACGTTGAAGATAAACAATGCTCCCATTAGACAGACTTTGTTCAGCGAGGGAAATTCTGAAGAGGGTCCTGCATCATTGACAAATGGGGATGAGAGGCTAGCGTACCACTCGCCGATAGCCATAGATGAAACATTCCAAATGGCTTACAGAATCTTAGAAAAAGAGGCCAATTCAAAGTATCAAATTGTTGATCGCTTGGAAAAGTCCCTTAAGAATGCCGCGTCACAGGAAGAAACAATTGAAATAAAGGACCGGATCGATAAAAATTTGATAGAGGCTGAGATTGAAAACCCTGAGGTGTTATATAATGCAGAGTTTGCTGATTCCAAATTGCTAGACAAATCGCAACCGGTTTACAGACATTTGCTCAAGGAAAAATGGGAAAATTATGACTTGCTAGTGACAATGCAAAGACTAGAACAGCTACATGTTATACCTGATACCTTACCAACGTTGGTTCCAAAGGCCGATGTCAAGGTCAAGTTCACTCACAACACAGAAGATCAGTTTAGCAAATGGGTCACACCTGGGTCGTTATTGCCAGCGTTTGCAGTTTCCGAACCTCCTACGGTCTACATTCAAGAGTTTGATCGTGTTGAAGGCAGCAACAACTTGTACACCGTCTTGTTGGTGAATCCCGATACACCTGATTTGGCAACAAACTCGTTCACGACTACATTGCACTACGGTTTGAAAAATGTTATGCTCAACAATGTTGACAACTCGATAGATGTTTCCAAGTTGTTGAAAGTGGGACCAAGGATTACCTTTAAGGAATACACCCCCTTAACTCCAGAGAAGAATGCTCCAGCTCAAAGAGCTTGCTTGTGGGTTTTCAGACAATCAAAGGAAATTGGCGACATTTCTGAAGCTAGTGAGAACTTTGATATCAGGGAATTTGCTGCTACACATGGCTTAACTCCAATCGGTGCTCACATTTGGAGACAAAAGTTCGATAGAAGTGTACCTGGGGTCAGACAAATGTATGGTTTAGGCGAGGGAAGAGTCTACGAAAAGGTTAGAAGCATGGATCCTCTCAATCTTTAGTACGCATGAGATGATTGTGTACTTGTATATATATATAAAAATAACACGACTTGTTTATACGAGCTTTGAGGAAATGTATTGTAAGATCGTCTTTCTTTAGAGCCTTTGTTGCAATCACAGGAACGGCGAATGTGGGTAAGTAAGAAAAAAAATTATAAAAAAAAGTTATTGAAAGAAGCTTCTGTTTCCATCACGCAAATCTCAGACCAAACTCAGATTACAGTATTGGATTATATCCTATGCAATAACCACTAACGTAACTAATGACAACTGAATTCGATGGTCGACGAAAAGATTTGCTGAAGTTAAATTCAAAGGCCTGGGCTGGAGAGTACAGCTTCCCTCTTGCATCCAAGTTGGATTCATCGTTAAAGAAAAATTCGGCATTCATCAAAAAGGCCAAAACTGGCTTAAATCAAGAACAGTATTCCAACGTTTTAAAAGACATTGGATCTGTTTCCATTGAAAAGTACTTGTCTGAAGTTATTGTGTCGCTCGTGGAGGGCTTGTGCAAAGTTTCAAAGAATGATGAAATTAATGCAGCAATAGAGGTTGTGTCTGCCTTACATCAGAGGTTTGGGAAACAATTTACGGCCGACTTGTTTAATCATATCTTGGTGCAGATAATGAATCCATCGAATGCAGAATCAGCTGACAAGGAGGAAGCCTCTCGAGCATCTCGACAGAAGAATCTATTGCGTTTAGTGGGTGAGTTTTACATTGTGGGGGTCCTACGAACTGCGTCCGTCTATTTGGATGTTCTAGATGCAAAAATAATCAAAGTTTATTCGTTGGACAAGAGAAGAAACGAGCCAATATTGACATTATTGTTGAAGTATCTACTCAACTTTAACCTTGAACTGGGTAGAAGCTTGAACATTGTGCAATCTTTCTTGAAAAGATTTGGCCACATCATTTTTAGTGATAGTGACTTATTGTCTCTGGACACAAGGCATGTGCTAACTCAGATTTTTTTGATCTATACGCAAGCTGTTTTTGGTGTCTTGTTGAAGTTGAAGAAGCAAGTTCATAAGCTCGATGTGCGCAACAAGAAAGCGTCAATCAGAACAGGACGTATTCAAGAAAGTGAGCAATTTGAGTTGGATGAAACGACGAAATTATTTGAACAGTTCAAAGCCACGGCAAGCTTTTTATCCCAGATTTGTAGTTTACCTTTGCCCGAGGGTTTAAATGATGCAGCAGAGGATGAGGAAGAAGAAGACAATTCAGTTGAAGTTGTGAAACAATATGTGCCCAATGATGAAGATCTGTTTGGGATTTGGGAAGATTCAAAGGAGAAAAACTTTTACACCGTGATCCCACTGCTTGGTGAATTATTGGAGGCTCACCCAGAAGCCCCTAGTAGTAAATCTACCCAAGCTCATAAAGATGGTGAAAAGATTCAGGAATTCTTGGATAGATTGGAAGATGTACGAGGTAACGATTTGGAGCAGCTCGTGGTGGAGTTTAACAATTTAAATTTGAATAACAAAGCTACAAAGAATAGAATAATGCGTTTTTTCATTGAAACATCCACATTGAATAACTTAAGGTACTATACGAGATTTTTGAAAATTAACGAACTTAATTTGACCGACTTGATTGGGGAATTGATCACGTATTTGGACAAAGGTTTCCGATCTCAAATTCATAGAAACAAACTCAACGTAAAGAACATTTTATTTTTCGTTGAGTTAGTCAAGTTTAAGATGGTGCCGATACACGTTGTGTTTCACAAAATTCGTAGCTTGACTTTGAATATCACATCAACAAACAATATAGAAATATTGACTGTTTTTTATGAGCATGTGGGGAGGTTCTTATTGCATGATGCGGATAGTAAAGACTTGATGCGAGAAATGATTGATTTGTTGAGAGAAAAGCTGAAGCAGTCAAATTTGAATGTGAATGACAAGTTAGCCATTAACAATTTATTAATCACAGTGGAGCCACCGGTAACAAAAGTGCAGACTCTAAGAGAGGCGCCAGTATTATCACCTAAGCAGATGTTTATTCAAAAAGTATTTCGAAGTGAACTAAGCCAAGAAACACAATCGCTTATTGTCAAGCTATTTAAGTCAACGTTTGTTCAAGTTGGCCAAGCTGAATTTCAAACCTTGGTTGGTTGCTTTTCCAATCCACAATTGTTAAACTACGACAATATCCCTTCACTTGCAAAAGTGTTGCTGGAGTTTAGCAATAAAAATAAAACGCTATTGGTGATGTCGGTGGACACCACGATTGAGAACATTGTCCGAGGCTTGGAATTGAATGACTTTAGAATGAATAGGACTAGAATGGCGCAGGTGAAGTACTTAGCAGAATTGTACAACTCCAAAGTTATCAATTTCAAACTTGTCAATGATATGTTGTACCGTATCCTTTGTTATGGTCATCCACAGAACCAACCTTTGCCACAAAATTGGGATGTTGATATTGACTTGCCAAATAACTATTTCCGTATTCAAATGTGCTGTCTATTGCTATTATCAATAAAGTCGATATTTGTTGATACAGACGTTGGGAGGAAGAAGTCTCTGAATCGTGCTGCAAGTATCAAGCGCAGAAATGACATTAATAAGGATCTTTTGGGTGTGTTTTTAACTTTTTTCCAATATTACATGTACTGTAAGGAGATGCCCTTCCCTGTGGATGTCCGCTTCAAATTAGATGATTTGTTTAAAAAGTACAAGAATATCCCAACCGTGAAACGATATGAGTCGATACAAGATGCTGTTAGAAGTTTAGGTGGCGCCATGCAGAAAAGGAGGGAAGCGGAGTCATTATTGGAGAAGGAAGATGAAGCTATTGAGGACCAGTCGGAGGTAGAGGCAAAGTCGGCCAATATGAGTTCAGATGAGGATAGTGATGCCAATGATGACGATGATGACGATGATGATGATGATGATGACAATGAAGAAAGTGAAGATGACGACGATGAAGAAAGTGAAGATGGTGAGGATGACGATAGTGAAGATGAGGATGAGGAAAGTGAGTCGGAGGAAGAAACTGAAGATATCGGTGAAGAAGATTCGTCGCACGTATCTTCATCTGAAGATCAAATTACCGAGGCTGAGAGATTAAGGCTTGAAGCAGAGCGCAAATTCCAAGAAGATTTGGATCGAGAGTTTCAGAAAATCATGATTGAATCTTATGGACCAACACAGCAACAACAGAAATTGCTGCAGCAACAGCAGTATCAGCAACAGTATCAGCAGCTGGGCAAACAACCCACTTTCAAACAAGCTTTGCCTCTTCCCAGTCAAATCAACATTCCTGAGAATGCTTCAACTGGAGTCAAACAACAGAATGGTACCGTGGCTTTTGGATTGTTGACCAAGAACGGTAAAAATCAAAAGGTTAAGCAATTTAGTTTACCGTCAGATAACATATTCGCCGAGTCGGTGGTGCGAGAACAAGAGAATCGGAAGCGTGATAAACAACGGATTATGAAACTTGCATCTAGAATGGATGACTGAGATGGTTTGTGTATAGAATGAAAGAGTAAAGTTTTAAGTAATGTCTGTTTTGATTGATCAAATGTAAAGAAGAGGTTGGCTTTATGACTTTTCTCAGCTATTCCATTTTTCTGACAAATTCAAAGCAATATGAAAATCATTATGTTCTACCGGGTCCTGAATTGAAATCTTGCAATGCGGACAGTACATGTCTCGTAACAAGGAGTCGAGTAAATTAACAGGTTTTTGTTGCAATGTCTGGAAAATATCTCTATTGGCAGGTTGATTGAGCGGTGGACTAACGCTTTTACGTGACTTTGATTTCACTTTATTGACTGTGTTGTTGCCTCGTTCATACTCTTGGAATAACTTTGAGATGGTTTCCTTTTGTTCCAATGATATCGGATTTGACTTCTTGATAACAGCGCTAGTATTTCTCTCAATTTTGCTTTTCTTGGATGATGCGTTAATCTCCATTAACTCTTTATCTGATTGAGATTTACCCCTTTTCTTTGCAAAAGATTCAATCATTGCCGAATCGTTTAGCGCAACGAAATTGGATATAGTTAAGGACATGTTATGCATGTCCATGAGTTTTACCAGTTTGGGATCACTAGTGTACAATTCGCGCGGAGTTTTACCCCTATTAAGCAAACTTATATTGGAGTTGTGTTCCAAGTAATCGCGAAGCAATTGAAATCCGCAGTTCTTGATCGACTCTCTCATTTTACCAATGTCCTTATGAAACAGAATGGGCATTTGTCTAGTTTGTCGTACAAACGAAGCTGATCTTACGCCAATTGTGATAGTTTTGGGTCTTCGTATCACCCCCTTTTCCTTGTTGGACATTTTTGTTAATGACAATTCCATCGATTCGTTGTCTAAATCGGTTAATCGGTTGCTCAAATCACCAGAGAATACAGTTAGCCAGTCGTATGCATCAGCCAATGACCAGCCCTTGGTGCCAAGAAAGTTTTTTGTTGACATCATTGACTTGATTTCAACTTTGTTTGTCAATTCCGATGGATATAAGCCTCGAACAATCTTGTACAACTTCAATGCTAACTCAGCATCCTCTTTGATTTCCTCATTCATCGAGCTTAAACTATAGTTTTCCCTAATAAAGGCGATGGAGTTCCTATCGGGTGGTACTTCAAGCCTGTTTATCAATTGTTCACCCAATTTCCCACCCATACCAGTAACATCGGTCAATTCAAAATAGTTCAAAAACCGGTTCAAAGCACAGTTTCTGACAATTGTTTGGTCATCAGGTTTCTTGAATCCACCGCTCAATTTTGCCACCAATTTGTTTCTTGCTAGACCTGCCGATGTTGTATATCCCAATTCATCATAAATGGCTTGTCGAAGATCCAACAACAACTTCGAACCTATAGCAAGAACAACATCATCCCAATCAAAAATTTGTGGTGATTGAGCATCCTGTGGATCGGCTACTTCTTTTTCTGATTTCATGATTGTTCCATGCCATTGTATATCCTGTGGAAGACTTTCAGGAATACTCGGTAGAACTTTATCATCACTGGCTTCCAAAATGTGTGATTCCAATTTATTGGGGAACTTCTGCAAAAGTAATTCATAAATAGGTCGCCCCAAGTCGATATAACTTTCATCCACACTTGCCTTTTCCACCAAGTCAAACTGACTCTGGATAATTCTTAAAATTTTGCGACTTTCACGCCGATAATTGTCCAAGCTAACTTTATGATTGGCAGGATCAGGCAGACCTTCCTCATATGTCCAATGCTTGTCTCCCTTCTTGTATACGCCGGCATGGGCACATACTAGATTGGGACATTTCTCTTTTGCCGACTCCACTGTATCCATTCTACTGATTCCAAATTTACGCGCCGCGTAGCTTACAGCAATAATCGACCTCCATTGCTGGCACACCACTGGATCTTCTTCAGTAAGTCCTAAACGAATTGTCTCCACTTGGGCGAAAAATGCATTAAGATCAACTAGAGCAATCGCTGATAAGGGCAGTAGATACGCGGTTTTGGGATTGTTCAAGTCGCGTAAGTTCTTGTATGTGAATTGAGACGTTGAAAGTGGAGATGTTATTAGCGGGGGATATTCCCTGGAATCTTGGGATTTAACAGACATGGCATGAGTGAAGAGAGTGTGTGTGTTCTTGACGTGTATGCTTGACGTGTATGCGTGTTTTTGCTTCCTTGGCTTTGATGTCCTGCATTTGTCGCGCAGTAATCGAAATTGGTCCTTAATAGAGGAAGCAAAGTTAACAATTTCTCTACACCGATATATACATCGTACCCAGTTTTATTACTAAACTATTGGATCTATAAATGCTTACTACTAGATGATTCAAAATTGAAGCTCTATGCGCACTACTCACATCTCATACTTTTCACTAAAGAATTGATAATTGTGCTCTTTTGCCCACTTTTTTGAATCATTGATCATTCCATCAGGACCACAGGCAATGATCCAAGTAATATTTGGGTCTAGTGTAATTGTGGGGTTGTTGATGGCAAAAACTTCGTCCAATTTAGGTCTTCCTAACCTATACCGTCTTCCATTTGTTGCCGAATCATCCTTGGTTGAATTTCCCTCGTCAATGTCATTAGGGTCCACCGGATTGGGTACTATATGCTGCAACTCTATATTTTCTTTCAACAACCCATGATGTTCCACCTCGTCGTCTCCTTCTATGACAAACTCGGGAGGGATGGGCTCGTTGGATGATGACTCTTGGCTGTCAACTCCAGTAACGTAAATTTGTAAATCAGATAAATTCAATTGGTTGAGGATAAACAAGTCGTCTTTGTTCAGGACACACCAAACTAAGTTGACTTCGACTGATGGATTTGTCGTTTTGAAATATTGATAAATTGGTAGTCCAAATGAAAGTCCCGAGCCACCGCATATTATACTTACGACTTGAGCCGTGTTGAATAAAGGTTGAGGTATGGAACAGTACGGGCCGGTTACCAAATAAGTACTTTGGGCATCGAAATTCAATTGAGTCTTTTTCTTGATCAATACAAGTGAAGTTCGGGAATCTTCATATATAGAAGCAATGGTGAATGGGTGAGTAGCCGTGAGCCAGCATTGAATTTTCAGGAACGAATAATTGATTCGAACATGGCTTGCCGGTGACCAACTGGGGAATTCAAGTGGAAGTGGTACTTTGACAATTTGTAATGTAGACGTTGGCGTATCTATGACCTTGATTGAGTTTACTCTGTAAGCAGCTAACCTCGAGTACAATTGCAACGCTAACATGACTATGGACAAGATAGCAATGGGCCATACCCCTGGCCGCGCATGGAAAGTTATTAAAATAACCATCGACCAAGAAGTGATATTATGGACAATGTAGAAAAGTCGATATGATTTGCGACGCATGTATCGTATCGATACAACAATGAGCAAAGTGAATGGCAAAATGACTACAATACCCAAAAGGTTGAGAAACTTGACAAATTTTGACCCTGTTCCTTCAATAATCCATTTAGCAGCGAAAATCAACCCATGGATAAACGAAAGTAAGAAAATCAATCGTGATAGCCATTTATGGAGATTTAGATTTTGTAAATAATAACCCGGGTTTAGATTGGGTGAATTAGCAAATCGCAAAATTAGGAATATATTCAATGGGACTAAACTATAAGCTATTCGGCCCAATCGTTTAGCAACAGTGGTGTATTCGATAAATATGGAGTGGATCTTGTCTTGTGATAGGAAAGCAATAATCACAGTCCAGATCAACATGATAAACCAAGTTGGAGGGCCTTGTAAATAGGTTAACAATTTATTATGTATTCCATTGCGTTTCCATTGTTGTATGTAGATGAATTTAAATAGTAGCAAGTATAGGATTAATATAGAGGATATCCCTAGTACTATGTACCCATATTTGATATTTATGAAATGGAGATTACCGTGCCTTGGTTCAATGTCAATCATTTGACGGAGTTAGTGAGTGAGGGTATGGCGGAGGGGAATTTGTTTGGGTGTAAGCATTTTTCTTGTGTTGTTTATTCGTTTAAAAAATTGTACGGTGCGGTTCTGAGTAAAAAATGCTATGAAGAGTTTGACTAAAAATGACGCGGAGTGGATAGAGTTATAGCAGTAGCACATATTGCAAGGTAAAGGGTGGCTGCAGACTGCAAGTAATAACGGGTTAAAGAAAGGGCTAATACAATTTTGCTAGCTTTCATTGGTTTCACATTTTACAACACTCCACTCTCGTCGTATAATGAAGAGTGGATCGTATTGTACTTTTCACAATAGCTGTCAACACAAACGGTAGACATTTCAGTAAAAGAAGAAGTGGTAAAGAACAAGAAAGATCTCCCTGGCTCTTCTTTTCTTCAAAAATCAAATTTCGCCGAAGCTTCCTTTCGCCTCGCCATCGTACTGTAAAAAAAGGCGTAAATGGAAGTTCTAGACCTCAGATAGTTGACGCAAAAACGGAAATAGGATCTAGACTTTCAGGCAAATGTGCAATCCAATACAACATTAATTTGCAGAGCTCCTCTATTTCAGAAGGTTTAGTGTCTGACTACTTTACAATTACTTCTCCTGTTCTCGCCGGACTTATGCTTTTACCCTCTGATACAGTTACGAAGAAGACGAAAGATCTGCGTATGGAGATACGGCATAATAAGAGAGAAGAAGAGCCAGTTGCCAAGATTCTTTGGACTGTTTTATTTTTTTTGTTCTGGGCTCATTCTAGAGCTAGAAGCGTTTGTCTACGATGTGCAAACTCTTAATTCTAAGCACTTTTTCTTTTTGCGTCCATATTGGAGTATTACATTATGGTTTGGAGAAATTTTACCTGTAAATACATCTTTACATGGAAATAATTTCGTAGAAAGAGTCTGTTACGAGGTTATTGGTTAGATTCTGAAATTTTGATCACAATTATGGGTAATAAACATCCGCTTAGCTTCTGTTTAGCATCCAGTGCATGTTTTCTATTGTACTATGTGTATGTATAGAGACCTAAAAATAGCTTCTTCGGTAGTCCTAGGTGTTAATAGGTCAGTTTTGGGATTGGATTAAGGCAAAGAGGTAACAAGAGCCTAAACTAAACTTGAATATGTTTTCTTGACCATTTTTGTTTTAGCCCTTTTTCTGTCTGATTCTAAAAATGTTACACAAATGACAACATACATCCAACTCATTTTCAAAGTCGAGCCAGCACTGATGACTTACCTTTTGTAACCATTGAATAAGAAGTGGTCCCAGAAAAATTAAAAAAAAAGTAGAAAAACAGTTGTAAGTCTTTGGGGCGGGATTTTTCATAACCAAAAACCTCAAAGATGTTTTAATTAATTAAAGAAGTTGCACAAAAATGATAGAAAGAAGAAGCTCATTTTAGAATTTTTGGGTGGGTCTAGCGGAAATAATTTGCAAGCTTCAAATTTGAAAACACCTAGCTCAGCAATACTACTATAATCGCTAGTTGTGTGTTCTGTTTTGTGAAAGAATGTATGTGTTGCAAAATGCAGAGTGTTTTCCCCCAACAAAGTGAAGGCGGGTGAAGTAACTTTTAACCGGCCATAGTAAAGGTATACTATTGTAGAAAACGATACGACTGGTGATACCCTACTTTGTAGAGTATACTTTCTGCTTGATATTACTCTTAAAGGAAGCAAAGCGATGGTTCGTTTAATTAAGGCAACTGGGGCTGAATAAAAAGAGGAGAAATTTATGTTGTAAACCACTACCAACAGGGGGGTGGTATTCATTTCTTGTCGTCATCAGTACATATATACATATCTGTGGTAGTGTGTATCATAGTTTCAGTTGGGTCAGTCATTTGTGAAAAAGCACGTCATCATTTCTGTCAATATTGACGAAAAGAACTAATTGGTAACAAAGAAAATAGGGGGAAAACAAAGAGGAGAATAGTTTTCTCCCCTTCTAAGAAATGGACTTCGGATTTCATTAATTGTATTAAATAAAAATGGAATTCAGTTGTTTTTTTGGCGAAGGACCCAACCATATCATCAGCACACAGCACAACTTCTTAAAATAAAATTATTTTTTTCTTTTCACTGCAAAAGGTGCTATACCAAAAGAAGAACAAAGAGAATTTTCGAGGAAGTGGAAAAATAAAAAGAACGTTTTGGTCATAACCAAAACAAGTGTCGTCATTCAACTGGCATACGTAGATAAGATGTAAAAATAATTAATTAGCCACCGTACTCGTGAGTAATCGCAATGCATTAACTGCTACTCTTCAATTATAAAAGTATAATTTTTTTTTTACTTTTTGGAGTAAATTGGGGGATACAAACATTCACAATAAAGATGTCTTCTTTGACATATTGTTGTGTAAGATATGAAGAAAGTGGCATGATATTTTTATAATAATAATAATAATAATTGACGGTATAGTGTGCTAAATACGATACATAGACCTAAAAGGGAATTTATTTACCCACTGAGGAGACAGATTTGCAATGCACATATAAACTTATTATAGATGAGTTCTAAAATTGCAGAACAAAAAAAGAGGAGATTATCTAGCAAACAGGTTAATTATTTTTGACCTTTGACCCAAGATGGCCATTAGTGAAATAAAACATTCTAAAAGCCAACAGAGGTGTGGCATGAAATAATGGCGTCGTGTTTGATTTCCTCTCACTATTGGTATTCAAATGATTTTTGATTTTGATGAGGAAGGATTTGGAGACGGAATTGGATACAAGTACGAAAGAATAGTTCATTTATGGCCGTTTGTGATTTTGTTTTGTTCTCTTTTTCCGCCCTCATTTTTCATTTCAGAAGTAAGTTAGTAGTAAGTAAAAAAAAGTAAGTAAATGTGTCTAAGACTGTTGTCTCAGTGGTTCACGTGTACTTTGTCTACTGATTTAGAACATGTGAACAATACAAATCGATACGCTGTATTGATGACATCAGTTCAATCTAATTTAATTTTTATTTACTTTTATTTTTGTTTGGTGGCAAAGTAAAAATTGAATTCCGAATTCCGAATTCCGAATTCCGAAACTTTTTATAAAGTACAAAAACAAAAGTAATAGTAGTTAATAATAATGTAAATTGATATGTAAGAGCTCCTAAATTATGAAAGTTCAGCCCAATACATATCCATAAAAGATATGTACCTTTTGTTAAATTCTTATATAATTTATTTTTAAATCTATAAAATAATAAGTCACTGTGCATATTATTATTTTAACCATTTGGGCATACACAAGCCACAATTATTAGGTTTTTTAAAACAGAACCACACTTCCGCACATCCTTCTACCTATATACCTATGCCAACCATAATACAGAGGAAGAAGGGGAATGTGTTCTAGCCTGTTCCACATAAAGAAACTTTTTTAGGCGAAATATGATCTATATCTTTTAGTATAGCAACTTTAACTAATTTAGAAATGTCAAAAGAATATACTTTGAGAATGCTAGAAGCAGTTCGGTTGTTTTTGCCCAAATACCTTGGTTTAGCAAATGGTGCATGGAAGCCATTATATATAGCTGCTTGTGGTTTAAAGAGGACCCATGCACATGCTCATATATATGAGTGTGTTTCTATTGCATACTTGGGAAGAGAAACACAAGATGGTACTCTGAAAACAGCAACAGTGACTCATGAATAGGATATAGCAGCTTCTTGATAGAAAAGCCACGGTGTGACCCTTTCAACGTCGAACAAAAGTTCTTTAACTAGCCACAACAGCCATCTACTTCGTATTTTATTTATTATTTTTTCTTTGCTCTTTTGTCTCTATTGTTTTGTTTATGCATATGCATTTCTCCTCAACTTCTGTTGCGTTCTAGACTTTTACACCAATCTTTATTGTTTTTTGTTGAAAAAGAAAAGAGAAAGCAATTTTATAACCATCAAACGTTAGGAAATTGCAAAGGGATGAAATGAGGCAGCTGGTTTGCATTTGAGTTGACGCTTTTTCTTCTTTGTATGTTATCTTCCGTAATTACAAAAAACTGCATCGAAAACCTGCAATTGGCAAAGATAGGGATTGTGTTCTTCTTATTAGGATTGCATTTAGGTGCATTGGCCAAAGAAGTAGTGCATTTCCTATTCACACAAACACACACAAACTCTCTGTCGTCCTATCGTACTAGACTCTAAAATAAGTCGTCTTCTACAAGGTAAACAGGGCTCTTCTCTGTAACTCTAACTTCAACCATCTTCTAAATTTAGATGTATTACGTAAATGAATCGTGTAAAACACAATACTACAGCAAATCAAACCAACCACAATGTTTGCAAACTTAAAATAAATAAAGGAAGAATTGCCGACTCTAATAAACTTTTGCATCTATTGTTATTTATACATATATATTTGTATGTATATACTTATGAACATGTATAGAACTCGTCTAATCTATCCTATATAGAGAGTTATCCAACCATGCATTTGTGCGTGTGTCTATATTGAAAAGAATCGGAGAATGGTAATTCTCAAGAAAAAAACAAACCCCCAACCAAAAGCTAATTGACCTTTTAGTACTGATAGAGACGACTTGGTGGTTGTCGCTCCTCCTTCCTTACTCTTCCTTATTCCAATCACTTGCAAGAATATTTCTTTCTTGTCTTCACACAAACACACACACAAAACTCCAAATATGTCAAAAAATGACTTATCCCTGTCGCTTGCACGAATATTATATTTCAATCTGAAAGGAACAGCTTTAGTTTAGTCTGAACTTTTTTTTTCATCGTTTCTTTTTGATTCCTAACTCGGATAAGTAAAGCTTTTTAGTTGATCAACATCTATTTCAACTGTAATCTAGTTAACAGCCCTTTAGAAGGATTTAAAGTAAGGCGGTTAAACTGAGTGATACAAATTTGGCATAAGGTTTTGAGTTTTTAGATAATATAATTTTTTTTCTTTTAGTGCGCTTGTTGTTAATCAAAACGATGACGACATAATTCCAATTGTTGTCTTTTTCTTTCTTTTGTC